GGGAGAGGTATAATTGGAGGTTGGGTGCTTTGGATGAGGGAGGACAGTTGTATGGGACAGGGGGGATTGCTGGGAGGGTTAGGGTGCTGAGTGTTGGTTGATGTTGCTGATGAGGTGCCAGATGGGTGGGGGAATTGGGATTGGGGGGAGGAGAAGACAAAGGGAGGAATATACTCCATGCAAAATAGGGTCAGCTGGGTTGTGATCACTTGGAAGGTATTGGGTATGTAGGGTGCACTTTGTGAGGCCCAGGGCATGGTGGATGCATTTGAAGGCTTTGTTTGTGGGGTGGTTACAGCTCCTGCCTCACTTCCAGCCTTCAATGACTCCCTGGTTGTCTCTGTGAACTTGGAAATGAATGTTGGAGGTTCTGGTGTTAAGGATTGTGAGTGTGAGCAACTCAAGGCTGATGGCTTCTGCCCAGCCAATATCTTGCCCATCAGACTTCCAATTGGGTCTGAGGGTCCATGCTCTCCAATGACCTTGTAGCATGATTCTGATCCCTGTTGATGAGCTCACATCAGAGAAGGTGAGGAGATCCACGATGGGTTGTGGGATGGGGAGGGGGGAGGGAATGATTGGAGGACTTAGCTTTGCATGCCACCATTTTAGGTTGTCTGCAGTGCCACTGGGTGGTGTTCTGGGCTTGAAAGGTTCATCTCTGAAGATACCCAGCATTGCCTCAAGGTTTATTATGTAGGGCCATCCTTTGGGATAAACTAGGGTTGCATGTATGAGTTTGCCATGGAGCTTCTGGACTTCTTTGAGGTTTTTTTAATTTTTTATTAATTCTGTATTAAAGTGCTTGAGGATGCATTTGTCCTATGCTGCACTATTCTAACAAGGCTTAATGACTAAGTAGGGCCCCCTGTGGCCCACCTTTCCCTACAAATGAGTGAATGCCCTGCTGGCAGGGTCATCAACCCCCCAGCAGTCTGCCATTCCCACTGGCCATTTTAGACACTCCATCTTGGAGTAGGGATGGCTACAGTCATTGGCTAGTCATTTAGTTTCTATCTACACTGAACTGGCAGCCATTAGGTCAGCTGGTGTGATGGGAAACATGTTCTCCTCTGTCCATTTGTTTAGGATCTGTCTTGTAGGTTTTTGGTGCTGGGATGGTGAGAGTTGCATGGGGGGTGGATGTGGGAACATGTTTGCTGAACTCCACTGGTGTGAGTCAAAGTGTGGAAAGGTGGTGAAAACCAACCAAAACCAACACCAAAGACAAATATGAGTGAGTGGTGGTTTACCTCCACAGAACCTGGAGGGCAGAGAAGCCTAAAGTGGGGGAAATTTCAATGGGAGGTGCTCCTAGTGCAAGTCAACAACAAGTTATGCAGGAGAAGATGAATGAATGCTGATTGAGAAGGGGATGCTGAACAGAGTGAAGGTGTTCAGCCAAAAGTATTTGGGAGTAATGGCCTTTGATAGAATATGCTCCTGGCACAAGTCGATGATGAGTTATGCAGGAGTGGATGGATGACTAAGCAGACTTGCTGACTAAGTGTGGATGAAGCTTCAGATAATGATGGAGGTAGATAGACCCCTTTGTAGAGCCTCAACTACCAATGATATGATAGACAGATAGACTCTTCCAAATGAGCCTCAACTGTTGACAATGAGTTATGCTGAGCTGAGCTGAACTGACTGCTGAGTGAATGGCTTCTGGTTCACTGGAGGTGTAGCTAAGTACATGGGGGTTTATATACTGTGGGGGGAGTGCAGCTTGTGACAAACAAGGCACAAACACTTGGTAAGTAATGAGTAAGGACTGAGTAATCATGATGAGTAAGCAAGAAATGAAAAGTAAGCAAGCAAAGAAGATTGGTAAGTATTGGCAATAAATGAGTCAAGGACAGTCAAAATATCACAGAATGAGTCAAATGGAGTCAGAAACTGAGTAAGCACACTGATATCACATTAGGGGGTGGTGATGCAAGTCAGATCTCAGCAGAGACATCTCTAGACCCAAAGATGGCATGACAGATGGACAGTGTTTCCAGATAGGGAAGTATTAATTCCAGAATTGAAGGGCATGAGTCAGGTGTCAAAGGGGCTAGGGCATTGGGGGTCTGTGGGGCAATGGGAGCATAAGTGATCATGTCTCCCACCCTTTCATCCTCTCAGTGAAGTTGACAAAAGCTTCATGAATGGGGCTCTGACAGAGGAGGAGGAGAAGGGGGGACATCTTCTGCTGGAAGAATGATGGACAAGATTGGAATAAAGACAGTGCAGGGAGCAGGGAGGAATGATCCATATGCTTCATCAAGAGGGGAGACCAAAACAACCACATAAGACCTTTCTAACCAAGTGACAGACCTGAGGCAATCAAAGAACATCCTTCTGGAAGTCATACTGACAAGGAGAACATGCTGACCAAGCTGCATGGGATGAGATGGGGCTGACAACAATGGGATGAACCAGGGGGCTTCAGGACAGAAGCTGGTGGGAATGCCTGGCAGATATATGTAGCCACTGTCTCTGGCAAATGAGACAAGCAAGATGATCAATGAAGAGGTGGCCATGATTGATGGACTTAGTGAAATGAGCATCTGATGGATGGAGTGCTGTAGAAACATGCAGGGTGTGAGGATCCTCTCCAAATTTGGAAGGCAGAACTGCATGGCTGAGCACTTTAAGCAAGTGTGAGAATGGAGTCAATATCTTCAGAAATGGTGGAGATACAATGAAAACTGGAATGCCATACACAGGCACTAAAAACCTTTAATGCATGCTTAACTCACTTCCTTTTTTCTCTTTAGCACTGACAACTCATTCTTGTGTGAAGGATGACTGTTAACATCCAGCAGTCTTTCTACACATGAGGCCTTTAGTCTTCATCTGCATGGCATGGGCATTGCATGCAACTTGTCGACAAGTTAGGCAGAGTCAGCTGTAACCATGTCCACAACACCCTTGGTGTGTGACACCAGTGGGAGAGGAGTTGTGGGTAATGGATAGTGGTGGGGTGTGTGATATGGTTGAAGCAAGGGTGTGGATGTGATTGTAGAGTATATGTGGCAGGGGGCACATTCTTTGAGGTTGTGTGTGCACTTGGCATTCCATGTGTCAATTGTGAGGATGTATTTGAGGCACTTCAATTTGGTTAGTTGAATGGTGTGGTTGACCAGGTCCCAGGTGAAGCCTATGAAAGTGGGTCTTGTGGAGAAGGGGACATCCTTGGATGCCTCCCATGGGATGCCCAGTTGCTGGGATATGTGGTCAATGTCCTCAATGTTGTAGGTGAATTGGTAGTCTTCAGCCAATCTTGGGGATGAGTGCACCAAGTCTTTGATGGGTTGAGTATAGTCTTCATCATGCTCTTCAGATTGGCTGTCTGGGAGGGGAGCACCAGTGAACCAGTGCTGACCTCCTTTGACTACCCTACCTTCACCAGAGGCAATGGCTGAAGCAATCTTGCTACACTCTAGGTTAAACATTTGGAGTGCATGTCTCAGTATGCAAAGGAAAAAGTGATCATCTACCCACTTAGTATTGGGCCTATGCCATGGGATCTCATGATATTGGTGCCTGCAGAACCAATGTTGCCATAAATGCCACCAGACACAGCAAAACCAAAGCACAGGGATGTATCTACAGTGAAAAGACTCTGAAATTTGGACTACTAGCATGTGCCACTGTGAAGGATGGATGGGAACTGTACAGTGTGCTTCAGAAACATCCCTGACTGCACCCTGGGATCCTGGAGGTAGGTGCAAAATGAGCACTGCTACTATGGGAAATATACTGTATAATGTTGGGTATAGATTGGTGTTGATGTACAAATTAATGGAGGGAGGGGATGAAGAGGGAGGGTGCAGGAAGGATAGGTTCTGGATGAGATGGTAGTGACCTGGTCTGCCTGGTTTGGGTATGATGGAGATAGGGGATGATTGGAAGTGGCCAAGGTTGCTCTGGATCTCTGACATGGTGTATGGACTGAGGTATCTACCTTTGGTGAACTCTTTATGTACAGCTTTGCTGAATGCTGCTTGGTGCTCTAGGGTGGTGTGGCTGTTTGGCAGGGTGTATGTACATGGGAGGGAGGGTATTTTGGTGGAGAAGCCATGATGCATGCCTTGGACAATGTTTGTATAGTGATTTAATAAGCTGCAGGATGCAAGGGTTGTGTGCCATGCCTCAGGTTTGTAGGGGGTTAGTGCTTGTGTGCTTCTGCATGCAATGACATTGCTGAGCTCCATGTTTGCAACTCCTGCACCCCAAGCACTTGTGTTTGACAGATTTGTGTGAGAGACCACAGCCATTGGGTTTTTGCCAATTGCTGCATAGGACATGCCCTTTGCCATTGATGACACAGCCTTCCATGGTGCACCTAGCATGCACAGGAGAGCCATCCCATGGGCTGGGGTTGTTGCATTCATGGATCTGGTGGGGGTGGTGCCCAAGGCATATGGGGCATGCTGATTTCGGTTGGGGTGGGGGTCCTGGGGACTGTTTGTGGGAAGGGGGTGAGGCATTCAATGTTTTGAATGGTGGGGATTGGGGTTGTTGGCAAAATCAGGGTCTGGGGGATTGGGAGCACAAGTCATGACTCCATGATGTCTGAGGCTCTGCTTGCTGCTGGTAGTAGCATCATGATTGTCTGGACTGTGGGGGTGAAGCTGGGTTCAACTTGAAGAAAGCTTCAACCCTGTGGTGAGGGGAGCAGGGTAGGGTGAGTGTGGTGTCGAAGAGGTGATGAAGGTCACAGGTAGGATGAAACATCAATGGGGCATGGCCACACCATCAGGAGGAAAGGGAGAGGGGTTGTGGTGTTGTTGGTGGACAGGGGGAATGGGGGGGGGGTTGGGAGGTGGTGCAATGTTGGGTAGAGTGGGAGGGTGATAAGGTAGTCAGCTTTGTGTGCTGTATGTGATCATCGAGATGACTGACCTTCAAGCTAGCCACTTCTGGGCTGCAATGTTTACTTCAAATGCTATGCTGATGATGGAAATGTCAAATACATGGCCATTGTTTGCTTTTAGTTTGTTGTGCCACTGATGGCAGACCTGGGAAGTGTAGCATAGGACTATAGCATCACCATTTGTGGTGGAATGCTGGGGGTGGCTATTGAGATTCCAGAAAAACATGGCAAGGGCATTAATGTGCTTCTTGGGCCAAGGGACCATTTTTATGTGGTGCAGGAAGGATACCCTAGCTTGTAGGAATTTGCTGAAGTTCAGGTTGTGGTCTGTGCAAGCATTTTGTGATGCCTTGACTGAGGCTACTGGCCTGAGGGTGAGTAGGTCATTGGTACTAGAGATTCCAAAGGTGTCATTGGCATTCAACCTTGCATGTTTTGCCACATCATTACAACCTTCTGGGGAGAAATACCAGAGTTCAATGTAGTCACAGGATGCAAGCTTGTTAGGTGGCATATTGGGAGGGCTTGTTAACTAGGACACTAGGGGGTGGTCATCCAACAGTGAAGTTGGCCATTTGTGGTTTCTTGTGTTCTGTGTCATGGCATTCATTGTTCTGGCCCTCTTTGTCTGGTCTGGGCACTGGGTCTGGGTCTTGCCCACACTGGTTTTCCCTTTGTTGTGCTTCTTCCTCCTCAGCTCAGCACCAGGCATTCCATTTGTCAACTCTGTGTTGATGATCATTGTCCCACACTGTGCAGAGGCAAGCTACAGCTTGTTCCAAGTTGAGGTCAAGAGTAGCCATCATCACTTCTTGAATGGATCTTGTGAAAAGCAGCTGACTCAAAATTCAGGCACTCCTCGAGGTTGGGATCTGCCATGATTGGTTGTGCCTGTGAAAAAGGGAAAGTGGTGAGAAAGGAGTGACTACGAGTTGGACGAAATGAGTGTGGTTGGTGAGGCTGCAACGACGAGGGGCAGCTAGCAAGGTGGTGGCACGGAAGAAAGAGAAAACGTGCCGCTTACCTAACGCTGGTCCAAAGACTAACCTCCGTGACTCGCTCGTGCCTCCCCGCGTCGCAGAGTCACACTTAACCCGAGTTGACTGGTCCTGTCCACGATGGACAACAGCGACATCTTGACCAGCACGTCCACCTTACGGGTCTCGAATGCATAACGAACTTGTGCTAAATGAAGCCTTTGAAGCTTGAAGCTCCGCGTTCTTTCGAGTGCTCCAAACATCGCATTTTATGCTATCATCGTCATCACAGTACGATCGTTCACGTTCAGTCACGGTGCACACATACTTTGTGGCATTGGTGCTTCAGCTATATACATAACTGTACGGATCTTATGCTGGACTTTCCCGGTAGAGGCTTCGTGGCGATGACACTGGAGGGGCATAACGAAGAACGACTGCGGACGTGGGCATTCAGGACCGGAAAAGTTGTCTCAGCGGTGGCTTATGGAAAGGCGCTAGGTCTTTACCCCTTTTCTGATGGCGTCGTGGCAGTGAAACTCGATCAACGTACCTTTTCCGCTCACTTCCATCTACAGCTGATGAGGAATCACCTGCAGCGCGAGCTTCAACCTATCCTTAACAGGTTCAAGTCCCTCTATAATGGAGCGAGAACTTCTACCTTCTCCACAATAACTTATGCCCCGTCACGGCCCCCTCGGCTTGGATAGTGCCGCCGTGGCCCCAGCAGAGGTCGCGGCTGTGCCAGCTAGTTCTCCTAGTCGAAACCGGTCGTCAGTTGTCGGAAACTCTATGTTCCTAACCCCACTCAAGACTGCACCGCTCAACCAGTGGATTGTTTTTTTGTCGACGTTAGAGCACTTGCAAGCCCAACGGTGAACAAAGGCGACGGGCATGCCGTCGTCAGTAACGTGGGTGGTTCCGTCGAAAATGAGGCTAGTTAATAACGGCGTACAGTTTAGGTTGACCTGATCGTCGATTTGATCTCCGTTGTGAGTAAATCAATAACTCCCTGTCCTTGTGTTCTCTTGGCTGCAGGTTAATGAAAGACAACCACGACGAACACCAGCAAATAGATTCGCTGCTGGAGTCTGAATACTTCATTCGTCATACATATGCCTGTCACCACCACACCTTCTTGGCTTGGTGTAGTATGCTTTTTAGGGCTATAAATTTGAATGGTTTGGTTCTGGGCCCCGTTTTTCCATCCTCATGCCCTACGTTTTCGATCGTCCAGGTCTGTCCGTACTGTGTTTTTGTGTCTTGAGGCCCTGGTCTTGGCACTTGTCACCTCTCTTAGTGTACTCGTATTAGCATTGCCTCGCGCCCGCCGTATTTGGGTATAAACGTGTCTCGTCTCTAATGCCTGACCCGTTGGATTCACGGACTCCACGTACGTCCTACAGGTACGTATACACATCCGTATAGTACAGTGCGTGTAGTCTTTTTGGCGATCTCTGGCTGCGGACCAAGCCGCCTCGCTTGAAGTGACACACATAGCTATCTCCTTCAAGGGCTGGTCTAGTCTGCGATCGGCGGACATAGTCACCATAGCTCCTACGTTCGGTACGAATCTGTCCAAGAACCTGTTGACGTTGTAAAGGGGAACCAGCCCGTTGGATTGATGAGCTTGCACATATTATTCGCTGCGTCGACGAATGTGCGACTAGGGTGGCTGGACAACAAGCGCATGCCATGTACATTAAAACGGTAGGAATGCGGCAGCTACTCTAAAGCCCCGTTGGAACCGTCGTCGGATGAGTTGAGGAGGCCGAGTACATAGGTGTATTTTAAGATCAGGGTCATGCTGCCTCGCTCGCGGACATGGAGACTACCAATGGCAAGGGCGAAGAATCGTACAAAAAAGGCTGAACCTTACCAGACCTACCCAGCTATGGTCAATTGGACACCCCTGCGTCTTTACACACGACTGTCTTTGGGAACCCTGATTATTGGTATCACCAAGGTCAGTGGAGAGGAAAGGCAATTTCGGTTTGACCCCTCTTCATTCTGGGAGGACTGGGAGGGAACTTCGGTTACTGTGGGTTTTTGGCAGCATCTCGCCAGTTGTGATTTTACATCATGTCGCGGTCTCAATCCTAGATCCCTCAGAGCAATCGTGCGCAACGAGAAAAAAAAGTGAAGAACCTGCGCTTGGCGTTGGGAGTACAAGCCGCCGCGTCGGAGAACACGGAGCTGTGTCACTGCAGCTTCCATTCCCTGAGGTTAAATCGAAAAATATCAAGGATGGGTTACTCATGGCAGTGCCACGCGCTGACGTTCCGAGCCTTGAAGCAACCTCAAAAATGCGAATTATTATTATTACTTTTCGAATATTTTCTTCATCTCCGCGTCCTCGAATATTTCGTGGCGACGCTGTCTCGGACCTTGTATGGGAAAGATGAATATTCCCACTGAAATCCTCGACATCGGGCCATCAGCGTAAAAACGTTAACAGGAGTCAATCAAGCTAAACGAACCGCATCCGGACCGCCAAGTTCTGGGGGGATCAATCTGGGTTGATTGCACAACATGACAAGTCAGGCTAAGATTTATACAAAAACTGATCACCAGCGGGTCACGCTTCTGCCATGACTTCACCGCTGTGCATTCCTGACACTTAGAGAGTGGGTGAAATATCTGATTAACATCCAACTCGTACCTGTACGGTCGCCGCGAGGTCCGGGAGCCTAGTTGGGAATCATGTGTAGGCTGCCATGGAACGGAGGAAATGCTTCCACCCGGTGTGACCTACACAGAACTGATCAACTAGGGGGGATGGCTGAAGGGTCACGAAAGGAAAAACCCGGACAATAGCTGCATGGAGTGCCACGAGTCGCGGATCCAGGATTATCACAGCTGAATCCATGCTTATCATGTACACAACGTGGCAAAAGGATTAGGTCGTCACCCGGCTCAAAAAAGAGGTTCAGATTTGCTCATCTTATTTTTGGCGATAACGAAGATTGCCTGCCTCGAGGCTTTATATCGGGACGACGAGCGTTCTTTGCGTGGGGAGTGGCAGTGGCATTATGAATTACACGTTGGTCAACGCAGGGTGTATGGTCCCACTGGCAAAATCTGTGAGGCTTGCGATATGCACAGACTGCAGCGAAGTATTTCTGCTACAGCATTCGACAGCTTCTAGGGAGGGCTGTAGTGGAGGTGGGATTACTTTATGCAAGGCAAAAGGAAGTATTCGTCAGCTGGTGTGAGTGAATCGCCAACATATCATGCAGTCGCAAACTTTTCCGCAACACGATATCCGCTTGCAGATCGAGTACCTACACCCCCCTGCTGTCGGGGGGCATGTGGCACCTTCTCGAACCCTCACCTGTGGATGTCAGATGTGTAGGCACCAACGCGATTGACTGGTGAACGCGACGGCGCGGAAACGGGTGGAGACTCGTTCCTGGAGTCCTGGACATTGGCCGCCTTGAATCTGGGAACAACTTACACTGCAGTCTAGGATGACATTTGTAGGGAAATTGCGGACCAACTTCAGCAGATGTTAAACTCAAAACAGCCTGTTTCATATTGCTCGACACTACTCCACGGACGGCCTCCGTTCCCGGTGTATGGTTTCAGTAGGGATCTTGCCATGTGCCAATCAGAAAGTCTCGATTTCCGAACTAGCACTGCATGAGACGCCAGTGAGCGGCTCGCGGCACGCTCAATGCCCGTTTCAAGTTAGGCGGATGCAGTGAGGACTCACCCCATCAGAAGCTCCAATCCGAACGTCCACGTGCACCAGTGGCCGCCGTGTTCTGTGTACTACAACCCCTGTGGCGATGTCGTGTGGGTAATCGGTATAATACTGGCAATGGCCCGGGCTGCGAACTTGATGTGTGCGCGGCCGTGTGACTCGCTCAGACGATGGCACATTGCTCAACAGCAAGTACCCACCTCGGAGTGCTACCACGCAGATAGCATTAAATATAGCATGTCTGATAGGCATGATGCATGATGGTGATAGGATGCTCACGATCAGAGCGGTAGAAGTGACCTGTCCAACCGACATCTACATATCTACAAAGAGGTATGTGTGTGAATGTGCGGATGATTGCAAGTGTATAAACAAGGGAGTGTTACATATGGAAGAGGAGTGTAGCGCAAAGGTTGCTTCAGGGCAGGAAAATATTTAGAAGTAGTTGATCAATGGAGCAATTCCAAGAAGCGGCGTCAAGCCAATTGTCAGGTATCAACAGAATAATCCGCGCCACCATAGGACGAACCTCGTCCACCAATGCCCTCTGTACCCCTCGCTTCGACGCTTGGAGCTAATCCACATTGTACCTGTACCGAAGCGTATTTCCTTACCCTCTCCTCTCCCGTCCTCTCCTTCTTCGATGTCAGTGGCGCGAGGATTCTTCGATACAGGGAAACGTGGCAACGGTCGTCGAGTGATAAAGGATGGGAAGACGGTTAGTAAGGACAGGTACTCCGGGTTAGATAGGTCAGGTGCTGTCCAGGTGCGCATGTGTACCTCGGACTCTCCCATCTCCAACTCGGATCGCAAAGGTGGCAGTGGTATCGGGACTTCCCCATCTTCCTCCACTTGTTCATTCAAGACAACCGGTGAGGCTCGCTCCTCATATCCTGAAGGAAGATGGGGAGCAGTCGTGCTAGATGACTGGGTCGACGCGGAATGTGACAGAGCGGGCATGTCCAGAAATGGATCGCTCGGTGCTCGTGTGCGCTTTGCTTTGGGCGCTCACAGTGGTGGGTGTTACCTGCGTATTGGTGCCCAAGGGTAAAAATTGGGACAGAAAAGCATGGCCGGTTGGTGACTGATACCCAGAGCCGCTCCTGCTGTTTGCAGAAGGGGAATCCTCAAATGCAAGCACCTGTTACGCGAAAAATACTCAAACTCAAACACACCAGGAATTTCGTAAGGTGAAAACACCTACCCCTTTGAGTACATCGATAGCATCGAGCATGAAATCTTTGCCACTGCGTGAGAAAGAAGGTTGACATCAGGCGTAACGTTCTCGAAGAGTAGACGGAAAAAGAGGGGCCCCCTCGGCCAACAGTAGAAATGACCAGAGCCATAGATGGGAACACGCACGCTGCCTCTTTGAACACGGCATCATCAAACTCCCATCGAATGCGATACGGCCCTGCACCCCCAAGATCTTCAGGAAGTACCTGCAATCGCATGATTGCCCACAGGGACTCAAAGAAAGGCTTTGTGCCTGGCATGCCCATGGTACACCACGTCCTCATAAACCTATCCAATCTATCAAAGCGCTCCTTCTTTGCCTCGGGGCCGGTCGGATTCGCTCGCGAATGGGGCATCAAAGAACCACCTGGTTGCGTTGCAGTGAGATGTGCCTGAAACTCAGCATGTCGCCGTGCGTTCACGCTTGCATGGTACGCTGAGCGCACGGAGGCTTGCAGTCGCGAGTATGGAGCACGTTGCGCAGGTTTAAGGTTTGTAAGAACTTGGGTCATCTGACGCCCTGACGCCTCATCCTGGTCAAAGTACCTGTCACGCACAAAACCACACAAAGAATTAACAGCGTTCAAAGAACAAATCGAAAGAGTATGAGTGATGTCTACCATGCACGACAATATTCAGCAAACTGCTCTAGGTCGCTGCGAGATACGCCAAGTGGAGTGCTCGATCGATTTCGAGCGGACGGTGGAGGCGTTGGTCCCGGGCGACCGCTCCGACGTCCTCTGGATCTACCAGCGGAGAATGTCGGTGATGTGGGTGACGTGAAGTCAGATTTCGCTTTTGGGCTATTGGGTGGCGATGTGACGGATGAGGGAAGGTCATAAAGGAGCGTTTGTGAATTTCCATTGGAGCTGGGTACCGAGGAAGCTTTGAGCAAGCGCAATGGCGGCGGCGGCGGACGTGCCCGTGGGGTTTCTAACCGGTAAACAGATCCTGACATGATTTTCTAAATTCTGCTCGAACGCGGTGGCTAAGGGGGGGGTTAGTTTTGGTTCAGAGGGGTAAGACAGAAGGATAAAACAATTGGGGCACTGAGAGTGGGGGGACGACGTCCGCGGGAGGGCTGCCAAATGTTCCCAGAATTGCTGTGAGAGAACACAGCTGGCGACGAGGAGTTCCAGGACGTCCAAGTGAGCCAACTGAGATTGTGGTCGTGGGATGGTCTGACGAGGAGCCTTACTGCGTTGCAACGACCGCCTGCCACCAGGCAAATGTGCACTACCATATTTGGTAACAATCCCGCCAACATACTTGGCAATAATATAGGATCTGTGGACGTGCCGGCCCGTCTACGTACACACAACGAAAGGTCCCTTTCGTGGTCGAGCACTGGGTGACAATGGAGGGGAATGTGCTACTAACTTAGAGTCAGATATCAGGCTTACTCTCCCGCCCTCACCACCTTGTCTACCGGAGGAAACGTGCGTCTTAAATACTCTCCGACTAGACATCGGATGGACGCCCAGGCTGCGGACTCCCTTTCTGTTACTCGGCGTTCCTGCTTAGTTGGCCCCTCTCACGTGAATGCTTATGCATCATATCATACTCCTGCATGTCACCAACACTCACCTGACCAAGCCACGGTCCGTTTTGGAGCATTGAATACTGATGACCCTGCGCAGGCCGTTGGCTGTCCTAGGAGTACTAGCACCACAGCAGCAGCTTCGTGGCTATGTGAGCGCACCTTTCCCGCGTGTCTCTACATTACCATCTCGAAGATGATCATTAATTTGGCTTACCGTGACGAAGCGACTTACGGCCCGGTGCGCCTTGCTCGTGTCATTCATCTCATTTGTTCTCGGTGAAGCCAGCCACACAGCTCCAAAAAATGGACGGTTGATTAGAGAGATGCGATACTCGTGTTCGCAAGGATCTCCGATTCCTACCGTCTAGTTTTACCTTCTCTACGTAACGCAATGTACTCTGACGTCTCGAGCCTTCCTTGCCATTGCCATCGGTCCCTTCGACCGAAAGCAATGCACAGCCTCTGTACAGCAATCCAGCCCTCCCCCTTGCGGTCGGTTAACTTTAGACTACATCATCAATAGAGGACATCATGTTCGCGTCAGTTTGGAGTGGCCCGTGAAGAAATGGAAGATGAGGGCTTTCAAGAGAAGATCCCGGCGCCGCGGCACAAGTGGGTGAAAGTAGGTGGATCGCACCTGACGTTGTCATTACACAAACAATTGCCGCAGTCACTGATCAGTTAGCAGCACGCAATCCATGTCCTGTGCAGCGCGGAATCCGAGGGAGAGCCCTCCTGCGGTCTCATCCTTCTTAATAGAGTTTCGTCCGTTAGTAAAAGGCTGATATCGTAAATAGGGGCTGTGCAACTTGCTGATGCGGTCAGTGTGGTTAACTTCGCGTTGATCGCGGAGGGCGCCGCTGGTATTCAAGGCAATTAGCAGACAAGGTGAAGTAGTCATTTCGACAAGTAGCTAATGCGGCCTTCTTTTCTTTTAAGAGAGGTAGGCGTACACGCATGCAACTTAGCCTCGTTTGCTGTCCCATAACAAGAAGGGCACTTTGTCATCCAGGGCCGAAGAACGCGAGAACAAGACGTAACGCATTCCCACTTGGACCACCAAATCTGCGATCGTTCTTGTGCCACCAGTGGCATGGAGGTTGTCGCTACTAGATACTGGCCTGATTTATTCCATTGTACAATTGATGCATCTCGCGGATGATGGCTGGCCTTTCGTAGGGGTTAGCAATTGGCCTCCTCCGTACATATCTTACTCGTGAATGGCACGCTACCCAGAGACTCTGCGATATTAAATGTAGGGTTGATCGACACGAAGAAAAAAAAAATTCTTCCGAGGACGTTTGTACTTAGATCTGCACTAGAGGAATCAAACGAAGCGTGTGAATGAACCAGCGATAACAGTGGGCTGTGATAACGATGAAGAGGGGGACAGGTTATCGTAATGGACATGGGGCCCGCAGTGGACAACTTGATGCCTGCCGGTCACTATCAAGATCAGATTTGACATTTATTGTGGCTTATTTGCTTCCGGCGTCCCTTACAACGGCAAGCTTGGTTAGGCACAAAATATTAAATATGGCTCCACTGCTTACTGGTGTGGTTGCGATCAGCTCTGCATGTTAAGAAGGTACCAGAATCGCATGTTCGTCATCCCGAAAACTCACCAATGACGACTTATCGATGTCGAACATAAAATCTGCAAGCGGGAATTATGATCCTGCATATTAGAGGTCTAGGAGAATATCAATGAAATATTGCGACGGGGGAAATTCGCTACCTTTCGCAAAATATTATATTCCCCTGTCGTGATGCAGTTTTTTTTTCCCTCGACACGAAAACGTGCGATTTTCGGGACAGTGGACCAGAGTCACAGACACGGGAAAACCTCAGTGGGTGACTAAGGGGATGGCATTGGTAGAGATCTACAAGCCAAAATGACAATGCAGAAAAGTAAACTCACCCAAAGCCACAAGGTCAGTCTGGGATACCCAATCGGGAAAACAAGTTTTGGAACGGGTCCAGTCAGGTTCAAGATTATGGCAATTCTGATAGGCTGGTGAGAGAAAAGCTAAATGTCGGGTCGCAAAGGGAGGCCTAGAATTCATACGGTAGATAGGCTCAGAACAACCAGAGGGACAGTGATAGCACGCGGAAGCTTTTCCAATCATGAAATGAGCGCTCGCCCGCCGTGGTGTTGGCCGTAAATAGAGTTGGATGGATGTGTCAATCCACGAGGGTATAAAGGAGAGCGAGTTCTTAACCACAGCAGATTTCTGGTGGTAGATTCAAGCTTGTCCGACCCTCCATAAGTTGTGTGTGGCACGCACTTCCCTGCAGGGGACAAGCATACAACGTACACATCGAACAGCTTATTCTCCGCAGCCTCTTAGACCGCTTAAAGCCTCGCATCACATCTCCCAGTAAAACGCGTCCCCTCCTCCATCCCCCCCTTCTCAATCTGCTGCATAGACATTTATAAACGACTGCAGCGGCAAGTACATGACATTCGACATGGACCTGACATGACTGACAATCGCACGTTCAGCAGTTTACGGCACAGTAATCGTGCTTGTCTGGCGGTAACATTTTGCCTTGTAAGTCGTTTGCGGACCCGTTGCAACTGTTTTTCGACCATCAGAGCTCATGGAACCCGTTTGGGATGTGACAGCGGCAAGTTCCGCAAGGCGACGAACCACACCGATCAGAGTTTAGTTTGCATGCTCGTCAGACATAACCAGGTCAAGACACCAAGCGGCTATTTCATTCCTTCCTTTCCCCCCCCTCAACCATCTCTCGGGTTTCCCACATACCCGTGGCTAGTTTGCGTCCTACCAACTAGCCCATGGATTTTGCCCCCGCAGCCTTGGCACACCAGTCATCGCATTCGTCGCCGTACCCGTTGGCGGATCTCGATCATACTTTGACCGCGCTCCATTCTGCCGATTCTGCTTCCAATTCCCATCATCATATCTCCCAGTCGATCCCTACCCAGAGTTTTGATCATACTGACCCAATGGACGTTCCTGACCACCCGTCATACGATATCTTCTCCCCCAATGGCAGTTTGTTTGCCTCGTCCCGGTACCGCACCAATTCCTCGTCCTCGTCCTCCCTACCACCCTCCTACAACATGCAGACTGATTCCATCTACCCTCCCACGTTTCCTGACTCAGTTCCCCATTTCGCGCAATCCAACAACAACTCATATGACATGATGACTAGTGTGCCCTCCTCGTATAGTGGCAGTTCAGGCAAAGTCTCCCCACTCACTCCAAGTGACCCCATGGCTGGCATTCAGCATTCTTCGGTCTTCCCCATTAGTGGACACCAGAAAGACTTCTCCAATGGACACTACTCAGATCTCTTGACGGAGCGCCGGATATCCAGCGTCAATGGGTCCAGCTACAATTCCGATTTTCCCGACGATTACGGGATGAGCAACAACAACAACTTCTCCACCCTGCAACCCTTCCAGGACCGCCTGCCACGCTTCCAGCCAGACACCCGTTTTTCGCACTCTTCTCTCCCTCCGAGTTCTATCCCCCCTCATGTTTCTCACAGCCCAGACGTCTACCGTACAGGCGTGGCGCCACAGGCCACCCATTCCTTCCGCCCTGACACTGGCCTTTCAAATTACGACGAGATTTCTCAATATTTTGGTCCGAATCCCCATGCGACATTGATGCCAAATATCGGAAGTGGTTTCCCTGGAATTAGACCGGGCCTGGGCTCTTCCAACGATTTGCAATCGTTTGTTCGGTAAGTAACTTCTTCCTGTATGATGGACCTTCGCATGTTTTGTTGAGCCTTGGCACCGATGCGACCGCAGTCCGTATCTCGACCAGTACGTTCGCGCCTCGAACCGTCTTGCGTTTGGTGAACGGACAGTCATCGTCATGTCAAGCAAGGTCGCCCAGAAGTCGTACGGGACTGAGAAGCGATTCTTGTGTCCCCCGCCTACCGCGATCATGATCGGCAACTCGTGGTGGACGGATGTCGTCCGCCGCGGGGAGGAGCCGAAGCTGTGTCCGCCACGTGTCACTATTTCAATTTCTGGCGAGCCCGCACCGCAGGAGGGCACTATTGAGTGGACATCCGCCTCTGGCAAAACTTTTGACGTCAACGACGCACCCACTGGCACAACTTACATTGGCCGGTGTGTCGGCAAGCAACTTTTCATATCAGACGTGGATGAGAAAAAGAAAAAGGTCGAGGCTCTCGCTAAAATCACTGCTCCCTCATCCGATGACGAGCTAGAACGTATCATCGGTACATTCCCCTCACGTCCCATAAAGGTTATTTCCAAACCGAGCAAAAAGAGGCAGAGTGCAAAAAACCTAGAACGTACGTTGTTTGATTTTGTCGATGATTCAACATCGCTAATCATCATGTACTGCCTTCTCGCCTAGTGTGTATAAACCATGGTTCGACTGTCTCACTTTTCCACCGCCTGCGGTCGCAGACGGTGTCGACCAAGTACCTTTGTGTATCTGGCTCTGGTTCGTCATTCAAGGGTTCAGACGGAGCTCCCCTGCTCGGAATCGACAACCGTTCACGGTCGAGCACACCTTCATTCATCGCTCGTACTGCTAGCTGGGATCCGTTCATCATGTACATCGTCGATGTCAATAAACCTACAGGAGGAATGGACATTCCGCCGCCGCCACCACCACCACCACAACCTGACTACCCATCTCCACCTCCAAATGCGATACCCTTCACCAACAACGGCTCACCCATCCCTGTTTATTACAACCAGACGGTCGTTTTGCAGTGCCTTGTGTCTGGTGTTGTGTCACCTGTGCTTATTATCCGCAAGGTGGACCACCAGACGACCGTGGTCGGTGGCGGTTTGCAGGAGGGTGCAAAGGGTGTCGCAGACCACTACTGCGCACCCGGAGAAGTCTGTGGGGATCCCGTTTCGCAATTGCACAAAGTTGCTTTTGAGGTGTATGATGCTACCAAGGGGGGGCCAGAGCTGGGGACACCAGGCGTAACCGGTGCTTTCCTGTCATGCATGGGCGAGAAAGTCAATACCTATAGACCTCTCGAAGGACGACAATGGAATGTATCTCCACCAGGCGGATCTACTTCACCGGTGCTTCCGGGTTCCCCGATGGTGTCAACTCCTGTGTCCATATCAGGGAGCGGGGATTATTTTGGGCCAGGCAGCGGGGCTACTGCGAGCGAACCCGCATCACCATCGTCGTCGAACGATTTTTCGAATGATGGTGGTAAGGTGAAAAGAGGGAAACGCTCCACGTCAAGTGCTGGGGGGATCACAAAGAACCCCGGTTCGAAAGGGCGACGGCGCCCGACTTCAGCGGGTTCGGCCTCAGGCCGGCGCGGGTCATCTAGTGATATGGGGGCGTCCTCGGGTGCGCTATGGCAGGTTGACATTGGTGAGACTAGTGTGTGGACGATCGTCGGCACTGGTATGTTGTTTGGTTTCAAAGTTTATGGATCGCTTCTGATCAGAAACACTGCGTAGATCAAGTGCGGTACAACTTCTACGTCCCGCCTGTGCTATTCGACAACCAGAACGCGCCACAAACAGGATCATTCCCGATTCCCTCGAAACCCGTGACACCTTTCCCAGTTGTGGTAAAATACCTTCCGCCCGACCGTGCCGCTGAAGCACCCAAAACAAATTGTTCGCAATCCCGAGGAGTTTTATCGAAGCCTAATCCACATCTGTCCAAGATGCTGACAGTGTACGGCGAGAACTTCCACAAGGGGGATCCCATTCACATCTTTTTTGGCTCGGAGCCCTCACCGTTTGTAGAGGTGAGGTGCACTGAGGTTTTAGGGTGTTTACCGCCCGAAAATCAGATTGCGAAGCGTCGACCGATTGTCATGGTTCGCTCGGATGGGGTTGTGTTCCCCTCAAATATTATGTACCCATAGCTACCCCTTTTCAACACTGGCCCCCCTCCCCATCCCAACTGTTGTCGCCTGGTATCGGCATCGGCCTTACATATCATCTGCCCAGCTCATACCTCATACCCCTTCATACCTCGCTGGTCGGGTGGTATTATCACCGGCACGGCGCTTGGCAGCCTGGTCCTGCCTCTGGTGGTATGGTCAATCAAGTGTGCACTTGTTTCCATATCCTGTCGGTTTGCTATCGTGTATACATTTCTCCCCCTTTGCGGACCCTTCGTCGTTGCTGATGTGGTGATTGTGATCTTCTGCGATTATGTGTAGCTCGTATCCTTGTATTATCTTCCATTTCATACACTGTTACCTTGACTGAATGGAATGTTTTTCTTTTTTCACTGCATGGACGTCGTTTGTGGGGTTTGACCGTTGATACACTTCAAGGGCCGCAGACGTGTCTGGTCATCAGGCCAGAACGGACAGGGGCGACGTCACTAGGATCGTGGGTAAATTCGCCAGATAACCCGCCAACAGGGGCAACGAGCTGACCTGGCAGGCCCTTTCGCTGTCTTCACCGCCGGAGAGCTTCGAATACTGTGCCTATCTTGATTGTTTGACAGACCAGCCTAACAGTGGGAATTATTAAAGTGTAAGCGCCTTTCTATTCTAGATGTCCATTTCGCCCCTTAAAGCTTAATTCTTTGCACTTTACCGCTTCCTTCATATTATTCATTTTGTTGTCGCTCACTGACGGTCTTACGGATATCGATCATGCATCAATTGCTCCGTGCCACCTGACCATATTACTATGGTGGTGCTTCTCCCGCTTTCTGGCGTCCGCTGCGCTTGTTATAGTGGACCAAAGAATACTTGGACGCGCCGCTCCTATTTTCCAGAGCCCCAAGCAGCCGAACAGTTCCCTGAAGACGACGGTGATCCGGCTTAAATTTGGTAAAAGGTCGTACAATTACTTTTCCGAGTTTAACAAAGCGGATTACTGACGCCAATCAGCGGCACGGCACATGCGGCCATGTTCTCACACGTCCCTGACATTCCATTCTCTTGGTCCGACATTCCACGGCTTACTTGGGACGCCTATATCGAGTGCCTATGGAATTATCAGCCTGAATCGTGGGTCGGAAGAATTGCCTCAACATTCCGAGTCCTTGCGGTTGTCGTTATTCTTCCGGTTGTCATATTAACCCTATTGGTACGTATTGATTTCGCTGGCTGCCTTCTGATCCGGGTTACTTGTTCCTTTATCCGTCAACGTTCTGCTGTCAACCTCACTAATCATTCTTTATTGACTTTCCACTGATTTTCGTGGAGAAACCACAAAGCTTCTTGAACAAGAGTGCTTCTCTTCGTCATGTGCTTTCCCCTGATTTCTGGATGTCAGCTGACCTGGCCCCTCAAAGGATGTTACATCCTACATAGTCGCACGTACACTTGGCATTCTTGACGATGTGAAAGCGTCCACAAGCGATGCTGCTGAGGATGCCACGATGTCTCCATCTGCCCCCAATATCCTCGTGCAGAACTCGCCTGTTCCTGATGAAGCCGGAGAGTATCATCCACGTGGTGCGAGTGATTCCGAGGGGCAGCGACACTCAGAAGCAAGTCGCGGCTGTGTTCGTAATGTCGGTGATGTGGACCGACTGGACGAGCATGGTGACCACGAGGTGCACGATCGGTCTAACCGCCCCGAGGGAGAATTAAGATCCCAAGCTTTCTTTGTCGGGGAAGAAGATTTGCAATTAGCGGGTGTGGGCGTGTTCTCCCCCGCGGCATCCCAGCCATCTTCCCCTGAACTTCCGCGAATGAAACTGAATACGTCGGAAGGTGGTATTGTCAAAGTGACAGAGGGACAGCCGGGTTCCTCCATTAGGAGGAGGCCTCGAGAACAGGAGGGTGGCGGAGGGAATTGAACGCAATGACTAATCACCGTAAGAGTTGAGACTATGGTTACAACCTATTTTATTTCAAACTGACAAACATATATGCATAAGGACAGCTGCAAAACGAACCTCGTCGGGGAGTATGCATATGCACTAAAGCTACAGGAGAGAGAAAACAAACGAGCGTTGGGGGCCCAATAAAGGGGTCAGTAAAAACGGAGTTGGTCCCGAGTGAACACGGGAGGCTTCCAGATTAGATATTCCGGGTGTATCCGTCTTCTGCGTTTGCTCCGAGTTTTCTCGTGCTTCTCTAGGACAGCGTCAGACAGGCAGATGATATGCTGACCCTTGTAGTGTTTGAACAGTTGCAGGGTCGTACATCTGTCAAGTTTGTGATGCTTAGTCGGTTCAGAAAGAAAATGGGGTGTCACTAACGTGTTCATGATATCGGCGTGTGTGATTGCGGTCTTCTGGGCGATGTCGTCGATACTGATGTCTTCCGTCGTGTTAAGTAGCACTTCTACAATAATTTCAGCCCAGTACGCTCTGTAGCTGAGCAGGCCAAGATCACTGAGCGGTTTCTCGGGACTGCCAAGTTTCGATTCCTTCTTGCTGAGTTCATAAGAAAACTCGATGAGGACCTTGCCGAAACCATGCCGTTGATACTGTGGTAACGTCAATATACAGGCAACATTATAATTTTCCGCGGACTCCTTTTCCTTTGAGAAGTAACCGATGATATGGCAGCCGCTGGAATCACGCTGGGTCTAACGGGAATAGGGCATGAGGAGCTAAAGGGGAGATAACTCAGTTCCAAAGACTTACCATCACGTAATACATGAAAGGGGTGACATCGTAGTATAGTGTTTTACTAAGAGCGTTAGATGAGAGTATGTCGATGAGCTGTGAGATGACACCTACTGATCGAGAAAACACTTTGATAACAAGCTGAGGTTTCTGCACCACGTTAGCTGGCGCTTGCCGTCGAGCTCAAAAAAGGAGATGTCCTCGTGTCGATAAATCTCGTTACCGGGCGGATGGAGTAAGGTGCACCTATACCGGTGCCGGCCAAGCATGAACGACGAGGAGAAGTAGGACAGACAGAACTCGCAGATGTACAAAACCGGGAGATACGCGTATTCCCTCGGATAAGGGCTGAAGTACCACGCATCCAACTCGTGCTTGCCAATTTGGAGGCGGTTGAGGTTTTTTACACGTGCGACTTCGGAGATGGATTGGGTCATGGAGCCCGACGTTCGAAGTTTCTCGATCTCCTGCTCCTTGCTGAAGGCAGTGACAGACGGAGGAGGTTCGGTGGGGGAAGCAACTAGGTCGAACGTCTCCCCCTCCAATTCACCTTCGGCATCCACGTCCATCTCGCCTTCTGCATCTAAATCCTCCTCTTCGGGTTCCTCTTCTTCCTCTTCCTCCTGTTCTTCTTGGAGGCTCTTACGCTTCAACGACGAGGCAGGGGACGGCGAGCGATACCCAGCCATTCCAACAGCTGGTCCTGGGGTAGAGAATGGCGTTGGAGAGGCGGCGGCGGCGGCGTTTGCCGTTGCTTTCTTCAGTAGCGACTGTGACCTGGGTGCTTTGCCTGGCGCTTTCTGTGCGCTAAGTCCGGTCTTCTTTCCTGGTAGTGGTTTAGGACGGGGCCATTCCAAGTCTTTGCTCAGGACTAGTCTTGAGCCGACGACCCACTCGTCCAAACGTTTGTTGAATTGATCCCAATGTACGAAGTACTCCCATCTGTCCTCTGGTTTGGGTGGCTCTTGGTCCTCCTCTTTGAGGTTTCCTGCCGTGGATGCACGCGAAAAGGAGTTCGCATGTTTGTCACGGATAGATAGGATTTCTGCCAGCCGTTCTTCCTCACCGCCATCTGGGGTTGGTCTCCGGACGTATAGTTTGCACCCCACGGAGACGGTCTGATGGAGAGATGATGAGCCAGCAGTGGCATGTGAGAAAAAGCCGCAAACCTGGATGGAATACGACCCTCCTGGAGTGATTGGGGCTGGTTCTTGGGAGCCTTCGTGGCTAGGATGAGTGGAGACCATGGGCGAAGGTGGTCCAGCGCAAGTCCAGCGCTGAGTCAGAGGGTGTGCTGACTAAGCACTCACTGCCACACCGGCATCTGATCGTCGCCCATATTGCATCCACAGTGCTACATATACATACGATGATGATAGCATTCTGCACGATCGTTCGCCAGTGGAGTGCACAGCAGATGAGAACTCTGCCCAGAAATGAAGAACACGCGTTTCCAGCGTTGTCGAGCGAGGCTGGCGTGACGCGTGACACGACAGGAGCTGGCATGTATATATAAGGAAATCTCGATTATCGTCTCGTCGCCTCGTCGCCTCGTCGCTCGCCTCCTCGCAGCTGCCGCCCTTTTGAAATGCAGTCCTCGTCCTCGCCCGACCAGCAAAACATCCAGCAAGACACCGTTTCTACACAAACACCAGGTCCTACTATACCCCTCGTCTCACAAAAACTGTCCCCTCGACAGGCTGCGGGCCATGGTTCATTCCCAAGAAACACGCTCAGCAGCATGCTTGCCAACAAACCAGGAAATCCGCCCATGCCGCGTTCTCTGGAGGCAAAGATGATAGAGGTGAGCACTTTATGCAGTGTCACTTTTTACTTCATGTTCAACGCTTTCCCCAGATGCTCAACCGCCGGCCTCCCCCGACAACCGGCGCCGCCTCTTTCTCAATCGACTCCGCCGCTCAGGCACTGCAACGAACCCACATTGGCGAAGCCGCCCACCCTCTTGTGCACCAACCTCAGTCATTTCCTCCGTCATCCTCCTCGCCTCGTGGCCGTAGTCCTGCCCCACCAAAACGGAACAAACCCGGTTTTACGCTATCAGACATTCATGGTGACGTAGGAGGAGGTGCCATCGGCGCCGGCCTGGGAGCAGGAAGGCCTTCACTGGCTGAATCCCCCCGGAGACCTTCCTCGACTTTTGATACCCCTTTCGCCAATTTTAACAAGATCGTGTACGTCTATTTGCTTGCTGTATCGATCCAATCTAGTCGCTCATGGCCCCTCAGTGACCCATCTGGCCGCCTCAATTTTTCCGGAAAAGCAGTTCTGCACGCTTCCGGCGTGGACTTCTCCAACGGCCCGTCCTTTGCCATTAACATGGGCCAGCTCGTCCTCAAGCAAGAACTCGGCCGGGGAAACTACGGAACCGTGAAAATGGTCCTTCACAAGCCAACGAATGTTGAAATGGCTATGAAGGTACGTCATTTGTAACAGATCTTGCACTCGTGGTCACAGTTCTGTTTTTGCCGGTCACAGGAGATACGGTTGGAATTGGACTCGACTAGGCTCAACGGAATCCTTATGGAACTTGACATCCTTCACCGCGCGATAAGCCCATGTATAGTTGAGTTCTACGGCGCGTTCTTCGTCGAATCCTGCGTGTACTACTGTATGGAGTACATGGATGGCGGCTCCCTGGCCTCCCTGTGCTGCTTCCCGAACGGGAATGTCTCCCTCCCACCTAGTCTGTCGTCCAGCCCTGGCTCTGCGTGGACATCAAGCCCCGCTCCAATCAACGACGAGCACCTGGCACGCATAGCATCATCAATGACGCGCGGCCTGGCCTTTCTGAAGGACAAACTCGGCGTTATGCATCGCGACGTGAAACCGACGAATGTTCTCGTGAACCGAAAAGGTCAAGTCAAGCTATGTGACTTTGGCGTCAGTGGCCAACTTGAGAAAAGCATTGCACGTACCAACGTTGGTTGTCAGAGCTACATGGCTGTGAGCGCTCTGACATGTTGCCATTGAGTCCTGCTCACTCAGCATTGTGACATCGTTCTAGCCCGAACGGATAAAGGGTTCTTCTCACAGCAACGTTGACGAATCATTTACTTCGTATTCTGTTAGTGCTGATGTTTGGTCACTTGGTCTCTCTATCGTGGAGATTGCGAGGGGAAAGTGGGTAACTTGGGCGTTCATCACTGCGCACATTACTCATCGCTCCGTCATAGATACCCCTATCCTCCTGAGACATATGAGAACGTGTTTGCGCAGCTCAGCGCTATTGTCGACGGCGAGGCCCCCGGACTCCCTGACGACGATGAAGAAGGCCCTGAAGAGGGCACGGATGGTATACTCGCCGTCGACGGTAAACGTAGCGGAAGGTGTTGGTCTTCCGAGGCCCGTCATTGGGTAAGTAGGTGCTTGGTGAAGAACGCAGACGAACGAGCCACATACGCTGAGCTTCTTGTGAGTGTACACCCAGATGAGACGACTCGAATTGACCTGAACATTTCGTAGGCTCATCCGTGGATGCAAATGGACTCAGAGCGGGATGTCGATATGGCTGGTTGGGTAGCACGTGCCGTCGAGTGGCGAGATCGAGGGCGGCGCAGCAATGGCTATCCACGATATGACTAAACCTGAAACACAACGAAAGGTTGTCTTTATCCCAGGAACACGGAAACCCTGCTAGTCCGAAGTGCCATTAGCAGAGCCACGCGTACTTACCTCGCCGTGTGGTCGGGCATTTTGCCGTGCTGAGCATTCGTGGCACACTACGCGCAGTATTCCGCGTGCTTCAAGTACTGCGCGCTAATACTCGTCCACTCGGCCGCGTGCTCCCATGTCTCAGCCCTGGAACGCGCGTTGCGGTGATTGGTTATGGCGAATTTCTTATGAGCCTGTTTACTTCGTCTCACTAACCTGGAATCGCGCTTCTTTCACGGCGTTCTCCACCCCTACTTACCAATTCGTCCACTCGTGACTCGAACATACACACGAATTACCACTTCGACCCTACCCACGAACAAGTCGTACTTCTATTTCTCACTCAACCTGTACACTTCCTTCACTACGACTCATCAGCGCTGGACGTTTGATACCCTTACTCGCACACGACCCCCCATATACCGTAGTCCCCCCCCCTCGGAAATGTTCATAATCAGCAGCCGCGATGTGATTTGGTAGTTCAGTTCTCGATGATACATAGTCTGTGGTGTTGAAAAGTCGCCGTGGTGGCCAAGTGATGTATTCCATTTATGTGGGTACTCGATCGTTCCGTCATCAAGTCCCTGCGTGGTTTCTGACAAGTTCGAAGCTAGTCATACAACTGAATGTCACCTAGTCTGGAATATCTTCATGGCAAGCCTCCGGATCATAGTATACATCCAACTGAAAGATCCACAAGCAGTCTTTTTTATATAAGTTATCGTTCCTGTTCTCACGGAATGCGGAATATTGCCAGTCGTGGTACGAATCGACGCACGTCCTAGCCAGGGCACGACGAGAAATAGAGCTCGAGGCCTCGCAACCCGCGATATTTCCGCTGCACGCGCTTTGCCTACGAGATGTCCGATCGAGGTAATTACAGTGTAGCGTAGCTAGATGTCATCATGATACATGTCCTTGTACGAGTTTTTCCAGTGTGGCCCCAGAAGCAATCTGAAACTCGTCGATGCCACTGCTCATCATCTTACCACCTTTCTTCGACATCCTTCCTTGTGTTCGGACAACCTCCTTCATCCGTGCTTCCGCGTTACCAGCCCGCTGAGAAAGGTGGAGGCTGCTGGATGTCGCGCGTATCGCGTTTGCTGCCCTGTCAGTTTTAGATTGAACTTTATCAGTAGCCTGGGCTCTTGACTTGGCCTTCCTATCGCTCCCCGTAATGCTCTTTGGGGCCTCCCGCAGCGCAAACGACTTCGCAAGATGTCCAATATGCAAATTCCGGACATGGAAGATGTGCTTCTCGTTCGCAGGGTGTGTCGCATACGCCCTCATGTGTGATAGGAAGGCCTTCCGTGCGAGTTCCGTATGCTGCAAACGGGATCACATCGTAAACATACGTAGAAATGACGACACATACCTCCTTTCGTCGCAGCACCCATCTTTCAAAAGCAAGCTGAACGTCGGTAGCACGCGACTCATACTCCGAACCTTTGCCACCGAGTCCTTTGGCAAGAAGGTCTTCCACACTGGTGCCCTCCAAGGTAACTTTCGTGCCCTGGGTATCTGACGATGAATCCTGAAGATTATGCCGCATCTTCTCCTGAACCCACTCGACCCACTCGGATTCGCTAGGCGCAACTAAACTCCATGATTCTCCTCCTTTCCCTGCCCGGGCTGTCCGACCAACACGATGCACATATTCCGTGACGCCACCTTCGGTGGGAAGGTCATATTGTATGACCGCTCGAACGAGAGGAAGATCGAGGCCGCGCGAGGCGACGGAGGTGCAGAGTAGTACAGATGATCTCGCGTGACATTTCCCTTTCGTCGACGAAAATCCGCGCAGAGACTCGAGTCGCATCGGAGTAGGCAGAGATCCATGCAACCGGAATATAAGTGTATCTGGTAGGAGCGGTGACCTCATTGCGACCTCTTCGCCTGCTAAATCAGATCCTGCGACTTTCTCCTCCCCGCCCGAATTGCCGCCCTCCGAGTCGGAATCATCACCGTTGGCATCATCCCCTCCCATCGACGTTCCTCCCAGCAGTTGCCAGTGGAAATCTACGGAATCGGTACAGCTCAGAAATACAATAACCTTACACCCCTCTTTTGCCTGATTCTGCGCAAGAACCGAACGGAGGAGGGCGACGAGAGTGACAAGCCGCAGCTTGAGAGGTGCCACAACGTATTTCTGAGCCAACTGGGATGGGGGAGTAAATTTGGTCGACCCCGCAGGCAGTCCGCCGCCGGCAGACACATTCTCCTCGGATCGTTGCTTATCATCAAAGGCGGTGATCATAGTCGGATTCATTAAAGCCGTCCCCGCGAGCTTCTGGACGTCATCTCGTATAGTTGCCGAGCAAAGGATCGTCCGCCTGCGCTGTTCCCAATCCCAACTACCGACTTCCAAACTCTTGCCCTCCTTCATAGCTTGTACGGCCAGCCTGCGCCGACCATCCAAACCCTGAATAATTCCCTGGATGGTCTTTTCAAATCCAAGCTCCATCAGGAGATCAGCTTCATCAAGTACTAGCCATCTGCATTTTCCCACGTTAAACGATGATGTATTCTGCAGGTGATCAAGCAGTCGTCCGGGTGTCGCCACGAGTATCGGGATACCTTTTCTCAGACGCGCTTTTTCGTGTGTTTTAGTAGCACCCCCTGATAGTAACCCGGACACAAGCCAGCGCGTGTACCGCACGGAATCTTCTGCCTCCTCTAACTCTGTTTCTGGGCGAAGTTTGAGTTTGAGGAGTGATTCGAGGACATTTGATATCTGTTTCGCAAGTTCTCTAGTAGGTGCAATGATGACTGCAAGTGTGCCAATGGAACGATCGATGTAGGAATGTGTGCTCAGCGGTAAAAGATCATGAATGATGGGCAGGAGGAACGAGAGGGTCTTGCCTGAACCTGTCTGTGATTGGATAAATAAATCTCTGTCAGCCAAGTCTGGGGAACGAGTGAATGCGGGAATGGCAGCGCGTTGAATAGAAGTTGGCTTCAAAACCCCCATTTTGTCCTCCAAGTGAGCAACGAGAAGTGGGTGAAGGCCGAGCTCAGCAAAACCTGAGGCGTTCGTTAAAGGTGCATTACTTGGCTTGTAAATTGCCTTTGGACCAGCCGTGGACGGCGGAATATCGATTTTTGGGTTGTGAGAGAACAGCGAGGATATGATCTGCGTTGATGGTTTTGACCGGCCGTCAGCAGGATTGACGACGGGATGGGGTTGTTTATCCAAATGCAACCGCTTCAGTGGGCGAGGAGACACGGCTTCGTCCTCGAAGTGGGACTCCTCATCCTCATGACTTTGAACAGCAGATTCAGCAGCTTTGGGTGTCCTAAGTTTGCGCTTAAGCACCCTCTTAGCCTTTACCCTATGTGCAAGGATGAGGTCAGCTTGTTGTAAGTTGTGAAGGTAATCACCTGTCCGTCCAGCGCCGCGATTTTTCTTTTGACACTGGTAACCTGAGTGACGTGGTCGTGTCCGCAGTGAGATTCAGCACCAGCCCATCGTCCATGGTGTGTGTTCCCCGCCCGCGTCCTCATCCAAGGATACAGGCATGCGAGAAAAAGGGAAAGAGTTCCCACAGTCCACATATTTACTCTTCAAAATTAGGGGCTACCACATTCGACTATATACTTGTTTTCGAAGCTTATATGTACACGTAAGTGTAGTTAGTCTTCGATGGTCAACGGAAATGCAAAAAGTGATGTGCACCATAACGTGCAACCAATGCATTCACCAGAACGAATCACACAACCAACGCATCATTGCCAGTCAGAGTTTAATATAGAGATCAACAGGACGATGAAAGCCTATACAGATGTTAGTGGTCGGCTAGGACGCGCGGAGGCTGCATACACACCTCCTTCTCCCACTGATCCTAAGTGTCGTGGTGGGCCAAATCCGATGTTTTGTAATATTGTCGGGAAGTTGCCTGGATGCAATTTCAGGTGCTTCGCGTTCTCTTTCAATTTTTCATCCAATCGCTTGGCTTTAGCGTATGTTTCCCAGGTCTGAGGCTCCAAGACCAAAGTTCCTCCAGCATTCAGACTCTCGTGCACTTTCCGGAAGAATTGTTTAATGCCATCGTCACCGTAGTTGAGATGGATCCACTTCGTGATCGAAAGACTGTAAGGTACCTCAGTATGCGACGAATTTCCTGCAGAACGACACCCTTACGCAATCACGATGTCATATCTTTCGCTGACAGGTTCAGCCAAGAAGTCTGCTGTGCGGAAGATGACATTGGTGGGGAAATGGCCCTCTTTTATGGTGTCAGTTGGAATCGGGAGAGATTCATGACTATGCTCGCAAGACGCGGGGAAATAGTAGTGGGAATGGCTGTCGGTAACGCGGTCTAGTTTGGATCGTTTAAATACTCCAGACGAATTGTCGTTTTCGTTCCGCTCCATTACATCCCGCCCAGGTGACTGCTGACTCCAGAGGCTACGCCGTCTTTTCCACGCACCACGAATGAGAGTCTCGTCGATATCAACGCCGATGACCCGTGCTGCACCCCAAATTTGACCTACCACGCAATAGATACTTAGAGGGACAAAAGTGCAGACGGCTAATCCCTACCGATTTCGCATGTCACCCAGCCTTCGTTGCAGCCGATATCGAGAACAGCCTTTCCCGTAAAAAATGACGGTGGTAAGAGCGACAGACGAGGATCGCGTACGAACGGCCGCTTGGAGTAGTAGCTGCAGAATGACGTTCGGATCGAAAGCAGTGATACCCGTTATTTAATGAACCCACCCATGATAATTCCCATACACCGGAGCAATGCTTGATGCCATGGACATCGCTGGCTACCGATATTTCTTGTACGCGATTTACATAGCGAAGGGCGGAACACAAGCTGTCGTCGCAGCTGTACCGAAGCGTAAGAGTTATTTGCTGACTAATATATTTTTTATACTTGATCGTGCCCTGAATAGATGATCGCGAACGATGACCTCTTTAAAATTCACTGTTGGACTCGCCGATGCTGGGGATTCCAAACACCGTGCTGCTAAGCGCGTTATCATTCATGCAGATGTCTTAAAGGTCTCTAAGTTGTGTTCCGGTGATGTTGTTGCTCTATGTCAAGTCGACAACACTGCAAACAAGGTGAGAGGAAACTAACGAAGCAAACTCATCACGAGTTTTGGTGGGTTGGCGTCGCTTTTGTTTTTAGTGCTGACTTAAGGTTAAACAGCACATTGCGGTTGGAGTTTTGTGGCAGTCTCTGGACATACCTCAAAATAGTAGGCATTCTTCTGGACGAGGCGACTGTCACTAACCTGTAGATAGGCATCCTCATATCTCGATCCCTTCTTCTTACGGCGCATGTAACAGAGGGTAGCCGGATCCAGATATTCCCCCTGTCAGGGAAGCCTACCGGTGGTACTACTAACTGGCTACCTTCACTGCAGAATGTCCGTGAGGCCAAATTCGTTCGCTTGAGGGAAATTCCGGCAGAAAATGCGGAAGGCCAATCTTGTCCAGTTCTGCTTGAAAGTCGAGGAGACAAAAAGCGTCGAGACTGGCTCGCATTATTCTTACGCGAACATCTTGGTAACGTACATACTTCTCAAATTCTTGTGCAGGGTTTTTAAATCACGCTGCAAAAAGTCGGATTGAAATTCTTGTTGACCACTCAAGTGGTAGAAGTTTTATATGAGGGAAATTTTCGAAGGTTCCGTGTCGAAACAGTCTCGGAAAAACCAAGCGCCGGCGGCATCATTTGCGCGCTATCGAATGACGTCGAACGCTTAACTGTCGGTCCAAAACTGCTCTGGCTGACGGGGTGGGACACCACTGTCCACATATTGGATGCAGAAAAAATTGACGCGGCTCCTCGTACCCGCCAGGTATGCTCCACTAAAACCGACTATCGGTTAATCACAAATATCTACACATTTACATGCAGCTCGCGGAGTCCCTCCATAACAACCCAGCACCCGACGCGTACGCTACGGTGGGCGGTCTGGACGAAACCATCCAGCAAATCAAGGACCTTATCGAGATACCATTAACAAGACCGCATCTCTTCGAGCATTTCGGTGAGTGATTTTCCGTTCTAGTGCTATCTCATTTCTGCTTCACGTTCTGCATCAGGTTTGAAACCACCACGTGGGATACTACTCCACGGGCCGCCTGGGACGGGCAAGACTCATCTAGCTCGTGCCATAGCCACGTCCACGAAATCATCAGTTTTGGTCATCAATGGACCAGAGTTGTCGTCAGCCTATCACGGGGAGACGGAGGCACGACTTCGCGACGTGTTCAAGGAGGCTTGGAATCGGAGTCCTTGCATTGTCGTCTTGGACGAAGTTGATGCGCTAGTGCCCAGACGAGAAGATGGCCCAGGAGGAGAAGTGGAGAAAAGAGTCGTTTCAACCTTACTCACAATTCTCGATGGAATGGAAGATAATGGGAGCCAGGGGCGTGTGGTCGTCATTGGTACGACCAACCGACCGAATTCCATTGATCCAGCACTGCGAAGACCTGGGAGGTTTGACAGGGAGTTTGAAATAGGTGGGTGCTCATATACTTTGTGTCCATATTGTAGTGCATTCTGATTGTTTCCACTTCTATCTAGGTGTGCCGGACGCTGAGGCACGGCTCGCAATTTTACAGGTGCTACTTGCTAAGGCGCCTCACTCTATATCTGATGGGGATCTTCAATCCATAGCAAGCCGGGCTCATGGGTATGTGGGCGCAGACCTGAATGCTGTTGTTCGGGAAGCTGGGACCATTGCAATCAAACGGTGGATGAAACACCAAACTTCGCTGGCATCAGAAGAACCAGGTTCACCTACAGATCTGATGTTGATATCGGAAGATCTCGCCGACGCATTGCCTGCTGTCAGACCGTCAGCTTTGAGATCGGTCTTCCTCGAAACCGCCCCAGTAAGGTACTCGGATATCGGAGGACAAGTTACTGCCACCCAGAAACTCCGTGAAATGGTCGAGTGGCCCCTACTTCATCCCGAGGCTTTCAAAAGGCTCGGGGTCCGGGCACCAAAAGGCCTTCTTTTGTACGGCCCACCTGGGTGCAGTAAAACTATTCTGGCACGTGCGTGCGCGACCGAGAGTGGTATCAACTTTGTTGCAGTAAGGGGCCCCGAGGTACGCTCACACTCCAGTGTTTTGTCAGACAGGTTTCTGAAACTTTTATTACTTAGCTTCTCAACAAGTACGTTGGTGAATCAGAGCGGGCGGTGCGAGAAATCTTCAGTAGAGCCCGTGCTGCATCTCCGTCTATCATTTTCTTTGTGCGTTACACAGGATTTCGTCTTTAATTAATTAATTATCATTATCCTCATAGGACGAAATAGATGCGTTAGGGACATCGCGTTCCGGAGAATTAGATTCTGCACCATCTCATGAGGGTGTCTTAACAACCCTGCTCAACGAAATGGATGGCGTGCAGGAGTTAATTGGCGTGACAATCGTAGCAGCAACGAATAGGCCTGATGCTATTGTGAGCTTGCTTGCTTGCTTCCTGGCACAACATACTCCTCTGACGAACTGCTTAGGATTCCGCTCTGATGCGCCCAGGCCGTTTGGACCGCATCTTGTATATTGGGCCCCCAGACCAGGCGGGGAGGGAAGAAATTTTGCGTATCAGAACTAGAAGGATGAGCGTCGAGGAAGGCCTCAACATAGGCGTCATCGCTTCCATGGTTTGTGTTTAACACAAGTACGCCGGGACATATCTGACTCTTTGAAGACCGAGGGATGTAGCGGAGCGGAAATCGTTGGACTTTGCCAGGAAGCAGCGTTGCTGACGATGCAAAAGGACATCAACGCACCATTTGTAGGGCTGAGTCCTAGCCTTAAACATTAACATCGCATTGACCCGAGTCATTGGCAGGTGCCACAGGGTGCGTTCGAGGCAGCTGCAAGAGCTATACGCAGACAACTCACACCAGAGATCATTCAAAAGTACCACGACTGGAGCGAAAAGGCTGGCTTGAGAAACGCATAGTAATGCGAGGCCGAGTGTACAATGTAACTCCCCACAAATCTGGGTTTGAGACACAGCTTGACATCCCGTTGTCGTGATTCTAGTTTTAACAGTTTCAGTGGTTTCGTTGCTAAACGTGAGTACCACCTCACTGGCAGTTCCCACAGCCATATATGTTACGATCCCAGTCAATTGGCTCTATGGAGGCATACTATCCACCTCCATTGTGTAGCCTCATTCCCTGGGAAGATTAACCATTGGTCTCGTAACAAATGACTTTGTTGGGCTGTATCCCCAGTGAAGCCGCGAAGACGAGTCCCAGACACTGGTCTGCACGGTGTAGGCCATTCGTCAGTGTTATTCTAATACATGTGTAGATATAGGTCAGTAGATTACAACATTTCTGGAGGAAGGAACTGCAACATATTGTCCGTTAATTGCACGAGTAAAAGAGAGGCTAACCCGGAGAAGCATTACTGTTGAATAACCGAAGTAAGAGCTCATATTACGCCGCACCTACTTGCTTGGTGTTGAAATTGTTTGACGCTTCAAGCCGTCAACATGGCAACCAACCACCCCGACATCCTGAACTACCAATCCAGAGCAACCTCGGCTGTCCAATCAGTTCGGCTACTCAGGACCCCGGACGTCTTACCAAGGCGTCGGCTAAGACAACAACCTCGCTGCATTCGACACATGTCAGTGTCTCACACTTGTCCTAGCAAAAAATGTCATCGTCACCATCAAAGACGATCGGGCTGTTCACGATTTGTTCAACGTGATGGTGGCTTCCACAATTGAAGATGCATGTGATATCTTACCTCTCCTGTTTTTTCGTTGTGGAAAGAACATCGAGAAGCAGATGACGAAGATGGATGAAGCCGTGGCCGCATTCTCGCGCCACCTGGAGGATACCCTAGTGGGCCATGAGCTCTCGGCCTCCGCCAAGGAAGAGTTCCCTAAGTCTGCATCGTATCACAAAGGGAAGTATTCTAGAAGTGAACCTCCGTTTCCGAAAATGATGCGTGATCTCTTGAGGGATGCTGTGAGAATAACCCGAGATTTCGATCTCTCTGGCACGCTATGTGGGGCCTGCAGTGATCGTCCCTGTTCTCCAAAAATCCCGTCTTCTACGTTCGCTTTGCGAAGTTACGAATAGTATGGGCCTCGACCAGAAGCCTCAGGCGGAAAGGTTGGACCGGCGTCTTGCTAAGGTGTACCAGTATTATCGAGCATTAACAGCTTGATCGAGCTTGGGAGGCGTTATTTTCCACACGGCATTAACCACCATTGGGTCGACGCTATTACTGGCACCGGTGAGATAACAGTTGTGTTCGACAGCTACTTGGAGGCCACATTTCGTGGCTTTGGCAATTCCCTCTCGGAAGAGGCTGTAGCCATGCCGCAAGAGAGGTTCCCAGATGTGGAGGAAAGGTGGTGCAACAGCCATTTCCTTGAGACCGGCTTCATCGCATCGTACTGGATGCAGCAAACGGACTTGCTTGTGCTGCGAGTTGCGGACTGAAGTGTACAACACAACATTCGATACGCAATGTACTTGGGCTCTCCCTGGTTGCTCGTATGGAGGGTGGGAGGATTATTGTTGATAGAGCTGTCCTGCGGGGAGTCGAGAAGCGTCTCACTGAAACTCTGGATTGGCTGCGCAGTCAAGCGAGTCCGAACTAGACAGTAGGTGGAAACCGATTGATACTCTTGAGGAGTTGAGAGTGATAACGAGTAGTGAACTGAGGTGTGAGTTGAGTAAATCGTATTGGCTCAGTCAAGTACTGGATGCAATTGACTGTGTTTCTGAGTTGACTAAACAGGCCTCGTCCATTCACTTAGCATCTTTCTCCAAACTGTCTCCATTGCACGCAGGTATGTCCCACACGCGCCACCGTCTCCACTGTGTCACTTACCACCGTCTAACCAGTTGCGGTCAGCCTAGTGCTGCTTTTTCGTGCAGTTGTTGCACTGTTGCTCACCCCATTTCGCGCTGCGTCCCGCCAGTCCTTCAATACCATGGTTCATGTCAAGTGGGGCAGAGACGTACTACATTTCCTAGTGCCACCTCTTAGCACAACGCTGGGCAAGCTCAGAGCTGATATCGCGGAGTATACACACCTTCCTCCATCATCATTCAAGCTGGTTCACGCTGGCGCAGTCATGAATGACGACCATGCCCCTCGTATGCCACCTATGTTTTCTCTTGTGCGTTTTAGCTGAAGCTTCTGCCAGTGTCCGCGTACAACATCCGCGAAAATTCTACGATCGCGCTGATCGGGGGTCACACATCAGCACAAACCCCCGCTCCACATGCACGGCCGTCCAGATCTAACGAGCCACCGACGGAGCAGGGCACGATCAGTACCATACGTGCTGAGTTGGACCGTGTACGCTCAACGCTAGTTCCAGATGTGGATGCATTTGTTCTCGCCTGTTTGGGTTCACTGGCCACTGCGCCTCACCCAAGCACATTCGTCGCTCCCGTACAAACGCCTACGCCTGGAAGATTACCGGCATTCTCTGATAGCGTGCCATCGCAGGTGCCGACGTCCCTTGACCATAGCCGTCTGTCAGAGCTGCTCCTACAATCCCTCTTGCGCCTCGATGCTCTCCACCTGCCTGGTGCTGACTGGCCTGATGCTAGACAGCAGCGCAAGGCTGCGGTGCGCGAAGTTCAGAGTGTTCTGGATCGTCTCGACAATGCTTGGGCGTCGAGATGAGCATACCAATACCCAATTGTCGATAGCATGTCATAGATTTCACGGATATACTAGCTACAGAGTGTCATCTAGGTTCATGATTAGGGACAGTGTCACGTGCGCAATGACAGAGCCAAACTCCCTCCCCACCACTCAGCACGAGTTGTCGCCGGCGACGCTGAAAGCCATGCCATTCAAGGTAGACGTGCTGCAAGCAACCTTCACAATCCTGACGCTCATCATCTTCCTGGGGACCATCTATTCTGTGAAAAACAATACATATCTCGATACCTCGGATCCCTTCCTCACACACCTTCCGCATCATCTCCACGAGACACATTACTTTGCTACGAAAGCCAATTTCCTCAATGTTCTGTTCATCAAACGTGCGTGGGCATGGACTTCCAGTGCTTTCTTGTTCCTCTGGATAACCAGCCCACGTCAACAACGGTCCCTCCGGAGGCTCTCCAGGTGGGCACTCGGAACGGCAGTTTGGCTGGTCTTCACGAGCTGGTTTTTCGGCCCTGCTTTGTTGGAACGATTCATCGCAGCATCTGGAGGCGAGTGTACGATCTCGCTACCTTCTGGCGCAGCCCTTTCCATCCCAAACGAGTTCTGCTTTACCAAGTCAACGGTGTCACCGCTCACACATCCAAGCCTTTTTGCGTCACCGCTTCTCCTTCCCGAGGGACACTGGACAATTGTTCCGAGGATGAGAAGAGGTCATGACGTCTCTGGGCATATATTTCTTCTTACCTTGTCCACCCTGTTTCTCGCCGATCAGCTTACGCTGTCTCTCCTCTCTCGCTCGAATTCGCCCTGGACGCCCACGCACTAAGTATGCGGTCATGTACACCTTCGGCATCATCGCTATTTGGCTATTCGCCACTTATACTACTACCTTGTACTTCCACACACCACTAGAGAAGCTTACCGGATATCGTACGTGCTCGTTACGTTTGCAACTTGCCACCTCTGACCATTTGCTTAGTGTTGGGTATTACAGGACATGTGTTGACACGGATAATTTGAGTTGGAGGTCCCATGCATTGCCCAATTCACACCATTAACTTAATGATTGTCCAAGGACATCGATAGCGATTGTGCTGCGTCTTAAATACATCCCTAAAATCCAAATCGAAGAATTAACCAAAAGCTGTCCGGCCATACAAGAAAAACAAGTGAATGTAGAACTGTGAGTAGGCAGAAAAAGATCGCTTAGCAGTATGTCATACCGAGGAAAACATCCATCCGAAAATGAGTCGGGATATCAAAGCAGGCAATGCGATACTAGCAACATCACAGACAAATCCCCACAGTAGCTCCGGTGTCCCAAATAAAAGCGACTGACCGCCAGGAGTGAGACGATTACCCCATTGAGGAATACGAATAGTGATGTACCGCCGTCGACCCCTCGAGCCAAAGGGCGCCCTCCAGGACCACCACCCATTTCGACGAAGTCGGGAATAACGCGGTTGTGGCAGGAACACAGGAACGTTGTCCAAGTACTCCCCTTCATCCTTTGTTACCCAGGAACTGCCTCGATTATCCTCGTGGTCATTACGGGTGTTGTGCGTTGGACTCATTAAATCCTCTATCTCGTCCTGAGGCGAAAACAGTGCAATGGGACTGAGAAGCGGTGATGTCCGAGGTGTTCCTGATCGAGAAGTGGCATGGTCCGTTGTGCTTGGGTTCATTGGAAGAGGATCAGTCGGGCTCTTCAGGAACCTTTGCAGATGAGGGGACCATGTGGACCATATTGCGGACTCTGGACCAGGCGGCCGTCGACCCGAGACAGGCGATAGACGCCGGTGGTAACTCCGGAGTGGCATATTTATATACAGTAGAACGATCGCTGTGAGCACCAAAGATGGGAGATATATACGTTTGTAGATGCCCACAGTGTCGGGTAGGTGGCACGACGTGTCTGCTATGGTAGGACCAGACGAAGACCCCGGGATTGGGGGAATCAGGGAGATCAGCTGAAACCCGGGCCATCTGATGTGCCGTGAGGGCGAGAAGGACTTGACAGTGACCTCCCGGACTTCAGCCTTTACATCTGGGCCGTCAAGACCAGGGATCGTGTGCAATACCTCACAATAGTCGCGGTTATCGCCGCTAGCCCAGACGATGAACACCAATATTGTTGAACATCAGGGAGTCTGACTTGCCTGAATATGGCCGACGGCTGAAGAGTCTTCAGCATAAACTCCGTCGTCTGCTTTCCCAGCATATTCTGATAGCCATGGCCAGCTCCAGCACTTATCGAGCCCTTCTCCCGAAAAGGACCACAGGACTTGCTCGCAGGACGCGACAGTGGAATATGACTCAACAGAATGACAGACTCGACGTTGGCCAACGTCTTCGCGGTAGATCTCAAGAAAGCGATAGGTCCCCCACTGAGCGGGGTCCATTCTTCAAATGTTTGGCCATGGGCATGTCGTTGATAATCTTCTTCTACGAGCTTGGGAGCATCGATGAGAACAAATTTGTGTCCAGCAATAGTTATAGCTTGGTTCAGCGGCCCAAAATACTCGGCGAAGAACTGCGAAGCATCCTTGGAGAACGACGGTGATTGCCCTAAACTGTGGAGGGTCGAGGATGTCAAACCTGAAAATATGAAAATCTTACCCAATATCAGTATTTCCAGGGATGAAGTAGAAGGTCGTTTCGCTGCCATGTCGGAATATTGATTCGAACCTGCGGTAGTAGGAATCATACCTACACACACAGGAAACCAGCGATTCGTCGTAAGGCAAACGGAAAAACCAAAAGGCGAACATACTCTTCTTTACTCCTAACATAACGTCCGGCAGAAAGCGTGTCTCCAAGGAAAATGACTATGTCAGGATGAAGACGATAGGCGACGCTCCAACTCTTGCGCAAGTACGATGTAACAGTGTCTTCTCCCAACCAGGAACTCCCAGCTACGGCGGGATTGGGCACTTGAGCATCCGCAATCAGCAACACCCGGGTAGGTTTCGTTGCGCTGGTCAACTTGAAATGGACAACAATCCACGTAAAACGAACCAGAAGTCAAAATCATGGAGCGTACACACTTACCTGCAACTGTAGTACCTTGTCCGGCCACCTGCAGTGCACTAAACTGTAGAAGAATACTCCAAATTCACACCAAATGGTTGAAATGACCCAGAACAAGCGAAGGGCGAAGATCGCAATGCGCCGCGATCTGAGACGCGGCGCATGTGAGCGTCGGTCGTGTAGAAGACCCATGCGGTCACCAACTGGAAGGAAAGTCGGAAGACTCGCATTTCCATACTGATCAACCAAACATAGGTTTACGTATCTACTACCCTCCGACTCAGACATTAGAGATATAAAGAATAAAGCATTCAGAGGTCCCAGTTGAAAACACGAATTCAAGGAGTGAAAAGTCAAAGGAGTGATATAGGAGTGATATCGCTAACTCATTTCTCGAGGTCTTCGTCACGGACACGACTATAGCTGGTGCCACGGGAACGACGTAGCGTACGGCGCATAATGCGGAGTCCCCCACACCACATGCACCAAGCGAAGGTACCAGCCGATAGAACGAATAATATACCGATATAATGCTCCCGCCAAAGCAACGAGAACACCGAGGTAATGTCCATCTTCTCGCTGAGCGCTGGTAAACCTGTGCTCTCGGGATTGCTGAGGGAAGCAGGGGCGAGTCCAGAAATCGAAGTGGGTTCAATATTGAAGTCCTGTTAAATATGACGTGTTTTATTGACAAAATTGCTCAAAACATGAGTACTGGACTAGAGCTCAGCACGGAGTGGTACCTCTTTTCCATCCGTATCGTAAACCGGCTCGATAGGCAACTGTGGTGGAACGTGAGCCAAATTCAAAACGGGAATAATATGAGTCACCTCTCCAGAGTCGGAAATGACGACATCTTCTAGTGGTTTATTGTTACTACCCTTGGGAACGTCCTCTGTGACAAAAAACAGAGTCAGAGAGTATATCATTTATATACTTGGCCCTTAATTGAACATACCAATAGCATAAACAATGTCCATTCCTTCGAGAACTTGGCCGAACACAACCTGAATGGCAGGATTACAACGTCATCCCCCGAACACTTCATTGCACTCACATGTTTACGATCCAGCCAGTTCGTCACGACGGTACAAATAAACTTGAAAAGCAATTCAGGAGAAAAGATCGGTTGCAAAGGAAATGACATACGAATTGTGAGCCTGGAGAGAATCATGTCAGCGATAACAAAGACGCTGGGGCAGACGAGAAATACCGTTGGTATCTTTCCCAGCATTCGCCATCGAAAGTGTACCGGGACCAGTATGCTTGAGTTTGCTAACGAAAGATTTCAGCCGTGTATTTCATTCAACATCAACGAAACCTACAAGTTTTCGTCCGGAAACCTGTCACCATAGATAGACTGCAAGGCATGATATAATTCACCCGCTGCGTATCAAGCAGAAGGGGCGGTATACGGACCTTGCCACCAGTACCGTCACCCTTGGCTACACAACAATACAACCATGAGCCACCCGTTCGCAGTGTAACATTTTCGACGCACTGAAGTCACCACCCTGAATCCTGGGAAAGGTCAGGAAGCGGTGGAATGCACCAGGGGGGAATGCTCACATGAAATTTTTGATGACACGGTGGAACTTCGAACCCTTGTAACCATAACCGAGGTCATTGCCGTCCTTATCTTTGCCGGTGGCCAAGGCGCGGAAATTCTCGACGGTCTTGGGAACGGTCTATAATTCGACGGGTGTTAACTGGCCCGCCCTCGCGCACTGGCAACTAGACTTACTCCGCCATAGAGACCCATGACAACTGCAGCATTCTTGTCAGAGTTATCGGGCCCGACCTTGAATGGTACGCTCACCTCTGCCCAAATCCTTGTCGCCATGCTTGATGTCAAAGTAAACTTTGTGAGTAATTTTTGGTCCCTTTGCAGCGTCTACGGATTGCGCGCAGAGGAACGCTGCAATAGTGACGATGATGAACGCCAGGGATATCCTCCCAAACATGCCGTGCAATAAGTAGTAGTAAGGAAAGTCCTAACACTTAGTGTGGTTGCTTTTTGAGAACGTGGAATGGACGTGGGAACTCATTCCCTTTTTTGACGGATGCTGGTGCTGATGCGCTTGACTTGAAGCCTGGCGGTGGGTCTCAACCGAAAATCACGATGGTCAGTGCACTTCAGTACATGTTTCTGTCGCTGAACCAGTGATCAATACAGTCAAATTCCTTGAGACCGTATCTTTCAGCTGTCAGATCGACGCTAACGGCGGCACTTACGCTGCAGAATTTCTCGTCACAAGTAAATCACCAGTGTAATTGAAGGGTCAGCTCATGGTAATCACCACGATACTATGCAGGTCGTCGAGCGGCACAACAAACCAGAGGTGGAAGCAAGGTTCCAACGGTATTTGTGAAGATGTGACGCTGTCCTAACGACTTATATAGGGGTTCCAAGGAAGTCCTCCTCAATTCATTGACGATCTCGCGTAACGAGAGCGAGCGCGTCTTGATCGAGCCATCCATAAACTCGATACGCATGAGCATCAAGATCAAGCAAGCCGATGAAATCGAGAACATCTTATGCCACAAGTTCACTCGCTTCATGATGCAAAGAGCAGAGAATTTCATCGTCCTCCGCCGGAAACCAGTCCCAGTAAGTCAATTTCCAACTTTCATCGGTTGACAAGTTCACCATCTACTCGAAGGGATACGATATCTCTTTTCTAATTACCAATGTCCATAGTGAAACGATGCTCAAGCACAAAATCGTCGATTTTATCATCCAGTGAGACCTGGAGTTTCCTGCGAGACTGCGTGCAAGTAACTTTCACTTTTTAGATTTATGGAAGAAGTGGATAAAGAAATCAGCGAGATGAAGCTTACTCTAAATGCTCGAGCACGTACAGTTGCGGAGTCCTACTTGATGGCGGTGCGTGTCTTGTGTGTAGGGAGTGCTGTGATTTAATCCACCGTTTCAGTTTGACTCGTGAAGTAGTGCAGTCGTCTACCGGCACAACCGAGCTCATCCGCTACAGGAGACAGTTGTATTTCACAATATTTCACTGTAAATAACGAGCTGCGCAGCAGAACGAATTAGCTACCTAGTTTAGGGTCGGAATGGCGCACTGAGTATTAAGAATCCAGACCATCGTTCACTCTTAGTTGAGTCCGTTGACTGAACGATGACCTTGCTGAACTACGTTGAACCTCCCAACAACAACTTGGTAAGCTACCTGACCAGCTCGTGTGGATCTGTCTTATCCTTGTTGTCTCAGGTGTGTTGCATATGCCAGTGCGTATAGTTAGGAGGGGAGCCCTCTATGTGACCCTGACTTATAATCATCCGTCCAGCACTCCTTTCACGGACCCAACGACCACGAGGACATGCATGCACACCTTCTGCCGTGATTGCATCGTAGAAGCTGTCAGCCACTCACCACAGTGTCCCATCGACCGCTTGCCGCTCTCGGTAGACGATCTTTCACCTGCGAACCCGATCGTGAAACACGTCAGTTGTCCCGATTCCAATGGTCACGCTGCCCCCATCTCAGTTTGAGCTGGATTTATATAGCTCGTCGAAGAACTCCTGGTTGAGTGCCCACAACGGATTGCAGGGTGCACGTACGCTTGTCAGCGTCAATTGCTAGCGTCTCATCTCCAGAACGCATGTCTATATGTCACAGTGCCGTGTCCCGAAGATGACTGTGATCTATCAATCTTCAGGAAAGACCTCGGAAAGCATGCCGATGTATGTATCCATCGCTCTACTCAATGTCAGGGTTGTGGTGTCTCAGTGAAGTATGGTGACCTCAACGTGAGTCACGCTTATTGGTTGGATCAACCAGCAGAGCTTAGACGGCGTCAATTCTTTTAGGATCACTACTCCGAATGCTCATCGAAAATGGCTACATGCTCTCTTTGCGCTGCTGAGTTTCCAAGATCAGAGACACAGCTACACACCGCCTGCTGTCCAACTGTCGAAGTGCCATGTGTACATGTCGACAATGGGTGTCCTTGGAACGGACCCCGCTGCGAGCTATTGACTATCCATGTCCCAATGTGTCCCTATGAGGCCATCAAAGGCTTCTTTACTATCCACGCCGCCAAGACATCCATGTTCATGACGGAAAACGTTACCCTGAAGAAGAGGGTCCAGGCTTTGGAAGGCGTCGTGCAAACCATGCAACGTGACATGCAACGTATGAAGAACATCCTGCGACCCTGGTATCAGTTTGAGACGCAACAATGGAATCGGGAGTTGGCGACTCAGGTTCCCGCAGGAAGTGATGGCAACCAAAGCATGATCGAGATACTGGCTTCCCGCGATATCACAGGCCGTGTGGAACTTCGTCCTATGTCGCCTTCCGACATGGCACCTCCGCCCGTTCACCCGGCTGACGTAGATGATGCTGCAGCATATTTTTCCGTCGCCCGAGAAGCAGGATTCGTAGACGCTCACCACCATACGGCGGCTACACGCCGTCCATTCGGTAACCTGTCCGACGGCCATACGCAAGTACATCAACGGTCGCTTCTGGTTCCTATCGCCCCCCTGAACCTGAGCACATCTTTGGAAGGAACGTTATCTGGATTGAGGGACTCTGTAGCGGCGATATCTGCTTCTGTCGAGTCCATGGCTCGCCGAAATGATATTGTGCATACGACCGAGAGCATGCGGATTAACGAGGAGCTTGGTTCATTGAGGTATGCTATTCACGGCATACGGCTACAGGTGAGTTCTGGACTCGGAGCTTGTATTCTTGCTGTGCCGGTTATCGCCCTGCCAACTGTGCTGATAAGCTTCTTCACCCACTTTTCTCGTGCGGTGATTTTCACGGCACCGTCATGTTACGGACAGTTGCACCGTCTTATGATGGACAGAAATGGCCAGCTGTCTAGACTGCCCGGTGATTCGGCGCCTTCCTTTCCTGCGGTTGGCATCACGCCCATTGGACCTAGCCTACCTTCCCAGTCTGTCCACCCTCCAATGATGCCGCCATCCTTCCCTGGAGCGCCAGGGACCAGGTTATAGGCATTTGTTGTGCTCAGGCTCGACTCAGATTTGACATTGCCGACAGTCACGGATATCCACTGCGGAGTTTTTGTGGTGTCTAAATACGGTCATTAACCGAGACCGCCTCGTCTTGAATTCTCCCAGATTGCCAATTTCAAAGATCCCCCTGTTGCTGGTACATATGTACTGCCACAACAATACAACTTGGCCATATGTGCGTACTATACAGGTGGGTCATGGGGTTGTTGTCTCTGTCTGGATCACTGTCGAGCGCTAGCCCGTTAAGGCTAGTTAGTGACTGGGTTGTGTGCAGTGCCCCAAGGTGCGGAGGGATGATGGTCCCTCTTGTACGTACCTCGGAACATGGGTTTACCACTTCCTGCAAAGAGCATGAGAATTTGGGAGGGTTTTGCGTCGCCAAAAAAAGGAGGGTATTACATAATTTGTAACCCTTTGGATATCTCTATTTTGTGGGCGCTGGTTGGCAGAAATATTATTTCATCGTTCCGTAATCAGTGCCCTTCTACCTTATGTAAGTACGGGCTTCGCAGCGCCCTATACTGTACTTGCTCAACGTTGGCTCTGCTTGTTCATATGCACTCTATTTGCCGGTCCAAATCGTACAGATACCAAATGTGTAGCCTACCATGTATTGGAAAAACCAGATTCTGCAATGGACTGGCGCCGAGAACACATACATGACAAGGCCTGTGCACCGCAATCATGGACGGAGCCCCCGGGCCCGGGCCTGGTCGAGTCAGGTAACCATCAGGTATCCAAGGCGAGGCTGCAACCTCGATCATATCGTATCACACCTGTCTTTCGACTCACTCCCATCACGAACTTCCCGGACGTCGAATGGGCGCAATCTGTCCAACCTAACCACCCCACCAAAAACTACCGTGATATCACATCGACTGACCTCGTTCTGTGATCCTCGGTACATCCAGCATGTGATAATCTCCGGGAACGTTCTTGATATCGAACAGTGATACATGAACGTAGTTGTGACATATGTGCGTGTGCAACAAGCGAAAATGGGAATGGGCTATGCAGCAGTACTTGTGATTAGGGGTCGTCTAATTTAGCGTGTTGTCTAGTCCGTGATCGACATCCGGATCCCATCTGAAACCTCGACGACGCACTGATCACCCAGCGCGGTGCACAGCACGTCATCGGTGTGGGGCGCCGGGTCGACTATCGGTGATGGTTCAGAGTGTATGGCAAACAGGACTAGAAATGGAATTACTATAGGTTAATTCTCGACAGGACAATGAGGGTGACGGAAAAACACTGACACCGAGCTCCTACATACGTACGGACGGATGTAAAAGACGGGAAGTGTGTTCGAAACAAACGGAACGAGACGAGGGGCACAACGTCCGATCATGATGTACAGAGATGGGACTGACAGCTAGCAAGAAATGAGCGGGAAAATTACACACGAAGAAAGAAATGCACAAGATACGACAGGGAAAGTTATGAAATAAACAAAATTATTAGGAAAGGAGAGAACCGAGGAGGATGCGATAAGAACGCGAGTTATATAAACACTATGCGGGGGCCATGACATATCAAATAAAGCAAAGCAACGAAAGGAACGACGGTGCAATAAGAACGGAACGTTCGCCGTGGCGACCAAAAAAATGGCACATTGGGAGGTAACGACCGCGGGTCATTGAATGGGAGCAGAAACCCAGTGGCAAGCACACCCTCGCTTCGCAGGATCTCACCGGGCGGGAAATATCAAATAGGGTGCGAGTGATGCGGCAGGTGGCTGGATGGAAAAAGAGGGATACAAGTTCTGGGCTCCAACCCGAATCGGGAGAGTCCGCTTAAAGTCCCCATGCCTCCTGCCCATGATACACGCCATTACCCGCGAAGTTTCCCAACAAAGGGCCCGGGTGTGACGGCACAGACATACCAATGACGAATCCGTTGCTGGTAGCCATGCTATGTGTGCCGCCCATGGTACTAGGGTCCGAGGCGACGGACTCTCGAAGGTGGTAAGTGGACGAGTAGGTCAGGTCCGTTGGCGCCTGTGTGTGATGCCGGGGCTGATGCGAAGCGGGTTGCTGATGATGAAGTGACTGGGGGTATGCTCCGTTTGTGGTGCCTGTGGTAGGGGTATCAGACCCGAAAGAATGAGTATCTTGCGGCGGGAAGTGTTGATGAGGCTGGGTGACATAATCCCCTGAACCTGAAGCCCACTGAATCGAGTACTTGGACTCGGTGCCCGTATTCTGCATATACATACTGTGGCCATGCGGATGGGAGTGGATGTGCTGTTCTGGGATCGTGACGGGGGGAGCGTGGACAGCAGGTGGCATACTTCCCCTTCTTACCAAAGGGATTTCATTGGGAGGTACCTTGACAGCATGGCATGAATGCGATGCGCGTGACAAAGACAGAATGAAAAACGTACACCACTGAACTCATACATAGATCCGCTGCGTGACAATGGAGGACAGGACGCAGGACTGCTTTCTTTGGTCTGCTGGCGGTCGCCGGGGGACATCGTCGACGAAGAGGAGGCATAACCGGGAGGTAGAGGGCGGGCGCTGAAATCGCCGGGGTTTTGGTGGCTGTTTACGTTCAACCCAGACATGCGCATCTCAAGCAGCTGTCCGGAGCCGCTTTGCAAAACTCAGATACCAACGAAGAAAGCGAGACGTGAATGAATCTCACCAGGATCCCCTTCTCACACTGGAGTCGCCTCCCATATCGACCGCAACGCAACTGCTTACATCCGAAAACATGACGCTTGATTCGCTGCCAGTAATGCTCGCGACGCTGCCGAACCGCGACAGACAACCTATGCTGCTACTTGGAGTGGTCGAGATGGCATCCTCGGCATCCCCATCGCCTTCACGAAGACTACAATGGGGTGGAATGCCATTAGGGCTCGTGGCACTCGTGATACTTGTTGTGCTGCCCCGTGGGAACGACCAGCGATGAAGCATGGATATCGATATGTCGGGAGAAGAGGCTTGAGCGGAAGAGCCCGATGAAGAACCTGGCGGCGTGTCGCCCTCGGGAGAGGCATTTTGAGAAGGGGGAGTTGATGAGGACTCGCCAAACTGGAAGTCTGGACGTGGGAGCGGCCCAGGGATGGGCGGAGGGGCGGCACGCGAAGCGAAGGCAAAAGGTCGATTTTCGTAGGATCTGCGGGGGACAAAGTGGGGAGGGACGGACGAGGTGGCACACACAGAATTAGAATCATGGAACGCCAAGAAAGGGCGCACCACGGAGAGGAGTGAATACGTGTGGTTCGGATGCGCGGTACGAGCGGGGAGGATGTGCGTATGGGGACAGCAATGAGGCGGAGCGAATGGGGCCCATGGTGGATGGAGGGCGGGTGAGGGCCTGGGTGGAGCCGGGAGGTGAGAGGGGCGACTTTGCCAGGAGGGCTTCATTTTTTTCTCTGACGACACCGGCGTACGGATGCTGCACGAGCCTGTAGCAATTGACATCTAGGGATTTACGCCTATCAACATTGAAATGGGGAGGTGGGAGAAGGGAGGAGTCCTGGACGGGCATGACGGCGGGCAGCGAGCCGCGCCGAGCGTTGTAGATATCCGGATCGAGCGGGTGCTGCCAGGCGTCGACTGGAGTGGCAGGAGGACTTTGGCTTTGGTGCAGTCCCACTGGGGAGATGGACGGATCTGGAGCAAAGGGAGGGGAGTCAGTGGACGATGGATGAGGAGAGACACGCTCTTGAGTTTGTTCGGATAGTTTTTCTCTTAAGTCAGAGGATGGGTCTCGCTGGGGTTCTTCCTGTGAAGTGGTGGTGTTCTGTTCGTCTGACTGGAGATGCTGGGCGGCTGCTCGTTTTCGCAGCTGTTTGTCCTTTGCACGCCTGGAACGGGGGTGAGAGGGGGGCACGAGAGACAGAGGGACACGGTACCTGTTCTGGAACCAGACCTGGGACGCGGCGCGTCATTTGAGCGAGACGAAGGGGCAACAAAACGAAGAGAAAGGCGAGCGACGGACCTGCACTGCACGGGGGAGCATGTCGAGCTCGGCAGCGAGCTTCTTTCGAATGGCGGCATTTGGCTTTGTGTCTTTCCTGTAGACTTCCTCGAGCACCTTGAGCTGCGATCTGGACGTCCTCTTTCTGTGCTTGACTTCGTTGGGTATGTAGGGGAAGAAAGTCCTGAAATCGACAGAGGTGGGGTCGACTCCGGGTGGCACGACAGAAGGAATACAAGTGTGTCGATACCTTGAAGACGAGGACGAGCTCGCATCCATCGTCGCTGGTGTTGTCGGGACTGTCTCTCCGGTCAGAGCAGTGGCATATCTCTTCATTTATTTTATTTACTCTAAATATTATTATTTATATATCACCCCCCGGCTATGTCCGTGACCCCGGCGCCAATTTCTCCGGCCTGTCATCACCGCCTCTTCCCCGGCCACAGGGCCCGAATTGGTAGCAGTCATCCCCGCGGACAGCCTATCCAAAAAAATAATCATTTAAAAATATACCAAGCAAAAATCCCTACAGAAAAACAGAAAAAAGAAAAAAGAAAAGAAAAGCAAAGAACAATTTATGACATGTCCATCGCCTCGCCCAGCAAGATCTCCTCCAAGAAACCTTCCCTGGCACCAGCCAAGGGTGAGGCAACAAAGGTCGACTCCCCCCTCGCCAGCGCCTCTGCGTGTCCTCGTGCCATCGCCGTCCGCGCCCGCGCAACAACGGGATGATCGTACACCATCTCCACGTCTACTCGCTTCCCGGGATCCATTCGCATCATGCTCTTGATCAACCCTATCAACTCCGCACTCAAACCGCTCAGGTCAACCTGACTGAAATCTTCTTGTCGAAGTCGATGCCACCCTTCGCCCCTGCAAATTTGTATTCGTGGTACGGTAACTCAACGTCAGGCACAATCCAAGCCTTCGAAAACACTTCTCCACTCACTGATCAGGCACGACAATGTTTGTCGCCGTCTCGAGCATCATCATCCCAAAGCTGTCCATTGTTCAGCTCTCACCCCTTCCATTTCAATCAACAAGAAAAGTACCCACCTGAATATATCAGCAGCTTTGCCATATGTCCCCTGCAACACCTCCCGTGCCAAATACACTTTATCTCCTTCCCTTTCAAATCCCCCAACGCCAACTCCCAAGGGGCTTCCCCCTGTCCGTCGTGGCCATAACGATGCCATCCCAAAATCTCCAATCTTGAACCGTCCCTCCCCTGTCAGAAAAACATTGGCTGGCTTGATATCAAGATGAATTACACCCGCGTTGTGAATAAAACGAAGACCCTAGACCATATCGATAAGCACGGCGAAAAAACTTTTTCCCTCAGAATCACTCACATTGCTTAGATCCGCAAATATCTTCCACACTCTGGCCTCGTCCAGACGCTGAAATGCCCTTCCGTACTCCCACAGGAAGCGAGCAAAATTTCCCAGCTCGCATAGTTCTGTCTGTATAAACAGGATGTCATCCTCTTCCCAGCTATCAATATACGCCAACACGTTAGCGTAACTCTGAGGGTCAGTCGCCGCTGCCTGTGAGAGATGCTGCAAGATATCCACTTCTTCACGTAATCGCAACCTAGTGTAGATAACCATGTCAACGTAACGATAGCCATCCTGCACAAACTAGCCTTACCGGTGTCGTGGCCCCTCAAATGGCTTAGATTTCTTAACCGCCCATACCTGGTTCTCAGGTCCGTTCTTGGCACGAACCTTCATGACCTTGCCAAATTCACCACTGCCGATCTCATCCAGCTCCACAAAATCCCACTCAAAACGACCCGTCTTGCCCGTCCCCACACTATCGTCGGCAGTCTTAACAAGTGGCGACACGACTCGCTTCGCGAGTGACTGTGTCCTGCATCGCGAATGCGTCGGGGAAGTTGAAGCGCTATTCGACGACGGTCTCGACTCAATCTTGCCTGATGGAACTGGAAGGTGACCTTGCAGAGTAGGCCGCGGAGGCAGTGGCCAGTCTAGACAGAATTAGACATGCATGTCGTGAGACAACTGTGAATAAACTCACCCTTAGTACGTCGTGTGGGCGTGCCGACAGATGTCTCACTACCGCTCGAGAATGCCCCACTACTACTTCTCCGCATGAGCCATCGTGTCCGCGAGACAGCGCCAAAAGGGCCCTGGTCAGCCGCAGGCGGTCGACCCAACCCAAGACCGCCGTACTGGTGTTCCTTCCGCGAACTCGGGCTATTATTGTCTTCGTCGTCCTCTGAATCCGATACGTTCAGCACCACCTTGCCTTCTATCCCTACAAGACCACTGTCACCGAGATGCGGAAACGCAGCCGGGAGACTCTTCCTGGGCTTGTTCTTTGACTTACAACCGCCACCACCTCTAGTCGAGTGGCCGCTTGGGTCTGTCTCAAATTCAAAGTTGAAACCGACCTTGTTGGCTACGGCGCTCTGCCACGGTCGATTACCCCCAAAATAACTGGTTTTTGCCTTCTTGACGGGGGTTCCTGGGGGGCGCTTTGGTTCCTCAGTGGATGGCTTGTGACCAGCAGCAAGAGTTCGCATAATGAAAGCATCCACATCGAGACCATCGTAGTTGTGATCGTTGTCCTCGAGCCCACCAATGACGACCGCATTTGGCCAACCTGAACTGGAATTCGGCATGATAGGAGTGATGAGGTCGTCGCCAGCGTCTGAGTAAAGTGAAGAAGCAGACGTTGAAGGACGGGGCATTGCAGAAAGAAAGGCGTTTCCAGAATGAGACAAGCCCTCGTCGTCACTCAATGCGACGCCCGAGTCACGCGGTTTGTACTTCGATGGAAGCATCTCCCTACCCTTTTTAGACCTAGGTGAAGGCGTGTCCTCTGTGACGCTAAAGACGAAAGAGGATTCTGGGGGTCCGCATGGCTCGAAGAACATATCGTCATCGTCGTCTTCCACAGCACGAGGGGGACTTTTCGGAAGCGGTAATGGCGAAGATTCGGGAGAAGGATCATGACGAGTGGATCGCAGCTTCCAGGGAAGGGGAGTCATTGTTGTACTTCCTGGACCAGCATAGCTGTGTCTGTTGGACATAGAGGGCTGGACGTGCTGTACTCGGAGTCGTGCGTCGGCAGCTGCGCTGGCTGAATTTGTTGCGGTCGTACTCGTACGCGTGCGAGTCTTGGTCTGGGGAATAGAAGGACCAAAAAAAAGGGAAGCTGAACTGCCACTCGTCAGTCGACTGGCGGGGACACGTGAGGTTAGCGTGTCCGAAGCCCTTGGTTTATGGAGGGAGCTTGGTCCACTGCTTCCAGTGACACGTCGCCGTGCCCGTGGAGAGCCGCATGTTGGAGAAATAGCAGTGGAGAGTCTGTTTCTCCCGACGGAAGGAAAGGCAACGGGTGGTGGCTTGGGTGGAGTAGAGCGCAACTTGACAGGCTAACGTCATGATTAAGAGCGCAAGGGTTACTACAGAGGTGAGGTGACATACCTGAGCTGAAGTGGGCGGAGACGAAGAGTGGTGCACACTCTCTAAGAGTTCTTGCGACACAGGTCGTGAGCGGGCACGACGCTTGATGATGTGGCCACCGGGCGATATTGCCTCAGTCACCTCGTCCCTTGCGTTGCCTTTTTGAGGGACTGCGTCGACGAGCAGCTGCTTTTTAGGGCTCGTCGACTGGGATTTTGTTCTCTGTGCCAGTGTCCGAAGTCTGTTTGAAAACAGATTTTTCCGTGTACCTGGATCGTCACACCCGGAGTCCGAGTCACCGGATTCGATGACGCCCCAGTCTTCGTCTGAGTTGTCCATGTCCCGGATGCGGAGACGTTTCATCGTCTCTGCCTGGTTCTTGACGTAAGCATCCGTCTCTGCTTTGGACTGCGGCGTGCGGATACCGAAACGGGGAGCGGCGAGCGGGGCGAGGCGATGGAAGGCAATGCCGGATGCGGGATCAGCCTTTGCTGCAGATATGGACAACGGTGTTGAGACAGGTTGCCGTGGAGGAGTCGAGAACCCTCCAAGCTGGCCTGAGGATTTCCGTTTCGTACCAAGACCGGCTCGGAGGGCAGAGGGTTGCGATGTGGATGCAGCAGGTTGGGCGTTGAGAGCCCTTGTCTTGAGGATGGAACGAGAGATGGCAGGGGCGTCTCTGACGGGTGTGCGAAGAGAGTGAGAGGACGGAGCGGGGAAGAACGGAGAGGGAGCTGCGGATGACGAGGAAAGAAATATGCTGCCCTCGTCGTCGTCATCTACGCCGATGGGCAGGGATGGTTGTTTATGAGTACGATGATGTGGGTATAGAGTATGTGCTGGGTGAGGAGACCTGAAAGGCGATTGAAGGAAGATGTTGTCGTTGTCGTGGGATGCTTTGAAGAGTGGGGGAAGTGAGGAAGTCAACATGGGTGAGGAGGATGGATCAGCAGAGCTAGTAGCAGTAGATAGACGGGGAGGGGTGGGTGTGTGATAAACAACTGCACGGCAGCTGCTGGGGGATATCGGGGACATGTTGCAGTCGCGTGTGTTGTTTCCTCTTACAGATATGTGCTCGGTAGAAACACACATGGCCTGTCCAGAGAGATAGATATGGAGCGTATGGATGGGCCTTCTCGCTGGCTGTGTGCCAGTTTATTATCTTCGTTCTCGTCGTCGTCGTTCGTTGTTGTTGTCGTGAGCACGGGCAACTTGCAAGCGGGCAGGGCGGGTAAAATTAGCGGCGGCCAAGTTAAGCTCTGTTTAACCAACACCCGTGGGACATTCACTCAACAACGATCACGTGACCGCGCCATCCTCGGATGCTTTTATTTTTACCGACAATGACTTGCGTCCCAAAATTAAAAATAAAAATAAAAAAATCCATGCTTTGACCAGCGGCGGACCACCGCTGGCTCTTCTGTCAACTCGACAGTACGTGATTACCAAACCCTGCAACGGTCCAGTCGTTGATGCCGTCTCAGCTGTCATTGCGACGACGCCTGCGGATTGCCGTGACCTCCCCGACATGTCGAACAATGATCACTTACTTGCGTTGTTGCGTTTGGACTCACGGCGTCCTAATAGTTGCCATGCCATCTCGACCAGTACTTGTATATCCCACAATAACCAATCAATGCGCGAAAAGCTACATGCCACTCCCATCGCGCACCGCGCCACTCTCTTACGCGCATCACGAACACCGTAGGCATTGATTTCGAATAAAAATAGTACTTCCAAGCGAGTGGTCAACCATTGAAAGGTCCAGAGTCACCCTGAGGGAGTCATCTGTAAGTATCCGTGATTGACCCTGTATACTGTTGACACCCATAATATAGCAGTTCCGTAATCCACAGAGGCCCAAGCCCCTGTGCCGTACGTGACATATAGTAAGACGGCAAGGGAGGTCATGGAAGAAGCATGATACCAATTGACCCGTGAACACAAGCCATACCTGCAGCAACTACAATACCGTGCATGTCTCCGGAAGGTACCGAGGGGGACCTGCGCGGACGATCACGAACTAGAACAAGTTGCAAACGCAAGAGTTCTCCCCCATAACTCTACGTAACAACGAAGAACAGAGATGAGTCTCGCATATGGTTTAGGACACAAACAGTTGGGAGTAGTATTGGAAGAGCGTGGTTCCGTAGGCAAAGGCGGACAACACCGAACGAGTATCTGGTCCGCATTCAACAAGATTCCGCACAATACGAAGCAGAGGGGAACTGTGAGACGATCCGAATGCACAACTGGGGTCAACTACGGGGAGAAGTCGCATCATCTTCATGGTTGCTGTTCCTCCTCGCGGTAGACTATTGACACAGCCACCGCACGCTGATCTTCCGACGAAGTTCACGAATGGCCATCACATCAAGGGACTCACCTACACTTGTGATTAACCCTGACACTCGCAGTTCCGGAATTCATGGAGACCCAAAGCCTGTGCCGTTGACGCACATTTTTAATGAGAGTCAAATGTCCTGACAACAGATGTGAAACAGGGGAATGGATGCACGAATGTTCTTGTCTTTACAAAGGACACGAGCCATGTGGCCTTTGAAAAGTCCCCGCCAGAGAACACAGCGATGGTCCACGGGACCGCCTCAAATGTATCCTATTGTCGCACAACGGCGTCCCCTTACTGAGCAAACTCAGCCAGAAATGTCTGTGGCTCGGTTATATCGAAATCATATAACCGAAGAGCGACGCGGACGGAAGATACATACCAGTGAAATCATGCACTTCTTTGGGAAGTATCGGGAGCAGGTGGCAAACACGGACTGGGTAATTTTCGTGATACAAAGCCAACGTGGACAACCACAACGTAGAGAAACACCACACAGTCGTCCAAGATTACCTAGACCAGACCAACCTGGCATGACAACCACAACTAAACGACCTAAAAACCGTTGACGCGAGTGCGCGCGTCTAGCCTTCTTGATCGCACATCCGTGCCAGAAACTGTGTGCTGAAAGTCGCGAGTCAATCCTTCCACAGCCGACACCGTTAATACGATTACAGATGGCCCTCGATTGCATTCGCAAGAGGTCCTAGCAGAAAATGTGAGGACCTTTCAGCTGGCAGTGATTTCAAACCAGTGGTTTCCGAGGATGTCACTTGCACTGGTGCAATGCCATACCTTTGAAGTCAAGTGAGACGGGTAAAAACGCAAGGGTCTCCGGACCCGAGAGTATGGTCACTATATCTGCCACGTCGATACATCGAAGAAGAGTGAGAGGAAGACGTACACACCTGAGAAACCAGCCCTCCAAGGACCATAAAGCTGTAGAACAGACGAGGTGAAGTCCTAGAGTGCACAGTTTAAGAGCGAACGAGCCCTTAGTAAAGAACTTCGTCTATTCGCAAGACATGGGCTTCTCAAAGGGATTACATATCTCATTGATGGCACCCTGGCCAACGACCCGAAGAAACGAAACGCGCCACTGATGCATCAACCTACTACGTAGCGCCGCCCAGCTAGTAACAGCCCCGGATTATAAATTCCGACGAGTCCCCTGCTCGCCTCTTCGAACACTTCTTAAACCATGGAAATATCGTGAGCAGACTAACCTATTCCCAGGTGTCCACCAAGTTGCCTAACACACCTCCCATAGTTCTATTCTCCAGGGCGGTTACCAACACCCGCTCTCCCGGGCATGGCAGGGCCGCCGTCAACTCACTAAATCCATGTTCATGTACCCCATATTTATTACGGACGATCCCAACGCTAGCGTCGAGATACCGACTCTGCCCGGCCAGCGACGTTGGGGGGTGAACCGCCTCGAGGAATTCCTTGGTCCTCTAGTGCAGAAGGGTCTTGCAAGCGTTATATTGTTTGGGGTTCCGTTCAAGTGCGAGAAGGTGTGTGCGGTTTTACAGGCCCGTGTTCGGCTGCCTCACTGTTACCAGGATGGTAGAGGTACTCCTGCAGACGACCCCTCTGGACCAGTCATACAAGCCATCAAAAGACTTAAGACGCTATTTCCCTTGCTTTATATTGCGTGCGACGTTTGCTTGTGCGAGTACACCTCCCACGGACATTGCGGATTGCTTCACCAGGATGGAACTATCAACACCGAACCTTCTGTCGAGCGCCTCGCAGAGGTTGCATTGAACTACGCCCTTGCTGGCGCGCACTGCGTTGCGCCGAGTGATATGATGGATGGGCGTGTCACGGCTATCAAGCGCAAGCTGATCGATGCTGGGCTTGGGAACAAATGCACTCTCATGAGTTACTCAGCCAAGTTCGCCAGTTCTCTGTATGGACCATTTAGGTCAGTCACCCCAGTCATTCCCGTGTTTCAAGGTTTCCAACAGAGCGTTTAGAGATGCAGCCGGGAGTGCTCCTGCGTTTGGTGACCGCAAATGCTACCAACTTCCTCCCGCAGCAAAAGGATTGGCGAAGCGCGCTATAGTAAGGCAAATAGGATTTGTGTGGAGAACAGTGCTTAAGGAAACGCCTACAGCTGCGTGACGCGACAGAGGGTGCTGATATCATCATGGTCAAACCGGCACTTCCGTACCTCGATGTCATTGGAGATGCTGCAGAGCTTGCACCAGACCACCCTATCGCATGTTACCAGGTCAGCGGCGAATTTGCTATGATCCATGCAGGTGCGAAAGCTGGCGTCTATGAATTAAAAACCATGGCCTTCGAAGCCGCGGAGAGTATGGTCAGGGCTGGTAAGATTCACTGCCCTCGCGATCATTTCCATTGCTGAGTATTCCATCCTAAGGTGCTGGCATCATACTTTCTTACTTCACTCCGGAATTCTTGGACTGGCTCTCAGCATGAACACACCCCGGATCGAGCACAGCCCGTGGGCGCCATCCACTACATGGGAATTGGGTGTTGTGTTGTAGAGATGTATTGCTAGATGTAATATCGAATAGTACTGCAGTGTATCCCCGCTCATATATATTGTGTTGCCTCAGACAAAAAGACAGTCCGACCTGCCTGGCTCGAACAGGCGACCTCAAGATGGCAAGTTTATCCATTACAGTCTCGCGCTCTTCCAACTGAGCTAAGGTCGGTTGAGATACGTGGCCCCTTTTAATTAAATGACAGCTGCTAACGATGTGGTCCCGGGAAGGTTGGACAGGGCTGGACTATCAACGATGGTCAAGAACAAGGGCAAGCGCGACGATGTCCCAAATCCCAACCATATCAGCAACAAGGATATCATCCAACGTCTCAACTTTTTGTACCAAGCCAGCACCCTGCTCGGCACCATATCGCATCCTTCCCCTGCGCACACATCGGTGACATGCAGCCCAGACGCACGACATCAGCCAAAGCGCAACAGAGTTGTCACAACTTCTGAACTCTCAAGGAGCTATATAGATACAATGAAGATCGTCGGGCAGAAAACTAACACGAAGATGTTTGTGTTTTCCATCTCACATTCCCATCCAACGTCTGCACACATCTCATTGTGATCTCTTTTTTTAAGAGACCCCTCCGTCAAGCGCAGTTTGTGCAAAAGCTGCAGCTCGGTACTTGTGCCGGGCATTTCCGCTACGGTCCGGGTCAAAAGTGGGTGACTTGTATCCAGTACTGCATCCTGCTCACTGGGTGTCAGCAGATTCGGCTTCACACGGCCACCTCGTTTCCTATGTATGTCATGTTTGCCAGTCGGAACGTCGCATACCGGCTCCGCCTGTTCTACCTGACAACGACACGGGAGTCTCATGCACAAACCAGCCCGCAGCGGGAATCGCGGCAGCTAAATCTCATCGAGGCCGTCGACGGCACAAGGGACCAGTTCCCCGTCCGCCTCCCCACTTCGCTCGTGATATTGGTCACGTTGTATTTCGTGGAAACCAGATTATCTCTGGAGTAGATCCGGTATGCAATGACGCGGGTATCGGTGAGAAGAACCGTACGGCGCCCACTGACACTAGTACATGATGTCTAAAGTAGGACTCGAGAGAATTACAACATGCATACGGACAGCAGTATGGGTAATATTGGTGACAGAAGCATAGGCACGGTTGTAACCGCGGATCCAGCATGGAAGTATGGCCTAATAATGGCCATTTCGTGGTCAGCGATTTGCCCTCCGCACGATGAGAGGGCACGAACGATATTCCTGCTTGGTCAGAGTAGGATGGACAAGTATCGTTCGAGTTGAGCTAAGGATACTAGGTCAACTCTTCGGAATTACAGTGGCTTCCCCAATCCACGCACCATTGGATTATCGGGACAACATGAGACATAGCCCAGATTGGCTACACTTCCGAGTGCAGCTGAATTATTCCAGCCTTCCCAATATTCACATGAAACGCTCTGATAGCTTATGTTCCATACACCAAAGTCCTGTTTGGGGAATCGTTGTGAAATGTCACCCTAGACAATATTTAAAGTGACTCACTGAGTAACCTGGGTCTCTGTCAACAATGCAATCGTGCGCCGAGTCATGCGAGTGACTTACCATAGTATGAAGCGTCCGACGGAAAGAATGTACTTGGTATCGATGCAGACGGCCACGATAAATCAAAGTTGAGGTATTCGCCACCACTGCAAGAGAACTCATCATGCCGCGCCGTGGGGTATGACAGCATGGTTATCGTACTTACGCATTTGGCCTAGAAGTAGTCGCATTGCACCACCCCTGTTCCGCGTATGGGCACAAATCAGTGATTTTCACGACCACAGAATTTGTGGTGTTTGGGTGAAATGGGGGACTGGCTGTGAACGCGTCTAACAAGGTCAGGTTGAAGCATTGCCCACAGGCAGGGCCATACGATGTGCTACTTCCGTATGCCATCTGGTTCATGGCAGCAGTTGGGTACAGCGTGCTGTTGATCGCGCACCCACACGCTGCGATGAAACCCTCGGGAAGGGTGTAGTGGGTCATGGTGGCATATCCGTTGGATGGGTATTGTATCCAGTCCGAGGCTAAAGCGAACGAGAGCAAAGACAGTAGGGCTGACAGAACAAACGAGCGGTGGCCAGGCAGTGGTGTACTGCGATATAAAAACATTTTAGGACGAGGGCAGCGCCAGATCTCAGAGGTGTAAGGGGTCCCGGGCCAAGTATTAGTCTTCCTGGCAGCGCTGTACCGCACAGCTCATTGTCAAGGGACAACTCATGCGTCGATGGTAATAGAGTGCAGTTGCTCCAACAACAATGAAGTTGTCATACCCGTCGCCAAACGACGCGCCAGTACAATGACGCAGTGCTGGCGCTCAGGATTGCCCGTCATACGCCTTGCTCCACATGTAATTCCTGTCAAGGCCTACGACCTCCGTCCGGCGTCGCACTGGTCTTAGGCGACCATTCTTGTCATAGCTCGTCACTTGGTGACCTGAATCAGTACGGGTCGGACGAGGACGAGCCTTCATATCTTGAAACGTGCCTCTGTGGACATGGCGTTCGCGAGCACGGAGCCGACGAGGCGACATTGGGTAGGGAGGAGTTCTCCCGCCGAGGTCGTCTGGCTACCCGTCTGGATGAAATGCTACAGGTATGCACCTCCCCGTGTTCAGATATTTAGAACCTCAATAGCTCACGGCCTCGCGCTGGCGTTCATTTGGACATCGTGGTTCGCAATCGCAGGACGTGGACAGGCTGTTGGATTTTGAATACACTGACGGCAACATGCTCTCATTGAGGCAGCAAATAAAATTACCAGTATCCTTGATTACCATGTCCCCTACTTCCCTAGGTAAGGCGGGTGCAACCCCTTTCCAGCTACCTTCATGTCTTACTACCATCGTACAGATCGTTCCACACGAGCTCCGTCTTCTACACCCTCAATTTCGGCTGAAGAACCTCCCGTTAAGAGGCGTCGCCTTTCTCTCTCCCCACTGAGTGACGCGGACGAGGATGAAGAGGACGATAAACCACTGGCAGCCCAAGTGGGGTTGGCGTCTGATACACCTGTACGAACTACCCAGAGAAGCTGGAAAGAAGACATCGAGCATGAAGTCCAAGTCGCAGACAGCTCCCTCTGCTACGGATGACGTCAAGCCTGATGGTGCCTGCGTGAATGGCCACGTTTCAGGCGCAAAGGTCAAAGTAGAGGAGAAGATGGACGAGTCTCAGCTGACTCGGCTGGCGACTGGCGTAACTGTCGATGCTGGGCCTTCAGCATCTGCTGCGGTAAGTAACCCACTTTTGTTGATTTGCATCTGGCTGAATTGGCATGAAGCCCCCAACGAAGACAGAGAAGGCTGCCTTTGTCGAGTTGCGCAAGGGCATAATCCAAATAACCGCGGTGGAGAATGATGGATCCCCTCGTTCACTGGTCATTTTGACTGGTTTAAAGACTCTTTTCCGCACGCAACTACCAATGATGCCTCGAGAATATATAGCTCGTCTGGTGTACGACAGGAACTCCAAGGCGCTAGCAATAATAAAACGGGGGTACAAGGTGGTCGGTGGCATTTGCTACCGTCCGTTCCCTCATCGAGGTTTCGCGGAGATAGTCTTTTTCGCGACGGCGTCAGTAGACCAAGTCAAGGTATACCTAGTGTCACTTATCTCTTCGCCTGCGCACTTACCAATTCCAGGGGTACGGAGGCATGCTCATGGATCATTTCAAGGCTCACATCCGGAACACCTATCCCAACATCATGCACTTCCTTACCTATGCAGACAATTTTGCCGTCATTTTTTTCAAAAAGCAGGGCTTTTCGAAGGATATTACTTTGGATCGATCGGTATGGGCTGGGTACATAAAAGACTACGAAGGGGGTACTATCATGCAATGCACTATGCTGCGCAAGGTCAACTACCTGGACAAGGCGAACATCATTGCGAAACAGCGTGGTGCGGTCGTCGCGAAGATTCGCGAGAAGTCGAAGTCGCATGTCATATACCAGGGCTTGCCGCAATTTCAGGAGGGTGCACCGGAAGGTGTAACCGTAGATCCTAAGGACGTTCCAGGGCTTCGTGAGTATTCTCCGTTGCGCCCAGCTGTTTGAACCCTGACTACATCTACCGTAGGAGAGAGTGGATGGACCCCTGGCATGGCTTCATAGTGCGTTTTCAACTGAATGGTGATATGCCTGTTAATCACCCCATTTTTGACTCAGCCTGTCCTCAACACCAAGAAGCGCCGAACAGAACTTTATACACCGACTTCTCGGAGACCTAAAAGCTCATCCGAGCGCATGGGCATTCTTGAATCCTGTTAATGGAGAGGAGGTCGTCGATTATTACGACGTCATCAAGAGACCTATGGGTTAGTGAGCTGCATCGTTAGGATCCCTTCGGCTTGTTCCGACCTCTTTATAGATTTCAGCACGATGGAGCATAAACTCAATACGAATCAATATTCGAACATAAAGGCATTTATCGACGACACCCAGTTGATATTCGACAACTGCCGACTTTACAACCCAGAAGGTTCCGTTTACGTGAAGCACGCAGCAAAGCTCGAAAAGTTTATGAAAGAGCAACTCAATGATCATGCCAGGAGGTTGGCATGAGCCTTTTCCGGTCTCCTCGTTCTACTTTATGTACGTTTAGCTTGAGGAACTTGTATCCTTACCCAAAGTCCTGGCACGAAAGTAATCGCAGTTCACGCCCAAGAAAATCATTATATCAGGATCATGGGGAAATGGTAATATCCAAAATCCTAACTTCTGCGTATCTGGGTGTTGCGCGTTATCCTGACAGCGTCCGCAGTACCCCCTCCGGATTTCTGCGATTGTCAACTTCTGGACATGATCCATGACGATCGGCGCAGGACCAGTGACGTCGTTGCCGTGCAGTATTTGTGGGGTCTCAGATCTTTGGGCGCGCCAACTGGATTTCAAATCTGTGGAACGGCGCTTGGGGTCCCTTCGTCGATGCGCTATAAATTTGGCCGCGCTCGCCCTTGTACTTGTGTAGCACCGTTTGTAAACACTATGTCATCACCGGTACGTCTTTGTCCTGCCCGCTTTCGATGAGCTCTTCTGTTGAATTATGATTTCTGTAGTCCACTGGCACTACAGAGCCGACTACCGTCCCAAGCTGCGGCAACCCTAAGTGTACTTGCAGGCCGAAGTAAGGGTTCGCGTTATAGGGCTGATGGGTTATTCATCTCCTGTTCAATCCAGCTGTAACTGCAAACCTGGGGAATGCAGCTGCGGGTGAACCGAGAGGCAGGGACAGCTGTAACCAATATTTTAGAAGGGAAACCTTTTCCAAGCACCAGATCCTGGTGGCGGTTTGGTTTCGCTGATGAATGTTATGTTCGAAACAAACAAAGTTCAAAAATGTTTATTCACGCTGTCTAATCAAACCTTGAGCGCTCGACAAGACACGATGGAAGCCAGGGTAGCCAAAACGGGCTGCAGTATTCGCAGCCCAGATAATTTTGGAGCACGAAACACAGGCATGAGCAAGCCTACAGAGATGCAAAGATACATGAATACGTGAGATGAGCGCTGTAAAACGTGTACCCAAAGGGAGGAAATTGCTTAAAAAGTATATAACATTTTTTTAAAAGACTTTTCGAAAGAAAGAAGGACAAAAGGAAATTGGGAGGCGGGCGTACGACGCTAGATAGAGGCAAAGGGCGGGTCATGTTTGGGGTGCCCGTGAAAAATGAAGGCCTGGAGCTGGACGTCGACTTTGTTTCCATCAAAACAGGCGCCTTGCTCGTCATGGGGAAGTAGAAACTGATAACAATTCGGAAGGATGACGACGACATGTCGCCAGGGGAGCTTGGACGATTCCTGGTCATCGACCTTATCAGGCCAAACCAACTCCCCGAGGCGGTTCAAACCAGACAAGCCCGTTTCAAGCAACGCAGGGAAAAGCAGGTCATCATAAGAGATGGGTGAGGGCATGTGGTTCATGACATGCTGGAGATGCTCCCGAACAAGGGGTTATTTTTGTTTAATGGGCAACGAGAAACGGCGAAGACAGCCTTCAAGTGTGTAAGCAACAATGGGAGACTGCCTAATTTGTGGGGCCACAGGGTAAGAAGGTTTCAGCTAATTTACGATCCCTGATAGGTGAGCACCGACGGATCTAGGCTTGACGTAGTGGGACACGTAGGTGACGTGGAGGGTGAACGCTGCGGTGAAGGGCTATCCCAAAGGCAATTGAATGTTCCTTTAGGAGATGTTCAAGCGGGCAAAGCTGGAAACAGGTCAGGAGGGACGAAGCCAACCCCTGTGACCGTTACCTCACTAAAACTGTGAGTAGAACTCCGCTTACAGGGGACAGAGCCTCAAGCTCAAGGACAGGCGGTATGACAAGCCCGGTGGCCGTAACTTTCGGCCGCAGGCGGCCCGAGGGGCTACGGCCTCGTAGTCTAGTTGCACCCAGTCGATTAGTCTCGAAAAAAAAAAATCGCACCACGAAGCATGGGAATCCAGCGTTCTGCAGTATCTAAGTTGTGTTGCTTCGGGCTAAATCTTGGGCGGGGGTTCTTATAGGTTCGGTCATTTACGACATATTGGTCAAGAAAGGGGTTTTGCATTGCTATTATCGTACATTCAAGTTGATCCGGAGGCATCTGATATGGTATGTATGGAAACGCGTAAAACACTATACATTTCAACGCTGTCCATCTAGGTGCTTTCACGTCAGCACCCCATAGGACACTGCAGAGAGCATACTCACAAGCCTTGGTTTCGTATTTGCCAATGCCGACAATGACATTCTGGGGCTCTTGAGGCTTATCGGTAAGGTAGTTTTCAAGGATACTCTTTACGCCTTCGGCATAGCGTTTTTGTGCATCGAGTGTAGTACCCGAGTAGTGTGGCACCATGCCGTTGCCGCCACCTAGCGGGTTCTTCGCCGTTCGCCAAATGTGGTCCTTGGGAGCCGGTTGAACGTTCCAGACGTCACCAGCATATCCTGCGAGACAGTGTCAGGACTGTTTGGGTCAGGGAACACCCACACTGACCACTCAAATGCCCAGACTGAAGAGCACCGGCCACGGCATCCTTGTCGCAAATGGCTCCACGGGCGGTGTTGACGAGGTATGCCCCCTTCTTGAAATGCTTCAGGAGCTCTTCGTTGACCAAACCACGTGTGCCCTCGTGAAGTGGGCAATTCACTGTGATAACATCACATTGAGAGACGAACTCATTGAGATCTTCGACTCGGCGGGCTTTGACTGCCTTGGCAGCGGCTGTAGCATGTCGGGTTAGAAGGGGTGTCAGCGGGATGAGACCAAATCGAAGTAGTCCCACCTTCTGGAAGAGGAGCATAATCATAATAAAGGAGTTCCTTGCAGTCAAACGGTACCAGCCGCTGAAGAACGCGATAGCCAATGCGGCCAGCACCGATGGTACCGACGACTTTTCCCTCCAAATCGAATGCATTGCGTGCAATTTGAGAAACCTCCCAGTCACCACGTTCGATCATCTACGGCGTGCGTCAGGATAGGATTCGGTGTTTTTAAGCCGACATTACATACCTCGTGAGCGGGAACAAAATTCCTCACGAGGAGCAGGATGGACATGAGAACGTGCTCCGCAACTGACACAACATTCGATCCTGAGACTTCCAAAACTTGGACTTTATTCTTCACTGCAGCATTGAGGTCGATATGGTCGGACCCGACTCCAGCGGTAACACATAGCTTCAGGTTCTGGGCCTGTGAAGCAGATTTGTTATCCCTGGGCCTAATGCTGATCGGAGTGCCCACCTTCTCGAATAAATCGGCGGTGAGGTATCCCGGGTGGAAGGGTGTAGTGATCAGGATCTCGGCCTGGACAAGTGAGACCAAATTTGCTAAAACTTATTATAGGAATTAACACACGTCGACAATGTGTTTTTGGAAGTCGCTATCAGGGCCTTCCTTGGAGTCGGAAACCTAAAACGCAGTGAGTTGACTTGAACACCCCGAAGTCATCAGTACACACAACATATTCGTGGCCTAGCGATTCAAGGTACTCGCGAAGTCCAAGCTACACAGGCGTCAAAACAAGAACCAGTGCATTACAGTTTGTTATGCTTGCCTGGATTCTCAACAGTGCCAAGCAGACGAGACTCGGCCTTGGCAGCATCACCACCTTTGTACAGAATTGCAAGAATCTACTTCAGGCTGTTAGGTCGAGTTCTCACATGGAGGAAGGCGAATTGACCTTCATTCTTGGTTAGACGCGCGAAGGAAGTAGCTGTGAGAGAGGAAGTATGAGTAGCTGGGATAAGGCAGGGTCCTGGTCGTTTTTATATGCAGACACTATCTTGTGTTCGATATAAATTCCCATCAGAATCCCCTTACGCCTGGACGAATTTAGCTGTCGTACAACCACATACTACGGAGACTCGACCAGTTAATTTTGGCGGATCGTGTCAGCACGGTCACATGAATTTGAGGTTTGCGGTATTATGTAAAGAGGAATCTGGCCCCTTTGCGGAGCACCGCGATTACTTCATTACTCAATTTCCTTATCGAATACCGGGTTGTCCTTGAAACACACTCAGTGAAGATTGTGGCAGCCGGCATCGTGAAGAACTTCTGTCCTCCACAGCATTGAATTAAAGCGAGAAGGTGCTCTGTATAACTTATCTAGCGTGCTGAGAAGCAAAAAAGAAAGTCAGACAAGTGTATATATACATATCACCCGAGAAGTACTCGCCACCATAATTGTCTATGATTGGATCACGATGATGACCTATGTTGATGGCATCATTCAACAACAGGTCCTTGTGTGCGTCAAATAGTTCCAGTCCATCTGCAGCCCTCTCTCTGTCTTTTCCTCTCCTCACAACCTCCCACTCAATGCGTAGGAATACCCACATCCATCTTCGTAGCACTTCCGCTACCTCGAGACAAAAGATTGCAACACTGCCCTCGGACTGTAGATGGAGATGGCTCGACAATTTGACGGACCATGTCATCCGCAGCACCAGGTTGAGAAACACGACCAAGGAGTACACAGGGAGAGGGTATAGCAGAACGGGGCGAAGTCCATAAGGATAGGCAGAGCCGTGTCGAGTTGTGCGGTGGAAGGACAGTGCGCGAGACGATTGGAGTCCGTCCTGGTGTAAAGGGAACCTGTCGACCGCGTAAGAGAGGACGATCCTGCGACTCGGTGCGGCGGAACTTTAGGACATCAAGGCCCCAGTCATTAGTCAAATCCCACCAGAATGAATACAGGGAATTGATGACAACGGCAACGAGCCTGCGATACCGCCGTGTAATAATAACTATTCCACGTATAGATCGTGCTTACTCACCAAAGCCGAAAGAGGGGGTGCTCTCCATGCCACGCTTTGTGGCTGGCTGGTTCTCCACCAATTTTTACTAGCTCAGACTCGACTAGTCGCTGAGCTGCGGATAAAAATATTACTGGAAACGAGGAGGCGTATTTAATCGCGTTGAGGAGTGGACGGCGGCTGGTATTGGAGAGGGACCAGTACTCGATGAGGCACTGGCGTAGACGGATAGCATATGGTAAACTGGAACATTTGGTCAAAAAGTCCACCCTCCAAGACCTGCTAGAGCGTAAAGGCAATACCTCATTAAACATGGTAATACCCATTGAACCCACCCCTCATGTGTTGGAACGGACAACAAGCTCCCTCCAGGGAGCAGCATCCAAAATGACAGCCAGAGATCCCCCAATACTTTGGCATAGGAAGTGAGGATGTCGGCAAAAATAACGTCCGAGAAGTATATTTGACTGTCAGACGCAGGGAAACAGCATCTTCCTGCAGCACTAGAGGAATAGTAATGGATAGTCGCACGCTGTGGAGCCAAAGGAACCTACAGCAAGAAGGAGTCCCTTTCGCGTTTATGAACGATGTCCGTTGTACACAGGAGAACGGTCAGTACGCTGAGGATGCATACTCCAGGGATGTATGCAAAGACATCCACGACAGCGACGTTTGAACACGTTTGCACTCTGTACAGCAGCCATGCACCGAAGCACCACAACGAATAAATGACGAAAAGCCGATAAAGAGGTGCATAAAAGACGCGTGTTGGAAGCTGTTTCTTGCGAGACGGGGGACTTGACTGCAGGGGTAGACAACTGCGGTCCTGTAGTTCCAGAACGCTTGGTCCGTCGACACCCAACCGTTCCAGGCCGTGAAGGTTCGTTGCCCAACCAAGGATACCCAGGCCAACCAAAAATAGAACACGGAAAGGTAACGGGAACATTGCAGCGAGAGGCTTTTCAACCTGAGCGTCCATTTCGGCCCCTGCGTGTGCACGACCTTGACATTAACCGTGTGTTCAAATGACGGTAGTCTCGAGAGTAATGACTGCGCCCGGCATGAAGGTGCCACGTGACTGACTCGCTTTGCGGGCTTTCCTAGTTGGGTAAGCCATCCGCTCTTGCTCGACGTTTCACCATGACAGATAAATCCAGCGCCTATGGAACCAAAGCTGCAGATACAGATTTTAGGAAGAAATGGGACAAGGAGGAATACGCGGAGCGAGCGAGGAAGAAGGACGAGGAGGAGAGGGAAAGGATGAAGGAGAACGAGGAGCGTATGAAAAAGGGTGCGTCCCGATGGCCTCTCTTGCGTGGCATTTCTGACGATGATATTTGCTCAGGAAAGGCTCCACGTAAAGCACGAAAGGAGGATTTACCTAAACCAACGGAACTCATGAAACGTCGGGAGGGCTCGCTCGAGCTGGAAAAGAATCTCAACAAAACAATGGTCGTCCAGAATCCCGGAGGTCGTGGTCCTGGGCAGCCCGGCTTTTATTGCGAGATGTGCAATCGCACGTACAAGGATACCTCCGCCTATTTAGACCACATTAACGGAAGAGCTCGTAATGCCGTCTCTTGTTCAATTTACATTAGGCTAACGAAGCACAGACTTGAGAAAGTTGGGACAGACAACTCGCATAGAGCGCTCGACGTTGGCGCAAGTCCGCGCACGGATTGCCTATCTTCGTGAAAAGACAAAGGAAGCTTCCAACACGAAGGCATTTGACTTCGACAAACGATTAGCAGAAGTGAAGGCCAAAGAAGCTGCCAGACGCATGGAACAAAAGGCTCAGAAGAAGGTCCAAAAGGAGCAGGCTCGCATCGCACTCGTCGCGGAGGCGGAGGTGGACGATGAAATGACAAGACTTATGGGCTTTGGGGGGTTCGGGTCTTCCAAGAAGTGAACTAACCCTGTCTCTTCACCAGTTCTTCCCCTGTCATGTTGGACCCTCCTTCCGGCGCATATTAACGTTTACTCCTTACAATCAGTGTATTCTAGTCGCACAACGGGTATCCAGCACTCATCTAACCAGAATTTCCTCACAGATTTACTAGCGTTAGCCGGAATTTAACATCTGCCACCTCCTGCTCTTCTTCTGCAATCAAGTCACCTCCATTACGTTCTCCTGCACTTCTCGGGGTGCTCCTGATGGTCCTTTGGATGTTCTCTGCGTGTTCCTCAAGTGCCTTCAACAGCTCTACACCTGAATCGTCTTCGAACCTGTAATATACTTCTACGTCGTCTGTTGCCTGCAAGCCGGCCTTCTTCCTCAGCTTTTGCACTCTGTTGATGAACTCCCTCGCAAGCCATTCACTCATGAGCTCGGGATGCACTTGAACGTCCAGTCGAATAACCACGTCATTGTCTGTGTGTGTAGCGTACTGGCCCTCGGAGGCGGGTGGCAGTTCGAGGTATCGCTGAACGGTCAAATCACCGGTGATGAGCTCGATTCCGTCAACAGTAATTTTTCCCGTGTCGATGTATGCTTTCACGGCGTCGCTTGACACACTAGGAAGCGCGTTTTTGACACGTCCAAGATCCTTGCGAAGTCTACGGCCAAGGACACCCCAGTCTGCTACTGCGCGATAGCGTACACCAGACATTGTTTCGTCAGATGTGAAAACAATGTCGCGGACGTTGAGTTCAGATTGGATGTACCGCTGGAGAGATAATACGTCCGTTATGTATTGCGCATCGGGATGAAAGACCAATAGTGCCTTCAGGGGGGTCTAAGATAATGTGTAAGCACACTGATCATCTTAATAAGACCTAACACAACCTTCAGCGATAGATTATGTCGTTCACGAATGTTCCGTGCAAGATCGATGACAGCCTGCATCCGCTGAACTTGTCTCTCAATCTCAACATCGAAGTACTCTTGCTTCACTTCGGGGAAACTGAGGAAGTGGATGGACCGGGGGTCTGGGACCGACGGATCTTCCGGCAAGTAAGGGCGAAGAGCCTGATAAAGGTTCTCTGTCAAGAACGGAGTGTATGAAGACTGGAAATTTCACGTGAACGATACAACAAACAACCTTATTTCAGGCACTTACCATAGTGCGACACAGGGTGAAGAGAGTTTCGAATAAGGTGTTAAGCGCAGTAACGGCATCCTCCGAACCATCTTCACCTTTCAACCTGCGTCTGTTGAATCGGATGTACCAGTTTGTCAGTTCATCTACAAGATCTAGCAGACGGGGGAGGATGGTATAAAGTCTGTACGCCGCCATCTCCGTTCGGAACAAAAGAATCAACGATTGACAGCGGGCGAGAATCCAGCGGTCCATGACATTATTTGAAAGCGGCACTTGGGGATTATACTTGAACTCTATGCCAGCAGTCTTATGCAACAAATTGGCTTGTCCAAGGAAGAAACGGCATGCGTTCACCCACGGAAGCATAACACGCGAAACCACTTCCCGGACCCCTTCCTCTCGGAACCGAAGATTGTCACCCCGGACGATAGGAGAATTGACAAGGAACATCCTGAGGGTCAGTCAGGTACAAAATCATAGGCAAGGGCAATCGTTCGAACCTCACAGCGTCCGCTCCGTAGACATCGAACATAAGCTTAGGATCAGGATAGTTTCGCAAGCTCTTGCTCATTTTCTTGCCATCAGCCGCAAGGACAAGACCGGTAACGATCAAGTTCTTCCAGGGTGCTTTTCCAAAGAGGTGGGTTGACAACACCAGGAGCGTGTAGAACCACCCTCGCGTTTGGTCAATACCCTCGGAAACGAAATCACCGGGAAAATTATTCTCGAAGAACTCTTTATTTTCGAATGGATAATGAACCTGCGCGTACGGCATACTTCGGAGATAAAGGCACATGTAAGAAATGTACCATTCGGATGCAAGAAAAAGCGTACCTTCCAGACTCAAACCAGCAATCGAATATCTCTTCCACTCGTCTCAACATGCCTTTGCCTTTCTTCGAGGGTATTGTAAGGTGATCGATCTTGTCTCGATGTAGGTCCGTTATTCCGGTCACGCCGGACAATGCCTCTAACTCTGCAATGGATCCAACTGAGACGATCTTTAAAATATCGTGATTGCATCAGCCTTCTACTCGGTGGTAGGAAAAAAGTGTGCAAACCAACCTCTTCGTAGTCTTCACTGACCCAGAGGGGTAACGGTGTTCCCCAGTACCGATTTCTGGATATGTTCCAGTCACGCGCACTGGCTAACCAGTTGCCAAAACGATTATCTCCCACTGTCTGGGGTACCCTGCGATAATATGTAAAAATCTCGTATGAAGGAACTGGATTCTAACCATAAAGTCTCCCTGTTATTTGCAACAAGTTGGTCCCTGATAGGCTGTACCCTTACGAACCAGGATGGTATAGCGCGGTAAATCAAAGGTGTTCCAGATCTATCAGGATGTTGGTAAGTAATGGCGGAGTCGCTTACGCCAGCACCTGCGGTACATACCTCCAACAAAACGGATAAGAGTGTTTAGTATTTGATTGCACTAAAAGTCGTCCCTTTGCCTTCAAATGCTTCTGAATTTCCTTATCCGCATCCTAGTGTAGGGGTCATCAGCAAGCTCCAAAGAACCGTCTGTGGAACGATACTAACCTTGACGTACAGGCCCAAATAATCAGTGACAGGATTAGTGAACCTACCAACGTCGTCTAGCGGACATGGTGGCAACTCTTCAGGCGCTACAATCCCGTTTGCAATGGCAATGCGGTGGTCGTCCTCGCCGAAGGCCGGTGCTTGATGAACGATGCCCGTACCGTCTTCATCCGTCACATAAGAGTCAGTGACTACCTTGAAAGCTCGGGCTCCAAACTGTAATGGGTATGCACAGTTATTCTGAGTATCGTCTGTGACAGATAGGTAGGACTTCCCTGCTCAGTGAAGTACTCGAACAACGGTACATATTTCCAGCCTTTCATATCCGAGCCTTTAAAGGTGGTAATTTTCTTGAATTTCGCCTTCTTTGGATCCTTGTAAAGCGTCCCCAGGAGCTTTTCACAAAGGATATAATTGACACCTTTATCTTCGTCGTGGATTTTTATGTAAGTAAAATCCGGGTGTACACACAACCCGAGATTTGAGGGCAATGTCCATGGGGTGGTCGTCCATGCTACGAGCGATGTCGTGGGATCTTCTACGAGAGGGAAAGAAACAGTAATGGCAGGATCATTGACATCCCTATAATCCAATCCAGCCTCGAAGTTCGACAGTGGGGTGGTGCAACCGGTAGAATAAGGCATCACACGAGTGCCACGATAGACCAGGTCCTTCTTCCAAAGCTCGTTGAAGGCCCACCAAATACTTTCCATGAAGGTGGTGTTGAGAGTTTTGTAATCGTTATCGAAATCAATCCAGCGCCCCATGCGTTCTACCGTCGTGCGCCATTCGGATGCGTACTTCATGACGATCGAGCGACATTCCGAGTTGTATTTGTCGATGCCCATACGCATCACGTCTTCTTTTCCAGTGATTCCAAGCTTCTTGTCTATCTCATGCTCTACCGGAAGACCATGAGTGTCCCAGCCAAAGCGACGGGTGACATGATAACCGGAGACGTGAGCATATCGAGTGACGATGTCCTAGAGGCAAATAAAAAGAGAGAGAGGTCAGAGAGGGCTCCATTGATGCTGGTGTTTGCATACCTTGATGGTACCCGCCAACAGATGACCGTAGTGGGGCAATCCAGTTGCAAACGGTGGCCCGTCAAAGAATACGTACTCAGGCTTCCCTTCAGATAACTCCAAACTGGTCCGGAACGCGTCGATCTGGCGCCAGTACTCAATAACTTTTTCCTCCTCCTTCGGGAAGTTGAACGATTGTGATACTGCAGTAATCGGATACGATCAGCGGGGTGTACAGCAGGGAAGAAGATGGACATACTATCGTGTCTAGGGAACGACATTGTTCTAACCTGCGGCTGCCAAGCAAGTGTTGGTGTTGCCACGATTGATGTGATCGTCTTAGTTTTGGAAGCGAAGACACTGGCCTTTTTCTTTTTATCTTAGTGAATTAGGTTAGAAGGATCTGATTCCTCTTGACTCGCCCATCAGCCTCACAGCCACAACCATTAATGATTAGATTACAAGGTCACTGATCAAGAGTACATGACGAGGAAAAAGTATGACAACCCCCACCATATTTGCACTAAACTAGCACGCCATCACTCCCAATCGCTATCCTCCGAGTCGTCTTTTGTGCTCGCCTTTTCTGGCCCTTCCCGTACATCCTCTGCGTTGCTAACAGTTGCAGATACCAAGTCATAACTGTCCTCACTGCTGAGTCTGGGGCTCAGAGCCGGGCTGAGGGAAGTCGAGTGTCCACCACTGGTGGCTGCCATTCTGCGGGGAGCTAGGGTGCGCTGAGATTCTAAAGATTTCACGGATGCATGAGAGGGTCTAGCGGATTCAGGTTCCTCTTCCTCATCCTCCCAGCTAAAATCTTCATCCTTCTCAGCGGTAGCTGAAACCTCAGATTAGAAGTGGACGCTTAGAAATGAAATAAAGTAGCAACCTTGGAGCAGGGCCTTACGCCTATTTTCTTCTCGTTCGATTTGATGTACCCGGAAGAAGTATCTGACCCAGAATACTTCTTCGGGCATGTATGATGGTACTGTCATGAGAGGGTTTGTGACGACTACCATGAAACTACAGGAAGTGACTTACCAAGACTATCCAAAGTATCTTGTAATGAAAGACCATCGTGGAGGTCCGACAGCGCGTCAGCAATTCGACCCGACCACGCCTCAGTGCCAAACCCTGCACCGCTTGCCTCAAGATCATTTACCCATGCTAGATATGATTCCTTTGAGGAATCTACGGCGGGGTCGACCTTTGTTATTTCGGGGTTACTTCTGAGTTGCTTCAACAATGATTCTGCGCGTGTCGCCACCGCACGCCGCGCGTCCTCTGACAGACGGGCAGAGCTGTCAGACTCTTTTGCCTTCCCCTTAGAATTGCTCCTGCTCCCCTCTGCACCAGCAGCCAAACCGGGGAGCATCCACACATCTGCGCCATCCCACACGACACCGGCACCGGGCTCGGAACCCGCCTCCTCTGGTGGGATGACTTTCACCGCATCTCGAAGGACTTCGCTCGCTTCCCTCATTGCCTCTCGAAGAATGACTTCACTCTTGTGTACATACTCCTCTGCTTGCGCGCGTGTGACTCCTTGAACTCGCTGGAACTCCGCCGAGAGGGTATTGCGCAGCTGAGAAAGGTCTATGCTTTCGGCGTTCTTGAGACTTTCTGGTAGATGTGCCTGTACGGTGGAAACTACGTTTGGTGGAAGAGATGAACGTATGCGCGTGAAGAACGACTGTGGTGTTGAGGCCGAGGATGTCGATGATACCGTAGTGGGTTCGTGAGTGCGATCCGTCTCTTCTGCAGTTGGTGTACTGGGCCCTGTATCGTTCGATTCGTTCCCTTCTTGATGCCCTTCGGCTTCCACTTCACGCTCGTCTCTTGAAGAGGATTCATTCTCAGCGGGGTCACCGGTCGGCCTGGCCGTCGTGAATTTCCCAATCTCTCGCTGAGCCTGGGTGACAACTTGGCTGAGATCTCGTCGTGCATTTGCGAACACTACCCCACCCTAATGATGTCAGCCGACACAGTGATTGCCTAGCAAGTTCCGTGGCGGCTCACCTGCTTCTTAAACCCTCCCCAGAAATGACCGAGGGTGCCAATAACTTGCGACACCTCTTCGTTTAGGCTTTGCTCTGGGCGATCGCCGGCGGGCGGAGTGCTGGTCCCAGTGCCGGCAATACCGTATGCATCAAGGAAGTTCATGGCGTTGGTCAGGAAACCAAGGTCGGAAATTGTGTGAAAGGGTGGAAACCCAGACTAGATAGACTAGACAGTCTAAATACGACGTGTAACCTGCCAAAGGCAGTTTCTATTCATTTTATCATGTCGTACAAGTGTTCCTACGCAGAAGCTACTAGTTCATCCTGGTTCTGTCCAACCGTGCCGGTAACATCTGCAGGCATGCTTCTCACGCTCCGCTGCTTCATGGCCCGACACTCATTTACAAAGTCTGTGAACATCTGAAATTACTTGTCAATATGCACGCCTGTGGACTGATAAATAACTGACCCCTATCGTATCCAATGGCCCACCAGCACTTTCGGGATGGAATTGCACTCCCCATATTTTCTTACCTGATTCCGCAGTCGACTTGATACCTTCCACAGATGAGTCATTGCAGTTGATAAAGAAGGGTTCCCAGCCTTGCGGGAAAGGATCAGACAGTTTGAGTGCATATTGATGGTTTTGACTGCAAAAAAAAAAAAAAATCACTATGTCGCCTGCCCAAATCCATCTCATTTCTTACCTTGTTACATAGACTCTGCCCGCCTTGATGGACCCAGATGACGCTAACGCAAGTACGGGCTGATTATGTCCGCGGTTTCCAAAAGTCATGCGATATGCTTCTAGGCCAGCAGCCATCCCAATGATCTGATGACCCATACAGATACCGAAAACTGGCTTGCTCCATTCCTGGAGCGTGCGGCGCAACTTCATGGCTGCACTGATACAATGGGCCGGGTCACCAGGTCCATTGGAGAGAAAAAGACCATCGTATTGATCACGAACGGAATCGAAGTCGAAATTCCACGGGAGAACAGTAACTGCGGCGTTCCGACGAACGAGGGAGCGTAGAATGTTTGCTTTGGCGCCAAAGTCGAGGACAGCTATTTTGACATCGCCCCCCGGATTTAACTCGTAAGGCACTTTGGTAGATACCTGGTCAACCAAGTTCTCGGTCGTAGGGTCCCAATATTGTTCGGGGGTTGGACGAGAAGCTGATGTATCCGCACCAACCGCGATCCGACCAAGTGTAGTACCTTGGTCACGCAGTAAACGGGTAATTGCGCGGGTATCGACTCCAGTGATTCCTGGCACCCCAGACCGACGGCACCATGAAGCAAGGGACTCAACGGCTGAGTGGTGTGAAAATTTCTCAGCGACGTCTGCAACGACGATTGCGCTGCACTGGATATCTTGAGACTCCAGGACAACACCGAACATCTTGGGAGTCGATTGGAGCTGTGTTACGGGGAACACCATAGTTTCCAATCAGTGGAGTTGTGAAGACCAGGATTTGACCGCGGTAAGACGGATCAGTCATAGACTCGGTATCTATCGAGAAGGAAAAAAAATGTTAGCTTTGTTCAGGCATGAAAATCTCGACAACGAACAGGACGTGATCGACGTAGAAAACACAGTTTCTCCAAAAATGCTTTCGGGGGCACCAAATGATCGCCCGAAGAAAGATTGGCCAGTCTTGAGATGCAACACAGCAGGTAAGGTGACACGTGGACCTGCATGAGTAACAAAGCCACGATAGAGGGCTGGGCTGCGAATAATGCAAGAAATCATATTGGACAGAGAGGTCAGAGGCTGAGGAGCGAGAACACCAAGTCACTAAGATAACTTTGGATCCAGTCAATGAAAGGTAGAAGAGTGAAGGCCTAGACAGCGAGCTTACTCGTCGCGTGTACTCTGGGTGAAGATCATGTACGAGCTTAAGAGAAGCTCTTGGTCTGTCGCTCAGCAAAAAAAAAGCAAAACAACGACTCGTGCCCGGAAATTTGTAGCGATAGTGTCAATGATTACGTGATCGCTGATTGTTCACACACAACTGGCCTACAAGTTGCCAGCTGTCCTTGCTCACGCTCACTGCTACCCAACTTGTTCTCAACCACTCCTGTTATGTGCTGACGGGAATGTTAGTTATTACTGCCGCCTCTGTCGCACGCAATTGTCGGTATCGCTTTCACCGTTAAGTTCTTGCACAGCCAGCAAATAATTAACGCGTCCAACGTTCTCAGTACATACCCCTGGCACAACGATTTATCCACGTACACATTGTCAGGGCCTTCACTGGTAAATATTAAGAGAATTGAACGTGAAGTATGCGTCGACAAATGCGGAAGGATTCTGATTCACATAATCTTACAATTCGGGTTAAGCGTCTCAGATGTGCGAGGCATCGAGGCATCGGAACTTACCAACACAGTCCGATGGACACCCCGAATTACTGTAGACAGCGCTGTTGCCAGCCCAATCCCCACCTGCATATATAGAACTGGTCAGCAATGTAGTGCATGCAACGAACTCCGACATTCACAGAAAGTCAAATTAATGATGATATTATGGGGACCGAAGTGCGTGGAGAAATCGCAGTCTGTGTCGGGAAAGTACGCAGCAGGGGTTCCCTGAAAATAAACTTGAACAAAGGGCTCAGGGAAACGATATGAAGACATACCCAACTGTCGGTATTCACAGATGTCCCCGGATACTGGACATCGTCTGGAACGGAGGAACTCCCTCTCTCCCAAAAGTATATTCTGATGAAGGTAGACGCGCGCTCGATAGCATACCTGACATGAAATTCAATACTATGCCTCAGTACAGAGAAAAAGATCGACACCATCCACCGCCAATTCCGTTAAAATTTAGACCGAAGCTGTTAATATCATTGGTCTGTACACCACACCCCGAATTGCCCGTCTCATAAACTGTCGCAGTTTGTTCCCGTGCTCGTACTGTTACGAAGGATGTTGTCAGAGATCTGCTGATTTCCACTCGCAACTCACCCAGTCATGCTCCTGGAATCTGGCATCGTACAATCTTCCCATCCATCAGTAAAGGAATGCGGGCTGGACTGGTATGACGTACTAGCACTCGTGTGCAATGATGATAAGTTAGGACTCTGGTTATTAACACCTTCCACGATATCCACCTCACCCTACTGCCGAGGCTGCCTATCAACTTCAAACTCGTATGCAGTCAACGATTAATACAAACCTCATTGGGCCAGTCCGCACCAACTTCCTATACAAACATCATTATCCATATAACCTTCCTGTGACCAGACTTACCCTGAAAAGTTAAATGCAGTGAACTCAAAATAAGTGTTCACTGTATCTAAAGAATGGAAGATGAACAAACCCTACTGCCGGTCAGATCACACAGGTACCAGGGGAGGGGATCACGTACAGACAGCAGGCCACGTTCCGCATCCCTGAGGCATATGGGCAATGTCAAAGCTGCACCAGGGAAATAAGAGTCCGAGCCGACACCAAGACTGACGGAACCTACACGGCTACATGTGTGGTATACTGTGCATTAGACTGAAGCCTGAAAGAGTTCCGTCCGGGGTCCGAAGAAGACAAAACGGTAATGCTGTCCGCCCGCAACGTCACTTGGTTCCCCGACACGGATACCAACCCGTCCGCCTGTGCGGTCGATTCTGTAACGTAGTTACTGTGATTGTAAGGGTCATTGCTAGTCATTTCGTTAATCAGAAGAACATACACCCGCCCGTTGGTAGGATCTGCCACGGCTTGCCAGCTAAAGGCATTCAGAAATCCTTGTCCAATGAGGTTGCTCGTCAATGAGTACGTTGCGGCAGAGGTAGTTTTTGCAAGGCCCACAAGCACCATAGAAGTCACTAGGCGCATCAACATTCTGCGTATCGAACGGTGCAGAGGGGTAGAATGGACTGTTGACTCCGACACTGGGTCATATAGGAAAGCCCCTTTATATCAGCCACAAAGCATCCCCACCGCTTTTAGGCCTGTGAGGCAAGCATAGGTCGAATGAAATGGTATCAACCTAGACTGAATTATAAGCACCCAGGTAAAAGTAAATGCCGCAGGAGAAATTAAGGCTGACCCGCACTTGCAGCAGCAAACACCAAGGCTCAAAAATAGAATCCGCTGATTCATAAGAACTAACACCATCACTTCGTAATCACGGAGGCCCGGGACTGAGAAACCCTGTGCAAACGAAATTCTTAGGCTGGAGTGTGATGGTAGTCAAGTCGATTGCCCGCAAGGGAACCTACGGAAAAAGTCCCATACACAAGGACCACAGCGAACGCGTCTGTACAGGTCCACAGTGAGGAGCGGGGGGACGAGTATAACGAGAGGTGTATACTGTGAGAATAAGGCAGGAGGTATGCTGGCATTCGCGTAGAACAATAGGGAACCCCGCTACTTGATGCCGAAAAAAAATGCACCATTCCGTGAAAATAGCTGTGGTGACATCCGGAGCGGATAGTGACTAGTGATTAACCCTAGAAGATGTTGATACCGCAACAGCTGTCGCATCCAGTGGCGCACAACCGAGAGCGATTATAGGTTGGCCTTCCGTTACTCGCCCGCGTGCACTTGGTAGACTAGTAAAAGGCCCCTAAGAAATGGGTTGTTTGACCAGGATAATGATTCTGACAGCTGAAGGGTATGGAGTACGAACCGGAAGTATTGCGATAATGGCATGCCATCTGACCCGAGCAGTCTATCATTAGTTTCTCCACGCCTTCCAGTTTGTCAGGAATGGGGCGACCGCGTGACCTGTCGCCGGCGAAGTCTAGGAGATCAGGGGAATGTACCATCGAAACTAAGGCTGCAAACTTACCACGTGGAGATATTTGGCCCAGGAGAGGCGACTGGTATACGATCAAGGCTACGATTACTCTGTAAAGAGCAATAAGGCTGCGCTAAGAACAGACGATGAAGGGAACGTCATGGAGCCATCACCAAGCTTGTCTCGTTGGGCAGGGTTGTAGTGACAGTAGCACGCACCGATTTGGTTGTTGACGTGTACCTACGGTGTTAGCTCCATGCACCTATCCCAACCAAGTACAGAGAAAGGGAAGCTGGCGGGAAGAGCTATGGTATTCACAACCAAGTCGGATGGCCTGCAGGAAACTCCGAGTCCCTGCCCATAAGTATCTTTTGATTCCGGTTTAAGTATCGCGGACGTTTCTCTCCAGGTCCAGGGACCCATCACTGCAGGAACGGCACCTGTCTAACCTCTTCTTATGCAAGTAACTATAGTTACCGGGCCTGACACACACATCCTTCCGCGATGTGATGTTGTCATCGATGGTGCTGCAGTGTCAGCCTAAGAGAGTCAATCAGGTCGCACCAAGGGCCGACTAGTCAAGCGGAACGCAAAAGCCTGGGAAGATATGCGCGTCGAAGGATTACACTTCTCAGAGACTTCGGGTCGCGTAGTGCATCGTCGTGATATAGTAAATCTGATCATCACCGACAATTAATATGTCGTAGTAGCATTACTGTAGATATAACGAGGATGCTAGTCCGCAAGGATCGAGAAACATGATTGCACTGAACTGGAGTAGGTCAAAGGCCATGCAAAAGTCCCCTCTTCTTTTTATTTGGTAATATGGAGCTGGCCCTCCGCCCAATCGGAATATGAGTCAGTTGACATGGGATCGTCCGTCTCAGAACTAGACGAGTCGTCGTCATCATCATCATTGGAGGTATCGTCTTCGGTGCCCTCCCTCGGCGCCTTGCCATCCGCAGTTGCAACCCTTGGAGTCGGCAGGCTTGATGGAAAGAGCGAAGAGGCTTCCGAAGCGAGTGCCGTCAAAGACCGATAGAACCTATTTTTTTGCGGAGGACGCTTGGGCGGCGGCTCCTTGACACTATTCTGATCTATCTCTGACGACTGAGGCGCCGAAACTTGTGGTGGGGTGTACTGGGAATACGGGAACGGGATTTGACTTGGCGTGAGGTCAAACAACCGCTCCTTCCGGCCACCGTTCAAGCGATCAGTCTTGGTGGCTAGGCTAATATGTTCTTCGACCTGAGGACTACTGGATACCAACTCATCACATTGCACAGACGGCGTTGGCTCGCGCATCGTCTCCCACGTCACCAAAGAGGGCGTCGGTGCCGAATGGCCGTTCGTCGTAACGCCACTCGTAGTGCCTTTAGCAGACGGTTTTGTGACTGGAGTCTTCTCCACAATCTTCGTAGACCTCTTACTCTCCTTATTTCCTCGAGGATTTGTCACCTTTGGCGCGAAGGCAGATGGTAACGGTTCTAGATTCAGCACCTTTGGCTTACCCGCGGCCTTCTGACTGGTAGAGAGTCCAGCCACCATGGAAGGCTTGTCCCGTTTCATGGAAAACTTAGGTGTTGATTGACTCACAATGTCAAAGCCATCCACCGTCTGGGGACAGGGCGCGTCAGGCTCGGTAGGGTGGATCCCGGGGAAGTACGTATCCGACGGATACGGGAGTTCCGGTCCAGAGTTGGATGACTTTGTGTCATCGTGGAGTTCTGTATGATTCCCAGACGCCGCTCCAGTTTTGTCCCAGTTGGGATCGGTTCTTGGCACCGCTTGCGTGTCCTTACTCTCGAGGCTCGGTTTTCCACGTAGAGTTCGAGTGGTGGGTCCCAAGCGAGAAGTGACGCTGTGAGAACTCCTGCCCCTATTCGAAATAGCAGGGGATGACCCCGGGGGCTCCTCATCCTCATCGGTAGAAGAAGGCACCGATCCCTGCTGGAACCGTCGATTAGCTCGCCGACCACACTCCTCTATTAAATGTACCTGTTGCGTCTCTTCTTCTTGCAGCTCTTTCAAGATATTCGATAGGACGCGACGGGGGGCCGGCCCACGTACGACGGCTTCGAGCATGTCATCACCATAAGATGCGGATGGCCTTGTCAGAGGGGGTTTTAGCGGATATGTTGTCCGTGCGACCCTTTCCCCATCTTCTTCCGAACTTTCCGCAGTGGATTCCTCATTGCTACTCCCGACCGCATCAACGAGATGCGGGCCACCAGGTATAGCATTGAGAGCAAGAGATTGCGATGAAGAGGATGCTGCAGGGGGGGAATGTGCATCCGTTCCGCAAGTAGCCTCGTCTGGAAGTGAACTGTGTGCAGTTGTTACCGTATCACCGCCTTTGTGCCGCCGAACGAGAGCTTCAAGTTCCCCGATGAGATTCTGGCTATCTCTTAGGTCAGACTGCTTAAGCTCATCCAAACGTTGCTGAATAACATGGGGTCCTTTGAGGAGGATTGGACAGTGGTGGATGGCGTGAAAAGGCTTTTGAAGACAAACAAGACAATGCGAGCCACTGGAAAGACTTTTACAGGGCGCGTGCGCAGCGGAGATGCTATCATGGTGAGTAGCAAGGAAAGGGGCTTCGGTTAAACTGAGATCAGTGGGTGGCGTGGGTGTATGTTTTGAGGATGAATTGGTGGAAAGGGAAGCGATGGATCTCCTCGATTTCTTGGCTGCTACTTTCTTCTTAGTTTCACATGACGCAGAAATACTCCCCTCTTGATTTTGAAGCTCCGCAACATCATCTTTAAGCTTCTGAAGAAGTTCACTCCATGCCTCTGCGTCTAGGAGCGAAGGATTAGACAGCGAGGTGTTGCCTAGACTGATTATGAATGTGGCTTCCAATACTTGACCAGGTAAGACCACGTACTGACACGGCTCTCATCAACCGCAGTGCTGCCGCCACCGTTGCCCCTTTCTATTCCGTGCGTTAGTTCATGACTGGACAAGTTACGAAAATGTACCCACTTTCGGGCGTATCAACTCTCGGTCCTCCACCTGATGTTTTCTTCAAAGCCTTCTTAGAGGCTAGATGATATTCAGAAAGTGGCTATACCTCTATTGCAACTGGCATTTACCTGAATAAGGTGCGGTGCCATCGTGATCAGATTTGCTTGGGTCATTCTCGGGCGCTGAAGCATCATAAGCTCACGATGCGAGCAACAATGTTATTAACATACAACCTGTGGCCGGGGCAGCAGATTGTCTACCTTCCGCTGTGAAGGCAAAGTGAACATTGAATCACCTGCATCTGTTACGCACTCACCCAGAGAAGGCTCTGATACTTCGTAAACCCCACATTTCTTTGTTACTTTTGACTTCGCACCTTTGTCAGTCAACTGCCGTCAAGCTCAGCGCCAGAATGTAAGTCAAGCGCTATAGTTTTACCTGTTGGCTGCCTTTAGGCTTGATAGACTTGGGAGGTCCCTCTTCACCACCGTCTGCATCCCGTGACTATCAGACCTCGTCAGCTTCTGATCAAACAGCGAGTCAGAAATTGACAGCACCACCTTTAGGCTGAGCCGACTCTTGCTCTTTCTCGGCTGCTTCGATTTCTTTGTGTCAGTAGATGGAACTGCCTCGGTCGAATGGTCGTCGGAAGGTCCTTCTGCCACGCTCACTTGCTCTCGTATATTGTCTGTGGATGGGGGTGCTTCACCAGACATTGATGCCTCGTTGTCTTTCAAGCCTTCGATGGATTTCGAGGATTCCCCCGCTGTAGCAGGTTCACTACTTGCAAAAACAACGTTCTCCTTCGTATGTTTGTGTTTTTTCTTGGGTGGCTCATTTGCGTGTTTACCCTTGACGCTTGACTTAATCACAACGGAAACTCTATTTGCCTCCGTCTCAGGTTGCGCTGGAATTTCTTGAGTCGATGATGCTGCCAATTGGACGTCTTTGGGTGGAGGGTTTCCCTTCTTGCCTTTAGCTTTGCTCTTGGGCTCCTCACTAGGTTCCTTATCCCTTGCAGTGCGATGCACGGCAACCTTGGGTATGGATTGTTGTGGCATCATCTCCGAAGGCCGCCTTCCGCTTCTTCGCGACTGGCTCGGCGTCATGCGAGGGTGCAGGAACGGACTGTTGAGGTCTATCAACTGGAACGGTAGAAACCTAGAAAACATAAAAAGTACACGAGATATAATGCATATATTACACGTCTTGACCATACCTTGGATTGATCCTCCTCTACGGTTACCTTGATGTCGATAGTGGAATGTGCATCCCGTAATGCCTGCACACGCAATGCTTCAAAATCGTCGTCTGTCGGATCAAAAGCATAGACCGTACGACCATGCGGGTTGACGCGAAAGCCAGTCAGCCTTGTCCACAAGTGTGAATGTGGAGAACTCACCGTCGTCGAGGTCCAGGAGCGCGTTTGATCTCATTTGTTTCAATTTCACGACCATCCCACTTCCGAGGTCCAACTTGCGCTTGCACGACGTCTCTCAGTTCCTGTAGGGAGCGCTCTATAAATGGGTTGGTCAACTGGGCAAGTCCTTACTACTATGGCTAATTTCCTCACCTTTGAACAACCGTTCAAATGCACGCGGACCAGGCGTGGTAGGTAATCCGTGCATGCGTTGGAGGTTCACCTGAATCGTCACGCTTTCTTTTGTTGCTCATGGTGGCTAATCCGACAGAACGGTTTCCAGCGCACAGAGCAATAGTTCCGAGAGAACGTTCACCAAGTTGTACATAGTCACCACGTGACAAGCTAGCATTGCTTGTCACGTGTTGCTACGGGACAGAATCGCATCGCAAGAATATACAACTACAGCTTGCATCGAATTTTTTGTATCAATTTCCGAGTCTAATAACCAGTAAAGTCCATCCTTCATACGTATATTTTCCACAGTCGGGTAAACGACAAACGTAGCAGCGTTCGCAAATGCTAATATACCGCGCCTGATCAAGGAGACACTACACTCCCTACAATTCCTGAAAAGTGCAACCCCTGAATAAAGCAAAAATAGCAAAACTGTTGGGCTTACGATCATATTAAGGTTTCCAGACAACAGACGGTTTTCAAGGATGCAGCCATCAGGAATGTCAATACGCTGCCCCTCGTTGGCAACGACTTCATAAATAAATAAATCAATCCCGAATAACCTGTGCACAAGTTGCCACCTACCGATAACAGTTCCCCTGAGAGTCACGTTCCTACCAAAGTACACGTCGCCAGTGACGGTAAGATGGTCAAGCTCAATGATTTTCGGGATCTTTTTGAACCGTTTCTGGAACTGCTGGATCTTCTTGAAGTGATCACCAAGCTTGATCACGGGGATAGTCTCGAACATCCTGCTCTCGTTGAGGATGAGCTGCCCGTGGCGCAGAGAATAGATATCACTCTTGATAAGTAAGAGATCGGAGCAAGACTTGACAGGAAGGAAGCGGGAACGGGGAACGTTTACACCGTGACCATTTTTGAAGTGCTTGATCGCGGCACCTGCCGCAGTTTCCAGCTGAGACAGTATATGAAGAAGGTTGTCTACTCGGAACGATCGAAAATAAGTACCTGGATGACGGGGTGGCCGTCGTCGGTTGCCTTGGGATTAACGATAATCTCGAGCTCCATACCCTCATTCTCCATTACGCGCTTCAATGCTGAGGATGTGTCAAAATCACACATGATAAACGGCTGGACGTAGACGGACCCCTGAGGTTGACCCACAAGTTATTAGTGTTGAAGATCTTGAATTTGCGGACTAGTACACATAGTATCCCATCAGTACACCCTTCACGAGAACTGCAATCCTACTCACCAGATTTGAAATCCTCAACGTGTTCTGAAGGGACTTGGGCAATCTCAAGCAAACGAACGGAGCCCTCGTAATCAATAAGCGTTCCACCCTTGATATCAGCCTTGGTCTTGTCGGTGACCTCCATCAAGAACTCTGCCTGCGAGTCGATCATATGTTGCAAGATCTTCTCAGTCCACACTGACATGCTGAATGAGGGAAAGCGGTTTCTCAAGGACAAGGACAACTTACACAGCACCCAGGTTATCAGAGTTGGATACAAACAGGTACTCTTTACCTTCCGCGATGAGCTGATCCAAGACCCCAGACTGGTGTATAGCATTGTACAAGTCACCATGACCGGGAGGGTACCAATGTTTCTTGTCGTCATCGGCACGCTTCGGGCACGGGAGAAGAGTCTCCTTGTAAATACGGGGGTACCGCGACTGGTTGAAAGTGGTGATCTGGACCTGTTGGTTGGCGTACTTTTTGATAATACGGAGGGTGTCCTCGTGGGTATTAAACGACGTCATGAGGATAAGCGGAACATTAACACCGTTAGTCATATTGAGATGTTCAATCTGACGGACGGTCAGATCGAGAAAGGTCATGTCATCCTTGACTTCGAGAGCACTCTTGGCCCCGGTCATACCTGGAGGTATGTAACTCAGACTTTGTTCGGATGGGATCGGAGAGCCTTACCCATAGAGGTACCGAGACCTCCGTTTACTTTGAGAACAGCAAGTTTGTTGAAGTTACTGTTGTCCCGCGGTTGCGAAAGGGAATCGTAGGGAACGATCTGGTCGCCGGCGGGGGACTTTATACGATCCCAGTCACTGGTTAAAGTCAGTAAATAACCATGTACGGTAAATGTGATGAAACGACGTGCATGTCCACGCTCTTTGCGCGTTCTGAGAGATACCGGGTGAAAAGATAAAAGAAAGACTGCATCTCGGTATCGAAAGCCTGAAGGGGATGGATTAGGTAGGATGAGGTGTGGAGCTGCGAAGGCTGACCCTCTTCGTGGCAGGATCTTCGACCGTGTTGACGAGACGAGCAATCTCGTTGCGCATGGCCTTGGCAGCAACGCCAGTGGTGGCTGTCTTGAAGTCGATGTGGCTACTGCCACGGACACGAGCGTTGAAGGAGTCTGCACGAGGTGCAAGGGTAGCCATGGTACTGGATATAGATGTCAGTGGCGGACGACGGCAGTGGGACGAGGTATATAAGTACTTTGGAATGTGTATCGGTTGGGTGGTGTTGGTGGAAAGGATCAGAGGGTCAGAAAACGTCCTTGTGGGGGGCGATCTTGGCTTGTGGTGTCGCTTAAGAAACTCGGAGCTGAGATCGATATGGTTGTGGAGAGTCGCGGACAAATCCGAGCTCAGACCCCCCAATTCTTCCGGTATGAGCCCGCAAACAGATTTACGTTGGATAACTCGTCGCCCTACTATGTCCAATTCTCGGCTCACACGTTCGTCGACTACTGCTGTCAACGAGTACCGTGCAAGAGGCGACGAGGGCCCTGGCAACACCGTTCTAGTTGTATGATGTGTTCGCTGGTTGACTCCAAGTTGAATCGGGCTGGGCCGGCGACGATGATTGTTATCCTGACTGCCACCGACTGTTCGGTGGCAAGACGAACGTGTTTGCATAAGATAGCCCAAAAAAAGGTTAAATCGATAAAAGAGGCCAGGGGCGTGCTGGATGGCGTTTTCTCCCGGCTAAGAGGGACCCAGCTTGCTTTTATAACCCTTATCACTCAACTTCCTGGCATTCTTTACATATCGGTACACGACACGTCCCCAGTCTAGACCAGCCACGGGTGTCGCTCGGATCACTTGCCAGTCCTCCCAACGCGTTCCTTGTGTTTATTAGCTATCCCGCACTACACAGTGACCCCGCCGAACCCGCCCGAGTATTGTCTCTGTTATACTCCGCATAGTAGTCTAGCTGCAGGGTGCAAAACCTTCATAACAGGTAAGCTCCACCTCGGTTCTGGGAATTCGGAAGGCGTGGCGCTACCAACTCATGGTAGTCCCGGCTTTGCTTCGCCGTCTCCAGAGAGGAAGCTTCGTCTGCTCCAAAGGCACGGGTGACATCCATCCCCATCTACCAACGGCCATCAAGGTGCGGGAATGACTACCAGTTCTTGTGTTGTTGATTGTAAGAGTCCCCCGCCACCGAACACGCGTTGGCTACGTGAAGTAGTAATGGAACCACTGGTCTTCTCCACACTCCCCGTGCCTTTGGAATCACGTAATAGCAGTGTGTAGGTACATTGCTTCCTTACGTACGCTTCATACCCGACTCGAGCGTATGACGTTGCCCTGTGCCTACGATACACCCTTAGTACCTCATGCCCACCTGACGCCCGATAGCAAGGGCAAGGGTCATGGAAGCTATAAAATCAAAGCACTGGTATGTGGACAACCGTGAGTGCAGCCCCCTAGATCTCCGCACACGCCAAGCAACCCGCGAAGTCACTTTGGATATGCAGTCGCACTTCAACCATCCCTTGTGGAGCGCTTTAATTTCGGGAGGGAATATTGGCATACTACACGACTACGAAGCAGAAGTAGATAACACGGTGGATACGCCCGGACGGCGGAACGAATGTGGTAGAATGGAAAGTGTTGGAATCGCCTGTTGTGCCCGAAATGTTTACTTGTGTAGATACGTACAGCTATCTAACTTCTCCGCAGCTAGAGCGACATCAATAGATATTATTGCCAGGCGACGTGACCCACACATGCCGCCCCATTGGGCATTTAAATGTCCTTATCGCTGCATGACCCACCATGCAGCAACCACGAAGGCACTAACAGCAGGCCACGCGACGTTCAGAACATCTTTGGTAAAAGCGTGAAGAACGCCAGCCTCATGTCGATAGGAACTCCTACGCAGAAGGGACGGGATGCGATGCCTTTGAGTTCTGAGTTTAAACCTATGGAACACGGACGTCCACCATCGACCTTTCCACCAGGTAAAACCGAAGTCGATGTCCAGGGGTTTCGATACAGGAAGTGGAAGGGATAGGGGATGGTTCGTTTCGTAACGGGCGTCAGCGCTGCGTGAGCGGAGACTATAGGCCGACCTATGCCGCGGGAAAACTCATAACTGTCAATTCGAGCTTCGCAGCGAGCGCGTTTTGCACTCCAAGTTCGTTGCGTGGGCCACGATATGTTGCAAAGAAGCAGGATAACCAACGAAAGAATAAACAATGGAAAATAAACTTGCAAATATATGCCAATCTGGTTGGGCAAGAAGCACGGTGTATCGAGTGGAGGAAAGTACGGGCACTTGATTGAGCGAATCTTGCAAAGGTACCGTCGAAATCAAGGACAGTAGCTGAAATCCAGGGCGACGGACGCCCATAGCAATGGAAAATGACTTGACCGTCACTTCTCGGACGCTAGTATTAGTTGACGGTATGGTATGCTGATAATCACAATAATCGTGGTCATCGCCGCTGTAATCTCTTCAGATACCACACAACTAAGCCGACGATAGGCACAGACCTTAAAATTAATGACGGTTTAAGACGATCGAGCAAAAAAACCGTGGCCCCATCCATAAGAGTATTCTGATATCCGAAACCGAATCCCTGCCGTATCGTGCCCCGTTCCCGGAGTGGGCCACAACTTGCATCCTGGGGGCGGGCCAGGGGGATATGAGTAAATAGCACAATAGAGCCCCCGGAGTGGCTTTCCGCTATCCGTTTTACGAACTCGATTGGCCCATGTCGCACAGCAGGCCAATTATCAAAGCTATGCCCCCTTCCAGCACGCAAAACATCTTCCTCTGCAAGTGCAGTTGCATCGATGAATACCAGGGTATGGTTTCCAACAGAGACGTAGTGATTCCGAGGACCAAAGTGAGATGTATAACGAGAATCTGCCTCGAGAGAAAACGAGGCAGCCGCGCCCAGCCTGTAAGGTAGGGACATTTTCAATGTTATGATACGATCTTGCACGCGTGCAATCAAGAGTGACATACCCCACGTCATGATTTCCCGGAAGATAGTATGTAGGCACAGAGCATTTATACGTCTTGAAGATGTCACGGTACCGCTCGTGATAAGTTTTATATCTGGTTAGGAGAGTAGCAAAATGTTCATCGCCGCAATACACATATTTTGGAAATACTAACTCGCTGTTAGACATCAAACTGCGACCGTTGTCCATCATGTCGCCTGCGGGTATGTTTAGATGTGTACACTGTTATAAAGTAGCAGGCACACCGAGAACCACAACTGCATCTGGTCGAAGACGGTGGAAGGCAGCGTGCCAGCTCTTGCGCAGGTTCAGGTCAACCATTACTTGGCTCAGGAAGGAGGAGAAAAGATTTCGCTCCGGGTATGAATGCTTATCGAGGACCTGGGTATCTGCAATGACGAGTATTCTGGCAACGCGCGAGTTCAGTGACTGGGCCTGAGGCTGCAGGGCAGTGAGTGAGCATGAAGATGTTTCCGAGTGTGCTCACTACCTGTTGCGAATCTGGCCAGTGACAAGTCCTCAGAGTCCAATCGAAGACAGCGAGTTCGTGCCAGAGTACCACGAGTACCCATAGGATCCGTAAACCACTCACGATACAAGAGCGTGATGGTAGCCGCGAATTGCTCAGTCTGGACCTTTAGCATTTCATGCGAAGGGCAACAACTGTTATAGTACCTTGAATCGGTTAGTATCCGACTCTTCAGAGGGAAGACATGTAAAATTCAGCTTCAAATGACGCGGCGAACTCTGAAGCAATGGTGGCTGAAATGCTGCTGCATGTCACTAATACCGGCAGGACCCGCACCCGCGACTCGAGTACTCAGTACTCATTCACATCCAGCACCACGAGGACAACGTTCACCGAAGCTTGAACTATCTCGGCCAGCAAAAAGCAACGCATTATTAACCGCGTATTCAACGCTGACGAAACCAACAGTTTTCTACAATGTTCGGACACAAGAATTTGGATTTCTCAGAATTGGCACATTCTTGTAGTTGGACGCAATGGGCAGGTCAATGCACCTCTGAACGAGAAATGGGATATACATTTGTCCTCTGTAAAGACTCGAAATCAATGGCTTTCAGAGTGTTCGTCGTGATGACCGTGACCCTCCCACGGATGACGCAAACCCTACAGCATCCGACCAATACAGATGCATGCACGAAAAGCAATAAGCAGTAATGTCTTACCAGTAGCTTAGGACCATCCTCGCTGGGAAAGAGTGAGCTAACGTAGACAGGGATGAATGTATTAGGACATACCGTGCTCTGTACAAGATGAAGAACCACATAGACGCTCCAAGAAGTTTTGAGAGAACCTGGTATCGGAAGCCAGGTAGATGAGGATTAAAGCCGGACGCTGGCATTGCAAAATGTCAACGTTGCCATTCTCGCAGAAGAACAGTGTGTAGCTCACGATGACTTCCACTTGCCATGGTGAGGGACTTGGAAAAGGTGGACCGTTGTTTGATTTTGTTTATCTCAAGTACTGCAGCTTTTGCCGTGTTAACCATGCATCCCCAGTCCTGTAGGACGGATATATTTTTCCTCCCTGCTTATGTCCATGACCCATAGAAGCTTGGATCAGACATGTGTAGCACATGTACATCGCACAATCAATCTGAACATGTATTACTCCACCGCTTCAAGGATCAGAATCGAAGAAGGCTGTACAACTTATCAATAGCACAGTACCTGTCATTTCACACAGGTATTTACAGGATGTAGCCTTGTTAATAAACACGATCCAAGCAAAGTCAGATTGAGTCTCAGAGAACTCGACGGAGCAGCGAGATACGACACGGATGCTGATGAAGCCTTTGTGTTGTGGGTATGTTGTGAGAAAGTCCACCAATAGTATGGCAGGCATAGCAGCAATTATCGTCGACGCCCTTTGAGCATGGACTCAGTGTTAACCAATCTCCGATACTCTCGGATAATTGGAGGATCGAGCCACGATTCCTTAGGAACCTTGTGTCGGTAACTCGGCGACCAGTGAAGGAGTATGTACTTTACCTGTCACCCAAAACAAACTTTTGTGTTGCCCCATATGCGTGGATGCTAAGACGAGCACAACTGCAGGTTCGGTAAATGGTTGTGACGACGTCAACGTGCCCGTATCTAATATGATCGATGATCAGGCTCGGAGCAACAGACTAGGCCAGCATGGTGGTTTCTCCGTGTGGAGATGATCGAGTGTACGATAACCAGCGAGTTTACTTCGAGCTGGCCTCTGGCATGATTCATGCATATCTCCATTCGGAAGTCAGCTGCGGCACCGAGCTCGATTTCGATCGCGTCTTTTGATCCACTAGCTCTGCTTTTAGGACGACACGCCCTTTCCTTGAACGGGCAAACGATGATACATCCACAGTGGCAATATCTGTTCGCCGGTTATTGAAATGCAAGACAAGGCTGTCCGCGACATAAACATAGTCAAAAATAGAATGAAGGCATTATTACTGCGGCCATGCTTGTTATGACCACAGTGAAGTACCACACATGGTTTCTCCATTCTTTTTTCTGTAATAGGAGAAACAGCATGAATCCCGGATCAGTTGTCCGATGTATTTTCAACTCTGCGGAATCACCGTTGATGGGTACGAAGAAGGGCCGGGGTTGGAAAGAGCCGGTCTCGGAGTGGGTTCGGAGGAATGTAAAACCTGTACCACTGTACTGCCAAATTTGTGTTGTCCCGGTGTGTTTTACATTTCTCCATCATCGCCAAGCCTCGAAGTGCTACTCATTATGGCAGGATCGCTGAGAGGAGGGTCAATTAGATGATAGACACAACTCTCTAACTGCCGAGCACACCCCTTGAGATTTGGTACAACTCTCCAAAGACTCCTCTTCCAAAGGATAAACACTTGCATAACCAAAATGGGTACCCTGACATACGTGCGATATGTCAGCATCGGCCATGGCATCAAGAGATGGCTGGCTGCAGGGTGGGATGCATGAGGCATTAGAGAGAGGAAAACGTCGGTTTTCTTTGTAGCTCCACGCGCCAGAGGTGTGGCCGTACGCTCCCGAGGGCCGATGTCATTATGGTACATGAACGTGTGGTGAGGGTACTTGGATCAACGTTAACACCAAGGAGGGATTCCATGCACATCAATGGGCAGCAGTGGGTTTGATGAATGGATCCTTCGGAACTAAGCCGTCTTCCTGTGCAAAATTGAGGGGACGGGCACAACGAACTCAAGCTCCCGAGGAGAACGCTGTCAAAATAGGACGAACAAGTCCACGATGTGACAGCCACGCATAGTGGCATTGATGTTCTTAGAAGACACGCCTCTTACGTAGGTGCGGCTCAGAACTCGCTGCGATGTCGTTACTCTTCGCTGCGGCAATGGGGCGAGTGCGCACTGTCAACGGTCAGTTCCTGCAGGATGCCAGTGGCTGGTGTACATGAAGGCAAGGCAGTGAAATTTGTTTGTCTTGAAAAACAATTTTTTAGTAACAATTGTATCGGTTTATTATGTAATAATACGACATTGGAGGAAATGCCGTAACCGGACCAGTGCAGCATCAGCCTCGTCCACTTGGCTTTTACTTTCGTGTCATTTCTTCGTGTTTGCTCCTTTGGTTTAGGTCCTTCTTTTTTCTTTGCTTCGGGAATTATTTCAGCGCGTGTGCTCACCGTCAAATCCGATGCCACCAGCGTCGGTGACGGGTAGTCACTCGTCAACTCTGGGTAAGGCCCCTCTGACATGGCGCCCCACCAAAATCATGAATGTGCGCGACCTGTCCAAGGACGACGATTTTTTAAGTCATCTTCTTGTCGAAAAACTTGGAACCGGTGTCGTCCCTCTTTATGTTCACAAGATGGACCCCTCGCACAGACTCCCTAAGGTTGACGCAGGTGATCTTATGGAAATTGTTAGACGCGTGCGTAGCTGTTCCTCTCACTTTGTTCTGTCCCGCTCACGTTTTGCTCCTCGCGTGCTCGAATCTTGCGTCATTGCTTACTACCATACAGTTAGTTGAAAGTAAGTCTGGACCTCAAATTGCTGTCCGCCAAGCGGTGGATGCACTACTAGCGTCTGTCCTTCACCTACTTCGGTCTCAACTTGACTCCTCATCATGCGTGCCTTAGCCTCCCGCCTGTTCGCTACTACCTACGGCCTTACACCCAAAAACAAATTAATGCCTTTGCCACGTGTGTGAGACCCGTGTCACTGAAAACCTTGTCCTAACCTGTCTCCTTTACAGGCATGCCTCTCGTTATTTTGAACTCTATAATCCCCATGGCTCCATAGAAATTGCGCATACATCTCGCTACTCACACATGACTGGAAAGTCGGAGTTGTGTATACTCGCCACACGACCCCTGACTCCCGGCATGGTCATTGCCGAGCTTAAGGGTTCGATGGCTCACCTGTCGAAAGAGGAGGATAGAGAACTGAAACGGACAGATTTGAGAAATAGTGATATTAGACGGGATTTTAGTGTGATTCACTCCCGACAGATGAAGAAGAATCATCTCTTTTTGGGACCCGCTCGGTTTGTGAACGTAAGCAAGGAAACATTCAACTCTCCCTGCTGGGATGCTAATGCCATGCGTTATGTTCTGTAGCACGATTGCGAGAATAACTGCGAACTTTTCCGGGAGGGCAAGTACATAACCTTCCGTGTCGTTCGGCCCGTTGCTATTGGCGAGGAGATCACAGCTCACTATGGTGACGGTTATTGTACGTGGTCATAGCTCCTCTTGACACCTGGGTTTTTGAGTGTCTGTCAAGTTGGTAGAAGAAATCGGTATTGCCTGTGCGAGACGTGCGAGAAGAACGGACGAGGTGGTTATACTCCAGAAAATAACAACGGTGGCAGTAACTCAGACGTTGGGGGGTCAGAAGATGATTTCAGTGACTCTGAACCCACACCTGCTGCGGTAGGCAACGTGAACGAGCGAAGGACTCGTAGGGGTGTTTATGCTATCATTCAAGAACAAGACGATGATTCGGACGAAAGCGAGGATGAGGAAAAGGAGACAAACCGACCACTAGCCAATGTTCCTGATATTGGTGACGTTGATTTGGAGTTGGGCGGCCTTCCTTCCTCGTCGATTCGCAGGTCTGTGTCAAGGTTCGTTTTTCGTGTAGATTGTCTTCTCTGATTCTTGACGTGTCCCGGATAGTTCGGTGCCCCCAAGTCGCACATCGGAAGTTCGCGACAGTATAACGGAATCATGCAAATCCCAAATTTTTACGCGAAGCCAGAAGCTCTCCGCATCTGCCACCGCCACACCAACGCTCTCTGTGAAATCTTTGACGCCGTTACCCTCGGTCCCTCACGCGTCCAGAGGCAGCCACGAAGGTGCTACCAGGCTATCGACTCCTATCGGTGGTAGAGGAAAGGAGAAAGACAAGGTCCCTATCAAGGAAGAGCCTGATGCACGTGTACTGCGGACACGACCCTCGTTACATGCCGAAAAGAATGGATCTCTCAGCGCCGGCAAGGTTACAGTGCCACTTGGGTCAGACGGTCACCCGCTGCCAATTTGCGTGACATGTTCCAATATCTTGCCTGTGATTTCCTGTCAACAACAAAGTGGTTTGGGGCCTCAGTGTTGATACATCGCCACGCAGAGGCAGGAAGCGCAAGGAGCCGCAAGAGTGCCCCCGGTTGGTTGATTACCTCAGGATTAAGCTGCATTTCAGGCTGAAACTTTTGGCAGATGTATGCGTCATTTTGCCATCTATGACCAAGCATGGCCTGCTCGCTTGCCTAACCAAGTTGTCGGCCATCCCGGACGTGATGATACGGAAACATTTAAGCGGTCAGGACAGAAGGCCTCGTCCGTTACCGAACGGAAACGACCTGCAGGAGAAGAACGGCCGCAGAAGAAAAGCAAAGTCGACCAAACAGCTATAGTGGAAATGTCCTCGAAAGCGAAGGAGATGCTGATGCCCCAAAAGAGAAAAAGGGGCAGGCCTCGCAAGCACCCGCCACCTGAAGAGGAACCTCCGAAACGCAAACGAGGCAGACCTCGCATTTATTCACCACGTCGATCACGCTCCACAGCTCCTGCGAAATCCGCAGCTCTAGGATCTCGCCCCTCTTCTCCGACAAGCGTACGTTCGAAGAGTGATCGCTCGAGCTCGTCCGGATCCAGTCATCATGGTCTGATGTCCTCGGCGCTGAAACAACCACGAGATTTTAACGGTCGTTTTGGCAAGAAAGCCGCGACGAACAGTCGGTTCATGCGAAAACCAACTTCTCCGTTACCGAGCAACTTGGCCAGAGCCCAGAGGATGCTGGAGAGGAGTAAGGTCAAACAGTGGCTAGAAGATAATCGTGACCATGACGTCGAAACGGCGGTCCAGACGAATGGCAAGCGAGGCATACCTGCTGAAGTTGATACTTCACCTCGTCCGACCAAACGGTTGCGAAGCGCCCGCGCACGCACAGTGGACGGCGCCGATGATCCTATCCCAGTCGGTGTTTCGGGTTCCATGTCCTTTCGTTTTAGTGGAGTAAATGGGAGCTTGCTTCGTCGTCCCAATCCAACCAACTTTGCTCGGAGGAAGTGGGTACCAGATCTTTCTGGTGAAGGCTCGGTCCATGAAGATGACGATGTAAAGAGCTCTCTGCGCACTTCAGAAAGCGATAGTAACGGCCCTGTCACTCCCGAGGACCGTACCCCACTGCCCATTCTTGGTCCAATACCCTGCGCAGAAACCCATCTAATTGAGCCACCGAATGCCTCCCCGCGTCGTTCCACCCGAGGTGCCCATGCAGAAAGCATTACTAGCGTATTGATTTACAAACCGTCTCCGGTTAATTTTGCGAGGCGTCGATGGCACTCGGCTGCTAAGTCGCCACTAGAAGCGGGGTCTGGGACGCGCCGCAGCCAGAGGCTGAGGCCAAGAACATCTTGTGCGGAAGACGACGTACAATCACAACCAATGGGCTTGTCGAGCACACGGACAACACTTGCTTCCCGATCGGTCTCTCCGGGAAAAAACCCGAAATCTGGCGGTGAGCCTCCCGCAGCCCCAGAAGCAGACGTACGTGTGTTGCGCAGGTACTCTCATATCCCTAATTGAACGTATCCACAGCCAGGTGACTTCTCGATCTCTGCCGCGAGGCATGGTACAGGGTTGAATGGCGACAAATCATTACTGCCAACAAGTTCCGAAGGTAACCCTGCTGTTGGTGGGCTTCTCCCAGAAGCCTCAGCAACCCATACACCGCCTGAAAGTGAGGACGTCTTGTCTCATCTTCGTGTCACGTACACGACGGAACTCCCAGCTGTCGTGCCATGGAAAAATGTTCAGGCGACGCCTATGTCCCATTACCTTAAGAAATCTGCATCTTTTCTTGGCGACGATTGCTCATCGCCGACGCATCTTGTCCATGCAGGATGGGATGATTCTGTATCGGACGTCCTTTCCGACTAACAATCCCGCTTTTCGAGTACCCTTGTAGGCTAATTTATTCCAGGTTGCTAATGGCCTTCGGTAGCCAACGTGCATCTCTCATATTAACTTATGCCTGACAGTGCTTTCTCAAGTTCAATCGTTTTCACTTCTTTGTAGTCAATCTTTATAGCCGTACGAATATCGTTAATGCCGTTTATAAGATTTTTCATGGACCAATATCTCAGCCCGACAGCACGATGCGAATTAGTAGGCGATGACAGTAGCGGAACGCTGCTTGCTCCTATCTATGACTGGCCTTCCGGTTTGAGTGAGCTTCTTCCGGCACGGAGGATTTCATCCGTAGACAATAGATTTGTTGCAATTACAGAACTGCGGGAGGCTGAAGAAGGCAACTCGATATCATCGGACATGCCACTTACCACGAGTGCAGCATCTGCTTCTTCACCCTGTAGTTGTCCCAGATACCCTCTACAGTAGGGTCAAAGGGTTCTCCCGACTGGAGGTCCAGTCCAACCACCTTGCCTTCAGATTGCTCATCCTAAGGGGGATATTACATGACAAACGATTGAGACATGTTAGGATACCAACCTGCAGGGAAACAACCACATCCTGAACATCAAAACCACCGTTTTGCGCCAGGGTCTTCGGGATTACAAGGAGTGCATCTGCGAATGCTTGTACGCCCATCTTCACACGTCCTTTTGCGGACTTTTTAACCGGACCACTCAAGTGGGCGGCACACGCAACCTCAAAGGCTCCCGCTCCTGGAATCAAACACTCGTCTTCTATGGCATTCTTGACGGCTCGGAGACCATCGCGAAGAGCATCCTGGATTTGTTGTGTCGTGTGTGGATTCGGGCCTTTAATCAAAAGGGTTACACTCTTTGGTTCCTTCACGTCTTCCACGAACGTAAACTTTTCCTCCCCCAAGGTGTGCTCATAGACAAGGCCGGCCCAACCGAGGACGTTTGGAGTGAGGTCGTCGATGGAATTTTGTGCCACGCCTCCACAGATGAGCTGTAGCCTAGGCTAGGTCAGCTGGAGGCATTAAATCATGTGTATAGCGGACTAAGTACCGTTCCATATTGCGGCGTTTCGCGCGTCGCAATGCTAGGATGCCATTTTTTGCCAGAATATCAAGACTGAGAGGGTCAATACCCTTCTGATTGATAACGACGAAATTTTTCTGTTTCTCTTTGACTCCAACTGCTTGATCACACACGAGATTTTTCAGTTCGATAATTTTCTTGACTTTTGTATCCACAAAACGTCGCTCTGATTCGACAAGTTTTTCACGTTGCTCGGTGGAGGAATAGAAGAAACCGGAATTAACCTCCCTAAGCTTTTTGAATTACTGATATTGAACGTAATGAAAGAGGACCTACGTTTTTTCATACTCCAGGCTGACATTCAACGTCAGAATGAACGCGTTTTCGACGCGTTTTGGCATATCCGGATGTCTCGCACCGTGATCCAGTACCAAACCACGCACAAGCTGAGTCTCTGACGCAGTACGGTGTTGCATTTTCATGATCTCTATCATGTGAAGATCAATGGGTTCCTGCCATTGGTCCTTAGCGTCTGAGGTAGTTTTTTTAGTATGAATGCTGTCCAATTAAATGAAATGCGTGCCTTTCAGGGGCGGCGGGGGCCTGATGGTTAGCACGGCGTCTACGACGTCAGCCGCGAGTTTCTTCGCTAATAAGGCATGCAGCTTTGTGGCAAGCGAGGTGAGTGCGACATCAATCAGGGTAGACCGATCCATCTTCGATGGCCGCTTGAACGTATCCAGAAACTAGGCAAACTCGTGTGAGGATCTTGGCAGAAATCTCGCATGTTCGGGAACATACGGTTAAAGCCTCTTTCTTCGCGAGATCAAAGCCTTCCGCTACGACGGTAGGGTGCACACCTTCAGAGATGTAGCGATCTGCCTGCTTCAGCAATTCTCCAACAAGAAGGACGACACATGTGGTGCCGTCTCCGACTTGATCGTCTTGTGCGACCGCAGTACGAGCAATCATGGCAGCAGTGGGATTCTGAATCTGCATTTCGGACAGCAGAACCTTGCCGTCCTTGGTCATCTTGATTTGACCTGCGCCGTCCACCAACATCTTGAGGGTACCTCTGGGACCTGATACATGCTCGATCACGGATAGGAATGGCGGGATGCAGGCGAAACACCTACCGAGATTACCCTTCACAACACTAGCGAGGCCCATGGCGCCATTCGTGTTCACCTAATACAAGCCATGCGTCGGAGCGTAGAGAGACGCGAGATCTGATGAAATTACCTGCAGTGCCGCAGCGCGACGGACGCTCTCAGCTTTCGGATTGATCAATTCTATGCTGGACGACATGTTGGGAGATTATTAGAAGCACTGGTCGTGTAGGCTAGCACAGATTCCGGTGGCGGAGTGCCAAAAACATCCACTTGGGAGATTCGACAAACCCACCGTCGACTACGCACATCCAACACCTTTCATACCTGGCCAAATCATGCTGTCATTCCATCGCTGCCAGCTGCAGGAGGTCGCGTTTCAGCCTGTTGAAACGTGCGGCTACTCCAACGTCATCCCCGCCGGTCAGTCCGATATATATCCCTGACAGTCTAAAATGCTCCCCAAGCCAGAGAGATCTGAAGGCCCCTCGCCTTCGAGAGCAGCCGTGGGCACCGGTCGTTCTTCACCAGTATACACTAGAACTTTTCGCGATGAACAACACCGACGGCGTCCGCAACCGCAGGGAGTCACATACGGTACGTATCATATCAGCTCTCCTTTTTCGCGTCACTCACCTTTCCACAGAAAACAAAGGAAATTAAGCCCCTTTTCACGACGGATGCCCTTCCAACGGAGAGGAAGCGGCGCTTGCAGACCCAGACAAAGATCAAACGCACCCGCCCCCCTCCTACCACGCCGGCTCTCACATTTCATCCCTTTCAGAACCGTATCCGCTCAGGCCGCCAAGATCCGTCCCTTCCGACGGCTCGTTACTCTCCTGACACCTCGAACGGCGGTTCGTTCGAGGAGCGGGCCGAGCACACACCACACAGTGCAACCAACGAGTTGCCATTCACCCCCGAACCGTATGATCCGCTGTCTCATACACGACCTCGCGCTTTCGACCCCTCCGTTGCCTGCCAAGCACCGCCTAATCATGAAATGAACCCACCATCTCTCGAGTACGACTCGCCACTATCCTACACCTCATCGTCCTCACCCACTACGTCTGATCGGTCCCCGACCAACTTCCCCGAGGGCTCCGGTTATGAGATAGCCAATTTCCAAATCTCACCCACAAGCGAAGATTTCTATCATTCACATTCATACAGCCCTGCTGTGCAGGGCGATGAGCAGTACCACCTTTATGGCAATGTTGGAGTCGTGAATTACCCGATTTCTTATCCTGATACCAACTACGGCGGGGTCGCTCCTAACGCAGTCCCTTCGTATACAACCAGCTATCGGCCACCCCCTTCCCGCTGATTTGGTATTACAGCCTGTAGACCTAGAGATCTATAGGCGCGGATTTGAAGGGACCACCGTTCTAGCCGTACTTTCATCATTCAACTATATAATGCATAACATGTGTTTTCCATTCATTGCTGTGTATCATACCGCAGCTGCTGTTCCAGATTACAATATGCGCTTTGTTAGGCGCTAGGACACTGCTGGTAACTGGGTTTATCCGACGTTTCACCACGTAGGACGAGTGGTGAAAATATAAGCAGCAGCGGCTTTACTGGTTCACACATCCCGACATGTCCGCGCGCAACCCCCACGCTGTTGCCAGACCTTTGCCTACCGCTGATGAGCATTACCAGCGGACGGTCAGCCGTATCGCTCAAATACAATCTCATCTGAACAGCCTGCCCCGCGCACAGCGGCTCAGGGATAAGACTTGTATCATAACGGGAGTCGGTTCGTTACATGGTATAGGGTAATGTTGCAATTCCTGTTCGTGTGCCACTCCATTTTGACAATCTGGCCAGACGCGCATCTGCCCTGCTATTTGCGCGCGAAGGTAGGGGTTTGAAGAGTTCTCGCCGGGCTTACACCAACGACAGACACTACTAGGTGCCCGTCACCTCTACCTTTTAGACTTTTCCGCAGAGAATTTGCCGGAGCTGGAGTCGACAATCAGGGGCTTGTATCCAGACGTCAAAGTCAGTCAAACGTTTTTGCCCAGTAACCTACTCAATGGCGTCAATAGGTTACCGTCATCCAGGCGGACGCCGCTGATGACACTGCTATATCTGCTGTCTGCGACCGAGCAATCAAAGAAGAGGGTAGATTGGATGTGTTCTTCGCCAACGTCAGTAGCAGTTTCGTGTCTCTGTTAGTTATGACCAAGTGGTATCTTAGGCTGGGATTCTCAACAATAAAGCACTTCAAGACTTGACGGCAGATGCTTTCATGGAGTCAATTCGCGTGAATTCGTTGTCGTGAGTGGCCTTCGTACTTCTCCTTGCACCATCTTATTCCCCCTAGATGCTTCCTAGCGGTGAAGCATGGATCACGGGCAATGATGCATGTTGATCCCTCCAAGGGAAAGGCTCTAAGTGGAGGCAGTATCATATTGACGGCTTCCGGTTTGTCCAGGCATTCCTTGTTGTCAGGCCGCACTGATGGAGCGCCCAAGTGGCTGGTTTACGCTCGGGTGCTGGTACGATTGACTGTGAGATAGCATTATTATCCTCTTATTCGTCCGAGTGTTAAACCCCATGACAGATAGCGCAAGCAAAGCTGCGTGAGCAGGCCTTTCTTCACATCGCGTTGGTTTGTCTTACTCTGTCACAAAGGGTAAATTCGATCGCGAAGACCGGCGCATATCAACTACAAAGGACCGACATTCGCGTTAATTCGATCTGCCCTGGCCTGATCGAAACAAACATGACGAAAGACATGTTCGACTTTGCTCGTCAGCGAGGCACTGGCGGCAAGCTGGGGCAACTAAATCCACTTGGTCGGTACGGCGTTCCACAGGGTACGATCTCGTGGCGTAAGCAACCGACACGTGCTAACCATAAGACTTCAGAAATCGCTCAAACGGCCCTGTTCTTGGCATCTGGTAAGTCGCGTGTTCCTAAGCGTTCGCATTCTCCTGATCTTTGCCTTGAAGACGAGAGCAGTTATGTCAATGGACAGAATATCGCGATCGACGGTGGCCTGTCTGCCTCCCTTCCTGTTATTCCCGGACATTGGGCTTGACCGTCGCATTCCCGCGATATTATGTGTTCTCATATTGGTGAATTACTACCTCCGTTCATGTACGAGTTGCGTATCGATAGCAGAGATCAGCGTTCGTGGGTTCATGTTGAGACGTGAGCAGGTACAATTGATAGTCGATGGCGCGGAAGACCCACTCGACGTCGTGCAATGAGCTTGGGGTTCGTCAATGTTCGGCACGTAATAATGCAGCCACGGTGGAACTGCGTGGCGTCCCTTTCGTCGAGTATCAGAGTCGATAGTGCCACCACAACGGCCGATATCACTGACCACAGCCAATACCGTAGAGATATTTCATACTCCAGTCGTGCTTAACTCCCACGAGTCGGGCAACAACACAGCGAAAACCAGCAAGGTCAGAGTTACATTTGTAACTGTTTCTGAGGTTACTTAGGAGCTGACAACAGACCTCTGTATATAAGAAAAGACTCGAAAACGGCCTCAACAACGAGATGTGGCTAGGGGTATCCTTCCGTGTGTATATCAAGCATACAAGGTCATGACAGAGGAATATCAGAAGTATCAAGACCTAGGGGGAGCATTGTACGGTCTCTCAGAGCCGATTTCTCCCATTCCAGCGTCTGAAGCTGGTGTCGCCGTCAGTGAAGCCGTCCATATCTATCAAGTTCTACTCACGTGCTCTACTGCTTCTTTGACAGAGAGGATATTCATATGGTCCGGTATGAGGCCGTCATTCTGACGAAATTGATTCAAATCAGTGAATCATTAACAAAATAGCGGACTAACTAGTACTAGTTCATCCAGATTCCGGAACGCGAGCCGCATGTCCAAGGGAAGTTGTGTCGGTAAAATAAGAACATGCACGGTCGGCAAGAACGGCTTGGATTCTGTGTCGAGTTTCGACATGACCTGTGATCGTTTCTGAGTCCTAGATATCGCATCGGCAAGGATGAAACAACTGATACCATTGCCGTGTTTACAGCCAGTGTGATATCAGCTCGCTTCCCTCGTGCGCGTTTACCCACTAAAACGAAGAACTCCCAGCAACAGTCGATCACGTACACCGACTCTTGTAAGATGATCCCTGCGGACAAGACTGAGACCGGACGGACCTGCGGAATGGGCTCAGAGTTACTGTAAATACCAGCGCCAACACGACGCATACCGGTGCATCCGCGTTGCTGAGCTCAACCAGCCAGCAGCGCGGTTCAGAAGGAGTCGAGTTCTGCCTCCACCTCCAGTAATCAGCTCTGGCATAGGACTCGGGATCGCCCATGATCATCCAGAACATGTCGTCATCTCCATCGTTCACCCCCTCGGTGAGCTCGATGATGGTGGTGGCCCTGGTCGCTAAGGATTTCGCGTATTCTAATGCTGCTGAGCGTTCCGCAGATACCGAGCCGATACCATACCATACATAGACGTTGTCCATGATGGTAATGCAATAGCTGTACCCGGAACAGAGATTCCTTATTCTCTATAAGTGGGTGTGAGTGAAAGGAGATGGACAGATGGATAATAGTAATTAAACGTACAAGGTCCAATTCGTCAATCAGTATTTGGTTGCTGTTCGATCTGATGACATGCATTGTAGTGTTCTCTGATGACCAGTGGGCCCTGCTTCCCTGCCACGTAAGGGTTAGCCACTGGTGCGATAGGGAGTTCGCTTGTGGAACATACCTGTCGTATTGCAAGTCTTCCACCCAGCGCATGGATTAATTCAGGCGGTTCACTTTGCTGATGGACGTACTCCTGCACCGAAACGAGTGGTAACCAGGGGATGCAAATGAATATAATGACATACAGGCGACGTTCCGTATCTGCGTGCGAGTTCCCCAACTTTCCCCTCTTCCCGTATACCACAGTGGCTCTTTCGCCCCTGCCAGCACCACACCTTGGTGGTTGCAAGCCCACTTTTGTGTGACCTCGCACGGTAAACGATTACGAGAAGTTCTGTGTCGTATAGGATACTCGTATCACATGGAACGAGTGTGGCATTCTCGTGAAGAACGCTCATAACCTCAACCGAGATGGTGGTCAGATCAGGGCTCGGGACAAAGGGCAACGAAGTGTTTGCCTCGAGAAGAGCCTTGACGTCCATCCTCGGTAGGGGTTCATCCACATGGTCTAATCTTCCGTTAGTTCTCACCATTGGCTTCGAAGCACAGTTACACCCACCAATGCGCACTACCTCAGACTCCCCCGTAGTTGCAGTAGCCCTTTCGAGAGGTTTAGTGACGAGTTCTGTGAGGCCTTCTTTGACGTCATCGTTTATCTCAGCTGTTCTCGATAACGTATCAATCGGCGTGGAAAGTAGTGCTGTTTCGTCTTTCACTGCCGGCGTCGCAAGCTCTGGACGCGATTCATAGTTCGATTTCCGCCTCTCCACTGACGGAGCCAGGATAGAATCCAAGCCCGAATCTGAACTTAGACTTGTGGGGGGCCCTTGACGAAGACATATCGGCAGCGAGCTTTGGCGGGCACCATTCATAACCTGGGCAACGTCCATAACGCGTGCACGATTTCCTGTGGATGGGATGCGCGGTTTTCGAACAGGCGTCGTGGGCACAGTATGTCCCTCCTTATCTTTAGTCGTAGTTCCTGAGCTGTCGCCTTGCCCGCCTTGAAGGAGCATGGTAGGCGTGAGCCCTGCGATACGTCCTGAGGCGTTTGGAGGGGAGACTTTGGCTTCAAGTGCAAACTCAGGGTGTGAGGCAACGGCAGGCCCGACCGGGTTTCTGCGATGCTGGGTATCTGAGGTAGGGAACCGAGTCTCAGTTGCAGAGAGGGAGCTGGACTTGGTAGAATGTACGCCCAGCGCTGAGGAACCCGCTGGTGAGACTTCACATCTCCCAGGTTCTGAAGCTTTGATTTCTTCAAACCTCGCCATCTTCCGCGGTTTCTTTGCCCTGTCTTTGGTTGGCTGAGCGACACCAATACCGCAAGAAACCGTGCAATTATTAAAAAAAACCGTAGCATGACACCATTTAAATAACGTGACGGGTAGCATGGCGATTGTGGCATAAAGCATGAGGAACCAAGATGAAAGAAAGGATTAAAATCGATCAAAAAGTAAAATCCATTAACCATCGATTCCACTCAGTGTCACCGAAGAGGACGCACATGACTCAATGGCTTCCCGGAAGATGGCGATCCCGACATCCCTAACCTTGGTATCGATGGAATAGTTCTGTCTCTCTCCTTGATGTCTTTTGTAACAACTTCCGTCATAGTCAAGCCTCCCTTTTTAATCCCCAGCTCGTTGACAACCGGGACCGGAGGGCTGTCGCCCGTACGGGCAGGCTTGATGAGCGTGATCTTCGTGCTTGCAGAACCGAGTTTCTTGTCCACACCCTGCTCCGACATTGCATCTGACTTGTTGACGGCCATCATTGGAATGGCAGACATAGACACCGCGCTTCTTATAGACCTGCCAGTATCGTGCGTTACAATTTTCGAGTTATCCTGACCCTGTCTCAGGTCGCCAATCTGAGACCGTGTTGGGGAAGACATTCTGTGTGAAGGCGAAGGTGGGGCAGTGTTCATCCCAGGTTGCCATCGGTCCAGAACAGACGCCCGCCGGGTGAATTTCTCCCGTAAGTCACCCTCCACCGAAAATTGGGAGGGAGAAGACAATACATTTTTCACGCTGACCGGTCTGGCCTGGGATCCGGCCTCGCTAGCCCGCACAACACTCTGCACGAAACCGCGGCCCTGAAGTCGACTGATAGAGGGTGTCGGATCCTTTGCAGAATTGGTACGTGGACGAAGGAACGCGGACGCGCTTCCACGCTCAGACTGTGAGTCAGGGGTCATCCGGTCCGAAGATGCGAAGGGCCCAGGAAGGACACGCGGAGAAGTAGATGGAGTCGAGGGAGGAGGATTTATAGATGTACCTGGAACACTTTGCATCAGGGCGCCCGCCCGAGCACCGTCAGGGAGTGCTTTATTGCGGGCCTCAGAAATGGGCTGTCTGCTTCGGACATCGCTGATGAACGTCTTTGAACTTGGTTCTGTAGCTTGTGATACAAACACTTTAGGAGGGTCTGTCGCAGAGTGGGTGGCTGGGGGGTTTGCCATGATATCAGGTATTATAGTTTTCTCGGTGAAATTCTCAGATCGTGGGCTAAATGTCGTCGCGGAAGCGTTAACTTGATTTTCCGACGATGAGCTGCACCCAGGTGTGCTCATACGACGTTCCCGGATTCCGAGGCCAGAAAGCCTAGGAGTCTGTGCCCGCGGTGGTGCCTGCTCGTTGAGCTTCTCAACGTATCGGAGGGCAGCGGCCAGAGTACTAGTTGTTCGAGGGCGGGGCTGATTGGTCGCCAGAGGTCCATTAGACAGTACCGGTGAGTCAGTAGGCGATGGCGCAGTTGCAATGGTGGCTGTGGTTCTGGCCGATGCACTCTCACCCCTCTGCCCTACCATGCCTGGCATTGCGACGCCGCCTCGTCCAAATATTGGATGAACAGGACCGTGATCCATACGACCATCGTATGCACGGCTGGCATCTATCTGGGGTTCATGCCGCTTCAGGCGGGGCCCAGATGCCGAGCCACCCATGAATTCCGCAAGAGATATCGGAGCACGTTTCACGCTAGATGCTGTTGTAACTTTGGCTATAGGCTTGGGGAATGTTACTGGGGGAGTCGGTTTCTCGCGAGTGGAATTGATCGGTTCATCTGATTCCGTGGGGCGGACTGCACCTGTGGGAGACTCTTCTCGAGGCTCAAGTCAGACTACCCATAACAAGCAGCAGAAACATGATTTTCTCTGAGCAAATGACTTACTCAAATCAATTCCCTTCATTCCGATGCCAAAATCACCGCTCTGTCCTGTCCTGAGCCTTCTCTGTCTCGCAAGCCTTGTTCTTACGATTTCCTCTTCCAGACGGCGCTGTTCAGTGTCCTCATCTGCATCAACTTGGCGCTGCATCTCCTTGATCCTACTCGCCCATTCTGCGAGGCCCGAGTCACTTGTGGCACCGTCTGTTGGGGCCGATGGAGAGGAGGGGGGATCGGATAGTGCGGAGGCAGCTGACATAGGTGCCGCGATGGGATCTGCTATATTGATATGAACCTCCCGTTTCGTTAAAGTGAACTTGGGTACGTAGTAATGCAAAGAACGTCAGTAAAGCCCGCAAAACTTGGCGTGACTGCCACGAGACAAAGGAGATGAAAGTCGTCAAGATTTTGTATTATCGAGTTATCTTTGAAGGTCCGTAGATTTATGTAATCAAGTCCATTACTGTACATAAGGTGAAAGTTCAAAAGACTCAAAAAGACATAGCAGTGTCCATGGAACCATTGCAACCAACGCATTCAAGCAAAGATGGCAAAGACGGATGATACCACGACAAGCATTGTGACCCCCATACTCAAGCTGTTCACGGAGAGAGAGACTGCTCCACCTGTACTACCTCCGCTGGAGCTGGAGCTGTTGGATGCGGTCTCTTCGATGCCAGAAGGAACTTGGCCATCTGTTACGGAAACTGATTGAGAAACAGAAGGAAAAGCGCATAGCGTTCACAAACCTGTGAAGGAAGAACCACAAGTCTGTTGCACCGTGCTCGTAGTGTTTGAAACCAGCGCAGGGAAATTCTGGTCAGCAATAGTATATCCTGCCTTACTGCAGTTGCTGCAGGTCACGCTCTGCGGAATAGAGCCACTACCGGAGACAATCTGGCCAACCACACTGATGAAATTGTTGATCGTCAATGTGCCCGTAGAATTTTGGACCCCAGTAAGCTCTTCTGTAGCACAAAGCTCGTTCGCGGAGGTACTGGGTGGGGGCATGCTGTCAGCAGCATGCCTGAAGCGAGGACGGTGAACTTACTCTTTCAAGCATAAGACCTGGCGAAGAGTAGGGTAAGCTTCTTCCAAATAGACTGTCAGGTTCGTCGAGCCGTTGGGTGTCAAACCAAGACTCGCGAGCTCGGAAGAACAACCACCAGTGAGGTTCGTGGCGACCGCTTGAAGGGACGAGTTACTACATGGACCGAGAGCACAAAGTCCAGTCAACCAGGAATCAACGGCAGGGATGATAGATGAGTTCGAGTTAGTGAGTGCAATTTGGACAATTCCACTGGGGTTGAGACACGCGGAGTCGGGGGAACCGGCAATGGTTACCAACGTCGATGAGCACTGGGAAGAAATACTAGAAGAAACGTCATGGTCCACGCTCAAACTGGATGAGAGTCAGCTTACGATTGTGCAACGGCGAAACCTGCGCCGGCGAGGAGGAAAACAGATTTTGAAAGCATGGTGGTCGAATAGTATGAAGTAGAAAGTGGGCTTTTAATGCGTCCGCAGTCACATGTGGTTGTGGCATTTTATACTTGCTGCAACGTTGCCAAAGGCTGTGGCTGCGCAGGCGCCACAGCTGCGGGTGCCTCTATCACGAGAACGCACTCCAACGGGCGCGTAATACCATTATTGTATTGGCCCAGTGACTGCCGATCCACTGCCACGTAATAGTGCTGCCTGCACAAGGCTGTCCGAACTTTCTTTCTTTACTATCACTTGAGTGGTGTTGCAACATCAAAAAACACAGCTTTAGAACTACACAATCGCATCAGTACTTATAATAAAAAAATACATGGGCACGTAGAAGGATGTGTGGTGTAGAAGATGCCAGAGCGATGCCGGTTTTTGAACACAAAATGATACAGAGTTGCAGATGTTTCCGTATATTGATTTCCCCTCGTCCACAGGTACAGTTGAGACGTGGTGTGCTGTGGTTAGCGTCTTGCAACACTGGTCAAGTGATGGTACTGCTGTCTGTAGGTAGTACGCGCTGGTCACGTGGGAGAGCTGTTGTTTTTACAGGAGTCGACGGTAGCAACAAGGGTGGAGCATGGCAGGTCTCTCTTTCCACTCTCTGGCTTGTTCATGAATGCAATTGATTGACCTGAGACAACTTTTTTAAACAGACCATAGTATTTTCGCCATACCAGAATTTGATGCAGGCGAATACGCAAACGCGGTACTATCAGGCGAGCCTTACCCATCTCCATCTACTGCCATACCTTCTCCCACCGCGGGTTCGGCCACAGAGACACATGTACTTGGACAACTTCAGATTCGGGGGAGTAGACCACGGTCTATGTTGGGCACCTTGTCGATACTAGAACCTGCGAAGGAAGACATATCACTTGCGATTTCGAAACTTGACCTTGGCATCGAGGATGTGAGCAAGCAGATTAAGGCATTGGTGTGTGCAGTTGCAACCATTATCATATTGTAGGCATTGATGGTGTACAAACCCGTAGGTCACCGCTCATCACGAGGACTTGTTGCTGTACTCCTCAAATACGAGGCACTTGTCGGGGCTGTTGGCTTCCGTACGACGGGGATTGAATGATGTGGAGCTATCCATTGACCAGTGAGTTAGTCTGAGTTTTTACGACCTTTCTAGTTTGTATATCGACGGGTTCTACCCAGGCTGCGACGGAAAATCCGTCTGCCATACGAATCTCTCCAGGTGCAGGTTACTCGCCTACAGCGAATCCATCACGCGAATAATGCACTTAGACGCGTCGGGAGGTTTTTCTTGCTGGAGAAGAGGCTCGAAGCACTGGCGGAGGAGTTGGTTCGGTATGAACTGGGTGCTAGTGGGATGGGCGAACGGGATGCACCCATAGATGTTGGTGCAGTCGACGGGAAGGGGTTGTCTGCAGAATGCCGTGAAGAGAAGGGGAGGGTGGTCGCGAAGGCCGCCCTAAGTATCACAGAACTAGGTACTTCTCATCTATTGTGGAGTCCTCGATCGAGGTCACAGCTGATCTTGGGCCAGGTGCACTACTCGATGAGGAACCCGATATTGAAGGCGATCAGCAAGACGCCTCCCAATTTGGAGCCACGTCAGTAGGGAACTCCAATTACGTCCCTCTTCGCTCCGTCAATATTGTAGCCGCGCATATACCCTTCATATCAGACACGCGCACAAAGGTCACCAAAGAGGTTGAGGCCATGGTCATACAAGGGCTTACTGCACTAGCAAGTCTCCCGTTATGATCCTCGGTCGAGTAGATCATGAAACTGATCATGATGTTCAAGGATCAATCGCTATTAGCTTCGTCATTACAAGCAGCGCACAATCTCCGAATGCTACCACGACTCGTCGCGAGCCTCGTGAAAGATTTGTCCGATGCTGTCGAGCGTCGCATCCGGAATGCGTTTGACCTCTTGAGTTTGTCCAAGGAGATTATTGCCAAGGGTATGTCACCTTTCTGTCCGTCCCTGTGGTGATGTCCACTGACCCTTTTATTTTATTTTTACTCTTGCAATTTCTTGAATCATCGTAGACCCCCATCAGGTTTCCCAAAGTCTGCTGTACAAATCCCGTGTGCGAACCGAGCCGACGAGTGTCACCGCACCCCAGTTCACGGCTGCGTTATGGGCAAGGCTCGAGTCGCTGATAGAGCAAATGTCAGGCTGTTGTGTTAAAGTAAAGGGACCGTCCTTTGAGAGACCCACATATATTGACTCGTCGTGGTTATTTAGGTCTATACGTTGGAGAAGGTACTGAACCTAAAAAAGGATCCCGCGACGGGAGTATCATTCCTAGACGTATCAATGAAGGCACGTGTTGTAGTGAGTCCGACGGGAGATGTGTTTTACAGATTGTAAAACTATTTCAGTCGCTGGAGAACAAACCAAGCTCGACTTTCTGGGCATCCCTAGGAATGACGCTAGAGAAATGCTGTCGGGACGCCTCAAAGAGTAAGTATGCATCCTTGGTTTCTTCCGCAGACAAAGATGAGTTCACAAGTGCAGGCTCGACCTTTCTTCAGCAAGCCCTCAGTTCTGGATATTTGAGGCTTCTGCGGCTATTCCATGAGTTCTTCGCCAGCATAGCCGTGCATACTGATACCATATACACCGAATCTCATCAATCGTCAGTGAAGAACTAGCATAGATTGGGTGCTATTGTCTGACTATTTCGTTAGACCGGAGACCGTGCTTGTGTTACGCGCGCTGTCTACATTCGAGGGGATCTACCTCTCACGTTCGTTAACAAGACTCAATGAGGCGGTTTCGCAAGCCTTCTCAGCAGGCACAAGAGCTCCCCCGAGTGCCAGTGACGGTATAGCTATCGCGCGTCTGATCACCAATGAACTGGATTCTGCTCGCTTTGACCCCTTACTGGTGCGTGCTGTTGCCAAAAACGTGGCGACGACCCTGGACAATGTAGCCACGAAGGCAGGTGCCCTGGTGAGTAATCTTGTCGCCGCAGTGAGTCGCCGACCAGAAATGAATAGTATGCTTTAGATCTCCACAGAGCGTTCAGCGGTTTCACTACTGGGTCCACTGGCTACGCCGCAACAGATTCTGAACGGTCAAGTTGCTAGTTGCCTATACTACTCCTACACGAAACTAAGCACATTCATGGAAGACCATCCGGAAACGATTTCTGCGCTAATTCAACCTAGTATCAATGTAGGCTCCCTATTGGGCATCCGTAAAGATGATCATGTTCGGTTAACCCTTGGTCGCAGAAAATCCATATGCAATATGACTCCGTCGTCGACCCGCTGCTTACCGCCATACGCAAAGAAATCGCAGCAATCATATCTCGAATTCACAGAGTAGACCTGCAGAAGTCAGTGGACTCTATGGCTGGAATGGCTGCGCCTAGCCTGTATATGAAAGACCTCGTTGACAAGCTAGAATTTGTCAAGGCCAACGTTCTTAGTAATTTCGCTGCGGAAATTGCGCGACCATGGTTAGGACCTCTCTCTCATTCTTTCGAGTGATGCTGATTGCCTGATGATCCCAGGATTCCTGACATCGTCAAGTACGTTATTAGGACATTTGTGTTGCACGCCTCGATCGCCAATCCCCTCACCGAGATCGGGAAGCTACAGCTCACAACAGATATGACTGAACTTGAGTTCGCCCTCAGTGCTTTCTTGGTCGACAACCTGCAGAGTAAGCGTGGTGGAAACCTCGAAAGTATAGGTGAAGAATATAAGATACTGAGAGCTATGCGGTGAGTTCCGTCTTCAGTAACATTCCCATATCTGACGTAGAGTTATAGACCATTGCTGTTCCTCGAGAACTCGCATTTGGCATCTTCTGAGCGTACGGCGGGTCTCCCACCGATTGTCGTACTCCACCACATTCTTGTTCGCTCTCCAATACCGCTTCCACATACTTTGCATGGCTGGCAAGAGACAGAGTACGTGCGGTGGATCGAAGATCATTCTCCACAAGAAGCATATTCTCTCGTTGAGAGCTCGCTGATTCAGTGGGAGAACAAGAGTGGTGCGGAAGAGTATACCCAACTTGTATGGGCAGTCTTACAGCATGCCAAGGGCGGGTCGTGATTGTGAATGGCTGTGGGACGCTTGACTGGTGCCTGCCAGGGGTTCATTTGTGGAGTTTCAATGTACAGAGTTGGCTGAGCCTTGTGACCTACTCGGGCTGTTTACAATGTTCACCACACCCTTTGCTCAAAGACAACAATGTAGGATATACTGTGCTCTTGAGAGTAAGAAACATCCTTCGTCTCAGAATGAAATGGTGTTGTTAGAGTGCACAAACAGATACCACTGTGACTGCATGTTTGTAAACTAGAGAAGAATGAATTAGCACATCTGGACATGCGACATGTGACAGATTGAATCATTATCTGATAGGCTCATAAAACGCAGATAAGTCGACGATTTTCTTATCAGAGCAGCAAATGCGAGTGGAGGGCGAGCAGAACCAGAACTTTAGAGGAAGCTTCTACGAAGGGTTGCAATAAAAGCCGGTCACCGGGCGAGTTCATTGCCTTAACAAGTTTCGTAACTGAGTGTCGCAGGTTTTCCGGCCAAGTTGCCGACCGGTTCCTAGATTACCCGTGCTGCCGCGGGAAGAACTCAGTGATGTCAAACACTAGGTGTATTCTAGGCACATATTCTAATATTTTAGCCAACGAAAGCAGGGCCCCCGATGAGTCATTTTATGAACGGCATTCAACGAGAAAACTGAAACCAAAGAGTGGGGAAATGTGTCGAATCGACTTCACTGTGGGGGATGGCTTTCAAGTCGGTACGGATGCACGACCATTTGAGCGACAGAGCCTTAAGAGTAATCAGTATCTAATTTCGGCGAGATCGGATCTTTGGAAAAGGGAACGTGATCGCTGCCTGCAAAATCCGGACAAGGGGAAGTTGGCATGGTCCTTTCCCTACCGTTAATCAGTACATCTGTCAATCGACGTTGAGGCCCAGAATGTATCGTAGGTATGAAGAAGATGAAGACGGCGTTAAGAGTATACACAGTCGCCAACTGAGGGGGAGATGAGTCGAATTGGGCACGTTACGGAGCGTACACGTATGGTGCGTGTGTGGCGTAAAGACTATATACGGGTCAGGGTCTTATAGGAAGAGGTTCCTGGGGGACACACTGGGTCCTATTGGGAGTGGTCCTGTATGTAGGAGAATTCCAGGGATAGCTGGCTTCGCGCAGGAGTGAGTCGGGGGGACTCGGTGGAGAAAACGGCTGGGGTTTAGCAGTCGAAGGGGTGAGGCGAGCTCATGATGCTTGGGGTGGGACCCATATGCGCCTACACGATTCTGAAACGAATCCAAGCCGCATCGGTGAATTACGTCGAAGACCAAAACCAGACAAGGGCACGCAGGCCCGATATGAAATTCATGAAAGGCTATACATTCCGGGTGTGCTATCTGGTTTTGGCAAGGGCTTCCCTGCGAATGTGAATGGGAAATGTCGCTAACATGCTCACTGGGGGTAGTCGTTTCTTGAAGAGGCATGGAAGGAGGGTCGTGCGGCCGATCGAGAAGGGCAACGTGTGCTGGTCGTTGAACGTTGAATCTGAGGGTGATAGCCCGTCACGTCATGCCATGGCCAAGAACGTGTGGCCACTGGACACTGCAAAGACCATCATCGTCCTCCATGGGATCGTCGCACTTGGTCCCCAAGGGACGGGGTCTCTGGCGGCATTGTCGAAGGCCCGGGCAGTGGCGAGGACAGACCTAATACTGTGACGGCTGGCATGGAACACTCAGATATTACAGTCAACTTAATACATACATAAATAAATAAATAAATAAGTAATTCGCGTTTCTTCCACTGGTAGCGGATCCAATCCTGAGTGACATCCTCCAGCCATCATTGTTGCGCTGGCCATTGCTTTCTCTTCCCTCTACAGTCATCCTTCTGAAAATGTCCAGTCAGGCGGCGTCGTCCTCATCGTCCTCCGTGGCATCTTCCAGCGTTAAGTTCAGGAAACGGTAACCTCTCTCATCTCCCCCACCCCCATCTCTTCTCACCCTCGTTATCCCACCTCCTTCAGCAAATGGACGCGCGAACAGCTGCTCAAGAGTCTCGAGGTCATCGTGCCACTCACTTTCTGACATCTTGACGCTTGTTCCTGACGCCGCTGCAGATATTGGGCTCTCTGTCGGCACCGCTGCCCCCAGAGTTGCCACCTTCTCCTCCCTGCTCCCGGTCAAACTCCCCTGTTCCGTCCTTCACCAAGAGAAAGCATGCACCTTCTCAAGATCATGAACTTGTAAAGCGGCCTCGCATCAGCAGCTCCTCAGAGAGGTCCTCTCAACTCCATCACCCCCACTACCACCACTATCAGCAACCCCAGCCACCGTTACTAGCCCCACTCCATAGGTCCTCTAATCAAGTACCTAATTACAGCCTTCGCTCTGAGCCATCTGAAGATGGTGAACTCAGAGAGGACTCTGTTTCTCTTACTTCCCGTCCTTCGGCGCTTCCTGTTCTCTCAACAGCAGTACCTGTCCGGAGGCCCCGGAGAGGCAAGGTCGCACTTGCTACATTTGAAGATTTGCACGACAGATATCATAGATATGGCAGGATGCTTAAGTATTCAGGCGATGCAAGATTCTGGTCCACTTATCCTCCCACTCACAAGGAGTATCGTCCACTGAACGACCCGCCTCCACCCAATTCTCCGTATCACAAACACGGTGGCTTGATTGCACGCCTGGAACTAGTTGATGCTTTGGTATGCTTCACGTACTCGATATGGTGCCGAGAATACATTAGGCGAACGTGCCATCGTGAAACTTGGGGCACAATTGAAGCCTTTCTTGACTGGTGCAAGATCAAGTGGCAGTCCGAGGACGTGCTCGGGGACCGCGAAAAGGCCCTGTTGGGCTTGATGTGAGCATTCTTGACGTTGTCTCCGCCGTTCCGCTGACGCGTTGGTTGTCCCCCCCCCATCTCCCCCCGCAGTTGGATGATCGAAGCTTTCGTCCACTCGCGCATTCTCTATTATACGGCCAAAACGAGCGTTGACCCTGAGTTGGATCGTGCGTGGGCCAAGATGAAGTCGGAGATGGCTGCCCTCAGCCGGGAGGCGGAAAGGACGGAGATGGGATCGGCGAGTACCACTGGGCAACATGTCAGCGGCCCCCAAAAGACTCCACCGATGCTTCCTTCTCCCGCAAGTATTGCTCCTGATAGTAGTGCCAGTTCAACGCCCATCACAGGCAGCGCGGGGGGCACTCCGAGCACAAGCAATTCTCTCGTGGCGCAGACATTATCTTCTGCACGGGTCTCACACGCCACCAACCCTGCAACCCTGCCGTTGTCACGCCACCTGCTTCCACACGTCAGTAATAGATCGGATGGACCCAGTCCTACGCCAGCCATGGTTGCCGCCGCTGCTAAAGCCACCGTCTCCCTTGGGCCAGCAATGGTTTACCAGCTGAAGGAACAGTCGGGTGCGGTGTTGTCGGCGTCCTCTTCCATGGACCATGCGCAACGGTACTTAACGCTCCCCATTATGGCTCGGCACTACCCGATCACTTTCGCACGAATGATGGGTTCGAGCCTAGCTGCACATGAGGAGCATGAACCAGACATCGAGGACGAAGAAGGGGAGTTACTCTGGCCCACCCAATCAGTCACTGGTGAAGGCCTAGGGTGGGTGTGCCTCATGGGAAAGGCTATGGTCAAGGAGCTAGGGAGAGATATTGGGTATGTAGGTCTTCATGGTGTGGTTCGGAAGCCGGAGGCGGCGCCTGCTGGAGCATCACCGCTACCCCCAGATTCCTCGAGGCAGGTGTCTGCTCAACGATGAGCTACTTATCAAATTCCAAGAGTTGTACTTCAGCCTTTGGGGTATTCCTTTACCGTTTCTCGCCTCGCGCTCGTCGGTATTCATACACACCATGGCGCGATGCATCCACCACACCGTGTCACACGCCATATGACACTCGGAAATTCTCGGCGGCAAGACCGAATTCGCTGTAATCGTCTGTTGCCCTCCACATCTCGACGATCAATTCATTGTTTTAGTATTCTCTTCTCGCACCAGGGAGAAGCTACTTGGGTTTGACACTTCGTCATCCTGCGGGGATGACACCCTAACTGGTCGATTTCCCACCACCGCACAGTGTAGTGCAACGATCATTGTGCAGAAACGGCTTTCGCGTCCACAAGATCTATTCCAGCCCGTTACGTCCACTATACTCGACGTACCGAGAAGGGGACGTTTCACTCCCGAGCTTCCACTCCTGTTCTCCTGTTCTTGAGGGGATCGGCGTTAACTGTGCTACGTGTCTTCTAGCTTATTTTTCTTCTTATTTATCCCAGTTTATTTTTCTCCCTGCTACCACAGTACCTCACCTGTCCGCGGTCAATACCCTGGATGATCATGGAGCAAATGTGCATTTAGCCGTACTACTTGGGCCTGTTTCTTCGTACCTATCTCCCTACGGAATACGGGAACGTTAGGGCAGAGGTTTGTAGATACAGGTTTCAACGCGGTTCTCATACTACTTAGTTGGATTGTGACTTGTCTGTTGGATATCTTCGTCTTACATGGTGAACTGTATTGGATCCGTCTGTAGAGGGTGTGTATAGATGGGCAGTTTTTCACCAGCACATGCATGAATCGTTGCCCTCAAGCACCTCTGTTTCCAACCTGACTTACTGGTTTTCCTTTTCCGGAAGTCACTACACTGGATGAAACGGTAGCTTGCACAGCAATGACATTCCCATAGCTCTTTTATTACCAATTTAGCCACAAAATCTAGTTCTGGAAACCTCGATGTGCAATGTAAATATGAAATAGACCAACCCTAACATAGCAGACGGCGCATACCGAAACCTGTCATCACAGAGATTATCAGCCAAACCGAAAGGTACGCACATTCAACTTACTCACCTTCGTCAAAATGTAACACGCACAACACGTCTCCTTAGACAACCGTATTTTAACCACGTTGCTGGATGCCCAACAACTGGATGAGATCTGGTCCAAAACGTACTTAGAGAAATACATGCAAGATGACAACCACATCACTACACAAACCTTGCAGCCTGGCTTCCCGCCTTTCACGTTGTGTTTCAGTTTGCTTCGCACCCGAAAATGCCTATATATGAAAGCAGCCCCCAGTTTGGTTACGATAGAGCCAATGAGATGGATGGAAAGGTATGCACATGTTGAATGAGTTTCTTTTTCCTCTCTTGGATTTCGATGACCTTGAGTATCATGAGAAACTGCATGATAAAGGTACCTTGTAATTCAGAGTATACCTTTGATTCTACTGTGTTTTCGGCAATGAGTTGATAGACATGGACAGGTCTCTTCTGTCCAATCCTGTAACGACGTCAACTGTGAGGTATTCCCCAGAGGCGACACATAACACACCGGTTGCACCGGTCGATAGCCTGGCTTTCAATTCCTTCCTGGATGTATCTAAGTATAGATATAGAAAAGGCAAGATTCTGGGCACTATACCTGCCACCAACTACGTAGGCGCGTACACGTCCCCGTCAGATTCAAGATATACCAACAGAATGACACTCACGGGTCCATCCTGCAGGAGAGCACTTAAACTCTGTTACCACCATCAAGCAACACGGAACTTACAGAAATACGTTGTTCGCAACAGTCAAGTTCAGTCCAAGTGCACCCGCTTTGAGGGAAATCAACATGACTTTCGGATTTTTGCCTTGGAGCATGGAACCGTTAAGCAACGACTTTGAATTAGCATTGGATAATATTATGCTTTCCGAAGCCTTCTCTTTGCTCTTCTCCACTAGGGAAGATATTCCCTGGTGAAGATCATCATCTTCAGTAGTACCATCGTCAGTAAGGTCATAAACATCGGTATCAGTGACTCCGGTAGAGATATCAATGCACGATTCGGTTTCGAGCGGAATTGAGAAGCGCTCCAGAATTTCTTGCCGTCTCCTGGCAGATAACTGCCCATCGAAACGCACGTAGGGTATCCTGACAGTTTCAGTAATTGGGAACGTATGACTGTGAGGTCGCCGTACGAACTCACCCGTGCTCACTCAAAGTTTCGCCGATCTGTTCACAAACTCTTAGTACACGCGCGTGCGATCTCGAAAAAACTTGCCTTGTCCAAGAAGGACGTGAATTGAGAGAATACCAAACTCTTTTCATCGCTGGGAAGCAATTTCAGTAAGTCAACTAGCTGGTCGATCTTTGCCGATGATCCCATTCGCAATTCATTGCAGCCTTGGTCATCGTGCCTCGCTGGTAATTGGGTGAATTCTACTGGCGGCGGAGATTCGATTAGTTCTCCGGCGTTGATGCGGCGACGGTCCTGAGATGGGTTAGAAAATTGAAGGTGAGATTATAATGATATACCATAGGGCATTTCGGGTCCCTTGCAATGACTTCTGAAATACTTTATCGTTGTGAGCCCAGAGAAGTCCCAAAAAGTGGCAAGCTAACCAACGAAGGCAAAATGCATGCGCGCATGGTGTGATCCTGGGATCCGTCAATACGCTAAAGCAGATCGGACACTCTTCGCTGTCTTCGATCAGCTTAGATAGTTGGGCCTGCAAACGTTCTTTCAGTTCCGGTGTGATATGGCCCACCGAAGGTTGTGTAGGCAGCTCATCGGTGGCCTGTAGCTGCTCAAGGTAGTTGACAGGAATCAGTCCAGGGTGGAGCGCAATTTGGCGCAGGCGGGTGAGCATACTAAGTACATTGGAGGTGACCTGCAGAGCAAGTGAGGCAATGTGAGGGGACTCCAAAATGTGCTTACAATGGTGTTCATCCCGCCGGCTTGATTGATCAAGCTCTCCACTCGTTGGTGAGATACTGCTTCGACAGCGTCATACAACTCCTACGTCACTCGGTAAGAACAATGGATGGAACCATGAAGTGGCGTCCTTACTCGTGCCCCTTCGTGAAGCGTGACTGGAATAAGTGTAACATCTACCTGTATGGTAATGAGCAGCCGATCATTTCTGAGCACCGAACTTCATCACCGGGGGCAAGGAAACTAGGGGCTTTCCCTGGGAATCTCTCATCTATGTGGCAGAGGTCGTCAGAGAAAAAAAAGTCACATAACACAATATTTCACCTCCTTGGTTCTCCGGATACAAACTTGGGTCATGAGCGCCTGAGAATTCAGTTAAGGGACAACACGGAAAGTAATGTTGAACGGACGCACACGGAGTAATTCCACGCCAGCTGGATCGCCTTGTTTGAGGGGGCGTAAGAGCAGCCTCTTGAAGAAATCTTCGTCGTCCAGGGGTCGACATATTTGAAGGAACGTGAGGATAGAACCCAAATCCTAACCCCGCGTATTGTAAAGGTTACCAGATTCAAGTGGGAATGACATACCCTAGGCGAGTTGATCTGGAGAGGAATGTAGATTGACAATCAAGAACAATTCTACTTACGATAGGTGTGCCAGATAGGACCCATCTCCTTTGAGCAGTAAGCCTGCAGACGGCCCTCGCCATCTTCGTTTTTGCGTTTCTAATATTATGACCTTCATCCAGGATAACTCTCTGCGACAAACAGTGGGCCAATTCATTCGGGCGATGACTTCTTTAAACCAACCTTCCACTTCACGTCGAACAGCCCCGTCTCGGTCTTCTTTTTTTTCTTTACATGCCCACCTAGACGACTGTCCGTGAAAACGCTAGGCTCTGCCTCCACAACTACTGTCTGATAGGTCGTAATGACGACATCATACTTGGTTAGTCCATCAGCTGCCATGCTACGGGATGCCCCATAGTAAACATAGGTATTAAGAGCACCCCTTGTACAGTGCTCTTCGACTTGCTGTTCCCAGTTAGACATCACAGAAAGAGGAACCACTGTCCAAATATCGGATGAACGACGACGCTGCACAGTCACGAATGAAAATACCAATTAGAGTAGCCTGAGAGTGGTCCGACGGAACATCCTTCTTCGTGGCAAGGATAAGCGAAAGCATGGTCAACGTTTTACCCTGTAAAGATTCAGAATCCAGGAATGTCGGAGAACGCCGAATTACTTACCAGACCCATGCTATCAGCAACCAGTGCTCCACGACCAAGAACTGGTGGTGTGGTGATCTCCTGCGGGGTCTTGGTAGCAACTGGAAGGACCAAAATATTTAAGAAAAACTCCACGGGAAGCGGAGAATCACTGGTACTTACGATTGAAGTAATAGGGCTAAAATGTGTCACATAAATTGGTGAATAAAGTGGAGGATGACAGCTTACCTTATTTCCTGCCTTGCGATACTGCCAAAATTGCACTGGCCTGTCCGACTCTGTAGTTGGTAGGGTAGGATGCTCACGCTCGATGCACCACTGCAGAGCTTGACTCTAAGAAAGCCCGTCAGTGCGAGCAAGCCAAAAAAAAAAAAAAGGAGATCGCTAACCTGATGCTTCAAAAGATCTACAACAAGATCCCCACTGGCAACACCTGGAGGGTTTGGGTGTACTGGCAAATTCAAGATATCGTCTGCAGTGCAAAGAGTATCCAATAACGATGTACGCCGGGAGTCGTCATCCACTTTTTCAAGGGTGCCGAGAACTTGTGCAAGTTCCTTCGCCTTGGCGAGTGCTTGCTGCTGCTTTTTAGTAGCTTCGTCTTGTGACTGACTTAGGGCGACGCTCGTTGCACGTCTCCGGCGGGAAACGGGCTGAGACTGGTGTATTTGAGCAGCTGACGTTGCAGCACCAGCATAAGAGGGTGCAGACAGCGCTCCGGGAACTTGTCCACCCGGTCCACCCCAACCCCACTGGCGAGTTGCCCAAGCGAGTTGAGGCTCCAGGATGTCACGTTTGTCCGACATTCCGTAAATTCTCAGCTCCCTAACAAATGTCCTTATCAGAACTGGAAAAAAAGGTGTGAGGGTAATCCAACTTACAGCTCTAGGGAGTAACTAAATGCGCCGACTACAATCCTGTGAGAACTGCATCAAGTGTTGTTGACGAGAACAACTTACGATTTCCGGAAAGCATGGTACCCTCCAAATTCACTAACCCCTTATCAAGGAGTGGAGCTGCTCGGGCGGCGATCTCCTTCGGAATGTGACCTACTTGCATGCCACCGATGTTTACGACCTTGATAGCATTCCTATTGAAAAGAATTATTCAAGCGGACAGTCAGTGACTGCAGGACGCCTATTTGTCATATGGATTTCTGGGTTCTCTCTGTAGTGTAACCTGTTCGCCGGCTCCCACCAGACCTGCACACCCCGTCGACATGGCAGCAAGGTCAATGCTTGAGAGAACGCACCCTTATAATATTGCACACCGACGACACGTGTCTTGAAGATGCAATAGAGTTCATCGATTGGTTCAGGCTCGATAAGTAGAACTTCCTCGTCTTCGTCGTTAGTACGAGGGCGGGAGCTGGTAGAGACCCCAGAGACGCTTGGAACAGAAGGCTCAGAGCTTTCAGACAGCTGTTTCCGTTTCCGTTGTCTCTGATTGGCGGATGTGGGTTCCGGTGCAGTCAGTAGAGGCATGAGAGGTTGTAAAGGTTGGCTCATTGGGGCTGCAATGGCTTTGGCAGATGTAGGTATGTCAACAGGATCTACACGTCTGCCTGCTATAGCGCGGCGGACTTTTCCCTGATCCTCGGGACTTTCCAAAATTCGGGTGTAGGTCAGCGTCTAGGAGAACAGAATAATCAATTGAGATGCACAGTACTTACCGCAGAGTATTAAAGCCTGTTACGGAATTGAGGTCCACAGTCGCAAGGATGCGCAGAATATCAGGTGTGACGCAGCCCCTTTTTCCCAACTATCCTCAGCACCCCAGCACCCCAGCCAGGGGCCATGAGAAAAAAAGACGTACCAATGGCGCCAAATCACTATCTCTCCGAACTCGCTCGGGACAAGCGTGCCGTACCTCAAGCTGCCTACTGCAATGGACGAGCCTGTGCATGGAGAGGGGCCTTTGCAGACCGACAGTGAACTCTTGCTGTACTACAAAAATGCCTAAGGGTCTCGGGAAAACCGACAGTGCCATGACACTCACGTCTATAACGTGTCCAGGCATACCACCGCTATTCCTGACTGGCAAGACGCGATCCCACACTCCAAGCCTGAGTCGCGTCCCAGAGCTTTGTTTGGTCGAGTTTGCAACGCGATTCACTCCTCGACAGACCCCGACCGACGACAAGGATGGTGTCATTCAACCCGAAGCCTACCTATATAGACGGTCTACCGTACGACCCAGAACAAGATGTCCAAGAGAAACGCGACATCCGCAAGAAATATCGTCAACTCGAAAAACTAACAGGAGGTGAGCCGCGACACGACGCGTGCGGCCCACTCAGCTCCTGAACTGTACAGAGCATCTGAGACCACAGGACCTTGACGCTGAGGCTCTCGTAGGCCAAGTCGCCCAGGCTGATGAACTATTCTCTAAGGGTGGGTTTCAACCCCTTTCGTGTGACCCCAGAATGGTAGTTGATGATCCTCCGGCCGTCCTTCTACACCTCATGCAGTCAAAAATCCCACTGAAGCAACTCTCGATTCGACAATTTTGCGAAATGTTTCAAGCATCAGTGCTCAGAAAGCTCGTGCAATGAAACTCGGATCGGCAGCGTTCGATATGGACGATTTCGTAACCAAGCTCATTAGCTTCATGGGCGGCAGACAATGCTTCGAGGAAAATGAAGGTGGTTCAGAAATTGAGGCAGAAGAAGAAGGCGGTTTAGATTGGGACAAGATCGGCAGGAAGGCACTTGCTAAGAGCCGGAGAGTTCCTGTCACTCATTTCATGTATGCTCCAGTTCACCCAAGCCTGGGCCAAATCGGTCGCTAAACCCACCCGTAGGCTTGGTCCTCTTTCGATAGAACAAAAGAAGCGCGCTCAGGTCAAGCGACAGAAAGAGGAAAGGATTCAAGAGGAAGAACGTAGACCACAGGAAATCAAAGAAGAAGACATCAAACGGTCTGATAATGAAACAACTAAGAACGTACTCGTTGTGCGTTACATTCGATCTTTCCGATGCTAAACGTGTTCTCATCTCATTCGTGAAGATCAAAGACATCCTCGAATCCACGGGACCCGTCAACATATTCAAATTCATCGTCAACCCGAATGACTTTGCGCAGTCTGTAGAGAACCTCTTTTATGTATCCTTCCTCATCCGCGATGGCGAGTGTGCATTCGAGATCACAGAGGAAGGTGATCCTATGATTAGTGAGCTTTACCTTTTCTATCTGCCTTGAATGCTAAATTGCGTGCGAAACTAGTGCTCTGTGAGCAGCCAACAATGGAGGATCGACTTCAAGGCGTACAACGACAACAGATCGTTATGGAATTTGACATGGCAACATGGCAGGTAACTCATTGCTCCTGTATCAATGTCTCCATTCCGACAGTCTTTCAGCGCGCCATCCAAGTCTGGAATATCACATCGTCTACCATACCCCAGCGTCCTCCTGTAAAAAATCAACCCGGTGGAAAGTGGTATGGATAAGTCATGAATTTAGCTGCAAACATAAACTCTAGACCAGATTGATTGTAACGTAGTACTGTGTAGCATCTGCACCTCAAGTTCAGATTGCGTAATATATGTACAATCAAAAAAACTGCGCCATTGGTATGCTCTGCATAAAGCGAAGGAAGATGTAGGGAACGCAAGCGTTCCTTGGACACAGCAACTAGCGGCGCCGCTATAAGGCGAACCTTGAAATGGCATCAAGCCAAGCACCGCGGTTCTGAAATATAAAAGCGCCATAGATCCACTAGCAAGACGTACGCGGCTTGAAATCAAACTTGAGTTGACCGTTATTGGCATAAATCCCGTATCCCGGCTCTTGGCTTTCAGAGTAAATGTGTGCAAACCATCCGATGCCACCACCGGGGGCATTTTTAAGGTCCTCACAGTGGCTGTCGAGCATGGTATAGTAGGCCTGAAGACAACATGAATTCGAGAAGATGGACGCAACCCCAAAGTCTGCATACCGACTCGCTAGGAATGCTTGCTACGGCAAGGGCACTGTTGGCTTGAACGCCCGGAGAAGTGACTGAAGGCCACCCGTTCTAATCCAGAGAGAAGTCATTTATAACACGAGAGCGGAGAAGTGTGATAAACTCGCCTCGTCAAAGTACATCTTTTTGCCATTGCCATGCTGAATGAACCAATTCATGTCCGTCCGTACTTGTGACCACGCAGCAGCACCACTTGTTGCTTCCGTAGAGAAAAATGGCAACATGTGAATATTGATGAAGTCAATTGCATCCAGCACATCTTGAGCGCCGCCGCGTTCCTGGTAGCCGAAAGCCAGCTCACTGACAGTGACAGGCACGCTAACCCCACTAAGCTGTGTCTTGACCAACAGCACCTGAGAGGCAAGCTCTTCATGGGGGAGAACATTATCAAATAGGGGCTCCGATCCAAACTGAACGCCACGTGTGACAAATTTGGCCTTTGGGTTGCTAGTCAAGGTGGAAATAAGGGAGTCGCGACGGGTCTGCCATTCGTCTCCACCATCGAAGCCAAACTGTGGGCAGCATTGTTAGCAAGAAAAGAGCGCTCTAAGCAAAATGGTATGTACCCAAATCAAAGCGTGAACTCCAACGCCAGCTTCCCATGCAGCATCTACGACATCATCGCTGCGAATATAAGAAATGGCTTTGCGAAAGAACGGAAAACACATACTAGAAACCTGGATTGTCACACGCACCATATAGGCGAACGTATCTCCCATCGAAGTTGTTGCGGATGTCAGCAAACTCAGTCTTGAGTTGATCCAAACTTTGGCCTTCCAGCAAGCGTTAGGACGCACTAGATAAATCTGCAGTCAAAACATACATGCGGTAACCTCATAACTGAACCCGAGGAAGGCGTACTCGGAATTCATAGGACACCACCAATTGTCCAAGGTATCAGGGGTCGTTGACGGCATCTTGAAGTTCAGAGCAGGGAAACAGCCTGAAGACGAGTCTGGCACGCCGCCCGTAGGGGTTGGGACTGGGATCGAAGTTGTGGCTGGAGAAAAGGCAGGCTTGCTTAGCGAAATCACCGGAGAGGTCGTAGGAAACGCGTGATTGGGAGTCTTTGTAGGAGTTTTGGAAGGCGGAGCTGTAGCCGTCAAGGAAGAGCTCGAACCTAATGAGACACTTGAACTTTTAGCCTTGCAACTTCTCGGAAGCGGCCTGGCAGAGGCAATACTTGAAGAAACAAGAAGGAAAAGAATGAGAACATAAAGAATGGCGTGACCAGCGACAGACATCTTGCAAGGAGCGTACGAGAAGGAAGATAGGGTAGGATTAACATCAAGGATGGAGCGTTCACAGAAGTGACAAAAGACCAGGCAACCAGATAGTTGAAGTCGAACCGCTCCACTTTTTATGTCATGCCACGCTTGTCACGAAGGCCGATGGCTTTTGTTCCTTGGCCAAGCATTTCTTGTACCCCTTCGCCTCTGCCAGTTTCGTCACGAACTGAGCACATCTAGGCTCCAGTGTCAGCCACAGACTTCTTGAACCGGGATCGAACTTCAGCAGTCACTATAGATCCTGGCACGTTCCATATCGATGGTCAGCGTAACCATTTGCATAATTGCAGTATCGGTACCTATTAATGCACCGGAAGTGGAACATACGCAATGGTGTGTCAAAGATACACCATTCAGACTTCACTAGACAATGGCAGCTGGTACCTGAGGCCTAAGCAGAGAACTGGGAGAAATTACGTGAGAGTACCTGTCAAACTCCTTGCAGTGCCAGTATGCTCAACTGAGGACATACTTACCAGGTGCAAAGAACAATAGCAGTTTATACCTTTCAACATGCGGCGAAATTGCAAAAGGAAGGTGTACTGTACGATCAATCATCACTGTGTCCGCAAAAGGCATCCCCCTGTTCAGTGAAATGGAACCTAATAAGTGGCAAGAAATCTTCCAACTCGCGTAGTGTGTCTGCTCCGGTGCGTACTTTCGTTTCACGTGAAGAATTGATTATTCGCATTATAGCTTTAAGCTCTCGTTAGAAATCTTAGAAGCACGCCAGGCCTTTGCATAGGCTCATTGGGCAGCTACCATGGGATGCTAACCCCACACAATCACTCGCACGCGTAAACGACGGTGTACTTTACAATCATTTCAACCTTGGAATAATACTACCGCCAAAGGCTTGCGAGAATAACCGAATGGGCAGGAGTGGCTCCCGTCCTTTCGCGTCTCCTCGGTCAACGATGCGTGTGACGCCGGTTTACCCCGCGCAGGGGAACTCACTGCGTCATATATCACAGTATTGCAACCTCACTCAAAGCATGCGGTTTCTTCAACTGTAAAATTGTATTATGATTATCAATGATGTCACTTGCGCCGAAGACTTTCATTGCTTCATTGAAGTGCGCCTCGAAGCTGTGGCATATTGGTAAATACAGTATTAGTAAACCGGGTAATAAGTTTAGTAAGTTAGCCCAAAAGGAATTTCAGTGGGAAACGCCGACCCGGCCTCCAACTTTGACCAGGCTCAGACATGTTTCGCCACTGCGTGCGTCTTCAACTGCGTAGGGGTCTCCACACGCGTGCCAGCGCGTCGTTCAACTCTCAAACGTTCAAACGCTATGGACACCCAGCTTATGTGGTGGGAGCCTCGCTCACCATGGCAACTTATTTAGCTTGGATGTGGAACTCGAACCCTCGGCATGTATCGCTCGATTCTGAACCGATTCATGGTGCGTCCTTTCTGGACAAAGTGGTATAGGACCTATGGATGATATACGTGTAGATTCCCAAAAACGACATCTGTCGAAACCCGAGCCTTCTCTCTTGTCGGAGCATGTTCCGTCTGCCTCGGCGACACCAGAAGTAACCGCTTCAATCATAGCGACGCCTTCTACAGAGAAGACTGATGCCGATGCAGTACCATCGGATGCACAAGGCCAGGGAGAAATCCAGGAAGACTCTTCGGGTGGGCAAGGTGCATTCAATCCTGAAACCGGTGAAATAAACTGGGACTGTCCATGTCTCGGCGGGATGGCTCACGGACCCTGTGGTCCCCAGTTCCGAGAAGCATTCTCTTGTTTCGTCTACTCAGACAAGGAGCCGAAAGGCATCAACTGCGTAGAGAAGTTTAAGGCAATGCAGGATTGTTTCCGTGCACACCCCGACGTTTACGGGGAAGGCAAGTTGGTCATTCTTACCGCTTTGTACACTCAATAATGTGTCCGTTCAGAAATTATGGACGACGACGATGAAAATGTAGAGGCACCTTCGGAGTCCTCGTTACAACCTGGTGATGTTCCTTCGTCTAACTCGCCACCACCAAAGGAGCAGCCAGCTCCGGCCTCGCAGACACCCTAGAGATCAGACGCACTTATTTTATGATACGTATATAATCGCCACTCATTGACGTTCAAATATTGATATTATACACACGCATGACATCGCACAATTTGTACTAACCAAGGTATGTCAGTGTTATACACCGCTGACGAAACACGTGCAGCCATCAAATTTGGAATCTTTTCTCGATCACTTGGCCCTTTAATTTGTAACCATTGGCTGTGAATAACTTTGAATGCAAGAATGGCGATGTATCGTAGATATCGTGCTCCTTGGCCTATCAAATCATGTGAGTGGCACTACATCAATAAAAATACTCCGCTTACGCGTTCGTCGAGTTGAGATACGTTGATGGTTACTAGCTCGGGTTGCTCATGTTTTTGCAGTTGATGGAAACGAGCCTTGTCCTTGACCAGTTGTCCAAGAATGAAAGCCAGTAGTTCCTCATAGTCCCGGGCCTGAGTAAGGTACTTGCGAAAGCCCTGCGAGTCCAAGGGTTATCAGCAGGTGTTTTTGATACGCTTCACATTTGCTTACTCTCTCAAGAGTTTTCTTAATGGACATCTTCTGTGCATTTACGAAACTACCCACGGCGACAGAGATGGCCAGATCAATATCATCCGAGCGTACATACTCCCTAAGAGACATCTTCGCGCTGGCCTCGGCCATGCGGATCATACTTTCCAGGTGGCGAATGGTGATGGGGTACGAGCCAGTTGCCATTGACTCCCGCCGAAGATCAGCAAACAGCCGTGATAACTTCTCTTGGTCCATATCGTACAGCTTGGGGCGGATTTTCTCTCGGGCGTACATGATATACTTTCGGAGAAAGTCCTGCGGAATGAGCTGCCGTATAATAATGAGCATCAGCACAGTCCACGTTGCTAACCTCACGTACGTCTGCATCAAGAGTAGTTCCAACGTCCATCTCCTCCTTCCCGGGCTCAAAGTTGGGGTGGCTCCGGAGGTGGCTTCCTACCACAAAACGAGCGAGGAGCTCGTCTTGAACGGGATCAACTGTGTCCTTTACCACACACAACACGTCAAAACGTGACAAGATGGGCTCCGTGAGTTCCACGTTTTGTTGAAAGGGGATCGTTGGGTTATACCGCCCTCTAACAGGGTTGGCAGCAGCAATAATTGCACACCGCGCTTGAAGAGTAGTCACAATACCAGCCTTGGAAATCGAGATCGATTGCTGCTCCATTGCTTCGTGGATCGAAGTGCGATCAGCGTCGTTCATCTTGTCAAACTCGTCAATAAGGCAAGTCCCCTTATCTGCTAGAACAAGTGCTCCGCCTTCGAGTGTCCATTCACGAGTAATAGGGTCCTTGCGCACGCTCGCGGTCAAACCGACAGCAGATGCGCCCTGCCCAGTGGCAAAGACGGAGCGGTGCGCGGTTTTCTCAACATACTTCAAGAACTGTGACTTTGCCGTACCAGGGTCCCCCAGTAACAAAATGTTGATGTCGCCACGGATGCGATGCTTTCGTTTGACGTCTTTTGGGACACCGCCGAAGAGCGACAACGCTATAGCAGTCTTAATGTTCTCGTGGCCGTAAATGGAGGGTGCAATCGACTTGATGATCCTTTTGCGGATACGCTCGTCGCGGGCGGCCGCACGGATATCCTTCTCGTCCTCCTCCGTCAGCCTAAATGCCGCAAACAGATCCTCTTTTTTATTGATGTGGTTTGCCTCGATCACAGTAGAAAAGACGGGGAATCCGTTTTTGGAGTTGAGGGATGCATCGAAATTGTTCCGATATATACCAGTTACTTCCTACAAGACCGTGAGATTTATATTGAGGTAGCATGCAGGCGACTTACAATTTCCTCGCCAGGTTTAGCGCTGTCGATAAGATCCCAAAGAAGGATGACTTCCCGGTGCCTTGGTAAACGACCGGGTGGAACTGACCCTGGCGACTCCTGCAGAGTCATTTTTTGATAATTACGATATACGGTCTGTGAGTAAGGGTTCAGCAGGCGGTTTGCTCAGTCCTCCCGGCTGACTTACTTGCTCGGAGTTCACTGGGAAAGGACCTTTGCTTTCACAGTTGGGACAATAACTGATTTTAACCTCCTTGGTTGCATCTTGGTAGAAGGGACCGAGCACCGCGCCGCATTTGCGGCAGTCAAATTTAACGTACTTCAGTTGAGGGAATACGCCACTTCGACGTGTAACGACACCTGAGACCCGAACGAGGGTGTTTAAATTCGAGCGCCGAAGATCTCGCAGTGATGAGCTAAGAGGAAGATCCGCGATGCGAACATGGACCTCCGAGTGAATACGCTCATAAGACGGGTAATAAACGAGAATTGCGTTCAATGCAACCTCGTCAAAGATTGATAGCATAGCGGTAGGAGAGTTGGTGAGGAAATAGGCCAGGATGGGCTTAGAGAGCGCTAGGTGAAGGTATGAAACTTCCAGCGATTCCGCATTGGCTAGGAGAGGTGTTAGGCGATACGTGGAGACAGTGAACACAATACTTACTTTCACCCAGGTTACGAATGCGTTGACCATACACGGAGTTACCATTGTCATCAACGTAGGTCATTAAAAATTGACGGAAGTGTTTGACGATCGAGCGGCGGACACGGTCATTTGCTATCCACTCTGCAATTGACTTCGCTTTGATATCGCTTAATTGCTCCAGGGGAATTTCCTGCCGTTCGGACTGTTAGCACCTTGCAGCCACCAAAGTTCAAAGAGACAAACGTCGTCCACGCCATCAACATCGTCAAGATCTCGTCGTTCATCATATTGTCGCCGGGTGCGGCGCCTCATCCTGGCCACTCCGAGCCCGCCATCCAAAATATCCTCATCATCTATATCGTCACTCTGCAAAAACTGAGGAGCCCTGCTACGGGCTGCGGCACGTGCCCCCCGCACGCCAGTGCGCTCCAACCGATCCCTACGATCCATCTGCGCTTCTGCAGCCCTACGTGCAGCTGCTGACATTGCCTCGTAGTCCCCTGCATCATCGATGGCTTGGTCGGAATAGTGGTCCAAGAGTTCATTGGGTGCATAATCGCTTCGAATAACCAAATCAGAGCTTTGATAATTTGGAAGGCATAAAGCTCACCCCTCCATATCTGCCCCAAAAAGATCTTCTCCATCCTCGTCCTCCTCATCATCTCCTAAGTCTTTCACAACTTCACTCTCCTCCAGGTTGTCGTCCGTGTCCGAAAAAGGCGCAGGAGGTGAAGATGGAGGTAGGGAAGACTCGGAGTCTCTCCGTTGTGCTGATGGCTGCGGTGCGGGCGAACTACTGGGAATTGGGGGAGAGCGAGCACGTTTAGACCCTCTTTGTGTTTGAGACTGTGCGACATCAGATTTGTTCCACTGAGATTGTACAAAATGCGTACCATGATGTACAACGATGACTGCAGAAAGAATTGCAACGCGTCGCGACGCGTCTAATTCTGATCGGAGTGTGAAAAACCGCGTCTTATCAGATAGAAAATATTTTATTTATAAAAATTAATCATTTTTAGATGCCTATCGACTTCCAAACTGCAGTCAGTCAGGAGGAGCAGCGCCTGCGGGAACTGCACCCAACCGTGGACCACAACCCTGGGTGTGTGAGTCTGCTGGACGGTTTTTTGATGTGTCATGGTATGTAGACATTCGTTTCCCTTCCCCACCCCATGGTTGACAAGTGATCAGTTCTAAACGCTCAATTCAAATCTCTGTACAGATACGGGCGTATGTCGGAATGCGGTGATAAACTCGAAGCTTTCAAGTTTTGCTTGAGCCTCAAGTCGATGCATCCAGAACAGAAGAGGGACGCTTGGATCCGTCGTCGAGCAGAGGAATGGGCTTCCAAGCGTCTGGGAAAGAGCAGCGAAAATATCTGGGAAATGCGAGCGTAGGGCTCTCTCAGTTGTAGCCCTTCCTCCTATCTCACTGACGATCTGCGCGGTAGTGAACCACTGCAAAATTGGCCACCCACACTCCCGGACGACGCGATGCGGAATACCGATAGCATCCCCTGAATATGTTAGGGCTATGTGTTCCTGGGCGTGCCAAATTGTTCAATTGTGAACTGCACACTGATCTTCTACGCGTATCTATGGCATCTGGCTGCTTCTGTCCGATCGTACTCGCATTCTTATTACCATACTCTGTCTATAGCCACCTCTGAATGCGCGTATTCTCTGGATGCCAACCCCCGAAGACCCCATGCTGGACGAAACGTGCAATCTACGAGAAAAACCAGAAAAGAAGCGTTGTGCATCAGCATGAGCTGTTGGCTCGGTCACATCCGAGTGTACTTTAAACACCTGAGCGGGTAGTATTCCCAGTTGACAATCCACAGGGAGTGCCCGGGTACCAGTACCGACAACGATAGTACACCCAAGTCTATTTGAAGTGTCACAAACGGCGGCGATCCTAATTGCCTTGCGGTTTTTGATATATCGTGTCCTCAGCCAGTTGACCCAGATGTCCACCGGGGGTCCCGGAACCGGAGACGAACACTGGTTATGATCGTACGCTCAAAGCCGAACGTGGGCTATACTAAGGAGTAATCATAGACAAGTCGTGACGACAAAATGGGAATCAAAAAGTAATTCACCAAGAACTTGAAGAGTTGTACAGAGAGCGCGACCCAGAGACCCCGCTCTTTACCTTCCTTCAGAAGATGTCGAATCCCCGGTATTCTTGTGATCCGTCTGTCCCTCCTCCGCATTGCTCAATCCTCCAGCTTTGTAGTCACCAAGGTAGAAGTAAACTGCTGGAAGGCCCACTAATAGGCCACCAACAATGTTTCCGAGGTACGATGCTATCAAGGACCTTGGAGCAAAGTAAGTAGTGGGGGTAGCTTCGTATTCACCAATACCCACTTTTTAATGTAATAAGCTGTAGTCAACTATAGAGTCGTCAGCAGGAAGTGGATACATATATCAACAAATTTCCATACATTGGCATGGAGCATGATTCCTAGTGGTAAGGAGAACATATTCGCGATCACTACGAAATGTTGTTAGCTGCGCCCAAATGAATTTTGCTCTTGCGTATACCGTGGTCGAATCCACACGCAACGAATACCTGTAGACATGGTAATGAAAATGATCAACCTACAATGTGAACAGAAAGGCTTGCCGGCGTACCCATATTGGGAACCAAGTGGCGATGATTTTCGAGATGGTGTCCCTGGCACCTGTTGCTTGCTGAGACCAGTCAACTTATCATCATGGACATGATCCTAGAATGGCCCACCCAAACAGCAATGCAAACCAGCCAGTTACAGCCGATTCCCCTAAGGAATATCTGGTACCACGCGGGGGTCACAGCTTTGGTGCTATGGAGTAATCACAAATTAGCGACAAAAAGAAAAAGAAAAAGAAAACCTACACAGCGAAGTTCCTGATGTAGGTAGCATAGGGATCATCAACGACCAGACCGTCATCTAAAATACATCTCAGCCATTCCAAGTTTCGAATGAGGAGACTTGAAAGAACATTTAGCAAGGACGGCAGCAAAAAAAAGACTTCCAACAAGGTTTCCGAAAGTAACTAAAATCACCGAGTAAGCAGTACCATTCGATGGATCGGAAAACCTTACAGACCAATGATCCAATTGACGGGTATGCTCCACCAGGGCAGTGCACCCTTCAGAACGGCCATGGGGAAAATCTACTGGTCGATGAAGGAATGATCAGGATTTCACTGCTGAGCACATACCATCATGTTGCTGGTCAGGAGATCAAGACCCTGGAGGACAATCCTGCAGGAATATTAAGCGGGTGTTGGAAAACATATAAGTGAACCTACATGACGAGACCAACCGGGAAAAGGAAACCACCCAGGACCTTGACAATTCCCGGGTTAGAAGTGGTCAACGAAGGTGAACCGCCCGTCATTATAAGGTCAAAGAGACCACCGAACGAAAGCATGACGCCAGCGAGAACTGCTTTGAAGAACGTCTTGTCATGACGAGTGTTATGTTTGCTAACGGCTTGCTGGATGAGGTTAACAGCGACCTCAGCAGGATTGAGAGTGGCGGGCGGGTCCATCACTTCGAACGCTTGGTAGCGGACAAGATGATGAAGTTATGGGATAGATGGCAGTCCGGAGGACCTCGCTGAGAAATAGCTGTTCCTATATAGGGGCTCGCATCTGGTCAGCGAGGGGACACGGGAATCGCGTTTCCTAAGTTGACGTGCTGGTCAGTTATTGGAATCCCGTTTCCTGAAAGATAAGAAACTGCACCATGTGACGCATCGGTTGCTTCTGGAAGCAGAGGATATAAGTATTACCATCATGTCCATCATGTCCGATTCAAACTTGTGGCGAAGTAAATTAACCGCTTCGACATGCATGCAATCAGTGTCGCCCACAATGTGGCACACGTCTGGTGGTCCCTGTAGGCTTATCATCGGTTATCTTCTTCACACTACTTGTCACGGTCTACAAGATGTCTGAACTGTCGATCGGCAAAACTACCCGAGGGGAGTACCAGCCCATACCAATTTGCGTTTGGAAGTGATTTGTCGCAAGGCTCCTTTGCGCTCACTAAGACACTTGTTGGCCAATGAGGGGGCTCGCTCAACTGCGAAAGAGCTGTTAACAGCCGCGTCGCCTAGTTGTTTCTCAGACGCTGCCAGGGGACAGAAAAGTATTGGGTGTCGTGTATTTCGCACATAGGCGTAAAATTACCATTCAGAGCTAGTACAGCAGAAGCAACCCGTATTTCACCACTCGACCTCTTATCAATTCTCTTTTCAATTCGGCTGTGCCATTGGTTGCCATCAGTTGCCATTCCTCTCCAACAATTAAATCTGAACACTCACCACAAATGGAAAAGTCAGAAACCAAATGTGCTTCTGTTTCAGGTTCCCTCACAGCCCTTCCGCTGCTCGCTCCCAGCAGGTTAGGGAAATAAAGTTGTATTGAGTTTGAAATTCGGAAAACACCTCGGAATACACCGACACTCAGAATGCGCCGGGCAGCGGAAGGGCTGTGAGGGACCCTGCTTCTGTTTATGCTTCCTCCCGAGGGTTTGATGGAACCTGGTGGTTGCGATGGTTTCAAAAATCCCTCAAGCTGACCAGATGGGGAGACCGCTGTGCGTACTCGCGAAGCACAGTCCTCCTCAATACTTTGTACTTTCAAAGTCGTTAGACTTCTGCGCGTCGTCTCACCTTTACTCTCGTCTTCGATTTGCCACGGTGACTACCAAAGCCCTCCGGGCGCTCCTGGCCGCAGTTGGAAAAAGCACGCAACAAAATTTTATCTATGTAGGATGGTTTGGTCAGTTTTGGTCCCAGCAGGACGTACGACCAAAGATTCTTCAATGTTGTGGAGGATTGGCGGTACGCATAATGACGTGGTCCTGCAAACTTGTCTCCCGAGTGTCCAGACAGCGTCGACGATACCCAAGCGATAGAATGTTGCTATGGGGTCTGCGCCGCGGCGGGGAACAGTAGCGAAGTCGAGCGACAACCAACCCCGACCTTTGAGGCCTTTGAGGGATCGGATTTGGGTTCTGCATGCAAAGGGTGGGTGGTCTGTTTCTTCACAGGAGATGAACCGAAAGCCGCATGACTTGTAGCACTTCTTCGCACAGCTCTAGCACCTGCGACGCTGCTCTCTAGCGAAGTAGCTGTTTGCAGTACAGGGGCGAAGCATCTCCCTCGCTAGGCATGTTTTAACTGTCAAAACACATAATAGCATCATACAAGTAGCAGTACATTCATGACCACGAAGGGCATCTGCACACATCTGACAGCGCAGGCAATCATGCAAAATCACGTTGTGGTGGTCCACAACCAGGTCATCTGGATAGTCTGCCGCGTGTCCATTATGATTGAAACGAATGGGCGTCATGCGCCTTTAAGCCTCTCCAAATTGGCGTAATCGCTTGCGCGACTGTATTAGCTGCAACTTCCATGAAGCCACGGTCCACATCATCTCTGACTGCGAGCCAGACATTGCGCGCTCGCCATCGGTCAGGATGAAATCGCCTATGGCTCTTCTCGACGAAGGCCTTGTAATCCTGCAGTCGCATGTGCGATTTAACAGCATCAAAGAATGCCTCTACCGCAGACCAGTCGACATCCTCCACTGTTAGGCCCGAAGGGGCGTGTAGAACTGGCCAGGGTATATCATGAAAGGCAATCGATTCATCCGGGGAGAACTTCCAATCGTCAAATTCCTCACTTAGCATCTTATATCTCTCCAAGGCTCTGATGGGCGTCCAAGGGCCAGAATCCCAGCGCTCCCTTTGTCTTCGCTTGCGATTTTCTCGATGTCGTAGTTCTTCGTCTCGTGCGCGACGTTCGGCTTCTGCGGCTGCTCGTCTCCTTTCCTGCTCAATCGCCTCCTGTTCCTGTAGCTTTCGTTGCTCCTCGGCACGTCTTTGTTGTTCAACCTTTGAGCGCCGCTCCTCTTGCTCTGCAAGTTCGCGAGCTTCTCGCAACCTCTTTTGTTCTTCCCATAGTGGACGATCCTTTTCAAGTTCGCGCATTTTGCGAATAGATTGGGCTATTTCTGCCTGTCGAGCAGCCTCCGGATCGTACGTGTTATCGGCAGCGCCTTCCCTTGTTTGTTCACAGTCTGATTCGTTGGTGTCCTCTGAATCATTCTCGTCGACTTGGATAAATCCATCAGTCCCACTCAAAATACGGAATTTATGACCAACGTACTCACCACTTGGACTAAACCCGAAGTGCAAGTTATCCCCAAAGTGGAGATGATGGCCAGGCTGACGTCTCTGACGGAATTTGGTGATTTTCTGGAATCTTTTCCTCTCTCGCATGATATACCCGTGACTCGTCGTGTGACGAGTCCCTTCTGATGAAATGGCCCGCATGCGTTTTTTCGACAAAGCATTTTCATCGACAGAGCGGTCTTCTGATCCGACTGCACCATCGATGTCCTGAGGTGCGATGGTACCTCCCGAAGACTACATCAGGACAAGCGTAAATGCAGCGTCGCATAGCATGACACACCTTTCCGCTTCATGCTGCATGCCGTCGGCGCGGAAACACTGGAGTCGCTGCGATCGTCCTGCATGGAGAAGCTAGCTTCCGTAGGTAGTGGTGGAACCGGATTGTACTTGTCTTGGACCACTCTGTTCATGCGCCAACGCCATTGTCGTTCAGCATTCAATAGCTCTCGATCGACCCACCGTCCAAATTTGCGGTTGGAGGTGAGTTTGGGCATCTCCGAGCCGTCCTCCTCGTCTACCAGCATATCCTCTATTTCATCTTCCTCGCTGTCCTCAATCCCGGCAGAGTCATCAGAAGTATTCGATTGGGCATAGCACGAGCGCACTCTCTTTTGTGGCGCTGGGTCTGGAGAAGTACTGCGGCTGCGTTTTACTCCGGAAGGATCGAGTGCCGATGAGCTCGGGTCTTCCAGACTAACCCTAGTGATAGATGACAATTTGTTACCACCGAAGACCGTGCACCTGTAAGCAGGGTCGAGCTTGTAGATTTCCCACTGTTCTTGGTAACAATGCACTTGTTCCCTGTGGCGGGCGTGTAAAATCCTCAAAATGAACGGAAGACACCTCGAAATACGTCTTTGCTCACCCATTTAAAACAATGAGACGTGGCCAAAATCCTTCGTCTTGCGCGCCTTCCTCGAGGCGCGCTCGTGGCACGAAACGCCAGAAGGACGCCCCTTTCGGTGTGGACTCGATCACGACGCGTTTGGGTGGCGGGAGTATATCCGTGATATTAAGCTTGCGCATATCAGGCTCTTGTCCATCGACAAGTGCAGTCTTGGGATCGAAGGACGCGAAGTGGAGGTTTGCATCTGGGAAGCGGAGCAGACGGGAGGGCTGTGAAGGATCCAAAAGGCCAGGCTGAGTACCACGGATGGTACGAAGAGCACCCGGGGGCGCCGTAGGCATGGATGACTGCGACGCCGCAGCCATTCACTGTCGTGGACGTCTGCTCAGACCGTCATACACTGAATCTGATTGCCTTTTGCGGAGAACTCTTTTTGATGGCTTGTCCGGATCATTATTATATATAAGGACCGTGATTACGATACTCTACATAGGATCACAAGGAACAATATTGACCGAACGTTGAAGTGCAAATTCATCGCTCTGACTCGGTGTCTGACTCATTCAATGAACAGGTTCAAACGCACTAACGGGCGCTTGGACAACCTCTGTCTTGATCATGACCACCCTTCGAGACTTTCAAGCAGAGATTCAGCAAGCGCAATCTCGCGCGCTCACCAAACAGCGCGCGCAAGGCGCTACCGTGGAGACTAATGTTGACTGGCGCTCAGCCGATCGGGCAACCACCTCTGCTGGCGGAAGTCTGCAGAGCCAAACAGTGGATGCCACATCTTCCGTTGAAGAGGATGATATCTTGGTGTGTTCACCAGTGTTATCTAGGGGTCATTGATATGCACGATGCATCTCCGCAGAACTTCTTACTTGGTGGCGATTATGAGTCGGCGAGAAATTCATTGGCATCACTCCTGACGCGACAGAGAGGGGAGTATATCTTCCGGATAGGAGTTCGGTCACCCACTAGCACCCTATTTTCTGGGGAACCCCTCGACAACGCTTCTGGATGGACAGGCGTCTCTCTGACGGAGGACCACATTGGGAATGCTATTTTAGGTGTCGAGAAAGTAGTGGAGGAGATAGGTGCCAAGGTGAGAGCCGCCTTTGACCTCACGAAAGCACATACACAACTCGTCTCTGGTAGGTGTCTGTATTGTTCCGTGCTGGTGGTTTACACCCTCGAGCTGCTATCCTGCTTCGCTTACCACCCCTTGACATTGCTCTGACCCCGGAAGTGCGATGTGCGGTAGTAGGCAACGTCGACTCAGGCAAATCAACAACTCTCGGAGTATTGACACGAGGTAAATGGTTCGAACCTTCCCTTCTTGTCCCTAATATCTGCCAGGTACTCTCGACGATGGGAGAGGACGAGCCCGTGTCGCACTCTTCCGACATAAGCATGAGTTGGAAACAGGAAGAACATCTAGTGTCGGCATGGAGGTAAGTTCCTTTCCGGCGATAAACTCACCTTTCATAGCATTTTCGTCAGATATTGGGATTTACTGTATCAGGAATTCCGGTGCTACCCGGGCGGATCGAGGGACAAGGTCCGGGCACGGTTCGAATCGATAGGCTTGGATGGGAGGACATCGCTGCTCAGTCAGCCAAGATTATTTCTTTCAGTGGTACGCTTTTTGCACTCTTCAGATCATCTAGTATAGAACCATCACTTTCCTAGATTTGGCGGGACATGAGAGGTATTTAAAGACAACATTGTACGGACTTACCTCAGGGGCACCATCTTGTGTGATTTTGATGGTGGGAGGGAACGCAGGCTTCATTGGGATGTCCAAAGAGCATCTAGCCATCACCCTCGCCCTAAACGTACCCGTCATCGTTTGCGTCACGAAGGTATTTACATCTTTTATATCACAAGTTTGTACTTGATACCCTGTAGATTGACATGACACCCCCCAATGTGCTTTCCGAGACCTTAAAACAAGTAACGAAAGTTCTGAAGAGTCCGGGGTGCAGGTAGGGCCTTTTTCCTGAAACAGCTGCGTCCACTGACATAGGGTGCTAGAAAAACACCAGTGTTGGTGAAATCTACAGAGATCGTGATAGAACTCGCCCAAGTATTCGCGCAGAACAAGTCAGCTCTCTAAATCCTTACGGTATCCTTTGTTCATCTATTGCCAAACTAGGATTTGTCCTATTTTCAAGTTGTCCAACGTCACTGGCGAAGGATTGGATTATGTCTGTTCTGGGTATATACCTGGCGGCTTCCAACTAACCACCCCGCAGCTTCGGACATTTCTGAACCTACTCCCCCCAAGCGAACACGATAGTGAAGCATTTGCAGTTGATCAACCGCTGGAGGTAAATATGATTCTTGAACTGTTTCTGCCGATTCTGAGGTTGCTCGAGTACTCCATTACCGAAGTATGGTCGGTACCCTATGTCGGGACGGTTGTCAATGGTATCTTGAACAATGGCAGAGTGAAGACGGGAGACGCAATCCTATTTGGACCAGATGCGAATGGACATTTTCAGTCCACGGTTATCCGTAGTATGCAGCGTAAACGGTGAGTTACTTCTTCCAAGTCGAGGAGGAATGAACTTACTCGTACTTACATAGTGCAGATGTGTTCTCGGCTGAAGCAGGACAGTGTGTCTCGTTGGCGCTGAAACGAGTTAAGCGTGTTTCTGTAAGGAAGGGAATGGTAATTGTGCATAAATCAGATGCACCTCCAGGAGGTGAGATCATACAGAATTCACTGCATCTCGCCACTGATGCAGAGATGTCAAAGCAACTCGTAGATTCGAGGGACAGGTTCTCGTCTTGTAGTATGTATGTTGTTCTACTGATACTTGAGACTGATGTTCCCACAGTCATAATACCACTATGCAACCAAATTATCAGGTACGACACATTACTATCGCGAAGCTATATTCTGACTTGTCTTCGGCAGGCTATGCTTCACTGCGGAGTTGGTATCATTCTATAGGAACACTTTTCCAACTGTTAACCTCTGTGATACACAGGCTGTACGCCAAACTGTTCGGATTGTTTCATTGGACCATCCACAAGGGGTTCTACGGACGGGTGATAGAGCTACCGTGGAGTTTGAGTTCATTTCTCGCCCGGAATTCATCAAAGTAGGCATGAAATTGCTATTCAGAGAAGGGAAAACCAAGGTAAGTGAAGTATGCACTGGCAGTTATGATTCTAGAGGCGCTGACAATAACCTTCAGGGTTTAGGAGTGATTACCCGACTTCTTGGATGACGCCGAGAATCGCATCGTAGGTACGGGCTTACACTACGCTCGCGTCAGTTGAGTCCGAACTGGGGGGTCGTTCTACTATGCGGAACCTAGAGTAACCCAGTGGGCGGCTTCGACACCTGGACGTGACGTGAATGGAAACCACTCGAGCACCATGTCTCAAAGGCTAGCGTTCTCAGCCTTACAACCTGGCGACTGGCAGGGATGACCACATACTGGACTCCTGGTACATGAACGATAGATCTGGGTCATCCGTGTAGTCCCCTGTCAGCACCTTGCTAGTTATCCGCCCGTATGATAGATTAACAGTATTGGACATCTGCAATCAATTCCATTAATTGTAAGTATGACGCCGGCGAGGCTGTCCCGACCTGGACTGGGGTATTGAAACCATGAGAAATATAATGATGCCGGTGTCACCAGTCAAGTTTCCATGTTGGTTCTGAGAGAATATGGACAGTCTCCGAGTCGCCTGTTTCCGTAGTCTGCATTTTACGACTCGAGTCCATTTCGTTTTCAGATGTGACGACCATCAAAGCGATCCCACTGGCATAATCATTTCAGAGATATCAAATTAGTACACAAAGGGATTGCAGTCGCCTTTGGGAAGTTTTGGACAGTACTTGCAGCCCTAAGCCGCCCCTATATCATTAGATTGTGAATGTCGGAGGCTACGTAGGGGGTTGATTGGGCGTAATTTCATGTGACGAGCTCCAGAATTCCACGACGAGGCTAGGCCGTCGGCCGACCATCAGACATTGGTCTGTGGAGAACACGGGAGTCGGAGGTCAACCCTGACAGAATTGTTGTGATCGCGTGCAGCTTGGAGTATCTACCCAACTGTGTAGGACGATGACGCGGATGACGTTGTGATGATGCTGCTACCCGCCGAGACTCCAGCTGAGTGGCTTGTCTCCTCCTCCACCGCTCTTCCATGGTTTCTCCGTCATATCAAGCAGTACCTTCGGATGGGATTGCTGATCCGACCGCTCCCTACTTGCATCGTAGGAAGTTCCTCGTGTGCATAGCCGTCTGCCTATTCGCGTTTGGGACATACATAGTTGGAGAGCGCGCATTTGCTTTTTTTGAAAATCACTACCACCCTCATTGGACACTTGGTGCTGACCATCAGATTCCGCACTCCGCATCACTAGTGCAATCGCAGTTGTCGACTCCACCCGCTCCGTCACCGACTGAAACCCTGGTCATGGCGGCGCCAGGCAAATACAGCGTTGGCTAGTAAGTAACCCGTACCTCACGACTGACAGCCATTTCATGCCCTTCGCCAACAGTTTTGTTAATTGGTGAGTTTGGTTCGTTTTAGCGCGGACAATCGGCTTAGCACCACCTACTTTAGGGGAATCTATGCTCGCAAGTTTCCACCAACACTGATTCCAGTACAAGATCTTACGTGCGTCTCGTGTCGGCCTTCTCCTCCAATTTTCTAAGCCATCACAGTCATATACTCTACGCCTTTGCTAATGTGAGGGCGGACACTGGCGAGGTTGTCCTATCAGACGTGTGGGCAGATAAAGATATTCACTACCCGGGAGACTCCTGGGATGAACCCGGAAACAACCTCTATGGCAACTTTAAGGTTCTCCACAAGCTCAAGCAGCGGAATCGTCACCTCAAAGTTCTACTGTCCATTGGAGGCTGGACATACTCCCCTTCTTTTCATCCCGTCGTCGTTCACGCTGTCGCCCGTGCAACTTTCGTTAAATCTGCCGTTAAGCTCTTGGAGGATTATGGCTTAGATGGATTGGATATCGATTATGAATATCCATCGAGTCGTGAGCAAGCAGCTGGATACCGCGAGCTTCTAAAAGAACTCCGGATGGCTCTCGATCAGCACTCTCGGAACAAGGGCATCGTCCACAAGTTTCTGTTGACTGCGAGTGTATACTTATGCAAGCTGGTTGAATCTGACCACACCCCCAGATTGCAGCACCTTGTGGCCCCCAGAATTACAAGGTGCTAGACATAAACGGAATGGACCCCTACCTTGACTTCTGGAACTTGATGGCATATGATTACTGTGAGCCTTTTATCTCGGGATGTCTTCCACCAGTGTAGTCACCTTTTTACAGCAGGGCCCTGGGACAGCATTGCAAATCATCAAGCAAATGTTTACGGACCACCAATCAATTCGGCAGATGCAGTGTCTTGGTACAAGGCCCATGGCGTTGCGCCACATAAACTCGTACTGGGTATTCCTCTGTATGGCAGGAGCTTCATGAATACGACTGGCCCTGGCACTCCGTTCTCTGGGTTGGGGCAAGGTAGTTGGGAACAAGGCGTTTACGACTACCGCGCCCTTCCTCCCCCTGGTTCGTACGTATTTCAGGACAACCGCACAATGGCGAGTTGGTCGTACGATTACCAAAGGAAAGAAATGATCAGCTTTGATAACGAAGCGATCGCAGCGATGAAAGGTCGATGGATTCGCGAGCAGGGGCTGGGAGGAAGCATGTTCTGGGAGCTCAGCGGTGACAAGGGTCCCCATAAAGAAGGGATGGAAGGTGGGCATGGCAAGGATCCTATTCCAGGGGCGGGCCTCGTGAGGACCGTCAAAGACGCCATGGGTGATTTGGATTACAGTCCCAACTGGCTCAGATATGAGTGGAGCCAGTTCCACAACTTGAGGAATGGGTCTATCTGAACAGGTGTGCTCTCAATATAGTTCGAGTGTATTAGGCTTATATTAATTGGACCTACCTGGTACTGGTCACAGCGGTATGCGAACCCTTGGAACAGTCGAACATGTTGCATGTCGTTCGCACGTAAGTACTATACCAGATTCCAATACAGTCTTCCTTCGGGACTTGTAGCAATCCCTGAAACTTGGGCGCTGACTTGTCCTGTATCTAGCAATTATGACATTTCATTTTCTAGTTTAGGTGCGTCCCTTACTACGGTCATACAGCCTATCATCCCTCTCATAAATGATCATCTAGTATTAGCAATAATGATCAAGCCTTGACGTTGATGATCAACGAAAAAATGCACGGTCTGCCATCACGAGACTTGGGTACCCTGGTATCAGAGATCTTCTAAGAACTTGCTCCTCCCGCGTGCAGTAGATTACTTGCTCGGCTCACCTTCACTCCGTCGGTTTTAGACTTCCTCACTCATGCTACCATTCTGACTCACTCAGCTTTGCCAGGCCGTCATCGGAGAATTTAGGCGACCAATATCCCTCGACTCACACGGAATTAATTTCGTTGACTGGTTACTACAGCAACTCACTAGTGTGACGTAACTTGGTTGGCTTCGTTGGTTCTACACCGAGTAACGAGTAGGCATCCTACGTCGGGCGTCATTATCCAGTGGAACGTTTCATGAACCCACAGCAAGGGAGTAAGTTATCTCCACCTAATGTCGAGACAGGGTCACCCACATATGACGCGCGAGAGGATGTCTTCTCCACTGTTGACAAACGCGTCTGGGGTCGTCTGAGTTCTGGCGAAGTATTTATTCATCTGTATCTGTGTGTCAGATTAATGCAACCACTGCAAATTTCTCGTCACGGTAGACGACTCGGAATTTTGGATTAGTCCTGTAGCTCGCTTCGAGAAGGGGTATGTGGATGTGTTTCCAAGCGAACAAGGATGATTGTCATTCATGAACTGCCATTGGCATGACAGTCCTTTCATAGAACTCGGTGATGGAGCTTCGACCTGGAATTATACAAATTCTGCATTTCCGCCGGGCTCAGTACAGGTCCTTTGCGATCAGTAACCGGTATGGAAACTCGACAGTAATCTGACCTTCTTAAGAACGTTCTGACGCCAGGATATATATCTGCACACACAGCTTACGTTGGTGGATCCAGACGACGCTCGCTAGATGGAGTTACTGTGTGAACAGCGGAACATAGCAATGATCTGATGGGTAGTTTTTGCGCTCTGCGCCCCGCTTGGTGACTAAGTTCAGAAGGAATCTTGTAGCTTGAAGGCCAAACTCGAAGTCGAGTCACGAAAAATTCAAAACCCGCGACCCCGTATGTGTGAAGAACCACAAGTTATTCTATGTATTTTCAATGTCAAATGGATTGACGCCTTCGCAACCTGGGATATTGCGCCATTTATTGTACTCTCCCTCTTTTGCTAATCAGCACTTGAACACAAACTTCTTCAGTAACGTGGGCCTCCCAGATTTCTCACACATGTCTGAGCTGTTGATAACAGCCCCAAAACATCGCAAATCGCTTCAGAAAACAAACACAGGAGATGGCCCATGACATTTAGCGGTGTTCGAGGTCATAATATTTGAGGCACACGATCTAAGATTACCTTTTCTGAAAAGAAGCAATTTGCTTCCGCCTGGGCTGGGATCCAAAAGGAAACTCGAAACCATCAAAGTGCGAGCCCATCGCTACGGAGGTTCTTTCTGTTCATGAATCATTTGCAGTGAACGCTGCTTCTTTGATCTTTTTTTACTGAATATATTGGGTTACCCACACCCAGTCACAACTTCATCCGAGATAACTATCGTGAATGACACCCACAAAACTTAATTTTAATGGTTGTAAATGAATTCGAAACCTAAACCTCTTAAACTCAGCTTCCTCGGTCAGCTTGGGTTTAATGAATGGTTGGCCACTGACCTCAGCCGTCTTAAATCGTAAACATAATCAGCAGTACTTGCTGTTATTGGTTCATTCTCTCGGTGCTAGCAGTGTAGTCATGTCAACGCGAGAAACTAAGACCTCTTTATCCGCGTAGTGAACGAGACAAAGTTTCCCGCCCAAACTCCAGTGAAGCCCCAAGATATGCGGCATTTCTCAGTTGGGACTGCAAAAGCGAGTGGTGATTGTCCCTTCAATTGGAATTGTCGGCGCAAGTCCGAAAAGCCCTCCGTGCATGTGACTGATAAGATGTCCTTGGCAATTAGAATGGTACCGTCCCCGAGCACGCCAAATCTGCCAGTGGACCTCGTGTATCTTATTGAACCTTCTCGTGCGGACCTACCTACTTGGGCGATAAAGTTGACTATCATCTGTAGTGGGCGCTATCACTATCTCGATGACAATGGAGTCACAGCTGTACGATGCCGAGTGACATCATACTGGAATCGCAGAAACGCGAGTTTCAAGCCCGCACTAACAAGGGGGACGGTACAAGTCTCAATCGCAATTATACAAACTACACATACTCTGTGCATAAAGTGAACAAGGAGGCAAAGACGCATGTGGATCTCAGATGCACCCAACCAATAGATGGTTTATATACAACAATTAAAGCCTGTAGATATAAAGAACGATCGATGTCCTAACAAATATAATCTGCAAAGATTGGTAGGAATTGACTTCTGGTATATGGGGGAATCTAGGGGATAGCGAAATCGCACGTGAATCTGATCGAGATCAATAACGACTCGACCATTTGCGAGGATCACCTTCAGGTCTGGTATTGATCGACGACCTAGCATCTAGGCTACCAGGCGCGCGCGACTCCGAGCGCGGTAAGTATGGCTGTGTGGGGCCGGCAGTGGGACTTGTGCTGCCGCTGTAAGGTGCATGGCTTGCGTCACCTCCTTGAGATGGCGCGGAAAACGATTGATGCTGCGACGCAGTGTTGACAGAACTTGAGGCTTGGCGGGTTGTCTGCCGCATGGACTGTCTTTTGTTTTGAAACCTGTTCTGGTCGATAAGAAATACAGAAAAAAAGGCTCTTCTGCCTACCATATCTGAACACTCCGGGCCGACATATCGAGCTTCTTCGCCAGGTCGGCGCGCTCCTCGGTCGAAGGAAACGCCGTACGGCTGTATACTTCGTTCAGTACCTTCAGTTGCGCAGCATCAGCTCTCTTGCGCTTCTTCTTGATCGCCGGTTCCTCCGTGGATAGCATTGCTGCCGGTTCTTGAGTTAGGGGCGTATTTGTAACTGGACCTCGGGAATAAGGAGAGGTTCCATGGGTCTCGACTTGCGCTGGAAGCCCGCGTTCTGGTGGATACATTCCCATGGACATTGGGTGACAGGGATGCATTGATAACTGGCTTGGGTGGCCACGCGTATCGGGTACAGGAGGGTACGAGTAAGAGCTTTGGTGCTGGTATTGCGCATACTCCGAAGGGTAGGTAGCGGTAGGCGAACGTATGTCACCATAGTTCAGTTGTGGTCCTACAGAACCGTAAGTGCCCCCCTGCCATCGGTCATCCCTCATCGTAGTTGGCGGAACGCTAAGTGGAGGGAGCTTGCGGGAATCAGGAGGTACTGGAGGCGACGTCCGCGGAGGAAATGGTTGATAGCCTTGCGCTTGTTGATATCTTGAATCATAGTGGTGTTCATAAAGGGGAGATGAATGTTGCTGTGCTACAGAAACAGCTTCATTGAAGGACGATGAGTACATATGCATATAAAGCGCAGCCGTATGACTACGCACGGGTAGCTGATGTAGGCCACTGACTGTAAGTAGACACTGGATGTTCAGCTTTGGCAGGCGACGACCGCGACTGCAAATATTGATTAGAATAGTGGCTGGGCACTATACGCGGGAAGCCATCAAATTGAGCATATTGCATGAACACTATGTAGGAAAACAGACCTGGAGAACGTGAGGAGGTTGGAAACGCTGAAGAAAGAGGAGGGAGCACAGTTCGCCCACCCTGTCCCGTCTGAAAGAAACCACTACTTTGCGAATCCCCTCCAGGAGGGCTTCTACGAGTTTTCCCGGCACTCTCGTACATACGATCGTTCCTCGGGGTCGTCATAGTAAGTTAAGCAGATAGGCAAAAGAGGAAGGAAGGGAAATTATGGTTCAATGAACGTAGAAATTTCGGCTTATAAGTATGAAGGGACACGCGCTGGACGCGCTAGCGACCGATGGTGAGAGAAGAAATGGCTTTTGGAAGCAGAGGCTATGACTTCGGACAAATGATCAGGGCCGTTGGATGAACGAGGAAAACATGAAGGCCGGTAAATGGCTTGACACGAGGTGTGGTGTGAACAGCAGGGTAAGGGTGTAGGTGGAGACACGAGTATGATCGGGCGTTGATGAGTGCGGAATAAGCACCTTCTAATAAATGTGTCGGAGGGGATTAAGAGGATGTACCTTCGACCACAAATAGCACTAGCCAGATCCGAGACCAGTTGGGGGTTTCGGACGAACCTTGTTGTATGTAAACAGGAATAATAATCTTCGCGGCCTTGGATTTTTTTTTTCCACTGGAGTGATCCAAAGAAGGAACGAGCCGCAAGGAAGGGAATGCGGATGGAATGCTGTGTCAATTCTCAACATGCGGAAATTGCATTGTCACCGATGCCTAGGTCGGACGATGCCTCGTGGCCGGCTTGTGACACACCGCAGGTCACTTCAAAAGCGTTTACCAACAGGAAACAGTACCCCATCAGTAATGTCACGATCTTCCCACCATGGCAAGGCCGGGGTATGGCAAATAGTGGACTGTTGTATACGGGGATTATGTGTGGTCAGCGAACCCGGGCAGGGACAGCATAATACGCACTAGGTGACGAAAGAACCATGACATTGTCAGGTGGATACACTTTCCGCTGATGCGGACACATTGATCGAGAATCTCGTACATTTCGAGGAACCAGAAATAGGCATTTATCATCACCGTAAGGAAAACTGACGAGAATGAAACAGTAGTTTGATCGCGAGGGAATGCACAATCGGGGAAATGAACAACACATGACAACTGCTAGACCGGGGGGACAAGAGTGACGAATCGTTAATCTTAGATTGGGAAGTAAGGCCCATCAGTGTAAATTGTTCAAATAGTATCACAGGCCAAGAGAAGGCCCTTCCGACCAGTTTGTACTCTTTCTGATTCCGTATCAGGAAGATCCAATCTGCTATCGCTGTTGGTGGGTTTTGAGCCATCAGCAACGAAAGAAACGAACGCAAAAAGTTTTGCTTCCGAATAACAGGTCTGCCCGAAAGGTCGGGCGGTCGCACGTCTTCTTCTCACGGTCGGTAGTACACTCGGGGCTCTCTGCTATCATTAGTAGATGTGATGGCGGCGCGATCTCCACGTCCGCTACCTCGCCCGCCCGGCGCAGCCCACGACGGTCATCCGACAAATAGCGATCTAATGCCACTAATGGCAGGTTCCCCTCGTCCATGTCCAACTCACTGCCCTCCGCCTTCGATGCCAACGCTCCCAGTCGGAACCATCCTACACAAGGGATTCTATGATCTGTTGGCTATGATTCCAACGCCCTCTTCGTCGGGCCGGCTTTGGGGCTCGGCTAGCATTCAGTATTTGTCGAAGCCCGTGACTGGCCCGAGGTACGAGGAGATCAGTCCAAGGAATAACACATGTTTTAGCCAAGTGCCACCATCCCCTTCTCCTTTGAAGAAGGCGAGGAAGATCAGCAAGGACATGGTCTCTCACCCTGCCGGTTTCGTGTAAGCTATTTTAATGGCGTCCGCCTTTACTGCGACGTTCCCGATTTCAGGCACCTTGTTCACGCTTCTGATGCTGATCAGGCAGAAGCCCTGCTCACTCGATGGAGTCCAGACGGCATTGGGAAGCTGGGAGGTTAGTATTGAGAGTCAACGTCATGCGATTTAAACCTCATCAACCCCAGATCCACGGTGGGCTTGTCCCATTAAAGCTCGTGTGAGACAGATTAACCAGGCCAAGGCGATAAACGAGGTGGTGAATGCCTTGAAGCCTTCAGTCGACAGTACCACTGGCGACCAACGGTCTCCTTTACGAGTAGTCAATGACACCAGCACAAATTCAGCACTGACTACTGCTGCCGTGGAAAACGTTCACATTAGTCTTACAGAAAATCTTCTTGATATTCCTGGGACCTCCACCAGTCTGTGTAGTGGTATATTCCAAGCACACTCGAAAGTCGTTGAACGGGGAGGTGTGGACCCTACCACCGTTGAAAATTTGTTTCCTTGCAATTATCGCAGGCGGCAAATCACTCCATCGTTGGCCACCTTGGAAAAAGCTGTATCTGCCCGGATTTACTTCGAAAATCTCTACTTTCCCCTCCTTAGGCAACCTCCTTCACGGGAACAGAGAAGGGTCGCCATGGAGAAAGACATGATTGCCATGAATCTTAGTGAGGAAGAAAAAGAACGACTGCGCATGAAATGGCGTCAAAACGAAACCGACTACCTTCGCGAACGTCGAAGAAAGGTTGATGCTACAGCATTTATCAAACTCAAGACCATTGGTCATGGTATTTGCTTTCTTCCAATTACATCTCAGACAGCACACTTCGCTCAATCTCAATCCCACAGGTGCCTTTGGAGTTGTATCCTTGATCAAGGAACGTGCGACGGGACAGCTGTTTGCGATGAAACAGGTGTTTGCATTTGGTTTAGTTTCATTTGAAATATTTATCCCACATCTTATGAACAGTTACGCAAAACGGACATGTTACGAAAAGGGCAAGAAGGTCATATCCGTGCTGAGCGTGATATTCTTAAATCTGCGTCCTTGGTTCCTTCTCCTGGTGGAGCGGAGTGGATCGTCAAATTGTACTACAGCTTCCAAGACCGTGACAACTTGTATCTGGTCCGTAGTTCTATCACCACGCGACCTTCCGAACAGGAGCTCATCACGAGCCACTAATCTCATTTTGATTTCATACAATACGGTTACAGATACTCGAGTACATGGGAGGTGGAGATCTCCTCAATCTTCTGATAGAGCGGGACGTATTCGACGAAGACTTCACCCGTTTCTATGTGGCCGAGGTTTGCCCTTCCTCTTTTGCACCCTGCTTGCTGTGTAGCGCATTATGTCCAGATGGTCCTAGCTATCGAGTCATGCCACAGACACGGCTTCATTCATCGTGACATTAAACCTGATGTGAGGTGTCAATATTTAGAAATTTAGGCCCGTTGTCAGATAACGCTAACTAATTTTTCCCCTTCTGATAGAACTTCTTGTTTGATCCAGAAGGTCACATCCGCCTGAGCGACTTTGGACTTGCGTCAGTGTCCATAGTATCCCACGGGGACTGCCTCGATAGTATACTGAATGCAACCCAAACAGCACTGACCTTCATTGGGCACATGATACTTTATGTCAGTCAAAACAAGTGAGCCTGAAATACAGCTGACGGTCACAACGCAGATTATGAGCAACAACGACGGCATCTTTTGCGTACATATGGAATCGATCTTGACGATGGTAGCAGCCCGCTCGATGGAACGAAGACCAAGCGCATGGACAAGAAAGAAATCAAACTGCTTATGGACGGCGGCGATGGCCAGGGCGGTATTTTTACTTGGCGCGAAAAGAACCGTAGGAAGGTACGTTGGTTGCCGTGGGCTAGCCTATTTCCGCCCGGATTGTTTTGACCCTTCCGTTGACCGCATGCACTAGTTAGCGTACTCCGTGTAGGTCCTGTCCGACTTCCCTTAGCGCCATTTCCTGACAACTTCCATTATTCTGTTCCGAAGGTGTGGGACCAATTCGTATAGTGAGTTTCGTTTCCTTGTTCCGCAGGGACCCCTCCATTCCTTGCTCCAGTGTCTCCCGAAGTTATCAGGGGGAGTGGCTACTCTTTCTCCTGTGACTGGTGGAGTTTAGGTGTGATTATGTTCGAATGCCTGTATGGGTGAGTTTGGACGCGTGTTGATTCAATTTGGTGGCTCATCGCGCTGTGCTGCGCAGGTACCCCCCGTTCGTTAGTCGTTCTGTATGCCCCCCCTCCCTTTGTTTTCCAACTGATGGCTCACTTACACGCTTTGTAGCGGCACGTCACTCGCCAAAAAATTCTCAATTGGAAGGATACGCTCAAATTCCCCCCCCGTCCTCATGTTTCGCATGAGGGTATCAATTTGATGCGACAGCTGCTCTGTGAACCGGAAGACCGTTTGGGGAGTCAAAGTACAGCATCCGTGTTTCGACTGGATACCCATGCAACACACGCACGCCGCAGCGGCTTCCTGTCACCTCCCTCACATACTGGGGACGGTGCACAGCTCATCAAGGTCCGCAAACCTGTCCGTCGCGAAGTTGTGCTACCCTGACTACTCCTGCAGGCACATCCCTGGTTCAGAGGTATTGATTGGGAAAGTATTCACAAATATCCTGCCCCCTACCGTCCAGAACTATCAGATCCAGAGGATACTAGACATTTTGATTCCGAAATACCACCCGAGGTAGCGTGTGTTCTGACTCTACCCGCCCGGTGTTGCCAACGTGTTACTTCTTGTCAGCCGTTAGCTCCTGTAAGCGGTGTGCTCGCAGATGCCACCAAAGACCCACTTCTGCGAGATAGAATTCATGGCGAAGAAATTTTAAATGTACGGAAGGCCCTCGCGTTTGCGGGCTTTACACACAAGAGCCCCCGCGCGATCACCTATACCCGTGCAGATCGAGCTTTTGAGTCGCCAGCAGACGGCAGTAGACGAGAACCACATGGAAGGGGCCGTTCTAGATTTCGCAATGTGCGCGTCTCAAGCACGGGCCGTGCTATCTCGCTGTAGCCTGGGAAAGGCGTGTAGGGGGGCCCTATTCTTTTCCGTGGAGGTGCGTTTTCGACGGTTCCCTTGCGGCAGTGGCGTACGAAGAGAGTAGCGTCCTTGCCAAAACACGGAGGTCGTGACGACATGGTTTGCGGACATGTACTTCTAATGTGCGCTTGTAGGGGCTGTGATCGATTGATCCTTCTTCCTTGTATGATGTATGTTGTAATAACACATGTGTCCTGCGAGTGCGTGCGTCGGGCTTTCTCTGGGGGTGACAGTCCGGTTTGGTGCAACAATCCTGGACATAATGCAGCATCCCAAAATTCCGTAGTGGAGAAATTCATGCCCAACTTGAGGTGCTCAGCACACAATTTGTATGACATCACTTGACTGCGTGCTTGACGCGTGCTCCGGGATATCGTAAGCTCACGTTGCAAGTATGAAGTAGACCGGTGTCTTGCTGAACTTGACCAGGAAGCCACAGGATAGCTAATTACTGTTGCTCTTAGAAAGACCACACTGCACAAGGTTACACTTGACAGGACTTTTATTAATGAAACTAGAACTATTCCTTACAAAGGAGGGCTGACACGTTCTCTATACACTGAAGATACTAAGGGCCATCCGATACAGCTTCTCGATGCAAGGCAGTGCCTCTACAAAGCCGAGGACGGCGGTATATAATATACGCGGTAAAGGAATAAATAGCGTACCGGCGAAACAAAACGAAGTAAACAAGTGCTACATACGAGAGTGAATATTGGTATTGATGAGGGCGAGGGGCGAGACATGCGATTTAAAAATATATAGGTAGCAGTTTAATTGTGAGCTACGATGAGTTTCCTTGGGCAGCTGCGAAAGAGATGGCATTGCTGTCGGAGACAGCGTCCATTCGGTGGAGGGCGCTAACGCTCAGCTGGTGAATGCCTGTCACTGAGCTCGTCGCCTGAAGCTTCATTTTGACGGCCGGGGGCCTCCACGTGTACCCTTGCATGTCGGCGCATGTTACTGAGTACACTGAAGCTGCGACCACAGCCTTCAAATGTACAAACGAAAGCTACGGATCGACCTTCAGTGACATTCTGAAGAGACAACACTGACGTATGCCAACACTTACGTCTCTCCCCTGTGTGACTATTTAGATGGATCTGGAAAACGTTCAGCGCGCAAGTTCGTCAAAGCACCTAATGGTAGGCAGACCTTAAGGCTACTGGGCCGAGTGAAACCCTTTCCACAATACATACACTCGTATTTCATCGTAGACACAGATGACGTGGGTGAATTATGGGAAGTTTCTGATGTACTCGAACCAACTAGTGGATCCCTACGTTGGGGCTGCGTCCGGCTATCGGGATAAGGCACCAGAGAAGCGTGGCGAGCCGACATTCCTGCCACGGGTGGGCAGGAGCTTCCAGGATAGGGCGGTGGGCTTTGGTCGAAATACATATGTGATCCTGACGGGGGGCAAACTTGATCACGAGACGGTCTCCGTTGCGATACATCAAACGGCGCGCATTCTTGGCGTATGTGACGATGTTGTGGATGATAATGAGAGATCGGTGAATTATCTCGACCAACTGGGTTGTTGTACGGGAGGGACGCGACACGCGGGTCATGTCGCTCTTGTGAAGATAAAGTAGTCGGGGAAGACTGGATGCAACAGTGCTTAGTGACGGATACCACGATTTGATATGTGAACTAACCTGAAAACAAGAGTTAGCTTGAGGAGGGCGCCGATAGGGATCGCGTTCGCTGCTAGTAGAAGGAACGATCCAGGGAGGCGTTGAGGTCACTGGGGGTCGGGGCGAACAGGATAGTTCCTCTGAAGAAAGTTAGGCATTCGAACTAAGGATGTGTGTAGGCTACTTGGACAACTTACCGCGGAACAAATCACGGACAGGAGGCAGCGTCGGACGGCCTTCCTCTCGATGCCCGCTGAAGTTAGACATGGTAAAGAAAGTTGGATATGTGGACAATTGAACGCCAAGGGGTTGTTTGATAGTGCAATGCAGGGTTCCAAGCCTGAAGTCTTATACCCCCGTCGGACAGTGCACGGTGGTTGTTGCATGGTTATGAGATTCATTCCGAAACGCTGAGCCCGGAAAGCACCTTCGTCCGCCCACCAACTAGAATGCGATGTGTGAAAGCAGCCGATGCATGGACACGGTATCCACGGCATAATTAGTCAACAGCAGTCCTCTTGATCGTCGCCCGTGGTCTGCTGTGCACCGCCCGACGAGGATCAACCTGGGTCAATTGGCTGGATAGGTTGACTAAAATCATGGGCACAAGCCAAAAGACACAGCAGAGGAACTGTGATCAACTGCGTGCATACCTCATAAACGTTGCAAGACCTGCATAGTTTCCCTGTACAAGCCGGCATCTCATACTCGGCATGGCAGTAGCGGATCAGACACTATGATGGCGAATGAGCAACTGTCCCCACATTTACACCCGCTTCTTAGACCGTTTTAGCCATGACCATCCTCCATCCATCCAAATTAACATTAGAAATAAAAATCTAACAGGATAGATGTAGTCATCCGACCATCCTCAGTGTAAACTGAGCGCAGTATATGTGGCAGAGCCCTGAGGCGAACCCACCGCCAGGAGCTTTGGGCGGCACATTAATTAAACAACGGCTCCCTCATGATTGTCGAACCACAAAACACCAACCAGTGACTCCGAGGCAGGGTCATTCACAGCGTCATCGGGAACTAGCAGCCGACGCAGGGTCGACCTCCTCAGGCGTTTTGGTACGCAAGGAGATGGCATGAAGCCCTTGTGCCAGTTCATCTGACAGTGCGGCGTAAATCATCCGGTGACGTTGTATAGTGCTCTAATATTGCCAACCGACTGTGAACAAAGGTCATGTGAGTTCGAAGAACGCTTCACCTTTCCCTTGAAGGCAGCTGAGATGATTAACACGTCGAAATCTGCGAACGAATTCACAGGGGTTGTCAGGACATGCACTTGTAAGAAGAGCTAGCAGAGGAAATCATTCTGACGCGTTTCTCCATTGCCACCGCCTTGAGCCCTCATTGCAGCGTGGTGGCGATGGACGTGCGATTCGTTCGTGATGGTGAGTTGCAAGGGTTGAAGCAGGGTGGTCAACTGTGGCACCGGAGCTGAGAAACACTTCGCCCAGATCTGCCAGGACTCCTCACCTTCTCCCGTATGGCAGTCTCTACGGGGCCCATCGACCCGAGCGTCTGATTGGACATTCTTCGATGAGCTCGCCAAAGTACGTGGAAAACGCAGCGTGTCTGACTCAGACGAAACATCAACTTTCAACCGAGCGCCTGAGCGAAGGTGGTTACTGAGCAATACTGTGGCTATGTAACTGTGGGTCGACGAGCAAGTGGAGAAGCAGCCGAAAAAAAAAGGCAGGTTTGCTTAGACGAGGATGATTACAGTTAACCAGATAATTTTAGACCACTCGGAGGCTGTCTCAGCAAATACCTGCACTGTACACCGTAGGACGACATAGTAACATAACAATAGTCACTCTGCGCTGGATCATCTGAACTGGTACCTGTTTGCCAGGCCTCGTTGAATACCGGAACCAGCAGGACGACCTGTAGTACAGGGCCGAGAAATGCGAAGTCACACTGCGTCATTACTGACTGCCAGTCTCTTGTTTCACACTCGTCAGGCAAAGCGAGCATATTATAAGCCTTGCACGGACGCCGGGACGGCACTAAGACGGTTCTGGTCGCCGCTTGGCTCTGCAAGCTCGGGGTCCGGGGATACATTCATGCCCCGGACAAGGTCACATGCATGTAAAGTTAGCATGCCCATCAATGAAAGGTTGCAACCCAGTGGCTACGCAGTCATGGCATCGCAAGATTAGTACCCGCCGTTGATGTTCTCAAACAGCTCGTGTTCCCGCTCACGTTTCAGGTGATGGCTCGTGAAAACGGCGCATCACTTTCTCCGACACTGCCGTCATACCGCGTCAGCACCTGTTCATCGACAGCTCATACGAAGAGAGACGATAGACGCGCACATCGTGGTACTTGGCTAGTACTTTTTCTGGGATTCCACCATTCCACCCTCAGGTTGAGGAAGTGTCAGTCACGTGAGAACCTAAGCGATCTTTGCTCTTCCTACTTACCCTGATACAATATATTTTCCGTCCTGTTTTAACTCCATTGATGTCCCTCACGTCCACAGAGATCGCGGAAGAGCGGGAGATGACGCGTAACCAACGCAATCTCGTTGATACTTGTTTTGAAGAAGGCCAATATGAATCTGGTATCGCCGCGCTCGAGCTCCTCCGGTCGACGGTGTTCAAACCACCACCGTGAGTGTGGTTGACTCAAATTCTGTCGTGATGACTCGGCTTGCTAACACAACGAAAGCGACATCATCCGTCAGCTTCTTTACATCGCCTTGTATCCGCCTCCCAGCCACGCCGAGGATGAGCAGGAGAAACCCCAAACCCCCCTCTCGCCTACCAAAGGGTCGCCGTTGAAGCAAAAGCAGCTCCTCCAGAAGACTCCCTTTGTCCCAACTATCGCAGCTTCAGCGGCTGCTCAGCGACTCTTATTCTCTTTCCTTTGTACGAACACCCCTGACACTCTGTTCCGTGGCTTGCCTATGTACGCGATCATAACTGCGGATGACTGTGCCCCACGATCAGAAGCAGTAAGCAAAGATTACGACGAAGATTCTCCCATAGCACGAGAGGCATTGTGCATCAAGGACGCCAGGCACTGCTGGGCAACAGTCAAGGAGGACTTTATTCAGCGCGGAAAATGCGCTCCTCTTCCTCAAGAGAAGAGGAAACGACGGAGGAAGCTCGCCATCGACTCGGCAGACGATGACTCGGATAACGCATGCAATCCAGTCCCAGCCGTTGTAGCGGAGCACGCGTGGCCGGTGTTGGATTGGTTTCTACGTGTCTTCGAAAAGGATGAATTTCTTACAGAGAAGAAATCCCGTGGTGCGTCTGGTATCTCCTGTGAAACCGACACTAAGAATGTGATAGTGAAGTTCTCCCCGCTTTTGTTATCGCAAATACTTCTTCCGAGAGGCGGGTGTGGTCCAAGGCAAGACGTTGATGCACCACTTGATATCATGGTCTGTTGCACAACGCAAGATTGCAGCCTACGACGGTTGATGGGAACCCGCCTCTTTACACTGGTAACCACGATCTTCGTCATCATGAACTGCCACGGTAACATAGTCCCATAGCTCATCAACCTCACTCAGACAACCGATTTCGATGCCAATATGTTTACAGCGGCAGTGATCGCACGACTGTATTCTTCTCCTGATGCTGTTTTGTGGTTGATAACCAGCCTGCCCAAAACCATGCCGATACTCAACTTTCAGGTTGCACTATGCCAGCGGTACTTGTCGGGGGTCTCTCAGAGTTGCGGAAAGGTCAGACGACCGAAGCCTCAAGCCCGCGCCCGGCGTGATTCACATGCTACTGCGGGATCTGCATTGTCTGCGAAGGAAGGTGGAGTATCGACGTCCACTGGACTTGCCGGGGCCTCGTGCAACGACATGCTTGCCCTACTCGAATCTCAAGATTTTGTTGAGTTACCCGCGATTACTATGAAATACGTGCTTCTTGTCGCGTATGCCCTGATCCAATCGCAAACAACTCCTGATCAAATAGACCCAGGCTGGAAGGATGTGCAATCGAATGGTAGGCTGAAGCGTGCTGTAAACAATGCTTTTCCGGAAAAAGGCGAGGGGTTGGAGTACAGGGCGACCCTCCTTGCTATGTGCGACTTGTGGCTCTTATCGTGAGCGGACGACTATGTGGAAACTAGGGAGGTTTTCGCATGGAAGAGGGTGGAGCAGAGTGCACGAGGCTGACAGGGTACTTCACCCGATCATACTACATGTAAAGAACCGAAGCTACAACTGCTCTGTCGTTGAATACTAATCCGTTCCGGGTCTGAGGTTCCTAACTTAGACCACTACATTCTTGTCAAGCAAACTGAGTGTCGTCCCTCAGCATAAGCTAGACTTGACCTCTTTCACACTGAGCACTACAGCCGCGATTGATACTGGGTCTCTCATGGCACTTGACGGTACTTACTATCGGGTTGGTGAATTTATTGCTCTCTAACCTTTAATTTTTCAGAGCCTTGCGTGAGCAAAAGCCATCCGTCGTTGGACATTTTCCAACTACCCCATTCCTCTAGGTACGAAAGATGGTCCGAGCCCCAAGGCTGGTTCCTGCGCAAGAATTAACATGGACCAGGGCACCTGTGAGCCAGTGTGACGCAATCCTTGCCTCGGAATGACCTACACGTGCGCGTCCAGTCACCCTTCTGAACGTGACACAGGGCACACGTGTTGCTTACCTGCAAAGTTTTTTCCTATACCCACTCCCATGATACGCTCCAATAAGCCCCGAATCAAGTGCATTTCCCAAACGCCCAGCTTACATAGCATCATACAAGCTCAGGAAAGCTATTTGTACTTTTGTGTCCCGGGTTGGGTGGCGTCTGCCTCCCGGGTTTTGCGAAAGGGCTTGAGCTAATTTATGTCCGCACTTTCGAGGTCCTCCGTTTGTCCTTCCCTGGACTCGCTTGACGCTCGCGTATGGAATGTCTGACGCAACATGGAAGGCCATTTACCTTTATCCCAGGTGTGCTTGACCATACTCCTCGGGAATCTGGTATGTAGTTGGCTGCAGTGCGTCTTGCCATTGGGACAATCGGCGGCGGTAAATGGGTTAGTGCCACGCCCATTAATCAGCAAATGCCCGTCTTAGTGACGTGAGGTGGAAACGCCCCTGAGCGGCTACGTATATAGTATGTGGTGAACGTACCCTGTGAATACGCGGAATCTTGAACTATGTATGTAGCCGTAAAGGGTTGTAGTTCGGTGCAGTTCCTGGTTTTCAAGCCTTAATAAATTTGCTTTGAAATGTCAAAACTCCCGAATCTGCTGCGACAGGCTGCGACACAGTTTTGGCCGAACTCTCGGACATGGGAGTGCCAATAGTTCCCACAACGCCCGCTGCGGTATTAAGTGAACACTAACTTAGCATGCTAAGCGCTTTATCCTTGATCCGGGTATGCTGAGACAAATCCTTAGTAAGTGCTACATTGTCAACAGAGCACGTACCATTTCACTTGCGTTAAAATCTGTTAAAGCGCAGCTACACCGGCTCGTACACGTACGATCGCCACATGCAGCTCCGTTGTCTTGTGTCTGGTGCATTTATCGTGAGGAAGCATCTTTGACAGAACGTCAATGCTCCTCCAGCGCTCGGAAATATGGGTATGATCACGCGATGATTAGTATATACATACATAGTTCCTTCCAACACCCAGATCGCCGAATGTGCCAAGACCGCATCTTCGGCGCCACGACGGAATGGGGGGGGGGGCGGGCTGTTCGTGGCACCGGTAATGGTGAACAGCCGCAGGATCGTATATATCGGTACGCCGCGGTGCCCTGAATACCAAACTACCCAGACGATGGTAAGTACCCGCCCCCCCTCAACATGGTTTGCATCCGGACTGGTCGCCTTCGACTGAGATTGATGGGATCCAAAATGGAGACCGCAGAAAGACAGGGCAGTGATAGTAACAGCTATCCCTGGCTATCCATATATTCTTTCAGGGGACCGATGGTTTGGAACGTTCAGCCGTAATGTGCCCTGACAAGCCATTTCCCCATTTTTATTAAAAGATCAAGTTTGACGGCGCGTCATTTGCTTGGGAAGATACGGATTGGCTCTCTGTACGATGGGGTGGCGGTGGCCTGTAAAGAGCCTATGCCACAAAGTGCATGGCGCAGAACCGCTAACTTGAGAATGCTCAGCGGTTGGAAGGGAGGCAACCACATCTGCACACACACTGCTCCGGAAAGTCAGGAGACCTCACAGGCACTGCCTTGGCCAGAGATTCTGACAAGTTGACACTTTACCAAGATGGGTTGAACGTACCTGATGGGTGATGATGACATCCATCATATCTTGAGGAGATGGCAAGTCTAGGTGCATAGCATCACTGGCCAATGGGAGTCAATGTCTAAGTTTGGTTAGAGGATGATATGGTACAAACTTACGAGGTTATCTGCTGTTACAGACCGCTGCCAACTCTTTCTAGTCAGATACATGACCTTCGTTATCAGGTACCCACAATCCCCAATCAGGGCGACGTCACTTTAACCTTGCGCTCCTGCGGTCTGCAGAGTTCTGCCAGTTTAGCGGTTACAGAAAGTGGCCGATCTTTCGTGTTTTGGTCGTGCGCGCCTGAGCGGTTCCGGAAATGCATATGAACCTCTGTGCGATCAGGGCAGGTGCTCAGGATACTTAGTATCACCCTCCCACTCAGTGTTGACATGTCCGATCGACGTGCATACCACTACGATCCCGACGCCCGTCGAAGGGGTCAATGGTCGGGGGGCACTCAGCCTCCTTCTCAATACCCACCTCAGACCAATATTGACCCCAGGTCATATCATCCCTCATACCCCCCGCTGAACGCTCAGATGACTGCGCAGCCAGACCCTTCCGTTCCGTACGGAACACACCATCACGCCCGCGGACAAGTAGCGGGCCATCCTGGAGTAGTTTGCTCTCCGCAACCGCAGGCTCAGTACCCACAAGCTTCCCCCAGCCCCTACGCCCCCCGACAAAGTTATCCGCCGCCTCCTGATCATCGTATTCCAATCAGAAGCAGCGCACCACAATACCCAACTTCACATCCTTACCACCACCAGGGTTCTCCATCCCAACCCAGCAGTCACGCTCCTGCTCCGTATTTTCCGACGCCGCCGCAGCCGCCGCCACAGTATCCGGCGTCCCCTGCGCGTCCCTATTCGTGTGACCTATGTGCACTGTCTTTCAACCGCCAACACGATCTCAAACGGCACAGAGAGACGCATTCTGGGGAGAAACCGTTCTCATGCAATGGTGGTTGTGGCAAGACATTCACCCGGAAAGACGCTTTGAAACGACATCAGGTATCTGAGCACATTACACCCAACAGAAAGTGTATGACTGAACTCAATGTTGATCAGCTTGTCAAGCAATGTGGACGAGACGACGACTCATAATCTATCACTATTCCGTTCGAAGGGAGATAGCGCTCATGCGAGGCTCGCGCCAAACCAGTGACGACGGCACTATGACTTGATTAATTTCGAGGACATATTATTCATCACCTCCAGCATATTGTAACAATCCTGTACTGCTCCCAGGCAACACTTTCAAGACTAGCTCCCTAGTATGTATTGGAAGATACGGGCAGTAGTACTTCCGAGACCATCTGACTTACACCTGCTGAAAACGCATCCCCCGGTTGATGTGAACACTCCTATAGCTCATCAATATTGTACAAATCACTTGTCTGCATTCTGGAACCGTCTTTCTAGTATCCAAGCATCCCGAGGAATGATCTTTTTATAGTAGTTCTCATGGATGCCTACTTCCTTGAACCCATGCCGCTCATAAAATCGTTTGGCGTCTTCATTTGATACCTGTACGTGAAGGTATATCCGTCCGATTTTTGGCTTGGTATGAGAGGACGCGGCCTCGATAATGCGTTCGATGGCTTGGGAGCCAATTTGGCAGGAGCGGTAAGGCTGGGATGATGTGAGTGAGTGATATTAGTACGGAAAGGGCGGGACCTGACTCACAGCAAGGATCCCCATGGTCATGAGATACAAATCTCTACCTTCGAACCGACAGCAAATGTTGCCGATCGGGATGTCATTGTAGTATACTTCTCACAAGTGAGAAAAGAGACGGACAGGTGACACGAAACGGACGGACCGAGCTGGCAGAAAGGTTCGACTTCTGCTTGCAGTATGTCCTGATAATATTTCTCGCCATATCTGACAGGAAAAAGCACGGCGTTGAGTTTTCGAATGGTCCCGACATTCTGAGGGGTCAACGACGCAAAGGACAGGCGCACAGGGGGGGCTGGGTGGCTTGCCATTCAACTGGGGGGCGGTCGAAGGTAGTGGAGACCGTGGGAGTAATGATGGCGACACCAAGGACATGGCTGACAGCGCGTTCATGTATCAGGCAAGTATGTAACAGATAGGCCCCATGGCATGATGGCATCCCGACCAAATGGGACAGCTTTTCTTACACACCTTGACAGTTCTTCCAGTTAGCATCGGGAGCATTCAAAGACCTGAAGGTCTGTCTTATCTCAGGGTCCGACAATGTTGACTTTTCCGCACGAATGCTCTCTTCATCTGCCAACACGCAATGATACGACCTTCCTTAAGTTTATGGGCTGCTCACGTCACAAGCAGCGAAGGACAACAAGGGACATCGCCCATCTATGACCATATCGAATGAATTCAAAATGATGAATTGGCCGCAGAGCCTTCTGTGGGTCCGTTCCTGATCTTTGTTGATGCGTAGGTAACCGGACCTTGTATTTCCTCGTAACACACTACTCCCCTCGGAGTCTGTGAGGGGCCTTGGTGATCGTGTCCATTGAATGAGACGCCCACGATCTTGCTTCTGGAAATGTAAGCTAACGTGAACCCAACCCCAACACCTTTTGTGAGTCACTATGCCCATTTTGGAAGCGACAGGAAGGTGCCTCCTGCATCGTAAGTATTAATTGATGTATTTTTAAAAAAAATACATTGATGTAGGATGGAGACCGTTGAGTAAATACTCGTGTGCCGAGGATGTGAGAGTAAGACTTCCCCCCCTTCTGCTTTTCGATGTGATATATCTATCTGCGTACACTGGATATCGAATGGAGGATGTAGTACATGTTACCTACTTGTACAATGCGGTACCAAGAAGTATGAGTGTGCTGACGACTATGTCCAGTTACAGGGTGTGGAGTGCGTGCAGCAAGGCGGGAACAACACGTCGGATACATAGCAAATCGATGGACAGAATATAGTGATAATTCAGTAGTACAGTGTGGACGTGCAAGCGTCGAGTTTGCGGTCATGATGACGTTTATAGAAATACTGTTGCACAATGTCAATGACGTTTATTGGGCGAGGATGGTGTGCGGGAGTGGCGTTTACGGTGAGAGTGGCGCAATTGCAGTTGATCGAGGTAAACGTCGCTGTAGCTTCGGAAGACGCATATGCCATTTTCATGGTCAGTTAGCATCGCCCACACGCAATGCCACACTTGGTCTTCGCGAAATTTGAAGGCCACCCCTACGTGGTTCTGATCCCAGCGCTGCTCTCTTTGCCTGGACTCGAACGCCTTGTCAGACAGAGTGACAAGAACACAATGGTCGATAGTCCGCTGGAGTTCTACCGATCCGTCCGCGGCACCAAGAAGGGAGTCGAGGATGGGGTCCATCTCCAGCGCTTTAGGTAATCCACTAGGGGGGGGATAAAATATCCGTCATCGGAGCGAACAAGTATGGAGACGTACCGATGCACGGGATCATAGCCGGCAACTAAAATTTGGTAGACTGTGCCGTCGACGAAATGGAGCTGCATGCATGGATGCTCGGGTGAGCGACTTATCCGGGTCAAGACCTTTCCAGCGAGCGCCGAAGGGTCGATTCCAATGCCCTGTGGTCTCGGTCGCCGTCTTGACAAAGGCGGTGGGGGCGTGGTGGACGGAGAGCTGCTGAGGTGAGAGGCCATGGTGATCAATAGGGTGGCAGATACGATAAAGAATTTTCAAAAAGGATTTGACAGTGACGAGATTCGAACTCGCGAGGGAAACCCATCACGGTTTGAGCACGTGGCCTAAACGTGACGCCGTAACCACTTGGCTACACTGCCGTGGCTGACAATAAGCTAATGGATCCTAATGAGCCCTTGATCCTGGGGTGCACCGCCCGCTGTCGCGAACTCGACCTGCAGTGGCCGGTTGACCAGCGTCGCAATGCACTCTCGTCCGCTTGGCCCAAGGACTCCCCGCTCCCAGTCTCCCCACTTGGCAGAGACTCGTCCTTTGCAGATTCGCAAGGCATCGGTAGATCAATCAGTTCTCCGTCCCCCATCGCCGGCACTGCAGCTCTCCTCATCACCCACCCCATCGCGCCCTCTCATCTCCGGCACTTCCCCATCCCCTAGAACAAATGGCTTGCGACCAAAGCTTCAGCTACCTCTATCTGGTGGCGTAGGCAGCATCAGCGACTACTACGCAGGCCCTGCCTCCATCCCCCCTGGTTTAGATGGAGAAAACCCCGGCGGTGCGACCGTTCGTCCATCAGACACGCAGCTTCAGACACCTCGACCCCCGGAACAACATGATTCCAGCGATAACAGCATCGAACAATTGGTTTCTGTGTTCGAGAAAGCATCCGTCGATTCCAACATGTCAGCTGATGAGATCTCAACCTACGGATCTACCAAGTGGTCCGATAGTGTTTTGGAGGAAATATGCAGACTGGGAGAAGGTCAAGGTGGTGCAGTCCACAAAGTTAGAGACATCCGGAACGGCTTCATCTTGGCGAGAAAGACGATCACTACACGCGAAGCACCTCTAAAGCAGCTCGGAAGAGAGCTGCAGATTTCTTCCACTTCGAAACACATCAATATCATCCAGTTCTATGGGGCTTACATGTCACCTTCCTCTAGCGAAGTCAAGGTCATGATGGAGTTCTGTGCCGGCGGCAGTTTAGAAGCTGTCGGTAAGCGTATTAAAGAACGTGGCGCCCGCATCAGCGAGAGAGTTACCGGTCGTATTGCTGAGGGGGTGACTTCTTATCGATATTTCACAGTTTGTCTTCTTTTTCATGAGCTCCCCTAGGTTCTTTCAGGACTGGCGTATCTTCACTCTCTCAAGACCATCCATAGAGACATCAAACCCTCCAACGTCCTTCTGACCGGGCAGGGCGTCGTCCGCCTTATTGATTTTGGGGTTTCCGGTGAACTTGTCAAGTCCTTGGCCGGAACTTTCACTGGAACAAGTTTTTACATGGCAGTGCGCGTGGTCCGCCGTCGTACATGGTTGTGTGGCTGAAATCCATAAATTAGCCCGAGCGTATCAGTGGCAAAGAATACAGCATCCGTGCTGATGTGTGGTCAACTGGTATCACGCTGCTGGAGCTCGTCCAGAATCATTACCCGTTCCCGGACGACTTGACATCTATCGAGTTACTCGTCTACATCACACAGGGAGATGTAAGGTCGGAGCTTTTCTGACATACCCTTAGCACTTAACTCCGCGTTAGCCTCCACAGCTGATGGATGAACCGGATGTCAAATGGAGTGACGAAATGAAGGACTTTATCAGACAAACGTACGTGATCTATGACTCTGCTCGCTGCATCGTTCTCTATCGTCATCGCTAGATTGATCGTCGATCACACCGCACGCCCCACACCTAAAGAAATGCTAGCACACCCTTGGATCGTTAGTGTAATGAAAAAGGAGGTACCGATGGCTAGATGGATCAGTGAAGTTTGGGGATGGAACCGGAATCGATCCAGTTCAAGCGACGCGTAAGCATCGTCCGTATTTCGCGTGTCGTACTATTAACCATCATTCCCCGCGATCGCATTGACCGGCCACGTCCAGCTCGCGGCCAAGCTCTAGTCGAGGTTTACCTTTCCCGACACCACTTTAGATTCCCCATGCATGACCGATGTCCTGGAGCCGAAAGATGCTGCTGCTCACCGCTTATCTTTCTCAGTTTGTACAGTCATTTGCTATACCTGCTCTCCATTAGCCTTCTTGATCTCCCTTATTTCCTCTCTACCTCCGGACAAGTACACGTTCCTGCAATCTTGCAAATGAAACACAAGTATATGCTGCAATTACATATCTAGCTTGCAGCGGATCTTACCCGCTGAGAATTCCGAAGCGGAAATGTTAATTTCATCCGGTTTTGCGACGAATCTGGAGGTCTGTTATTAGGACTTCGAGAGAGGAGAATAAAAGACATGCCATTTCAGAAGGTTGGCCCCTTGGTCTATAAGTGAAATACTATAAGTCCTCCGGGCACCCCTGGACGCTTCTAAGACAAGCGCGCACAGAGAGATCATCACCGTCACCTTCCCAATCATTGCCACTCCCCGGAGCTCTGACCCGGAATATCGGACCGGTGCTGTCTCAAACGACGAATGATTTTCCCAGACTTGGACTACGAGTGCGTACTTGGAAATGCTCAGAGGTGAGAATCTGGCCTACTGTTATGGATGGCAGAGATCTCGAGAATGCTCGAGGGCATGGCCGTGAATAACGGGCGAGTAAACTTGATGCGATGCGCTGCGGTTGTGAGTCGAGTCGAACTGCATTGGCAGGTACTTTTTCAGTTACCCATCGATTTGTTCGGAGGAGCTATGTACGGAGAGATTCCTCGCTCTTGATACACCATACTGTCCGTATTGTTATTCAAGACTCCTAATCAAATGGCAAGGTACAAACCATCTGTTTGCATTCCACATCATCTCATGCGCGACATGCGGAGGAGGGAAGTCGATTGGAATATCCGTGACTCTGTGCAATCACCCGGTGAGCCCAGTTTCCCACTTGAACTTGGCTTCCGCGTGAAGTACTACCGCTGAAAGGTCGAGGGTGCAGTCGGCAAGACCGGGCACCAATAAATGGTTATACAACTATGCTACGCCTCGCACGGTTGGAATAGAGTGGTACAGAGGAAAGGTCAACTTGCACACTGAACATAAGCGATCCCGCGAACCTCCAATTGCTGCATAGATCGTGATCCATCACAAGCGACGCCACTTTACAGCAAAGACGACGCACAATATAATATTAGGCTCTGATGAAGGCAAAGGAATTTCTTGTAACTCAAACAGACAGCTACAGTCTGGGATACAGGCCCAGTAACTCGTATTTCAACTGAGGTTCCTTCCACTACTAGACACGGTCAGCAGGATTTGACGACTAGAAGCTGATATCCTCCATTGGCTCAGTGGCTACAGTGATTCTAGTTCGTAGTGTCAGATGTAGTGCGTAAACACAGGCTAAGCCTGCTTAGAATCGCTGTACTCACGTAGATTTCATGCTAACCGAAGAATTCATGTTAGTTTCGCGCTTAGCAACAACGAAAATAATCAGAATGAGGAAAGAACAACACAGATAATTACCTGCTTCAGTGAAGAACAGAGTCCAACCCATGTAGGCCGTCAACGGCGTATCTGCCGTTTCAACACCACCTGTCCAGAGAGAGATGGCAGATCGTGAGAGTCCTCCCTCCCACCGAACTTCTGGACGGGACCACAACGGACTAAAAAAAAATGAAGCAAATGGTTGACGTTATGACCTGCGAGTGGGTAAAAGCTCATGCCGCATTTCCTCGATTACATCCTGAGGTGTGAGTGTTAGGACATTCCTGAAGGGCAGCCTGCTTTCGACCTCTTCGTCAGTCACCCTACATGGAAAAGTGACTGACATAGGCTGGCGATGTGCCGCCAGCAGAGAAACGAAGTCTTTCAAATCGCAAGCTACAGCCCTTTTCGATAAGGAAATCAAAAAATATGGCTTCGCAAGTACTATCTCCCTGATAAAAGGGTCGCTGGTCCTTCAGTCCGCACGCTGTCAATGTAAACTAACTTGGTGATCAGTAATTGCTAAATTTGTGGTTAGTGCACGCACCTCATGGGAGAGAATAGAGCTTTACGGTCCGCAAACCGCTGTAGTGGGTGACGATGTGGGTAACGGTGTGGACAGCTTCTTATATTGTACGTGAACCTGACGTACTCCGATGAGAAAGGGGAGTAGCTTGTATCAGTGGGTGTCCTTTTTATTTTATATTTTATACAAATATATATTATTTTTTCAGAAGAACACCTAATACCGTTGCTCGGTACCTAGTTGGACTTCCAGGAGATGCTGTCTGTTTGAGTGAGTTTGAGTTTGCTGTGTCTCTGGGCAGTGATGTCAAGGCGTCAAAGCTTCGCTGGACGTAAAATTATTCAGTGATTCTGATCGGTTCCATGACTGTCATTGAAATGCGTTTGCAGTAGCCACAATCAAAAGGATTTGTTGCCCTCCGATTGGGTATCAGTAGCATGCCTCGCAGCGGGCTTCTGATAAGTCCGTTACACGCGTTGAGGCCGACTTCCATGTGTTGGTACACGTGTCAAATGATCAAACTCATGGGACCCGTTACCTTGCTATTGTACATGTAAAATGGACGGCGTCACAAGCAAAAGTCGATTGAATCTTGTTCAACGTTTTATCACGGGGCAAGCTGTTAGCCACGAATGTTCAGAACGACGGCAGATGGTCCGCACCACGTGACACCGATGAGGTCAAAGTATGATAAGGATGCAGAGTCCCAGCTGCAACCTGTCCCCGGGACGGACAGCTGTTAGGGGGAAAACCGCGGGAAGTGGAGAATCAGGGTGGGGACTGAAGGGGACTCTGACAAAGAAGATAATCCATGTACGTGAATGGGCACGACGCTAGTCGTGCGGGGACCTGTATGTGGTGTGAATCTTACATACGGTGTTAGGGATCGAAACTAGTTGTGCCATGGTGACTACGGTGATGCGGCCACTTTCACAAGTACATATTATTCTATGTTACGGAAAGGTGAGGAAGATAGCATGTAGCTGGCTGGAAGGCATATGGGTGGCTGGCGGCTGCACCGTCATGGAGGCTACAAACAATTTGCATCATGTGTAACGTGCAGGAGGATCGACCGTGCGCTTGCGCGGACCGACGGATCTCCCTTAATTAGGATAGTCTATCAATCAAAATTGCCACAAAATAGTGTGCAACGTTGGGTTCCAAGAAGCCCAGTGTAGGTCCTTTGACCAGGAGATCAGCCCAGATTAGGGAATAGATCGTCAAATTTGCCGCAAAAAAATACTCGTGGAAAAATGCTTTAGGGCAGCCCTGTTATGTCCAGATTGCAAGTCTATCACACTACCTCCGAGAGGCACTGCAGTTGGCAAGATCACGCGCCGATTATCCATGAAAGCGGGTTTGTTCTCTCTCCTCCTTCGTTGTCAATTTTTTTTCCCCGTCGTTTGTTACTTTACCAGTGTATTTACGAAACAAAAACGCAGGCCAGCATGCTTTGTGAAAAGTCTATTAGAAAATTCTCCGCCTTCCCAAAAACGAAAATTGTTATGGCACCTCAGAAAATGCCATCTGTTACAACACAAATGACCCTTAGATCTGAATTTAGTGATCCAGACCTATTTCCGGGTCCGTGACAATGGGTGGACCCTCCGTCCATTTTCCACTTTCCACTCTCCCAGCTTTCGTCGTACAACTGTTACTTATAAAATCACTATGAAGGATCAGCTGCCCGAAACTCTTCCTCCCATCCTAAATCCAATGTCTGATAGTATCACATAGTCAGTACTCGCTCATCTGTCCTCCCGACTGTTGCCTTTGACCATCGTTGCCTTGCAGCCAATCCACCCCTAACGCTTACAACTCAACCACCCACTACTTGCCGCCGCCGCTTACAGGCAATGTTTATGCAGGAGGACTCCCATCTCGCACCGAACCCCAGCGGAAACGTCCAAAGTACACGAGGAGTAAAACAGGTTGCTTGACTTGTCGCGTTAAAAAAATAAAGGTGCCCTTTTGTCTACTGTGAGTTATCCGATGACCTGTAAACACGACTGAGCAGTGCGACGAGACGAAACCTATTTGCATGAGATGCACGCATGGACAGCGGGATGTAGGCTGTATCCGTTTATAGAAAACTGGCATCTGACCATCCTGTGCCAGTGCACTTGGCCGGAGGGCGTCCCGACACGGAAGAAGCCAATACCTAAGAAAGAGTGCGTTGACGGAAGGCCCTCGACAGCAGAGTCGTCTGGCATCTCCGAAACGTCGACTCCCCCCACACGCGACAACACGCCGCCCCAGTACACCCGTCCACCCGCCGTTTCGCGCCGTCACAGGCAAGTCTCTACTGAATATTTTTTTCTTCACGTTTAAAGAGCGCTCCCAGTGAACCCATGGTGCTACCGATAGGTCCCGACCCTGAGGCAGCACGACGCCAGCTGTGAGTCATTGCCGTTCTCGTAATTTCAAACCGTGGTCTTCATACAATTCCAGCACGTCGCATGGCTATCCACAACCGCACCATCCCAGCCAGTCTAGTGTTCTTTCGATGATACCCGAAATGTCGACATACCCGCCTAACCAACCTCGCTATGACACAACTTACACGGGTACCACTGCAGTAATTCATTCGCATCAGCCGCGCGTTGGTGGTCCGTCCCATGCGCCCTCAGGCTACCCACTCCATGTGCGGACTCCCACGCAACATCAGCTACCTCAACACCATTGGGCGCAGCCACAGCCGCAAATGCTTCCAGGGATGAGCCTGATGGATCCATTCGTATGTTGTCCTCATAGTACTGATCCAAGCTTACCTGCGGTGCAGTTTCACACACCCCAGGACAGGAATTTGGTGGGCCATTCGTCTAATGATCAACACCCTAGATACCAGTGATAATGATGCTTTCTATTTTCTTTTTCTATTTTCTTTTTCCTTTTTTTGTTTTTGTTTTCTCGAAAGACTTTGCAATATATCCTGGAGCATTAATATCCGCTGAAATCTTCGTTTTTCATGCTAACCTGCTGTTCGTTTCGACGTTTCGAATAGAAAGTCGGGGTCTGACGTCGTCACTGAGGCATTACCCGTTGCTTTTAGAATACAGGAACTACTCAGCAGCCATGATTACTTGGTGTGACGTTAAAGTGGAGACGGGGAATCCCTGTGGTATGTTAGAACAGTTCGTATCACAACCAAGCCTGGGTATTTAACGCGGTGAGTGGCTGGCATCTGCGTGATTCAACTCCCAATCGTGCTTCATTATGATTTTCTTCTGAGGTTTTGAGCGTGTTGTTTTGGACCATGAGTACTCCGATTGTGTTGTACAAAATTACGGCCGTATCGTACAGTCCAGCACATTCATGCATTGCTTACACCTGAAATAATTTCCAAAACCTTGTGCTGAGGTCTTCATCATAGACGACGATTTGCAACGGGTCAACTCAGGAGGCCTTGGCTCAGTTCTTTTAGCATTATGTGTCGCAAAACCTACACAACCAGTACCTTGGTATAGCAACCCGCAATCGCATCATTGAAATGTGTCTTAGTTTGATCGATGCTCTGAGGACACGAGTGGCAAGGACTATCTACAAAAAGGGAAAGCTCCTATCAATATGATGAGAATATGAGGCAATCATTGATTTGGTATACTTATAAGCACAGCTATTCAGACAGCTAGTTTTGATGGGGCACGTCAACGTTGCTCGTAAGCCCATCCAACTCCCTTTCCCTTTGCCATTCAAAACAATCGGGTGGGGCATTGCTTGGGACCTATTTACTATTCAGTGACAGTGTAAATACTTGAAGTTGCCAAAGTCATAAAGGTCGGCGGCTTGCGGTACTCTGCAGGTGCAGTCGCTCGTTGCGGCGCAAATGTCTTGGCAGATAACAACTAAACCTAGTTTGGGACCTTGTAGGCTTAAGCCCAAGACGGGTGCGCTGCTAGTGCGGCTCACGGCACCCGCTAAAATGTGTCATCATGATATAATCAGCGATTGGAGAGATTAGATACTCAGTTCGAACGTTCCTCTTTTCGCGACCACCTTGGTACCAACTATTGTGAACTCGGCGGATGGGTAATTACTGTCTCTTTGAATTAATCAAGCAGCTCTTCATCTGGAACCTACCTTCCAGCTTCTACCGACGAAGTGAACCTTACTGCGCCGCACACTCCACATGAGAGAGCAATTGAAGCCTTCAACCATGTCCTCCGGGAGATCAAGCTTGCCGTGATAGCGTTGCGTCGTAATTGGGATATCCACGAGCCTAGGATGTGGTCCAGAGCTGCAGGGTTGTCTGATGTAAAACTCACGACATTCACCATCGAGGACGACCTCGTCGAGATTAGAACTGGCGCAGTTAGCTACGGCACCATAATATTTGGAAAGATAAGAATTCCCGCGGTGAACGATGAACTAGGCGAGGGGTTCATCCATGTTAGGTATGCAGTCGTCCATGCCCCCCCGCAGTGAGTGTATTGATCTTGGTGGTATTCGCCAATTGTGCACTCGTTGCCAATGCGATGCTCTGCAGGATCCATGACCCTCCTAACAAGGTAAACGAGATTCATTCATTCATGCAGTGTGTAACCCCCCCGTTGTTTCTTCATAGGGTGAGGGGGACGTCATGTTCCACTCCATCTTTACGATGGAGGGCAAACGAGATGCGGATGGACATCCACACCTTTGGCGCGCGATTCAGGTCAAGGCCGAGCCTTTGGAATTCTTCAACGAATGAAGGTTCAGAGTCACCTCCTATTTAAATTTTCTCCTTCTCCGCCTTCCATTTCTCAGGACCCTCATTATGATTTTTCCCCATTCATGATATGCCTACAGAAGTTCTCGTTTTTCTCGGGGTCCGAGGACGCCTGACGTTCACAAGCTCCACTAGCCCTTTCCGGCGGCGCCCGGGGGGAAACCTTCTTCGCATGTGTCTTGACCTCAGAATGTTCTACGGGTTAATAGCATTCTAATTTATGCTAACACGAAGTATCATCCTTGGCACGACCTTAGCTTTTCTTCTGCTGTGGAAGTCCTTGAAAGTAACAAATACGAAATTCACCTTAGTACAGATCCCCACTGCAAGATGCGCACTGCCAGCTTGATGTCTACACGTGGATTCCTACATGTCCGCTCGTGGAATGACTACCGGAGTTGTGCCATGCACGACTAGTTTGTATTTACATACCAACTTTGCTACCACATCCTCAGGGGCGGCAGGCTTGGGATAGACAACGTCGAAGATAACAGCGAGCAAAGCGTTCTATTCGGGTATTGAGAGCATTACTGTTACATAGAAAAACAGGGACGTCCTCGGCATGTTGTTCCCACCTCCACTGCGGCACACTGCACACAGACATACAGCAGCACAAGAAAGAAAACATACAAGGTGAAGAAAAAATGTTATATGCAGAAAATGGTAATGAAAAGGTGAACAGCAACTCCGAGGTAGAACCGTGACACAAACTCGTGGAGGTAAGTCAGGCAAATTCCAGAACGGACCACGACTGGTACGAGGCACGGTGAGGGGGTAGTGGAAATCCACTGTTTGGGAGTCCTTCGAACGGGTGAGGTGGAAGAGACACATCCCGAGATAACGAATATATGCATGGGTCATTCGACGCCAAGGACGCCTTGCCGTTCTGCGCGCCTGCAAAGGCTGCGAACTGGCCCGGCGGTGGCGTCAGCACATCCATAAAACTCGAAATCTGCACGGTACGATCTCCAACAGAGGACTCTGTGAGCGTCGGGGAGAAACTCAAGCCTGGCGTAGAAGGGCTGGTCGCGAATATTGATGGTGATTTGGTTGTCTGATGTGCTGGCGCCTGAAGAGCAGGAAACGGTGGCAATTTCTCTCCATGGGACTCAAAGCTGGGGTACGTGGCATATCTCCTGAGTTGCGAGGTCTTCCTTGGCACAGGGGATTGCGAACACCATTGTGACACTGACAACTTTGAATTGGTGTGAGGTTGCGCAAGGCTGCCGGATGGCTTGCCAAAGTTGATGATATCGCTCTCGCTTTTGGATTTCGTGAGCGAACGCCCGAGGTTGGACTGCGCTGCAGGCAGTTTTCCGACCCATAGACGCCACTCGAGGGCTTCGCCAAGCGCTCGTTCGCAGCGACCGATTTCGCGGGGTGAGAGACCAGACAACTTGGCCCATGCACGATTAGAGTAGCACCGGTCTTGCATAAACTTGGATGCGAGGATGAGTGAGGCTAAGAAGGTGCGACGAGGACATAAAAGGGGAGACAGGAGCGGTGGTAGTGGCTGTAATGTTTTTATATTTGCTTGTTGTTTGTGTGGGAGTGCATCGTCACCGGCCGATCGCAAGCCAGTACAAAGACTGCTAACTTCATGCTCAAAGTGGTCCATCCGAACTGTTGCAAGAAGGCCGTCAGAATAAGCGGCATCACCAGAAGAATTGCTCGCGTTGAAGGTGGTATCATCAACTTTTACAAAGGCACCCTCGATACGAGCAAGCCCTTCGGCTGATCCCGCCTCCCTTGCTGTTTCGGGGCTATTCTTCTCATGGCGGACGAGCGCTGGTACTTTTGCTCGAACAGCTTCGAGATAGCAAAGGGCGGTTTGAAGAACACTACCAGACGTCCGTGAACGGCGGAGGACCTCCTGAACAAAACCACGCATAGATGTGACGTCGCATCCGAAGTTTTGCGTGTTTAAAGGCTGGGGGACACGTGCTAGACATGATGACATAGGGGAGGCAACGGGCGAAGGGTAGACTGATGACGGCGATAGCGGAGGGTTAAGTTGAGAGCTGGCGACGGTATGACTGGCTAAAGACGACGTTGCTGCGACCGCCGAACGACGTGACGTGAGGAAGATATGCGGTATGTCCTGGGGAGGCCATATTTCGCATAACGACTTTACGGCTTGATCTGTTTGCCGTAGTTTAATTTTACGGCCGATTCGTTGAGTTTGAAACTATGGCTCACCGACTAAACCTAGTGCATACTTCGATCTGTGGGCATCGCGGAGTTGGCATTCACGGGGAATGGAGTGGGCATGTCGTGGGCGGTCTTCAGATATAGTATGCGGGGAAGGTGAGGTAGAGGAGACGGAGGATGCTGGAGTGGGGAGATAGGGGGAAGTGTGTGTCTGAGAAGATTGATTACTAGCGTTGTAGGGCTGCCAGCGAACCCGAGAGTGGGAAGATGACGGGGTGCCCCTTTGGGCAAAAGCATGTATAGTGGGTGGAACCATGAGCAGTGCAGAAAGTCGCAGAGAGTCGGCCGAGTACAGAAAGCAGGCGTGGTAAGGAGAATTACCTAGAATGAGATCACAGCGAGCACGAGTGAGTTCATAACGATCTGGGTGACAAAAAAAAATGAGGCGGCCGGAGCAATGCGAAGGGAGGCGGTCGTCAAGTGGGATCCGGATATTGAAAACCGACACATCGCGTCGGCTTGAGTGGGCAAGGGCTTGTCTAAAGTCTGAACGACTCTAGACTACTCCTTGAGGTGGGATGGCTTCCTCCGCTGTCAGAGAAAACCGGGGTACGCTTCGATGGCCTACTCGGAGAACTGAGGGGGGGATCTTGGTGGGCTGTCGTGCGCGTTTAAAAGTGGGGGCGGTACTGGCTGTCTGACTTGGACGCAATGTTGACTCGGGCGTTATAACAGCTGATGGAGTCACCGGGCACTTGCGGGACTCCGAACACCACAGCTCATCCCGGGGTCTCCATCCCGCCCTCCACTCCACAATATGGAGGTCTTCCTAGATCTGGCGCTCAGTGCATCGGTATAGCCTGCTGTGTAGAATCATTCTTTCTCATTCGATAACGAAGTTGGAGCATCCAGATAACCCGAAAAGTGCCCTCCTTTTAGTATGTCTTGAAACTCTTACGACACGTGGCAGCACTCCCTCTTGCGCGAATGTTTTATAACGGCCACCTTCTGATCTTCCGCCTTTGCTGACAGCCAGCGAACGTGACTAAATCGGTTCACTGGTACAAACTGCACACAGCCTTATATGGGGACTAGTGGTGCAAACACGTGCAATGACTCTGCATGAAAGAAGATGATAAATAGCCGAGCTCTGATTGGTTGTTGTGCGCATCAGCACAGCAGCCTGCGGGAACACATGGGGAGACAGCTTGCAGTATACGGAAGGCCCAACACCCGATGGTCCTCTTGCGATATATCAGCGCAAGGTCGCCGATCGTCGTGGTCATTCTGCGTGCTACCGCCTTACGTTTTTTGATCACTCGTCCATCACCATTGTAACGCACTTGCTTTGTCGCTTGGGTCGTTTCGGTTACGGAACACTGCTCAGCTTGCAGTAGACTTCCCCAAGTAGGAAAAAGAAATGCGCTCTGTCGGTGTCAGCAACCACCACGCAAGTAGTGTGCAACCCACTGAGATCCCCCTCGGTTGTTTTGACATCACTGGCATGTTGCCGAGGTTGCTGCACTAAGCAGGCCGAACGGACACATTGACTTTTTGAACCGCGAGTTGGACACGGAACCTGGTGAGCCACCTGTTTTCCACTCTGGGGATACAATTCATGCTGGTCTGTCTTGAGTCGCGAATGTATCCAATTCATCCAACTCACATAAGGTAAGGCGCATTGCTCCAATCTTTATGAAGCGTGGACCGATAGGTGGCGCCATGATGTTGACATTGCCCACTATATGAAGAGTGGTTCACTGTTGCGGTGGCATGAGCGGGGGATCGTGACTATTGGGCGAGAAGGTACGTTGAAACCTCAGATACCCGAGTCTATTGCCTCTCCTGCACAACCAGCACGAGTGAAGGTTTGGAATGTTGGTTAAGGTGCCAAGTTTTCTATATAAGATATCAGATCTGAGCGTGAACTGTGGCCTTCTTTTGTCTTGAAATATGACGGCTGGCACTTGGCATATTTGACACCCGCGAGTTAGTCAAGTTAGCAACGCTACAGAACGACTTAGAATGACAAACATTTACGAGGACTCCCGGAATACCTGTTCTCCACCACCTTAGTGATAGCTGATAGTTTCGTCAGGGAAAGTGCTTCAAGCTTCAAGCACCAACCTGGATGGTGGCCACGCATGGGTTAGTAGTATTTGAACTAGACATCGGCCCTCAGGTTTTGTCTTTCTCCACTCCCCTGGGAGTCTGCAGTATTAATTGCGAGGGTCCCCTGCAGGTTAGTTTGAGTGATCAATTAAGATTGTACAGGTAACATATTGAACGCAGTGCACCATGCCTTGCACGAGTGAGCAAAGTATTTGTTTTGAGACAGACACAGACTCATGTGATCGCGCGAGCGCCAGACTTTCATCAATTCCTTGTTAGGCAATGGGCATCTGTACAACCGATCCTACTATTATACGATACCACCGCTTGGACAAAAGCCATCTCTGGACATATGGGCGCCTCCTCATCCGAATCGGCGTCTCTGAAACCTGCGCCATCGTCTCCAGAGATCCAATCATTGAGCATTAGAGATGCCACCGATGAGGATCGCGAGCTCGCGGGGAAAATCAAAGCACAAGCTAATAAAGCGTTTACAGGTGATACCTTTCCTCCCAATGTGAACAGCAGGGGCTTATTAGTATTACAGGCCATAATTTTACTGCAGCAATTAAGCTGTACTCTGAGGCGATCCAGCTGAATCCAATGGATGCAACCTTCTGGTGTAACCGCGCCGCAGCGAGAACGAAATTAGAAGAGTATGGTTTCGCACTCGCGGATGCTTGTACGTTGTAACTAAGTTGCCTTCTCTTGGTGATCGTTGGCGACACGAGCTGAAGTGCCTGTGGGACCATTTTATAGCGAAGGCTGTTGATATAGATCCGAAGTATGCCAAAGCATACTACAGGTATGAACGCTCGACCCAGTTCCATGGACTTTTTGAGATTTGGGCAACCAGACGCGCGACATGCTACCTCCAACTTGCGAAGCCGCAGATGGCCGTTTTAGATTTTAAGAAGGTACTCGCATTAGAACCACGAAATGATACTGTCCGGGCACAGTTGACAGCCACTCAAAAACTTGTGCGGAAGATTGAGTTTGAGAAGGTAAATAGGAAGGCAGTTTGGTGACTTCGTTTCGCGGGACTTACCACTGTTTCGAGGCAATTGAGATGGAAGAAGAAAAGAATGCCGTAGAGCGATGCTTAGAGATTATTGGAGAAGGTTCGTTCGTAAAAAAGATACGATATTGACCGACTATTGGGCAATTTTAGGCAACTGCGACGTAGAACGTGACTACGTTGGCCCGGAGATGCCAAAGTCGGGCGACGGGAAATACGCCATAACGCAGGACTTCGTAACCCAGATGATTGACTGGTTCAAGGAGGGGAAAAAGATTCCGCGAAGAGTCGCATGGGAGATCGTCCTTGGAGCACATGCCCAGTTTAGCAAGGAGGAGAGTTTGGTTCAAATCAATTTGGGCGAGGGAGAGACCTGCGATGTAATCGGAGATGTCCATGGCAAGTCTGAATAATCGGATTTGGCGATGAAAAGATCTCATGGGTTTATCATAGGTCAACTTTATGATCTCCTGCACTTATATTCCCTTACGGGCGCTCCGAAGGCGGATCATTATCTGTTGATGAACGGAGACCTTGTTGACAGAGGGTCCTGGTCTATCGAGGTCATCTTGATCGCATTTGCCTACAAATGTGAGTACACCCCCCTAATGTAGGTACTGCGTCTAAAATGCGTTAGGGTTATACCCGAATCGGATGTTTATCAACAGAGGGAACCACGAAGCGAAGGAGATGAATCGGACGTATGGCTTCGAGGGCGAAGCCAAGCATAAACATGGAGAGCAGACATACAAGGTAGCAACGGTTTTTCATTTTTCATTACTATCCTCGATTCTGAAGACAGGCCTTCCCTGCAGCTATTCGCTCATGTTTTCACCACTAGTATGGACTTGTCTCCTGGACTCCTAAGCAATTTTTTTAACCACGTCCTCATGCTCAGTGCCACTAGCGACACTTGTCAGCGCAACTGAAAGGCCTGGAAACATCAATTCCAAAATGATCTTGTCACCAGAAGGTTTTAAACGGTATTTCGTTGTTCATGGTGGTTTGTTTAGCAAGGACAACGTCACTCTGGATGACGTTCGTAAGATACCACGAATAGGAAGGCAGCCGGGCCAAGAAGGATTGATGTGTCAGTTTCTTTGACATTGTGGCTGTTCGTTTTCCTGACTTTTCATTTTGTCTAGGCGAGGTATCTATCCACAGCGCCAGCTGTAGTCCGCAATTCCTAAAATCATTTACAGCTCCTTTGGACCGATCCACAAGAGGCACCAGGTCGTGGTCCAAGTAAACGGGTAGGACACTTCTCGGGTCGATTCCCATTAATTTTCTCAGTTATGATATGTAGGGTGTCGGCATTTCTTTTGGGCCGGATGTTACAAAAGCCTGGTGCACTCTCAACGGTGTGACTGGAGTCATCCGGAGCCATGAAGTGAGGGCAGGTCTGTAAAGCCCCATTGAAGATTATTCCACTTTTTACTTATTTGCGTATCTATTCGATTTGCAAGATGGCTATGCCGTCGAGCATGACGGTCTCTGCATAACGGTAGGTCACAGTCTCAGGCAGTCCTCTCATCGAGCTCACCCCCTTTCAGGTTTTCTCTGCTCCAAATTACGTCGATCAAGTTGGTAACAAGGGGGCATATGTGAGCCCTTTCGTGGCCATGATGAATTGTCATCTAATGTAGAGCATCGCAGATCCGAATAGACGCGTCAGGAGACTTAAGGTACCACCAGTTCGAGGCACAACCTCACCCGCCAATAAAGCCTATGGCGTACGCCATGGGAGGGTTGGCAAGTTTGATGATGTGAGGATAAACTATGGAAGGAAATTCCAGATCCTGGAGTGATTTCACTGAGGTTTGCGTAGATAGTTGTGCATCGTGAGAATCCCATTTGTAGTAATTGCTGTGGGTGCCAAGTTAGTCAACAATTCTCAAATCCTCGACACTCAATTACTTACGTGCTGCTGCGATGGACAAGACCAAGTCCAAATTAGCTGCGTTCTTCGACAACGATGACGAAGACTCCTCTTTTCCAGTGCGCGACGGATAGAACCTATTTCTTGAGTAGAACACACTTACCGATTTGTCTTCCTGAACTAGCAAAAGGGGGTGGACGAGATGAAACTATCGCAATATGCACAGGGCACCGTGCGCAAGTCTCGGAGGGAGAAGGAGAAAGAAGCCGCAGAAGCGAAAAAGAAGGAGGAGGAAGAGAATGCGGCAAGGGCTTATGCGGAGTTCCTCGATGCATTTGAGGGCGAGGACGGTGGCAGGCGGAAGTCAAGCTCTAATTTCGTGCGCGCGTCCGGCGATTCGAACACGAAGACGCCCTACCAGCCCTTGCTGAAGGGTACTACGGAGTCAACAAAACCTCCCAGGGCCTTTCGAGCCGAACTGGAAGACGTATGTGAGATCCATTATTCTATATATTCTTGATCCCTTAAAGCGTTCTTAGCCCTCGCCAGCGCCTGCTGTTCCAAAACCGAAGGGAAAGCGCGCTATGGATGCTTTCCTCGAAGAGATCAAGAGGTATGCATAACAATTTTCGCGACCGTTTACTCCTAAACCCGAACCCAGGGAACAAGCTTTGCGGGAAGCTCGATATTCTCGCTCTGGTGAGCAAGGTCTTTGATATCGAAATGCAAGTGACTAACTAATTTATCTAGCGCATGGACGATCTGTTACAGCGCTTGCAGGTGGGTTCGATCAGTACTGTACCAGTTATGCAGCTAACTGTCATCGTAGCATATGAAGGTCAGAGCGGAAGCAAGGACCGAGGTGACCCGGAGGTGAGTGTGAGAATTCGTTTACCCGTTCTACATCTCATGCTCGTAGACAACAAATCTGTTCGTGGCCAACCTGCCGGCTAATGTCACCGAGCAATCTTTGGGCACATTTTTCGCTCGACACGGACCCGTTGGTTCGGTGAGTGCTCTCCGCTGGTAAACGCATACAACACCTCATCGGTGTATGTCTTCAGGTCAAGATCATGTGGCCAAGGGGTGATATAGGCAGTGGGCCTGGTGGAGATATGACTGCTTCACGGCGGAATAGGAATGCCGGCTTGAGCGGATTTGTATCGTTTATGAAACGCAAACATGCGGAAGCTGCTCTCAGGGAGTTCGATGGATTTGACTGGGGAGGCTCAGTTTTGCGTGTGGGGTGGAGTAAGGCCGTGCCTATGAGCAATAAACCACTCTATAGTCAGTGCTTCTAATATCAGTCGCCTGTGATTATGGCTAACATGACATGTAGTCGCCTCTGGCCGCTCTCGCTCCTCTTCACGCTCCAGAAGTAGGGGCCGTCGCGGAAGTGGGCGCAGTACAAGTCGGTCTTATTCTCCCAAGCGTCGCTCTCGCTCTCGTTCCCGGTCTGGTCGTAGATCAAGTCGACGTTCTCGAAGCCGTTCTTGGAGTCGTAGCCGGTCACATTCACGTCAAAGGCGCCGGTCATATAGCCGAGGGAGGAACAAAAGTCGAAGCCCCCGATGGCAATCCGGTAAGTCTCCAAGGAGACACGAGGAAGATGAAGGAGCTGGTGTCACAGATACTTTCATTCGGGCTGTTGCTGCGGAAGTGAAGGGTCATGGCTTGAAGTATGAAGAAAACCTCAGACAATGGGAACGTGAGAATGTGAAGTATGCATTCCTGACTGATCGGAGGGTGAGGTTTTAGCTGGAAGGTTGGGGAGCGATACTAATATTAAGGGAATTCAGCATCATCGGCATGCATTCTACCGGGGATTAGTCGAACGGGAGGACACCATGGATCCGGAATTTGATGATAACGTTGGTCCGAATGTTTTCCCGTGCATTTATGTTGACTAAGAGTCATCAGGGTTACAACTCAATTTACTCAACCGATTCTGCTGAAGAGTCTGAACGGGAACGTTCAAAGAAGACCGTGCTTGGCAGATTGGCCCGTAAGCGGTTTGAAGCCATGTTACGTGGCCTTTCTGGGAAGTGCGGCGAGTTGGCTCGATGTATGACATTTAGTCTTGAGCATGCCGAAGCTGCTCGCGAAGTGAGTCAGGTTATTTTGCATTAGAGATATCCTTTAATTCCTCGCGCCCAGGTTTCAGACCTCATTATATCGTCACTTCTAGTGGATAGTACCCCTGTGCCTCGCAAAATTGCCCGCCTTCATCTCATCTGCGACATACTCCATAATTCGGCTGCTCCTGTTCCCAGTGCATGGAAGTTCCGACAAGAATTCCAAGCAAGGCTTGGGGTCGTATTTGATCATTTCTCTACTATCTACCACTCGTTCCCCGGTCGTATCACCGCAGAGACCTTCAAGAAACAGATCACTTCTGTCGTGGATATCTGGGAGGACTGGATTGTCTTTCCTCCGGAGTTCACTGCAGAGCTTCGAGCACGCTTAGATGGCACAGCTCACGCTGAAGCAAAACCTAGCAAGGACGATGGCAACACTGACAAGGTGCCGAAAACCGAGACTCAATATATATCCAAATTCAAGTCCAAGTCTTTCCAACCTGCGCAAGATGCGGTTTCTTCTGCTAAGGATTCCGGTACGGACAAAGGGGATGATATTGACGGTGCTCCAATCGAGGAGATGGATGTGGATGGGATTCCCCTGGAAGAGGATGCCGACGGCATACCTCTTGACGATGTCGATGGCGTGCCTCTTGACGAAGACGTCGATGGAGTACCACTTGAGAAACCGGAGTATAACAATCGCATCTTTGACAGCGATGGCGAAATGGATGACATCGATGGCATTCCATTGTAGTCACTCTTCATCCTGCTTCGATGTCTGCATGTTTTATGTATTTTGGGGTAGTATGGGTCAATCCAACCGATGCATAGTGTGTACTCATATCTAAGGTAAAGTGTAACCTGGGTCTCATAACCACCTAACGACGCCCTGCACGAGAAGCCACAACCTGTGACAGAATTGCTTCCTTCGCGGCTTCTAAAGCCGATTCGGAACCTGGATGCTAAGTGTAAGATATGAAGCACAGATAGCTAAGGGCGCTACGTACCAACGATGACGATAGTGTTGTTTTCCCTACCGACCGTGATATCAGTTCCGGTTTCGTTGCGTAACCGCGCAATATTGGAACCTTTCGTGCCAACCAGCCTAGGGAACACGGAACGATCCGGAAGTGTCAAAAACCCAATATGGGTTTTGTCCTTCGCCTGCTCAATGGAAACCTGGATTTCGCTCCGGGCACGCTCCAGACTGGTGGCATCTTTCGCTTTTAATGTCCACTCCGAACTCCCTTCTTCTGCATGTTGATAGTTGGGAGTAACTTGCCAGTCAGCCTCAGGTACGTCCTCGCTGTCGATGCGGGTGCTGAAGTTCACTGGTTGAGGAGGCTGTGTTGGGAAGGTAGGTCTATTTTGTTGAACGGACTGTTCAACTTGAACACCAAATGACCTCAATGTGCGGAACAGGGCGCCTTGTTGCAGGACAGCATCGTGATACATCAAGGGAATGGAAACCATAGCCGTTGCGCCGTCAGCCACAAGTCCCTTTATGTGACTCTGAAGACCCATTTGATTTCAGCGCTTCCTAACTGCGAAAAGGTTGCGTACCTTCATATCCGAAATTGCTGCCTCGCACGCCGATTGTGACCCGCTAACTTTTACGATATCGCCAGGATCCGCAGTCTCCACCTCAGTAGCATTAGACGGTTCTCCAACCTGACCGTACCCACGAGAACCTGGCAACTGAATATACACGCCGTACCGGTTTTGCAAGTCATACAGATGCTGGCCACCCCTGCCGATGATGTTGCGGTGCTGAGCAGCGGGGATCTCGACTGCTACCACAACCTGGTCACGAAGTGCAGATACTTTATTCTCTAGTTCGTCCTTGATCCTACTCAGAACGCTAGGCTCTCCACGAAGGCGAACTTCATCAGAAATACCACCCTGACGCGGACTAGGCGACGGTCGATAAGCGAGCTGCATGGAACGTGGGGAACACATACAATCTGACCAACCCAGCCTGCAGCTTGGGGTCTGAAGGTCCACCACAACGAACAATGAGGTCCTTGAGGCCCTGGCCACCAGGACCAATGATGGAGCGATGGTACTTTTGTTCAACGTAAATAGTTTCACTGCTTTCTTCTGGCACTTGTTCGACGATCGCAAGTATAGCAGTCTTGGCAGCATTGATGGCGGCCTTGGTACCACGAGCTGTGATGCAGACGTCCGCAGACTTGTCCTCGGCAGTGCCTCTTTCAATATCGATTTGGGCATCTGTCTCGTCTTTAATCTCGTTGATGGTAGCCCCACCCTTTCCAAGAATATGGGCGATAGCCCTTCCTGGAACAGTGAATTTGAGAGTATTGTTCACCTCCTTCTCAAAGTCCAGAGCTTCCAATAGCTCAAGCTTAGCTTGGGCTACACCTTTCTTGCCGCCCCTAATGACAACCTCGTCCGGTTTGAGCTCCCGTTTACCTTCTACATTATCCCCAAACTGGCGAGGGAAGGTAACCTTGACACCATATCTGTCTTCGAGGCGGACAACGTATTTCCCACTTTGACCAATGAGAGATGCATGGTACTGGCCAGGGATCTTGAGAGTCTCGGTAGTCTCGTCAGCCTGTGAACCTCGATTAGCCACGGTCGCAGTTCGGTACAGACGACTAACCAATTTCTCAACTTGAGCCAGGATCCGCTTCTTAGCTTCGTCAGCATTTTCTTTTCGTCCAGTGATCTGGGATCTCTCGTTAATATCGCTTCCATCGCTTCCTAAGATTGTCTTGCCTTTAACTTGGCTTTCTGGGTAACTGATTTCTTCTTCTTGGAGAACTCTTTTTCCTTCTCCTCGACTTCGTCGGAGAAGTCGACCCGAACGTTGAGTTGTTCCCGTAGTTTATTAATATTAGCACCCTGTACACCGACGATCCGCCCGACGAATTCCTTGTCAATCTCAAACTCCGTGAACTAGACACATGAGAACATGTCGATGAGGACAGAAAAAAATGAAATAACATACGTAACTGCTGGCAATGGCATCTTCCTTGGCGTCTTCAACCATCTGACAGATTTTTTTGATTGCATTGTCAACATCTGACCTGATGCCGCGGAGCCATATGACATCTTCGGTGGAGGGATCACCGGCCTCAGCGCCAAATTTGACCAAGAGCGCCTGATCCTCGCCGACAATACTATACAACGATAAACAGATGATCAATCGCTTGGCCAGACAACCTTACGAGTCGAGGATATTTCCATCCATGCCCATCAGAGCCTTGTGCCAGCGTTTCTCAACGGGGAGAACTTCGGTCTTGATGTCGGCAACTTCCTTGGCCATCTTGAGCAAAGCTTGAGCTACCTCATCCAGATGTTTTTCCTTCTCTACAGGCGAAGGAGATGCATGAGGCGAGAAGGGGTCATAAACAAGCAGAACCGATGATTGCTGGGTGGGTTCAAGAGGGAAGTAAACTTGCACATTGTCAACCTCGTGGAATTGTTCCAGCCTACAATAAACGATGATGATTAAAAGGGTGCTGAAAGTGAAACAAAGTAACTCACTTCTGCGCATTCTTGACCTGGATAAGTTCATGGCTAAGCCAGTCAATAGGAATCTCCTTTGTCGCTCCAATCAATTTTCCAAGGAGTTCAGACATCTGCCTAACAACGGCATCGACGACAGATTTTTCACCGATTATGTCGACATTAAGAACCGAAGCCTGAGCAGCTGTTGCGGTCGAAGGTATGAAGACAGAAGCACCGGGATGCTTAGTATTAAGGGTTTCTGGATAGTTGATACGAGTGATATAAGCGAGCAATTGACGGGAAAGTGATGTAGGACCGGGGAGCGGGAACACATGGATATACTGGGAATTGGCCATTTCCATGACAATAGCAAGGCCTGATTGAACGTTTTCCGGCATGCCGTAGACAGTAACCTCTTCACTAGGATCCTCGATATCAGGGACGACAACCGAACACTTGCTCTTCATAAAGATATCCTCTTGGGCTTTGCCATCGAGAAGACGGTGTTGCCTCTTTGGAAGGGAAAGTTTCATCGGATTCAAGGCAGTCTTGCATGATTGGATTGTCGCTTTAATCACTTCAACCACCCGTACAACGACCTCACGGTCACCGTTTGCAACAACCTCGCGCTCGGCGTTCAAGGTTAATTGAATATCTCCTCCTTGAGCTGCTTGAAGGAACTGGGAACGAAGAGCAATGATAAATGGCAAAATATGAGATGGGATATCCTTGACGCGACGGGTGAGCCTAGGTGACCTATTAGAAATGATACTAGTGATCATGTCGCGGGCTTCGAGAGCAAGAGGTTGGGGACCAGTAATTGTCACGGGAAGCGTAGGCTCCTCTTCGTCCTCCACCTCAACCGAAGGGGTGGCCGGTCCAGAAGAGGTTTCATTACTTGTGCCGTTTGTAGTGGAAGTTTCCTTGCGGGGCACGTCAACCTTCACACCGAATTGATCACGGATTTGCTTCAAGGTGGCACCTAGTAGCAAATCAGCATAGAATCAAACTGCTTACTCGCAGTACTCGCCCTTCGAACCGACAATAGAACCAATCATAGAAACAGGAGCGAGAACCGTGAGAGTCACCTACACAAGAATTCAAAGCGGATGGTCGATGACAACTATGCTTAACTTACCACAGGGCTTAACAAGGAGAGTAGGTGTCGCTTCGCTTTCTCCACCTCCTTCTCGGTCTCAGCCTTCATGTGGAAAGTAGTCTGACGAGCCTTCTGATTCGCCGAAGCCTCAATCTTGACCTTAAACTTGGACATAACCTGTTTCATGACGTCCCCAAGAGACATGGGCTTGCCGTCCTTGGTGGTTGGAAGCGCGATGGTTGACAGTGTGAAACAATCTGAGACCACGGGTTGATATCTGACATTAGCCTTGATACGGGGACCGGAATCAGCGCCCCAAGCAGACTTGGGCGGCGGCTGCGCAACTGGGGTACTAGACACGAGAGATGGAAAGTGCGAATGAGAGTCCGTGTCCAAAGCTTCCCGCCCATCTCGAGCCTTAACCGGGGCCTCTGGGGCCCCAAGGACCGGAAACGGATCAGGAGCCCCTTCGAGTGGGTCTAATCTCTACTCGTTCTGAGGTGTCACTGCTTCCATCCAGAGGACATGATGACACTACTGCACCTTGTTGTGATCAGCTGCCGCATGAGCCATAATGAAAAGCCAAAACACAAAACCGGTTGACGGAAGATACCTGATGGCAGAGTCCGACGTGAGACGGAACTGCACACGTTGCGATGAAAAAAAAAAAGAAGAAAATCGAACAAAAATGAGAAGTGTTCGGTTGTGCGAAGGGTTGCACGCGTCTCGTCATACAGACCGTGGGAGGGATGTACCTTTCCGGGTGTGCTAATCGGAAGAATATGAGCTCCGGGCCTGAGCAGGTGAAACCCCTCGACCCTTCGGTGGACACCAACACCCCTCGTAGCACGATGCTATCAGCGTGTATTTATACATGGTACTATTGTACGGCATTCACGCACGCGATAAGGTACTAGGAAGCGTTGTCGGTCGCGCGTGTCACGTGCACTTGCTTTGTGAGCACGTGACCGATGCTAAGCCCTGACGTGGAACTCGGACACACACAGCTGAGGAATATCATAGGAGCATCCATGGGCACCAGTTGCTGGAGGAGAACGCTTCTCCTTGCATGCAGTTTTTACGCCGCAGCATATGCAAACTCGTTTCTAGAGGAAGGTCTGGTACGCAAAGACCAGGTCAAGAATGTGCTCGAGCACGAGCCAGTACGGGGCGAACCTGTCTGCCACCACACGGTATGCGACCATATCACTCTTGGGCTCCTTAATAGCCTTACCCGCCTTCCCAGATGACAGGCCCCATAGAGACCACAATGTGCGATTACGAAACCATCGAGAGTGTCAATGAAGAATTATATACCAATCTTCATGACCTTGTGCAGACTCCTTTTTTTCGCTATTTCCAGGTCAGCTTTTTGGCCCTCTTCCATGAAACTGCCATGATGACCCTGGGCTAGGTTGACCTTTACAGGGAGTGTCCCTTCTGGCAGGAGAATGGCTTCTGCATGAACCGCGAATGTGGGATCACAACTGTAGACGAGGTCCTCTGGTGGTGTACCGTCTATAAATTGAACCCGAGGCTGACCAACGCCTTAGAGTAAAATACCGGAAAAGTGGAGAGCTGCAGCACTGAGCAAAATTGACCTGCCACCACCCGACCAGGTTAACGATAGTTTTCTCGACAGTTTCTCTTGTCTGACTCCTCAACAGCGAATACAGCTACCAGGCTGCTACTATAGGGACTCTGACTTTTGCTTCTTAGACGACCTGACGGGTGAGTTGACACATCAGCTGCACGCCCATGTTATTGAGCATCGCCTTTTGTAGAGGGTGAATATTTTGACTTGGCTACCATTCCGGAGCGCTACACAGGATACTCGGGGCCCTCTGCACACCGTGTTTGGAGGGCCATTTACGAAGAGAATTGCTTCGGCCTCTCTGAGTTGAATCTCCTCGCCGGAAGATCCCCGGCACCCGTCACTCTCCCTGATACCCTTACTGACGTTTTACGAAAACCCGTTAATGGAGACAACACTGCGGAGGAGTGCTTGGAAAAGAGGGTTTACTACAAGATCATTTCTGGTTAGTAGCTTGCATTTTCATATAATCATGACGCGCTCAAGGCTGCAGGTCTGCACGCGTCAATATCGACCCATATTTGTGCGGAGTATCTCAACCAGTCAACTGGAGAATGGGTATGATTTGTATACACTTCATATAATATGCGACCCTCATAGCCCTGCAGGGCCCGAGCCTTCAGTGTTTCGTCAATCGCGTGGCTTCACATCCGGAGCGGCTGCAATATATCTACTTCGATGCAGTACTTCTCCTTCGTGCGATCGCTCGCGTAGCACCATACCTTTCTGCGTACGACTACTGCGCCACATCCTCCGTCATACCCCACGACCACCCACACGAGTCAGATTTAATGGACGAAGTTAGAACTCTAGTCAGACTTGAAAACGTACTGCAGATAGCCAAACGCGTCGGAAAATTTGACGAAAACGTGCTATTCCGGGGAGAGAACGCGAATGTGAAGCGACTTTGCTGTCATGTGGTAAATCTGCTGACGGGAGATCCAATAGGTTTTGAAGGAGGAGTTCAAGGACCATTTCCGGAATGTGTCGCGCATCATGGACTGTGTTGGATGTGACAAGTGCCGCCTTTGGGGCAAAGTTCAGACCACTGGCTTGGCCACAGCTCTTAAAATACTGTTCGAGATAGATGAAAAGGCTCTAGAGTCAGCCTTTTTTCTTCATCCGTGCCATGCTTACTGATTTGTTGCGCCAGCCCCCGCAATAATCAAAACCTGCTACAGCGTTCAGAGGTCGTTGCATTGGTCAACACACTTCACCGGTTCAGCGAGAGTCTCCATTTGGTGGAACAATTCCGAGATATGTGGAAAAGCGTGGGGCAACGTGATTCGGAACGACTTATCCACGAAGCAGAGGAGGCTGTCGAAGGCTACGTGCGCCAACCTTCACGATTCACCGCCGAGTAACTAACGACGACACTCTAGCCACGGAAAACACCCAGCGTCAAGCCCCCAGTCTCTAGCGGACCAAAACTGGAGCAACTACACGATATCACCGATGCTAACGATGACTGGGTCGCGAGACTCCAAGCACGCTCGTTTCAGTTCGTTCAAGGCTGCAAGCAGCATGGACTTGATTGTATCGGCCAGCTGTCGGGTTTCTGGCAATATTTCTATCACGCAATCCTTCCAGAAACACGAACTGAACTCTGATACCAAGCATTTTAGAATGGACGTTTGGATATACTCACTAGTAATCGAATCATTATGCTTTGATGGCGCGCCACTAGCCTATCAGACGAATCAGAGTGGTATCGCGGCGGTGGTACGTGTGATGGCGTTCCTTGCATCGTCAATGATCAATATAATTCGCATTCGTCAGTTTGACACCTCATAAGCGCACAGTACTTCTAATTAGTTTTCAGGGAAGATCGATAGTTCTGCGGGCTTACGCGGCCACTCGTCGATAGATGCGGTTTTGCACGTCGTAAATGCGATTCCATCGCAGTCGTCGGTTTTCTATGCCTCAGAGAAAAAAACGCCCAGCTGTCCACGATGTCACACTGCCTCGCACTCTGATGTCGAATACTGGCTACCTTTCCTAATGAAGCCAAGTGAATAGTTGCCCACAGACGAGGGTGGCCTGGAAGGTACATCTTTCTTAGCACAAACAGAGAGGCCACCACCGGTATTGGCTGAGCGAACTGCTACGGGGGTACCGAGCAAGCATGTCCTGCACTGCACTTTGTAATGGGAAGGTAGTAAAATACATGTATTAGTCAGCTGCATTGGTTTTGGCGGGAGAGTTTCCTGAAACGGCAAAGAAGAGAGACACGGCCATCGTCGCAGCCAACACTCAGCACTCTACTCGCTCGCCTGCCTGTGGTCGATGTCATAGTCCCCAGGCATGATCCTTGCGGACGAAGACGATGCCCAGAGGATAAAGGACCCCCCAGTTGCTTGCCCCACCATCCGCTGTCCTGAGCGCGCGGCAGGTCGTCGTCCTTTCAGCCCCCTCCCCGACTACGAAACTTCGCAGGCCCTTACTTACAACAACCTCAACGACTCCCTATCAACCCTCCATAAACCTCCTCAAAGGCGTCGGTTCCTAAGCTGGAGATCTACGCTGGTTGCACTAGTCGTCTACATACTTCTCACCCTCGTCATCGGCGTTCCAATCATTCTCAAGGTACGTGGCAACGTGCGCATCTCTGCTCTCCTCAAACTCTGACCTTTTACAAGGAGACCAAATCCTCCAACGGTGACAAATACCCATACAATTCCCTCGCCTACGCCGCTCCTTGGCCAGACAAAAGCTCCGGCTCGTACTATACTCCCAATATCAATAACATCTCTAGCCCTACCCAACTGGGTTTGGATCCAGTATGCAACAATTGGACTGGTGTCGCGGTTCTCGATAGCGGGCCTACGATGCAAGCATGGTAGGTGCCCCTTTCCCTCCTTTCGTTTCCATGCCTCGACCCACGATGATATTGCCTTGCAGGACGGAGAACATCGTTTCGTCTAATGGACAGTTTAGTCTCACTTCGAATGCCTCGTACGCGAGAGATTTTGGCATTGTGTTTGGCGATCTCTACGTCGGCGTAAATCCAGACCAATCGGTCCAAAATACGACCCTGTCGATCAAGATGCAGACATCGAACAGCAGCGTTTTCGACAGGACTTTTACTTGCTTCTCGCTAACCGAAAACACCACCGATCTCTCTCTCTACGTTCCTAACGATCTCACCTCTTCTGACAATATTCTATACAATATTACCCTACTTTTCCCGCAGTCTCAGGTCCCTTCTCAGGTCAACACCTTTGGCTCTTTTCTACCTCTGTTTGACCAGCATTTTGGCTCGTTTTCCGATTTCGTGAGCTTCGAAATGGTTTCTTTAGAGGGTCCTACCTCCAAGATCGCTATAGACGTCAGTCATCCCGTCCAGCGCCGCCTTTGTTGTGTGTTGCTTACACTCTCCTCTATCAGTCTCTGTCAGCGCGCAGGGTGTTTATAGAGACGTCCATGCAACCGATTGTTGGCGACTTTTATGTCACGAACTCCCTGGTGTTAAGCACGGTATTGGCGTAAGGACACTATACCATTGAACCACTGATTCTCATAATTCTCACTGACAGGCCCATCGAGGCTAACATCACACTGTTCAACGATCCAGATTCGAATTACCCCACTTTCCTGGCCATCGACACGGGTAATAGGCACGTTGCCATACCTTTTTGTTGTGCAATGCCATTAACACAATCATGTAGCAATCTCACTACCATGCTAACACTTTCGGCCCCCAATAAAATGCCGCCTCTGAGACCAAATTTTATTGCCAGCATGCGCACATTTTATGGGACCCTGAATTCGACCATAGTACATGATCCTTCGTCCCCCCCTACGTCCATCATCATCCATGCGGAAAATGGTCTTGGTCCATCCAGTGTAACCCTCGATGAGAAGTTCCAAGGTATCTTTCAGGTCACCACCAAGCAGGCAAGAGCTTCGGTCACCCAAGGAGACGCCCAGTCGACGGATCCGTGGGAGCCGAACCTACAGCGGAGCATGATGACTTCTATCAATTCCACTGCGCGGATGGACGGGTGGATAGGGTGGGGAGACCAGCCTCAGAATTGGGGCTCATCGCAACAGGGGGAAGTCGTGGTTGATACTTCCCTTGCGGACGTGAATCTCTATTTCCTGGGCTGATAGACGTACTCCACGGGCTTCGTAAGTGCTGGCGGTTGAATGGGGACTTCGTAGGGCCGATCAATATCAGCTGATTAAACCCGCTGATTTTCAACGTCTTGACGTTTTCCCGCCTCTCCTTCGGCTTGAATTATTCCGCTCGCTCTTATTTCATGTGTAATATAAGTACTATTATCGCACTCGTTGTAACTGTCATCTAGTGTAGGCTGGATTTATCCTCACACGCATAGATACGGTAGTGCGCACCGAGGACTTATTTCCCAACTACGAGTGACGATGATGCAGTCCGACGCGGCAATGTTGCAAACCGACTACTTGCGCTAACGCGAAAGCATAAGATAATATTAAGGCGAGTCGACAACGCTATCTCCGACCACCTCCTTCAGCCCATGAGCGGTTGTGAGCCACCAACGGCACGACCATGACTTCGCCGTCGTCCTTCGGAGAACCCGTGGAACGCCAGCACGGCCCACAAAGCAGACAAGGGCTTTCCCCAAGTCGGATGTCGCCAACGACGGATATGACCGCGGGAGCTTTAGAACATGCTTTGCAGAGCTCGGAAAGCGCAGGCGTCAAGTGAAGCATCAGTGGATACCCCGATGCTGGATCTGATGGATGCGGAAGCCTACGCGCGGAAATGGGTAGTGTATCAGTGGCCATGTATGGCACCCCTAAATGTAATGAAGCCTATACCTGATTTGATCAACCACGATAAAATGTTCGCAATTGCCTTGATGAAGCATCCAATATGGTTGGTTGATTCGTAGTGTGAGGGAATTGAATGTGGTTCGGCCGAGTGCCGCAGAAGACTTCGTTATCACAGGACGTTTCTCCTGCGGCAACTTTGACACGTGCGATAATAGTTTTCTGTTAGGTGCATATGGTCAGCTACCATGCTGAGCGCATGAAGGTCGGCTCATCTGACTCTGCATAATCCACACCCGGCCGACCGTCACCATAGACAACGTCCTCTATCAACAACAAGCAGCCTTCCTCCCCATCTGAAGAACGAGTATCAAGGGAATATCCGGTGACATCACCCTCCGCGTCGACTTCCTCTACTGGCATCTCACTGGAGTCACAGAGGATGGACCGCATGAAGTCCTCGAGGGTTTGAGATGCTAGTACGGCATGTTGGGACATGCGGACTAGGTAACTTTGTACCCAAGGAACACGATTGTAGACCGTGAGAGTGATCAAAGCATCTGGGGTAGTTGGCTCTTCAGGGTTCAAATCGTACGAGAAATCAGTGAGTTGATAGTGTCGTGACAAGTTTCCCTGCCCCGTCTTCTTGACTGAGCGGAAAGCATTGAAGTCTGAGTTCCTGGATGTCCTCATGAACAGGGATGATTCTTTGCCGAATCTATCTGGTTTGAGGCCGTCAAGCGTGATAGAAATGGTTGATGAACGTACTCCCAACATCTGAGAGGGACGGATTGCAGATATTCTTGCAAAGCCTGGAGCTCGGGAGTATCGCGACTCTGATCAGCCAGATCCAAGCGTTTTCGCTTGCGCCCTTTCTGAGCCAAGCCATCCGCCTGTCCGAGAGCAGAAGATATTGCGTCGTCATGCTTGGTGTACAGATGTGCAGAAATCATCGGGTTATTCCACACATCCTCAATGGTCGTCTTCAGTTCAGCGATGCTGTTTCGAAAAGCAAATACGTCCGTGGGATGTCTCGACATCCAAAGAATTGATCGTACCTCCCTGAACACTCTGCTTCGATCGCGGCCCGGCTTTCTGCAGAGAGTTCCTGCCAACTAGGATGTGTGAGCACATCTTCAGCAGTAGCAGCGTGTATCCGGGCTGTTTCCTCGATGAATTTGCCGACCTCGATGGGCTCTGAGGGTGGCCCAAAGAATAAGTCGTGTGCCCGGCTGAGGTCGACGTTCATGTGTTTCATGTGACGAGACCGCGTTGCGGAGGTGCAAACCCCCTTTCCCTCTGATCCCTCACCATCCCACCACCCTGGCACGCACACGCTCGTCGGCGCCGCGAGCGATGGGCACCAACAGGGAATACGCAGACAAAGCAGTACAGACCGAAGATGAAATTCTACACGATCGCATCTCTCCTTCACCCCCCTGTATGCTTCCCAACGAGAGCGCATATTCCCCTGTCACGGCGTCGGGTAGCTCCACAAGCGCGATATGCCTTCCGCTGGTGTCTCATCGATCTCCGAAGCCGAAGAAGACATTCTTAGACGTTCGACATCCGCCAGGTGACTTGACTAGCAGGCGCGTGGTGTCTATGCCAGAGAACGAGGGGGAAGGGCCCCACTGCAGCAATGGTCCCAGTGCGCGGATAGTGTCGATGCCAGACTACATCAGGCCTCACCTTCGGTTTTCTGTCGAGTTACACGGGTCCACGTCCGGGGACCCTTTTGGCCCTTACTCAGAACAACTCGAACTACACCGGTCCCCCACTGACCTTCCTCAAATGCCTTCACCCCCGTCTTCCTCAGAATCGTTTCTCATCGTTAGTAACAGTGTGCGACTTTCGGAAGATTTTACGCGTGGAATAGTTTTATCTCACCCCCTTACGGAGGAAGCAGAAGGTTGGCACAACGCATATACGCTGGTTGCCGCTCTTGAAGCGGTGATTTAACTTCTTTCTGCAGATTGGATGGCATGGGCGTCGTCTCCTCCACGACCGATCCCAGCTCTCCATGGGCCGCCATCTCTCCCCTACGCTAGATGTCCATCGTGAGTGACCACAATCGGGATAAACCCAAGTCATCCTATTATATAGAGGAGCCGAGGGTACCATCATTGAAGAGCCCAGCAACGTTTCTCGCATAATATGGGGTCTAGGTTCGGATGATCAACTTCCCACTCGCCGAAGGCTACTCGAAGGAGGTCGTTTTGGTCGTGCTGAACAACCGATGCCGCAGCCACCATCCTCACGCCCTTCGCAGACGCAAAAGAAACCGACTGTCGCTTCGCAGCGACACCTGTTACTGCGCTCGTCTCCGAGGAAGGGCGGAGAACCATCTGACAAGCAATCTCGGCCTTGGCTTCCTCATATTAGCTGCAAACGGTCAACACCAGCCAAGCAGGCGCCGACCCAACAACCGTCCATTGAGGTTAAACACTACTATGGCGATCAGAGTTTCGAACCTGTCAGTAACTACTCTCCCGGTGACGAAGCATCCCCAACCACCGACAGGACGTTCTCGAGGTTACGGCCTGCCCATGTTCCTCGACCGCTAGAGAATTTTAGCACCGATCTGGAGGAACGTTCCTACACCCCGCAAGGCAGTCGTTCACTCGTCGCCTCTTCTGCTCTTCACGGATGCCTACGAACTACCCCTCGCATATTTGTTGAACCACGTTTGAATGAACCAAGTTATCAAGCCCCGAACCATTCCACGATGGATACTGCTCAGCTTTCTCCTCAATATTTGTACCAGCGAGGCCCACGAACTCGGGAAGTACAGCAAGTTCCAGTTCCCTCAAGTTCCTCCTCACCTCTCTGGCCTCCGTATGTCACCTCACATCAAAGATCTGCGGTACTCTTGCCTTCGGATTCTGGCGTCTCTGCAGCCGGTCTGGATAACATTCACCTGAAAACACGTGGATTGAGTACGAAAGCATACTCACAGTCTCAGCCGCAATATCAGCATGGACGCGAGTACGATGGCAACGCTGATGGCCGCAAGCACCTACATGTGCGTGGTGCCCACTGCGGCCGCTCTCTTCCACAGAACGCAAATAATGCTCCGGAAACCATCCGAAGAAATACGACATCTCCGAACACCTTAGCAAATTACTTCATGCAGATGCAGGTGCAACCTCGGCCTCCAGACATGCATCGACCTATCCCGCCAATTGCTTCGGCTGTTCCTGCCCCGTTTCATCCTGCTGTACACGGAACTAATGACGTAGGTGTCAGTCTCACAGGTCCTTGATGGGCTGAGTCTACGACAACGCTTGATTCTGCTTTGTCTCATAACCTTCCCTATGGTAGTACGATGGCGGTGTTCGTCGTTCATTTCGTGCAGCGCCGCCTTTCGCCGCTACCCGACGCACCGAGCAGCCAACGAGAGGAAGCCTTCTTATAGAGACGTCTCGACGACCAAGGTCCTCGAGACAGTAATCAGACAGATCAAAGGAAGTGTGAGGATGTCTCCTTGGCCCGTATATTCCTTAACTTCGAACAAAGAGATAATAGCGAACTCCCAGGCAGTAAACTGTTTCGAGGGGATCGTGTCACTTCTGTGGCCAAGGTTCACCTCGATAACTAAAAAGTGGCTATGGGTCTTCCGGGGACCCGCAGAAATCGATCGCCGTATACAGGTTCACTTTGAAAAGAACAAGTATCATGGAAATGAGTCAGGATGTCGGAATGGCTGTATTGTTATCATCATGACATGCTTTGTCCTGTAGTACTGGTTTGTGTTTTATTCATGAGGTACCGTCGTGTATCCCTTCCCGCTTGTTGTAGTAAATACGTAAGAAATCCGATTCAGTGAGTTGCTGCAGAGCCGCCAGAAAAATGATTTTATTGTTGCCCGACTCGCTACTGTACCAGATACTAGGTAGGCCGAGATAGCCAATATGAAGGTTGTCATAACTATGTTACCTCAAAAGAGCAGTGCCACATGTATATGTTTCAAACAGGAATTTTAACCTCTAGCTAGAAGTCACGGTTTTACAAAGAGATCTGTGAAGCGATCGACTGGGAGGTTAGGGAAGTGCTCCTTGTCTGATACGGTCTCCAAGATCCTAGTTTCCCAAAAAAAAAAAGTCAGCCGTCTTCACCGATGGATCACCAGAGCTCACTCACTTCTTCTGATGGGCTTCGTCAAAGTGACGACTAACGTGTCGCTTGAACTTCTCGATCAAGAGCGGAGTGCCTTCTTCGCGGCGGGTCCTATGCCCGACGGGATACTCAACTACGACCTCATCCAGGACGGTGCCGTCGCTCAACTCCACCAACAGAGCGTTGCCAATCGAGCGTTTGGCTGGATCGTGATAATCCATTGAGAACACCTCATTCTCGACACAATAAATCTTGGCACGAAGGGAGTCGATGCGTAGATCGGCGGCGGCCTCGTCGGTGTACGAATTGGAAGTCAACTCGCCAAATATGAGCGGATACGCAACCATGTAGTTGATGGCGTGACTGCAGGGGCAAGCAGCAGTTCGATCATTTCTCCAGAACGGTCTAAATAACGAGAATACTCACTCCCTGTCAGCAAAGTTGTCCAGAGGGCCTTGTTTGTCAATGATACGGATAGCAGCCTCTTGGGTCCTGATTCGAACGCTCTTAATGTCATCTGAATTCTTGCCCATGGCCCTCAGCTTGTCATGAACGATGAGGGCTGCCTCCACAGCGGTCTGTGCGTGGAACTCAGCAGGATATGAAATCTTGAAGAGAACGTTCTCCATGATGTATGAACCATATGGCATTTGGAATTGGAATTCCTTTCCCTAGAGATCCCCGCTCAATGCAATATTCCAAATGTATCCTATCATCGTTACTCACTTTGAACAAGACGTCGTAGAAACCCCACTGCTTCGCAGTAAGAACGGACGGAAGGCCCATCTCCCCCTTCTTTACGAGGAGTGCAAGATTGACAGCACGTGCACACGCGTCGCCAGCTGCCCAGGACTTGCGAGGTCCAGTATTTGGTGCGTGACGGTACGTTCGCAGTGACTGGCCATCCACCCAAGCTTGAGAAACGGCGTCCACGGTCTGAGCATGAGTCAAACCCCTGAAAGGAGTTGTCAGCTTCGCATGCGAAAAGTAACTGTGCGCAATGGAGACTGACAGTAATTTAGAGACAACGGCAGTGCTGGCAACTTTGACAAGCACGACGTGATCAAGACCAACGCGGTTAAAGGAGTTCAGGAGGGCGAGGCCGCCTTGAATTTCGTGCGCCTTGACCATGCTCTCCAATAAGTCGCGGACCTTCAGGGGCTGTCCCTGGCGGGCGAGATGATCCGCAACCGCGAGAATAGCACCAAGGTTATCGGATGGGTGACCCCCTATCGAACTTCCTTAGTACGTGCCCCGTGCGAGCGGAAAATAGAGGGAGCCTACACTCGGCAGCGAGGAAGCAATCATTGAAGTCAAGCCATCGGATGGTGGTGCCAATGTTGAATGCACCCCTAATAGGGTCAAGTTGATAGTTCGTCCCAGGAACCTTGGTGCCTGTGCTGCTAGGTGAAACCACCTATTCTGAAACGTTGCAATCGAAAGCATACCATTGGGAACGATGGTTCCTTCCACGACCGGGCCCAGCAATCTGGTGCACTCCGGGAAACGCAGAGCTTCGAGGCCACATCCAATGGTGTCAATAAGACACAACCGCGCTGTGTCCAGCGCAAGTTCCGAAGTTACTTGGTAATTGTGAACATAGTCCGCAATATCCATGAGGACCTTGTCTGGTTCAGGACGAATCGCGGATTCTCCGTGGTGAATAGACATTGCTCGAGCAACAGTCGTCTGCGGTGCAGGACGGGCTAGGCTGCTGCTTAGTAGAGATGATCGATAAGCCACAGCGGGGGCATTTTGCAAATGCCTTTAAAGAGAGAGGTCCTCGTCGAATGGCAGACAGCATGCTTGGGTATGAACTTGCCCGCCGCCGGCTGAAAACGGACTTCTGCAACGATTACGTCTGCGCGACCTGTTCCGCGACTTGTTCCAGGATCCACCCCGAAACCTGTTCAGTCTCGTCCATGGCTACTGAATGGTATTTCGTGTTTACGGAAAACTGCATCTGTGCTATACACATGTTACTTTCTGCGATGGCCCATAGTATTATAAGATATCGTAGTAAGATCGCCGCTGCATATTTTATATAGCAAACCAAGTTCAACGACACATTTACTGTCAGGTGCATCATATCAGTGAACTGGTCTCCAGTAGGAGGATGATACCTAGGGTGGGGATGGTGAAAAAATGGCCGAACATTATGGAAAACCGCACGCACTGTGTACAATGGCTGGTATGGTCTGGACACTAACGTCGACAACCAAATCCGCCTGTTTGGGCGTTTCGTATTCCACATCGACGCCAACGAAGCCAGAGATTACCCCACTACGCGCCTGCGCGTAGAGTCCACGGCGGTCCGTCCTTTCGCAGTGCACGAGTGGTGTTGCTACGTGGACGAGGAAGAAGTTGCCACCCGCCCCGCTGCTTGATACAATCTTCTCCTTCACGAGTGCCCTCGAACGTTCCGCAGGAGCCGTCGGCGCAGAAATAACCGCAGCTCCTGCACGGGCCAACTCGCTCGCCACGAACGCAATCCTCTGCAGGTTCTCATGCCTCTCCTCTGACGTAAGGTCCAGCTTTGGGTTCGAATCATCTCCTATAGACTCTCCGAGAAGAAGAGAAACACTCCGTCCGCCTTGTTCATTCAAAGCTACCTGGAGTGCCTTTGCGATGGCATCTTTCCCGGAATTGTACAACCCGGTAAGGAAGAGCACGAAACCTTGTTTGTTCCGAGGTGGATAACTTTCGCGCAGTGTTGCTACTACAACCCTAAGGACGGAAAGTGAGTCCCATTTACTCAGTCACACAACCCCCACTTACTCGTAACTGAACCAATCAGGAATGGCTGCCCCAGTTTTCAGCCGCCTGCGCAACTCTGTCCCAGATATGTTCAAAGTCTGCGTGCCGTCTGGGATTTCATCTACTGGCACGTATTCGTCCGTGGCGGGTACGTAAGTCATCTGCTGGAATGGTACCATCTCGATCTGTAGCTCATCCTTGAACCTTTCCACGAGCTCTTGGGCGTCATAAGGACCGTAAAAGTCCTTGCCTTGTGAGTTCTTACCTGGACCCGCATGGTCACGGCCAACGATGAAGTGGGTAGCACCGAAATTTTTTCTGATGATGGCATGCCAAAGAGCCTCACGAGGACCGGCCATGCGCATAGCAAGAGGAAGAAGAGCGAGATGAGCCATTCCGTTCGGGTATTTCGCCATGATAGCCTGGTACACGCGCACACGTGTATAATGGTCAACATCTCCAGGTTTAGTGAGTCCAACGACGGGTTGAACAAGAATATTTGCTTGTTGTTGTCTCGCTGCGCGTACGGTGAGTTCGCGGTGAGCACGGTGCATGGGATTGCGGGTTTGGAAAGCGACCACCCTTCGCCATGATAGCTTTTTAAAGTGCGCACGGAGCTCAGCGGGAGTATCTGGGATGGATAAGAGGAAATCTGGAACTGAACGGAAAGGGGCACCTACACCGGAAAGCAACATAGTCGAAATGCGCGGGTGTCTGTATAGCTTGTACCTTGCCACCGACGTAGTATTCTTTGACACGGTTTCGGAGGTAAGCAACAGAGGGGTGGGCAGGATCATCTGCACCGAAAACTTGAATCGCCTCCTTCACGCGGTCGTAAGTGTAGATGTCTTCGACAGTAAGGATTGCGAGGGCTTCGTCGTCTCTGGGGTCACGAAGTACTATACGAGTTGCAGGGCTTAGCTCTAATTGTTTGATGTCATCCGATGATACGTCTAGGGTAATAGGCATTGGGAACAAGGTGCCATCGGATAACCGTAGGGTATCAACAACGCTGTGGGTGAATTTAATCCAAGTTCAATAGGACACCCGACGAAACGAGTACCTGTTATAATCACATTCGTTCATAAAACCCTCGAGGGGACTGAAGCCACCAGTTAGGATAAGCTCCAGGTCACATAACTGGCGCTATGTATGATAGTGTTAGTCGCTGATGGTGGATAGACGGGATGACAAGCGTACCTCGGTGAGAGTGATGTCCCTGAGTGTAGCAGCCTCCGCCTGGAGATGCTCGGATATGTGCTCGTCCCGAGCGACAAGATCCTGGGACATGTCAGTCGCGGATGAGCGCACACGACTCGCACGAGCAAACGAGGACGTGCCTTCAGTACTCCCCCATGAGGTGCGTTAGCCATGTCTGGCTGTCAAATCCGAAAATCTTTTGCCCGGGCTCAGAGGTCTTACTATCCTCATCGTGGCTTTATCATGCAAAGAGTACATGCAAATTAGGCAATATCACGCAATAGTTAGCAACGTCACCTTCGGATTTTCTCGGTAGTCATCAATAGCGATGTGTGACAAATGAACTATAGTAGATCGCAAGACAACCAACATTATTATTGTTAGTATTTTGCCCGTATATTATAGCTATCTGACGAATGTATTCACAACTGTTTCTGTCTGCTGAGTGATGTCTACGTGGTTGGGCGTGCGTTGTCTCTGGGCTTATGCACTGTGATCGGGGGAGGCGGTCCGACGAGGGGAGGCGGCTGCTGTGGGTATTGTTGCTTCCCCACGGATGCGGCGGGTGGTGTTGGCTGCTGTAGGTTTCACCGCTTCCGCGCGGTTGGGGGGTGGTTCCGACTTCCAGCGAGTTTGTTGGAGTTGAGGTGTCTGTGTGGTAGGGTGTTGCTATCCGCTCGCCCCTGTGGGTGTCCCTCGTACGTGGCTGGGTCAGGGGTACGAACCTCGCCATGCTGTAAGGTTTCCGTCCGAACTGGTGAATTATATTTTCCTTCCAGACGCTTTTGGCTCATCCGAACGCTTGCCTCAAACGGTGGCTTACCCGCCTGATCCTTGCCTACTCTGTTACATGAGAACGTCATGAGTACCACACTCGATCTTGAGCGACTGTCAGCGAGGCATCTCTTGTGTAACTTAGTGCCCAGTTTTAGCTTCCGATGCAATGTGCGTCATCTCTGAGTGCATTATAAATGGAGGGAGCAGTGTTGGGCTGATGCGTCAGAGCGGGTCACGACTATGGATGGAGTAGAGAGGAATCTCTCTCTGTCTCTCTGTCCTACCTCTAGTTACACGGTCTTCTTTCCAAAGAAGGTCGAAAGTTTAGCCATTCCATCAACACTCGCCTTCTTCAACTTTTCTACACCTTGAGATGCTTTCGGTTCCTTCTTTCGCTTTACGCTGGTTCCCTCGGAGACCGTCGAGGTCCTTTTCCTGTCCTTCTTGCCAGCGACACCACCGGAAGGAGACGGATTCAAATGGTGCCTCTGTAGGGCTCTGACGTGGCTTTCGAGTGGTGTGAAGCTATTGAATCGTCTAGCTGAGCTCTGCCGACGAGATCCGTACTGAAGGACATACTCAAAAGAAGCTATTAATGCCGTCCGGATGTCCGCGGGAAGATATTGTGACACTAAGTCGCAAGCCAGCTGCGTCCTTCCCACTGCGAGACAACCATCAGCTGATGACGATAGCCACAGGGCTGGGCGCTCACATGCCAGCAAATCCTCGTGCTTATCTTCCATAAGCTCATTTTTTGCAAGGCCACGGATTAAACAGCGCGACATCTCCGTAATCCGAGGTGTGGCTAGTGCCGCGACTTTTTTCGTCAGTTGTTCCACGAGCCTTTCCTGTGAATACCTGAAAACCGTGATGTCGGTTGTGATTTCTGGAGTGCTACAATTAGCCCGCGCAATGGTTGATGCGGCGCGTGCGATCACCTTTAGTCTCGCATATACGTCTCATCGCGAGCATTGTGCAATCAAGTGCACCGAATGTCACAATATCGTCGGGTGTGACAATGAAAGATGGATCCTGTGACCCAGACGGATGGGTTGCCTCTGCAAATTTCGTGGCAGCTTCTTCGAATATGTCGTCTGCCGGACGGAAATTGACCTGTCCACCTCCCTCCTCCAGTTAGGAGTGAGTGGAGTTCTCCAGACGAACTGTTACGATTTACCACAATGGTTGCTCCAAGTATCGGTATTAGAAGGAATAGTGGATCGATTGGTGTCATGACTAGGAGCCTCCCATCTGGAACAGATTCCAGTTTAGTTGGCTACCGTATTCGAGATCAGCTCACCAGAGACAACCTCTTCTCCTATAAACCAAGAGCGGGCGCCTGGAGGCGCAACCGTCTGGACTTCAAGAATCATTGGTGACTGCTCCTCGCCACCATCACTTTCACCTCTTTGTGGTTGGTGAGGCAGGAATAACGATGGAAGACCTGAGTAACTCAGTTGAAGGAAAAGCCAGCTCCAATAAACATGTAGCAGCACACACCTGTCCGTGGATGGGGAAGGCGAAGGAAACGTGCAGGGCGCGACGACTGGCTGGAGTGATTGATTTGCAGTATAACGGAGTCTATGACGTCTATATAAGAAGCATATTGTAGTGGTTCTTACACAGGCAAACTGAAATACCTGTTGGGAGAACAGCAAAGTACGTGTCCATACTACTTGATGCTTAAACGTTAAACGCTGGCAGTGAGTGATCGACTGAGACGCGTTGTTTGCGCGTTGTTTGTCATTTTCCTATGCTTACATAATTTGATATGGGCCCTTCCCGCATATCTGTATCTGGTAAGCCTGTTACTCTAACAGCTAACTTTCTACGCACTCTTGATTCGATAGCCCTCTCGAGATTATGACAAGTTAGTCCTTTCTGCCTCCCCGTGCTCAACCCTTCCTTCTGATCCCTTTTCTTCCAGCGGTTTCCTACTCTTTCATCCTCGATTATATCTAAATCACAAAAAGCAGGAGTCTTGGATCCCCTCTCAGTGCCATTGAAGGCAACTAGCACATTCAGCAGTGCAAGTCAACCAAAGTATGGTGATTCGTAAATCAAGCACGAGTGGTATCATCAGTGCTGGAGGATTGGACTCAAGTTGTACACGTTGCCACGAATTGGTAACCGACCTTAGCTCAGTTGGAAGAGCGCGAGACTGTAATGGATAACCTTGTCATCTTGAGGTCGCCTGTTCGAGCCAGGCAGGTCGGACTCCTGGTCCTACATTTTATTTTGTTTTAATATTTTCTTCCCGTGGTTATTGCTATAAATGGCATGTCTGAATAATAATTTACTGTCTCTCGGCATCATAGTTCAGTGCTCAGTTCCCGACTGTCATGGCGTCTGCATCTGGTGAGTGCAAGCGGCGCGCGTACTGCTTTGCCTATTGCTGAACTTGCACTAGCTATAGGGAAACTCTCGCGGGAGGAATTTCGCCGTCAGAAGGATTTGGAGGCTGCACGAAAGGCTGGTACGGCCCCCGCAGCCCTCGACGAGGAAGGCAAACCCATCAATCCTCACATTCCCCGTGAGTAGGTGTTCTCCTTTGTCATAACTCGCACTCATTCTGTTTCAGAGTATATCTCGCAAGCGCCATGGTATCTGGACACCGGGGCACCCTCACTTAGTCATCAACGTCGGCCAGCCGCTACCAAGCCACCCAACGAGATCGACAGCTGGTATGACCGTGGTGCACGGGCAGGACCTGCTGCTAAGAAGTACCGAAAGGGAGCTTGCGAGAATTGCGGCGCAATGACACACAAGAAACAGGATTGTCTTGAGCGTCCACGGAAGAAAGGTGCCAAGTACACGAACAAAGACATTCAGGCGGACGAGATTATTCAAGAAGTACACACTGGATACGATGCGAAAAGAGATAGATGGAACGGGTATGACCCGGCAGAACATAAGAGGATCTACGACGAGTTTGAAGCACTCGAGGTAGCGCGGACAAAAAACAGAGAAGAGGAGATCGACAAGCAAACGGCAACCGATCTTGCTGCCGCAAGAAAAGTTGCGAAGGCGGGGAAGGAGAAAAAGGATGCAGACCCTGACTTTGGTTCCAGTGATGAAGAAGACGCAGACGAGGACAAGTACGCTGATGCTGCTGATGCCGTGGGTCAGAAACTGGACACAAAAACTCGGATTACTGTTCGCAATCTGCGCATCCGAGAAGATACCGCCAAGTACCTAATCAACCTCGATCCAGAGAGTGCCTACTACGACCCCAAAACGCGTTCCATGCGTGATGCTCCTTTAAAAAATCTCCCACCAGAAGAGGTATGTGAATGATACTTTACCCAGTTTGTGACCTAAACTCTGTTACACGTAGGCTAAATTTGCCGGTGAAAACTTCTTCCGGTATTCTGGTGAAGCTCCCCAAGTCCAGCAACTCCAGCTCTTCGCATGGCAAGCTGCTCAGAGAGGGAATGATATCCATCTCAATGCCGCTCCGACACAGGGTCAACTGCTGCATGAAGAGTATGAAGAGAAGAAGGAAAAGATGAGGGATATCAATAAAGTCAGCGTACTTGCAAAATATGGTGGAGAGCAATATTTGGAACGCGCACCAAGAGAGGTGTTGGACGGCCAATTCGAAAATTACGTCGAGTATTCTCGGACTGGTCAAGTTATCAAGGGGAGAGAGCGAGCCAAAGCGCGCTCCAAGTACCCCGAAGATGGTAAGAAAGCAACGTGCAACTTCCCCTTTTTCGATGTCTAAAACATTCTGCGTGCAGTCTACATCAACAATCACACAGCGGTTTGGGGATCGTGGTACGACCTTGCAAGCGGGAGCTGGGGCTACGCATGCTGTCATTCAAGCACTCATATTTCGTACTGTGCAGGCGAGGCTGGAAAGCAGGCCACTCAAGCGTCGACTGCGCAAGCTTTACTCGCATCATCATCAGGGCTGGGTAGCTCTTCAGCCCCCGATGAACAGACGGAGACGCTCAAAGCACCAACAGAACAGAACTACTCGAAGAAACGAGTTGGGGAGGGTGACATTGCTATAGACAAAGAGCGACTAGCCCATGCCTTGGCTGAGGAGAAAAAGAGGAAGGCGTGGGGAGGCGATGAGGATCGCTACAACAAAAGGAAGAGGGGAGAGATCGGCACCCATGACGTGACGGAGGAAGAGCTTGGTAAGTTCCATGGTAGAATTCTTGCAAGCCCACTTAACCCACTTGGTTTGCAGAGGCTTATCGGATGACCCGCCTCAAAGCAGACGACCCAATGGCAAACTATGTAGACAACGAGCATACATATTAGGCTTCAGATTGTCTTGGCCATTTCTTTGCATTTTTACCACTATTTGTTGCTCCATTCACGTATGTACTGTACCATTAGCTCCTCAAAGGTGCCATTTCCAGCGGCATTAGTGTTTGGTCACCAGTTTGTGCTTGTTCTCACCCTGAATTCTCGACCGCGTGAATCCATTGTTGGGCGATGAACACAAGTTGTCTCTAACCCAACTTCATGTTTTCGACAGCGGCTGCCCTGCTCATTGGCCTGGGCACCCGCATTGCCTTAGATAAATTTTCTGGGACTATCTCCGACGGTCCCAGCTCCTCAATCTCTTGGAGATGTCATCCTGCTGGGTGTCGTCCAAGGCGTGGGCTTGTACTATGCCCTAATGGAATTCCCCGACTTTGCGTTGGTAGTCGCGTTCGCGATCGCGGGCCGTCTGGCTTTTGAAGTCATGGTGATCCAGGACCTTGGCAAGTGTGCGACGACGTTACTCGGCGTTGCATTAGGCGTGCTGGTCACGGACGTACTGTCCCAGCTGATAGAAGATGGGTACCTCTTTAACTTCGGGGACGATGGGGACAGCGAGTACGAGGAATCTCGTACCGTCATCAGACGCAAACGTTTGGTTAAATTCCATCCGTCCACCGAATATCCCTCTGCTCCTCCAAGCAAACCTTTACGCCCGCGCAGACGAGAACCCGAACGAAAGTGGCGCACGGCATCATCCATTACATCCATCACCTCCTCCACATCTGATACAGTTGATCCTGATCGTGTCATGGATCCTTTGGAACGCGAAGTTGCTACGTTGCGTGCACGAGCGTCCCTGGCGGACAGCGAGCGCCGGCGCTTTAAGGAAGAGAAGAAGTGGGCATTATCACAGGGAAACACCGCTCGAGCGGCGCAGATGAGTTGGCAGGTAAAGAGGTACACTGCCTTGACGAAGAGTTTCACCAGGGAGGCAGATGCAAGACTGCTAGAAGGTAGGGTCATTTCTTGTCTCGGACTTTCTGCGCTCACGTCCGGAACGCACGGTATATAGTCAATGCAATCAAGGTGGCTCGCCAACAACAGAATGAAATTCCTCCGTCAGTTATTCAGAATGTTGAGGGACGTCGGTTTGAGCGACACACCAATCATCTGAGGCAGTCTGCCCAGGAAGTTATCGTTGAGCGCGACTCTACGGGTACAGTTAATGTGAGGCGACCTCGGCATCCTAGCCAAAGTTCTTCCGGAAACCTGAAATCTGCTATGCGTGTACAACCAAGATAATGTCGCCCGACAGGTAAGTCCTGTACCAGTCTTTAATTTGGACTGTCTAGGAATCTTAAGTGGCATAACAGAATGCGCCTGTACATTTCCCTGTTTAAGTACTAAAGTATCTCACGAAGCTAGGACAGCTGCTCTGGCCTGAGTACAATGATATTATCCGACGAAGAAAGCAAACAAAGGGTGTGATCCGTGTTGATGTTGAAATTAACGAACTACGGGTACAGGGAAGAGAACGAAATGTGAATTAGGACGGCTTCAAATTAATGCGGCATCGACGTAATACAACATAAAGAGCGCAGAGTTCCATATCTTTACGACGATTGAATAGGAGGGAAAGCAAGGTTGCTACACATATCCACGTGAAAGTTGTGCTACCGATGGGTCTTGCCATTGGTCTTCATGGCCACGTTAGAAGGCGACAGTGTCTTACCGCTAGTGGTCGGACGAGGTTTCTTGCTTGCACTTGCAGCATCAGATGGTGGCCGGGGTGCAGCTTCTTTCATGACCATCTTGGCATGGATTTCCTCCAACTTAGATGCTTTCACTTTCTTAGGCCAGAAGAGAGTGACGAAACTGAGACAAAGTGTTTCAGGACGCGTTAGTAAGGAAACATTATGCTGCAACTCACGCCCACAAGTGTCGCTTCCACCTTTCGGAATCTTCTCCGGCAGCCTGTTTGGCTTGTAGAACCATTTCAATCCGGCGCCCGATCGCAGCTAGGGAGTCCTTCAATATCGCAACCTTATCGTCCCGCGGCATCTCCTCTCCCGACAGCTTGAGCTGCTTCTATTTGAAGTGTCAGGAGCGCCTATCGTCCAACCAATAATTGATTGCCTACCAGTTGTTTCTTCACAGGCCGCAATTCCTCTTTGGTTGCGATTTCATCCATGGATGGACTAGTGACAACCTCTCAGTACACAGTCTGACTACGTAAGCCACACTTACCATTCGTCTGACGACTCAGAGTCGGTAAACGTAGGTGTGGGTCTCCGTTTGCGCCTTTTTGTTGTCGTCGTCGTGCTATCATCAACAGATGCAATAGCCTCGCTCTCGGCCCGTCTCTTTCTGTTACTGGTAGAGGACGAGGCCACCGCTAGGGGTGGAGGCGTAGCTGAGACTTTGACCCCTTTATTGCGTAACGAGCTTTCGTATGAGCGGAATTTCTCGTCATACTCGCGGAGAAGCCCGAGGAGGAAATCACCCCGTCGAACAAGATGAATGGCGTTGGGGATTGGCCGTGAAGAGGAGTCCTCGCCCTTCTTCCCTTCTTCCAGGAAGAATTTGCCTTCTAGCCCTAACTGTTCGTCCTTCGCCATTGCCTCCCAATTTCCAAAGCCGTAGAGGTAAGCACCAACGAGAAGCATGGAATCCTCCTGAGAACCCCAGCGACCTGACCAGTTCAAGACTGGCCTTATGTTATCAATTGGGATGGCCCAATTGTAGAGCTCGCCTGGAGCGAGATCGGCCAGAATGTTGTTCAGGACACGTAAGTCTCGGTATCTCGAGAGAACCGTCTCAGCGTTGATATTGCCCACGTTTTTATAAGTCACCAACACGGCCTTGCTCTTCTGGGCATTAGTCAATGTTTCTCCAGCTGCCATGCGTGATCGTTTCTGTTGGTTGTTCTCCTCCACCGCATGGGAACAGAGTTCAATAATTTCATCAGCAACGTCGATAATCATGGCCTTGTGTTTATCCGTAAGCTTCGATTCGCGGACCTAAGAAAAGCGTGAAGTGCCGCACGGAGCCTGCAAGGCTGCTAACTCACGATAACGTCATATCGCTGACGAATGTCACCCCAACGTTGTAAGCTGCGGATGAGTACGCGAACATCACGCTCCTTAAGCTCCATAGCTTTCTGGCTTGCAGACTTCCGCTGTGCTCCGGGAGCTTTGGGCTTCTTCGGAGCTGCAGAGGGCGCGGGATGATCAACATCCATCCCTTCATAGGAGACTGGTGCATGCGACCGCTTGCGGTCGCGCAACTCCTGTGCAACCAACTCCTCCGCTTTCCGTTGATCTTCTTCCTTGTCGAACTTCTGTCGCTCCTCGAGAGGGATGATATCCTCCCAATTCATGTCATTCTTGACATCACTGACAGAAGCGAATTGTGCAAGGAACCCTTCGCCACCGAGTGAGGTTCCACCATCACCACCAGCGGCCATGGTTTCATGATCCTCTGCCCTGTTCAGAATATCATCAAGGTCCATCTCGTCCAGCTTCTTGTTCTGCTGTGAGTCATCCTTGTCAAACCTATATCCCGATTAGCCCTGACTACAGATGAGATACAAAGGTAAACTAACATCTTTTGGGCACCGTACTTGAGGACGGCAGTCAGTTCGTCCTTGCTCAAATGATCCGACTTTACGGAATCCTTTGGCCTGTCGCCCTTTGAGCTAAGATGAGCTTGAGAGGTGTCCACTTGGTTGATGACTGACAACGACAGGGCGGGCTGAGGCCTCGAAGCAAGTACCAATACAAACACTCACTGGCATACTCCAGGACCATCTTCTTCTTTGCCCGCTCCAAGATGTCCTCTTCCATCGTGTCCTTACTCACGAAACGATACACGCTCACATGTGACTTTTGACCAATCCGGTGGGCGCGAGCCATGGCCTGCAGATCATTCTGCGGATTCCAGTCACTCTGCAGAGTTGTCAGATATGCCCAACGTAAAAAATAAGATCCTCACATCAAAGATGATGACCGTGTCGGCAGTTTCGAGATTAATACCAAGACCGCCCGCCCGCGTCGACAGTAGGAATGCGAAATCCAGAGAACCCGGCGCATTGAAATGGGCGATCGCCTTCTTCCGCGCATCAGAGGCGACCATTCCATCCAAGCGTTGATGCTGGTATCCACGAAGACTCATATAGTCGCTCAAAATGTCAAGCATGCGAACCATCTGGCTAAAAATGAGGACACGGTGGTTGTCTTGCCGCAGCCTGGCAAGTAATTTATCGAGTAAAACCATCTTCCCGCTGCTCATGACGAGGCCCTTGAGCGTCTCTTCCTCGGAGTCAGTGCGTGATTCTGCCCCATCAAAAAGGTAAGGATGATTAGCAGCCTTCTTGAGTTCCATGGCAATGTTAAGGAGACTGATGTTATTATTCCCATTTGCGCTCTTGACCAATGCTTGGAAATTCTGTCTCAAGGTTAGTACAAGTAATCAGTATAACGGAGATAGTCACCTTGGTGAGAATATTCTTATAAAAGTGCGTCTGTAATGCACTCATTTCAACACGAAGAATGCGCTCACTCTTCGTCGGCAATGAGGTAAGTACATCACGCTTCAATCGCCGTAACATGAGAGACTCCAGTTGCTGGTGCAGCTCTTTGATTTTACTCTCGTGGTCAGCGTCATTTAAATCGAACTCGTTGGTCAAGGCAACTACGAGAAAACTCAGTTATGCGGAATGTAATTAAAACAAAAATGACACACATTTCTCCGGCATCAAGAAATGCATCAACGAAAGCAGTTCTGGGAAAAGGTAAGTATGAACTATTTGCTTCGTTGGATACAGGTGAAGGAAACAGTGCACCTTTTACGTTGTTTTGCAGTGGGGTTCCCGTGATGAGGAGCTTGGAGGATGCCGAGAATGACTTGAGTGCTTCATACAGTTGACTCTCGGAATTCTTCAAGCGGTGTGCCTAACATTGCCCAGTAACCAAAAGTTCGTGCGAACGATGACATGCGCGGAGGCGTACCTCATCAACGGCGAGCACTTGCCACTTAATATCTGCCAGATCCTTTGCATCTCGAAGTGTGAGTTCGTAAGTGGTGAGAAGCACGTTCATCTTTAAGCGCTTGTTAGATGGACCAAACTCGTGTGTGCGAATGACTTCTCGCGCGGCAGCAGTGCCTATGTAGGTGATAACATTCAAGTCTGGAGCCCAAGTAGCGAACTGAGACTGCCACGCTGTGATCGTTGAAAGGGGCACTATGCAAAGAAAAGGCCCGTATTGATGCATCTCGTGGAATAAGTAAGAGAGGAGCGATACTGTTTGTACAGTCTGTGAAATTCAGATATACGCCGAGCGCTTGGATTGAGACAGGGAGTAATACCTTTCCGAGGCCCATCTCATCAGCCAAGATGCCGTTCTCGCCCTTACTCCACAGATATGCAAGCCAATTTAGACCAGTGAGCTGGAAATCCTTCAGCTGGCCACCTGTAGCAGAAATGTAGTCCGGATCCTTGACTATTTTTTGGAATGGCGGTCGTTGATGACGTGCATACTGAACACTCTTGTAGGGGAACTTTGCTTCTGCTTCACGAGCGCGGTATGCTTCAATTTGTGTCTTGGCTATTTGGCGTATTTCGTTCTGGTCCTCCCACGTGCAGTGTTCATAGTTTAGTGCAGTCCATTTGCAGAGGTACTCTGTGTTGTTGGGTACGTCCTGACTCTCTCGATGAGCCACAATCCTCTCCACGGTCTTGTAGGTCTCCAGCTCTTCCTTTTCCCGCTCCTTGTCCAGAAGAAGAGCCTCTCTGTCCTCCGTAGAGAGACCAGGTGCGCCCAGCCTGGCCTGGTATGCTTTGTAGGCTTTGATGTAATTGTCCACACGCTTCAAGCCCTTGAAACGCTTCAAGAATTCGTATGTCTCGTCGGTGTTGTGGAGGTGGGAAAAATTCTTCCACTTGATATGGAATCGCTGAGATGATGTCAGCTCGGTTGTTTTCTGAGTTAAGGACATTCCAAGATACGTACGATATTATCATACCACAAATCCTCTATGTCATCTTCACGATTCTCGTCTCTGCAGTGCCCAAGGACGGCCTCTATTTCATCCTCCTCCTTGAACTGTGCATTTGAATCCAGGTAGTAGTTCTGGACTGATTCTTCCTCTGAAAGTACTCCATAATCTTGATTTCCCTCATAATAGTTTGGAATCTTGCTGCCTCTGCTGGAAACACGAATTTCCTCCCCCGAGACACGAGGCTTCTTCTTCTTCGATCGCGCACCATAATCAGAATCCGAGTCCGAAGATGCATGGCGGAGTGCTGTGACAAGTTAAGAAGGGACGACATAGAATATAACGAAAATCCACTGACCTTTGGGCCTGGGAGCTGAAGACGATGGAATAGCTTTCTTCTTCTTTGACTTCGCCGCCTTCTTCTTTCCATACTCGTCGTCTGCGTACGAACCGTCGTCTTCGTCCTCGTCGTCATCTTCATCATCTGCAGGGTTGTCTTCATAGCCCTGGACGTGAAAGGGATGATGAGGGTATACGGTAGGTGAATGTATGCGTGACATACCGAATCTTCTACGTCCTTTATATGCGTAGGACTCAGCCAAGTGGAGGGAGGGAGGGACGGAGAACGAACTTACGGAAAGTCTGTGCGCATAAGATGACGGACCTGCGACGGGCGTCTCTAAAGCGGCGGAGGTGGTATCATCGACATACTCTACCTCACCCTCGGCATCGACATCAGGCTCAGGGTCCTGAACATGCGCCAAATGGTTGGGGATGGGCCTGTGGTCACCGTGATCGTTGTCAGAGTCTACCTGCATGCTGTCGTCGCTGTCATAGTTGAGATTGAGGGCGTCGGGATTGAGCGCCATGTCGTCGTCACTGCGACGGATGACGACGGGAGGGATGGTAGTGGTTGAGGGTAGAGAGAGAGGTCGTCAAGGATGCTGTTGACGAAAATGTTCGCACGCGTGGCCATCGCTACGGACAACGCCGGGCAGGGCCCCATCGTCACCACTCGTGACGAACTCCGGTCGTCCCGTGCCACATTTTTTGGGCACGAAACTCTAGCGTTTTACACATTATCTGGACATTTATTCCCCAATTACACCCTATTTTCAGCTTGAAATCCCCCACAACAAGACCGCCCAGCGGTTCTGTAGCATCGCTGGAATCGCCTTCCACAGCTTTGAGCTCGCCGTCCGAGTCGAAGCATCCGTCAGACAGCCGTGTGTGCTCACAGAATCCAGATGGCTGCTCGATATGTGAAACAGACATCTCCAATACAGCCAGCCAGTGTTCACTTCCGCATGTGCGAGTTGCTGTGTATACGTACCTAGGAAGCTGCCGTCCATCAGCGACCGTATACAGTATTTCGCGCAACGCTCATAAGTGTCGCTCTCTCTCCAAACAAACGATCTACAGTCATAGGCAACCGTGTCGCAGTCTTGGGAGACACCGTCCGCGTCGTTCGACCCCAATGGTGCCTGCCAGATTCCTCACCCAGCATGATGCCGCCGAGTCGTCAGTGTGTCACGTGCGTCACGTCTCAGTCGCCTCATGGCATATTTTCGTGGCCCATCTCCGACCACACTGGTCACGATGACAGCCAAGAACGCTTCTGATCACCGGCACTCTTGCGTTGCCTCTCCCACGGCAGCCAGCAAAACGTTCCCTGATGTGGATATTAAACTAGCACTTCCCAGGATATAGTCTGATAAAGTGTGCTGTAATCTGTCCAGTGAGCCTACGCACTTGGGTGTCACATAGATCGAACGATCCGTCCTACCTCCATGCTGTCTAGTACAAATGAGAGTTACTCGCCGCTCGCAGTCCACACGCAAATACCGCGCACGTCATGATCAATAGGACGCTTCGAAGAACCTGCACTGCCTCTCCTCCGTGGGATGACTGCTGTCATGAATTCACACCGCCCCGAGGCCATCAAACCCTGTTGGAACATGTGGGAGTAAATTCGTCACCAAACTCAACGACGCCACCTGGGAATCCTGTTGTTGTATGATAGTGGCCCTAATCTCCAGCGCCGTATCTACGCTCTCGAGCACAAGGTCACGAGTTAGATGTGCTAAGTCAGATGTCGACTCCAAATCGGGTTTGTACTTGTGTGACTTGCAGGCAGTGACTGAAGCTGAAGTAAACTGCTGTCTGGATTCTGGAGCCACAAGCTTGCATATGGACGCCGAAGCCGACAAACCCTCTCATCTCGCGGTAGTCGTAGACTTGTCCCCAACTCAATGGTATCTGAGTGCCCAAGCCTCCAATCCCTACCCCTTGTCCATCGAGTCGTTCCTCTCGCAAATCTTGGCCTTTCTCAATGCCCACATCGCCACCAAGAATGAGAACACGCTGGCCGTCTTCGGGGCATTTCCAGGCAAGAGGTATGTCCCTTTAGGCATGTCGCTCAACCCATCCCGTATGTTGAAGATGATGACCCACCAGCGTCATGCTCTACGCTTCCACGGAGACGTTAGTCGATGAACCCCCACCTCTGGACGCGAACTCATACCCGCCTTTCAAGATGGTAGACACAACGGTGACGCAACGAATCTTTCGCGAACTGGACACCATCGACCCTGGGGACGAGCGTACGTTTGCTGGCTGTCTTACAAACATCGGCAGGGTTAACATTTCGCAGCACCCTGTGCTTTGGTCGGTGCACTGACGAAAGCCCTCTGTTGTATGTCTACAACACCCATGCGAGCCAGTAAACCTGATCTCACCCAGACATCAATCGCATCACACTACCTTCCATTTCAACCAGCGTCGCTGAAGGTTTGACCAATGTACCGGATCCTCGCATCCTGATTCTCTCGGTTTCTCCTGACTTGTCATCATCATACATCCCAATCATGAATGCCATTTTCTCCGCGCAAAAGCTAGTGAGTCGTGTTTACCACAGCATCCTTCAGCTCTCCCTTCATTGCTGTTTCCTCTTAGAAAGTAACCATCGATGTCTGCAAAATTTACGGCCCCGACACCGTCTTCTTGCAACAGGCTGCTCATTTGACCAACGGCTCTTACATATATCTCGAGCGACGAGACGCTTTGCTCCAGTACCTTATTGTGCGACCTACTCTTCCTTCGCGCATCGACTTGCCGTGACGAACTACCTTATCTTAGATGTCATTTCTACCACCTCCGTCAGTGCGGAAAGTTCTTGCCGTTCCCAGACAAGACAAGATCGACTTCCGGGCAGCATGTTTCTGTCACAAAAATATCGTAGACATCGGCTTCGTCTGCTCGGTGTGTTTGTCAAGTGAGTTCGTAAACGCAGATCCTATCATGGTTCTGAGACTTTGCAGTATTTTGCCAGCCCGTACCTGTTTGTTCGACTTGTCGGTGAGCATTGGAACTGGATCTCAGCCTCAGGAGTTTCTGATGAGGCGCAGCACGAAGTTCCCCATCAAGGCTCTGCAAAGGCTCAAGAGTGCCTGTCCATCCCCTGCACCTGCAACCCCTCGACCACTTGCCAACCTCAACAATGCAGTTCCGAGGGCAACGGAGGCCACAAACCACGGCACTCCAGGACTGCGGTAACTTCGCACATGGATGCGCTTACGGCGTATCCTTAATAACGCACTCCGAATACCAACGGTGCAGCACTGACATATACTAACCTCATGTAGAGGTGACCTTCCGATTACATGGAGAGAGCAGCAATATAGACCGGCTGCTTTTCCGGCAAGTCAGGTCTGTTGATAATGTGTGGCCGTCGAAGGATCGTTGCCTATGGAATGTTCATGAGCGAAAGTATCGTGGTCGTTACTTCGTACCTTTGGTGTCGGCCTTTCAGAACTGGCGTAGGCGATAGCCATACCTTCTGCTGTAAATGCACACCATAACCGTGCTGGATAGCAGCAGTCCATAATGCATGGTGGTTGTTCGGAGTTCAGCTACACGCACGTTTAGAATTCCCGCTCTCTGTTGTTAGCAAAAGCACCCCTGCATTCGGCCGAAGAATTCCATGTCCAACCGCTGGACCTACAATGTGTCTTGTCCATTGGCAATTCCGGAAGAGACACTATTCGAAGAAGGCACTCACGATAAAACCGTTCCGTCAACACGTTGACAAGCAAGTCATGCACGTCTGTTCCTTCCTGGTTCTTGGCGAAATGGAAGGTATCTCCAATTACACGTGCCAAACCTGCTTTGATGATATGCTCGCCAGTACCTAGGTTGTAAGCCGAGAAGACATGGGAAAGAACCTCTGATCTTCATTTACCTGATATACTGCAAGCTGCACTCGTTTTTCCATCGGCTGATTGTTGTGCCCAGCAACCCGCACCGAATATCGCTGCCTGCTGCTCTTCAGCGTGTGCTGCAGGTTGTCCCGATTCCTCACTCACCTCTCCGACACGTCCCGAGTGCTTGAGAAGAAGTCCACCGCTGAGCGGCCTGTTAGTCAACATACCATTGCAGGTATTTGAAGAAACTGAGTTGACCTGGATACGCCTGCTGCTACATTGCCACAATTGTCCCATGCAACTGCGCCGACCGTATCTTGAATCGCACCGACCGGTGACGCTATTGCTTTTGGAATTATTTCCTCCCGTACTTCGTTATACCTTTCTATCCACTTTTGCCAGTCCACTTTTGCTCGTTTGGATATCATGCTCTCAGGGTCTACTGTTTCCACTCCACTCTGCACTGCAAATGAGCGCGCACCACTCGACACAAGTGTCCTGAATGATATGAATCCCATGAAATAGGAAAGTCGGAGCTAGTATGATCTTACACCGGAGGGATACGCCCCAATTTGTCTAATTTGCGAGAATGATACAGTATAGCCTTCGCTAACTTGATCGGATTTTTGACCCCTGTAGGGAGGGGGAGTCGAAAGAAACATAATTCTACCATGTGATAAATTGCATACCTGGGACTGCACCGACGCTGCCAAAATCGCCAGTCCTGCCGTCCATGATAGCAGCGTCGCACTCGACCGTGCCGTCAAGAGTAAGGTTAGAGCCAGTTCCTCACCAATGATCAGTTCGAACGCAAAGAGGACGATTCAAAATCACTGTACCAGCGTTGAGGTTTTCATCGTCCTCCAACTCGACTATAGCCCGTTCGACGACAGACAGGAGGTCTGTGCCTGGTAGTGATGCTACTCGAAGAGCCTCTGTGCACGCTCTAATTCAAGCCAATCACCATAGCTGCACAAGACGACGGGTTGTTTTGGTACCTCTTCATCGCCTGCCTCACTGACTTCTCTGAAATCTTGTCATGGTGCCCTGCACCAGCGTGCACTGCGACATATATCGTGGAAGATGACATTCAAGCAACTAGATACTATTGCTGCAATCACGTAACGTATCGATACTCTAATGGTACCCTGGTGGTGCCCACATATTAATGCCGCACTATCCAATTTGTGCATCTCACATAGAGCTTTGCATCAGTGATAAGCCTTACTCGACCATCAGCGTAATTGGCATCCCTTCGCCATTCTCCTCCACAGCGCTGAACATTTCCTCCCTTTTATCCTCTTCTCCATTCCCTCCGTTCAGCCGAGAATTCCACATCTGCTGCAGTTGAGCTCTCTGCTCGTTGGGCAGATGCGCAGCTGCTTTACTAATAATCTCCATAGCCTCCTTTCCATCTCCGCGATCAACCAGCCAGCCTGCCCACGCCATGGCCGCCGAGATACCATCGAAGGCTTGCCAGTATTGGTATATGGTACTGAGCATTGTTTTTTGGGCATCATCCCCTCGCGTAGATTGAAAAGAAAATAGACGCTCCCACACAGCTTTAGTCGGTAGATAGGCGGCAGGTAATCTTCGTATTAGCTTGCAACGTTCGGCACCACCCGTGCCTTCAGAATACACCACATCGGAAACGTATCGGAGGAGCAGGCTCTCGTGAATACTGCGTGTGGACGAGTCCCGCATGCTTTGCTCAAGCAAGTTCTGTAGCGGGGCAGAGTGATTACAAAAAGGATCACTTGTACGGGGGCAGATTTACCTCAAACGATGAAAGCCGGTTCTCACCTTGAGTCGCACGGACGTCCAGCCCCCACAGCCAAACTTTTTCCACTTCGCGCTTATCTGGGAAACCTTGCACAGCAGAGCGAGCCGATGACCATATCGTCGTGATATCACCATTGTTAGCCGCCTTCTCAGCGTCCAGCCGGGCCAGCCAAACATCGGGTGAGTTTGTGGCACGAGAGTATCTTCTCGCTAGTTTCAGAATCTGTTTGGAAGGCGCGCCATCACGCAGGAGAAGACGCAAATGTGTGGCTTGTAGGACCGGCAACGCATCTGGAGTTCGCGCCAACGTATGCAATGAAGCTATTAGATATTGTTTCTGGAAACCTATAAGCCGGGGTTCAACGCAGGAATAGGGGTGTTTTACCAGCGCCGCATCCAAAGTAGGCCGTCGACACCACTCCTGGACGAAGTCCGCGTAAAGGGTTGAAATTGCGGCTCTTATCTTGTCGTTTGGTGGGTTACTAACGGCATCCACAAGGCGTTCATTGGCATATCGGAGGGCGTCGACCAGCCGTTCACTCTCTAGTTGGTTAGACTCACTCCCTATGCCTGCCTGGTCTAAGGTCAATTCACGGAGGCGTCTAGTGGCAAGCATCTTGATTGCCTCGGAATCATCAGGTATTGACTGATGAAGGAGGTGATAAAGTTCATCCAACAGCATCTCACGGAGATGCGGTTCGCAAGGATAATTGCGGATAAGCTCCTCGAGTTGCGAAAAGAGTTCGATTCGGGGTGAGGCTTCAGTGAGTGTGAGATACTCAGCTGAGAGAAAATGTAACAATACTTACCTTTGGCTGCACTGGACATAGCGGACTTCACGATGGCTCCCTCCATGATCGCCCTACGCGCAGCCTCACCCTCGTCTCCTCCCATTTCCGCAGCAACAATTTCGTCTGGCATTTTCACCCTGTCGTCGGTGACGATGATAGGGTCTGCTGCATCGTCCACGCCAGCGTCCACACCCATTCTTGCATCTATGTTAGCCGGCTTCTTCTCCGCATTAATACTAATGCCTAATATATTCCACCGCCTTCGCATGCCCTCAATGAAGTGCAATTCCATCCGAACGTACTCTCTCCATAGGTCGATACTGTGTGCATTAAGCCGAAGGCCACGCTGCAAGAGGGCACGCGCGGCGGATGGTGATGCGTGCGACAACTCATGGGATGCAGCGATAACATAGAGGGAAGGTACGTTTGGGTGTAACTGAAGCGCGCTACGCCGGTTCACCGTGTCAGTCATGAAATCACGTCCAAACTACACACATTACCGCGCCGAGACCCGCCCAACTAGACCACGAGCACCTGCGCGCTTGGCAACCTGTATATACTGAATCCACAAACCAACATCGGCCTTAAATTTCCTGAGAGCACGTTCAAATATGTGAAACTGTCGTCGCACGAGCGCGTAGTCAGAAATGGTGGTTTTCGATTTAGGTAGGTCTGAGGGGATATGTAAAGGAGGGTCAACATGGGAAAGGCATCGAGTAAGACCCACCCAGCCGGTCCAATCTCTTTCTGCGAAGCTGTTCCAAATTCATCTCGTATGCAGCGTATCGCAAAAAGTCGGCTTTTCTGGCAACTCGGCGCACCAGTGCATTTTCAAACTGCGTTCGCTTTCTCATAATCTGTTTCACCTCGGCCTTATGAGAGACATTATGATATCAGTCGGAAATTGCACCAAGGAAAGCGACGCAAGCGAACTTCAGTGAAAAGGCCTCTTTGAACGAGGTCCTTGAGCTCTGCGAGCATCTGATCATTGTATTGGATGAACGCCTGGAAAATGAGGAATCGTTGGGCGTACCTGCTCTTGCTGGAACTGCACTCTCTCCATTTTGAATAACCGGTTCTAGGACAAGAATGAATGGCTTAGCAGCAGCGATCAGACAGAGTTATTATGGCCTATGCGAAAGTGAAGAGTATCTAGGACACACCGGTTTTTGCGGGTTGGAAAAAAAAGGTTGATAATGGTTTGTGGTAAATATCTGATTCTAAACCTGATCCGAGAGGAGGCGGAGAACCAACTCTCTCTGTTACAGTGATGCCGCCAAAGGCCTACCGTACTGGGCCAACTGGCATCCCTCGCACACATTCGCGCTCCTCAAGCGGGTCCTCTAAGACGGCCCTCAACCTTCTCTTGACCCAGAAAGACCCAGTCCCCCACAGACAGCAGGAGAAGCACAAGAAAAACGGGCATGTATATGAGGTATCCGTCGGCCCCTCCATACCATCATCACAACTCCTAATGACGTTTGCTGACCTCGTTTAGCCACACACGAGGAGCACCCAGCAGCATGCGAGAACGGGTAGTAGTACTCGAGTAGCTTCCAAAGAACCCCTTCATACACAACCACTGCATCCTCCCCCGATTCAACGGCATCAAAATACCAAGGGCAAGAACTTCACCTTCGCCGGCACCAGTGCAGAGGATGACGACGACGAATGGGTCTCGAGTGAGAGCGGAGCCGCAACGCCTAATAGTCCTGGTTCAGGCACTGGCAGGTCACAGACACCAGTCGAGCACCGCACAATTACAGACTTCAACCGACTAACCATTGATGATTTAACAAATCGGCCAGATACTCCCCGTGCTCAGTATATACCGCCGTCTTTGTCCCGCGTAGCAACTATCCGGGGCTCCGAGCCGCAGGTGTCGTCCACTATAGTTCGGCCATGCTGTGCAATTCTGAAGTGTTCTCTTTTTCAGGTTGCGTATCAGGCTGAGCGGAACGCTCACCCGCAGCTTTCTGTTACCGAACCGCGGTACCCACAGACACGTTCAGAGACATCGTCACCAGTCAACCGTACCCGGTACGCACGTTTGTCTTCGACGCGCCCTCCCTCGATGCACACCGTTACTGGGAGGTCAGACACCACTCTCCATCCACACCCCTTGATTCGCGGGCAGCCACTTGGACCAGTTGCTCCAAGACTAGAACCTCTCGCTCCGTTAACGGTTACGTCTGAGGCATCTTCTGTCCAGACATCTACTTCACCAACGCTTTCTGCCTCCCCATCCAGTGTTAAGACCACGTACGCAGAGCCGGCTAACAACCGGAGGACGTCGGTCTCTTCTGTGCGTTCGGTGGCAACCCTCCCTAACCAGGGCTATCACCCCGGAAAAGGGCACGACCGCAGCCGCACTCTATCTTCTATGTCCTCGACGTCTTCCACCTCCGTCCAGGCTCTTGCATCATTGGCACACCTCCCCACTACACGGCCGTCTACACCACAGTACACCGCATACTTCCCACCAGCCAGTTTGTCTGCCTATCTGGAAGCTGTCCATCCACTTCTCCCGCCTCCGTATCTCAATACTCACATGTTCGTACTCACTCATCGCAGCTCATTGAAGGAATCTTGGGACAGGGTGGTAGGTGTTCGGGAGCAGCAGAAACGATAGTATGATAACTCTTGCACCGTCATATTCTCTCAATACCCAGAACTATCAGTGTTGGGTCACAGTACCTATCAAAGTTTTCTATATACCTCGTTATCCTCCATCTCTTTCACCGCACTAGTTTGCAGTAGAACGTGTGCAGCTAAATGTTTGTAACTTAGTGTCACGTATAACTTTGCTTATACGAACAAACTTCGCTCCAAATTGTCCATTCTTACAGACCTCGAATACAGCTCACATACAAAAAAAAAAATACAAAATACAAGTCCAAATTTCTAGCTATGAGATTCCTGTCCTTCACAACATCAGCCAGCTTGGTAGATGGCGGGGCCCGCGACAATGTGAGGATTAACCAGCGACAAGTTGTAAGGGGTGACGTATGGGTTGTCATCAGTCAGCGCGACGAACCTATCGACAACACGAGTGAACAGCAAACGATATTAAGCCTATAGAAACTCACATTGTGTCGTTGAAGATAGGTGCCGTGTTGTTACCAAATACCATGCCACCTGGTTGTTTTGCACTGGCATAATTGTTATCGGTGTCGATGTTATACAGCGGCGTATACGTCGCATTCAACTGCGAAACCCAGAGAGCATACTGTGTAGATGCATTAAGCGTCTGCGCATCCCTACATTCAAAGGGAATTACGAACTTTGGGAGGTCCAGCAGTCGAGGTCGTCTGGTACTTCAAGTCGTAGCTAACGTTCATGCCAGGGTTGTCCCACTGGAAATTGACCTCATACCCAGGATAGGAAATTGCAGAGACATTGGTCGACACTGCGGCCTTGCTGTCATTCCTGATAGCAATTGGGTTATTCTGGGGTGATTTGAGTCGAAAAAATAACACAGCAAAGTATAGCGAATCCCTACAGTGACATTCAGATAGGGGAAGATTTGCCACTTAATATATGGGTTCTCCGCTGGACAGTGGACGAGGTAGGGCGACAGCATCGTCCATGCCCAGGCTTGGGGGATGCCGGCTACGAACCACACGGCCATGGGAAACAGACCCTCCAACTGCCGGAAGGCCATCTGCTGCCTAGCCTCAGTAGTAATGGAGTTGATCAACAGCTCTGCAGGGGCACGGTTGTCGAGGTGCGGCAAAAAGCCGTAAACACCGGATTCACCCCAGCGAGTCAACTATGTAACAATGAGCACTTCTAGCAATCGACGATCAAGAAAAGCACGTACCTTTTGGCAGAAGTCCAAGAAGCCTCGGACTGTATCGAAGGGATACTGATATTGGCACGGTTTTGCCCCGTAGGCTATAGGAGAAATCAGGGAGTGCGGACCACAGCAGATAATAACGACACGAACGGTAGATGATGTTGCTAACCATCTCAGCATGGCCAACTTCTTGATCGGCCATGTACTCGATGAGGAACTGATACTCGGGACCAAGACCAGCGTCTAAGAATTCCTGTTGAGAAAACTTGGCTAAACCATAGTGGAAAAGGTCTAGTTCGATATACTCCTGATTCAGAGCTAAATTCTACGAGGGCGTTAGAAGTGAATGACCGAGAGAACATTGTGTAGCCACTCACGAATGACTGGAAGTCGAAGTCACTCATAGTGTGATAGACAGGCGGAGGGGAATCCGGGGAGACATCCACACCACCTGAAGGCACAGGCGGCGGGGGTGGACTAGGCGGAGCAGCATCAGAGAAGTGGTGGAGTGCGATAAAACCAGCGACTAGTGTTCTGAGCATCTCGACAGGGCGAGGGGCTCCCAAATGAGAGGAGGGTTCTTGCACCCGGCCTTTTATGCCTCACAGATACGGTGAAGACTTGCCGCACAAAACCCCATGATCGAAGGACACGAGATTTCATTTCATATGGCTCTGATGTACTGGGATGCCAGAAGCGCCCCATCATCATTTACGCGAGAGTATGACGATGATGCCCAAGTTACATCACCTTGAGATTACTTCTAGCCTCAACGTCTGAGTCCCACGTCCCTCAGTACACGATGCGGACCGATTACCCACCAGGAGCAGTTATTCAAAGTGCGATTTCGAAGCCATATTCTCTTATGTTGATCACAATGCACAATTGCTTGCGTGAGAGGCTGCACGACGACGACAAAGAACGACTAATTAGAGAATGAGGTCGGGTTCGGAGGAGATATCATATTGGATTACCAAAACCTCATCTACAAATCAGATCTAAGGGCCCCCTTGAGCTATGACTTAAGATTCATCAAAAGGCTCCAACCGCCTAGTCTCAAATCATAACGTGTTCGAGACTACCAACCGCCAAGACACCGCATGCCGATATGCCGTACACAAGGAAATGTTCCCTCGCTCGTGTATCATACATGACGTTCTGGTTGATAATCGTGCGTCTGCAGCAAAATTCTGGGGATTGGTAAGTCGGGGCAGTACAATAAACCGACCTAGTTGGTCCAGGCTGGGACGTTTTGATGGTATGATACTGCGGAAGTTGGTAAGACAACTCTTCCGGTCTACGCTTTCTCCGGCGGGTTTGCCGTCGCGGGCTACTATCTGGGAAATAGCACCGGTAGGGCGCCCCCTGGATGTCACTGTGATCAGTACCCTCAGTCCGCTTCGAGGGGCCTATACTCTGACACCCTTGTTACTCAGCTTTGAATGTGGTTAGTGTAGAACTGCTCTTGATAATACGACTCCTGAACAACGAACAACTGCCGCAGCATGGGGTGAAGACTTCGCCGCGTTACTCCTAGGCTCATGGCTTGATATTCCTTGGTTTTCCATTGGCCCTTCTTGGGTTCAACTTTGTGATGGCTTATATGTTTATGTAGAGCTATATCCATGTATCCTGTTGGACTTGGTGAATACGATGCAGCTTGCCATAGTGCAGTAGGAAGCAACCCGATACCCTTGGATTTGACAATCGAGCAGCAGATGTCGTTCGTTTTCTATGATCTATCATGCCTCGGTGTCCTTCCGTGAATGAGATTTTGTGACTCGTATTTCCAAACACCGATGATCGATGATCGATGATCGCTCGACATTGTGTGCCGGTTGGCCAGGATCTGTTGCACCTTTGATGCACCAACTACGGATTTAATGTGGGAAACTCTAATCGCCGTGGAACCCATCTTGCGGAATCTCCTCCGCAAGAATCGCATCAAGGAGATGGAAGCCAGTAAGGACCTGCCATTGTTTCATCGTTTGGATGGGCGCAGAGACACCACCAACATAGTGCCTGACACTAAAACATCGACTCCGTGACAGTGGCTGGAACATTGTCCAGCGACTCACAAGCCGTGTTCGCAGACTTCACACACCGCACCACGTTAACGCCGCCCCCATATAGTTTGGCTCCCACATCGTCCCGCCAGATCTAAGCTTTCTTTTCCCAAACCTTCGTACATTATCATTTGGAGTGTCTATATCTCTCGATACGAGGAATACCGAAGATATCCACACAGACTTCCAAGCCATCGTTTCTTTCTTCCTTTTTCTCTTTGCACATACGCTTGTCTGCACTCTAGTTTGACATCCCTGGTGCATTCTATGCGTATCTCGACTTCCCTCCCATACCAGCACTTTGCCCCAACATGCACACATTGAGCATAGCAGCGCCCCGTTCGACCAGGACGGAACCTCAAAGATCTCAATCTCCGGCGAAGCTGTGTATCTGTTTTCTAGGGTGGTCTCCGACCTCCGCGATCTGGAGACTGTTAGGTCTAATGCGACTTCCTGCGATTTGCTGAACAGTCTTGCTCAGGCAAAGGCATTGCGATGGCTATCGGCCCTGGGCCTGAGTGTGCCAGCGGCAACGTCTTCCCCCAACTTGGTGCTTTCGATATCCGGGCTGTCTTCCTTGCATCGTGCGGAGACCTGCTTCGCTGGACTCCCCTTAGTCAGGTTACTGAGATAAATGTCTGCTGTTCAGCATTCTCAGATGGTGTCGACTCATTGCAAGCACTAGTCGATATGTCATCCCTGATTTCATCACAGTACAAGCTTTTAGAGTTCTTCTGGTTTTATTTCTTGAGGCATCTTCCCTGCGGCGCAACTCTCTGCTTATCCGCGACCTATGCCCGAACCCTGCCAAGCTTGCCATCGCCTCAGGGTCATTCCATTTCAGACGTCTTATAGCCTGATGTTCACAGACAATGACTTGGAGTATGTGATCGAGGTTTGGCCACATGTGGAGGCATTCCATTTATTTTACCATGGTGTAGAGCATCCTGCGGTTCACCTCACATTACGAGGAGTTACGGCCCTTCTATATCATTGCCCGAAACTCACCTACTTTACCTTGATGTTCAATTCGATGGAGCCCATGTTCCTGGGGATATCCCTCGACTTAGCTATGGAACCCTCATTCAGAACACCGCAGTGAAGTATGTGGGAATTGACAGGTTCCCCGTTTCAGATAGCCATGTCGCTGCATACCTTTTCGTCGTTGTGCCATACCCGGAGATTATTGGTGTCGAAGAAAAGGGGGGTTACGAGCTTGAATGGCGTTGGATATGTACCCAGCATCAACAGAGGCCTGCGATATGAGTGGACACGTTGCCGAAGTCACTCTCTACTAATTGCCAGTACTGAATATACTACCGATTCAACGTGTGGCACAAAAGAACAGCGTGGCAGTTCCAAAATATGTGGTGTATTCGAATTTATCATCTTTGATGATATATCAAACTACAAGAGTCCCGAGGCGACGTTTACTGTAAGCGAGATGTGCTCTATAACAACCATTTCAATCCATGTTTCGTCTTACACGACAAACCATTTGCCGCTTGCGGATGCACTCAGCATTCTGTTTTTGCAGAAGCTTTTCCTGTGATACATCTTTATTCCAACACCTTATGCCAGACCGGTTAACTGAAACTCGCCAACCGTTCATTATGCACCCGGAAGTGCTGTCAGTGATACTATACTGGGTTTCACATTCCTTCAAGAAGTCTCTTGATTGTCATTCTCAATGCCAAGTCGTCGCATCGCAGCCTCCATAAGCAGCCTTCATCATTTCCGTCTCGCAGTCGGAGCGCTGCGTACTTGTCAGCGGGTGCTGCATGCACCAGGACCTTAACCTCGCCTGTGGTAAAGATCAGGAGTGACCTGATGCAGAACAGAAAGGTGCACCCAACCTTCAAAAGGAGGCTGGTCAATGGCGATGACCCGCATGTACAGTTGCAAGGTTCGCAGGACTTCTAGTATTGTATCTGTCGACGCCTCGCACCACCCCCTTAAGTTCGAATTCTGCATGGAGTTCCATCTTTCCTCGAAATCGGGTTCTGGTCGGGTATTCACATGATCTGCGATGAACGGCGAATCCAGAGCAATTAAATCCACGCGCGATGCCTGATAAAGTGGGTTAGTAAAAGTCCAGTGACTACTGACAAATGAGATATGCATCCCACCAAATCATCTAGCGCCACCGTTTTTGAATCCTCGTGCACTTGAGCTGCCTGTTTGCAAATACAGTCAGACGTGCATGGATATCAACGAGCCGTCGTACTTGGTCCGACTCAAGCCAATGTTCTGCGACTGCGAGCGTTAACTCTCCCGGTGTTACCGTATTTTCGAGCTCAGCGGGGGGCATGGTTGTACTACCTTCTTTAGACACGCCCTTTCCGACATTCCCCGGGCTGCGCAAAGAAGTTTCATCCGGACGCTGACCTGCAAGATTTTTGAGACTGGACACTGGCTGCGGAGTTGGATATGCTTCATATCGCAGCTTGTTTAGAGATACCACTGATAGAGGATGGTGAACTTCCAACGATCCGGGACTCTCAGAACTTGGTTGACGAGGAGACGACCTGCCGGCAGAACTATGCTGATATTTTGTCAATGACGAAAGAAAATCTGGAAGCTTGCTCCAAGTTAATAACCTCAATACCAAGTGATTCTGGTCGACATACAGAAGAGGAAGGTTCTCGTGATATTATGTCGGTGAGGATGTGCCGCTGCCGAGCGAAGCTCAAAAGTTGTTCACATCGCTAAAAGTTTCAGCATGTGGCAGCATGCTACGTCTCGTTTACTCACATTTCGGATATACCTCCCTGAAGATCGTGACAATTCCTGCACCGCTCGAATGACCTCCTCGGGCACCTCACTACACTCGGCCGATAGGCGCAACATGGATAGCAAACAGACATCTTGCAGGGAAGCTAACCACAGGTATGTGCTAGTGGTCTCCTATAATTTTTCATCACTCACGGGAAAAGAGGACAAGCCTTTTTGCCATTCCTCGGAGGATCTCGACCGGAGATATCGGAAGCTTTGCGCAGTGCTCACACACAAGAGCACAAATCACTACCATTAGCGTTGGTCCAACGCGATTTTCTGGTTCTATAAGAGGAATAACCAGTGCAGTCACCAGCGATATTCGAGATATCGTATCGGCTGAATAAGTTTTAGCGGCTGTAGGTTGGGGATGCTGCGACACACACCATCCCGGACACGATTGAGGACCCTATCAACGCAGCCCTCTAGCACTGGCAGAGTTTCTATCCGACCTTGTACATCGCCTTCAACAATCGCAAAAAGTTCCTTGAAGAGCTTCGCATATTGTTCCGAGTCTTCCTGACATTGTACCTCCATGACATCGAGGAGACGTAGGACGCAATCGCCTTTGGCCGCCACGGAAAGTTCAGGCCGTACGCTTTGTGTTAGTTGGGAATAATAGGTCGCCACTATGCTTGGATTGACAGAATAAAGAACTTTCAGAGTCTAGTGATGCACTCGTCAACCCCGTCGCATTGCAATAGGCGATTTTATCTTACTGCTTTCCTGATCAAATTATCATGGGAATTCAAGAGTTTGATTATCTCCTGAACTTCCCATTCATCAAATACAGCTGGGTTCCCTGGTCGATCCCCAGCCCAGGAGCTCGGATCGAGGAAGCTCAAACACGATATAAAAATGTACTGTTCGTTCGCATTGCTAGATTTGAGCAGGTGGCGGATGCCAGCCGCAGGTGAATATGACAACTTGGCCTGATACTCGGTGATCACATCCGATGGGATAGTTGACAGAAGTGCGAAGGCATCGAGGAGGGCTTTGTTAAACTTAGCACGGGCTTCCGGTAGGAGTCAAGGCGTACCCTGTGTCGGAGGGAGGGAGGCGTGTCTAACGACATCAAAGATGAGGGGAACGTTTCTGGAGTCAAGACTAAACACTTGCTCAGTGACAAACGATAACGGTGCTTAGAGATGACAACTGACTTCATTCTTCCTTCACGAAGCGCTCGGAGGATAGTGTATACGGAATGCTTAGGATTGAGCCAGGCATTGTGTAAATGAGAGTTTAGAAGGCGCGCCATGGACTCCGACTGGAGCTACGAAGTTCGTCGGCGTCATACACGGTCATCACAGAATATACTCCATACTTTGCTAGCCACCACCAGATTGGACGGAATAATATCAGGGTCCCCGGCATGTGTTAGCAACTCCTCCAAGCGTTTAACGTGGTCGGGATCCCGGTGAAACAAAGCATAGTATACCGTGTGGGCCCGCCTCCGAACTGAGTCACTAGGGGTTGATGCTACCTGAATGGGGGACGAGGGAGAAAAGTGCCATCACTCACTTCTTGTCGCGAAGGAAAAATCGAAGCCGCGACTGGACTGCTGGGGCAACGTCCTCGCTGCGAATTTGCATAAGAATATCCATAGCTAAACAGATGCGACCGATCGAAGTGCTCTCGAGGTCCTTGTCACGAATTCAGCTTCCAGGGGTTCATAAGGAACGTAAATGCATATGCACTTACTTTGCGGAGGGTATTGACGAGCATGAGATGTAACTCGTGATTCGGGGGCATCATTTGCAAACAGAAGGTATAACCTACAAGAGGCTCGTACGTTTCTGCAAGGCCCGGGGACGAAGACGTACCAATTCTCTTATCCAGAATACTCTCGCCAAGTTCCGCAAGATTCACGGCATGGTGGAATGCGAAGCTGAGGTCGCCAGGTGAAGCTACACTGAGAGCCATCGCGCTATACAACAACAGAATTAAGGATTCCTTGCAGACTTTCTGTGTCCACGCGACTATTCTAAAAACCTCGAGGAAATGCTTGTGAAATACCACGTACAATTGATAGATGCGGTTGCTCCAGAGTACTCTGAATGGTATTAATCTCGTCTAGTATGACCCTGTCAGCAGCTTGGACGGACGTAGCGGTCTCCACTCTGCGGACGAGACTGTAATGTGCGCGACTCATTGCTCCAGACGACGCGAATGACACGTCCATGATGACCTTGGATGTCGATAATCTTACACTCGTCGACCTTACTAGTCGCCCCTTCTGTTCTGCTGGGTAGATTGTCGTTGAGATGTACACCCTACCGGGTTTATGATGGGGTGACGATGATATAGTCGCGAATGTGGGCTCTGGCGCTGTACGGCGGAACGACCAAGCACGCAACACCAAACTGGGAACTCAAAAATGTCTTCCTCAGGCCAGTCGGCGGCAGCGCACTCCTTTAACAAGATCCTGCATCAGCCCAAGTCGTCCAAGTCTAAACGATCTGGGGATGTCGATGATAGCCTTAAAAAGCTGAGACGGATGATTCTAGTCGAGGGTATTCCCTCCACCGTCGTGCGTTACTTGGTTACATTCCAGACTCAACAGGGCGGCTCAACCATCGCACTCGTAGGACCCAACCCTCCGACCCCGCATATGGAAGATTCTACTGAGAGTCGAGGATATTTCTGCGGAAAGTTTCCTGCAGTATGTCTCCAGGGGACCTTGCGAGGTCAGGGAAAAAATCAGGAATGATACATTCAGGTAACTGCGTGCGAGCACCCGCGCGATACGTCGTCGCCTGATGGCTCTGCAGGACTCTTGCCACTGATCGTGGATTCAAGGAACGCGTCCGCGAAGATATGCTCGTCCGTCTGCTAGACGCTTTCGTGTGGCGGAACCACGGTAAATATCAACCAGTTTGCGCTCGAGTAAGTATTTCTGACCCAATCCTACGTCTCAGACCGACAGGAAACCCAACAACTTGGCTTCACATACGTGCAAGGGATGAACGTCCTCGCCGCCCCGTTCTTGTACACGATGCCCTCGGAACTTGAAGCGTTCTACTGCTTCGCCAAATTCATAGAGGAGGCGTGTCCACTCTACGTGCAGCCAACCCTCGAAGGCGTTCACAGAGGCCTCAAGGTTTGTATTGTTTGAACATAATGGTCCCCGTCCACTCAGTTATATTATATTCCTGTTATCACAGCTTCTCGACCGTTGCCTGCAGATCGTAGACCCGGACCTTTTCAATTACCTCCGAATGAAAAACCTATCTGCAGAGATTTATGCCTTTCCATGTTTGTCTCTGCTCTCTTCGGATTTCGGGGGACATCGTTGCTAATAATGCACAGCCGTCCTCACGCTGTGCGCATGCACACCTCCCTTGGACCAGGTTCTTCAGTTATGGGACTTCCTCCTTGCATTTGGCGTGCATTTGAACGTATTATGTGTTATTGCCCAACTGTTGCTGATAAGGGATGAAGTTATGAATTCCTCAAGGTATTTCCGTTCTCACATGATTTTCATAAATAGAGTAATACTAACCCTTGAATCAGTCCGATGAAACTCTTGAGGACATTCCCTCCACTAGAAGCGACCCCTGTCATGGGTATCGCGGTCACCCTCGTCAGAGACCTACCCACAGAACTTTACGACGAACTTGTGCGGCACCCATACGAAATCCGGGATATGTAATACTGTGACGGCACGATTCCACTTTCTAGACTCGCTGTGTAAAATCCACCCCGTTTTTTGGCTGTATTTCTCCTCATATGTAGTCTATCTGACATGTCGTTGTTACCTCGGTCTTTGATGAAACCAGTCGTTCGGAAATCATTCTTCGTATCTACTGCACCCGACCAATGCAGGACCCGGAAAAATTGTGCAATGCGAGACCTATGATACGATTCAATAGCTGAGGGCTTGCCAGGAAATGTACTGGCTCTACTATATACTCCAGTGTGCGGAACGGGCGCCCTTGTCTATGCCCTCCTTCGATCGAGGTCGCCTTCGGACCTCGTAATCATCGTCCAGCTCATCAAGTCAGTTTATTCACAAGCCTCGTACACAAGGTTGAAGGAACCATGTAGCTCCTGTCTTTGTAGCCTGCGCAGGTCATCTGAACAAACGTGATAATATCATGGGGAGCATTTGAACACGAGGAAGCACAGAGGTCCTCGACAGCACTGCCAAATTCACTCGCAGGACTTTGATTTCGCCCTGGTAAATCCCTATTCACGCAAACATTCCTGATGTTGTAGCGCAGGTAGTTTGCTTTCAACCGGGTCCACGATGCATCAGTGCTGACATACTGCTTCAAATGGTCCGTGAAAGATGTATAGCACCCTCGTATATGCCTCGTTGCCGTGTGACTGACTACCCAGTTCCGAAACCACTGCTCCATGGTGAACACGTACAACGTATGGACAACCATATTGTCGCTCACTCAGACATCAACTCCCCATACTCTTTTTGTTAACAGACATAGAAGTGCATCCGCACCTGGAGTCTGCACCACACACGGTATACCACTCCGTGAAATGGTCCTAGAGCTTGGAAGGATGAGATCCTCAGTTTCCACCTGCGCCGGCAGTGCGATCGACTCCAGTAGGCCATGCGACTGGTGATACCGCTCTAACAGAGACTGAACTTGGGCCCGGTTCGAACCAGGAGCGTATGCCGTCGGGTCATCCCTTCGGTCAACGACCATCATCCCTGTTGTAAGCTCTCCGGTTCTAAATCCATCAAAATCTTGCCATTATGTGTGCACTGAGGAACAAACCTCTCGATAGCAAACTTGCGTTTCACGACTACCCAGCTAGAGGACATGACCGGCAGGCCATCGTCGTTGTCTGTCGGATCTGGAGGGTTTTCTAGAGCACACCAGATGGCAACGATGTCGTGTAGTTCCATGGCGTCCTTTCCAAATTCTATCATAACCTCTCGAGTCCGTTCAAAGAAAGCGCTCGAAAAATGAACAAGAGGTGACTTTGTAGATGCAACGGATGGTTTGCGAGTCGATTCAAAAGTCGGATCTATATGCTTGACGTAGAAAGGGAACCGAAGTTCATGAACGGTTGTGATATCCAGAGGAAGTAAAACCACCCTGTTTGGAGGGAGGCCGCGCTCTGAGGTGTCAAAGCTAAGCACTTCGTTAGCTGCATGCGCGTCTGCATATATGTTGACTAGAGGGATTAATGCAATAAGTAGACAAGAGGATGGCAACGGAATATCAACCTACATTCTGCTACAGGGGTCGAATTTCCTGGGACATCCAAAGCACCGCCCATGATAACGACTCGACCAATATTCTCCCGTACGACTGCCCCATGTCCGCGCAGAAGTAGTGCAAGCCCCGTGAGAGGCCCGAGGGCAATGTAGGTTATGCTTCGTTTTGGTTTGGACTGCAGCAAGTCTAGGACGACCTCTACTGCAGACTTCGTCGTGACTGAAAAGTTCCCACGAAAGACATTACTTCTGTCTTCCGAGTGTACGTTCAAGTCCGGATGACTTTGGGAGACGTCACCTAGACCATCCCTAAACCAAGTGAGAGCGGGGATGGTAGGACGTTTTCATTATCCGCAAGGTCGACTCACCTACCATGAAAGTACTGTGCATGGTGACGTCCTCCCTCGAGCGGACCATCAGGGCCCAAGACAAGGATAGGGGGTACTTCCGGGGAAAAGTTGGGAAATCGTGCTTTGTCTTCGGGATGCGAAGCGATTTGACGACCAACGGCTTGATATAACCTATATATGTTCTCACTGTTCCTCGACAAACTCTCTGAGCATTGAGAACAGGAAAACGCCTTCGAGGACTCAACTATGCGGCGTGAACATCCGTATTTCCTGTCTCCCGCGATTATATTCTGTCATCGTCGAGGCATAAGTACCATACTCACCGAAGGAGACCACGTATGCCAAGATCTCAAGTTCTGGGGAAGCTAGTACCAGCAAGCTGGGAAGGAGACCGCTCAGACAAAGGAACAACACGTCGGTAGTGATACGGACATCGCCAGGACATCATCCACTCCAGGATCTGTGTCGACTGCGATCGCCCTAGGTCAGACACTGACAACCCATCAAGTTTCGTGTCTCACTGATGACAGGGATTCTCTTCGTGGCCATTTTCAGGTATGTATGAAAGAAGCAGTACAACACCAGATGGATTACTTGGTTCAACTCCGCACCCCAGCGTTACAGAATAAGCTACACGCCACATCATACTACACGGAAAGTTGACCTCCATAGTCATCGGCGTGTCCCTGTACAAAATCGTCAGTGGACCTGTCCATAGGAAGGGATGTGAGAGTAATCAGAGATCTTGGTGGAAAAACTATCTCATAGGGCGAACCCTCCGAAGTAGCAAATATTAAAAGTGTAACATCATCTGAAAGAATTGGTCTGAACACTTACTTCAAAGTACACACAGAATTCGGAATGAAGCAAATGCGGTGGTTAAGTACGGCGTTAGCCGAGGAACTGTGCAGTGGCGTCACGGTGGCTGTCACGCGCCCCCAACGTCACGCCGTATGTGATTTGCACGTCTCCTGACGTCTGGCGACACAACGAACGATGGCTGAATCACTACGTTTTCTGGGCTCCCTGGCCGGCCACAAAGGATGGGTTACCGCCATCGCAACCTCTTCGGAAAACCAGGACATGATTTTAACTGCTTCTCGCGGTATGTGTTATATCATCTCTCTGGCAATTTCTAGCCGCTCACCTCGCGACCAATGCGTAGACAAAACAATCATCGTCTGGCAGTTGACCCGTGATGAAGATTCCTTCGGATACCCAAAACGCGTTTTACATGGCCACAACCACTTCGTCTCCGACATTGTTATCTCCTCGGATGGCCAATTTGCGCTCTCCTCATCTTGGGACCACACTCTTCGTCTCTGGGACCTGAACACCGGCCAGACGACTCGCCGATTCGTCGGCCACACTTCTGATGTCTTGTCCGTCAGCTTCAGTGCTGATAACAGGCAGATTGTCTCAGGCTCAAGGGACAAGACCATCAAGCTTTGGAATACCCTTGGAGAGTGCAAGTACGACATCAAGGACGACGGACACAGCGAGTGGCAAGTACAGCGTACAAATGTACTCTTCCTACGTCTTAATTGTGTTCAATTGCAGGGTTTCGTGTGTGCGATTCAGTCCTAATGTCATGAACCCCGTTATCGTCTCTTGTGGCTGGGACAAGGTCGTGAAGGTAATGAAAGCTCCATTTGCACGTGAGAATGAATGAGGCTCATGTTTTGTATAGGTCTGGGAACTGTCGAAGTTCAAGTTGAAGACCAACCACTACGGTCACACAGGCTACATCAATACCGTGTCCGTCTCCCCTGACGGCTCCTTGGCAGCGTCAGGTGGCAAGGACGGTATCACCATGCTCTGGGATCTTAACGAGGGCAAGCATCTCTACTCCCTCGAAGCTGGTAACATTGTCAATGCACTTGTCTTCTCGCCGAACCGATACTGGTTGTGCGCTGCGACTGCAAGCTGCATCAAAATTTTCGACCTTGAGAGCAAGTACGTACTTACATTTTCCTTTCTGAATTATATTTACGTCTTCTTGATACAGATCGATCGTTGACGAGCTCAAGCCTGAATTTGTCGACGTTGGACCCAATTCACGGGAACCCGAATGTGTGTCGCTTGCATGGTCGGCAGATGGCCAAACGTTATTCGGAGGTTTCACGGACAACCTCATCCGTGTTTGGGCTGTCACCTCCTAAATTTCTTTGTAGGGCGGACGCACTGAGGATGATTACTTATGTAGTATGCACCATTTCCCCCGTAGCTGGCATATAAAAAGCATTGCATTCGCCTCCTGCATAAACATCGACGGTTGCGGCGAATAGATGAGTATTGTATATTATATGTGTTGAGTTTGTTCTGCTTCTGCCATGTTACGTTGACGCTCAAAGCCATCCCACCGATCCAAACCCCCGAAATCAATTTTTATCGCACCGGAATAGATATGGACCTGTAGTTCGCAGATGTGAGAGACTCTTGCACGCCAGCTGTCTCCTCTTCGACAACAGGTCGGTTGTAGTATCCCCAGTGTATATCTCAAGGACTCACGTGGCTGTTCCGTACATGTCCCCGCTCTGGCTGACAAGACGGGCACACTGGTCGAGATTCGACTTGGAGTCGTAGATCCAAACTTGTTTACCAACGTAGATCTCCTGCCATCCGTTGAAATCTACGAGCCTATTTTGTACTCTGATGCGCTTCGTTCCTTGTGGAGGACTCGGAGCAGGTCTGACATCGACATCGTTCAGGAGGCGCAGCGCAATAAGATTTGATATGTTCAATAGTGAAGCACGTTGTTCTGCGCCAGGTGGGTTAATGAGATAAAATATCTTGGGAGGGCTCTCGTCGTCATCGTCGCTTTCGTCGGTGTGATCTTCCGTGTGGTCTGGAGTCTGATCCATAGGTTGCAGATTATCGTTCGCGGCCTGGCCTCCAGTAGCGCACTCCACGAATTCTCTTTCCCCTTCTTCAAGACGACTGCAGAATGATGCCCAAGCATCCTCGTTAGCAAAATCCGTTCGTACGATGAGACCAAGTTCAGGTCGCTCGGTGGAGATGCAATCCAGAGGGTCACTGTCATCAACGTGATCTCCATTCATCGACGACACGTCTGGCAGTGGTATCTGTGGTTAATATTCTCATAAACAAAAAACCCCTTACAAGCGACTTGATTAGGAACATACGATCGGTGCAGTGTATGGGCATTGCTGCCAGAACTGTTGTGCCACTCGAAGTCTCCATCTGCGACGGCCTTCTCCCGGATGACGCTCTTTCACTTCAGGGAATCGTTGCTATATGATAAGATATCAAGAACACAGCCAACTACTACAGTATCGGGCGACTCACAATCAGAAATGAGGCGAATTGCTGGTTCTTCCCCTTCATCGATGTACTCCACATGGTACCACACGGTACCAAGTACTTCTTATGGCAACCCGGCACATGTGTTGACCAGAGACTCCGAGATCAAATGCGCAATACATGTTGGAGCCCTTTTTATTGCATTTCTCCCCGCTGACAGAACAGCACCTGAGACAGAAAATGGGCCAGGTGATGCGAACGTCGGTCGGTTCTCCAAAGTTTTCGACCCCACCCTTTTTCGTTCACGGAGACGCGCACGACAACCTAAATGAGATTATGTACTCCACTGGAGGACTTTGATCGTAGCTAACAGAACCGATGCCGAACCCAAGCTAATATCGTGGAGATATTAGACTCCGCGGATACCGGCCCTTGTACGCCGTCTCGCCAGCTTTTGGTTCCATATATAATCCGAGAAGCAAACGGACTTTGATTCCACACGTCCCAACGTTCGCTCGGTTATGGCGCCGCCTGCAGGAACAACCGGTATGCACTTGTACTACACACGTATCCCGCCTTCCGAGTATCCTAAAACAAATCCCCCACAGGGACGGAGCTCTCTCGCAGACAGAGGATCTATGCCTTTGCTCTCGTAACGTCGCTCTTCTTTACTTGTGAGTGCCACGCTATTGATTACTGGTGAACACAGTCATATACTACCCAGGGGGCTTCTCGTACGGTGTAAGAATCTCGTCACCCGTCTTTCTCGTTGTTCACTCCTGCCTAGCTTCTTGATGTCCTGAATGCCCATTTTCAAACGGTATTCGGGATTTCAAAGTTGCAAAGTACTTTGCTTCAACTCGCGTATTTCGTGCGTATGGCTTTACCGAGGTTTACCGGCTATTCTCCTTAAACTCGTCACAGGGAGCATATTTTGTGTGGGCACCTTTTGCTGGCACATTCGTGCGCAGTCTCCACTCTTGTAGAACTCGGATCACTGACGATGGAGTAGATGAGCCGGATAGGTTACAAGGTGTTATTTTAAAAGCGTGTGCACCTGGCTTGCTTACTGACCCAGCAAACAGAAAGGTATCCATATTGGTCTCGGCCTGTATTCATTGGGTGCCGTATTCTTCTGGCCATCTGCTAAATTCGAGAAGTACGGAGGTTTTGTCGGCAGCACATTTGTCATTGGTATGCTTTTTCCTGCAATGTACCCCATATATCTGACCACGCAATACGGGAACCAGGCTGCGGTCTTGCTACCCTAGAAGTCGCAGCGAACTCTTACATCTCGGTTTTGGGAACCCCTAAATATGCTGCAGCTCGGCTGAACTTCAGCCAGGGTTTTCAGGGTGTTGCCTCATTTTCAGGACCCTTGATTGCCGCCCGTTGGTTCTTCACCGGTGCAAATGCGAACTCCCTCGGCACGGTGCAATGGTGTGTAGTAACTGTCTATATCTCCAGATAAGTACTGAATCGCGATTACAGGGTTTACCTCGCCGTCTCTGGACTCGGTGTTGTCCTCAACATTTTGTTTTTGTGGGTGCTGAACATTCTTCTGTTATTAACACGCTGGATAGATTATTAGCTTCGCTGAGCTGCCGGAAATAATAAGTGCTACTCCCGCAGAGGACCTTTCCGGAGAGCACGAATCGTTTTGGAAGCAATATCACTGCCTATTCGGATGGGTTGCACAAACAGCTTATGTGTAAGGTTGAAGCATCTTTTGATTGATATCCTGGTTCTCATTCTGCGATACCAGGGGAGCACAGGTCGGCGTTGCGGCCTTCGCTGTGAACTACTTTGAGGACCAGGGAGTTGGTATCAGCGCGTCAAGGGCCAGCGATCTGTTCTCATTCTGCCAGATCACATTCACTGTAGGCAGGTGAGCCTGTCTTCGCGGCCCCATGTCCATTTCTGTTTTTTTTTTTTTTTAAGCTGACTGTATGATCAGGTTTGTCGGTGTAGTGGTGCTAAACTTCATCGATCCCGCATTCTTACTCGCGTGCTATGGCGGTTTCTGCACTCTCTTCTGCATTTTAGTATCGCAGTTACCCGGGTACGGAGGTGTTGCGTGTTTATTCCTCTTGTTTTTCTTCGAATCAATCTGCTACCCTTGCATCTTCACTCTTGGTACGAAAAACCTCGGTATTCATACCAAACGAGGTTCGGGGCTTATCGTCATGGTAAGTTTTCGAGCGGGACCTCCTTAAATCCAACCTTCTGAGCCTTGCAGGGTGTCGGGGGCGGCGCGTGGTACCCACCTGCGCAAGGCGCCTTAGCCGACAAGGCTGACACTCGACGTTCGTATCTTGTACCGATGTCTGGTTACATTGCCATGACTATGTATGCCGTGTAAGTGCCTTGGACATATACTGCTGTCTCTCTCTGACTTCCTCCAGTGGCCTTGTCATTCACCAAGCAACAAAAGACGGGTTTACGATCCGCAACCGCAACGTACAAGTCGATACTCACTCACCAGCGGAGGTCCTCAGGCGTGACAGCACGGAGAAACAGACTGCCAACGACGAATTGCTGAAGTCGACATAATTTGCTCATTTTCCTAACATTACTGTGCCATGCTCTAGATATCTCCCTCGTAGGTGGGATGTAAATCGTGTAATATTATCCTTGTTCAATCCAATTCGCCATCGTCGCGAAGTGTTTGTGCTACGGCGTGAAAGACCCTGATGCGAGTGATGGTAAAGTGTGTTCATACGCGTGCTGGGCAATGGGTTGTTACACTGCAGATACTCTGGAACCCGCTAGACGATCTACGACCTGCAGCAGAACATATTAGGTGGTTCCCCATCATCGTGCTGTTCTAAATACATACGGGGCGAACGTAGGGTAGGGACAAGAGCGTGCCGATAAAGGGTAATTGTCGCAGGAACGTCAATACTACCGGGAAGAAATCGCTGAGAAAGGGATCAGCCTCGAGAGAGCACGCAGATGGTCAAAATGCAAGGGAGACAGATACTTACCCGAAGAGGTTCAAGAAACCGAAAGTTTCTACGATCATCCCAATGAAGGGATATTTCAGGAAGACAAGCAGAACGCCGCCAAGAAAACACATGGTTCCCCGCAGTTTTTGCTTGCGCGCAAAGAAGTAAAATGTCTTGTGAGGGCCTATGATGAGCGTGAGCCCGGAAAGGAAGAGGAGCTGTGAATGATATAATGAGACGGTCAGCCCATTGGTTGAAGTGGTGGTCGGAGAGGAATATGACGGGCGCACGTTACCGAGCGCGAGGAGTGCTCCGTCAAAGAAGAGCATCACTCCCAGCATCATAAAAAGCGATCCAAACGTCGTCAATGCAACGCCAATCTCTACGATATGGGACGTGAATTTCAGTCAAGAAACACGTCCAGAGGATAACCAACTTTGCGTGTCGGAGAGCCACATCTTGGCTGGATATATCTGTCTATCTCCCAGGAAGGCTTTCTGACGATTGGTATGCCTGAGCGTTGGGGCCGACGGCTTGGTAAAGACTCTCGTTGAGGATGGTCACAAGTGGTATCACGACCCGCGTGACACGTCAGCGGCGCGCGTTGTAGGCAAGTAGGGTGACGCTCGTAGGTAACCAATTAGCTCAAATATGAACTAGTCCCAAATCTCACCCCTACACATTAGCTGCCAATTGGACACATAAACATCGACCGAACATCATTATACACAATCTATGCATAGAGCAGGAAATATTGACATGGTGACGAGTGATCTATCATGGTAAAGCAAGCATGTATCCGTACAAAGATCCCAATAACAACCAAATGACATACGATATACGCGATCACAAACTGAAATATGTCTGTGGCTGAGCGTGGGTTGACAGCTATGGGAACGGCACTGTGGGTATCAGTTACATATCTACATCTACATATCTACGCGAGGTCGTTATGAAAACATGGTGCATAGGGGAAAGCAGTGAAACCAAATCGATCGGGAATAAATTACTACCGTCAAGATACGCGCCCAAAGGAAACAAATGCTTCTGCTTTATTAGTGGCCGGCTGTGTCTCTCATCGGTCAAGAAGTCGGTATATATGGCTCCAATTTGGAATTCTGGCACGCGGATCCTCCTCCACTCCCGGTATTTCCCCGGTTTTTGATAGTTGGTGCCAATACAGCACGTCCCCTGCCCTAAGCTTCCGCGCAGGGGGTTCGCCGGGCATGCTCCGGACGTCTCCCGGGTATGGAATTTGGGATGGAGGGGTCGCAAGTAAGGACGGTGGTGAAGTTGGAGGTAAAGAGGATAAGGGTGAGAGTTCAGGCGAATCCGAACGGGAAGAGGCCAAGGAGTGAGAATTTCGCGTAATCGTTGCCTCTAGATCAGCGTCGGGGGATTGAAGCGAAGGTGACCTCGTTCGATCGTCCGTAGTTAATTCCAAAGACGTACCAAAAAGCGCTGGATGTGCGGGTGTCAGGGGAGGAGGGGAAGACGGGGGTTGCGGGTGGTGATCCACGGAAATAACGCCGGGCTCGTTGGGGATGTAATGTCGAACAGTAGCAATTACCTCGCTCGAATGAAAAACAAAACGGTGGCCGTTGGTGGCACGATTGTTCGCGGTTACCGAGGTACACCGAGAGCACTGACAACGCCGCATTAGAGTACTCCAACGGGTTAGCGATACGAAACTCACGGGGACCACGATCATGTAGCCTATGGATGACCCGCAGGTATGGCAACAAAGGGTTTGAGTCAGGCACTCGCAGGTGCGCGGGGCTGCGAAAGGACGGCAAGGTGGGGAACGCAGGGCATCGGGGTTTGTTGAGTAAGCGGAACAGTTTGCTGGGAGTGCATCTGTCGAGTAAAGAGAGACGTTGGGTCTCAACAGCAAAACGGCCTAGTGTCAGCCGACCAGGGGATCAGAGAAATCTGTCGAGATGGAGAGCACGGGATGACGACCTACCTTCATTCCACGGTTGGTCAAGAAGGTGTCGCAGGCCCTGCAATCCAGAATCCATACTTTGTGCGGCATTGGTGCGGAAGGGGGAGGGTAGGGGTTTTGCTGGAGAAGGGATGGCCATGGGGCAAAGATAGGGGGAGATGGAACGTAGCTGAAGGTGGGGGGAGGTGGAATTGAACCATCCGTGTAGGGGAACAGGGGGTGGGTGGGACTGCGATGCCCAGCTGTGTCGATGTAGGGGGAGGAGGGTGATAAGATGTGGTAGAAGGCGGGGCTGTCATGGGGGGACGACTGGCGGGGTATGGGGATGTGAGGGGAGGGGGCGTGCATGGCAGGCATGGCAGGGAGGGGGAAGAGAGAAGGGCAGAGAAGGGCCCTGGGAGGCTGAGTGTAATAAATAATATATTCCCATTCCCATTCCCATTCCCATTCCCATTGCCTCCTACGTTGCAGCGAATGTTTGGCGGGACATCTCTCATCATCACTTCGACGTCGGAACTCGGACATCGCCGATCCGCCGGCAATCTTTGGTCCATCTCATTTGTTTCAGACCATGCAGCCTAATAGCAACTTAGCCATCCTCACCCAGTCTCACAAGGCAATCGCTGCAAAGCGGCGCAAAAAGAACAGCCAGATAAAAGAAATCGTCTTTGACGACGATGCTCGCAGGTGAGGGCGTCCCTTTCATTTCTCGCTCATGAACGACATTCGCTGTCAGGGAATTTCTCACCGGCTTCCACAAGCGCAAGCTTGCCAAAAAGGAGGAAGCCAAGAAACGTGCACAACTCAGGGAGAAACAACAGCGGCTGGAGTTGCGTCGGGAGGCATGTGTACCATGCTTGGTTTCAGACGCCTACTGAGCTTCACACTAGCGTCGACGCGCACTCGCCGAACGGGTTGCGCGAAATGTCGCCGAAGTTGAAAAGGCTTGCGGAGCTATCGTAGGTATGCGCGTTCGCTTTGTTTTATCCCCCATGTCAGAACGCTGACATACTTTAGACGAAGACGACCACGACGACCACGACGGGAATAGTGTCGATAATAATGCCAGCGAGATCGGGGAGGAGTACGAAGGAGAGGAGCAACTGGCCACCGTCACCGTAGTGGAGGATTTCGACCCAGCTGCACTTCTCCACGAAGAACAGCATCCCAAGTCCGCGACACCTCTTCGGATTTCAACATCTCAGTTGCCCGCAGCAGTGGAGCAAACACGAAAAAACCAGCGACAGCGTAATTCTGCTGCCAAAAGCAAGTCGAAAAAGAGGTCCAAGGTGAAATATCAAACTAAGGCAGAGCGTGCTGCAGAACGAGCAAAACAAAAATCACGCCACACAGAAAAGGCTGAGCGTGCAGGTGGAAAAGCATCAAGGAAGAAAAAAAGATGGTGAAATCAAGGACGTGTTAATACCTTCTAGTATTCATTAGCATTCATTAGTGTACTTATACGATCAGAAAGGCAAGGCTGACACGTTACCACGCCCTTGCACACACCGTCAACAACCACCTCCTGTCATTTCACTGCTTGCTGCTCGATGAATTCGCTTTACACACTCGGTGTTCGTCAAACCAATTCACTCACTGCCGACCTGGAACGGTTGAAGAATGGCGACAATTCGACTTCTCTGTTAGGTCTGTTTCATATGTTTCCACCTTTCAGACAAGTCTGACACACACTCCGCTAGGACAGATATCTGCTTCGCTGGCAGCCATGCATAGGACAATAGAGGACTATGACGCCATGACCAAACGTGAAATTATCAAAGCCAAGCAGGAAAAGGCTCAGATGTAAGTGATTCGTCTATTCGTCCCTGTATTCCGTCTGCAATCCAGCGTGTAGGCGTGTTCAGAAGTTTCGTGCCGACTATGCGGAGCTGAAGGGTCAGTTTGAGAAAATTAAGAGCGAGGCATGTACGCCCGTTACGATTGCTTTGCGTTGTGCTCACGGACTGCTCAGAAAGCAGCGGTACAACGGAATGAATTGTTGCAAGGCAACCCTTCAAGTCTCCAGTCACCAGCAGGGTCAGACGCAAGGCGACGGATCACCTCAAGTTATCTGCATAGTAATGGGGAATCGTCTCAGCACTCTGAATCACCATTCCGCATGCCAACCTCGCTGCCGAACCAAACGTTACGAGAACATCATGCACTACACGAACACTCCTTTATTCAGAGCACGGAAACGAAACTGGATGAGTTCATCGCGCAGGGTCGGGAAGTGTTGGACAATCTCGTGGACCAGCGCAACGTGCTGAAAGGCACCCAGAGACGACTGCTGGATGCGGCAAATACGCTCGGGCTAAGTCGCGAGGTCATCAGCTGGATCGAGAGACGGAGGTAAGGACTCTCTAATTTTTGTGGAGTTTGCTGGTCCAAGATATTGACGACTTGCTCAGTACGCAAGACATGTACATATTTCTTGCAGGGGCGGTGTTCACATTCGTCTGTTTCTTTTTGATTTGGAGGTATCTTGGTTAAGATTAGCCAGTGATTTTTTTCTCTCTGTACCCTATTCTACCTATTTTATGTCCATCCTTGGTATCCACAGGACTTGGGCTTGTTATTTGAAAACGTACCCCCTGAGTCTTTGCCGAAACGCTCTTGGGCCGGAGTTTGCCGGCCACTAACAAAGTGTACAACCATGACGTCTGGCGACTCAGGCCAGTACGATTACACGGAGGGCGCATCTCCCATGGATATCCGGGAGGTTATTGCGAGCTCATCGCGTGCACGCCGGGACTCCCAGTACAGCATGGCTGCCGACGGCGAGGGAGCTATGTTCGACGGACCAGGGAGCACGGCGATACCGACTAGCACGTCGAGGATGTCGTACACAGACAGGGGGTTTTTGGGGAGGCGCAGCTCAGAATTATCCAGGTCGAGGAGGAAAAGCGAAGATGGTCAGCGGAAGCGGAGAATGAGCACAGACAATCGGTCGCAAGTATCTGGTGGCAGAAGTGAGGGTGATAGGGAGGAATGTGAAGATGACCTCGAGGAGATGTCATCCAGGCGAGGTCGTCGTCCTAAGCGGCCTCTGTCTCCACCACTGACAAGGTCATCGGTCTTCGAGAACATCGCTCACTTGTTTGGCAGGACTGCCGGAGAACCGTCGGAGCGTAGGCGGTCGCTTTCAACAGCACGCTCATCCGTATCGTCAACACATCGTTCGAGACGTAGTAGGTTATCAGACGCAGGCTCGGAGCACGCATTTGAGAGTGAAGAAGAAGAAGAGAATGAACGTTGGGGCTACTCCTCTGGTGAGGAAGACGATAGTGCGGATTCCCTTTCTTCCCATCCTTTAAGTGGTGTCGCCAGTGACGTAGAGTACGAGTCTTCTCCTCCATCCCCCGGCCATTCCACCCATCTACCTCTACTCTCAACGGATCCAATCTTCGGTGATGAAGTCCGCATAGACATAGATGTTCCTTTGGAACCTTCAGAGCCACCACCACCAGGGCCACCAAGTCGGCAGAAGATTTATGTCGCTGATGAAGATACCACGCTGCTATTTGTGGGCTACGAGATTATCATATGGCGCCAGTGGGTCTGGCGAGTGTGCTGTGTAATTACGTTTGGGATCTTTGGACTTCTCGGCCACTGGTTTCCGCGCTTGTGGTTGCGCTGGGTTGTGCGTGAACACTCTTTCAAGAATCTAAGGCATGGTTTTGTCGCTATCGAGGTGCGCGTTGCTCGTGTCGGATTCCTGCTCACTGTGTAATTGGTTCAGGTTGCACACAGAGATATTACACTCATTCCGGTCAAGCATCTTGCATACCCGTATGAACGTTCAACTATTTTCCCACACCGTGCTTCGGAACTCGAAGGGCCAGCTGGGCCCTCGCCGAAGCCCAAGCTGAACAATGATGACAACGATAAATCTCATATAATTGGGGATCTTTTGATTGTGGACTACCGTTATTCTCGTTTTGTTTTAGATCCTTGTACTGGACTCTTCAGCATGTTGAGGTGAGCCGCATATCGTTGTTTTCCATGCTCTAACCGCCAAGGTACCAGGGACTGGCGCGACCCATCGTGGACTGACATACGATCAGTACAACATGGACTCCCCCAACACATCCGGAAGCAACGGTTGACGCTTTTTGGGACTAATCTTATAGATATTGAGGGAAAATCTACGCTTTCGCTTCTTGTGGACGAGGTGAGCATGAGTGATTGTCCAGAAACGGAATTCTGACTATGTAACGAGGTCATTCATCCGTTCTACGTGTTTCAAGTTGCAAGTATCATTTTGTGGTCCTTGGACGACTACTATTACTACGCATTTTGCATTGCATTGATCTCGACATTGAGCGTGGCTAGTGCGCTGATCGACACGAAACAGGTCACATCTAGTTTCGGTATCTTGGGGTTACCATATTCATACTCCTTCTAGACAATCAAGCGAATGCGTGCCATGTCTCGTTTTTCATGTGACGTCGTCGTCTATGCTGACGGACGCTGTATGTTTTTACGCGTTTCTTTAATATCCTTGGTAACGAGTTCGACAGGGTCTGAAGAAAGTTCGGTTGAACTCGTTCCAGGAGACATAGTAAACTTGTCCGATATACGGGCTTCGTTGTTTCCTGCAGACATACTTTTGCTCTCTGGTGATGCTATAGTGAACGAAAGTATGCTCACCGGCGAAAGTGTACCCGTGTCAAAGATTCCTGTAAAAGACGAAGATATTGGGCGTTGGCGGGAGATGAAAGACGTAGGCAATCCTCTAGCGAAGAGTTTCTTGTACGCCGGCACGCGTTTAATCCGGGTCCGTGGAGCACTTGGTGTTGATGGAACGGACGGGAGACCTCCACTGGGCCTTGTCGTCCGAGGAGGTAAATTTGAGGCTCGCGCTCGTTTTTTTTCCCCAGGCCCCTGATGTTTTGTGTAGGGTTCAATACCACGAAGGGTGCTTTGGTTCGATCGATGCTCTTCCCGAAGCCGATAGGATTTAAATTCTATCGTGATTCTATACGGTTCATTGGAGTGATGGCGGGGATTGCAGGACTAGGTTTTTGTGCCAGTGCTGTACAGTTCGTCAGGTTAAATGTAAGGGTCGTCCAAATATGTGCCGTAAGGAACAAGGTACTAACAAGGAACCCAAGGTCCCGTGGGGCACTATTATACTTCGTGCATTAGACCTCATCACTATCGTAGTCCCTCCCGCTCTTCCTGCTACTCTTTCCATCGGCACAAGCTTCGCTATTGGTCGCCTTCGTAAACTGGGCATTTACTGCATTTCCCCGACGCGTGTCAATGTTGCGGGCAAAGTCAACGTCTGCTGCTTTGACAAAACAGGCACGCTCACTGAGGATGGGCTTGATATCCTTGGCGTGCGATCGCTTGACCGTACCGAGCACCGTTTTGGCCAGCTCATTGACAACGTGCACGATCTCCCGAATGTGCGTGACCGAGCGAATTTCCTTCATGCGCTCGCGACTTGCCACTCGCTGAGACTGGTGGATGGTGAAGCCATTGGGGATCCCTTGGATGTGAAAATGTTTGGATTTACACGATGGACGTTGGAAGAAGGTTTAGTTGCTGGGACTGGGGTTATTAGGGGAAAGAGTGGCACCGAAAGACCTACTCCTCTCGTGCAGACGGTTGTGCGCCCTGCTGGAAGCGCGCGCTTCCGACTTGAAGATGCACTGAAGGCTAATGGGAAGGTACGTGTTTACTACTCAAATGATAATGTAGAGCTGAGTTTTTTATTATTATACTCAAAGCACGCACACTTCCTGGAATTAGGCGTTATTCGCACGTTCGAGTTTGTATCTACTTTGCGGAGGATGAGTGTCTTCGTCAAGAGACTCAAGAGCACCAGTATGGAAATTTACGTCAAAGGAGCGCCGGAAGTGATCGCTGAGATTTGCAAAAAGGACTCTTGTGGGCTAAAGTGTCCCTGTAGTATCCGTTGATCTGACATTTACTTTTAGTCCCCCAGGATTATGACGACTTGCTCTCTTATTATACCCGACGTGGGTATCGTGTTATAGCAATCGCTGGAAAAAGTATTGAAGGCTTAACGTGGCTGAAGGCCCAGAAGATGAAACGGTATTCTTACGCCCCCTTCGTTGTCAACCCCATTCTGACAACTACCTATGTAGGGAGCAAGCAGAGTCGAATCTGCGATTCTTGGGTTTAGTCATTTTTGAGAATAAACTCAAACCCGGCACCACGCCAGCTATCCAAGCTCTCCGAGCAGCGCATCTGGCGTGTAGGATGATCACTGGGGATAACGCTTTGACTGCAGTAAGCGTTGCCAGAGAGTGCACCTTGATAAACCCTGCTGCACATGTGTTCTCTCCGGCATTCATTCGAGGTACGCGCTAGGGGGTTTCCGTTTTATCACGTTCTCACTCTTCACGTACGTACTTCCGTAGGTGACGCTGATACCCCTTCATCTAAACTGGAATGGTCCTGCATGGAAGATTTTTCTTGGAAACTGGATTCCTACAACCTTAAGCCTCAAACGCCTCCTCTCCACCATACGTTCGAACATGGCGAAATCGATTACCAGGATTACGCTCTCGTTGTGACGGGCGATGTATTCCGGTGGATGGTTAATTATGCTCCTTTAGAAACTCTTCAACGGGTAGGTATGGGATGTTTGGAGGTTAAGTACATGCACTGAGACTCGCCACAGATGCTGGTGAAGACTCAAGTATACGCACGTATGTCCCCGGACGAGAAGAACGAGGTTGTCGAACGCCTCCAAGCTGTTGGTTACACTGTGCTCATGTGTGGAGACGGTGCAAATGACTGCGCAGCTCTCAAAGCCGCTGATGTTGGCATTTCGCTTTCAGAGGCTGAAGCATCTGTTGCAGCGCCATTCACAAGCAGTGTACCGGACATCAGCTGTGTCATCGAAGTCATCAAGGAGGGCAGAGCAGCTCTGGCTACCAGCTTCTCATGCTTCAAATACATGTGAGTGCCTGTTCTCCCGCCTATGCAATCAGGCTTAGCTTGTTTCAGGGCGCTGTATTCCCTTATTCAGTTCACGACCATCACATTGCTGTACTCGTTTGCCTCGTCTTTGGGAGACTTCCAGGAAAGTTGCAAGCGACTCTTGACCGTTACGACTGAGCGAACGTCTTCTGTTACAGTTTCTGTACATCGATTTGTTCATCATCATTCCAATTGCTGTCTCTAGTAAGCACTCTTTTCCCTGATGTTTTGTCGCATTTTGATCGCATTTTGCAGTGGGGAGGACACTTCCTTACCCGAGGATTTACCTAAAGCGTCCTACCGCCAGTCTCATCTCGAAAAAAGTGCTCGTTAGTTTGGTAGGACAGATACTTATCACGAGTGGGGTACAATTTTGGACGTTTTTTTGGGTCCGCCGGCAAGAGTGGTGAGTGAGATAAGACCACTGGGAGTTCCATAGGCAACCGACATCATCAAATTCCAGGTACAAACCGCCTCATGTGGGAGAACACAACGGTGGAGACACACACCTGAGTGCAACTAACTATGAAAACACCGTATTGTTTTTGGCATCTTGCTTCCAGTACATTCTAGTCGCTGCTGTGTTTAGCATAGGTCCTCCCTACCGGCGACCTATGTGGACGAACTGTAGGTCTCTCTCCCGTTGATGCGGATCAAGCAAGTTGACGGTAGCCTTGCAGGTTGGCTGATGACATTTATCATTGGCTTATCACTGCTCAACGCATTGCTCCTGTTCCGGCCACCCAAATTCCTGGTACTGGTTCTGGAATTGACGCAGCTTCCTTGGGATGCAAGGCTGTGGTTGGCGGCGTTTGTGGTCATCAATGTTGCCCTTTCCGTTGCTTTTGAGCAATGGGTGGGCCAGGCGATGTCGCAGTTGCTTAGGATGATACTGTCATACTACCGTGAGCGAAAGCGGTACCGAGGAGGGAAGGCATATAAGGCAGTAGAAGGGGGGATGCGATAGCATGCTATAACCTAGACAACAGCACATAACACATGCATAATTCAGTCTGATGAGGGCCGTAGCGTTGCTACGTTTCGGTTCCGTTGCGATCTTACAATGTACATTACATAATACGAAAAGCAGCGATAAGACAACAGCCCCGGTTGCCCTCTCCTCCGTCATTATAATTTTCCCTCCGTTCGCCTTATACCACCACTTCGAAGTGGCGACCTCGACTTGGATTCTGAGAGCTGGCTCTTCATTCTTTTTCTTTTCTTCTGAGAGTCCTTGTGGTTCGTGATGTTTGCCTGTACCGTGCTTGTATTTTGCCTTTCTTCGTGTTTCGTCGCCGCTGCATCTTCCTCTCCTCCCGCCACCGAGCTTGGCCCTCGTCAAGAATCTCCTATATTCATTCCTGCACCATTCCCATCCGCCACTTCCATCGTTATCAATAATACTATTCAAACGTGGGTTTTTTTTCGTTTCACATCAGACCAGGTATTTTGACCACTGGCACCTCAACAGCGCCGATGGTCCCCTCGTTGAATCCTGTGATCTCATCTTCGTACCCGATGGACAGAATGTCAAAGAAATTGAGAACTGTACTATGGCCGCAGGTGGTTTCAACGTAGCTACTTCAATCGTCACGCCCTCCGCATCCGCCAGTTCGATCTCCGTCAATCTTATCCCTGCGCCCACAGTAAGCAATGTTTTGAGAGCCGTGTTTTTAAACTAAAAGAGATTGAACATCTCTGTACAACAGGGCACATCTTTGCAATCACTGGCGTCTTCTTCACCGGCAGTTGTAGCTGCCTTCGTTATGCCAGGACGGTCTTTACAAGTCCTCCCTGTTGGCCTGTGCATCTATGCAGGAGTCACTGCTATTACTTTTGGTTTTGTCGCTTTCGTCACGTACGAGCGAGTACAGTACCGCAAGGTGAGCGAGTGATCGTGCTAGCCAGTCATAGGCACTGAAATTAAGCATCGCAGGCGTTCCAGCAGCGCAGAATGATCGAGCAGATGATCGACAACAAGGTCTCATTATGATTACCGAGCAGGGAGTAGCCAGTGGCTTTCGATTGATACCACCACCATCCACATGGATCTAGCTGTTGAATACCATCTTGCATGTTATATTATTTATATCCCGCAAGTTCACTGGGAAAGGAATTATTGATCTCACGGGAAGATGAATAAACCAGTCTGCCGACCTTCTGAAGAGTTCTTCATACCCAACCTGCGTTGGTGTCCTTTAATTTGGCAAGTTTTCCGGGCGTCTATCAGGAGTACTCGTAGAGCATCCCTCATGTCCACGCCTACCGACAACTCCCAACTTCGGGTGGGGCTGGTCGCAATTAACCGATTAACGATAACATTTCTCGTCGATAACAGTATCGAATGGTAAATGCGGAGCTTCTTACCGAAAGTGCGACGGTGATAGTTGAAAACATTCAGGTTTGCGAAACTGCCCCCTGGATTTAAGCTTGAGCTGCCACAGCACCTCTCTGACCCAAGAACCGTCAAAGATCCACTGACAGGGGTTCCTATAATTAACCTAGAAGACTTCTGTTGCGGTTCGTCCTAGGGCAGCTTTCATGACTCGATGTTCAACCGTTCATACCGCTCTGTTGCCAGGAGCTCATGGGTTCTCTGCTTTAATTGTATGACCAATTTTCGCTGCAGTGTTGGATCATAAACGCTAGATGTTCTACACAGGAGACTCAAAGAGGCGACGACGAAGAGAGGCACCTTACGCTGTTCGACACGGGTCCAGATTCCAAGTCTATCGTCCGCAATGTAATGGCCATGCAAGTTCCGGTGGATCAGATCGAGAGGGTGGTCCTTTCGCACTGGCATAGCGACCATTCCGGTGGCATGTTGTCATTCTTGCAAATGCGAAGCCCCGGTGCCCCGAAGTGTGTTGTTGATCTTCACCCTGATCGGCCAACTGCACGAGGAATTGCAATCCCTCCAACATACGAGACTATCATCGGCCGATTGCCAGCAGATCCGACTTTCGAACTCATCACAAGTGCCGGGGGAGTCGTTGAGAAACATGCCGAAGGCCATACTGTAGCTGGCGCGACGATATACGTTAGTGGTGAGATACCGAGAGTCACGACGTTTGAACAGGGTCTACTGGGAGCGGTTAGATTCGTAGAGGAAGACAGTAAACCTGGACGTTGGACTTCGGAACCTGTGAGTAGTCCCGGTGCTTGGCATTGTCATGGCGTTCCGAGTCCTCTAGCACATTATGGATGAGCGATATGTTGCGGTGGACGTGATTGGGAAGGGGGTCATCATCTTCAGCGCGTCAGTTGGCTCAGTGAGCGATCCTTTTTGTGCTGTTATCTGAGCTGCTATTCTTCGGTAGATGCTCCCATGCGGGTATTGTGAATGTCGTCAAAGATACCGTTCAAAGATTCTCAAGGCCAATCTATATGGTAAGTTCGATCTTACATCCACCAGTGCCACATTGCTAGACACGGCAGTGCCCAGATTATTGGTGGGCTGCACCTCGGTAGTGCAGATCTCGCTTCTCGTATCGCACCCACTGTGGATTTTTTGGCCAATCAATTGCGACCCTCCCCAACGTACGTACTTCCTATGCACTGTTCCGGGTTTCAATGTAAGGTGGCTCTGGACTCTGCCCTGGGAGAGGGCTGTGTCCCCGCTGGAGTCGGTGTTAAAGTAGAGGTTCACGGCGATCGGGGCCAGGAGGATAGACTGTCTTGTCCTACCTTCACTTAGAAGATGCTATCCCTGCGATTATTTCTCTCGTGGCTTTCCGAATATCTAGAATTGACAATATGCACTTCCCTGCCGCTGAACGAGGAGAGGCGCTTGCGTCGAAAAACCTTCGAATACGTGACACCCCTGTATCACTGTAAGCTTGCGAAGCCAGAACTCGTGAAAACCAGCAGGAAATTGCACGTGTCGCAGGTTTCCCACTCACTTCGAATTTGGAAAAAAATGCACATGTTGGTTGGCCAGTAGTGTCATGATCAATATTTTCTCGCAGCGAAGCCCCGGATCATCGATCATCCTTGAGTCGAACACCTGTTATGCAATGCGGGTCCCGGGAGACGGGTTTGCTGAGGAGTATAAGTTATTGCTAGTAGCTAGCACATAGTGTGTCCCACGAGATAAAAGGATGAGCATTACTCCTCCTCAACACTGTCACACTGCGATACAGCATTCCCTGGCCTCTCTGCCGTGAAGGTCCGGTGAACAGTCTTTAACAGCTCCAGAAACTTGTCTATCATTTTCAGATCTGCTACAGCAGTATCATTCATCATGTCGATGACACGGGGGTCTTGGTATTGAGTTCCGTTTTTGCCATAGTAAGAGACGAGGTTCATTATTTCTTGACACCTCGTATCCCACTCGGAATCTAGGCAGAGGGATCGCAGTACATGCTCCTAGAACACATGGGTTGACAGGTGTGTTTGTGTGGATCAAAGGTTAATCTTCCTCACCCTTTTCACAGAACAGTTAGGCGCTCCAGCCCAATCCGCCGGCGTCTTCAGCCCCGATAGTTGCCGAGATACGACGTCGACAATATCGAATTGATTCAACACCTCCGACACGCTTTGCGGCTTAGCCTTCGACTGCATGTAGTGTAGGAACCCTGGGTGGCCCTCGACTTGTGGCTTAATCCACTTGGTTATCGCATCATCTATTCCTCCCTCCGTCTCTGCGAGGTGGGAAGGGGTGGAGAGAGGTGTGATGGAACTTGTACTCCCCCAACCTGCGGCAATACACTATGAGTGACGGCATTTCCTGGAGCAATACTGCCGGAAATCCAGAAGAGAGTGACTTGCCTCTCTTGCGCCTGTGTGTCTCGGTATCTGAGGCCCGCGAGGACCGTCCTCTGGTTGTTGCATAATTGACTTCGAAGGACTCGATTCGTTCATCTCGCGTGGACACACGCATATTTGAGCGTGTCCTTGTGCAAGGCATTGATACATCCGAATCGGAACCAGATCTATGCCCCGCGTTGATTGCTTTGGGACACCTTGGAGGGCGAGGTAACTGTCCCTGAGGCCCCGGCTAGGAAAGGTGATATAATAGCTTAACATCTCAAGCTGCGACTGGACTAGGGAGAAGAACCCACTGCTTCCACAAAGACATCAAGTGTCCTCTGTATTGAAACTCCAAGATGAGCAGGCGTAGAATGGTGGTTGTCATGCTGATCCACTCGCATAAAGAACTGCCGGTACTTCGCTCTCTTTGTATACACTTTCGCAGGTCCTATCGTACATAAGTCAGGCTCCGTAAATGAGGGAGGAGCTGATTGGCCTACCATCGATGCGTGATGGGGATGCTTGAAGGGCATCACAAACATCCACAGCATCAGCCCAAAAGCCATCTTCCGGGTTTTCCGCTGCTTTCAAAGGCACCATAATTTCCGCTAACTGCGAGTCCTGAACACCACTTCTATAGTCTTCGATTAACAAGGTCACCATCCTCAGCGGGTGCTGAGTATCTGTACCATTGCATTGAGAAGTTGCTTACGGGATGTCATTGGTCCAGACGATGGCACAGGTGAAACATTACTCACCTGAACAATTGCGCCCAGTTGAAGATGCGACAGACAATACACTCGACGATGTATCACGGGTAGACACGGGCATACTGCTACTAATTCTCTCCGTAGATTCGGTGGAACTCTGGTGATTATTCGACACTTCGCGTGTAGAACACTCAAAAGCTACTGGCTGGAGGAAGGGTCTGTTAGAAGATCGGGAGTCATGCGAATCTACTTCCGTTGGTCGTTTGCTACGCCCCAGGAACGTTGTCTGGGTGTCGCTAGGATCCGTGGTGCGTGCACCGGGTGTGGTGTGCCTGTATACAGGAATGCCAGATGCGAAATTGCTAGCAGGCTGTGTTGTGGACGGGGCATGCGGCGGTTGGCTTTGCGTGTTAGCAATAGGATTTCCTGCGGGGGATCCGGCATCAGCGGCCATAGAGCTCACGGACAACGATGCAGATGGTTGGTTTGCATATTTTGATGCCACTATGGATAATCCATTCGTAGGTGTTGAAACTCTGAAACGTCCTGTCTGTGCAGAATATTCCTGACCCTTTTTCTTCCGCTTCGTCCTCCGGGTTGGTTGCTTTGGCGGCGGAGGGGGTGCTTGGCCAGGTAAAAAGTAGTTGGTGGTAGGTTTGGGGGGTAACGCGGCCTCGTATGTCTCAATAACAGTAGCAGTAGATGGGGTCCATGAGAAACCAACAGGCTTTCGAATCAGAGGAGCACTCGATTCCGGCGTATCATTTTCACCCTGGTTCGTTACAGGTACAACAAGGTCTCCGTCGTCTGAATTAGGGGTGAATGAGCGTCGCTGTCTTTTCTGGGCATATATATGTGTGTGAGACTGCGTCTCCGAACAGAGAGGGAGGAACTTGGAGTCGAGCATAGCGATAGAAGCTCACCAACGTCGGAGACGACTCCCTGCTACTCCTGGTCTCGTCCAGAACTGGATTTGAATGGATTGTCAACAAAAGTTGACATTGATATACTCACGACGATGCTGCACGCCTTCCTACGCCATACACGGCCTCGTTATCGCTGGACATTGCAGAGGCCGAGCTGGTGCTGCGAGACCCGGAATGGTGCCAGTCTGGACAAGGTATTTTCTGATGGAATGACTCGCGGTCTGCTGCGTCTGCGTCCACGCAATTATGGTCAAACTGGCAGGGGTACGTCGACAATGATTAATGATGAATGGTTGACTGCAGTGACCGTGCTATGTACCCGGAAAAGGAAACCAAGATCGTCCATCCGCTGAGAACTCATTATGTAATTGGCACGACGCAACAGACCGGTGCGGTTTTGCAAGCGGTTTCGAGCCTGCGAGAGCTCTCATCAGGGGGCTTGATCGCTACCCCGACCGCTGCCTTCCCAATCCTGGTAAAGGCACTCAAATGAGTACTTACCACTTGTTCGCTGCAGCGAGTTATCTTAAGCAATTGAGGCGATCTTCAACTCACACACTGGTCTAAACTACGATCACACTGGTCTAGATTACAATCATTCAATCCCGCCCGCTGGGGTTGCCTTAATGAATTGAGGAAACCTTCAAATTGCTCATGCGGGCAGGGGAGGAGAGAAGCACACCGGTCTACACTATGGTCACACCGGAGTCCCGTCGGGGCCGAGCCACGAAAGGATCGAGGGTATCACACGCAAAGGGAGCACGTACCATGAACTTCTGGCCCACAGGGAGCTCCGCGTTGAGGGTCTTGGACATCCATAGTCGTGCTTGGGGTCTGTCGGGGCCGTGCCACCATCATGGACGATGGTCATTGTCCGTCGCAAGGTCAGCCACCCTGATACAGGTAGGTGAGTGTTAGTACTCACGCCCAACGTTTCAACTATCGAGATCGTAACTTGAGCGGAGACTGCCTAATTTTTCTGGATCTAATGTCGGCTAGAACTGGCTGGCGTGGCGAACGAGAGACGGGTGTGTTATGGTTATGCGGTCGGATACCCTGGTCAAGGAGAGGAAGAATAGGCTGAGCGAGAAGCCAAAGGGTCATCTGGCGAGGTATGGGTGATAATAGTAACGAGCAGAGAACAACCGGCCGGCGCATGCCTCTTTATATACTAGCTGGGGCGGCTGACAATATTTGTAGCGTGTTTTTGGTTGTGTTGATTCTGTTGAATCAATGTTAACGGTCCCCTATCAGGCGTACGCGTTCATCACGTGATTCACGTGATTGTGTTATTTGAGATTTGATTTGTTGGCTGTTAAATGTTAAACGTTAGCCCACGGAGCGCAGTCATCTGGCTGTGCATTATGTCTTGGACCTCTGAAGAGGCGCAAAAATGAAATATTTACTGGTAAAAGCTCCTATAAATCTCTGGCACGACTAGGCGTGTTGCGACAACAATTGTGATCAAGAAATTACCCGTACCAGTGTGCGAGTAATGTGCGATGCATTGTGGAGACCCACACATCATGGCCCATACAAAATCATCTACACAAACGGGGAATATAGAGCGGTTGTACATCTGGGTAACTTAATTATATCAGGACGACCTTCCGTATACACGCTTTGCGTTGTTCATGAAGACGTTATCGATAGCGTCTTGTTCAACGCCCAGCTCCGCAAACGATTCCCTAACAAGGTCGTACCAGCTAACGGGCAGATTAAATGGCTCGCCTGCGGGTGAAGGGGAGGATCCAAAGATCATCCTTTCGAAGCCAAACGCTTCGAGGACGGGTCCAACTGCGTATCGAGCGTTCAGTTTCTGCGCCAACCATCATCATACCGCGCACCTCTACTTACTATATAGTTTTAGTTTCCCTTTCCACATCCTCAAGTCGTCTGCGGGCCCTGTTTCAGACGTGTCCCGCACGGGTGGGGTGATCTTCAAGTGCACATCCTCGAACAGCGAAAGTGAAGATATACGCGTCTGGTATTGTAGATAATCCGGGTGTTTCATGGTTTTGACAATTGGTTCAACTAGAGTTAAGGGAGGAGGGAAGATGTTGCCTAAGCACACCTTCATCAGCCGTAGGAAGCTCTTTAGAGGGATGCGACCTACTGAGGACGATTGGCGTCCTTTTTTTTTCCGGAGTATGTGGGCCAGGTGATGTCGCCTTGGTGAGCAAATCCTCGAAGGTATCATAGAGAGAGGAACCTCCAATCGCAACGCTCGCCATAACATCCGACTGAACATCTACGTCAACTACACGGCTATGTTCCAGTGCCCATCTCAAGTTGGTGATCGCCTCCGGGGCGGCACTTGTGAAGGTAGTTGAGAGGGTTATCGGTGGGTTTGTTCCAAGGAGGCAAGACGGAGGTTCAGTGGGGGGTGTGCCGTTGAGAGGGAATGGCACTGAGACGGACAATATCTGCAAATCGATGCGCTGAGGTAGCCTGTTACGTCTCGTCAGACTCGGTAAAGCAATATCACGGCGGACAGACCCTTGTACTAAGTCGGCAATATCATCGGATAGCTGATTATCAATTGTTAATACGACCCCCTTGATCTTCTCAAGGACAAGCTGTCCGATGTTGTCCTTGTAGTGGTTGACACCATCCACGGTTGCAGAAATGCGTAAATGAGCATCGATGATTCCAACTGGCACAACAGTACTCCACGTGGGCGGCAAGGGAAACGCATCAGACGTCCCCGTGTTGGGGGGGCTGAATGCAGATAGTGGCAGCTTGGGTGGGTTTCTGGGACCCTTGCGACGACCGCTGGCAAGTCCGGGGGATGGTATAGGCGATGACATGATGGTGGGATCCGACGAGAGCCGTGCGATATTTGCTGGAATCAGTTTGTGAACAAAGGATATGACTGAGCCGGTCAGAGTCCGCAAGCCATATGACACCAGCTTGTTAACTCTGCAACTAATAACATTCGCCGATGTATAAGGCTGTTCATTATCATGATAGCAGGAACGATGGTGCCACACGTATATCAACTAGTGGATGAACACGGGAGGGTTCTCAGCCCCGAGTAACGCGGCATCGACTATTTGATAAGGATATTGCACGCATGACCCACAATAAATAGCGCGGCTGTATATTGTTCAACACTGCAAGGCACCAGAAGACAAGTACAGTGTCATTCGTCCTACGGTCTCGGAATAATAAACGGAAAAAGCTGGAAACGCCATCGAATACATAGATGCAAGTCTGTCCGTAGTAGAACCCATAGCTAATAAAAGTAGAATGGCCATAAATGATCCCAATGCAACAGTTTAGTGTTTGACCTATCTGCGAGCTCCTGGTGACTAGGAATAGAGCTGTCGACGTAACGGCGTGGGTCGCGTGGTCGGTGATGGGGTTGACGTCGACGTTGAGCGGCTCATCCAGTTGGTCCATCTTTTGGCTTGTTTCTTTGTCTGCTAAAGGTCAATCAACCAAAATGTCTTCGAGAGAGTAACATCCTCTACTGACCTCACGGTCACGGGAATCAACCTCTGTGGAAAAGAATTCGTCAAAGGCCTGAAGAGCATGATCGTGTTCTGCCCTCCGACCTTGCTCCCATCCCTCATAATAACCCTCCTTTCTTCCCATTTTCAGCCCCTCTGCAAACCCCGCTTGCTCCCCTTCGCTGAAACCGTACTCGCGACCTTCTTCAAAACCTTCTTCCCGGCCACTCTCGAACCCCTCAGCATGGCCGGTATCATAGCCTTCCATATGACCCGAGTTGAACCACTTGCGCATTCCGAAATGCCGAGTCTCATCACTACTCGCCTCCTTGGCATCAAGAGTCTGTATTTCAAGTTGGAGTTTCCTTGCAGTTTCACGAGCGCGTGTAGCACTATCCTCCGCCTCGTTTCTTTGTCGTTCCAGCAGACCCACTTGTGACTGGAGGCGCCGAACTTCTGTTTCGAGCCTCTCTATCTGCAACTGGCGGTATTTGACATCATCCTTTGCTCGGGTTGCCTCCAGCTCCACGTAGTGCTTGCCCGATTCTGCAGCTGCTACGCGAGCGGTGAGGTCTCGCACATGGGCTTCAGCCTGCTCAGCTCTGGCAAGAGCCTGATCTGCCCTGCGCATTTCCCGATCAAGTCTGTCACCGGTCGATCGCAGAATGGACTTCAAGTGGTGTGCCTGCTTCTCTTCTTCTGCGAGGACAAGTCCCAAAGGGGATGACGTGCGACGACTACCAGAGCCGGAGGAACGCCTGTGACTTCTCGAGCGATCACTTGCATCTGAGCCATCAAGTGCGCTGATAATGGCGGGGTCCTTGAGGTAGCTGGTGAGTGGAGAGGGTGCGGAGGTTGCTGCCCGTATCTGCGTGATGATGTCAGCGCTATCTCTGGAGACACCCTTTTTGGTGGAGTACGAGTGGTCCGACGACATTTCGCTGCCAGCATAGGAGGAGAGGTGCTCGCGGAACCTGGAATCATTCATGGCGTAGTGGAGAATTGTATTCGACCACGCAGCAAGGGAAAGACCGTATAAGAGGCGAGGGAAGTTTAGGGACGTTATTGCGCGTTAGATTTTGCGCAGTAGTAAAGCTATTCCTGGTGTCTGAAAGCGATGCTACGCAAATGAAATCTGGACTGCAGACTCGTGGGTTGCGCGTGTGCGTATCACTGAAACGTCAGTGGCATGAAATGCTAGAAGCGTTGCAGGGATTTGAAGGGTCCACCAGTGTAGCACTGGTGCCAGTTAACATGATGGTTAAATACGGTGGCCAGTGTGTATCTGACGCTTGTGGTGCTGCTGGCAGCTCCAACGGCGCTTGGCAAGTTCTGCGCAGCTTCCAGCCTTTCTCGGCTGATCGCGACACAGGATTCAGGGGCTATCATCCATATATGGAAATGTTTCCCCGAAGGCCACATCTGAGATTGCCCATAAATGCTGCATACTTGCAGCGTTTTTTCCCACATAATCTGCTTCAGACCGTTGCACTGGTTTGAGCAAGTAGTTGCACCTAATCTCTGCGTTTCATTCAGGCCATATTCAGAGTAGAAAATTACAGTAATATATGTATGTAGCCAGCAGTCCATATTGGCACACCTATTCTAAAATTCCAGCTTCCATATCTTCGTCTGTTTCCATCCCCGTGTCACCACCCTCATCTGCCTCATTTTGATATGTAGTCCAAACTAGGTCGGCCTCGGGTCCCTCTACGACCAAGCCAAGCAGGGTCCTGGCCATGTCTAAATCTGGGTCAGCTTACACTAAGCAACTAAGCCATGCTACGTGCCAGCAATCTTCTCCCATAACTGCTTGTTTGCGTCGTCAATCCAGTCCGGCCGATCACCATAACTGAGACGGCCGAATGCCTCGATAAAGATATGCACGAGTCCGCTAAACTTGCGCATCGATGCGCGATGCAAACGCTCACGAAGGTCAAAGTTTCCCCCAATGATGAGGTGGTGTAAGAACCTGGTAGTTTGGACCAGCATCGCAACCGTTCTGCATTATGGGCTGACGGCGAGACCTCCCCAGAAAGAATCCATACTTACCTGGAAGCCGCTTGTGCATCGTCTTCTTCCATTTCCCAGACACGGTCGGCCAAGTGACACAGTCTAAGGATGATAGATGGTATCAAAGTTTGAGATTCGACGATGATTGCGAATGCGTCCGGGTGCGCGACCGAGAGCATGCCAAAGAACAATACAATCCAAGCCTTTAACTTATCCGCCTATTCCCGTACGATCGAAGACATTCTCTCTGGATGGAGGACCCGCTTACCTCAAGTGACTCGTTATCAGAATCTGTGAGAAGGGAACATAAAAGATCGACTTGGGGAAGACGGGTCAAATCTCGCGGTTCGCCATTTCCGTTCTCATGTTCTCCTTCGGGAAACGACAACAACGGTCGAAAAAGGCCCCGCACTTGATCAATTCGTCAACGACTCGTTCCTACCAAGCACAGATAGACATACTGGTAGAGACCCACGCAAGAAACCGTACGCTAGCGAGAAGGAACCATTGCGGATGGCAAGGATCCAAAAGTACGGCGAGGACAGATGAACTTCTAGGTACAATCGCAAGACTGTCCGGAAGTTAATCGGTATAGGTGAGTTCAAACTAAGGAGACCCTTACGCAGACTCAGCGTCTCCAGTGGCTTTGTGGGCTAAAGCTTCCAGGAGGCAGAGGGTGGACCTCCCGAGCGCACTGAGGCACAAATTCTGCACCACGTTAGCCGCGGTAAGGTTACGCAACTCGTTCGTTATGACTTTGCACAACGTGGTCAACAGCCTCAGCGGGTCATCTTGACCTGATTCCGTGCTCGATAAGAGTGGTGCATAAAAACGCGGTATGGAATATATTAGATCAGTCAACAAGTCGAACAAGGCAGCGAGTGCAGAGAGCTGCGAATTGAAATCGGTAGTCAAAGCCGGATAGTGACAGAACGGCACTCACCACAGAACTCATTGCCAACCCCACAACCATGTTACAAAGCGCTTCACACACAGCTTTAGTTGTCCGACCAAAATTCCGATTGGGGTGGTTGGGTATGCTGGTAAGGACATCCAGTATTTCAGAAAGCGCATTAGCGTGCGACTTAGCATGATCAGGATCCGTCAAAGACACAGTCATTAGCAGTTGTAACGTCGAAATCCTTGACCCTTCCACGGTGTGCATCAGAATAGCGCGGTGCATCTGTATCAGGTCAGCATAGTCAGCCAGAGCGAGAAATGCTCGGAGACGGACAGCAATATTCCAGTTCAAAGGCTCCTGTTGCTCAATCTCCTCTGTCACTGGAGTCAGAGCCATGTTCGTCCCTTCCATCTCCACATCGGGAGGATTATCGATATCGGTGGGAACAGGGTTATCTGGGATCCCTTCTCCATAGTTCAACTGTACAGACTCATCATTCTGGTGGCCCAGATCAATAGGCGTTAGTTGGACAAGTTGATTGCAAGGAGTTGAATGTGGCGCAAGCTGGGAACTGTACGCAGTGGTTGGTATCAACGTCCCGGGGGTGCCAGTAGCTTCGGAAGGGTTCCCTTTCCCTTTCCTTTGACTACTCCCACCACACTGCGCGCGGGTTGGAGAAGACGTCTGAAAACCGGGTGGCAAGCCACGACTGTCGTGGAACGACGGCTTTTTTGGTCGTTCATGTTTCGAGATATCGCCGAACCGAGGGTGGTAGGGACTTTCTGGTGTCGATCTGAAAGGAGCAGAAGTACCACTGCCCTGTCCCCAAGCACGTATCTGCGAAGGAACAGGTACAGGTGTCGGCGGGGGCCCTTTTCTAGTTCTCTTAGGTTGTGCGGAGCCTGGAGGCTTTCGAAGAGCAATCTCCAGCTCGTGTTGCTACACATGTTACGAGTAGAGGGTCACGTCAAGCCGATAATTCGTACCTTGAACGTATATTCCGTTTTTATGCGCTCCATCTCTATCTCAAACTGTTTTTGCATCAAGTTGTACCTTTTATCCGCCTCTTCTCTCGCAGTATTGAATTTTGCGGCTTGGGCGGCGTGATCCTGTGCATTCTGCACCATAGACCATGTTAATCACTATCGAAGAAGACGACCGCTAACGTTCACCTTTTCAATACTCTTCCTCAACATTGTAACTTCGCCGTCCTTCGCAAATTTCGCGTCAAGGGCATTTTCAAGATCGGTCTCCAATCTTTTCAAGTCGGCTTGCATCTTTTCCTTGTCTGCTTGGATTTTCTCGTAGTTTTTACGAAGCTGTAAGGGGAATTTTGAATCCACCGGTGACGACACGGGAGAGGAACAGAGCAGAAAGAGCAAACCTCCTCAAATTGACGGTGCAGATTGGTAAGTGACGCATCACCAGGACTGATATTTATGGGGACACCTGCACGCGGCAGGAGTCCGGACTGAGAAAAGGGCGCGCTTTGTGATGAGAGTGGTATAGGGGTGTGATTCTGAGCTGGACGTGTAGAAGGTGGAGGTCGCGGTGCCGTTGTCGTAAATTGAATGAGAAAGGCTGGTGCAGGTTCTCTGGACACTGTGGGATCATATGAAGTTGACGCTCCCGCAGGATGCAATGGTCCAGAGATATCCGGCTTCTGGCTACTCTGCCCAACCATGTGCCTCGGTTTGTCTTGTAATACGTACGTTCCATCTCCGCATATGGATATGTCTGGTAAATCGTCCAAGTCGTCCGCAGATTCGTTTCGTTGGATTGTCCGGGTAGATTTCCGTTGCGTCGCCGTCTTTTGACGTTTGGACGGAGGACTAGTGTCTACGGCTAAGGTAGTGGTCTCCGCCTGAACGCTGGCACTCCGCGAGAACTTGGACTCCTCTTCGAGGAGGAAGGCAAGGGTTTTGTCGTCGAGAGTGAAGTCGGGATAATCATCCTCGTCCTCGTCCTGATGCATGAATTGTAATGGCCGAATTTCAAACCCAGCAATACTTGGTAATAGCCCAACTATTACTTGGTGGCCCTATTCTAATCATTATCGGTCCAACTTCTTGTTCACCGCTATCAAGTTGCCCATATCCCACTTCCTTTCTGGACTGAATCATTGAGAGAGCCGATGCAGTGGAGATGATGGTTTTACATGGGTGCTTTTGGTTATGGTGTACATCACCGTAATCGTAGACATTCATGTGGAACCATTTCCCCCCACTGTATTCTTCACCAGATTTGTTCATTGCGATGTTCCCTGACAAAGGCATTATACTATGCTTCTCCAGACTGGCAAGGGACTCCAGGAAGATCCGTCGCAACAGAGGTCGCCTGACACGATCACGTGATGAACGCGAGTGCAAGATGGGGGATTGTCAACACACCACAAATCTTGTCAGCCGCCCCGACTGTGGCTTCCCGCTCAACCTCTTCTTCCTCTCGTTTACTAGGGCGTCCGACCACATAACGCACCTGTCTCTTGCTTGCCGCGCCAGTCAATTCTAGTCGGCGTTAGATTGTGATCTTCGCTCAAAATATGACCTCGATAGTTGAAACGTTGCACGCGAGTGCTAGACATTCGTCTATCTGCTGACCCTTACGACAGACGATAGCCTCCAGACAATAATCCCACCCGGCTATCGAGGAGTGAAACCCGTCCTGATGAATAGCCTCGACCAGCTGCAAGCACAACACGATGACGGCCCCGATCGGCCCCAAGCACGACTATGGATGCTAGGGACCCTCAACGCGGAACTCCCCGTCTGTCGGAGTACTGTCCATGGTACATGCTTCCTTTGTGTGTGATATTCTCGATCCTTTCGTGGCTCAGCCCCGACGGGACCCCGGTGCGACCGTAGTGTAGACCGGTGTGATTCTCTTCTCCCCGGCACGAGTGATTTGAAATTACCTCAGTCTCTCAAGACGACCCCACTCGGGGGGACTCCCGTGTGATTGTAGTTTAGACCCCTGTGTGACTTGAAGATTACATCGATTCTTCAAGGCGACTCTCCGCAGCGAACTGGTAAGTATTCTTTTACTTTCTTCAAAGCCAAGTGCTTTTAGCAGGGTTGGAAGGGCAGCGGTCGGGGTAGCGATCAAGCCCCCTGATGAGAGCTCTCGCAGGCTCGAAACCGCTTCCCCTCATCCTCGGCCCTACTGGGAAGACACCCAATGGCGCAGGCGGTCATCGAACTAAACGAGCTGTGGGCTGACTCCGCGTGTTGCTACTTTCCCTTCATGTCACATGAATACGCCATAGATGAACATGCAGGAGTCGCCTGGGCTGGTAAGAAGGTATGTCGCCAAGCCACAGGAGACCTCTGCGCAAAGGCACGGCCCCATAATCTTCGGTGGACGTGCAGGCAAATACATGTTTTGCCCTTGCAAGTTGAAGGGACGAAGTCCCCGGGACGGATAAGTCCACTGCGATCAAGTAAGTGGACTTCATGGAATTGTTTGCTCGCAGCTTACAGCGAAAACCCCATTACGTAGGGGCAATCCACTTAGTGGAAAGAATTCGGCCAGTATGCGCACGGAATTTTGGACCTCTGCCGCTACGACCTGTCATGCCAGCACACCTGACCACCCCCTCTGTCAGGAACTAAACTATCGGTGCACTGACGCATTTTATCCCCAGAGCTAAGGTCAAGCATGAACCATCAGCTGATTAGGTGCTGCCATGCATTGCTCAAACCTGGACTTCGAGGAGCACCTAAAACCTTGAAACTGCGCTCTGCGTAGACTGCCATGCATAATGACGCGATAGGCTTGCAGTCGCTCCCGTCATCCTAGTGTAACATTTTTGAGACGGAAAGAATGATGATGGAGAACATGCGGGGCCCGACAGTATGACATAGCTCCCAATAGCTCGGAAGTCAACGCCATTTGCCTTCGACACGCCTCGCACCTTTCCGTGATCATTGCTGGTATAGGAGGCTGACGAAGGGGAAGCAGTGTGCAACCAGTGATTCTTCGAATGTGCATTCTGGCGTATTTGAAAATCGCGACAGGGGGGAAGAGTCCTCAATTCAATTATGGAGTGAAATATTATCTAGTAGTACACCAAGTAAATTTTCAGTGTCGTTGTCTGGCTTCTTTCTTGGTCATGTAAACGCAACTGAAATACGGGACCTTCAATCTGAACCACTGCAAGATGTCACCATCCATCTTCAGACATCCATCTGTTCGTAGTGACTGGAGCGGGCAGGATTCGGCTTCTGAATCAGCCCCCAATTCGTTCTGCAAACGACTCTTGACAAGGGCGAATGCACTACTTGTTAAGAGATCTGGGCAACGAGACACATCCACGTGCTTCAACGCAGGGCACAGCAGTCTCTGCTGAGCGGTCGCCTGTGATGGTGATAAGGGGTCTCTACCAGCAAGGAATCGAAGCGTCTCGTTGACGACTCCATCAATGCAGTAAATCTGGAGTGTCTCCAAACATGGAACACAGGAGAGGATGCTAATTAGCGTCCCAGAATTTAGGGAGCAACTTCCCAACCGCAAGGAGACAAGGCTATCCCGTTCATCACGAAACACATGAAGCAAAGCCTCATCCACTCTGGAAACAGCGCCAAAGATGGTAAGGTCTGTGAGAAAAGGGGCATCGATGTTTTCCAATAATCCGAGGGGATTTTCAGCATTTCGAAGTTCAATGCTTTTCAGTTGAATCATCTGCAGGGGTTTATCGATTGTTCCTAGGATTTTCAAAGAAGTTGAAAAGTCCAGCACGAGACTTTCGACTAGCGGAATGGCTTCGATAATGGACAAGGGAAAATGCGTTGGCAACTGACGGATGTGTAGCGCTCGGAGCTGAGTCAAGTATCGCCAGTGTGACTCAGGGAACTGTGTCGTTCCCACCAAACTCAGTTCTCTGAGTTTCCACTCACGCGTAGGCGGGTGGGTAAAGTCGACTGTTCCGCAAGATTCTAGTGACAGCTGTTTGAGATTCGAGAAGAGATGGGTCATAGACATTCCAGAAAGTAATTGGGAAAGCTCGGAAAAGAATGAGCTATGAGCATGGAGGGCTTCGATATAACTCCAAGAAAGACTACGTAGGTGTGCAAGGATGGTCGGAAACTCCGAAGGGGACAGCGCTCGTCGTACGGACAAAGAGGCGATGCGGGACCCCGAGCGTTCGAGCCATGTCTTTATTTTGCGTACCGGATGTCGGTTTGAAAGCACCAAAGTACGCCAGAAGATTGGTGTGCCAACGATAACGCGACGCCAGTGACCACAAACACGGGATAACCGGACGGCTTGACAAGGATCGGCATCGACGAGAATAGCGAATATTTCAGTAAGGATTTCTATTGGGAGCTTTCCAACATGATATGCCACCTTCGCCAGACGTAACTGGCGTTTCTTTGCGACAACCACCTGAGCTTGCACAGATTTTTCCCGCAGTTCGAGGAGCTTTCCTCTATGCTTGGAATCGTCACCTTGGAGACGAGTTAACGCCAGGTCAACCATCTTCGTAGCCGAGTCATGCTTCTCGAGAGAAATAAAGATGCGAGTTGCGCGAGTGTAGCCTTGCCACTGTGTTGGAGCGAGATCTATGACTTTTTTAGAGTCGAGAAGGGCCGCTTTGAGGTTCCCAAGCTTCTCGTGGATCGCCGCTCGCGAGTCGTAAATCCTGAAGTTGTCGCCTTGAAGTTCGATTGCCTGGAAGCACATGAGGCCGTACGTGCAACGTCATAATATGCTACTGCACCTGATTCATGCACAAGAGTGCTTCTGATAGCTCCCCACCTTGGAAACTAGCTATGCCTTTCTCAAAAGCCTCCTTCCAAGACATGTAGCGGCGTTTGGTAGAGGACAGACTATCAAGTGATGAGTATTGAGATGTCTTTCGAAGGTCAAGTTGGATTATATTTGGTCGCAACTATTGGGATCGAAAATGAACTATGTACGTACATTCAAAAGGCAGCACTGAATCGAAAGAACTAACCAACAAACTCAGTCTAGTACTTGTAGTCTACATTCGAAGCCGAGTTGAGACTACGTCAAGCATCACCTTACATAGGTGATACATGGAGGCGAGGCTCGGGCCATGGGCGAGAAGTTCTGGTCTACCGTTCGCTTCAAAGCTTTCGGTGACACCAAAGTATCCCGCAGGTCAAAGCCCGATTGGCCTCCGACATGACGAGGGGCAGATAAGCTGTTGTGATCCGATGAGGCGAGTCTCGTCTTAGCTGAAACGTGGATGTCACTGCGAGTGCTAGCCAGCCAGACGTATCTTCATTTGACCTGCTCGGCTACGGGTTTCTAGGGCTAAGAAATAATCAGCCTCAAAAGTCCTAAGAAGGATTGTCCGGCATACCCTTGAGTTCTTCAACTTCCTCCCTTTGTTCGTAGTTCAGCACTAGCCGTTTAAGGTGCTGTTGCTCTACTTTATCTTGCAATTGTGCCGAGCGCGTGTGGACGGCAAGGGCTGTTTCGGCAGGGACAGCTAAGTTTCGAGTCTATGTTGCAAGTTCAGCGCTTCGGAGTGAAATCCATCAAAGAACAATCATACCTGCTGTTTGTTGCCCCTTCGCGTAATCACAGTGAAGTTCATTACTGATCCGTTGGGATGGTCGGCGTCACCCTCGACATTTTGCTCTGCTTCGTCTACACGTTTCTTTCGCGCACCAGGGCCCAGAACGGCAGTATCCCACCATGCGCTCTTCTTGTCGATCTTCCTAGACTCAGCGGAGGATTCGGTGATGATCTTGGCGAGTTCTTTCGCGAACTCTTCATCTGCTTCCTGAGAGGGACCTAGATGTTCTTGGGCGGATAACACGACCACAGGTTCCGGGGAAGGTGCACGTTCATCCTCCTATTGAATGTAAGACCCTTCGGTCGCATGACAAGACGTAAAACTCACGGCGGATCCTTGGCCAGCAGCGCTTCCGTCGTCGTCATCATCATCTTCTTCTCGGGGCCGTTCGCTGTCATCACCATCGTCGCTTTCCTCACCACTTTCGCTTTCCTGTGTGACTTGATGATGTCTGAGTATGTTAGTGTAAGAGTTAACGAATAACTTACAGCCTGCGTTTTGCATCACAGTGTTGAACACGTCATCCACGGCCTTAGCGGCCTCCTCGATCGACTTCGGCATTGAAAGGTTCGGGCGAACAGCCTGCTTGGCGGTGACCAAAATATTGATAGTGTAATACAGGCACTCACTTCCAGAGAGTCGGACAACATGAAGTCTACTTCCATTGGTAGCTCTTCCTTACAGAGTGCGTAGTACTAGGCAAGGAATTGTGAGTGGGAACGCAAGTCAGAGACAAGGGTCAAGTTTATTTACCTGAAAGAAAACTAGGAAGTTGTCCAACTTTCTCATCTGGCGTCCTCGGTCGAAACACATCCCAACCGCGTCCAGTAGAACGCAGACCAAACGAATGCGGAAGGAGTCGTCAGGCATGTCCAATGGTGTAGGTTGACGAAGTGATGGATGACCGTCCGCTGCAAGGAGCATCAGTTAAGGAACCAAGCGCGACATGGATATACTAACGGTGACCAAATGTGACCAACAACCACAGAGTGTCGAAGATCAAACTGGAGTTTACCACCCGGTAGATGTATAGTTCACCCAAATACTTCACGGTCGCCACCCGTTGCTGGTTAACGCTATATAAGTTTACTTCCAACCCCACTCGAATATCTTCCACTACTTGATCCACGACAGCAACGGCAAAAGCAGGGTGGTATCGCTGCAGATCATATGTCAACATCGCAAGAAGACTGATGTTACTATACTTGAGCTTCCACGGCTTGGTGAAGACCTTGAGAAGCGAATGCCCAACGGTCGGATCATCCCAATCAAGCTTTCTAATGAGCTTTAGAACCTTGTCAATCGTCTTCTTTGAAAGTACGTCGTAAACGAGATGGCGAATGAACAGTTCGATGGGGGTCCTCTCTTTCTCAACGAGAGGCGGACGCTCTGGAGGATTGCACTAAAGAGAATCAGCACTACAATTTCAGTTAAGCCGATATCCAAACCTGATAGTAGGCGTTCTCAAGTAATAGCATTTGCCTCTGGTCGAAGTGTTGCATACTTTGCTTGCGCCTCATGAGTTCGAGCTGCCAGCGTTCATGTCGGTGCTGTGTCATCTATAATCCAAACATGCCGCACCATAGTACTGAACCTTTCTTTAGTTTCTTCACTCCTCAATAGAAATCGACCACATCCTTCAAGCAGAAGCGCAACATTCTCCACGTTTGTACCAGAAAAGTCGTCCAGACAGACTTTGAGGATGTGTAGGATAACATGTGTTGGTACAACCCGAAATTTGGTCAAGTTAGATAGAAAAGTAATATTCTGGGTACAATTAACAGACGGTTGGCAAAGGAGAGAAGGTAAACGATACCTTGAGGCGAAGTTCAGAGAATTCTTTCACTACGTTCTTCTTCCGTTGCAAGTACCGAAACTCCTCTTCAAGCTTGGAAGAGGTTCAGTTAGCCCAAGATTCGCGCCGTCGGCCAGGATCAAACCCACAGAAGCAACAACTTCAGATCCAATATCAGGCATGTACTTATCCAAGGTGGCCACAAGTCTGGAATAGTGTGGCAGTAGATCGGTGCGGTTCTTCGGAACGTTAGACAAAAACTTTTCTGTTCCGTTAGTTCGGGCCTCCCGCAGCAATGACAGTGAAGTCATCACCTTGATCAATCTCTTTCGGGCAGCCTTCGAATTAAGGAAGGCAAATTCAACTGCGGCTTGGTCAATTAAAGTACGATTTGTCGCGTCAGGTAATCGAGCCAGTAAGGCAGTTAGAAGTTGCGTAGGCCCTTGTGGAGCCAGCTGGGGAGATAGCGGGGGGCTAGACAATTTCGGTGACATCGGGATGGGCGTCACGGTGCTGAAGGTGCGTTGTGTGAGATAATCAAATAGCTTTCTGCTCAGACAGCTGGAAACGTCACCTGTCTACCGGCTCTGATGGCTCTGCCAACGAAACGTTACTGACATGAACGTCTCCGTTGGTTTCGAGGGATTTAAGCTCTGCTGCGACATTCTTTGCCTCCTCTTCAGCTTTCTCTTTTTCGGCTTTCTCCTTTTCTTCGGAATCTGTTTTTTCTTCAGCGTCAATACCAAGGAAATTCTTGGGCACGAAATCTTTGAGGTCCTGGATATCCTCGAAGAACTTGCGCTCTTCTTCATCTTCCCACTTCCCTCCGGATGTGGTAAAAGCGATGTCGGTGTCATCGCCAGCGCCTGAACCTATGTTGCTGCCAATTTGGATAGAGTCTGACTTCTGAGCAGCGGTTGGTAACGCCGGCATTGGAAGGTTGAGTAACTCAGAAAGGCTGGCAACGTGAAAGTTAGTATGTACGCGAAACGGAGAGCAGATAGTTAGCTACGTCTGGCAACTTGCAAATAGTTTCTCGTATCCTTTGGTCATCCTCTCATATGCTTGTTGCCTGTCCTCGAATATCTCTCCTGAGCGGATGTAGGCTTCGTGATTCCGGCGATCCTGCTCTTGTAGGCGCTACCCGACGACAAAGAAACAGTGAATAAATCAGTGAATATCAAAGGAGTCGCGTATCCAGTCCGATCTTACCTTATGCTCGATGACAAGTTTCTTGGCAACATTTTCAAAGTACCCTTCACACATTCGCTTGAAGCGGTCTCTCATGTCTTGCTCAACCAGTTCCTCTCCTTCACCAGAGGCTACAATAGCAGCGTTCCTCGCCTCATCCGTTGCTCTGCTAGATTCGGCGTCGCCAGGCATTTGTTTACTTTGCAAAGTGGTAATGCCCAAATACGACCTTCCATATGATTTCAGGAAGGTAGAGAGTAGCGGGAGGGAGGACAACGATGGATCATTAGATAACTACCACCGTCAGCTGATGTCGAGCAAAACACCGAGGAGGAACATACTAATTCCTTGATAACTTTCATTATCCATTCCGCACCACTGCTGGTCGGAGAATCTCTGATGACCCCCACCAGGGCCAACTCAGAGCATACTCGAAGGATAGGACGTTGTCGTGATACTCGTACAACATCTTCCTTCTCACGTTGATCAGGGGTCAGTGCCGAAAGTGCCGCCTTGGTCGGAGCTGCTAGAGACGAGGAGAGTAGGTTTACCAGTACTGGTGTAAATGAGGTTGGAAACCGCCGATGTAAAGAACATACGACCTGTTGGGATCAGCCGATGTTATTAGGGTGCGGTGGTCGCGTGCGCAAGGTAAGGTTCCCACCTCGACCGCGGCCCATACATCCCTGTCTGTTTTACAACGTGTGATACCCTCAACGGCAGCACCCGCGATCTCGTCGGTGTACTTTTCGAGTGAGAGGGAATCGATGTCCTTGAGCACCTGGTCATGATTATCTACGCCGATGGATTGACGCATGCGCTTGATAAGAGCGGTATGCCGCCTGAGAGAATGATCAAGCTTTGAAGACTCTGGACTACCCGTATGAGTCGACGGAGATGGGAAGACGCGAAACGACTTGCCCTGGGTGTCCCTACGCAGGTTCAACTCCTTGAGATTGACACGCCTGGCGTGACGAAGCTTTTCTTCATCAACCTTGGGCACAGATGCTGTTTCCATCGCAAGTCGAGAATGCTAATAGGCAGTGGTGGTCAGTGCCAAACGGTGCCGCCCCAGCGCTCTAACCCGACAACTGCCTTTCTGGGGCTGCCCCTCTCCACACGTAAGCCTCATGTCGGTGTACTCCTTCCAAGCCAAAAGCCAAAGCCCGGGACAGGGGCGGCCACATCATGCACGGACCTGGACGCCTTGGGCCCTGTTCCTTGCGAGTATAACTGCGTTCAACTTCGTGGAAGCACCACACCGCCAACTCTAATAGGTGTCGCATTGACCATGTTTGCATGGCTACGATGCAACCAGTGTGTGTATCTTGCCAAACCATCTATGGCAAACAAAGCACGGCGACTATCAATTTCCTACTGTCGGGACTGGAGACTTATTTGCAGACACCCGTTGTCAGAGCCGGTCTCCGTGTCGCGACAGTTCATCCGCGTCCCCCGCTCGGGCGATTTTGTGATCCACGAAGGTCTTCGGAGACGAGACGTTCGCTGTTTCCTGATTGCAATCAATCGGTCCGGCTTCGTTTTATGCAACGTTGGTGACTTAACTCGCGTCCTGCCATTGGTCTTGCTTCTTTTTTTCATGACATGTTGTTTCATTTCCTCGGCTCTCACCATTATACACTAGAGTACAGCAGTCTGTATTTCTTTGGGAACCCGATAGGGATACCTTGACAATGCAGTACACCCGCGTACCCAACTGTGCCCTATCCGATTACCGTCCTCATTAACAACCGCTCTGTGGATGTCCCAGACGCCCGACAAGAAGTTTCTGTGTGAATATCTCCATCGTGCCATGATGGAGGGCATCTCCTTATACCAGTCTCTCATGTCATCGACCGTTCTGAGTCATTTTCTCCTTACACACTCAGTAATAGAAGCCTTCGCGTCTACACGTGTCCATACAGCAGCTCTATGCGGTTACTTGGCATACCGCTCTTGTTATTTCATTCTCAATAGCTTTCCATGCATGAAAAGCGGCGTTAATGTCACGCGTTGCGAGTGCAATCGTGAGGAAGGAGTCGAGGTAGCGAGCATTAAATAGGTTCACTTTTGATTATATAATCAACCTTCCGTTGTCTTCCGTCGAGCTCATCTCAAACAGCTAGAATCCACCTCCAGGTTTTATTTCCCCCCGTAAGTGGTCTACTTTCGCGAACCAGGGTTTTGGTACTCAGTCTACACCTGGAAGTCTTTTGACTCGTTCAAGTAAGAAATGGCTTTCCTCGGTTTGCGCAAGTGGCCTACACCTGTGCGTAGCTAATTCAGTCGTGTTCTGGATGACTCTCACACATGTATTTTGCTGCATGACTGAACCTTACGATCTTTTGCATATGATGCAACATAGGTTCTGAGGCCCATGGCACCCTTCATTGCTGCTTCCGGTATCACCTTCTACCTAGTGAAAACCATGCAGGATTTCGGTGTTCGATGTAAGTGCACAGTACTTCGGCTCATCCACGGTAATGAACATATTTGGCTTGACAGCGGAGACCTATGCTAAGGATCCAAAAAACCCTTATGCAGCCCAGATCGCCCGAGAAGCGCATCATTAGCTATTATATTCCTTGGGCTGTGGAAGTTAGCTGACAGTGTGGGAAGTGGTGGTATGTCTTCAGTCGGTCTTTCGGAGGTCAGTCATCTTTTAACCGAGATATAGACCGCGACTGTAGGGATGGCCAACTAGTTCTCGCTACGTCTACGTGATGTTTACTCTTAGAGGGAATCGTACAAGTGTACCCTACGCGAGAGTGGCTTGTGCGGCATGAGTAAGGTCAACGCGTGGATAAAGCACTCAACGACAACGTTCTTGCTGCCCGTCTTCCCACGTTTATCCAACAGATGTACACACGGTTTGCTGCCATTATTGCTATGGAGGATTGCTTGACGTCTCATTGACAACTCCGTTTGCATGCCTGTCGGAGACGCATACTCTACAATACCAGCGTCGTCCTATCTCACACTTTCGGTCCAAGGGATCTTCCATTTCTCGTGAACCTTTGCAGCATCTAGAATCGTGTGCTCGCCAACTGTCCAGTCGGGATTACTTCACGCTCCGCCCATGTGTCTATGTCGGAGTCAAGCAATGTTTCATCTCCGAGTGCAGGAAAAACTACATATTACAGAGACCTAACATTTCCAGTAACTCGCACGAAGGCTCCGCGAACCCTGCAGGGTTGGATCTTCGATCTAGCTAGGGAAAAACCCCAAGTCTGATCAGATCGCACATGTACTTGACATTTTAGCACCGCATCGACGGGCTTCGGTACATACCAAGTTTCATATTAACACATGAGCCACATCGACAAAGGGTCGTAATATATTGCGCTGGCTTTGCTGTAACATTACGATAAGTACTACACAATTCGCCTGCTCAGATGGAAAGCCGCAAACAAAGTAGCTGGTGGCTGGGTATATGCTGGAATACAGTACGCCTAAGGTCCGTCGCACGTCAGAATCACCATTACTGCCCTCTCTACAAGCAAACGACATCACCCCGAGCTACCCCCATCAGCGTGATTTTTACCACCGTTATGCACGCGCCGCAAACGACGTTCAGTCCCTTGATGTTGGAATTGGTTCTGCTGGGCCGAGTTCCCCGTCAAGCATGATCTCTGGTTAGTGGAAATGCCGGGCACAAAAAGTGCACCGCGGTTGAAGGAGCTACGTTCCTTCCTCCGAATGTGTGTGGGCTTGGGAAACTCCTCCGGGAGTCCTTGATTCGCTCCAGGCTCGGAGTAAAATATCTTGGGACGCCATTCTTCACGTTCATCCATAATACACGAATTCTTGAATTTCTCCACCAAAGCTTCTTTCCCCCTGACACGTGCGTATTGATTCGGCTGCTTCCAGGAAAGCGGCACGGACTCACTGGTAGTTGGCGTAGCTCATCTGCAAGATCTTCTCGCTCGAGTACATGTTCCTAGGAGAGAAAAAGACGCGCCAACGGCACAAAGTAGTTTGCAAGTTTGCACTCAACAACTAAAAAAAAAGTTCACCCCTTACCATCTCTCGTTCAGTTTCTTCTTAGCGAACAACAAGAGATCCTGGACGCTTATAAAATTGACAAAGGCGTATCCAACATTGCACCCTGCGATTACCCGTTGGTTGAGGTCAGTACTAAGTAGCTGCGCCAGAACTAGACATCACGTGCCGTTTTTGAAGTCCATCCGCAAATAGAGGAAATCTACGCGCCGGGGACAAACATTGTTAATAAATTCGAGCAACTCTTTGTCAGTCATCTTGTTCGGAATGTTTTTGATCATGACCGTTGTCCGCGTGTCAACCCCTTGCTCTATCTTTTCGATATCGAGTTGGTTGTTTTCGGGGCAAGCGCGTGGTGACGTTGTCAACAGAGGGACAAATGTGCGGTTGATGGTAGATGGATACGAAGGAACCGACGTTGGGGAAGATTGTTGTTGCATATACGAATAGTGCATCCCAGGAGGCGAAGGCCCAGGATAAAAAATGGAGGGATGTGGATACACAGGCCATTGTTCGGGGACGAGGTTATGTGTTGGCCAAGCAACCCAGTTGCCCGTCAGAGGGTTCCAGCACATCGGGGACCCAGCAGAGTGGGGAGCTAACGGGTGCTGTGTGTGGATGTTGCTGTGGGAGAGCGATGACATCCAAGGCGTCTGCATAGATGCATCCGAAGCAGGTGGGTCAGGCTGACTTAGCAAGCGGTGTCCATATTGTGTCTGACTGTCCAAGTGTAGGGTGCCTTGCAGGTTAGTGACATCATGGGACGAGTGTTCTATGGGGACCGGGATAAGATGTGTGCCTTCACGGCTGTCGGCACTCATTGTAGGCGGTCGACGTTGCGCAGCGTCAAATCGCCTGTATGGTTCAGGGATGGGTATGGTGGCGAAAACGATGCTAGTCGGAACACACCTGTCCGGCTGAATAGCAGTCACAGTACATACACGCTCGTGTAGAGGGCCAGGGCAACGTAAATCATCGTACTTCTCCGGACGATGTGATAGTAGGTGCTCCGGTAGCAGCGAACAATGCTTATTTGATTGTGGGAAGCTGTATGAAGGGTTGATACTGGGTCGCTTGTGATTACAGCCGCGATCTGTAGAACTGTTATCATTGGGAAACGCGAAGGGAGCACCAGCCAACTGTGGTGGAGATGAGGGTGAAGTTGTTGTGGTCGTCTTCGGCTCCGCGGTGCAATCATCTGCTAAATGGACTTCTGAACCACTTGAAGGTTCTTCGCTTCTGATGGCTTGTATTCCACCATCTTGGCCGAGTAAGCTACTCCTGAGAACAGGTCGTAGCTTCATGTTGTCAATTACTTGCCCATCTATATTCTCCAAAGCCTGCTCCGCGTCGCGGATGTCGAAGTACTCGACGACAAATAGCTGACGAACGCCAAAAAGTTAGACCACGGCAAGTAATAATGGAGAAGCGCCGATGGCAGGCTTCCTCCGAAGTCGAAGCGACGACAAAGGAGTGACACCACCCATTATTCCTTACGCAGTAGTAAGGCAGTTGCAGCCCCTGAAGACTATAACATGCCCCCACGACAGGAGAGCGTGACAACTTACTCACCCGACTGTCTTCCTCGCATTTCTGCTCCGCAGGACGAAACGTTCTAATATTTCCATACCTAGAGAGAGCATCGCGGAGTTTTATTTCGCAGAAAGCGTGATTCTGACTGGTAAAAGAGGCTGAAGGCTCGTTCTCGCGCCCGGCTAACACGTCACTGACCAACACGTAGAATGTGCCCTCTGTACGTGTCACAATTCCTGGAACCGGCGCTCCAAGAAGCTTGAAAGATAAATTCTATGTCCTGTAGACGCAGCAACCTTTGAAACATACCAGACGGAGATGACTCGGGTCAACAAACAGGTAAGTCAGACCCTCTTGCCAGGACCTTCCGAGTGGGTTCTCAGACGGTGCCTTCACCTTCCCACAGACCTCTACTTGAGAGCTTAATCCATTTCCAGCGGCTAAGCGATTGACTTTATCGGCGTCGCGAACATCATAAAACGCGACCACAACAAGATGTCTATCGCGGAAGCGGAAGTCCACAGTTTGAATCCCCGTGTTTGCGGTGGAAGGGGCTTGTGCCTGTTGGCTGGCAGGCGGAGCCGAGTAGGGATCGCTCTTAGAAGCAGTCAGACCGCAGAGATATTGAGTGATTACGTCTTCGGGCAATTCGCTCGGAACATTTCCGATCTATCGAAACAAGATTAGTATAAGGAGAATGTAATCTTCGGTCGACTTGCAATTAGAATTCGGCTTTGTTGCACATTTCCGAAGGTCATAACGGAAGTGGATTGATCTTGAGTGGATGTAGTTAAATTGGTAGATTCTGGGTTAGTACTTTGGCTCTTGAGGGAGGATGACGGAGTCAGTGGCGGGGTCAAGTAGTGCTGAGTGTTGCTGGGTTTCCGAGGACGGTTGCCCCTGACCATTGTCTTCGGTTTGGAATCAGTAGAAGCGAAGGAGAGATGGGACATAGATTTGTGTGGATTTGGCCGAGAGTGTGTCGCCGAAGGAACTGGTGGGATCTTTCCCCCGCTTTAAGGCAGTGGAGGTGAATATATGCGGCAATAAGTGGAATAATATCACACATACCGTAGGTTAGGGAGGGACGGGGAAGGTTGCAGTCGCGGAGGACGGGGGAATTTCTCCTTGAGGGCGTGTTGCGAAGCGGACATGATGGGAGGGAAAAAAGACGATGAGGTGATGTTCACGGATGATACTTATATGATGGCAGGACGAGAAATAGATAGAAAAGGAAGATCACAAGATTGATTAACTGGGCACAGAAAATTAATATAACCACGCAATTCGACGTAGAGAGAAGCAGGGTTGGCAAACCAGGGGTTTAAAACATCCCGGATACTCACGCGTTGCCACAACGGGAAGAGGGACCTGGGATCCGTGGGGACCTTCGAAGGGGGAAGACGAACGCGAACACAAGGGAACGGGAACGTTGGCGGTGATTACAAGAAAGGGAGTGACTGTCTCGTTGCAGTGCCAGATCGGATCAGGGGGATAAGGGCGACACGATGTACCTGTGCACGGCAAGAACCAGTCCAATACGGAAACAATACGTAGGAGGAGCTGAGCGCTGAAGCGCTGAGCCAGAGAAACGAACCTTTAGTCAACAGGTTTGATCTTAGTGGCAGTCAATAGGCCGTTTCACTACCGGCAGTGCAACCCGTTCTTGAAGAACATGTCGACCGCACAAACGATGATAATTAGTAGGATCAAGAACCGACAGAGCTCGTCGGGACCGTTCTGCGTGAGCATGGACAAGTAAAACGGACATGTGCCTGCCAAGGGTCAAAGCAATCAACTGAGCGTTCCAAAATGTCCCAACTGGCCTGTTACCCCTTCCCACTGCCGTCTGCGCGGAGGAGGGGGACGTCGGGCCACCTGTACCTATTCTGGCAATCGAAGCGATTACGCTTCGCTTCTTATGGAAGGAGCCAATTGCAGTTCTTCACCTCGACGAACAAAAACATGCCATTCTATCAAATGTTATGTATAGCAAGTCACTTCCGGGAATATGTGAGTGCTCTTGCCAGAGCTTGGTCAGTGTTGCAATGCTTAGCACTCCGTGGCTGGCAGAAACACATCAAGGAGCTCGTTACCATGTCCGCAAAACATATAATGGACCAAGGTGGTGTGGTGCGGAATGTCGAGTACTGGGGGACTCAGACACTTCCGCAACCCATGCGGAGGCATAGACAGGTATATACCATCGGAGAGTGAGTAATTTCCTCAATTCGAAGCATTTGTCTCGCGTTCCGTTCCCTGATTGTGTACGCAGTTACTGGACGATGTACTTCGACACTTCACCTCACGGACTCAGATCATTGACTGGCGTAATTCGACGGGATCCCCGCGTGATACGGTGGACGATGCTCAAACAGGGGGACAAAGTTGGAGACGTGGTACTTCCACGGGAAAAGACTGTAACGCGCACTGACTACCTCAACCCGCCGAGGGATGGCTCCACCTCGTGGTCCGAACTTGACATTTGAAGGTCGCCTTATCAATATATACTAGCATCGGTACCTTTGGTGCTCCTAGACTCGTCGCGTTCTCTATCGGTGCTAGTCAACTTTGTTTTAACTCTGTTAATGCTATCCAGTCGACGTTCCTTTATCACCATTCTGGCTTTTTACCCAATCTACCACTGCCAATAAACTGGGCACCACGTTGACGTGTCGTAAATCCTCTCCTACCCCCTTGTGTTCGCCATCACCATCAGGGCCGGGTCGCCTTAGTAGCATAGCATGCATGCCTGCTGCTTGCGCACCGCAATAATCACTTCCACGAGTGAGTAACGTGCGATTCAACAGAGGTCAAAGAATTACTTATCTAGTTCATCGCCAACATGCAGGCTCTCGTCTGCACGGATGACTCCTTGTAGCGAAAAATCATTTCGTGCCATCCTGAATATTTCTAAATCGGGTTTTTCGATGCCCACTTCCTCGCTCAGAAGCAACGGTTGCAGAAGTGATGATACTTCAAGGTCATTCAGCACAAGCCCTGTCAACAGTTACGCAGTCTAGACAATTCTCGCTCGTGGGTGTGAGTATCCACGTACGCATGCGTGTATCCGCGTTGCTGACTAGGGCCGTGCAGACGTTCATCTTACGTAGCTGCCACACTGTACATGACGCATGAACGTATGAGCGGTGATCAGTTGCGCCTGAGTCCACATCAGCAGGGAAGTCTTGACATACGCGTTGGAAGGGCGTCGTCAAAAAGCCTATATCCCTCCCTTGAGCTAAACCTCTTCATCAATATGGAGACCATCTGACCGAGAGATGCATCTACAACTGAAGATCTGGCTGTCAGGGCAACGTGCATCTCGCCTAGATCGTTACAATATTTTTGAAACGCCTTTGTACTTGCCTTGTGGGTGAGCCCCTGCCTCAATGGCTGTACCCCTGATAACTTCCGTCCACCAACCTAGGACACCTGCTTCCCCCCTGTAGGCTGGTTTTTCCTTTTGGATCTGTTTCAGGGCTGCGCGCATGAGAGAGAGAAGTTTCTCGAGGGCGGTGACTCACTGGACTTGAAAGAGTGTCTGATGCGGTTTGGGTCGAGTACACCTAAAAAGGGGGTAAAAACCTCGGAGTACTGGACGTAGATGGGACGTCTGGGCTTGAGTAGAGTGTGGAGCGCATCAAAAGTGACGAGTTTGATGACCATAAGGCAACGTTAGAAATAGTTGATGAGTGTGGTTTCAAGTGCTGCGTCATCTACTGCAACCGGCACTCTCAGGCCAGTGAACAACCCTAGGAGCCTCTGCAAAGTTACCCCCTTTCCAGCGACACGAACTAGACAACGAACGAACTCTGGGGTTTATAAGTTGGGGGCCTGTGAGTTGGCGCCTACCAATATATTACCTCGCGGCGTGCCAGCCGGTCACGTTCCAAAGGCAACACGCCCCAACGGTGAACGTCTGAGCGACGTTTTCTCCCCTTTCCCATTACTCTCCTGACGCTATGTCTGACGCGCCCGCCATCGATGCACAATCGTTGAGGAGAACACAGTCCACTGGCGACATCCCCACGCGGGAGCCCACCCAGTCCTCCCGGGCGCGGGGATCAGCCTCGAATAACCGCCCAGGCCGCAGTGTTCCTCGGTCAACTTCCTCGTCCATTCCGAATACTGCCCCTTCCCCAAAGTATTTCGGGTTCGATAGTGAGATTGTGAACACCTGCTGACCTACTGTGTGTGCAGTGCGGCCACTCCTTGGCTCAGGCAAGCTGGTCAACCGTCATCTCAAGAGTCAGGCACACAACAACCCGACAATTCTCCTGAGCTCTCTCTCTATGAAAGAATCAAGCACTTCTTCGGGTTGGGGTCCAACGCTTCTAGAACGCGGAAGGCCCTTGTGTCGCTTGTTCTCACTCTTTCTTATTCGTTTCTGCAGGTCCGTGTGGTCTGACGTGTGCGGCATATCATTAATGTCCAGATCGTTAGGTCGTCGCAATCATAACAGTCCTGAGTATGGCCTCGGTTACTTCCAGTCCTCAAAACCACTCCGTCAACCAAATCGATGTCTGTGGGCGAGCATTGGTCGCTTGGAACTCCATCTGGATAGTGCGACTGATCTTGGCGTCTGGACTGTCATACTGGCATTTCCTGCGGATACGAACAACGTAGGTTAGTCGAAACGTTTGAAACCACCTCTGATTGGCAATCGACAGTGACAACACACGTCGGGGGGATTCTGAGTTGACCGCTCGACCTGGCACAGGCCAGGTTTCCCGTAACGAAGACGCGAATCAACGTAACAGAGAGGGAATATCAAGGAGTTCATCAGGTCCAGCTCTCCCCTCTAGTTCGGAATCTACAGAGCCTACTCTGCCCTATAATCATATCTACGCTCGGTATGTCATTTCCACCGGCATGTGGTGCAATTGACTGTATTACCGTTCACAGTTTGTCCCTTTTCGCATCTATGCTTAGCTTGGCTTGGTTCCTTACCGCACACATTTTGGAATATACGACCATTCAGACTTGCCGTCTTTCTGCTCCCCTGGTGTGGTGGCTTACATTCGCGATCCTTTGTACCATGTATTTCATTGTCCTGGAAGTTGTTCTATTTGGGTTTCTCGTGTTTATGGTTCTGCCACTCATTATGGTGCGCATCTGCTCCTTTCTGTCGAGGGATCATACTAATCTCTTGCAGCTCCTTTACAGCGTCATCCTACTATGTCTTGGGCGTCATCCGCTCCAAAATCCACACTACATTAAACCTGAAATTGGAAAGTTGCCCAAATCCGTTGTGGATCGGATTCCTCTTGTGATATACATCCCCCCTCCACCCGACGATGCAACACAACCTATATCCCTACCAAAACCAGTTCACACTTACCCGCCGAAACCGCCCACTGCTCTAAGAAGAAAGAGGTTTGCATTCCTTCCCAGGCGCCGCCAAAAAGAGGGTGCGATTGAAAGCCGGGTAGAAGATAGAAGGGCAACAGCCCCGAGGCCTGCTGACGCTACGGAAGAAGAGACGTGGGAGGATACGTGGGAGCAGTGTCAGTATCCGTTTGTCAGACTGGATGGGAACCGTGCTGCTTGCGCCATTTGCTTGATGGATTTCGAAGAACCGAGGAGGCAGTCTGCAGTGGGGGGCGGAGATCCACAAAGGAAAGGTCAACCAGATGCTGCGGTAGTGCAACCACGGGGACGGGAAGAGGAAATTCCGGTTGAACGTATCACAGAAGAAGAACGAGATGGAATACCTCGGCTCCAATTTGCCGGTGAAGGACCTCAACCGCTACGATTACTTGCTTGTGGTCATGTTTTCCACGTGGGTATTCCCTGATTATTCTTGTATCTGATATCAACCCTTGAGTAGAAAACGTGCATTGATCCGTGGCTCATCGACGTCTCTGGGCGTTGTCCAGTTTGCCAGCGCCCTGTCGAGATCGATGATGTGGATCCTAAGAAGGCGAAGCGAAACAGACGAAGTTGAACATCTTGGCTTTGGAAACGCGAAAAAGGCTGCAAGGTACGACGCTGAGAGCAAAATACTAATGTAGACATTTGTGGCGCTGGAGGACCTCTCATCGCATGTCATGTATTTTTACGCTCGCACATACAATCGTCATCCGCCCATATCTGTCTGACATAGAAGTCCGCAAGCTGTATCAGCTATGGGAGCAGGTAGCAACAGTTTGCAGCATTTCCCCAAGCAAACCCAGAGCTGAGCAACCGTACCAGCGTGCCATAGTAAACAAGCAGTGCACACATCCCACGACTCGTAAGCTCAAATCTGCGGCGTCCAACCTTGCAAAAACTAGTGTCCGACATTCCCCTCACTATGTGCTTTACAGAACTGGAAATGAAAGTTCGATCGCTAGGAGGCACCTCCCGCAAATGGTTGGATTGTAACGTAATAGGTAGGCGTCTCGACCCACCGAGTTTGGTTATCACTAACGCGGCACGGCGGAGGCCGAGCGGATCGATGGCTCCGGGCGGCTGTGATTTAAGCGTTGCTGCAGAATCCTATGCAACGAGCTCGTCCGACCGTTGGTTGGGCTATTTATTGGACAAGCCTACATCCTCCTTCCGAGGGAGAAGTTTTCATGGCTCGGTAATTTGCATGCGAACATTCTCGGACCTCTGTTGTGGATGGCACGCACTGGCGTCGTACGCAGAGCGCTTGTGCCACGTTCCGCCACTACCACCCTTCTTCCGAGCTTCCGCTAGTATGGGTTACTTAACTGCTCGGGAGTCCTCTTCTCCCTTTGTCTCCACACGCAGTTCTCTAACGCCATGAGTTTCATCGCCTCGACCAGGGCGGTCTTCACGCGCATATTTACTGCCTTGGCCAACTTCGTGAAGATATGCCTCAAGCCTTTTGTTCAAGCTCGGTCTTTAAGCAGAGAAATCGGAGGTCTGGATGACGGCACTTTTGAGGCATGCATCCACCATTTCTTCTAGGCTGCGGATTTCATTCACAATGAGCACTTAGCTTGCCTCGTCTGGGCCACGGCCCCAGGAGGACAGAGTTGAGAATAGAACTTCGCAATTGCAATATCAGTGGGAATCCGTGATGCCTAAGGCTGTCTGTATCTGGGGATGTGATTGTGAATTCTGTCGCTTGCGACCCGTGAATGTGCGTATCGGTTCATACTGTTTTGCCTCTACTACGATTTTCTAATGAACTTCTTAGGTTTCTGGAAACACTGGTGCTCACACCGTCTACATTCCAACAGACCACTCTCCAAGGCCTCCGCAGCATTACAGACTACCCTCTCTTCGTTGTGTCATGGACACTCTTTATCCCCCCTCTCTCCTGACTGTTCCCACTGTCCTACCCAACTTTGCTACCTACATCCCTGAAGATCCCTTACACTTCCCTGCCGCTTGCGAGAATAGATGCCCTGCACCTTCCCATGTTTCAGGTGGCTCGCTAGGAGATGTGTACCCACTTCGCAGTGGCGGCCGCGGTCCGACAGTATGGGCCGAATTAGGGGATGGAGACAGAACTGACGACAGCTTTCCGCCCCCTCCCTATTCACGCTTTGACGCCGCGCGCCCTCGTTGTTACGAGGTGCCAGACACCTTATCGCGTTATCCACATATTTCCTTTCTTAATTCTCTGGCGTCCTGAGAGTTGACTTATTCACACACCCAATGGGTAGACAAGGGGTTAAAAGTAGAAGTCCTCCTGTAGTCCTATGAAGGTTATGTTCACAGTCGCGCTGTAGAGTTACTTTAGAAGGGGAGACGCAATGTAAGATCTGCGCGGCTTTTACAGGCTACTACTCACTCGAAGTTAGCTGTGTAATTCCCACGTCTTTGTAAGTTATCACTAGGTCCGAAGGTGGGACTCGAACGGCTCGAGAGGGATCCCAAGTCCAAGTCTCCTCCGCCCACCTACCTTAGACAGTTCTAAATGCTGTCCTCTATCGCAAGAAAGCGGGTTGCGTCTTGCAGTGGCCGCACAGTGGTCAGGCTATTCAATTTCTCGACGGCAGGGAAGAGGTAAGTGCGTATACCGGCACGCCGGACTATTCTGATGTGATCCCGTAGCCCTACAGGTCAGGCTCCTATGTTTCTGTGTCTGAAGTTGTATATTTGATGGATTAACAGCCGTCGTCATGTTGAATATGGGTGGCCCATCCACAGTGCGTTGTTCTAATTTGATAGATACTTTCATGGAATAGCAGTCTCTTCCTCTTCAGGTGCCAGAGACCTACGACTTCCTTCGAAATCTGTTCATGGATGGGGATTTGATTCCTCTGCCCTTTCAACGCGTTCTCGCACCACTTATTGCAAAGCGACGAACACCACAGATTGAGAAGCAGTACACTGACATCGGTGGAGGGTCTCCGATCCTCCGGTACACAGATTACCAAGGCGCGGCAATGTGTGCATTGTTGGACGAACTACATCCGGAGACTGCGCCGCACAAACACTACGTGGCGTTTCGGTACGCGAACCCACTGACACAGGAGACAGCAAGAAGAATGAGGGAAGATGGTATAAGAAGGGCCATAGCCTTCACACAGTATCCCCAGTACAGCTGCAGCACAACTGGTAGCAGCCTCAACGAGCTGTTCAGACGAGGAAGGGCAGGGGAGATGGGGGAAGTCGAATGGAGTGTGATTGACCGCTGGGGAACTCACCCAGGGTTCATCAAGGTTAGATGGAGAACCTTGTTTTTCATGACTGCGTGGTTGAGTCTCTGTGAATGCAGGCTGTCACACAGAATGTCGAAGCTGCCCTGTCCAAGTTTGAGCCTTCAAGTCGTTCCGACGTTGTTCTGCTGTTCTCTGCACACTCACTCCCCATGTCGGTGGTAAATCGCGGGGATCCATACGTCCTTGAGGTTGCCGCTTCAGTGAACGCCGTCATGGATCAATTAGGGCACTCTAACCCTTACCGGTTGGTCTGGCAATCGCAGGTAGGACCATCTGCCTGGCTGGGTATGCAAACCGGCGAGGCCATCAAAGGGCTAGCACGTCTAGGCAAAAAGCAAGTGATCTTAGTGCCGATCGCCTTTACAAGCGATCATATCGAGACCCTTTACGAGCTTGATATGGAGTACACAAAGGAGGGGAAGGAAGTGAGAGCGCTTTCTCTCTCATTTGTGTTTGTCTTCTAACTCGTGTTCCATCATATCACGTAGCCCGGCATGGAAATACGCCGCTCAGAATCCCTCAACGAGTCGCCCGTTTTTATCCGGGCCCTTGCCGACATCGTGTCACAACACCTCAGCGATTATTCCTCGGGGAAGATCGGTCCGACGAGTGTGCAAATGGGCCTTCGCTGCCCCGGTTGTAAATCTGCTACATGCGGTCAACAAAAGCACTGGTTCGCTCGGGGTGGACGATAAGAGGAGGGGCGTGCTATTACATAATGCTAATCGGGTCCCTTTTGCTGACTAAGCGTCGTAGAGTAATGAGTGGGCGCTATTTACGCATATTTAGATCGTGAAGATGAAGATGGGACAACATGAGAATTTAGATGTCTGCCTCCATCGTCGTCTCAGCTCCTGGGAAGGCCCTCCTGGCCGGTGGGTATCTGGTGTTGGATCCAGCATATTCTGGGCTGGTAATCTCAGTGTCGTCTCGCTTCTACACCGTTATCCGTGATGGGGGTCCTTCCGTTGGTCCGAATGAGATCTGCGTGCGATCGCCTCAGTTTATTGATGCTACGTGGAAGTACACTGTGACCCTCAAGAATGATGAAGTCCTTGTTCGCGAATCCTTGGACAGGTACGATATGACCGATTCTAGCAAAACCCTAGATGATTTAAATACAGGACTAGTTCTTCCAATCGGAATAGGTTCGTTCATTGCGCATTGCAACTCACCTTGAAATTGGCGTCGGAAGGCAATCCAAGAGCATTCGCGGAACTTCTCTCCCATGGCCTTGATATTGCTGCCATAGCCGATAACGATTTTTACACACAGAAGGTGAAAAACGTTGTGCCACAATGTACTTCGTGGCCTGATTATCACCCCACAGCGGGACCCCGGAGAACCACGACTGTCAATTGCATCACTATCTGAGATGCCCCCATTTTGTCCACTAAATGTCACGCTATCAGACGTCCAGAAGACTGGTATGGGCTCGTCCGCAGCACTCATCACTTCCATCGTATCAGCGCTTCTGCTCAAATTCGGCGTAATATCCAAGGAGGGGTTTGCGAGGCGCGACAGCGGCGACCGTGTACTGGCGCACAACATTGCCCAGTTAGTCCACTGCCTTGCGCAAGGTAAGGTGGGCAGCGGGTTCGATGTCTCTGCAGCTGTTTTCGGAAGTCACGTATACACGAGGTTCGATCCCAGAGTATTGGCACCCTTGATGGACGTAACAGAGGACATTTCAAATGTGTGATTTCAAACCCCAATTCTTTTGTAATTGGTAACTGATGCCTCGTATAGTTCGCGCGCATACCATTGCGGCCCGTCCTAGATCCAGGCGCAGCAGTTGACCACAACAAACCTACTTGGAACTCGAAAGTGGTACCCTTCCAGCTGCCGCCATTAGTGAGGCTTGTACTTGCAGATGTTGCCGGTGGAAGCAGCACGCCTTCTTTGGTAAAGAAAGTCAATGAGTGGCGTTCGAAGAACACCGAAGATGGTACCAACGCTGCTTCTCCTCTTGATTTTGCTCACCAGTTTCTTTGCTTAGCAAGGCGGCTGTGGACTAGCATCGATCTTTCGAACAAGAATATGGTAGATAGCCTCCGCGAGCTTTCTTCTTTGTACACGGCAGACACAGGAGCATACGAAGCAGCAGTCCAGAGCCTCACCTTCCTGCCGCCCTCCCAGTGGGTGGAGGCGGAAACATCAGAGGCGCAAAGAACGGTGACTCAAGCTTTCTATAGGGTTTATCAAGCTGGCCAGGTACGCTGAGTACTTGTGAAAACCGAGGTCCATGCTGAATCCTGCAGACCACCCGTTTTCTTATGCGGAAGATGGGCGAAAACGCAGGCGTGCACATCGAACCCCCCACCCAAACCGCGCTTCTGGACGAGTCAGTAGCACAAGCAGGGGTTATCGCTGGTGGGGTGCCGGGTGGTACGTGTCTCTCCACTTCGGGGTTATTCCCGTCGACTAATACCTGCCAGCTGGCGGTGATGACGCCATATGGGTCCTGGTGCTCGAGTCAGGGGATGCGTTGGAAACCCCCCTACATCGCGTCGAGCAAGTCTGGCGCAAGTTCAAGCAACGCACAGTTAGCCCGCTCTTGGCGACGCAGAGCATGGAGATAGGTGCGCGTGTCGAAGAGCTGGCTGGCATACGCGGGCTCGAAAGAGTTATCACGACGGATGATTACGCGAGGAAGAGTCCAACCAATTTATTCTAGATCGACACACGGGTATACACATTATACACATATCTTGGCTTCCCCCTCCCGTGTCCATGCCTTTCCCAGGGCAAGGAATAGAGAGACTACCATAACAACGAGCCCAAATGCGAAGCAAGTTGCGGCTGGAAGCTTACTCCGAGAGTACCACGGTAAAGACGGGTTTGCCAGCTTCAGGTAACATGCAGCTGGAAAAATAAAAGCCAGGGCTGTGGCTGAAACACCGCCTGTGATCTCCAAAGTAACGCCGAGGTCACAGGTGATGAGAGAAACTACGAGTTCTTTCAGCTCACGAGGACAAAAAAGTCAGAACAGAGTTAAACACTTACGGAACATGGATGAAATTATGATTGTCGTTGTGAAGAACAGATGACGCTGTGGACTGAAGGATTCGTGTGAAAAGAAATACTGTTCGATAACCTGTGGAAGCTCAGTGTGTTATCTAAAAGAAGCACGGAACGCGGCCACCTCTCTGCACACAAAGAGCTCCAAAGGGAGTGTGGTGAACATATTTAAGCCGAAACAAAAGCGGGCTACGTTGATCAGGGTATTGTTCTAGAAGTTCATTTGTCAGTACCATGCACCTCATGACATTCGCCCTGTCTTGGCTCACCGCCGGGAAGTTGTTCAATACATTTCCCTGGGTTTTATCCGTGAAATTCCAGAAAGCAGAAATAGCGAGGGTGCAACAAGCTACTAGCGAAATAGCTGTCGAGAAATGGGTGACCTGCGCAAAGCGATCCAGGGTAGGTTTTCGAAGACTACCGTAAATTAGCAGAGAATTGTGGTGACAAACGAACGCGAAGCTGATGACACCAATAGCCGGAAATACACCGGGACCAAGGATCGTAAACCGGGCCGACGGGTCACCTTTTAGTTCCTGGGGTGCATGCGGGCCTTCGATGAGAACGGAAGCGATTATGACTAGCATACTGAGAAGCGCCAGGCCCGACGCTCGGGACAGTTTGTGGATATCACGGTATAGGGATAGCGGGTACGACACGCAGAGAGTGCACAGTGTTATGATAACTTGCCGGTTTGTAAATATCGAGAGTACGGGTATCTTGTACAACGTCGGAAATGCTGAACGGATGACGTGGGGTATTGTGTCTCCTGTTTGAAATATCAGATTTACCAGGGTCATAAGAGGCATTCATATATAACTACCACAGACCAATGATAATCCCAAAAGCGCACATGCCTGTGAAACGACGGTAAGTCTCCGTAACAGTGCTACACGTATCCGTTTGACTTACCCCCAAAAGCAAACGTAAACTGAAATAATGATACAGCAGCGCGACCACTTGGACCAAAGCAATTGTGCATGATTTCGATGTACGAGTTTCCTCCACTCAACTTCGCGTTCAATACGACGAGACGAACGGTCCAGTCTGTGACACCACATAGAATGACTAGCAAAATAACTCCACAGAGAAAGCCTGCTTGACTGATTGCATATGGTAAACCTGACGTTGTTGTATGGATACCTTGCTAAGCATAGAGTCAAATATGACAAACACACACCAATTATACCTGGCAGAAGTAATGAGAGCACGCACTCCCAAAAAAAAAAGTAGTCTCACCAGCCCCGAGGATTGAATTAGCCATATTCGCCACGGAGTCGAACATATTTCCGCCGGCGTGCTGTTTAGCGGCCATCTCTGCTATGTCGACAGGACTTGTCAAGGATTCTTCACGAGCTGCAGGTTCGTACATAGGTATTATAGTGTCTGGTGTTCTTCGCGCTCCTTGAGGGTCCATGAGGCCGGTAAGGAGAGGAATGGGCCGTTGCCTTGACCGTCGAGGCCGTGGAGACGTCGAGCGGGCTCGATCGGAACCCGATTCTTCCAGAGTGGACTCATCAAAGTCATCTGAGTCAAGCTCAAACTCTGCGCAAGCAGTCCTGAGGCGAGCTGAACTAGGCCCGAAAACGTACGCACCGGCCTCTCTGCTCCGCATGGTTGACCTTAACGGCGGTCCAATAACCTGTGCTTCCTCCTCGAATCTGACAGTGGGCCTTGGAAAATTCGAATAGGGCGCAGAAGAACTGGACTCGTCCCCGCTGTCCTCAACATCTTGCGCGGAAAACAGTAGCTGTGCTCGGTCTCCGTGGTGAATAACAAGATCCTCGCCATTCCCTTCGAGCAAGGGCTGTCTCACGTCGCCGTCCACCCCAGAGATCCGTTCTTCCTGTCTCTTTTTCTGTGAAAACATGATTAGCAAAAATCCATAAGCTGTTTCGCAAACGTGGTTGTTTCTGCGATGACCCGTCCATGTCAGGCGTGATATTTCAACACGTGACCCAGACGCGCCTCTTCATACAATGCCCCTCATCCTCAAGCTAAGCGAGGTCTTCAGACCACAGTATCGCCGGGATAGGGTGTTTGGCCCGACTCCCTCCATTTAGGGGCCATCTTGAGGAGGTGAACGATATTCACTCCGCATCCGCGCCACTTCCGTTCTCCCTGTCTCGACCGCGGCCTCCATAAAACGTACTTGGGCATCTTTCAACATCTTGGCTTTATACTGCGTACAGGCAGTGGCATCTCAGACCGTCTCACCGGCTGCCATTGCTACGCAATACTCCCTCACGACCAGTACCTCTCTTCCATTTCCTACTGCGACTCTGACATCCCAAGGTGCCCTGTCATTTATAACATCGCAGTGGTCTCTCTCCAACGGCAACATCTCTTGGGGACAGAGTGACCTTGCGTTCGTCAGCGACCCTTTCCCAAATAATCCCGTACCCGGCTCCACTAGCTCGAGTCCTGTCCTGCAGATAACTTACCCGGCAGGAAGCTACTCAGGCGGCACTGGCGGGGTGCAGTGGTACACACAATGGAATACTTCTGATGGGTCTACATTTAACAGCATGTTGTTGTCATATGAACTCGCATTTGACTCGGAATTCGACTGGTCGAAAGGTGGGAAGCTGCCAGGATTGAGAGGCGGTCCAAACGCCACCAGCTGCTCAGGTGGTAGTCAACCAACGGGAAATGATTGCTTTAGCACTCGATTAATGTGGAGGAGATGGGGCGCGGGTGAAGGTACAGGGCCTGTGATTTGACTGAGCACTTATGTATGACTGACACGGTGTTCCAGTGTATGCGTACATGCTGGAACCGAATGATCTGTGTTCGCAAGACAACATCATATGTAATTACGACTACGGGATAAGTATTGGCCGTGAATCAGTTTATTTCGCGACGGGACAGTGAGATCTACTCCCAAGGCAGCCATCTTGCCGTTCTGCTAACAGACTGCATTCCCAGGTGGATGCGTATAACTCTGCTCGTCCAAATGAACGATCCTCCCGATGTTGCCAATGGGAACGTCGTCGCTTAGCAAGTGGAACTACTTGTTCTTCTCCCCATCTATTGATTGTTAGATGTAGCTTCGATGGATATCCAACAATATCGCAACAAGGTTTGCAATTCAGAAGCGGAAGTGCTGTCAACATCGGCGGCTTATATTTCTCGTTAGTCATTCAGTCATCTACGCTTGACCGAATCTTGATTCCATGATACTAGGACATTTTTCGGCGGTAAGAGCAATTTTTTTGTTTCACCCATGACATGTTAAATTCTTCCCCCAAGGCTCAGACAATACTTGGGCAACTTCAGAAACAGTGAACACTTATTATCGCAACTTCGAGTTGTATGGTAGCTCATTGCCATCGAATCTTACAGGGCAGAAAGTTAGTAGTGCCGTGGCGTGTCCTGTCAGTTTAACTCCCACTGTAATCCTAACGGTCTTGGTTGTTTTCGCATGGCATCTCAGCTATTAGTACAGTACACCTAAAGCGATGTCATTTGCCATCCGATCGTCATCATGTGTCAAGTAATCTATATTACTAAGCAACTATGATATGCACGCCCACGTCCGAATCAACTTTTCCGTCCTGTCATCGAACTTTGCGCGAACTCGACGTCCATGACATTCTCAGGTGCACTGGTAAGACGATGCCGGAGCCCTTCGTAGCGGCCTATCTTGAACTGATTGCCCCAGACGTTGACTGATCTCAATGATTTCATCACACCCTCTCAAGCGTGTATCAAGCCTGTCGAGGTGCTGAGCCCTCCGGAGGATAAGAAACAGTCGGGTTCCGCTTTCGTGAGTCTATCGATTTGTTTTGTATATTGCTCGACTTTACGCGCCTGGTAGACGGAGATTAAGATCGACTCTGCCGGGTCGTACTACGAAGTGTCTTCCTTGAATCAGGATGCCTCGTCACCCAAGGGTGCGGAGCGCAAACTTCAACAGGCACAAATTAGTCTCAACGATTGTCTTGCATGCAGGTGAGCTAACTCTATGAGCCCCGTTCACCAAATAGTCTAACTGCGTACTGAACTAGTGGTTGCATTACTTCGGCCGAATCCGTCCTGATCACACTCCAGTCGCATATCGAGGTATTGAATGTGCTAAGTACCAACCCGCCTCCGTCGTCACCCGATTACAGGTTCCCGGTGATCTCTATTGCCCCACAGAGCCTCGCCTCGCTCGCAGCTACCGTCTCCTCAACGTCTCGCTTCCCCGTATCACTCTTGCAGATCTTGCGACGCGTGCAAGTGTTTTGTACAGGAGTGTTGGGTTTCGAGCGAGTGTATGATACTAGCTTTGCTCGTCACATTGCGTTGCTCGAGCATACGCAAGAATTCTGGGAGCGGAAACGCGACGAAGGCGAAGCAAGGTTGCCGATGTTAGCAAGTGCGTGCCCAGGGTGGGTGTGTTATGCTGAGAAGACCCATGCGGAGATGCTCCCATTTATCGCAAGAGGGAAGAGCCCACAACAGGTCATGGGTACCCTTATAAAGACGTGGTTGGGTGGCATATGGGGGAAACGGTGCGTACCAGTCGTGTTGATGTGTTTGGCGGTGTTCCCATAATTTCCCTCAAGACCTGATCAGATATACCACGTTGCCGTGATGCCATGCTACGACAAAAAACTAGAAGCCTCACGGCAGGATTTTTACGACGAGGTACACTCCACGCGGGACGTTGACTGTGTCATCACCACTGGGGAGCTCGAACTTTTGATGCGTGAGAAAGGTTGGGACCTCTCAGTTCCCGTCGAGAATGAGACCACTCCACGGCATCCCACTTTATCCGGGTCAGACTCGTGGCAGGAACCTGTTTTGCCCGAGCTCATCCAACATCCCGGGACCAGCTCGGGCTCCTATCTCCACACGCTGATATCTGCGATAACTCGTATGCTGCCAGATCCTCTTGAGACTAGCGTAAGGGCGATCCGGTCGTCTGATTACGAGGAGTATGTACTTCGGAACCAGCGAACGGGTGAAGTTGTTTTCAAGGGCGCAAAATGCTACGGGTTTCGCAACCTACAGAATGTGGTACGGAAAGTTGGAAAGGAGACTGGGGTGCAAATTGGGAGGGGTGCCGCTGGTCGTATTGCTGGGGCTGTGAGGGTGCGGACTCGGAAAATAGGTGCAGGTGGGGAGACTGAATTAAAGGGGTACGACTATGTTGAGGTGATGGCGTGTCCAGGTGGGTGTGTTGGTGGAGGTGGTCAGCTTCGACCCATTGCGCAAGCGTCGCAGAGGCAGGTGGATGAGGAAGGGTACCCTCGGAATTGGGGGGACAGCGGTGTGCGGGTGGAGGACGGCGGACCCCAGGACACCATTGCGGGACCGAAGTGGGGCAACAAGGAATGGACAAAAGAGGTGGAGAAAGCATATTGGCACGATCTACCCACGCCGCCGCCGTCGCCGACATCAGACTTGCTGCCGGAGGTGGACCAACTCGCCATTCGGGTTAAGGTGGAACTATGTCGACCGCAAGACTCTGCCAGTCAGTTTGATTGGTCATCTCCGATGGATGCAGAGGCTGAGCGTCGTCGGCGAGAACTCCTTCGAACTCGGTATCGAGCGGTCGAAAGTGATATAGTGGGTCTCACCGTGAAGTGGTAAGACCCTTGACGCAACAGAATGAGCGGATCAAGGCGATGCGCTGGTGCTTGTCATTAAGTACATGTGCATGTATCTTTACATGTGTATCATCTGGAATATAGATAGAGATGTTGCGATGGGCACAGGGATGACAAATGGAAGGGGCAGAGAAATATGCCAAAAAAAAATAGTAGCTCTACGCTAAGTGCGTGATCGATGCAGGCTGACGGGGTTGCGGACAGTTGATTTGAACGGTATATGAAGAGTCGTTTGGCTATCGGACACGTTGGGAGCCGGGTCCTTTGAACCAATACTGGCAAGAAGGACAGTACTGTGGCGTTGTGAAAGTGATTGTCTCCTTGACATCCGGGCCGAGATACTTGGTAGCATTGGGATCAACAGAAAACGCACGGAAGGCGGTGGGCACGACGCACCCGTTCACAGTGACAATCCCCGCAGTCAGGCGAGTGGCGGATAGAGTGGGTACAATATCGGCTGTTGCAGTCAATTTTTCTGACCTTGCGTGTCTTTTGCACTTCTTCAGCGACACTGCTCCGGGGAACGGAGTAAGGATTGAAGACATACCACTTGGTAGTGCTGTAATGGAGGTTAGTAACGGGGGAAGACGTGCACAGATAGCAAGCGATGCCCTTACCCCGCAGCCATACTTGGTGCCTTCGCTAAAGAGACAAAGCCATCAATCACGGATGAAGTAGGCCCACCAATAGGAAACAGACGCACGTTTCGAGATTACACATATAGCCGGCGACGAAAAAGAGAAGACAAGAACAAAGTTGCCTATCCCGGACAGAAGAAGGTTGGTCGCGCGTCTATCGCAGCACGTCGGCAGAAGTCAAAAAGAAAAAAAAAGAAATAGGACGATTGGAGGAGAGGTACGAGGTAGGACAGAAAAGGGGGAAGGCGGGGTTGGTGAGTTAGTCAGTCGGACGAGGGTGGGGGATGTTATATAGCAAGTGCGGGGTGTTAGCAACCGGATGGTCACAGGACCGGACAGGAGCGATCGGGCTGATATATATCTGGGTGGAAGCAAATCGCAAAGGGGATAACAAAACGCGTGTCGGTGTCTCTCTCTCAGCGGTTCACTCGATTTCAAAGACACCGGTCCATCGATTACCCAAACGTCAAACTGGAATTCCTCCACTAAAATCATCTCGGATCTACAACCCCTCCTTTGTTTGTTCTTTGTTTGCGTCCACCCTCCCAAACAATGACATACACCACCCCCCGCCCAGCCCACTCATTGTCTGGATGTCGTCCCCATCGTCTCCGTCGCCGACAACCCGCTCCAGGACCCTTCTGTTTATCTCGTATCGCGATTCAAGAATACGTTCGTCCAGCTCCTCAAAACACCGCCCATCGTATGACGATCCGTATCAAGCCGACGACGACGACGACGAGAACCAACACCTCATAACCCAACAACACCTCGCCCTCGACCTTCAGTTGCCTCCGAAATGGTACGTTCGCCTTCTATCCGAGGCCCCGGTTCTTACCCTTCTTGGCCTAATCACCATCTATAGGGTCGACATCTCCGATCAGGTGGAGGATATACTCGCTGCGGTCCAGTCGAAACGTACGTTCTTCGGCCCTTTTTCGTCGGTCCGACCATCACTCAAATCATGTTACAAGTGAGTGCACTTGAAAAACTCCATGCGAAGCGTGTTCTTCCCGGATTTGCGGACCGGACAGCGGAGGAACGGGAAATCGAGGCAGCGACCACTGACATCACCAAGGTAATGCACCATCCGCTGTGCACGCACCCGCCCGTGCTTAGCCCAAATCAGGACTTCAGGCGTTGTCATGCCCTTATACAACGAATCGGGGTTGACCAAAGCCACTCCTTCCCCCCATCAAGTGGGACCTACCACGAGTCGCTCACTGCCAGAAATGTGCAAAGAGGACTCGCCGCCAAAGTGCAGGAACTCAGCTCCACATTCCGAAAGAAGCAACGTGTCTTTATGGAACGTGAGTGGTTCCCCCGTTCGGGCACTTCATAAATTCTTTGACGTCACTCATTTTCCACGCTCTTCCTCCTTCCAGGTCTCCAGGGTCACGTGATAAAACACCAGGATCTTCTCATAGCTTCAGGTACCATTTCTTCCCGGGGTTCAGAGGGCCTCTCCGCCCTTGACGATGATGTGCGGGCTGCTGTATGTATACATTTCACATCCAGTTTTTGATATTTCGCCAATTTTCACACGCACCGTCTCTAGCAGGCACAGATTATGGAAGTAGATCAGACGCATGACCTTCGGCTTCGAGACCGCGAGTTGACACAAATCGCCAACTCCATAGCATCATTAGCAGACCTTTTCAAGGATCTCTCCAATCTGGTGATAGATCAGGGTACCCTGCTCGACAGCATCGAATACAACATCGAACAGACTTCGGTGCAGGTCACCGAAGCCGTCAAGGAACTTAATATCGCAACAAGGTACGCTTTCTTTGCTTCAGGCCGCTAATTTGCATGTCACACCGACTTGCCCGGATAGGTACCAGAAGAACACAGGGCGACGGAAAATCATCTTCCTCTTATTGCTCATCATCTTTGGGTTGATTATCGTCTTGATCTTTAAACCGCGTCGCCACCGTTCCGCCTTGGGCGATACTTCACAATCTGCCTCACTTCCATCGAGTAGTTTCATGCCAGTATACGTGCGACCACGGACACGCTTCTGACCTACGCACTTTCAAGTCAACATGGATTCAGGGCCCACTAACAATTCCCTTACCGAAGGGAAGATCGAGTTAGTCGCCTATTGCACTCTTGCGATACAGTGTACAGCCATGCCTGGAATACTGGCAGGTTGCATCGTGCTGATAACTCCTTCCTTGACTATACATGCCAAGCCCCACATGTCCATCACATTATTCTTATGACTTATTGCACTCGTGTCGCGTGCAGTGTTGGAATGCTTAGATGTTAACTCGGTGCACACCTACTATTTGAAGGGTCACATTTCATCGATGGAGGGCATCAAATTGTTTTGTCGGATACTGAACGGCGAAGCGGCCGGCAAACGTTCCCCGCACTAAAGACCATGGGGCTATGGGGAAACCCACTTCCGGTATGTGTCTGTCAAATTGGTGTCAGAGCGTACATGAGGCGGGCACGAGAATAAGTCATATTTGAGCGACCATCCTGGGATATTAGGTGAAGAAACGATTCACACCGTTGCCATCACAAGAATGCCTCATTGCCTGAAATTCCTCCGGGCGTAGAGAACGCTCCAGAGGCACTGTGGCCTGTGGGTGAATGGAGGGAATCCACATACCTAGTTGATGGCCGGTCAGAGAAGACAATGCAACGTGCATCATCAAACCACCAGCAGCCCGGTCGGAAGTGAATACAACACAGAAGGGTCGGTACTGTACCTTCCAGCGCACGGTTGAACATTTGGTAATGCAGTGATATTGCTCATTCTCTTGGCTGCATCACCTGACCCAGAATATCTCCAAAGAATGTTTTCGTTTCTCACAAGATACGTACACAATGTTTCTGGATCTTTGAGCTTACTCGTGATCTCACCGAGGACAGTGTACTTAAGTCATAGATATATCATTGCATCATGATCGAGGGGAAAAGTACAAAGGATGGGGGAATTATGCCAGTGCACCCTAAATACAAAATACACTGTCAATTAAATCACAGATAAACTAAGGAGAAGAACATACCATAGGATCCCAAGCAGGCAAAACCGACGGCTCACCCGCTTCAAATATCTTGACGAGCTCTTTCGGCGCTAACGATTTATGTACGACAACCTGGTATACAAACCTGCACCAATGGTTATTGACCTTATCGGATATCACCGCGGCTCGAAAACACGTACTCGTCGAACCACTTGTCGCTCATGACCATATACCCTTTGTGCCCACTTTCATCACCCCACGAATTCTCAACCTTGAAGCGAATAGGACAACCAGTCTTCTCATCGACGTGGACACCCGAGATGACCATGGCGTGTGTCATCGCTGACTCGTTGGTCTGCAGACGTTGAGCTTTGGTTAGGTTCAACTGGATGTTGAACGCTTGCTGCTGGAGAGTCACACAGCTGTAATGGGCTGCAGAGTATACACTGCACTCACCTGGTACTGATGGTAGTCGAGGTCCATTATGCCGACGTCCTTGGAAGAATCCGAGAACTGGTTGACATCGCAACCAAAGAACACAGGCTGCCCTGCTTTGATGGACTGAAAACATTCATGTTAAGAGAACTAGTATCGGCATCGGCAACCTAACGTACTCGAACGACAGCTGCCTTGAGCTCCGTGGATCCAGTGTTCACGTCTGGAACACGCTATTAGTGCATGAATCGGATGTAACCCGCTGAGACTGACATAGAACCCGACGTCCACCCCAGACGTTGCCAAGCTTATCTACGGTGTAAAGCTTGTTGTACTCATTCCTGGGATCATCGATGAGCGAGAAGCATTCAGAAGGCTAGACGCGGTTGATTTAGGGGAAACAGTTCGTAAGTGTTCGTGATAATGAGGACCGACCGTATATCTGGTGGCGAACGCCTTGTAGAACTCAAGTGGAGTACCTTCCCACTTGGAGTACTTGCCGTCCTCGTTGTAGTACTCCCACGTGAACGAAACGTCCGGCTTAGGAGGAACACCGAGAGTGGCGGTCATAATGGTGTAAACCTCCTGCATAAGTTGCTCCTTCTTAGCACGCAGTATCGCAGTGACTTGTTCAGAGGTCAACGAGGAGTTGGCCCGGAGCGTAGCAGACAAATCACGAAGCGTAAGTGCATGTTCACGCAACTTCAACTTAAGAAGGTTGTTCAATGAACCAGAAGCACTAGAGTGAAATGACTCCGGGTACATAGGCAGCGGCACGAGACCGTACGTCTAACCGTCAAAGAATGGAATGAGGTGAACGCCTGGCTGCTAGTGAAAGTGTGACAACACTGACCTCGAGGAGGTTGACTACCATGTCCCATTGACCGCCATCACTAATGAGGTCGTCTGCTAGGAAATTAACGAGACGGTCATCCACTGGAAGGTGCGCGTTTTCGATAGACAGCTCAAGGTAGTAGTTGGACTTGTTAAGCTTATCCCAGAAAAACAGATAGGACTAGAAAGTAAACTTCATATCAGGAAAATGCCATCCGAGTGACGTGAGTCACGGTGGACGAACTTGTGAACACTGGAAGTCCTTGAGCTTGAGTTTCTTCATGACCTCGTACCTAATAACATTGGTCGTTGCAAACAGCCAGCAACGACCACTCGATTTCTGGTTGGTAACGGGCCCGGTATGGAACTCCACCTCATGGTTAAACACATGAGGGACCGCAATCTGCGTTTCACGGGACGTCAATGCTGTCTTGATGTTGGAATGTGCGAGGACAGTACGAGCGAGTTGGATCTTGGGGTCTGCTGAAGCAGTCAACTCCCAAGCCTCGACGTTAGAAAGGGAGACGGAGCCATCGGACGATTTAGGGAGGGACACGTCAGTGTAGTGAGCACTCCCCGAGGCACGTCGGGCCTTCTCGTCAGTTGACTGCCTCTCGCGCTCGAGTGACGACTTGGTTGGCTGCTGGTTGGCGGCTTTAGACACGATTCCACCCATGATGCAAGTTAAGGATGAAAGACTTGGGAGCCGAAAACCGTCCCGGGGCATGCCTTAAGTCTGAGGGCGCGGCAGCTGTTGAGAAGGACACTTTTATAGGGCCGCGCCAGTACACAGTCTGGCACCACATGGCGATACAGCGATAACAACGAAGCGGCTTGGCTGCTGTCAGTGTGTACATGGTCCACCCACAAAAGATGTCGGTTTTGCTATACACTGAACGTTGTCTGCTAGTGCCAGTCCAATAAACGGTCTACAGTACTACATTATCCTATTACTTCAGTCCCAGTTCTCGGTACGGTAGCACTGCTTATCATGGTATTACAGCGCGGATCATGTGACTATAAGAAGCCTATGCCGATTCGCTTGGAGGTTCACGTGACAACTTGCAGACAGTGAGATGCGTAGACACGACACCTGAATATAGTTAGCGCACAACACAGAATGAAGTGAAAAATGGGTGATTACCATGCATAAACAACCGTTCCCTTTGGGCATCGTACACCACCGATGTGATCCCCGAAGCCAATCGACCTGAATCCTCAAATGCCTTATCGTGAGGATGAAGGTGAGCAATGATAGACTACGAAGGGAGGATGACGGATTCACCTTATTAACGTTGTACCTTTGCCCGTGAACGGAGCCCAGGTCTCCATTGACCGTCACTCGAAGGCCCGTCGAGGACACTGGAGCTGAGGGGTCCTCAAACTTCCTAAAGATAAGTCCAAGAACATCTGCAAGGCCTTGCGGACCAACGCGTGAGCTTTCGAATGCAACGAATAACCGGTGGCGACTAACCTGCAACCCAAAGCGCCCCGTTGGAATCAATGGCAAGGTTGTCCGCTGCGAAGCCTGGAAAGGGCTGAGCTATACAAATACCGACAGAACACAACACAAATGTGTTACCTGTCTTAATGACCTCGCTAAATAGCAATGTATGATCAGTGCCTTTCTTCAGAACTGTGATTTCTCCCAGCATAGAATCTGCGACGTAGTACGTATTGTTGTTGTGACCAAGTCCCTTGACAATCCCGTTGCTCCCGTGGAGTCCGCGGTATGCAAATTTACAGCCATGATCAGCGTGACAAAAGCCAACAGACGTGTCATAAGGTTGGATTAACACATCCAGATGCCGTTTCTGTGCAGAGTCCCTAACTTAGCATGGCATGAGAAGAGTTGTGAAGGATGACATACAAGACCAGACTTCTGGGAATGGTCATTTGTGAAGTACATACTCCTCCCATCTGGAGATCCAACGACATCGTTGGGAGTGATAATGATGGCGGGATCTTCGAAGGTCCTAAGATGCCTCAACTCGCTGTCCCCCAGTCGAGTTTCAAAAACTTCAATCACAGAATCAGCCCCAACGCTGGAGGGGTCGCCGGCCGCGGGTTTCCGGTGGTTGACGAGATACACGTAAAGAGTTGATGGATCCTGTGCGGAAATAACCACATCCATCCCATGCAGGGAAATTCCACTGCGTGAGGACAAACCAGTGAAATTGAGCCGCGTGATTGAGTTCGTTTCATAGTCGTAGACAGCGACATGGTCGTCCTCGGACATTCCAGACGCGTTGAGCCTATCAATGGCGGGCATCCACTGGAGTCGGCCATATAGTGTCGAGCACGCCAAATAGAGTAGGCCAGACGGCTGATGTAGTATGATCTCTGTGTCGACACGGTCAGTTTCATGAGACAGGAACAAAAAAGAAAGGAATTCACTCTCGCATGCCTGGAGCTCCGGAACAATGCTGCAATTGCTGGTTCCAATGGATTCTACGGACCTTCCTATACCCATCGCTGCCAAATACGGCTTAAGGTGTACACACCCAGCGACAAGGATGGCCAATACAAGGACGGCAACGCTTCTGAAGGCGCGATCCATGGGGGGGAAGCAGAGGGGGGAGGGAGGAGAGAGCCCGGATGGTTAAGGCACACGGCATTAATATTTATCGCGGCATTCCGCTAATGCTGGACTCACAAAATCGGAGCATCGGAACCCACCTATGGAGAATGCTGAAGAACGCGACGTCCCCGTCATTACTGCTTCCTTATTGTTGTTGCAGTTGTTTAAAACTGTCAGGTCGATAGAAGGAAGGTGGTTTCGATCGCTGGGAAAAGCATCGCAGAGATTAGCATCCAGCGATATTCTTGATAGACAGAAAGTCTCGGTGAAATCCGTGGACGGCGATAGCTGGCCTCAGCTAATAGCCTGGCCAACGTCTGAGTCGATGACAACGGATTCACAGCTGCTAATAGAGTTTGGTGACAACTGACCTAAACTGACTTGTTTGTTTGTGTGTAATCACAGGCTTGTCTTGTAATTCTATTTACCCCCTGCAGGTTCTACCAGGAACAGGTTCACCTCTAAAATGAGTATAGATGTCCTTGAAGTCCGTGGTCTCACCTCAATTTTGTTGTCTCTTCCGTTTTGCAAACTTACTAGTACCTCAGGTCACTCCCCAGAGTTTGGCGTACTTGTGTCTGGGTGGCTTCGTCGTGCTAGTTAGTCGTTCGGGCGTGTGTCCGGGAAAACTCAAATGCTTACCCTACTAGTTCTCCATGGTTTCCCTTCTTGTGAAGGAGAAGGTCAGTTCGAGCTCTGTAATCTGCTCGACAATCTCATTCTCTTCAGTAGCTATATATCAATGAAGTCGTGCTCGGCACGGGGTTCGGCGTGCTCATGGGTCCTTATGTTGCCAACGTATTCAGTCCCAGGTCCTGGGGTGCTGAGCAGAACATAATCACGCTTGAGGTTATGAGGATCGTCCTTGCAACTGGTCTCTTTGCGGTGGGCGTTGAGCTGCCGTGTGCTTACATGTGGGAACATGTCAGGGGTTTGTTAATTATGGTGGTGCCTACCATGGCGTTCGGTTGGATCATTGTAGCAGGTGAGTGTCTCTGGCCCCATCTCCCGTCTGAATTGATCTTATCTGGCCGCTACAGGGATCCTTCATGCCCTTTTCCCGATGTTGGATATGATCTCTGCACTTTGTATCGCTTCCTGCCTTACTCCCACCGATCCAGTCACCTGTGCAGCCATCACTCGTACGTAATCTGAGTTTCTATCGGTGAGGCGTGGTCAGCCAAGAATCTTCTTTTCCTAGGCGGAAAATTTGCTGCAAAGCATGTCCCCCTCAAGATTCGCAGAATCTTATCAGCTGAATCTGCAGCGAATGATGGGTTGGCGTATCCGTTCCTCAGTATTTCTCTATACCTGACTGCCGAAACATCCACTCGCGTCGCCATTGGAAAGTGGTTCCTCGTTGGTTGGCTATGTGAGATATCGTTCTCTTCTGTTGACTGGAACGCTAACTTCTTCTGTGATATAGATCAGGTCATCTTTGGCACCACCCTCGGCGGAATTCTCGGTAAGCTCGAACGTGCTCTCAGCAGAATCTTACTCATGGTACAATACCCAGGGCTCATATTCTCTAAGCTTATGAAGCTTAGTCATCGGAGAGGTCTCATTGACCGTGAATCCTACATTGCGCAATATTTAGCTCTCGCGATCTTCACCACCGGCGTTGCCAGCAGTCTCGGCGCTGATGACCTCCTCGCAGCATTTGCGGCAGGTGTGTGCGGTGGTTAGCTCACCAGTGCATTTCGCTCACGGTTTCTGCAGGCTCAGCAATTTCATGGGATGGACATTTCAATACGCAAACCGAAGGTGATGCGTTTGCGTCTGTCATAGATTACGTCTTGAACTGCGGTTGCTTCATCTATATTGGCGCTTGGCTGCCGTTCAGTTCCTATAATACCTCGGATCTCGGGATTACCCCCTGGCGCCTGTGTTGTCTAATGATCGCATTACTTGTTCTCCGTCGCATCCCCCCTTTATTGCTACTTTATAGATTCGTTCCGGAAATATCTTCCTGGAAAGAAGCATTGTTTTCGGGGCACTTCGGTGAGTTGACCAAGCTCCTGACAACGATTAGGTCATTGATATCTGGTTTCAGGACCGGTGTGTAGTTGTTTTCTAGTCGTGGTAGTATTGATGCCGAATGCCCTTGGCAGATGGGTGTCAGCGCGGTGTTTGTCTCTGCATTAGCTTTGACTCGCCTTCCCACTCCTGAAAATCCCCCAGCGGATCAGCAACAGTTGCTCGCGGCAGTTATTCAACCTATAGTGTCGTTCGTCGTTCTTGGTTCCATCATAATTCGTGCGTTTCGTCTGTTTCTCCCTTCGGATTCGGCTGATAGCCTACAGACGGACTTTCTATTCCGTTCTTCAACTTGGGCCGTGAGGTGCACTCACGCACTACCAGTCTATCTTTGAATTGGACCTGGACTAACCGCACCACACCCGATTGGGTCCTTTGGGCGCGCCGCCCTGAAGGTGCAACAGCAACGCCTAGCGCTATCAATATAGCTGTGGCCGACGTTGAACGTGGTGCGGTGCCAGTAGCTGATGTTTCCCCCTGCAACGAAGAACTGGACTGTGATGACTCCGAAACGGTATTAGCTACGTCGGGAAGGGACGAGGTAGCAGATGTTTCGGAGCTCATAACGAGCCGTTCTCATCGACCAAGAGAGGACGAAATTCCAGGCTTGGACAGTCGCGTTAAGGTCCACTTCTCACCCTTCGTCCACTGAGGATGTCGCTGATCAATTAGGATACACAGCCCGGAACTGAAGCTGATGTTATGCAAGCTGAAGACTTGACCTCGCCGAACAACTCCCAGGTGAAAACTGTACGCTTTCCGAGTACTCAATAACAACTACTGGGAGTCCACATTGGACATGAAGTTGTCCATGTCATGGTCAATGCCTCCTATGCCTTATCACGAAATTTTGTGTCTTGGAAGCCAGGAATATTGGTGTGCGTTTGCACCACGTTTCTTGGTTCGAGCTGTTCTCGCATCTCCAATACCTACATTCTAGAAGCTCATGACTCTCGTTACATCGAGTTTACCCAAAGCAATGAATATCCTCCACCACTGCCAGTCGAGTTTTGACATGTCTGATGTGAGGCGAGTTGCTTGGAAGTTACCTGCCAGTCGACAGGAAATAAGTCGTGCAGTCATGTTATTCCATGAGCTGCAAGGAACTTGCAAGTTACTGTACTGTATTATCTAATCGTACCTTTCACGCCCACTCACGATGGACGTTGACTCTGACTCTGACATCTCCCTTTTCGGGGACGAAGACCCGCGTGCCAAGGGTAAAGGTAAGGGAAAGGCATCAGAAAGGCTGAGGAAGGGAAAAGCAAAAAGAAAGGCAAAGGAGGTCAGTTTCGCCTATGTGGGGTCCGCCCGGAGGATGGAAGTTGAGGAACACCTGGCTATAGCAAGCTTATACATGGGAGGCCTCATATACGCGCTCATGGGATACTGTTCAAGAAGACGAAACTGGGAGCTTGCAAGGGTCTGTGGAGGATTTGATGGCTAGGGGCCGACGAAGGAGGTATGCTACAGTACCTTGTGTGCTCGACTCGCTGGCTGAGCGCACATAGACTCCTCGCACCTGCCTCTGCCATACGACGCACGATCATCCGGCATCTGGTCTTGATTTTGGACCTTTCAAATTCCATGATGGACCGTGATTTTCGCCCCACGCGATTTGACCTTGCGCTTCGCTACGCTCGGGAGTTTGTAGCGGAGTGGTTTGACCAGAACCCACTTGGACAAATTGGTGTTGTTGGCATGCGTTCTGGCCTTGGGGAGCGCGTCGGCGAAATGTCAGGTAGGGTAACATCGTATTCAGTGTGTTCATCTGACGTGATTTTGCAGGCAACCCTCAAGATGTCCTCAGGTCGTTGAGTAACAGGGCAAAATTGGAACCTGCTGGAGAACCAAGCCTGCAGAATGCGATAGAAATGGCGAGAGGCAACATGAGGTACTTTGCTTCCCAAATCATTCCATGTGACCCGCTCACACCCATAGTCACCTACCGACACAGTCATCTCGCGAAATCCTTATCATCTATGGCTCGCTAACTACTTGTGACCCTGGTAACATTCACGAGACTTTAGAGGTCTGCGTCAAGAGTAGAATTCGGATATCCATCATCGCCCTCGCAGCAGAGATGAAAATCTGCAGGGAACTAAGTGACAAGACAGGAGGTAAGTGAAAATATTTATTTAAAAGAAACCCGTGATTTCTTCACTAGCAAGTACGTAGGGAAATTTGGAGTGGCCATGAATGAGGGCCATTTCAAGGACTTGTTGTTCGAATTAGTTCCTCCTCCCGTTCAGCAAGCCACGATCCGTAATGCGGGCCGCGGAAGTGGAAATCCACCCGCAGATCTGATGATGATGGGCTTTCCGACCCGTCTTCCAGACACGTCGACTCCGAGCCTTTGTGTTTGCCACTCGGACATGAAGAGCGAGGGATTTCTGTGTCCACGTTGTATGGCGAAAGTGTGCGACGTACCGACTGATTGCGATATCTGTGGCCTTATGATTGTGAGCTCACCCCATCTGGCACGAAGCTACCACCACCTGTTCCCCGTCAAGCCGTACGAAGCGGTGTTCGTACCTGTACTCTTGTCCGTATGATTTGGCTGAGGGTTGGTTCTACCAGGACGTCACTCGACGACACGTCCCAGTCGGCCAGCGCTTGTCACGCATGCGCTCGGCCGTTTCCAGCAGCACCTTCAAGTGGAGTTGTGACGGAGGGGATCAGCCCGCTGGGCCGATACCGCTGTCCAGATTGCCACCACGACTTCTGCACTGAATGCGATGTTTTCGTACACGATGTAGTTCACTGCTGTCCAGGCTGCGGCAAATGAGCACCTTATTACTCTGTACTTACATGTAGAGGGACAATTCAACAAATTTCATACGTGACCCGCGTGCGGTCCGCTGAGGGGCGCGGTGAGACTCCGCGTGTGTTTGTCGATTTAGCCTGCTCGGCTCTGTCCACACCCTTTTCGCCGTTCCTACCATGTACTGGCTGCCCCTCACGCTCATTTTATCGTCTGGCCAGCTTCTCGTCAATGCTGGCTATCAAACCAAAGGGCAAAACTGTTCCTCCGCTGATAACCGTCTCCAGATAGGGACGTATCAATTCTACAGTGACTGCGACTCCGAGACCTACTGCTCCTCCGCCGGTGTTTGCGAACTTAAAGGGTGCAGAAAGGACCAGTACCCGTTTGGCTATGCTCAGAATGCCACACTTCCACCGCTCTGTCCAAGTGGTCAATTTTGCCCCGATGAGGCTGATGCGTGCCAACCCCTCCTCGGCGTTGGCAGTCCCTGTCAACTGAACCGCGATGGTGAGTATCACTGGCATCACCTTGTTATGCTCTCTCTGTGAGATAGTGGTAGTCTAATTCCTCCCGACGATGTATTCAGACCAATGCGAACCTCCTCCCAATGCCGCAGAGCTTGCTGACACGTTACACTATGGTCGTAACGTCAATGGCGCTGTTTGTCTCAACAACGTCTGCATGTAGGTTAAGTGGTATTTTCATATGGGGTTGTTCAGTTGAACGCAACCATGCATAGGTGGGCAAACGTTACGGTGGGCCAGCCGTGCGAAATAGAAAACACGGCCTATATCGCATACACAGGCAACAGCGAGTACATCGACGTTGCATCAAGGTTCGTGCAATCTGGGATGTTTCGTCCAGCTGTATCGGAACCCCAACCTATTTTAGAGGAAACTGTCAAGTTGGATCGTACTGTGACTCTCAACGACTGATTTGCGTGACCATGAAGGCTGTCGGCGAGACTTGTGATGGAGATAAAGAGTGGGGTTTCTTTCATGATCACAAATAATCGAATCTGACAGGCTGGGCGGGTAGATGCAGCACGTTCAATTGCCAAAGCAATGGTGTGTGTGGTCAGAGTGCTGATATGCCCAACCAATTTGGGGCCTGGGTATATGTCTTAGTCGGGGTGAGCATCTTGGGAGGTGCGCTAAGTGACCTATAAGGGCACAATACCTTCCTGATCGATTTCTGCAGGGATGTCTGGGACGCTCGTTTCGTTGTTCTTGATCCACCGGCGTCAACGTGACGCGGAGCGCGAGAAGCGCGAACAGTACTGGCGCGAACAGGTAAGGAGTCTGTGCTATGATGCTTGTTCACATTTATGATGTGGCGCGTGCGACAGAATGCATTCCGGCAGAATATTCTTCAAATGCGCGAAACAGCGCGGACGTCCATTCTCTCGCTCCCTGGGCATGGTAGCAACAGGAGTACCATGTATTCGCGTGCTGCATCTGCTGTGTCCGATGATTCGTCCTCGCCTATTCTACAACAGCAACAATCGCCATATGGTACCAGTGGACTACGGAACTACGTGGTCGATGATCGAGACTGAAGGTGATTAACAGTACCTACACTTACATTTATTAGACGTACGGACTCGTAATAGTATCTTGTTTATCATGAATTTCTGCTTATACACGATCCTTAATTGCGTCCTTTCCCACGCTACGCGACGGAGGCGTATGTTTTTTTTTCTCGATTACTCAGGGCTTCCGGTCATGTCAGAACCGACTTCAAGCCAGAAGGTAATCGAGCATGCCACCCGTCCGTGGTCCATCCACTCACAGGAAATGACAGGTTACCGCAGCCATCGAAGCATTCTCATTAGACTCCCCGAGGCAGCCTTGCTGCACCGATAGCCCGGTTGGCAGCAAGAAGTGTCCCTCTTCGCCGCCGCCGGGCGCTCGGGTTGAGGATCTTTCGAGGGAAAAGCCGGACGACGACCTGGAAGCTTCGTGCAAGAGGTTTGTTGGCGATGTCGACCTTCCCGAATGTAAGCTGCCTACAATTGCCACTCGCTGCCGCGAAATTCACGTTCGTGTTTGCCAGGCGAAGAGCCGCTCTTGAAGGAGTCAAAGCGGCGGTTTGTGCTTTACCCTATTCAATATCACGAAGTATGGTGGTCGATCGCTTTCTCGTGACTTCTGCTCACACGTCGCTCAGATATGGCAAATGTACAAGAAAGCAGAAGCTTCATTTTGGACGGCAGAGGAAATGAACCTCCTCAAGGATATGCACGACTGGAATGACCGTCTGAATGACAACGAACGCTATTTTATCTCCCATGTACTTGCGTTTTTCGCTGCTTCAGACGGTATCGTCAATGAAAATCTCGTCGAGCGCTTCTCGAACGAGGTACAAGTCGCAGAAGCACGCTGCTTTTATGGCTTTCAGATTATGATGGAAAATATCCACTCCGAAACCTACTCTCCCCTGTGTCAAACACAAGGCTGAATGGGCACTCCAATGGATCTCAGACAAACGGTCAACGTTTGCTGAGCGACTAGTCGCCTTTGCTGCGGTAGAGGGCATTTTCTTCTCAGGGTCATTTGCTGCCATCTTTTGGCTCAAGAAACGTGGACTCATGCCTGGCTTGACTTTTTCCAACGAGCTCATCAGTCGCGACGAAGGCATGCACACGGACTTTGCTTGCTTGCTGTTCAGTCATCTTAGGCGTCGACCTCATCCGGACACTATTAAGCGGATCATCACCGAGGCTGTCAAAATCGAACAAGAGTTCTTGACTGGTGAGCGCGTCTCCGTAGGTTCGAAAAGCGCACTCAGCTCTTTTGAGATGCACTGCCTGTTGGTCTGATTGGTATGAATGCGGAACTCATGTGCCAGTATATTGAGTTCGTTGCGGATCGTTTGCTTGTCTCTCTGGGTAACGAGAAGGTGTACCAAGCCACCAATCCCTTCGATTTCATGGACATGATCTCGCTGCAAGGAAAGACCAATTTTTTTGAGAGGCGGGTCTCCGACTATACGAAAGCAAATGTTAGTCACGGCCAAAACCTAGAGACCCGGTCTTCCTGGACTTTGTGAGTACTGTGCATATTCAAGATTCACCTTGTGTTGATGGCAGTTGGATAGCACACTAGACGAGGACTTTTAGTCCTGTTTTGATCACTTATACTGTCATTTATGCAACGTGTAATATGTTAGCATTTGCACTGTAACTACATAGCATCACTCAATTTTTACTACACATTGGCATGGGCTATTCTTCATTAAACCCGCGCCGCAGGTGTTGACTGCGCACCGACCGGGTGCTGTCGCGCTTGAATCGTCTCCCAAGATTGTTTTCGTTCAGGAGCAATTGCGACGCGTGCGACTGGGCACTGGGGCTTCCGAAACCGATCAAATTCAGCGTAACGAACTCCACAGCAGCGTTGTTATTACCGTCGTCGTCGGTCATGTCAACCTCACTACTAGGCTCCACGGTTGTCGAGCCTTTACCCTCCCTACCACCCTCGCCAACCTCAGAAGACGGTTTCAATCGATCTCGCGTGTGGAGAGCATCGCTTGAAAGCCATTTCGGAGACCAGCAACCTTCGTCTAGCTCGTGCACTGGCAAGGGGAAGGAAAAACAACTATTTCACCAGGAAAGCGAAGGACAGGAGGAGGAAGATGACAACGACACCATTGAGGGAGTATATCCACCGTCCGGGGATGCAGCAGCCGAGACGCGACGAGTACAAGAGGTACTAAACATTCGTGTTTCTATGTTTTCACGCCGTCTTCATTTGCTGCGCCGCTCCGGATACACATTAATTCCTTGCCCCTAACAGACTCTGAAGAGATGGGAGGTGGCCGAACGGCAACGCCGGAAGGCTGCTCGCGAATCGGTGCAAATGACTACCGAACCATCCGTACTCGGAGATGTCACCCGCAAAGCAAGCCTCATTTTGTCTGGCCGACGCCCTTTACAACGTGCCAGTGCGCGTAATGGGCTGGGGGACCACCGCGCTTTGAAATCTCACGACTCCGTCGATGTTGTGCCATTAGGTGACATAGACCGGTCTCCCCAGCGCGTCGTATATTCGCCGACGCCATCCATTGGTGACAGTAACAATATTGGCACTACAACCAATCATGCCAATCCATTTATTCACCCATCGGAAAGACGCCTGTCACTGTCCCCACCAAACACGGCCGTCGTAGATTCGATACCACAGTCCCCAGCCGCGACCGGCCCTAGCGTTCACTCACAACGGTCGAATACCGTTCCTCGACCGCTGACAGGCTCACCACTTTCACTCCCCGTTCCTTCTCCCCACGTCCCTCCCAGTATTTCAAATCAGAAACCACTATCACCAACCCCCCCTCTAGTCATCGGCCCGCCGCTGCGCGAAGAGGAACCACAGAAGAGGGTACGGTGGTGGCATGAATGGCTATGTGGCTGTGGAGAGGGGCCTGACCGGGGTGGTGATCATCAGGTGCGACCAACGTCAACCTTAAGTAGTCCGTTGTTACTTACACTCGAATAGGCTGCGCGTACAAACCCTTTTGAGTAACCCCGACAGGTGTCTTTTTCTGCCCTACATACGCACTTTCTTTGTAATAGACCCCTTTGAGCCGGTCCTATATGTTTTTTTGGGCTCCGCTGACGTACCTTCATACATTCGTTTATTCTGAGTTAGTGGTCACCCCCAAGCATTTCGACAGCGCATGTATCGTATTGAGACAAACGTATAAATACATAGATTGCAGTCTAGCGTCAGGGACAAACAAGGCGTAAGGATGATTACTCGACTACGAACGGAAGGTCTCTGCAAGTGGATAACATATGCCATGACATAGACCCGGGTATGCATGCGCCAAAAAGGGATGTCGTCACCCGGGTTCTCAGAAGTAGTCATTGAGTTTTGTCAGCTGAACTTAGATACGTTGTCGACCTGGAGATAAAACTCCAGTAAGGAGACGAGGCTGAAGAACGACAAGTCATACCTTCGTACGTCCAACAGAAACGGTCATTCCACCATCTGCGGGGTCCCGACAAGTAGCGGCTCGTTCTCTGCTCGTGGTAACAGGCGGGGGCCAAACACCACTATTGTCAAGCACTACTAATCCGCCATTGCTGGAGCCTTTAGTCTTTCCGCTCGCTTCTAAGTCATCAACACCGCGGTTGCTGAGCGAAGTAATAGACACGCTTCTTGCAAACACTTTGCCCACATTAAAAAATGGTATGGAGAGACCATCTGCAACGCATCGGGTAAGGTTACGAGTAAACTGATCCATTGAGGGTAACGTACGGACTATGATAGAACCGAGGACTACAAATGACACGATGGGCTCGATGGTCGCAGCCAACATTTGCTGCTGATTTTCTGGGGAACCAGCGGGGAGCGGGAGACGTGTGCGAGCCATGGTCGAAACGAACACGGCACTCACGCCCATCTGCGGGATTTCAGAAGATCAATCCAAACCACGCACGAAGGCGGTAAAGAGCACGAGTACCCACCGGCCCTGCATGTAAGCGTCGTAGTACCCGGAGAGCGCCAACGAGCAGAAGGAAACTTACCAAAGTGTCCCGAGAATAGTGCTTCTTTCCAAGAGGATATTTCAGGCACGAACCTGTACAGCAGTAACAAAGGTGGGATGCGGCGGAAAAGAAGGATGCCTATCATGAGGACAACCAGGCGCCACGGAGTGATGCCAAGCTCTGCAGAGTTATAGGAACTGAATGGCAACCAAGCACCGATGTAAATGAAACAACAACAGTTCAGGATACAATCAATGACAGATGCAAATGTGTCGCCTTCAGTTTGTGTTTGTTCCTTGAAGTGACCATCCCACGCAACTGCGCAGCCTGGAATATCCAGCGAATTAGCCCTTCGCCAGGCTTTCTCATCCAAATTACCTGCTGCGAAGGAGGCGAGGAGATCATCTGCGCCAAGACTACTCGTGATTCCAGTGGTAAGGATTGCTAGAGCAAGATATTGTGCGATGTAGGACTCTCGATCAACGAAATCTTTGCCATGGCTGAGCTTCATTAGCTTAGAAAACAGCAGCCCTGAAATTTTATCCGTGGCGAGTTATTAATTAAGTTGAGGAATGAAGAACTAACCAATGATCGATCCCAGGAAGGAGCCAAACAAGACTTCATCTTCAGCGTAAACGTTCAGCATCAGCAAAGCATCTAGAAGGAAGAAAGAGAATGATTACAAAGCCATCCAATGACAAATCCCTTCCCTATCGCAACTCCAACTGTATCGACCAATAGATACATGGAAATGCCGAGGAACGGATACGCAAGGCCGTCATTCGCCGCAGCTTCTGCGGTTAAAATATCACGTATGGGCTCGGGGACGTGCTTTTCGGCAAATTTTCCGCCTGCAGCATAGGTTAATAGCAATGCTCTAACTGGTAAAAAGATACAAACGAGTGATAGCAACACAGGTAATCGGATCTGTCGGTGTAAGGCACGCAGCGATGCAGAGTGCCGAGCTCTGGTGCAGCTGGGGAAATAGAACACAAAGTATCACTTCATGCCCGTCTATTGTCGGAAATACTATCGCAGAGGTGAAGAGTAACCCACCTGCAACGACGAACCAGCCAAATGCCATGGTAGGCACGACCATGATGAGTAAACCCTTTGCATGCTCCTTCATGTAGGCACGCGGTAATTCGATGCCAGCAGCAAACAGGCCAGAAACGAGTATTAGCCTCATCACCTCTCGGGTGATTTCATCCTGCTGAGTGCCCCAGGACCTGGGATCAAACGCATTAAAACCGTAAGGGCCTATGAGTACGCCAAAAGCGGTGCCAAGAATGACTTCATTGATGTAAAGCTTGTGATGGGTTAACCATTACAAATGTACTGCGAAAGCAATCCAATTCACCGTTTCCTTGACCAGGAGAGATATCATAGAGAACTGGACAAATGGGGAGCAACCATGCAAAAAGCGTGTGAGGCAGCGAATGATGGAATATTGAATTGCCAGTGTTGACTATCAGAAGGTATCGATATGCAAAATGGACATACCACCACCGCGAACCCACCCAGGCATATGTACGCCAAGCTAGGTGGGGTAAACTGTAACCGGCTCGAGTCTGCGGGAGCCAACGGAACGGCGGGGAAAACTCACTGCGACTTCCACGTCCATGTTACAATTTATAGTGCCGACTGGAAAAGTGTATCCTGCTCTTGCACTCAGCTCCGCGATCCTTCGAGGGGGACTTCAGAGCCGTGTCTTATTATGTAGGCATGAGCCATTTATCGCGTGTCCACCCCGCGGGCTGATAAGGAATGGAGCCTAATGCGCCACATGATGAGAATTGTCATGCATGTCATGACGCAATTTTGGAAGCTGCAAGGTTACTCGACTGCAAAATGAAAGCCTCATGTAACCTGTAATCATCTGCACATATTTCACGTTAACACTGAAAAACGGTGGGTCGTTGGTGCAATTGACATTGCTGTGAGCCTAGCGCGTCGAAATGCAGTTTTCAAAACAATGTGGAGCTGGACGAACCTGCACACCTAACTCCGTGCGGCAAATGTATCATAGTAAGAGAACTTAGCACGTCATAAAATTCCATCGGTCATTTGCGTGCACAGGCTCAAACCCTGGGCCCTGACGTCAGCTTGCTCTCCAACCGTGTCGAAGTCTGTTGTCAATAAACTCGGAGTCCGGGCGGGTCCCTCGTTGATCTGATCGACGGAAGTGAGGAGTATGTTGTTCGCTACCTGCCGAAACCGGTCCCGTAAAGCTGCGTCCTGATTGGCATTGTAGCTCCATCATAGTAGTACTACAATCATATCAGCACCCTTGTTCTATGTAGCACGGGCTGGCAGCAGAGGTGGGCTCTAAGAGCGCATATTTCAAAGCCTGGCACTATTAGCGATGGAACCTGGGAGAACGGATGATAAATGCAAGTAGAAAACGTGAAGGAGGCACCCACAGTGGCAGGAAGACTAGTACACATGTACGTATAGCCCGATTGCCTGAGAAGTGGTGGGATCGTTCAAGATCATTCATGTCCGCCTTTGGCCCTGCAATAGGTCGTTGTGGAAACGTGCGCCCTATATCAGGACAGAAGCAGAGCTCTACGTGAAATGTTGGTGGCAGGTTTGCATGTCAACCATGCTGGCTAAGAGTAGCACGGGTGGAGGTTGGTCGACCTCGTGATAGGTACATGAATATCGGCGTGAACAGGAGGCCCTCTTCAATAATTATGTAAGTTATAACTAGGTCGCCTCGTCGTGCATTAGTATTATGTCTCAATTGGTTTCGTTTCGTTCAATACCCGATTCAATTACGTCCCCCCATATACTTTCCAGCCACTCTAATTGTATAACCGCTTCTCCAAACGTCTTTGCTATTGCGCGACTCAGCACAGGATCCTCAAAACCCTTTACCGTTACCTCAACGCTACCCTCCGGCGAAGGTTGCCCATCGAAATAATGGGGATCCAATGTCAACCTTGGCCTTTTCACATCACGTCTTCTATCCAGTCCGGACCGCAAGGTTTCCGGCACCGATCCCCGGTCACGAGATTCCATCCGCAGGCGTACAAGCGTCGTCACAAGAGCGACCAACAGTCGATTCCGCAACAGCACGAACACCGGATCGGTAGGCTTCAATGTGCGGTCAACGACTCCCCGTAACCGTCCCTCTTCCTCTTTCGAAAGTATCGACCCGCACTGAGTTCGTGCACGTAATACCTCGTCCGCAAGGTTCACAAGCTTAGTGCTATTTGTATGTGACCCTTCAGATATATCAGCTTGAAGAATTGTCCAAACACGTGCAGTAAAAGTTGTCGAGGCAGCAGGAGAAGGACCATCAGCAGGTGGAGGCGGCCGAATAAGGGCGCGAAGTGCCGCAGTAATGACAAAGGCCTGCAGGTGATTCTGTAATTTCACCAGGGCTGGGATCGCGAAGAAGAAGATAGGGGGTAGAGCATTGTCACGATCCGAACCTGTAGATACCATCGGAGATTCAGGCCCATCAAGGTCAGCCCGAATAATTTGCATGTCTCTTGTGGGGAGTGGGCATGAAACTGGCAAGGGGGAGGCGCCTAGCGATTGCACTAGGCAAACGATCCACTGGAACCGAGGGTCGGCAACATCGCCACTCACGGTAAAAGACGGCAGTGAGTATTCCAACCATGACCGCCAGTCTTGCAGAACACGGTCTTTCCGCCAAATGTCAAGAATGACCTCTCTTTCCGTTACCTTCGCTTGCTTAGCGACTATGGACCTCAGCTGTTGTTCAGTCATACTTCCGAGCACGAACCCAGACAAGTCATCTTTCATGACCTGTGAAAATTCGAGAATGAATTTGATAGTATCCGTGACAAGCTTGGCAAGTTCGCGCGGACGGGCTGTGCGAATCGGTGGATTGTCGAGGGCTCTTTGCACTGATTCAATTTCAGGGTCACGAACAGGAGCACAGCGCTCTCGCAAACTGGCGAGCACTTCCCGTAAAAACGACACAGTCGACTCCAACGGCGACGAGGTAGGAGGAAGCGGGGCAGATATCGCGACTAGAACAGGATGTTTCGGTGGAAGGAGGGAAGAAAGGGCTACGTGCACGTCACTATACAGTAATTTCAAGTGCGCGAGCTGAGTGGCAGGATCTGGATTGGACAAGTTTCCCACTGCCTGGAAGGACGTAAGGCTCGGCCTTGCGGGAGATCTGAGCTGAGGAGACCCATACCTCATCCCAGAAAGCTTTGTGCATCATATGTTCTACCCTGCGGCGTAGTGTCGGTTTAGAACTGCCCTCGGAGGTAACATGCGGTCGGGATATGATAGATAACAGCGACTTTCCGGGTGGGAGGACCTGTTCAGGGTCGGTTGCGAGGATACGCAGGAAGTACGTCCTGTCCAATATTTCCACCAGCTCTACGGGTAGAACCAGGGTATCGTTGGATACCAGCCGAGAGGTGAAACCCTGGGGTGGGGAAATGACTGTTGCAAACCTCTCCCCCGACTCTTCTTCGGAATCGACGGATGGTCGAATTGGCTTGGTAGTGCTGCTCGAAGCGGTGGCCAAGAAATCTCGGAGGACATTGAGAAGACCGTTGTTCTCTGCGGACTGGTCCCATAACCCGCGTTCTTGCAGCTGGTCAAAGTCTCGGCGGAGAGCATCCCAGGAGATCAGACGTGCGTCCTCGGGACGGCGCTGCAAGTCTTCCAACAATGATATTGTGTCGCCCAGTAAGGTGCTGTTGGGGAATGCTTCGGCTTTGGCTTTGAGACGTTGGATGATGTCGTCCATAATATTATGACCTCAAGCCAAGCCGCCTGACGACTGTCACCCACGGTGACATCAACCCAACTACGGGCCACTTCTATTCGTCCACCATCGGCGCTGTCTCTTTTCTTTTTTTCTTTTTTTTCTTCTAAAACCTCGGTGGTGTTCTGGGGTGGACTTGGTCAACGTGTGATGGACTCTTCCACGCCCTCCACATCGGCCACATCGGCAGCGGCTTCTGCAACGTCCGTACCAGCTGCGCAAGGGTCTTCGACGTCCAGCTATGACGCCAGTCAGCGTGCCAATCCGGTCGTCGCCTTCATCATAGGCTTTGCTATCATCATGATCGCCTCTGTTCTCAACGCTGCAGGACTTAACCTCACCAAGCTCGACCACGTGAGTGGTTCCATGTATCTAACGGGTCTTCCTTCATGTTTCGGGCTGCTGTAGGTAAGAACGAGTTCTATTCCGAAGGCTGCCAGAAGGAAGGATTGGCTGCGTCCGTTATGGCTGTTGGGGATGGTACTCTATGTCTTGTCTCAACTTATTGGGAGCACGCTAGCACTCGACTACATGAGAGCAGGTAAGCTGCCACTTCACTTTCCAATGTATTTTACATCTGATGTCCTGGATACCCTGCCCTCCAGAATATGTCGCACCTTTAGGGTCTGCTTCACTCGTTTTTAATTTCTTGTTTGCCAGGTTTCTGGTGGGAACTCCGGTCACCAAGACTGATATACATGTAGGTCGATCACTTCCGTGCGCTCTGCTCATTGAAAACGCCCCAGGGTACCATAGTAGTAGTGTTGGGTGTGATCGGTATCGTTGCATTTGGAGCCATCAACAGCGGTTTATCGTCGGAGACGAATGTTGAACATCTCACTGCTTTGTGGAGGCGGGGTGGATGGCTCCTGTTCTTCTTATGCATGAGCGTGGCTCTTATCATGCTTCTCATATTCATATATTCTCTGGATGCTGTGCTCACCGCTCGGTCGGATATCAACTCTGAGCCGTTGTCTGGAGCGACGTCGCTACGATTGCATGGTTCAAACACCAAATTTCTAGCGAAGGTCAAGGATAAGTGGTATTTCTTGATGGCCTGGATTAGGGAAAGGCTCGAGGTATGGACGGCACCACAGGACGATAAACGAATTGCATGGGTGCTTGGAATTGGGTGGGCTTGTTGCGGTGGCGGGCTTGCTGGAGGTTGCCTGGTGTTTGCCAAAGCCACGTACGCAGATTCCAAAACAGTGGTGCCTGCTTACTTGTTCACTGACTTTTTGTCAGAGTTAAGTTGTTGACAGGCAGTCTGTCACACGAAAATCCAGGCAACCAGTTCGGCCATGTGGCTCCAATATTCACAATCGTTTTGTTGGCTATAACTGCAGTCTTGCAGATCATTTGTCTCAACCGGGGCTTAAAGGTGTACGATTCCACCCTAGTAGTCCCGGTCTTCTACGGTGTTTACACGGCTACAGGGTATGTGCTTGCCATGGCAGTACATTGCCACTGACTCACGCGCGAATACATCTAGTTTCCTGGACTCGCTGATATTCAACAACGAAGTTGACGCCTATAAACCGTGGACACTTTTCCTTATCTTCACCTCAATCTTAATCCTTATTTCCGGGGTTGTGCTTCTGACGTCGAAGAAACCTGAGCGGTCCAAGCAGACTCCCGGTGGTTTACCGGTGTTCTCACGTGACGGTGCGGGCTCCACTACCAAAGTCGATGGTCGAGTCGGTGACACGACCGAAGATGGCAATTCCGAAGAGTTAGGCTCTGCGCAGCCAGACTGATGGGAGAGGGTTGGGAGAACTGTGGCAGGTGGGGGATGTGAGCGATGACGAGGATGATGGTCTTCTACGGCAACACGCGCCGAGGGGTGTGAACGTATCCCGAGTGCATGACTTTGCGGGCGGGGAGGAAAGCTCACGGTTGATGCAAGATGAAGAAGACCTTCGACATTGAACGTTCGAGATGCCCGAAAGCGCTCGGTAGCGACACTTGTCACGTCGCAAAGCCCCGTGGATTAGACTTGGAGACCAATCTGATATCTCCGTTTATCTAATCTCTACATATGTAATCACATTAGTAATACTTTATATTCTTTTTTGGATGCGTTCGTGTGGCTGTGCTACATTTGATTGACACCCTGTTCAAAGGCATCAAGTCTGTACGCGGCCCGCCCACATCATAGATGGTGGAACCTAGGAATGGCACGCAAGACAAGGAAGTCGACGAACTCGACGACAACTTCCAGTCAGACGACGGAGAAACGGACCCTAACGTCTTCAGAATATCGGACCCTTTGACTCCGCCTTCAGCCATGAGCTACAGCGCGAAAGAATTGCATAGTAAGTTTCAAGGGCTCCCAACTGCGTGGCTTCCGGTTGACTCTGATAGCGCTCATTCACGAGGGATATATCGACTTAAACCCGAGCTACCAACGAGGTATGTCCACCCCCAACTTCGTCATGTTCAGTCATTGACCGCAGGCACCCAGATGTTGTTTGGCCCGAGAGCAAACAAATTGGTCTCATTGACTCCATCTTCCGCAATTTCTACATACCTCCCATTATCTTTGCAGTGCAAAAGGATGACGAGGGAGAAGTCGTGCGCGTTTGCGTGGATGGCAAGCAGAGATTGACTTCTATACAGAAGTTCCTGGATGGCCTGGTGAGTTCACAATTCGACCCTTCTTGTATTCGAGGCCCTCTTACAGTGTCAGTGATAACAGATACCTCGTAAGTCTCTCGAGTGCTGTTTCATCCTTTTTCGTGACAATTGATTTCGAATGTGTGGAGATCGCGACTCACGGACCAAGAAGAATTTTTGGTATGTAAGATCTGAACAGCAGAAGGCTACGCGGTTGGAGATCCCAGAGGGCTGGAAACGACAGTTTGCTGAAACCCGAATTACGTGCGGTCAGTATCACATCCTGAATGCGAGCATGGACAGGGATGGACTAATTTATCTAGTCGAGTATCATGGCTTAGCTCCTGGCACCGAGAGAGAAATCTTCCAGCGTGTCCAGCTAGGAATGACTCTGACGGCAGCAGGTGAGTCACATTCAATTAGGTTAATAGCAACTAAGCGGTGTATAGAAAAACTACAGGCTATATCTTCTTCGTGGGCAGAATGGATAGCAGATCTTCATACAAGGCATGTCAACGCTGAAGGCGCCCTAGCAGATGTACTGGAATGGGACGTCAAACGCGGACGGGACTTTCAATGCATTGCTCAAATGGTATACTGCTGCGACTCGTTACCAGAGCACGCTCTTCCTACAGCACAGAAGCTAGAAAAATGGCTTGCACGTGTCGACAAGCCGACGCAATCTTTCAAAACGCGAATTAGCGATACGTTGGACGCGTTTTGGCACATCGCCACTGCAGAGAACCTGAACGCCGCGTTCACACAAGTTGATAAACGAGTCGCTCCAGTTGAGTTCGTTTTCATTGGTAAGGGTGACTCGTAACTGTGCATTTGCATCGTGCTGACCACGTGTAGGTACTCTCCTTTTCATTTTGGACAGGCGTACCCTCGAGGATCGAGCAAACGCGATCCTGCATATGCGGTTGCGGATCCGAGAGCAATTCCGAGACGTTCGCAATAACGGATTAGTTGGAAAAGCGCTTTGGAAATTTATCGACAGTGTAACAGGTCCTTCTGGGCTCAAAGTTCTGGACAATAGCCCATATTCGATCCGCGCCGGTTCATCCAGTTCTAAGAAGCGTAAACAACTGGACGAGGACGATGACGATTACCACCCGTCGCCTGTAAGAAGTCTTGGCCAGGATACAAGAACACGTGCTAGGGCAAGACAGAGCGACGACCGGGGCTGGCCTGCTGGTGCATAGTGGCAGAAAATCAGAGTAACAGTACATTACCACTAGTTATTGTATCCCACTCTTGAGGTGTACCACGTACCCTCGGGTGTTGTTATGGCTCGTGCATATTTTAGCAGCAGTTTGTCCCGCTCCTTGGAATTGACTGCGATATCTGACAAGAAAGGTTCGATGTCGTTGCTCTTCCATCGCTGCTTGGTGAGGAACAACTCAGTAAAGCGCGCAGCGGGATCCATCTGCAGCCCGGAGGCGGGGAAATAGGTCAATGCAGCACTGCTAGAGTTATCCTGCGACCGAAGATAGTTTCCCTGCAGGAATGCGTAAGTGTTGTTAATCGGAGAGTCAGAGAGGTGGGAACATACTGTAAGCAGTTCCAATGCAAGGAAGGCTTCGAAGGTGTCGCCAACTTTGTTTTTCCACTTCGACAAAAATTCTGACTCCACGATAGGCTCGTGCTAACAATGCCCAGTTTCAGGCCGCTACAGACATAACTGTGACACAATGACCTACCTTGTAATGTCTCAGAATCTCCAAGCCGATCTCAGCGACCACAGCTTTGACATCCATCTCCCACAGTCCTTCCTTGACAGGCCCGAACCAAGAGATGATCTGTCCAGAAACTTCTCGAGGAACCTCGTGCTCGTCCGCAAGCGTGGAGACGAGTTCCTCTACCCCTGCTGCTTGGTATGAGAGAGACAAAGTTACCACGTAACTAAGGATGAGCTCCAAAATCGTGCTGAGGTGCGTAGGAACAATGGGACGCAGGTAACCTGTATTATTTTAGTGTAAACGATTGTTGGAGGAAGGTTGGGTGATTCACCATCAAGGACGAGGATACGTTTCTCCTTCAGGCCCTGCTGAAACTCTGCTTCGCTTGCTTGGATTTCACACAATGCCTGGTCGTAAGTGTACTTTACAAGTGTCACCTACCCGAGGAGATTAGACGGGAGATGAGGAAGTTCTGATTGCTTACGCGTCGGTCTTCGTCACCTTCATCGTACTGCGCACCCTTCAGGAGCATGGGCAACTTGTGTAGTTTGGGGACAGACGGCACCAGCTCCAAAACTTCATGGATCCGATCCCTCACATTCACAGCTCTTCCCGAGTCCGTCCTTGACGGTGTCGTTACCAGCAAAGTATTAGACAGCTGAACCGAACGAAGGGCGTATGTTTTGTCTGCTGTACACAGGACTGCGTCCTCGGCGATGCTCCCTTTTACACACAGTCTGTAAATCTCCCAAATCGTGAGCATCCCGAACGCGTCTCCTTTGTGAACCTACGTCGATTGCGCATGAGAAGGGGCGTTCATCGTCGATTCAATCAACTGACATAGCTCGGGAGGAAGTTCGATCAGGCGGAATGAGCCCGCGTCCTGCGCAGTGGATGGGGAGAACCTGACGTCGATATCACTCATAGTAGTTGGTAGTGAGTGGGATAAAAGGAAAAAGTCAAAGAAGTTTGCCACACGCCCACTTCATGGAAAGAACGTTTGACGATGCAGTAGAGACAAGCATAGTTATGAGTCTATCTCGACCTCTACAGGACAAAACCTAACTCTAACCTCAGAGATCTCCTTTTTAGCCTCCCTAAGTCTATGCGTAATCTGTTCTTCTAACCTAGATGTCTCCATTACCGTCAATGTGCTGGCAACGTCTGCAGTCACATCCACAGATATAACAGACCCCATGCGTTTCGCTCGCAGGTCTCGTATTGCTAGTACGTAGGGAACCCCATGGCTAGATTCGGCGCTTTTCGACAAAAGGGGGTCTAGAGCGCGCGAAAGCTTGTCACAAGTTTTCCTTGAAACGCCAGCGTCCATAAGCTCCGCAAACGCACCCTTCAACAGTGCGTAGCCTTGCTGCAGGATGACAGCCGACACAATCATCCCTTGGGTCAAAGACGAATTTAACATTAATTTACTAGTTGTAGGGCTGCAACTTACCACCGATAGGGTCAAGGGGAAGTGCTGGGAGTAACCAGGATCCTAGGATCGCCACGAGTGCAACAACACTCGAATATGCGTCACTCCTGTGGTGTATAGCGTTGGCATATAACACAGGACTGTGCTCTTCGTCTGCAACTTTCTTGGTAATACGGTAGAGCCATTCTTTTGAGAGAACGCTAATGGCAGCAAACCAGGCAGCATTCGGATCTAGCACACCTCCAGCGTGACCATGTGCATGTCCAATGGACGGCATATGCTGTGCAGCGGATGTCACCTGGGAGAGAAGATCGTGTAGTGGACCCGGAGGAAGAGTGGAAACTGACGTAGCCAACGCCTGTGCTAGGAGATGATAGGAGTGAAATGCTATGCCGACGGCGCCAGCGATGAGCATAAGTGAGACGGTTGTGGTTCCTAGTGTTTCAAACTTGGAAAAACCGTAGGGGTAGTGTAATGATGGCGGTTTCCGCGACAACTTCCAACAGAACAGTGTAACAAAGTCGCCCAAAAGATCTGACAAGGACGTAAGAGAGAACGGCAAACTAGCCCGAATGGAGCCACACACCACTCAAAGAGTGACCCGCATCTGCTAGTAGAGATGCGGAGTTCATGTGCCAGGCAGCTATGCCCTTGGCACCAGTCAATACGACGTTGGAATACAATCCAATGAGTGTTATTCGACTACCGCGATCGCCTAGGGCGCCGTTCTTAGTCTTCTGGACTTGACCGGTAGGTTGATCCAACGTACCTGCGCCCTGTAGTGCCTGAAGCAATCCCTCGGTGTCGTGTCCATGGTCGTTGTCATTGTGTGAATGTGTGTGGAAAATGGAGTGATTGTGCGAATGAGGATGCGACGGAGTACCCTCCTTGTGGGTATCCGATGATGACTTTGTGGACTTGGAACGCCTTTGAGACATTCTCAGGACGGAAAACACTCTTGACGTGGAATACAGAGGATAACTGCAACACGTCACTGTGTTTCAAAAATGTGGTCGTTATGTTGTGAAGAAGCGCACCCCGACCCTGAACCGCACCCCGAAGACACAGCCGTTCTTAGGACCACGTCGTGTGCTGTGGTGGAGGGTACCGAAGACGACGACCTACGAGTCCCGCTAGTCGGGCGAGAGAGGAGTGATGGCCAAGTCGGAGGCCCGCGCTTACCACGAACCGAGTACAGAGCGACACGTCGCCAAGCTCCGATGTTGACGCGGACGTTCATATTGTATGGTGACAGTGCTGAGTCCGCGTTATGGCCCTCCTGTGCAGTCTGATGCCAGCGCCTGGGACGATGGATGAAGTCATTACCATGACCAGCCGCATAGGAGGTCACACGTCCAGGCCTGGCGGTTATGTTTGAAATGTCGAGACACTATAGTAGCTTCTTACAATGTTGGTTACTGGCGTACAAGGTGGCCATCTCTGTTGGACAGGAATGTCCGTTGGCAGTCAATCTACTCGTAAATGCTCTCCAACACTTCCACGATCTTTGGATACAACGGATCCTCTGTATTCCCTATGGCCAATCGCGCGATTTTTGGGAGATCTTCCCTCGGAACGCCGTAGGTGATGAGGTTACTTCGTAAGCCCAGTGTCTCGACCAATCTACGAAACCGTCAGCATCATTGATCCAAACGCTCACCGCGAAGCAACGCATACCCGTTTATCATTGAGCTCAGTCGCATGACGTCCCCCACGGTGGTGCCGGTGCTGGGCTCCCCAAGATAAAATAGCGCTTTAGCAAGTGCAGCTTTGTCTACCTCGGTCGCAGTTCCCGCTTTCAGTGCAACAACGGCGGCAAGGGTCAAACACTAAATAGCACCATGATCGAGGCAGCGAATATCTAAGTGCTCTCGCTTACGGAAGTCACGCCATGAGGGATACCGTAGGTCGCTCCGAGCTTATGACCTAGGGAATGGGACAGACCCAAGGCACTGCGGGGTATACGTACAAGTCAGTGGCACGTACAGTTTGTACACCACTAGCCTTCACCTATGTTTCTCGACCCGCATGGGCCACAAACTCATCCAAGCGGCGATCAGAAGTCGTTGTCTCATGTCCAAATTATTAGGGTCCATCTGGGCTAGCGGAAGGTACGCGAAAAGGTCACCGATCGCGGCATAACAGAGAACTTTGAGAGGAGGCGCTACTCCAGGCCGATACAACGACTCTACAGGGAGCGTTCTTTGGCGGTTTTCCTTGGACGGATATGAGAATAGCTCACCGACAGCATGGTCGAGTGCACGGAGGCCGGTCGATAGCCTACATTTCCGTCTCAATAACGCCCAAATGATACACCGAAGTGGTAATGTATCATACTTACCACAATTTCTCCGGCGTCGCCAGCGTTAGTTCCGCATCAAGGATGATCCCGGAAGGAGCAATCATAGGGCTGGCGATGCCAACTTTGTTACCCTGCTCATCTGTGTACCCTGCATTACTCTGAAGTGATGAACACCGTGGTTGATGGTTAATTGCAGGAAAACTTACCGTGTACTCGGCTGCACTGAGGGTCGTCGGGATGGCTATATGACTGAAGAACTTTCCTCGGGTATCGTGTAGGTGATTTACCATAATCTTCGTTGCATCAATGGGGGACCCACCCCCAACGGAAATGAATATATCTGCCTGCACATCTTCGAAAGCCTTGGTTCCGTCGACGATACCCTGAACAGGTGCATGTTGGCCGATTTGCGAGAACGTTCCGCCGAACGCATTCCGTCCTTTCAAGATACTCTCCACATTGGTAACTACATTAGTCTCTCAGTGCGTACGCGGCACAGATCAGCTGTTATGCAGAGCGATTTGCTATGGCCCAGACATACTTTTTCCCGAAGAGACTTGCCAGTGACAATCAATGCCTTGCTACCGCCCAAGGTACTAAGAAGCTGAGGAAGTGCCGTGCTAAGGCACCCTGGGCCGTAGTAAACACCTTTCAACGTCTCATGATATGCATACGTTCCGTGTAGACTCCCGGACATGTTCAGCTGTAGCTCTTGTGTGGAACGAACGTTCTGAGTCAGGACTCGACACCTTCCACTTAGGGGCCCAGGCAATATTCTCTCTCTGCAAGTGACTGATAAGCTGAGTAAGTTAGTTACCGACGGATTGCACTTGCAAGATAAGGCTCATCCCGACGTCTTAGGGGCATTTACTTCGAGTATTTCCAAAGCTACTAGTTGGCTGGTTAAAAACTCAAAGATAGTAACCTGCGAACTTCGAAAACTTGTTGGGCGATGAACAGTCCAGTTTAACTACTTTGGTGGACGACCACGGCCCACTTGGCTACAGATCGCACATATCAATTACCAGGTCAGGTTTAGATCATTCGAGCAGAGGGAATACATACTTCCTGTTAACTAGTGCCTTGGACAGGTGGCTAATCACCTTCGTGACTTGTTATCAAGGGACGAGGCCCATCTAGTAATTCAGTGTTGTTATATATCACTGCCTTGGTCCTGCCCGTCATTCCTTAGTGTCTTTTTCCCTTGCTCCCAAGCAGGCCGGATGTCGGAATGCTATTTACAGAGTTCTTTACGGCCAGCACAATCAGCGAGCCCTTCGCGAAGCTCAGCCAGTTCCACGTCCATGGCATCACGAGCTGGTGTCAGTGGATGGGGGATAAGCAGCTTAAAAATGGCATCAAGCACGCCGTCGACACGATACGTTGCGTGACCAGTGTGCTGAGTTGTATACCATTTACCATCTTGATTGACGGGGGTGTAGGGGAGTACTGTTGCGCAGCTGTTTCATACTCGCTCTGATGCTTGGACTGTACAATGCGCTGTATCTTGTCTAGGTTTCGGGTTATCTAGGCCGAGATACTCATTCGAATGGAGGAACGAGGACGCGATCTAGCCAAGGGTGAGTGGCAGAGCTCCGCCAGCCGGGCACTTTTCCGGAAGATTCGGGCTATGACCATGCTTAGCATGAGTCACGAGGACGGAAGTCACCCTACGGGGCGAACAAAATTCAGGGTTGAAACGATTCGTGTAAGTCACAAGGGCATCGGCACTGATCAGCGAAACCGAAACAGTACACAGTGTGGGATGTTCTGGTTGTTTGAAAACCGCAATAGGCTCGGCTGTTTGGGCCTCGAGAGACATTAGCTTACCGGTAGCGAACAAAAGCTGGAAGGTCTTCCGAGCACCAGAATGCGGGGTTAATCGATGAGCGCGATCTTTGCAAGGCGCAATGTGTATGGCGGTAATGGAGAGCAACAAACACAACAAAGGGGCACGCGTTTTCAAAAGTCACCGCTGGAAATGAAGCATCATGTGTGTATGTAGTAGCCGTGATTCCTTGAGGCGAAAGTGCTGCTGGGTCAAAAATACGACGGTGGTCGGGCTGATAGGCTACCCAGGGATGGATAAACATGGACCCATATAATGGCGGATATCCTCGCCGACGTCGAGCTCAGCCCCCTCGCGAAAAGATTTCAAGTACATACTGCGGGCCCTTTTCGCCACGTGTGTTAGGAGGACGGGCCTCGCCACATTAATTCAACGGTCTCCTAGTGCTGCAGGCCTTTTTTTCCCTTCCATACCAACTCTGCTTCATTCCTTACGGTGCGCCCTTTGTCGTCCCTCATCACCCTACATAGCTCCGCATCTGGCTGTAAAGACTGTCCGACACGTCCTTGATCTCCCGCGAGTGACGTAGACATCATCACGGTCCCAGACGACCACTCTTGTTCAGGTACACGCCCAATCATAACGTCAATTCTTGTTCTGATCTCCTTCTTTCTCGTCCACCATCAGCGTTCTGCTGCTTTCGTCTTCTCGACTATGGAGAATGACGCTACATCTGCTGCTGAGCAACGAGCCAATGCCGTGGCAAAACTCAAGCGCGCTGCATCACTACCGCGCATGAAAGATGGCAGGCGCCCACCGATGCGTGTCGAAGCTGTCAGTGATGGAGAGAAATTTCAAGCGGAGGAGCTCCAGGGTGAAGTTGCCGAACCCCCGCAGCCAGAACTGCCTGTATCATCTGAAGCTAAGCCTGAGACAGTCTCCGAGCACGAACAAAAACCAGGTACGCCCGAGCCGTTGGCAACGGCTCGAAAACGCCGTTCAAGATCTCGCTCTCGCTCTCGAGGCTCCAAGGACTTCAAGGGAAAATTCAAACCTCAGTCCCCCACTCCTGCTTCGGTCACTCCCAGCAATGACTCCTCACCAGATGATTCGTCTCCATCACCCCCACCACCCCCGCCATCCGTTCTCGCACCCATACCTTCCCATATTACCGTTTCTCCTGCTTCAAGATTAGTGGTGTCTCCAAACTTTTTACCTCCCGGAGCTCCGTTGCATTCCGGCACCTCGTCCCCCGTTCCCATGTGGCCCACTTTGGATGCGATACACAAAGGTCTCATACGATCGAATAGTGTGGCTGCTCGTATGCAAGCATTGCAGAAACTTACTGGTAACATCGATCCCCAAGATGGTACCGTCCTTTCGCCATCTGCGTCCCCTCAGCCCATATTCGGCAAACTTGGGCGTAATAACACGGTATCGGGTGGCGAGCGCTCAGCTGCACGCCTCAAGTTATTCACCACCCTCAATGAGAGGATCAAAGAGGCCGATGTGGAAGGGACCAGTGGTGGGGAGGACCGCGAACGTGTGGTCCACACGCCTCCCAAACGTCGGAGACGCCGTTCAGCCCGGCATTCGGCTGGAGCTGCCAATCGAGCTCCAATTACGGACGAGTCATCCGGGGTACCAACGTCAACCAGTTCACCTGCTGTTCCTCCTGCGCCCCTCCCTTCCACTCTGTCAGATGAATCAACCATCCATGAGCCTGCACGCACTGCTTCTGAAACTCCAATTCCCGCCCAATCCCTCACAATAAACCTGAATGATACTATCGCAGGCAGTCGCGGGGCTACTCCAGTGCGCGCAGATCCGCCTAGCCAAAGGAAACGAAGGAGTGTCTTAGTTGAACCAGATGACGACGTAATCCCTCCTCATCATACTTATCCAGGACTACCAGTAACACCGAAGCATCCCTCCCCAAGTGCTTCCCCTCAAATCCCTCATTCTTCGGACGATCCATCTTGCACATCTTCTAGTTCTACACCTGGAGCTGTTGGTGTACCTGTGTACTTGTCGGTTACACAGAGGACTCCATCGAGGCAAGACGCTTTCCCGTCGAGTCCCTTCGCCACCCCTCACACGGAGATATCTATATCCTCTCGTGACGAAGAGGAGGACGTAGAGTCGGAGAATCCGGAGGAAGTCGTCTACCCGGCCGAGAACTTGCGCCGTTCGCCGTACCATGACGCTTTTAACAGACAGATCAGCTGGATAGCTGATCCAGGTATGTCCTATTATCCACGTTGCCGCGACTTCATTGGCTAAAGAAGTAGCTAGTGCCCGAATCAACCTTACCTGTCTATGATGAGGATGAAGATGACGACGAGGCGCAACAAATGCACGATGTAGTGCAGGAGGAGGATGACCAACAGCCGCCGGAGTCTCCCCGTGAAGAATCCGGTCCTCAGACAGAAGCATCGTCTCCTCGTCAGTCCTCTGATTCGAAAGATCTTGTTGTGGAACAAGAACTATTCCCCGAACCAGCAACTCTCTCTACGTCCCCTGCACCATCACCAATGGCAGTGACGCCTAATACGACCTCTGTGTTGCGCAGCAGCGATGAGTCGGACTCCTCGCAACCGGCATACCCTCAGCGGCTCTCTGTTGCATCTCGCATACAGAGTGATCGTTCCCCTTTGAACGCTGAATTTGATTTGGACAACCCCGTCAGTGCCCCACCAGAAACACCGCTAAAACGGGACGGTTCTATTACCGGTGCGTGGGGAAGGTTCATGGGCGCTCTCACGAGGAGCGCTTCCAGTGGCGGACGCAGATCCAGGACCAACAGTCTTGCTGCTCGGGAGCAAAGACAGAATACGGATTCGGGTATCAGCCGGGAGAGTGGAGGAAGCCTCGTCAGCCCTAAAGTGGATAAGCACGAGAGTATCGGATCCGCGCATCCCCCGAGTCAATCTGTGATGCAATCCTCGTCCGCATCGGCATCGATGCAATCTTTAGCGCTGCAGACACCGCCGAGGAGTGGCGTATCGCCGATCCCGCCAGTTTCGTCTGCCGATCTCGCGAAGTACAATGATGCCAAGTTATTCCCTTTCCCTGGCATGAAGAAACTCGAGGAACAGCGTCGCTACCGGGGCTTATCGGTGTCTTCGTCTGCCCCGGATTTTGTCCAATCACTTCCTACCATCGAGAATGACATTCCGGTGCCATCGAGTTCCAACAACACTCCTTCCAATTCTCCGGATCTTAAACGAGATCGCACTCTCTCGCATCAGGCGTCTGACACACATCTCTTGGCTAAGTTCAAGAACCTCAGCTCACCGCCACTGTCCACTTCTGCATCTACGTCGTCGCGTGATCACTTTGGTGGGCAAACCCCAACGACACCCCAATCAGCAACGTCAGTTTCCATCAAATTACCTACCAACCGCGAAGGCGTTCGCAAATGGCTCTCAAAATTTGGGCAGTCAACGCCGTCGCTGGTCACGCCCTCTATGATATCTACATCCCAAGGGCGCCCTGCGTTCTCCAGGAAGCCGTCCTTATCTGACCTCCTACGATGGCGAAAAGAGAACGATATCACTTCAGACTGGGAAGAGATCAGTTCTGAGAAGGCCCGTACCCCGACCAGCGCTGGCGGTGGAACTTTTCTCGGGAAACCTGTTAGCGGAGAATTTTCTCCTGTCAGCACAAATGGCAGCTTTATCGATGAAGACACTCAGAAGACCCCACGAGCGAGCAAAATTGCGAAATCCAATGATACTATTTCATCTTCTCCGGCACCTCTCCCACCTCCATCGTTGCCCTCTCCTCTTACGTCTCCGCTACCTGAGTTAGTTTCATCAGCTACTCCAGAACCTTGGTCTTCGCTGTCTGACTATCCTCCGCCAACTACATCCGAGTCCTCCTCGAATACGTCATCTCAATATTCTGACTATCCGGCAAAAGGTGCCGTGGTTTTGGAGTGCCTAAACGATATGATCAGCCGCGGGCCGAGAAGTTCTGCCTGGCCGACGACGGTTGATGACCCTCCGCGGAAGCTCATACTTGCTGCCCCCGTCTTGCAGGTTGTGAACGCGAATACGGTCAAGGATCGCTTTCTCATGCTTTTCAGCGACCTCTTGATTATCACCAAGCCTGTAGTCCAGGATCCCGATGTCCTGCTCGAACTTACGAAGCCCAATCCTTCCGACCGGAAGTTTATTGTCAAAAATGTTATCCTGCTACGTAACTTGTGCTTCAGTGGAGATCGGGAAGACCCGCAGTCCAAATTCATCCCTCGCAATCCTTTTGTTGTGCCCTTCGTGGAGCAGTTTGGCGGGGATCCAGACCGAGCAATAGTGTCGCTCTTTAACAAGTGTGGACAGCGGGAAGACCCTGCAGCACTGGCACAACTGCTCTTCCGCACGCCAGAAATTGACCGTGGCCAACTTGGTGATTACTTGTCCAGGCGTTCATCGCGTGTCGTCTTGAAGTATTACTTGGATGCTTTCGGGTTCACAAGCGTGAGAGTGGACAAGGCCCTGCGTATATTTTTGCAGACCATCCACATTCCCACCCAAGCCAGCTATGGGACTACTGCCTTGGATACTGTGCTAGACTCCTTTGCGAGTCGATGGTACGAAGCAAACGCATCACTTGTCGCCTACGACAAGGACCTTGCATACCGTTTCACAAGGGCAATTGTTCAGCTCAACGAAGTGTTGCATGGTGCGATAATCTCAGAACCTGGGCCGACGGGTTATGTTAGGAGAAACGTCACAGCACGGGACTTCTTGGATGCCTTCCGCAGGCAAGATCCTCGAAGCTTGCTGTCGGACGATCTGATAGGTGACGTTTATGACTCAATTCGGCGCGAGAGACTATGCGTAGCACGCCACCCTTCCAATTCCACTCCAGCCGATATTTCCATCACATTCAAACGTCCATTGCCCCCACGACTGACCTACCGTGTTCAGTCTGAACCCGTCGTTGTTCGTATCCCGCAGCCGGATCCGAACTTTGCTATCGAGCTATTCGGGCAGGATCTGATCTTCGAGCCACCCATTCTTACGTTCGCGAAGTCGCCAGAGGTTTCCTTCAGAATCACTGGCACTTCGTTTGGCCTCAGGACTATGACCATGTTACGCTGTGGCCCAAATGCATTGTTGTACACCGGCCTTCCACCCAGCTTCTCTATCTCTGTGGAGCGAGCTTTCATGCGGAACACCTTCCAGGTCGCGTTTTTGAACCATGCTAATTCCAAACGCCGGTACATGTTTAGTTTCGCCGATCCATTAGTTCGTCACGAGTGGGCTACGTCGCTTAAGAGACTGATGGAGGCGGCAGTCAATACCCGTCCTGCTACTGGGGTCAAGGGTTCATTACCCTCGGCTCAGGCTCGATTCAATCAGGCCGTTGGCGATATTGCTTTCAAAGTTCTGCAAGAAACACTCATTGGGCCTGAGGTCGTAATTGTCCAGACTTCCGCCTCAAAATTGAAGGACGCTCTCAAACACCTCGCCCCTCCAAATCATTCTCGTAATGGCTCTCAAGTGGCTGCTGGCCACCAAGATGCCGGTGGTCTATCATCGGATCTTGTTCGGTCGAAATCGCGCAGCAGGACGTATTATCGCCACGGAGCGGGGAAGCTCGAACTCGACAGTACCAATTCGGCCCCAGTGCCACCTTCAAATTGGGGGGAAGGATATGAGGATGAATCAACCATGCATTCAAGGCGAGGAGATCGAATATGGTCAGGAAAGGATTTGGAGGTGTTTTGCAGACAGAATAGCTCTATCGCCCAAGTATTGGAACTGTTGCTTCCCACGACAGCTGAACCTGCGACTTAATCTCAATGACATACATCCACTGGTGAGTTACTTTCGAAGGGACATACGCATCATTAGAGCGCTCATGCTTACCTTCAGGTTTTCATTCTCAACAATTACTCGATCCTTATCTATTAGTTGCTTCCCTTTACTAGTCACGCATTCCATTGGTCATGTGTACGCTCGACTTTTGTCTGCTCATGGGGCATTCTATGACATCTACTACGGTTATATACATGCATGTATTTAGTTGTGCTAATTTCCCAGTCCAAATTTTTGATGCAATCTAGCACTTGCTAGTTGACTGCGATGTGCTTTCATTTTTTTTTTTTTTGTCTCTTACGCCAAGTCGGTTACGTTACGTACATCTTATTGCATCCTTGCACGATCACGACTCCAGAGGCTACTTGATTTCGTCAATTCTCACCTCAATGTCCACTACAACTTGATTTGTTGACCGCACCCACTTCCACCTTCCACCTTCCTGTTTCCTGTTTCCTGTTTCCTGTTTCGCAGTGAACATGGCCAGAACTTATGCAGACGTAAATGATGCTTTGGGGCGTCAATGGTACGATTATGGTGAGCACGAACGAAACACCCACCACTCCTCCGTGCTTCTATTCATCGATTACCAGAAAATTTTACTATTGAGTGGAGCTCTCCAGAGCGTTATGAAATCATTGACCGCATAGGAGGGGGGAAGTACTCTGAGGTGTGTGTGTGCATACACAGCATGGTGGGACCTCAGTGACAGTTATCCTACCTAGGTCTTCAAGGGCATTGATATGGTGAATTCGGACATATGCGTAATCAAAGTTCTCAAACCAGTGGTCGATAAGAAAATCAAGCGTGAAGTGAAGATCTTGAGGAACCTTACTGGGGGACCCAACATAATTGCCTTGCTCGACGTCGTTCAAGACCAGACAGGCCGATACCACAGTTTGGTCATGGAATATATAGAGAATGTGGAGTGGAAAGCAGCCCTTATCCTCTTCACGGAAGTCGACATTAAGTATTATATCTTCCAACTTCTGAAGGTGCGTGCGTGCATTGCTGTAACTTTTTAGTGCGCCGCTCACGGCCAACTTATATCAAGGCATTGGATTTTGTTCATTCCCGCGGTGTCATGCACCGTGACGTGAAACCAGGAAATGTCATGATCGATCATCGATGCCGCAAGGTTTGTTTTACAGTTTGATGTTACACCATGTAATACAGACGCTCTTGTAGTTGCGGCTTATTGACTGGGGGTTGGCCGAGTTCTATCATCCCGACATTGCATACCATATCCGTGTTGGATCTCGATACTACAAGGCCCCCGAGTTGCTTGTTGGATACAAGATGTACGACTATAGTCTTGATATATGGAGTGTGGGATGTATGTTTGCATCAATGGTATGTGTTAGCGTTTCCTGGCAGCTACGCGCAACGTGGACTAAATACCGGGGGTCGCCCTAGTTGTTTAAAAGGGAGCACTTCTTCCGTGGTTCAGACAATGACGACCAACTACTACGAATATTAAGGGTCCTCGGAACAAATTCCTTCGATTCCTATTTGAAGGTGTACGATATCACGTTTAAGTCTTGCCACGAGGCTCTCCTGCAGGAGTCCGTGTTTTGCGTTGCCGTTACTTTCCTCCACTAATGCAATATCTACCCTAAGGTATCCGAAGCAGCCATGGACACGTTTCACTGCCCCGGATTATCGACACCGTGACCTAGCTACAACCGAGGCCTTGGATTTACTGGAGAAAATGCTTCGATATGATCACCGCCAACGGTTAACAGCGCGAGAAGCTCAAAGCCACGCGTATTTTAGTAAGTTGGAGTCCGGAATTACAGTCGGCCCTTGACGTTTCATATATCATTTGCAGACGTGGTCAGGTTAGAAGGGGCATCTCACAAGGGAGGCCTCGGGGAGTATGTAAGTGATTCTGGCTTCTGCTCTATGTAAGAGGCTGGGGGTCCTCGGTTGAGTCGAGATAGGTGCATTGGGGATCTGTATGATCGCAGGTGTACTGTAATAGTATTTGTGAAACGCGGGTGATATCCAAGATTGGCAGTGTTGTCATATTCACGGAACACATCAGGGATATCCATGATCATCGGAACGTGTTGGTCGGGTGGGATTCGGCAAGCACTGAAACGAGGCAAGGTACATACGTATCCAAACGTGAGACTGAGTCAAAAGAGTGCTGTTACAGCATGCTGGCCGTGCCATGGAGGCGAGGGGCCCAAGATATAAGTTACCTCCAGATGGCCATCCCAGTATCTCCTTTTCAAATCACCTTTAGGCTGATCAGCGATGTCGACCATGGAAGCAGGCTTCCAGTACCGGGCCCACACTCTGAAGTCATCCCCCCACGATTATCACTCTAAAGTAGCCGCTACACACTCTAAGACAGGGCAAACTTACCCAACGCCACATCCTACGCTTCACTTCCAGTTTCCTCGGTGGTCTAACGCAAAATACCACTACAGAGCAACCACTCCGAACCCAGTGTACCGGAAGGACTTGTCGGAAACGTGGAGACGGGAACGGGGCACAAGCGGATACAGCCCTCGCGGGCACTCAACGGAGGAATGGGTCAATGAACAAATTCACTTCACCGATCGTTCGAATGACCGGCAGCCAAGCCAGCCGTTGGACAAGGAGCAATTAAGACGGCGGATGTGGGATGAATTGTTGTACCAGTATGAAACGGAGGCGCAGAAGTGGATGAAGCACGAATCAGGAATGGAGAAAGGGGACCAGGAACGAGAGCCAGACGACAAAAAGAGGGCTATACGAGAAGATATCTCCAAGATTGAAGCCAGGGTGCGACAGAGACGGGATAGTGAGAGGCAGGCAATTGCAGAGGAGCGGAGGAGATCTGTCGAGAAGGCGATGGAGATGCGGAGGAAAGAACAGGAACGATTGAACAGGGCAGCCCTAGAAGCGTGGAACAGCTACGAATCACGGTGGACCGCAATAATGTCCAGTTGCGAGGCTCTCAGTTTCGAAGAAATCCCGTGGCCTGTTCTCGTCCCTCCACGAGAAGCGGCAGACGTCACTGCGGACAAGATCTCCACGTTCATTCTGCATCCTGCACACTCGTCACATCAATCTCGAAAAGAGAGAATACGCTCAGCACTGCTGCGATGGCATCCGGATCGCTTCCGTCGCTTGTTTCAAAGAATTCCGGAGTCGGAACGTAAGGCAGTTGAAGAGGGTATCTGTGCGGTTACCAGGTGCCTCAACGACCTACTGGTAGTGAAAGAACGTAAGGCCAATGTACAGGCAAGTTTTCCACCTTCTACTAGTAGAACCACGGAAGACTCATGAGACTTCGCAGGGTAAATAAAGTGATCGGCGAAGCCCGTCCTGCAGCAGTGCTGCAGACTATGGACTTCCATCGTACTTACAATAGGTGTAGGAGTACCTAAGGAAATGATTGTCTTCCGTCGGGTGTTTGGTTTGCCTAGGGAGTACTTGTAAGCTATCATGTATTTCGTTACAAGTGGTGACGGCGACCTTTGTCACATACGTCGTCACGCCAAGCAGCTGAGCACCCAGTGCCAACCTCCAGGCTGCCACTACTCGTTTCCCGTCAATATATTCGACGTCACTACCCCTTAACTTGTGCTGCAGGACTCAGATAGAGATTTCGTCGAAACTGATTGGAATCCGCGAGCGGCCAAAATCCAGGAACCTTCGGATCCGGGTTCGCACTTGTCAAGGAGGGGGCCAGTGACTAGCAGACCTAGATGGACGTGCTCGTCCACCACTGCTTACGCGAGCTGTCGTTTGATGGCGACCTCGGTGAGTTGCACGAGTATCGGTCGCGCGGGATAGATTGGGCCGCTGCGGGTGGACGAGAAAGTTCGAACCCCACAACTGCCGCTTCTCGCTGCAGATTTTTCCTTGTATTTTTTCCGTTGTTCCTTCTCGTTGCTCACAGTAAATCTCTAGGATGTAACGTCTCCCGTCTGAAAGATTTCATTGTCAACTACTACAGCAACTCTGGCGGTCCTCAGCAAGTTGTTGACGACACATTCTGTGCATTTGTTTGGTCGGTTGTCGTACAACAGCCGGCAGTCCGCGTAGGGGTTGTGCCTCCCGGGATGGCATCGGAAGTGTACGTTGCTCCACAGATCAAGGCGAGGCGCCAGGCCGCTGCGGCAGGTGAGGAACTTGCAGAAGATAGACCTTCTCTCCAGGTGATCGGGGATGCTCGCGGAAAGACTCTGGAAGAACTTAAGCAGCGGCATGGAGATGATCTCCGGATCACTGTCGATCCTCAGACGTCCTTCGCTGCCATAACTGGCTCTCACATTAGGGTACGTGCCAGCATCCATCTTGTATAAGTTCTCTCTCTCAAACATGCTCTGCCTAGCCTGCAAAGCTCAGTGCTATGGTATATAGCGCGTTGCAGTTAATTACCCGGGGTCGGGAAGAAGGTATCACCACCGTAGAACTTGGTCGCAGGACCAAGTACGATCAAAAAACCTGTTTCTACGTCATAAAGCAGCTGGTTGAGCTTGACCTGGTGTAAGTAGCCTTTGGCGTACTTTGGATATCCTCCCTAACATTTCACTAGCGTCAAAGTACGCCGTGGCGGAGTTGGGAACTACACTTGTATTCACAAGTACTTTGTTGAAAGAAGTCCTCTTTGGCAACAAATTCAACGGGAAGAGGATGAAGGTGAAGTCGTCATCTCCGGAGCAAACATTCAGCCATCCGATGCAATTGACGAGGTTGGACCTACTGATGAATCGCCACAAATTATATTCGATCCCATCGATGGCAGACACCTTTCTAGCTTACACCTGGTAAAGAATAGGGTCGTAAGACTACTCAAGGCGTCGATAAACCACATGCACGCTTCGAATAATTTATTGGTAGCGATCGTACGTCTTCAATTTACGTGCATGCACCGCCTGACACCCCTTTCAGGGTTTCAACAATCCAACCAAGACTGACCGGCGGTTTTTCCGGACCCGGTTGCGGGAGTTGGTCCAACAAGGAGTCATCGAACGAGTTCTAGTTCCTCCTAGAAGGTCGACGGGCCGCGTGGTGAAGTGCATCCGCTTGGTAGAGCCGGATAGTAAACTCCCTGAAGGGACGCTTCTTGACGTTGATGGAGACGAGAAAGATGTGGAATTTGGACTGCCGGGTAACTCGCGATTAGCTAGTCCAGGCGCAACTGAACCAAACACAGAAACCAGAAACCTATACAGATTTGAAGACTCATCTGACGATTCACAAACAAGTATCTGATCTACTCGAAGATGCCGGTTCATCCGGGCTTACGTTGCAAGTGAGCATGGCATCCCTATTTCACGGGTAGTTGGTTTACGTCCGACAAGGAAATTTGCACCGCTCTAGGCAACTTTGACAAGCGGACCATCGAATTACTCCTCACACGTGCTGTTAAGGCTCCGCCGCCCTCTCACCTCCGCGATTTGGGCACTGTAGACGTAATGGAGACTCACGGCAGGGAACGCCGGCACAGATACTTCACAAATGCAACGTACAGGGCTGTTCTCACTTCAGAAAACCTTCAAGACGGCTCTGCCCCGCACAACGAGATGGACTCTTCGCATATCGGAGAGTTTGCTGAGTGGGACCCAGGTCTTTTCTATGGCAGCGACGCGGACTTCGATTCGTCCGTGGCCTCCATTTTGAAGAAGAGAAAAGCGCAGGAAGATGGCGGAGATGAAGTCTCCGTAGAGGAAACTGAAGCGCGCCCTACACCCAAGAGAGGACGTCCTCGTAAAGTTGCTGCGGTGGATGATTCTCGGTCCGAAGCGCCTAGGAAACGGGGCAGGCCTCGTAAGCATCCTCTACCTGAAGAGCAGGGCCCGAGAAAACGGGGTCGGCCTCCGAAGAAGAAGCGCCGTGGCAGTCCAGATGGGCTTATGAACGTCTCAATGGAATTGGATGGGGGAAGCAGTTCCGAGGAATTGCCCATTAGAGCGGGAGCCGCCGCTGCCGACTCCCCCATGAAAGATTTGGACCGTAGAGGGGATGTGGAAGTGGTGTCTGAAGTACTTAATGAGAGTCGACCTCTGGAGTCTGGCGGTAACGGGCCGTCGTCAAAATCTCCTCGGACCCCAGTCATGAAGCCGAGTGTGACTTTAGAAGTTCCTTCACAGTCCGCAGCACCTCAGGACACCATTGAAGCAGTTCAAGCACTAACATTTGGTTCCCACCAGCGCGCAGCGGAACCAAAGATGGCGACTGAGGGGAACCTGCAATCTTTGCATAGTCCAATAGGGGTAGCGAACGAACGAGAAACTGAAACTCATTTGTTCGTTAGGGCTCAAACGGACGAAGGCGTCGTGGGAGGCGAGAGAATAAATACAAATGAACGGCCGCCTACCTCTATCGACACAGAGTCTGTCTCTATTGTGGGGATTCTCACCGTGCAATCCTCCACGGCCCAAGCATCATCCGTAGTAGGCTTTCTTCCCTCACCTTTGCGACAATCAGTTTATATCTTTCAAGGTTCCCACTGTGCTTCAGCAACCATGCGCAACTGAAGAAGACCCAGCAGGTTCGGGTAAGAAGCGAAATGCCCCTTCCGCCGTGTCAGGTCGACCAGCTAAACGGCCAAGGACGGCCTCAAGCAGCAAAGCGCGTTCAGGTATAAACCTCTCCGCACTTCGTCGCGAAAACGAGCTCTATCGTGTCATTAGCGAATTGGGTGGTATTGCCAACCTACATACGAAGGAAATTTATGAGGCGCATACTGCTTTACTGGACACTATGACTCGAGATGGAGAACCCACCAGCGCACCAGCAGGGACTCGTCTGGACAAACGTACCGCGGACTCCACTCTCAGAAGCCTGGAGAGCCAGGGACGCATTAAAATGCTGAAGACCTCTCTTATAGTCGCATCAGGCGCGAGCAAGCCCGCTTGCTTGCTATATCTTCCTGATACTCCACAAGAGAGTATCAACAACTACCTCCGGGAGACTAGCCAACCGACCCCATCAACGTCTGCCTCACTGTCTATGAAAACTCTGGGTGAACCAGTCGAGTTCGGAGCCGCCAGCCGCCGTGGGCCACAGCGTCCTTCCGGTTTAGCTGAATCCATCAGGGATAAAGCTGAAGTTTCGGGTGACCGGTCTTCTGCTCTGGATTTGCAGGCTTCAATAAGCTCCCCACCTTTTGGGCGAAAACGACGGCACACTAATCTGAAGGAGAATACAGGCGCTGAGACGGGACCGGTTCTATTGAGGCAAACCGAAGGGGCAAGACTTCTGAGAGTGGCAGAGTGGGAACAACTTCTGACCAGAGTCCATGCCGAGCCAGTGAAAGGAAGGTTGGCAGCACGAATACGTGCGCTTCGGGCGCAGTTCCTGCAATCGACACTTGCCGACGACTTGACGCACTGGGAGGACAAGATAAGGGCAGCCATCGTGGAAAACGAACAGGCAAGGAAGGGGACTATTGCAAGGCCAAAACAGTTGCCAGTCAATTATCCCAAGCCTGTAGGGCCACCTCCGTTGGTGGCCAATCCCCCGGAGAAAACGATTGCGTCCTTGATTGCAGAGCAGGGGCCACCCATTGTCCAGGTTACGAGTTCCGGAGGTAAAGGGAAGGATAAGCAGAAAGAAGGTAATTTGCCTTGCTATCTTCGTGGTATCGCTTATAGTTATCGGGATATGATGATCTTGTTGAAGACACAGAAAACAAAGTACTACGGCGACCAAGATTCCACTGGACTCGCGAGTTTGACGAACTTGCTCGTGACGCCTCTGCAATCATCCGGGCCCGTTGTCGAGATGGTGTGAAGCTAGATTTGTCTGCCTTTGACCAGGTCTTCCCAGCTGTGCCCCGGAACTCTGTTAGGCAGCGTATCGCGCATCTCAGAGAGAATTCGGCACAAGATCTTTACATGAAACGCCTGGAGGATCAATGGTATGCGATGTGGACGCAGCACAGAGGGACGCCCCACCTCCCAGATGACGATCCAGAAAGTCCATCGAAATTCGACATTATGAACCACCTAGAATTTCTTAGAAGACACGTCGATAAGAATGCATTGTGAGTCAGTGGAGTCTCGGTTCGTATTATGGGTATTCATGTTACCTTAGGCGAGTTGGATTTGTGGAACAGGAGGCAGCAGTAATGTTACCACGGACCACTGCAGAGCTTACTGAACTGTTCGAAGTCGAAGAGAATCCAGTCACCTCCCCAGCATGGGATTTCATGTGGAACTCTGCTGTGGAAGAAGGACGGGAAAAACAGTTTATGATACGTGCGTTTACCAAGGAACTAGAAACAGTTGCTACCGAAGTAAAGGACGATATCTTAGCTACCGCAGAGGCAGCGTTGAAGGTATGGTTGGACTCTTTGGTGCACAGACGGTTGGACGATTGATCAATGATCCAGATGGTCTTCGGGACTCCAAACGAGATTTATGACCCCGACAGCGGCGCTCGCATTCTCCGTAGTGTTGGAAAGGAGCACGTATTCCTTGCGATGACTAACCTCTTAAGTCAAGGCGTCTTATCCAAGCTTGTGCGGGATCCAAAGAAACCCAAACCTGGTAGGACACTGAAGGTATCTGATAAGTGAGCATAAAATGTGTTTCCTGCAACTTCTGCTAACCTTGTTCATTTAGTAATTTAAACGTTGTCGGAGGACCCTTCCCTCGTGAATTTTTTCAAGACGCAAACGCCTTGGAAGACATCGTGGGAGAAGGAGAAGTCGATGATATGGAGTGGTCCCTGGAGGCTCATGATGGGGACGTTGCGACACTGATGCAGCTAGTGTCCGAAGATCAGGTAGCTAGCGAGACTAGCTTCTAAACAGTCTAGCTGATGAATTGTCCATCAGGTTTCCCTCCAAGTAGACACCACTCACCCTCGCTCTGTCCGCTCACGAATTGACTGGAATAGCAAGAGAGCAGGTAGAGGTCCTGTGGTGCATGTGTTTGTAGACGACTGAGACTCCACTTTTTCAGACGATGACGACATCGAGACGAGCATACGTGTCAAGTTTTCGTCGATTATACCTGCAGACTGTGAAATTATGGAAAGTTTTCAAGCAGAAACGCCTTTGGCAGAGTCTGAGCCCATGGTGGTCGCTACGAGCGACTACGCCGATCATGGAAGAACACCATACGGGGACATCGCTGCGTGCGGACTCAGAACTTTACATGGTCTCGTCAACTGCAGTCGTTGCATCGCTATCAGCCTCTCTACATTTGTGGCTGATCTTGATCAATCGGATGCAGAACTTGCCATGCGTATCCTAGAGAGAGTCAGACTCTCAGGAGGCTCAGGAGTGACGAAAACGATGCTTCCGGTAATCTCCTTGCTCGTACACGACGAGTGCAACCCTGATAAGTACTCCTAGCAATTTTGTGTGGATCCAGGACAGGTCCTCAAACTTGTTCAACGCATGGCGTCACTCACACCTCCTGTCCTCGTGTTGACGGGATACACCACCCCGGTGATCGTGTCTTGTGAACATTGCGCACGGTGGACGGTGACCATTTCGGAAGACCCGCTCACGTATGTTCTACCTCGTCGATGGCTCGATGTACGCGGATCGAGGACCGACGAGTTATGGACAGCTGTACTGCGCAGTGTTGTGGGTACTGTCATTTTACGACCTGGAATCCGACAAGCGGAACTGTGCTGGCGACTCAAGGCTGTGTACGATCGCCAAGAAGTTGCAGAAGCAGTAACGTTCCTTGAACAGGAGGGCTTGCTTGAGGCGAAGATCGGCGATCCGAGTGGGGTCCTGGAGCAGATTAGGGAAGTACCAGGGTGGGCGGGCACGCTGGACGAGGAAGAGGGCATGAGAGTATACTGGTTCATCGGGAAGAAGGCACACTGGTATCGAGTCTGAACCTTGTTCGCTGGTGGGGGGTGATTCCAATTCCTATCTGAGCAGACGATCGGGTTTTGACAGCTGTACTGCGCCTTATAATAAGTATTCTTACTTCTCATTTGGGGATTCTTTCGAAGGACCTGGAGCATGAGAACTGTAGAGGGTTTGAGAGATCTGGGACCGGTTGTGAGCGGTATTGGTGGGTCTACAGGGAGCTAAGCAATGAACCCGATGCTCCGATAATATCCTTGCATTATTCAAGCAGTTCACATACATGGAGGAGGGCAATGGTTGCATCGAGGGTCGAGACACAGTGGTATGTACAGTGCCAGTCGTACTAATCACCACCACCGATCACCACCACACGGTGATTTGCCTAAAACTGTCCTGGCCTCCAACCCGAGGCCACAACTCTATTACAGAACTATAATCATATGTACTCGAGGGAGTTGGCTATACCACACAAAATAAAAGCAGACCAACGAACCAACGAGCAAATAGAAGGTCAACATCATTTGCAATCAGTTCCGCAATGAACACAGCTAGAAGGCTCCCACAGGTCTCATTTCAAATTCCTCGTCAGCATCACGGTAAGCAGACGAAGTCGAACTCGAGTTGGTTCTTGTTGTCAAGTTGATCTTCGTGTACGAAGAACCCAGCTTGGGTGCCATCGCACTCGAGTCTGATCCAAGATGAGATTGTCCCGAGGATGAATTGCGCGACGGCGAGGAGAGTGCCGGTGTCTCAAGTACAGGCTGTGAAAAGTGTGCACGGAGACGGTTTGTCGCTTGTCGCTGAACCTGACAACGTTTTAAGTCAAAATCATCTGAGGAAGCAGAATACAATCCGCAAACACACCTCGCCTGCAGCCGTTTTCGATACCTGGAGAAGAGGGCCCACCAATCCAAATTTCGTTATGAGATATCTGGTAAAGTAAACGGGTGTCAGAGTCGCGACCTTGTTCAAAGTCACAGGTCCAGGAGTGAACTCACGCCAGCGTCGTCGCAGTAATGGCGAACATAAAATACAGCGGATTAAAAAGCACCAGCATCGCCTCGTTCCACCCGAGCACCACCATCACGCCGTACATCCAATAGGGCACCTGCGCAATCGAAGAAACAGTGCTCCTCTTGGCCTCGACATAGTAAGCATCGGCATCTCTGCGGAAACGGTTTGACAAATCAAGGCATTTCGTCTCAGAGAAGATAGTAAATGAAGACTGGAAATCTATCTCTTCTTCCAGTGGTGATGACGGAGGGGATGGTGGAAGTGTATACTCGAACGCAGGATCGTGGGGTGCGATCTTGGCATACAGGGGAATAAGGGCGAGCGTCTGAGACGAAGTAAGAACAATAACAACCACCAGTACGAGGGCAATTAGCAAACCTGCTCCTTGGCTTGCTTGTAAGCCCCATCGATATCATCATCGGGTTTCCAGACTCTCGGAATGCCCTGTTCATCATACCGGAATCGCTCCTCAAAGTGGACGCGTAGCTTGGAAAGCATAACAGCGTCAGTAGTTTGCTCATCAATCTTGGAGCGAAGGGCCTGCCATGCACGCCTTCGAATGGCCGAAAGAGAACCCGAACTCTCCTCATCGGTGCAGTTGAACGCTGAACAAGTGTCATGAGCGTGTAATTAAGCGCGAGAGGTATGATGATTCACTCTTAGTTTTGGCAAGGTACGACGACTCGGCGTTGTCCAGTAGTCGCTTGAACGTCCCCAACACGTTATCCCACATGTCCCGAGAACCCTTGTTCAGCTGCAGTTCCACCGGCTCCGATAATTGTTGTTTGAAACTTCTCTGCATGCGGGATGCAGGGTCAGTCTTCACACCGACACAAGCACATAATGAAGAAAATCGAACCTCGACAAGGTTGACAACTTTTTTCGTTTCATCTTTTCGGAAGACTTCAGCTACCGCTCCCATCTCCTCCCTTAGCAGCGAAAGCTCCTCTTCCCAACTCCATTCCTTCTCGTCAACGCAAGCCTCCTGTGCAACCGCAAGGAAGTTTTCTTCGCATTCCCTCTTCGCTCTACCAATAGCGTTTGCAAAGTCGTTATCTTTTCCTCCGGGTGACAGCGAGCTCTGCAAACTAGCTTTGAATGTAGCCAAACACGACTTATGAAGGTTTTTGAGTTGGCCGAAGAAAAGAGGACTGAGTGTGGATGTTATTGTCGCGAGGAGATCGAGACGTTTGCGAGTGTAGACGCCGTTGTGGTAGCGCGAGGCATCACGGTCATAACGCGCTAACAAAAATTAGTCCTAGAACGTGCAAAACTGTCCATATACACAAATATCGGACGTACCAAGCGCTTGATCTCTCCATTGTTTCATCATTTCGCCTAACCCCTGAACAACCTTCCCAGCCTCGATCGGCCGTTTCTGAGATTTCGCCTGGGTATTAAACTCATTGAGTGCAGTTGAGGCTATTTCGTCACATCGGAACTGCGCAAGGAGTTCTTGTTGGGTTGGAAGATCCAAGTCCTTGTTATTTTGAACTTGTTGCTATTCAGCAGAAGTAAACGGGTAATCCATCAGGAGTAAAGCATGACATATTTGAGAAGCATACCTACCCAAATGTTTTCCATGTATACTGCGACACCATCTGCTGGTATCCGTTTGTGGTATACGTCCTTGAAGAGGTAATCTTGCAGTGTCTTGTCTACAAACCTCTCCCTTAGCTGGGCTACCTCATTTTCGAACCTCTGGGCCTCGAGAATTTTGTGAGGGAGAGCTGTGAAAGAGAGATCAAAGTAGTCGGAGAGCTGTGCCTGAGCAAGCCCAGACGGCTTCGTGAGCGAGTCCCATATTCGTGTAAGATCTGCGGTCAGGGTCGCCTGAAGGTTGGCTAGAGGGGTCACGCCAATGTGGTCACGGATGACGAATAGAAGTAAGGTGCGAGATTGAGGTCTACCAGCACATTCAATACCCTATACATGTGTATGTAAAAATGAGACGGAACTCACCCCTCCTGAGCCTTCTTCCCAAATAGACCCAGGTTTACTTCGAACACGGTTTTCAGCAGGCCCATGTTTGCACCTTGATACAACCCCACTTGGTGCTCCCACAAGTTGATGATGAGAACCTCTGAAGAGGCGAGGGAGAAAAGCGCCGATTTACGCTCAAAGTCCTGGTCTTCTCCCCGTTCGCGCCCGTCCGTACCCTCGACATCCATAACCATCACACTCATGTCCATGCCTCGACACATCCAAATACCTAAAGAAACGTCGAGTAGATGGTAAGCGTGGCAACTTCGAGGTGCAGAGAAACCTACCTTTCGTCGTTTGTTGTCGCTTCGTTTCATCCATGACATCGAACGTCGTCCCGAACAATCTGTTCAGTAGGGTACCTGCATACGTGAAGCGAGGAGGTCCTCAGGAAACGAAATATGCAAGACAGATGGTTATGGGACTCACTCTTTCCCGTTGACTGCGAACCGAAAACAGCTACAACATTGTAGCTAAACCCGGCATCACGAAGTCCCCATCTTTCGATTTGTGCAGACAGGTGTGGTCTGTTTACGAGGGCTTGTTAGTACGAGAATTCATGGCAGACAACACCAACTGGTGTTAGTCCACACGACCATACTACCAGTACTTGTGTGCAAGGAGAGTTGACACTACTCACGTGAAATTCTTCTCCTCGTTAATGATTTGTATCTGTCCTGAGTTACCGGAGTGGTGTCCATTTAACTTGGCGCCCATGACATCTGGATTGACCTTCGACAGATTGGGCCTGTTGGTGTGCAGTAGTGTGCGATGCTGTATTGGTAGTGATTCAGACATTGGGCGGTGTTACCGTACTCGGCGTCAACGGACTGTTGGGCTGTAGAGAAGTGGCAAGTGCACAAATCGAGTGAGCTGCGGACCCTGGGAGGATGGCAGCTTAGCCTCCGTGTAGTGGTGGAGGTTGGCAGGAGAGACGTTGGTTTTCTCAGCTGAACCGAGGCTTGCAGCGAGACACGCCCGCAACGCTTCTCACGCGGCAAACTGATGGGCTATGTCCTTACAGTAACACGTTATGCAACTGTTTTTAAAACCTGGTATGCACATAACATCCGGACATCGTGGTACTTATCGGACCCTGTTCACTTCGCAGTCGTCACACACGTTGGCGTGATCGCAGCCTGAAGCGGCGTTTTGCGGCCACCATTCGGTGGTGGAAAGGTATATAAAGATGAAATACACATTCGGAGCATCAACACGATCCCATCCCTTGCCTGTACGACTTCCACCAGTTCTGCTGTATCGCTCAGCCCCACCATGATTATCTCATACGTCTACAAAAAGTACAAGGCGAAGAGGCAGGCAAAGGAGGAAAAGAAACGGGCTGCCGCTGCTGCTGCTGCCACCTCCAGCGAAGGCCCTGACGCCCAGCCTTCACAAGACTCCCAACAGCCCAGAGCATCGTCAGAGGGAAAACAAGGCAATGAGCGATAGGTTCGTCATCACTCCTCCATTTCGAAGTGCTCGTCACAGGACTGACGTGGTACATTCCTTAGGCATCCCCCTCTTGCGCGTCTCTGCGCTGTCACTATGGCTCTGTTACCCTTTGAGGTGCGTATGTTATACTTGTTGCCTAGCTCTGTGGTTTAACTTGTTATCAGACCCACTTCTGATTGGATATGCCTCGAATGCCTTCTATGTTTTTACCACCACGATACCAGTTCATCAAAGCCGCTTGAAATGTCCCCGTTGTTATTGTACAGCCACATACACCGTTGGAAAGTTACTTTGAATCTCGGAATAGCGTAGTGTCGTGTCGCATGTAGTTCGCTCGCTCTTAGTTGCCCCGATAGTTGAAGGTAGAGGCTAGCTCAGTAGTACTGGCTTACCCTCCCTGTACGTAGGCCTGGTGGCGTAGTTGGTTATCGCATCTGTCTAACACACAGAAGGTCCCCTGTTCGAGCCAGGGTCAGGTCATGTCTTTTGCTTCGCTGGCGTCACGGCAATCGTTGTCTGACGACATTGCCAGAATATTTTTGCCTGTCTATTCATTCCAGGTTATAGTATAGTAGGTGTAGCACACGCATGTCCAACACTACGCGAAAAGCAAGAGGCAAATGTACCGTAGTATGTGTTGATGTTTTAGGCTATGAGTATCCTTGCATCAAACTCTTCGCACCTGCAGTGCCCAATATCCTCTCCAACCTGAACCAATCATACTTACAATACATTACGTGACAGCTCACGTCAGTCGAGTCCACACCATCGTCGAGGAAAGGGTAAGAGAGGAATTCCGAAAAGAACTGAGGGTGTTCTGGGAGAGCGTAAAATATGATGTTACGGATCCCCCTAATTTTGTAACTGCAACATCCAACATCAGATATGCTTTCACGCAAGTAGGGCACTCGTCGCACCGTCGGTAAAAATGGAACCGTTCGCTGACGAGCAAAAAGGACTTTTTGCCAGTAAAGAATGCCTGGCGTGCGCGCGAGATGTCTTGGTTCGAGGAGTACCTGGGTGAAACCGATACAAAGGCTGCCAACAGAGACGAAGGAATGGATGGACTAACTCAGAAAGCGTCGTGAAATCAAGGCCAGTTTGTTTCCGGAAGTAGTTGTGCACCCGGATAAAGTCAAACGACGATGGTATGAACACAATCGTGTTTGAACTTTGAACGGCAGATTTTAGAATTTTTGGTAGAAGCTTGAAAAGAGTTCAACAACCACACGGAGATGTAGCAAACTGACGAACCTGGGTGGTGAAGTAGTCAAAGCGTTTACTAGCTTCGTCCTGTGGATTAAGACAGTCGAAGGAGGTAAAAATCTACCCAAGCAAAGTCCTTCAGTACGGTACATATGCGATGACGGTGGGATGGCCTAACCGGATCTAACGATCCTGGTACTTCCAATACAGGCCACACTTTCTCCACCCGTATTTTCCCTGCTATGTTTTTGAGTTTGCGGTGATACAATGCACGCATTTCAGGGGTTTCAAAAGGAGATAGCAGAATAGATTGACGGAGGTAAGCAGAACTATCAACGGTTCAATATCGGAGAGTTGTATCTAAGGGAATTACTTACTATCCATCGAGATACCAAGGTTTAATTCGAGAAAAATCGGCGTCATGCGATTCATTCGGAAACTTGTTCATGTGAGAAAGCACATGCTGTGTGAAAACACGTAGGACTGATTAGTTGCCTGCAGCGCAGCGGAAACTAGAATAATACCTCAATATGATCCCAATTCTGCATGGCCATTGCGTTCATTTGGTCCATCACTAGAATCTCTATAGACGACAAAAAGTCGGCACTTCTACAATGCCTGTCAAGGGAGCTGTCGCATAATTGATGGAGTACGCTTACTTTTCTTTCTCGATGGACATCCTCAAGCCAAGAGGACTGGCAAATATAATATCACATCCATAGAACTCTGCGAAAAGCTTTATGCTCTTCCTCGTCAATTTCACACCGATCCTGAAATTATCGTCCATGTTCCCTTTAAACATCTCTACGTGGTCATCAGGGTACGTCCCCTTTTCAACCGTAGCCAGCTTGTCCACAACGTCAGGAGGCAACTCGTATTCTGACAAAAATCTAGAGTGATTCTCTATCTGGAAGGACGGAGGAGGGGTATGCGACGTTAACGCGTTGATCCATTGCACAGCAAATGAGCGGAATGGAAGGAGGACCAGGACGGACGGACGGGTGAATCCCTGATCCTGGATATCCTCTGGTGGCTCAGAGCCGTTTTTTGCGTTGAAGATACGTTCGTTATTTTTGAGAATTCGGCGACGTTTTCTATGTAATAGTCAACAAATGGTTGAGTAAACACAACTGCTATAGGTGCGTCATACTTGGTGACATGGTCAAGAGCGTGCAATGTTATGGCTTCTCGGATACACTGGTGGTGATTGAGAGGGATAGCTGGATGATAGAGGTCGAAATGGGCGGAAAGAATAGAAAGCAAGTCGTTCTGTACATGAATGCGCTCTTAAAAGGGTCAGGGCGTGAGGATACAAGAAGACGATCGCAATACCTTGCTGCTGCTTGGCCTGACGATCTAAAAAGGGTTTCCGAAGGCGTTCTAGGATCTTTCCTGGTTCTCAGGGAACGTCCGTGGCTGAGAGGTGGCATACATACCGCTGTCTTCTTAGCGAGCGTTTTGGTTAGTGGTGTAAACTCTGGGAGTAGGCTGGCAACGACCGTGAGGGCTCCAACTTTCTCTCTCGTAGTCTTCCAATTGCTTTGGTTAACCTGCAACCTGCTTCTTTCTGTTAACGCTTCGGGGTTTGCGCCAAAGTGCCGCTCATGGAGCGAAGTTGCATCTGCAAAGTGTCAGCCGTCTAGCCAACACGAGATAAATGAATATACCTTCGGGATCTCCACGTTTCGTGTCGTCTGACCCATCATCTGCGTTCACAGCGTCTGACGCAGGGTTGGCGTCCTCCTGCAGGGTGGTAGGTGTGGTTTCCAAAGCATCGTCTTCGGTGAATGAGATGAATCGCTTGCGTTTGCTCTCTTTTGTCTGGGTGTGCGAATCGTCGATTGCTCGAACTCGTTTTCGGCTTTTTAGGGCAGAAACATTCAAGAGTGTCAATAGTTTTGTCGTCGCTGAATTGGTGTCTTCGGCAGCCATGCGATGCGTTATTAACACACTCAGTGAATACGCTAGGCTTGAGTCGTAGTAGGCCTCGAAATCACCACCCACGTGACTCGCCCTTGCCACGAAACGCGTCGCGCGGCGAAGCCAACATGTATGCAATCCACGGTAGGGCGCAGGTCGCAGGGTCCCGTACTTTACTTCCTGGCTCTTTACACTTCTCACACATCATCCTGACGTCGATTGCATTGGGCGAGCGGTAACGTCGTCATGCGCGTGTTGTGTGTCGCTGAAAAACCATCCATTGCGAGGTCAATCAGCCAAATCCTGTCTGGTGGCAGGATAACAACTGCACGTCTTCTTTAACTTGTAATCGACAATGTTGAACTGAGTGTAATCTTTTCAGAGGCAGACTCAATGTAAATTCATCAAGAATTTCGACTTTGACTATCCACAGATGAATTCCGCCTTCACGATGACTGCCGTCGCTGGGCATTTGCTCGAGCACAACTTCTCAGATGCATACAATCGTTGGTATTCGTGCGATCCGATTTCATTGTTCGATGCTCCATTACATGTTGCGGTTCCCGCCGACTTCAAGTCCATCGAACGAAATCTTTTGACCGAAGCGCGTACAGCAGATACCTTAATGATTTGGACGGACTGTGACAGGGAGGGTGAAAACATTGGATGGGAGATCATGTCCGTCTGTCGCAAAGCGCGACCGAACATCCTTGTCAAACGAGCCAGGTTCAGCGCTATCATTGCACAGTACGTCTGATGTGTCATACGCGTCCCTTTCCCTCGTTCACGGAAGAAAATGAAAGGCAAATTCACCGTGCTGCACAGCATTCAGTGGAACTTGACAAAGCCCAAGCAGATGCCGTAGAAGCGCGGATTATCCTTGATCTGCGCATCGGAGCAGCTTTCACTCGCATGCAAACCCTTACTCTTCGGCAACGTTTGCCCCAATTCAAAGACATACGTGTAGTATCGTACGGTATGAAACTGCCAATGCAAGCGAGAGTGTGTTCTCAAGATGTGAACAGGGCCATGTCAGTTCCCTACGTTGGGCTTTGTTGTCGCCAGGTATAATCAGGTGAAGTCTTTCACCCCCGAAGACTTTTGGTACATCTTCCTTTCATTGGATCGCGAGATTAGCGGCGAGGTGAAGAAGGTCGATTTCACATGGAGAAGAGGTCACCTATTTGCGGCTGACGTAGTCATCGAGATATATGAGGGTATCGTGGCATCACCGCGAGCGCGGGTGATAAAAGTAACGAAGAAGAACGTCAAGAAATGGTGCTTAGGGAACCACTTATTTTTAATTGCCCCGTTGTCTCATTAACCTGCTAGGAAACCTTTGCCGTTGACTACTGTCGAGCTTCAGAAGGCTGGTTCGCGTTTACTCAAGCTTGCCCCCAAGAAAGTCCTAGATGTGTGAGACTCCTTTTTCATGTGGTTTATATTCTGACGCGCCGCAAGATCGCAGAGAAACTGTATCAGCAAGGTTTTCTGTCATATCCACGTACAGAGACGGATCAATATGACCCGAAGTTTGACTTCATGAGCTTGATCGCAAAGCAGACTGTGGATCGTACGTGGGGGATGTTTGCACAAGGGTGAGTGAATATTCTGAAACCCTAATTCTACCTCTCCACGTGATTAGACTGCAGGAAGGTGGGTTCAACACTCCCCGCCAGGGAAAGAACAACGACAAAGCACATCCCCCCATCCATCCCACCGCGCATGCCGGGAACTTGGCTGGAGATGATAAGAAGGTGTACGATTTCATCACACGGCGATTCCTAGCGAGTTGTTCCAAGGATGCTGAAGGTTCTGAGACCACCGTCGAAGTCGAGTATGGTGGAGAAGAGTTTTATGCTACTGGTCAGTTGGTCAATTCATCAGGAGTTCACAGTCGCTCACAATCCGCACGCCTCGCTGACTGCGGTATTTCTGAGCAGGTTTAATCGTGCTACAGCGGAACTACCTGGATGTCTATCCGTACGATAAGTGGAATGCAAAGGAGATACCCAACTTCAGGGATGGAGAGGAGTTTGAACCTACATCCTGTGAGATCAAAGAGGGAAAGACGACGCCACCATCCTTGCTCACTGAGGCGGACCTAGTTGCATTGATGGACAAGAATGGCATAGGTAGGTGTCTCTAACTTTCGAAAATACTGCACGACTAATTGGGTGATGCTTTACAGGGACAGATGCGACCATTGCTCAACACATACAGACTATCATTGATCGTGAGTACGTGATTGAGCGGATGGATGGAACCACAAAGCACCTCTTGCCCTCCACCCTTGGCATGGGGTTGGTGGAGGGATACAACGAGATTGGGTTCGATCGCAGTCTGTCGAAGCCGCAACTACGACGTGAGGCAAGTTTCCGTTCCACGAGCGGTTTTATCGGATAATATCGACGCTAATTTATTGCGGTGTGTGCCGGCAGACAGAGCGCAGCATGGTTCAAGTGTGCGAAGGAACTAAATCCAAGGATCAAATGCTCTTGGAGAGCATCGAACAGTACCGAGAGATGTATATAATTGCCAAAAGGGAATTTGATAAAGTTCTTTCGGTAAGTTTTACTGTCTTCGTATAGAGTGCTTTGGGTGATGGCTTCAGAGTGTGCGAAGGTATATCGAAGGCAATAGGACGGAGGACCCCGGACGTCGGGATGGTGGTCATAATCCTGGCGGAGGAAACAGTGGTGCGGGCAACGGCGGTGGCGGCGGAGGTGGGAGAGACGATCATGATGATGATAACGGCACTAGCGGACCTAGCAATGGGGGTAGGGCTCGAACTCGAAGTGCAGGACGTCAAACGCGCTCAACTCGAGGGCGTACTCAGGCTCCAGTCGGACCACCTTGTCCTCCAAAACGTGGTACGTTTGATTTGACCTGTATACTTGTGTACGAGGGCCTAACATCTCCAAAATTAGATGAACCTCCTCAAGCGTCTACAAGAATGATAACGCCTCCTTTGCGCACAGACGTAGCCACCACGCGCCCAGGTGGCACTCATGAGGCTCGGTTCGACTCCTCAGTGACACGAACTGGGATTTCGATTCAAATACCAATACCGCAATGTCGCTGTGGCATCCCTGCTACACGCAGAAAAGTGACACAACAAAGGTCTTTTCGACAGGGCAAAGAATATTATGCTTGCAGCGTAGACAAGTGCGATTTCATAGCCTGGATTGAAGGTCAGGCCAATATTGCAGATGATGCATCTCCGTCTCTCGTGCCCGCGAAGCGAGCCTTGGGAGCGAGTCAAACCGTGAGTACTTAAGTCTGGAAGCTGTGGCAAGATGCATTGGTACTGATATATCTTCAGGAGTCAGATAGCATAGCGGTCCGAACATGCCGATGTGGTGAGAATGCCAGTCGGCGAACAGTCTCTAAGGATGGTGGAAACAAAGGACGTATGTTCTGGGGCTGCTCAAAGGGCAGAGACGAGGGATGCGGGTTCTTTGAATGGGATGACGAACCCAGCAGGTCGACAGGGGCATCGACGTCGGTGACACGCTCGACTAGTCAAACTAATCCCTCTTCTTCCGGGAGGTGTTTTAGGGTACGCCGTGCCATGTGTGCGAAACATCTGCTAACAAGTTCCCCGCAGTGCGATCAAGAGGGCCATTGGGCTTCAGGTAAGACTATCATGATAGGTTGCTATGTACGTTCATCACATGCGCAGCGTGTCCAACTGTGAAACCGTTAAGTACAAATTCTCATATCTCGAAGGGGGATGCCTCTGCGTGTTTTAAATGCGGCAAGTCCGGTCATTTCATGAATTGTAAGTGTGCCAGTCGACCATGACGTTGCTGAGCAATGGGATCTCAATGGTTGATTGGGTTATTATTATAGCATGTCCTGCTGGACCTTCGCGGTCCGACTCAGGACCAACGGGTATGAAGGCGGGAACACCTTCGCGTGGCGAATGCTTCAGCTGCGGTCAATCCGGACACTGGACTGCAGGTGCGTTTCCGCCTATCACAGCGCACGCGACATTGTGGGGTGATACGACGTGCATGATAGACTGCCCAGAAAATGGTCGCCCTAGACCGTCAAAACGTGCAAAATCAACATCCGCGTCAACGACTACGAAAGGAGCAAAGACTACTCGTGCTGGCACTCGGAGTGGATCGAAAGGCACTAGTACTAAAAGGGCCAATAAACGCGATTTGAAGACCAAGAATGGGATGTTTGGAGTTCCGGATGATTTTTAATGGACGGGCGGTGCCATATGGCTGTAGAGTGTGTGTTCAGACTGTGGTATGCGTCAGTCTTAAAATTCTGTTCCCGACTCATCGACCCGGGGACGCACTTGATTGTCCCACGAAAACAACCTTCGACAAATGGCCAACGTTCCAGCTATATAAAACATCCGGCAAGATACCCGCGAGACAATGTGGTCCAGCTAGAAACACTGCAGCCCGAGTCTTAGACCAATCACATCCTAGCTTATTACAGACACCCTAATCCTGAAGAGGAAACTGGAAACTCTGACTGTATTAGCCATACTTGCCTGTATACATAACGATGACCCCCTTCCCGGCGTGTGTCGGTTTTTTAATTTCACCAACCCAGTGATCCACGTTCACCCTTATATCGTGTGTTTATCAGGCATCTATTTGCATCCGTGACCCGGTTGCCTTGCACTGGTGCGGAAGCAAACGGCCATCAATGCATCACCGGCCAGGGTCCAGCGAGTAGCCTCAGTGGTCACGATCCATATTATTATGTGAACGTATCACGTTATGGGGCGTCGAATGCATAAAATAAAATAAACCTTTCGCTGGAGCGCCGTAGTTGCGTCTTCTTGTCGATCTTTCTCCCTCTGTGCCAGACGACATGTCCTCGTCACCCAGGATCAGCGCAGACACAGCACCTGACAACGAAAAGGGCCCCGTCGGCGCCGGATTTGATGCTCAAGAGCGCGCACGGGTCCTGCGGAAGATTGATTGGCATCTTCTGCCGTTTGTCTCGCTCCTCTACTTGCTCTCATTTCTGTGAGTGTAGGCAAACGTCGTACGCTCCTTCATGTGGAGGTCTTCTGATATCATCTACACGACAGCGATCGGTCAAATGTCGGTACGTCTTCGTGTTGATCATCATTTGAGCACTCATATATGTATGAGGACACCGGCGTCAGGCAATGCCAAGGTTGCTGGCATGTCGACTGATCTGGACCTGACTGGGTATAGGTACAACATAGCGGCTGCAGTCTTCTTTGTATGTTATAGGTTGCTTGATAGTTCAGGACTGCTAATATCATGACAGATCCTTTATAGCTTCGCAGAGGTGCCGTCGTAAGTCAGGTATACGACTATCAGAACTACCTTCGGCGAACTATTTATCAGAAACATCGCCCTTAAGCTCTTCAGGCCTTCACGGTGGAGTGCGTTTATTTTACCACTGCTCCTTAGGCCCTCTAACCTTGCCATATCAGTACCCTCGATTATGGTCGCATGGGGCCTAGTTATGACCCTGATGTGTCTTGTGAATACCTTCGAAGGCCTTGTTGTGTGAGTATCATTGTTCGAGAATGTGTCGATCTCTCATCGCTTGCATTCTCGGTACATACTAGTGCTCGGATATTTCTCGGTCTGACAGAGGCTGGGTTGTTTCCTGGTGTCACATATTACATATCCCTTTGGTACCCAAAGGCTGAACGATCATTGCGCATTGCAATCTTCTTCTCTGCAGCGACGGTTGCAGGTGAGTGGCCATACTGAAGCATAGTTATGCACAACTCAAGGCTAGGAAGGTGCCTTCGGCGGTATTCTGGCGTAAGTGTGGTCTTCCCCGACCGAAAGCCCTGACTTAGATTTCCGTCGCAGTTACGCTATTGAGAAGATGGAAGGGTGAGAAAACTTTTTTTTCACTTCTCGGCTGACAGTTCTGTCAAACAGGATCGGAGGTCTCCATGGATGGCAGTGGATTGTAAGCACACAACCTGGTTCACTCTCCAGTCTGGCGAGAACTGATTGGTCCACTAGTTCTGCTTGGAAGGCATTGGTAAATCTCTTGCACTTGAAGTCTCCTGAATGCAACTTAGCCCCGTTTAGCGACGATCATAGCAGCCTTAACCTCATTCTTCTTCTTGTATGATGTAGGCATTCCGCTTACTTGGCTGGCAGCTTTAGTAAATTCTGTCATGCAGTACCCTGACACAGCGTCTTTTTTGACGGATGCCGAGAGGCACTATGTCATTGAGATGCTAAAGGAAGACTCGAACAACCTCTCTACCGATTATCAGTTCCGCTTCGTTCTCCAAGCCCTCAGGGACTACAAATCTTATGTTCAAGTCGGTATATATATTGGGTAGGTGGTTATATCTCGTCCTCCATGTTTCTGCGTTTCTCATATTTTATGGTTGGACAATCAGGTTACTCATCCCGGTTTACGCTATCGCTCTTTTTACACCCACAATCATTACTGAACTAGGTTTTTCTGCTGCGAATGCACAGCTGCTTTCGGTCCCCCCATTCGTTTGTGGCTGTATATTTACCATTCTGGCTGGCGTTCTTTCAGACAAGCATCAACTCCGTGGACCATACGTGATTGGCGGAGCGTTTGTCTCGTTGGTTGGTTATATCGTCCTTTATACACAAAGCGGTTCCGCCGCATCCTATGCCGGCGCTGTTTTGGCTGCTGTAGGAGTGTTTCCGACCATAGCAGTTGACCTCGCTTGGGCATCATCGAACGCTGGCGGCGACATCAAACGCGGTGTTGTTGTTGCAATGGTCATTGGCCTTGGGAATTTGGGAGGGTAATGACTTTTTTTTGCGTCTTCAAACGTCTCATTCTTATGTCGCCCGAAGGATATGCTCCTCGTTCATCTATTTGGACCCCCCTCGTTTCCACGTTGGTCACGGCACAATAATAGGCTTCCTTAGTCTTTCGTGGGTTTACTTTCTTCTGCGTTAGTGATGCTCTTCATTTATTACGACTGTCCGGTCAGGATACTGCTATCGTGTTTTGCGATGTGGGACTATCAACGGATTAACAAGCAGAAGGATGCGCTTTGCCGTGAACAGGGGATTACGGATGATCGGGGGGATGAATTTGTGGACATGGGTGATGAAAGCCCTCTATTTAGATATGCTATTTGAACTCCCGGAAATCGCGCGGCATATTCAGAGTACTTGTTATCTACGCTCGACATTCACATTCCTAGACCAATAAGTTATCGTTTCCACCCCACGAAACCTGTTGGTGCTACTTGGTGACTTGTTAACAGGTCTAGCCACAAACAAAACAAAACAGGTGTGTCTCCCGAAGACCGACTGACTTGGGCGCGTCGCCACTGGATCACTGAGGCCGCGTTCATTTTCATCGTTCTGTGTCCATTTTCCTTCCCGCAACCGGGCAACTTTTGGTATGCACTTGTACAATCTGACGCTGCAGCCTCCAACAGCCGTGACGCAGGCAGTCGTCGGGAATTTCTCCGGGGCACGGACACAAGAGATAATTATTTCTCATGGCACACGCCTTGAGCTCCTACGACCTGATGTACAGACAGGGAAACTCTCCACAGTAATTGCCACGGATGTCTTTGGCTCAATCCGTTCTCTGGCGGCGTTTCGGCTAACCGGAAGTACGAAGGGTGAGCCCATCGTACGTATCATGCTCTTGCTTCAGTCTCATTCATACTCTGTTCTCAGACTACGCAATCCTAGGATCGGATTCGGGCCGCATAGTGATACTGGATTACGATCCCAAAACCACCAGCTTTGTCAAGCTGCACCAGGAAACCTTTGGCAAGTCTGGAGCGCGGCGGATAGTGCCCGGACAATACTTGGCTACAGACCCTAAGGGGCGTAGCGTCATGATAGCTGCCGTGGAGAAAGCGAAACTAGTGTACATCCTCAATCGCGACGCTGCATCCAATTTGACCATCTCCTCCCCTTTGGAAGCACACAAAAACAACGCTATTATTCACAACGTCGTGGGCCTTGACGTTGGGTTTGAGAACCCGTTGTTTGCGGCGCTTGAGGTCGATTACTCTGAGTCCGACCAGGATCCCACTGGCGAAGCATTCAACGCTGCAGACAAAGTACGACTCATGCCGCTCCTGTCGTCATTGAAACTAACGAAGGTAATCATAGATGTTAACTTACTATGAGCTGGACCTCGGTCTCAACCATGTCGTCCGGAAATGGAGTGAACCAACGGACCCAAGGGCTAACTTACTTGTACAAGTACCAGGTGGCCAAGTAGCGTCGTCCGACCGCTTTGATGGGCCTTCCGGCGTTCTGGTTTGTTGTGAAGATCATATAATTTACCGCCACATGGACCGTCCCCAGCACCGAGTGCCCATTCCACGCAGAAGGCACCCCCTTGAAGACCCCTCACGTGGTATCATTATAGTGGCAGCTGTAATGCACAAAATGAAGGTTTGTCGTCAAATGATTTTGTAGATTAGCTTTCACAGTACGCGTATTTAGGGTGCCTTTTTTTTCCTCCTCCAAAGCGAAGACGGCGACCTCTTTAAAGTAACGATCGACCATGAAGAAGATGAAGTGAAAGCACTGAAAATCAAGTATTTTGACACTGTACCTGTTGCTTCCAATTTGTGTATTCTCAAATCTGGTTTCCTTTTTGTCGCCGCGGAATTCGGTAATCAGTGAGTGCTTTTTAGGTGAGTACTGAAGGCCAATCACTGACGACATTTTCACCTAGCCACCTGTATCAATTCCAAAAGTTGGGTGATGATGATGAAGAACCTGAATTCAGTTCGACATCGTATCCTGCGCTCGGCATGGCCAACCCTACAGCCCCACTACCCCACGCCCATTTCCGGCCCCGTGCTTTGGAAAACCTTGCATTGGCTGACGAGCTCGAATCGCTAGACCCGATCATGGATTCGAAGGTAATGAATGTATTGCCCAATTCAGATACCCCGCAGATATTTGCCGCTTGTGGGCGCGGTTCGCGAAGTACCTTCAGAATGCTTCGACACGGCTTAGATGTCGAAGAATCTGTCAGCTCCGAGTTGCCAGGAATTCCGAACGCTGTGTGGACTACCAAGCAACGAGAGTCTGGTTTGTGGTTTCACATTGTATGGTTCATTCTGCACGTACTAACCATCAATTGCAGATGAATTTGATTCATACATCATTCTTTCATTTGTTAATGGTACGCTTGTGTTGTCAATAGGGGAGACGATCGAGGAAGTGCAAGATACCGGTTTCCTGTCATCTGCGCCTACGCTTGCCGTTCAACAGATAGGCGCTGATGCCCTTCTGCAAGTCCACCCTCATGGTATACGGCATGTCCTCGCTGATAGGCGCGTGAATGAGTGGCGTGTACCGGATAGAAGGACCATAGTGGCCGCGACTACGAACAAACGCCAGGTGGTGGTAGCGCTCAGCTCTGCCGAACTTGTTTACTTTGAACTTGACCTGGACGGTCAGCTTAATGAATATCAGGATCGGAAGGCCATGGGTTCCACTGTACTTGCCCTCAGCGTCGCGGAAGTCCCTGAAGGACGACAGCGCACACCTTATCTGGTATGCCGTATTATGTAGAGGGTCTCTCGAGGTTAATAGTCCCTGTCATAGGCAGTGGGATGTGAGGATCAAACTGTTCGGATTATCTCACTGGACCCGGAGAGTACTTTGGAGACCATAAGTCTCCAAGCATTGACTGCACCGCCGTCCTCCATCTGCATTACTGACATGTTGGATGCAAGTATCAACAAAGCGCAACCAACGATGTTCGTTAATATTGGTTTGCAAAACGGGGTCCTGTTGCGTACTGTACTTGACCCTATCAATGGTCAGCTCACAGATACACGTACACGGTGCGATTTTATTTGCTGTATATATGAGGGCATCCGTTTGGTTTACGGTGTTTGTCTAGGTTCCTAGGTACGCGCCCAATCAAGCTACTGCGCGTGCAAATCCAGCAAAGTCCTGCAATCCTTGCACTTTCCTCGAGGTCGTGGCTAAACTACACTCATCAAAACCTGATGCATTTTACTCCTCTCATTTTTGAGAACCTGGATTACGCATGGAGCTTCTCTGCTGAACTCAGTCCAGAGGGCTTCATAGGAATTACCGGAAGTATGCTTCGGTGAGTTTTTCTTACTCTAGTTATGTTCCTACCTAGGATGCAACCACTTCTTTTGGAGAACCTCTTTGGAGGACATGCCGAAAAACATATTTCAATTTTACCAATCGTTCCTACTGAGACGCAATATGCCACACCTTCATTTCGGAACCGAGAACTGACGCCTACCTCTAGCATATTCCAAATTCCAAAACTTGGAATGAAACTAAAGCAAGATGCCATTCCGCTCGCTTGTACTCCTCGCAAGTTCATCTCGCACCCCACAAACCGGTTTTTGTATCTCATCGAGGGTGACCATCGTGTTCTAAGTGAGGATGCTATTAACCGACAGCTAGCGCAATTGGTGGGCCATACTGTGTCTAGCCGAATAACATGTCATGACCCACTGACCTACTTCCAGAGACAAGCCGGCAAATCTGTCGATGAGGAAATGCTCCAACTTCCATCCGAGGTGTTCGGTCGAGTGAAAGCACTGGCCGGGACATGGGCATCAGCAATACGGATCATCGATCCTGTAGAGGTGCGAGAAATTGTCTCATGCGTCCAACCGATATATTCATTCACTAGTAGGCGAAGACGGTCGGGATAGTACACCTGGATAACAACGAGGCTGCGTTTTGTCTAGCAGTCGTTCCGTTCGCTGCTCGGGGTGGTGAACTCCACCTTGTTGTAGGCACTGCGTCAGATACACTTTTGGCGCCACGATCATGCACTAGTGGTTTTCTGCGGACGTACACATTCACACAGGACGGGACTGGTCTAGAGTTGTTGCACAAGACAGAGCTCGACGACGTGCCGCTCGCCATGATAGCTTTCCAAGGACGACTTGTTGCGGGTGTAGGCAAGGCCCTACGTGTATACGAGATGGGGAAGAAAAAACTGCTTCGGAAAGTGGAAAACAAGGTATTTATGGCAGTTTTCTCTCTCTCCAAAACTTACACGGAGTTAGACATTTTCCTCGCCTATTGTTACACTCAACACTCAAGGCTCGAGAATTCTGGTTGGTGACATGCAAGACTCGATATTTTATGCCGTGTACAAAGCACCTGAAAATCGACTTCTGATCTTCGCTGACGACATGCAACCGCGGTGGACTGTCGCTGCCACGATGATAGACTACTGCACTGTGGCAGCCAGCGATCGCTTTGGAAACATTTTTGTGAATCGCCTGGACCAAAAAGTTTCGGACCAAGTAGACGATGACCCAACAGGCGCCGGTATACTGCACGAGAAAGGGCAGTTGATGGGTGCCCCGCACAAGACCAAGATGTTGTGTCACTTCCACATTGGTGACCTGGTAACCTCGATACACAAGGTATCCCTTGTTGCGGGAGGACGAGAAGTGCTCTTGTACACCGGTATTCATGGTACTATCGGTGTTCTTGTTCCTTTCGTGTCGAAAGAAGATGTTGATTTCATCTCCACGCTCGAGCAACACATGCGGACGGAACAAATTAGCCTAGTGGGTCGTGATCACCTCGCATGGAGGGGCTACTATGCTCCTGTGAAGGCTGTCGTCGATGGTGATCTTTGCGAAACGTATGCTCGACTTCCTGCCTCGAAGCAAAGTTCCATCGCGGGCGAATTGGATCGCACGGTGGGAGAGGTGCTGAAGAAACTGGAGCAGCTGAGGATCACTGCAAGCGGTTTCTAGATACTCTATATGAACTTGTGTGTATTGTACGCATGTGCGCCAACGAAACCAGTAACTTGATTGTTTGTTGAGTTCCCTGAGTACAGCACAATGCTCACCATGCCATTTCGCACCTGTCTTAATGCCTCTCGCCGCGCTGTTGCTGCACAAGCACGCTCCTGTACAACAGCCAGTACCGGAAAGAAGAACACTATTATCCTCAAGAACCACACGGTCCGACTGTCGCTTCGCATCGACATAATGCAGCTCACGCCTTTGAATCTTAGTATACTGCACATGCCGCCGCATCGGGAAAAGGGCGCAGCGGCTTGGTTATCTCCAATGGCGAGGTCCCGTTCTCACTGCGACTTGCCAAGCCCAAAGTGTTGGGCGGTGACGGCGAGGGACAGAACCCGGAGCAACTCTTTGCCATGGGCTACGCATGTACGTCTTCGTCTTCATCTTCCACACCCCGCAACCGAACTGCCAGGGACACTTGAACAGCATGCTTCCTCGGAGCCCTCCAAGCGACAGCTAGTCGTCTGGGCAAGACGGACGCCATCAAGGGTGCGGTCGTTCGCACGAGTGTACACCTCGGTGAGGTAGAAGAGCTCGGCGGATTCGGCATCGCGGTTGACATCCAAGTCGGAGGCGTCGAGGACGAGGCACTCATCAAGGCCGCACACGAGGTACGTCCGCCTTTACTTACCCTTGCTACACTTGATCGACCATATTCCCCCGCTTTACACATAGGCTTGTCCATACAGCCGTGCACTTACACATGGCGCAACAGTCAATCTCTCGAAGATTTAATAGGTCATTGACATGGAATTTTTTTAGACTACCGAGAATACCTGCGTGTTGGGATGCATAATCAAATTTGTTCTCCCCTCAGACTCAAGAAACCTTTTCTGGTGTGCATCAAGCTCGGAAGTCGAGACAATCGATTGATCATGTATCATTGCGACCCATGGCTGACAAGTATTAAGCAACCGTGTCATGCCCGAAGAAGACGTGATTCACCAACCTGACTCGTTCAAGTGACCACCTGAAACCTACAAGAAACTGGGCTGCCACCTCAGCTCCACTCCATCTGCCATAGTCAAGAACGGCATCAGATCACTGGTAAGGAAGTCGCTTGGCCACTGCTGCCTTATTTGACCCTTCAAGTAGTTCGTCGTGATTCTGAGGTGTTCTTCCTTAATTCCCGGGACGGTAGATTTGATTGTCGGAGCCAGTTCATCGATTATATGATCGACGAACGGTACTGTAATGGGTTGGCCGTTATTCATTCGCGCGGCATATTTGACCCATTGCCAGAGCTGGACACGGGCAATTTCAGCTGTCGCTGCGTCTTCCATGAGGTGATTGACAGGAATGCAGCCATTTCCTTCTAACCATGCCGTGGAGTACGCCAAAGCCACGGAGACGTTTGAACGGACGCCGTCTTCCGTGATCTTACCCGGAACGTTGGCATTCGTGAGATCAGCGGCTGCAACTCGGACGTCCTCGCGGCGTACGTGATACTGATATTGTATCAGCCTGGGAGGCCAAGGAGAGCAACTAAGAACTGACCTGGTTGGGCCCTAGCATGTGTTCGTCAAAGACCTTGCGAGCGATGTTGTGGATCAGGGGGTGCGCAATCCACGTGCCGTCATGGCCAGCGGTGACCTCACGCAACTTATCAGCCCTCACTTTCTCCATAGCGATCTCGTTTGCCTTGGGGTCGTTCTTGATTGGAATTTGGGCAGACATGCCACCCATGGCGGCCACCTTCCTCCTACATTGATCGTTGACTCAAAAAACGCAAGCTAGAAACACCCAGACGTACTTATGACACGTTTGGATGAGCAGGCGTACATATGCGTCCACGAATGGAACAGTCATGGTAACATCCTTCCGGTCTGGGAACACGGTACCTCTGTCCGCCCTTCGTTTCTTGATGGCGCTAAAAATATAGTCCCATCTGCTTATAAAAGTGAGTGAAAGCCTCACACACGATTGGAAAAGGACTTGCCTTCCGCAGTTTAGTCCCGACGAGTGGTTTCTCAGCTCGAAGAGAATTTCGTCCATCTGGAAAGCCGCAGGAAGAGTTTCGATCAGAACCGTTGCTCTGATGGTGTTGTGAGAGAGTCCGATGTACGACTGTGCAAATAAGAAGATGTCATTCCAAAGACGGGCTTCGAGGTAGTGCTCCATCTTCGGAAGGTAGAAGTAAGGTCCGTAACCACGCTTGACGAGCTCATGGGCGTTATGGAAGAAGTAAAGTGCAAAGTCGAAGATTGAAGCAGAGACCGGACTATTGTCAATTGCCACTCGGGTCTCATCTAGGTGCCAACCCCGTGGTCTGTTTTATTGTGAACCTCGAGTCCAGCCGCTATTAGGAGAAGACGCGTACCGAACTATAAGCACCGCCGGCGTCGCGACAAGTTTATACGCCTTGCCGCCTACTTCAAAGTCGATCTGACGTCTTATGGCATCACGAAGGTTAACTTGACCGGTAATCATGCTAGCAAACGTCGGGGAATTCGAGTCTTGTGGCAGAGCTCAGCGACGGGTTGAGGAAGGTAGTGCCCTCGCTTACCCTCGAAGTCAGCCATAAAGGTCTTTGCTCCGCTGTTTAGAGCGTTGACGACCATCTTCCGTTCTGTTGGACCCGTGATTTCGACTCTGCGGTCCTCCAAGCCTGGTGCAGGTGGTGCACAGTGCCACGTGGGGTCAGCACGAACATGGGCCGTCTCCGGAGGAAAATCGAATGCAACTCCAGAGTCGTACCTGCGCTGGGCCACGTCGCGCGCAACCAGGAGGTTCTGTCTGGTGGATTCGAAGGTCCTATGGAGTGCCGCGAGGAATGTCAAGGCATCCTCGGTGAGAATCTCAGCTTGAGCCTGCGGAACGACGTTGGAAAGTATCTTGACACCGTGGACCATGGTGATGGGGGGACGATTAAAGCATCGTATGCCATTCACAAAAGCTGAAGTACCCCTGCGGGGTTCCGCATCTCTGAGAGCACTTTCATGTGTTAAAAATTTGCACATGACAGCCCCTGTTTAGCAGTCGCTTGCGCATACCATTGCGTGGTCAACCCAGAATCGCCCACGCTCGCCGGCTAGCGTTCCATTTGTATTCACAGCCGTGCCATTCGTCGGGGGATCTTGCCCTGGTGGAATGTCTCTGTATGCAGGCCTCTCAGGCTCCCACTTTTTTTGGGCAAGTCTGTCATTGACGCAATCATTCTGTCAACCTTATCTTAGTCTCCGCACCTAGTACCCTTGAACGATGATCAGCCACGAGAAACTTCAGCCGGTTTCCATTAGCATGCTCAAAATCAACCACTACCTCTGACTGTAGTAAATATATGGTAGTGATAACCCAAAAACCATTAAGGGCCGACCCTCCGAGGGTACCCAATGTTACGATGCCTTCCCGATGTCGCTGGTCGATGTACCATCCGTTCCACCCTTCACTCCAGTGGCCCCGGGAACTGCTGCCGGTGCATTGTTAGTTTGGCGGCAGACTGGATAGGGCGAAGCTCACTTATGAATGTTTTGACTGTTCGTTCTCCTACCTTGATTGCCCTACGGCATGCCAATTGCCATACGCCAACGCTCACCGAACCTGCAAGTGGAAAAGTCGTCAGCGCGAGCGATCACTGGTGCTACATAGCTTTCTAAACATGAACTCGCCTTTCGGAGCGAATGGTAGAGCAAGCCACCACGTAAGTGGTCCAAACCAGCCGGGTGGAAGGTAGAAGACTGCGGATCTCCTATACCACCATCCAACCGCAAACTGCAGTCCTGTCGTTAATATCCAGACGAGGCTGTTGAATTTGACCGAGAAAGCTGTCTTCTGCGATGCAAGCTCGCTGTCTGAAGCAGGAGCATGACATATCAGCCGCCAGTATCAGAAGAATGGCCATCTTCCACGCCGACCAGCACATAGATATGTCTGATGGTGCAACACTCACTGAGTTTTTCAAGTTCTGCCAGTCCCTTGTCGATGCTTCGTCTCAGCTTCGCCCATTTTGCAAACTGATCCTGTGCGCTCGTTTGCAGAAGCTCTTTCTTCGTCGCAAGCACCTCTGTTTTGAGCTCTCGCTGTCTGATGATGGAAGCACTGTAAAGCATCCTGCAGCAGATACCCCATGCCTGCGGCAAGGTCAGTCAAAGTAGGAAGTCGGGTGGGTGGAACATACCAGATCAAGTAGTACACTATGGCCAATCCACGACACCAGCTCAGTAAAGAAGACCAAGGCGAAAATCGTAAGGATGAGGGACATCGCGAACCGAGAATTGAAGCACGGTAATGGGTCTTGTTGATGAGACCTGAGTTCACCCAACGTCACGGACACGTTGACTAACACGCGTTTCATTTGCAATTCCGAAAGTCACTGCCTCATCGCACTACTCGAACATTTTGGTCGTTCCCTATCTAATTCACAAAGCCGCCGGGTAGACGGAAAAAAAGACACGACGTTTTGTACGCTGCTTCCCATCAAAGTAGCGACAGATATCCATCTTTCTCATACCACGAACTTATGCAAACGATGGATCATTGCTGTATGCAGATTTGGATGCATGGTCATACACATCATAAGAGGGTACATGCTGCATTTCCCAAATGCTTTGGGGCGCACGCCATCAAAGCGTCTCTGCCCCTGCAGAACTCCGCCTCCCATGACAGTCGGAGTGATGTGAAACGTAGTGGAGGATATAGTATGGGAGTGCTTAAATGTTGAGTTTCGTCCGCCTCCAGTGCCGGCGCTTGGCATTGTACTGTTTGATTCAAGACGAATGTCAGATACGTAGATGCAGGACCAGGGATTAGCACGCACCTGGATTTTAGTATCAGTTTTTAGGCGGAACCATTGGGGGATAGGCCTGCGGAGATTTATCATCAAGTAACTGCCTTTGAGCTCCGGGGACAAGCTAGATACTCACCGGTTCTGGCGGGCAGCCTTGGCGAGGGATACGCTTAGTTCTGAACGTCTTTTGGGACGGCTGACCAGAATGTTAGCAACACAACACTACAGCGTTGCCAAATCACCGGAAGTGCTTACCATTGTCGTTCGTCGTTGGCAGGGGTTGGCGTCGTTGGTGCGATAGGACAGATGCCAAAAAATAAAGTTAGCAAGGCAGTCGCGCTGTACAGTTGCTGACTCAGCGGCAAATCGGCAATTGCGTGTAAGCCAAGTTTCCCACGGGTGCCTCTTCCTAATTTGATTTCAGGCAGCGATGCAAGTCACCAGGCTTTGGTTGTCGCTGTTGGCCCTGCTGGTCTTTGCGTTCGCCAAAGAGCAGCCCTCGGAACTTGGCATCGAAACCACCTATTTACCAGAGAAATGTACTGAGAAGGTCAGATCAGGCGACGCTGTCAGGGTTCACTATGTGAGTTGTCGCTGCGACCCCCTCCCTCTTAACCAACGCGGCATATCCCAGACGGGGACACTCTTTTCTAGCGGTGAAAAGTTCGACTCAAGGTCAACTTTACTAAGTTTCTTTGTATCGCCCACGTAATGAAACGTTTATCCTACAGTCTTGACCGTGGAGAACCTCTTTATTTCAAACGTAAGTGTCCTCCAACACCCTCACCGCGGCTCTTTTGTTTTCAAGTTAAACTATCTACTGGTAGTCGGTGTCGGGCAGGTAATCAAAGGGTGGGACGAAGGTCTGCAGGGAATGTGCGTGAACGAGAAGCGTACCCTTACCATCCCTTCAAGGTTGGCGTATGGTACGTTTCGCTGCTTTGAACGCTTTCCAATACTTATCTTTTATGGAGGTTCACGCGGTGCTGGCAAAGCAATCCCACCGAATTCCGCTTTGATTTTCGATGTCGAACTCGTTGGCGCAGAGCCTGGCAAACGCGAAGAGCTGTGAACTCTAGGCGTGTTATTTCTGGTACAGCTATTATCCCCTGGTGGCGTTTGTTATACGGTCTGATACTCGAAAATGTTATGGTACCATACCCACAAATTACTGCCTTGGCTTCGCCTCTGGAGCTTTGAGTTTCTCATGGACGAGTTCGCTGAACTCTTCCCTAAGTATGGTTTCTCTCCTCGCCCGCTCTTCTCTCTGCAACTTCAATATACCCCTCTTCTCCTCTGCGCTAATGACCTGGTTTTCCTTTCTCATACGCACTGCATTCATACGCTTGTGCCTGCTACCGCTCATAACATAGCCGACGGCTTCGAATGATGCGATCTCGTCCGAAGTTAACCCAATCTCGCCACGACGAGGGATACGTGTGTCTGTGCTGTCTTGCAGGAAGGCAGCCATCGCACTGCCCTCACCACGTAGCAGGGCACTACCATAAGCACGTTCGTCCACCTTCTTCGTGGTGTTGACCTTGATCAACGGCTGTGGACCAACTTCTTCACCAGAGTCGTCGTCGTCGTCTTTAGCACCGGTATCGAGGTTTACAAACGTCGATGTTGGCGCTGTACCCATGCGCGTAGGGATGGTTGCAGGAGGTGGCATGTTGTTCTTCGATTGAGACGACGAAATAATCGAAGCAGTAATGGGCTTCTCAACCCACTCCTCTTCCTCAGAACCTGCCGGAGTGGACGGCGTCCTGCTCGGACTGGGACTGCGAGGTTGTTGACTCTTGCTCTTGCTCCTTGACTTCCTGGGGCGCCGGTCAACATCGTCACCGCTGCCTTCGTAGCTCCGTGGCCGTTCATGCTTCCGTCCTTTCTTCTCTGTCTTTTCCCTGTGCTTTCGACGTTTGCGTTCTTTACGCTCACGACGCCGCCTGTCATACTCAGATTCGGAATCAGTGTCCAAGTCGCTGGATGTTTCTGGGCGGTCGCGTTTGGATTTCCTGCGAGAGGATCCCACTGGTGACCTTTTTCGGAGAGTAATTAGATAAAGTGAGAATAGAAGTATGTAAAAATAGACGCACAATTGCCTCGCAGGCCGTTTGGGTGAAGGTGGCCAGATACTGACGGTGGAAGCCTCTCTTTGCAGACGCCGACTGCAAAAAAAAAGCCATGTCAGCCTTTGCTATGCCAAAAGGTCTGGGAAGTACTACCTCTCCAAGTAATCTGTGCTTTGTATGCCATATCCGTGCGGTGGCCGATCCCGATAATGACGTGGAGGGTACATGTTTTCTTGCTGTCTCCAGGGTGCCGCTTGGCCTGGTGAGGGGGGGCGTTTGTAGTCTGAATACTCGGGACTGGCACGTCGTGTTTCTCGGCGGTCCTGGTTCTCGCTCTGGCGCTCCATATCCCTGCCATCCTGATGCCGGGAGAATGAGCGTGGTCGTTCGCCGCTCCGACTTCTTTGCTTGTTGCGCCCCCTACTATAGCCGTCTGGCCCCTCTCCGTGTCTTTCCCTCCCTCTTTCCCTCCCTCTATCACTGTATCTCTCTGTGTGCTGGTCCCCTTCTCCGTCCTTCCGTCGACTACCCTCCCTACTGCTGCGACCCCGCCCATACGTCGTGAAACCTCCACTTCCCGGTGAACTCGAACGTGAGCGCGGGTGACGTCGTTCAGTGTCATAAGCGTCTTTTCGATCCTGTGGGACTAGCCCCATGCGAGAGGGGTGAACAGTGGCCATCTGGTTTGCAGACTAAGTGTATGGTAGCGTGGGGAGCATTTGAGTGTAGTGGATGTCATTACATAATACAACGGTACGGTATGGGTACAACTATTGCTGAGGGATCAAAATTGCTGGCAGAAAAAAAGATAGAAAGAAAAGACAGATGAGTCAAGGAATGAGTGGTGAAGTCGTAATCCGGATTCGTGTCATGAAGGGAAAAACGTATAAGACGACTGAGAGGGGGTAGGTATGTAGGTATCATCCGTGCGGCTCGTTAGAACAATGAGAAAAACCACCGAGTCCATGCAAAGGGTTGATCGTGTATGCCTTGCTCAGCTATCGGTTGGAAAGGCATCTTCCTTGGTAAGTCTTCTCCTCAAGTCCCATCTCCTCAGGTACTCCCTCGCCCGCTCCTCGAAAATCTCGCCCCCCGCGAACAAATAGTCAGGTACCGCATCTTTGCGTTGTTCCCATGGCTTCATGTCTACCATTTCACACCGGTCGATGCATATGAGGATCATCCCAAAACTATATGCATCCGCGAGGAGGGGATCTTCACACTCTTCTCGTAACACTTCTGGCGCCGCGAAGGGCCGGGTCCCTGGATGAATCTGCTCTATCCTCTGCTGGGGTGTTCTGTAACCTGGGCTCGTCGCCTTGCGTGCAAAGTGTTGCCATGGATCAGCAGGCTCGTCGGAAGGCGGTATGAGTCTCGAGTCGATGGAGACAGAGCGCCCAAAATCGAGGAGCTTTATCGTATCTGAGGACCAAGTGACTTGTACGTTCAATAACGACAGGTCACCGTGGCTCAGGCCATACGAATGGAGGTGCGTCAGGCCGGCAAGGAGCTGGTTATGGAAATCAATCTTCTTATCTCTTGTGAGGGGTGGTCGTTGACGGATGACCTCGTACAAGGTTCGTCCGTCCACATACTCAAGAACCATCCCCACATTCTCCAAACATCCCAGGAATGCAGCAATGTTACGGTGTCTAGCCACTTTCGTGTACACACGTAGCTCGGCAAGGAACTGGGTGGTGACGTCTGACGCGTTAGATTGCATTTCCCCATTAATTTCGAGCTGTATGACGTCGGGCCTCTTGACAATGCATTTGAAGAGTTCGGATGCAGAACCCTGTGCACAGGGGACGAGATTTGCTGTTGGGTTGGGAGGCGCGGAGTATGCTGTAGGGGTCGGGAAAGAGAAGATGGCAGTTGGGTGTCGAGGTGGTTTATAGACCGGTATCGATGGATTCGGGGAGGGGCTTTTTACATGTACATCGGCGTCTGGCTTGTAGTGACCGTCATCAGGTGCCACCTTGGTCTCTTCCGAGGACGAGAAAGAATCAGATGAAGAGTTAAGCAGAGGCGGTTTTGTGCTCGACTCCTCCTCATCGATCTCCACTGTATGCCAAGGATAGTAGGTCAGACAGTAGCAAGTGACGATGCTGACGATCGAGTACCAATACGCACCCATCCACCAGTTCTTCTTTGAGGTGAGAGAGACTCGTTTGACATACATCTTGGCTGCCTGCACAAGGGGTGACATAGGTTTTATGAAGGGCGCAGGGTTCTGCGAAGGAAGAGGCTCGACCATGACGGATTCAGCCCTGGGCATGATGGGCTACGGGGTTGTTATGGTGGTTGGGTGGAGTGAACCCTCGGTTGCAGTAAGATACATGTGTTTTATACCAGCACTAGCGGGATCAAATATTGCGACGCCCCCGGTTCCTTACATGACGACGAACGTTCGCTGTGTTTAATTGCGCTCTATGATACGCCCATGCCACTCAAGTATCATGTAGTGTCGGATAATGAAGTCAAATGCCGATCGCCGTAGTCCTGACAGAATACCAGTTCAGCGGCATTTCCTCGTACGAGTTCCTTTGACTTGGTTGAAATACTGTAAGATGCAATTCGGTCACCAACCCAGTAATATGTCCGTGATATGTGTAATGGAACAAGTCCACTCATATGCCCTAATAAGAAAAGATGCCTTGGGCCAGTGCAGATTGACGGCTGATAAGGCATCCTAATGAAGTGAAGGTACCATAAGAACGACCATCAATGCACCTGCTATCTTCAACCAGTGCGTCAAATTCCCATTGGTTTGGCCCAGAACGACACTTGCGCCGGGGCTTTTGTTGAGGGGGCCCTCGGACTGCTGCTGTGGGATAACAGAAGACTGGGGCAACGGCTCATTGGGGCTAGTAGGCTGTTGCCCGATGCTCCCGGAACCCACCATCACTTGCACGCCGACAGATGGAACACCGTTGATAACAACAAATAAAACTAGATGACTTAGAAAGTCGAGTTGACTTCATTGATGCAAAACACTCACGTGCAGGCCCTGGCGGCATGATGGCAGGATTTGGTGGCAGCTGGCTAACGTACAGTACTCCCGACCCATTAGAATTACCCAGGTACGAATAGTCAAGTTCCACAGATCGCATACCCATATTCTGAAAAAATCCATCAGATTGGCGGTCAGCAGATATACCAGTACGCCTTACCATTGTATGGGTGGAAAACCCAGTGCGCAAGACTACGACCTTCGCACTCTGGATATTGTGGGCATTCCCAAATAAATCTGCGACGGTCAACGAAAGGTTGAAAAATGGCCCTCCGTATGCCACGCGATTAGGGAGCCCTTGGGGTTCCGGTCGCCGTTGATTGTAGTAAGAAGGATAAAAGATCTCGATACGATACTCAGTAGGATAGGGTGCGGAAGTATTGACATCAGGGTTCGGATTGGATCCAGCAACGAATACAGATCCTGTCAAACGTTGTACGGGGACTTTGCCTCGAAGACAGCGACTTACCATCTGGTAACAATGTCGCGGAGGAATGGTACATGCGATATATGTTGCTGGAATTGAGACCGACCCGGCTCCAGCGGCTGCCAGCTGGAGCACTCGGATCGTAAATGACAGGACTTAATATAGGTTGGTCTGCATATGACTGTCCAACAGTGTACGCCGTAACTCCATAGCCAGCAGTGCCTTTACAGAAGATGGTGAGTGTACAAAGTGACCAGACAAAATGGAATGGAAAGTGACCTAATTTTGCACCGTTGAGGCACAGGATCCTACCATCTGGCAGCAAAATCAGATTGCCCATTGTCCTACCCTCCGGTAGAGGATCTACCTCCTCGTAGCTAGAAGAGACTTCTGGCGAAATCTGGACGCACGAAGTTGACGCGGGGTAATGGGGTATATCCCAGTCTTCAGTCCACCTAGTAATAACTCATGTAATGAGTGCGGGACCTTGTTCTTTCGAAAAACAAAACTTACTGAGCCGGCAAGATGTTACTCCCACCACAGAACATGATAGTAGCCGTATAATTGTTCGCAGGTGTCATGGGCAGCAATACGGATCCACCACTTGCAGGGTACACGCGCACCGCGTCGGGCACGTCGGCCAGAGGAGTCTCCGCATTTTGATTGTAATCGAGTAGGACGGTATTCCAGTTGGACTGTATGAACAACTTTCCTGACGGAAGCAACCATGTCAATGGATACAAGTTGGCAGGGAGCGTGTTCTGGAGGATCGACGAGACAACGGGTTGACCACGGCTTGGGAAGAACTCGTAGGTAGGATTATCTTGCAATGCGTCGTTGACGTATCCTCCCCATCGGCAGCCACCTATCTGATGTCCAAGTTCAAGATCAAACGTGACAGCGGGAGAAGAAACGAACAATGATCGCACTTCCATCTTCCAAGGTCTCGCTAGTAGACAAACGTTAAGCTTGGCTTCCTACAACATCGTTAAAAGTACCCACAGTGATGGATACCATCGAGCCGTTGTCATAGGTTGGTCCAGGACCCAGTCACAGTTACCGTTATCACAGGGATTCAGCAACCTAACGAGGTTCAGTGCACTATCGATCTATGCCATGGCTACACACCGAATGCTATGACAAAGCAATAAGCCACGAATGATGGATCATCATTAGGAGATAGTACGCACGACTGTCTCCCGTCGGGGTCATCATACGGAGGTCCTCCTGTCTGACTTAGAGCAGCAACCCCTCCATAGGTCACCGCTTGGTTACCACCCACATTGAGCCATGTTCCATTTCCGAGCACCGTTCCTCCCTGTAAAATAAGTTAGCGTGGGAAAGAAAATAGGGAGCGCAAAAAGTAATTACGGCGCAAAAGCTGTTAGTAATGACATCCATTACCCTCGTCTGCCTCGAACTTATCGACCATTCTTCAGGTGTACGTCAAGATGCCTAGTCAAATGCGTGGGTGGAAACGACGTACCGCTGGCCCAAGCAGGATGGCCATTGATCTGCCATGAATTATTTTCTGTTTTGTCGACAATATAAACCTTATCCAGCGTCCCCAAGAATACCTTACGCAATCTCTAAGGAACAGATGGCTCACGAACATATTGGTGTCTATGCACACACCTGCTGGGCGCTTGCATAGCTGTTCCCTGCGACTTCGAAGTTGTTCAGAAAACTTGTCTGTGGAGATTGCCCTCTGGGATTTGAGTATCCCCCCCAAGCTCGCCCACCAGAGGTGAGGAGACTAAAACAGAGGAAGACCAGAGATGCTGGTGCGAACACGAAGGCTTGTAACATGTCAGGAATGAATAGAACGAAGAAGCAGTACTCACCACCGCAAAGTTATATGAACGCAAGGGCGTGCCCCTATCACCGTGAGGCACCATATTCAACTCTCAAAACTGGGGGCTGGGGCCGGTCAGATCTTCAGACGGCACAGATTACATACTCTGTCCATCGCCACTGTCACGGCAAGAGTACACCGCGAGCGGAAGTTTGAACGAATGCCAGCCGAGTTCCCCCTAGTCGTCGCCCTCAGGGGTGGTGCTGGATGAAGGAATGGGCGTGACATGCGGCCCATATATGTATATACATCGCCTGCCACTGATTAAACAGAACCCCAAACAAAAAGTGGACCTGGCACTTGTGAATTTGAAGCCCAGGTAAAATACCAATAAATCTGCTGGGAGCGAACCTGCCAAGGACTATATCTAGTCAGAAGCCTAGCATGCGAGGGATGACATTGACAACGCTGGCACCGATTTTCCCATGCGATCGTTGCATCATTCGGTACGCGGGTATCAAAGCAGGTTATCGATAGGAGGCAATTAAACATACTAGTGGGATTATTACATGAAACACGAGTAAGTGTGATATCACAGACACAACAAGTGAGGGATAAATACCAGTACAGATGGCTATGTACATATCCGTTTACTCATAAATCACTGAAAGCATCGACAGCAGAACCCAACAAGGCATCGAGGAACTTCCCTAGACAATGATAGTCATGGTATCTCTTTCTGTGGACGACGGGAAGCCAAACCTGCGACGTGGAACATCAGTCAGTCTGCAAGTCCGGTCAGGTACAGGGTACACACTCGGAGATGAATGTATGGAGATTGTCAATCTTGGACTCTGGCGCTTTCTTGGGTAAGAGTACCTGAACACTGAAGGGACTGGTGTTGGCCAGGAGTCCCTCCAAAATGTGTTCGGCTACGTTGCTGATGAAGTCACCGTTCGGCTTAAGTTTCACGTTAACAACAACAGGGGCATGTGTGCCTATCATGGAAATTTAGCGAGACGTCTATCATGAATGACACGTCCTCACCAGGCAATCCTATTTTGGATAGTCTCACTTGCAAACGGCCCATTCTATCCTGGAACTCATCCAACTTCGATTTTACAGTCAAGGCACGTTTAGATTGCTTGTCCGATTTGTTGTCCAGTTCCATTTGCAACTTGTGTTGTTCAGACTGGTACTTTGCTAACTCTTTTAGCAAGAACTTTCGACGTCTTTCTTCTGCAGCCTCTTGATCTCCACTGAGTTCGGTAGTTTGTTCGTCCTGGGTAATAGCTTCACTAGAAAGCACGCCGCCCTCATCACCAGCGACCTCGCTGAACGGCGGTGGCGGATCATTGGCCGGGTCGGGATCTAAGTATGCGGTGTCTCGGCTAGTGACCACGTTTGCATCGTCACCAGTAAGCCCTGGACTAGAATCTGTATCACCACCATCTGCAGGGGTACTTTGGGTGGCGGACGGCAGAACTGACATTTCTGACTTCGCTAGTGGCGGTGTGTCCACAGGGGTATTTAAGGCAGTGCCCTGAGCAGGCGGGTCGACTTGCGTGGGAGTCGTGGTCGCATGATCAGCACTTGGAAAATTGGCCTGGCTACCAGCCACTGAAGCCGCCTGGGCCAACTTCACCTCTGATGACCCATCGACGGTGCTCTCAGTCAAGGGGTGCTTGAGCTTGCTGAATACTTTTGGCGGTACTACTGTCGGGTAGGGGGCAACGGGTCGCAAAGGATCGACTCCTAGTTCAGAGCCGGTCCTTCTCCATACGTGCGATAAGTGTATGCCTCGTGCTGATCGAGTGTTCCTCCACACCACCAATAACGGTAGCGGCTCGAGATCCAGGCAGGGGTATTTGATGAGGTGCAGGCGTGTTATCGCCTTTGGGGTCGACATCTGGTATATCAGGGACGGTACTAATACGGGGTGTGGGTTCGAAGATGGATGAGGGGCGAGGGGGAGTCGGTAGTCGGGGAATAGGTGATGGCAGTTCCTGTAGATCTGTCAAGAGCGGGACTGCAACCTGATCCAACTGAGGTTGGAGGGGCGGTGTAATGTCCACCCAGTCATCGGGTATTGCAGGCGGATCACAATTCGATGGGTCATCGATCGGGTTGATGAGCTCCGACACCGCATTAGTTTGGGTATCACATGTTTCTAATAGTATGGTTTGATTTTGTGTTTCCGTTGCAACAAAAGACGCTGATTGTGCTCCGGGCCCGGGGACATCACTTACATCCAAATGTTGAAGCTGAGCATCGACTCGAGTGGGTATAAGGGAAGGGGACAGCCCCGGGAGGTCAACAACGCGGGCGCGGAGAGCGGTAACTTCTGTCTCCGTTTCTGACCAGCCAGAAGAGCCCGGGAATGTTCCCGGAGGATTTCTACCACTGGGTCGTCTTGGAGGCCCAGGCATGGGTGTCATTCCAGGAGGAGGGGATTGTGCAGGGGCAGCTCTGTCGCTGCGTATCGAGGCAAGTGATGACTCCCTATACCTATGAGAGAAGAGTCTAACGCGGGGTATATCATTTTTTATCCTAATGTCTGGGATTGCTCGTTTGACGTGACGGGCTTCTCTGCGGACCCGTCGGTAGAGGCGTCGCAAACCTGAGTCACGCCAAATGCTTGGGGCGATATCCGCAAGGAGCATGCCCACCACTGTCCACAAGGCGACAAGAGCCATGCGAGAGAGCGATTGGGTAAACAAGAAGTCTACGAATACCCGGAAGGCCAAGGCGATGTAGGGGTCGAATGACCGGGGCATTTTTCGAACAAAATGATTCAAAACTACTCCTTCCCATAGGCCGACGAGGACACCTAGAACATTTTGAGAAAACAAGGATGGAACACGAAATACGGTAGTGACTGGAGAGCAACGCACCTCCTACTTTGTGATCATCCGTGGCAGCATCGACGACCATACGCAAACCTAGCCCGACGCCAATTGCGAGTACACTTTCCATGGATGTCACCGAAGAAATGGCATGCCGGGAGTACGGAACAGAAGATGCGAACGAGTAGACCGAGGCCACGACGAGTAATATGCAGAGCGTATACGGTGGGATGGATTTTGGGAAAAGTGGAAAACACACAAACACGTTTCGCTTATTGTCGCAAAGGTACCGGCTAACAATGACATACAGAATACAGAAACACTGTAAAAAATACAAGGACAGCAATAAAACAACAAGCACAACAGTCTTTGCGGGCGGCAATACCCTAACGCTAAAACTTTTACACTGGTCAAGGCTCTCGGTCGCACGAGGGAAGTCCTGCTGAGGAGCGACCTCAACTGAAGAACACCCAGAGTGCTGCCCCACCGAGCGACAGCATCAGGACAAGTACTCTCATCTCCTCACCTGCAACGCTCTTCTCGAAAATCGCACCCAGCCCCCTTCCTCGACTTGGGATGGAGGTCAAATCGGTACTTGTACTTCTTCGTAGTACAGGTGTTCAGAGGTAATGTTGGGAGTGGCATCGTTATCCCAATCGGAGGGAGGGATAACGAACGTAGCGCCCTGCGTTCCGTACCCACGACTGACGATGGTAGACCATATTCATCTGTTTGTAGTACGTAGTTCCCGGATTCGAGGTAGGGATGAGCTGGTTCGCCGCCATTTACGCTGATATCCGCGCTGAGTGGGATGGGCGGAGGGAGAGTGGGGGAAATGAACGTAATACTAAAGGTCTGCAACTGTGGGTTTGAACGTGCGATAAGAGCAGCGCATTCTTTAAGGGATTGTTCACAACGGGCGCGAACCATCGTCACACGGAGCTGACGCAGACGCGGAAGTGCACCGATGATTTTGGCAAGCGTGTCCTACAAGCAGTTCATCAACGGTTATCAAAGCAAGCAGAAGAAAAAAAGGTCGTACTAGAGTGAATGACGGTCTACGAGCACATATTAACTCCAGCTTGGTGAGGCGGGGGCAGGCGTTCACGATGGAACGAACCAAGCGACCACCCTCGTATGCTGCCTGAAATACAAGTGCCACACGCAGCTCAGTCAAACAGTGAAGACCTTGTAGGACGCCAGCTGCAAGTAATGGAGCCATGTCTCGGATCACAAGTGGCTCGTCAATTGCCACACTAGTGATCTGAGAATAAATCTGGGACAAGCCCTGTAATTGCTCCAGAGAACCCGCAAACCGCGTGAGATTAGGCAGTGCTCCCTTATCCAGGGATGACAAAAACCCCGGATTAAGGGCTGCGCGAGAGGTCCTTAGCATTTGTAAATGAGGATGTGCCTCGAGGAAAGCGATGAACGGTGGCTTAACGCCTCCCCCTCGAGGTTGCCAGTCCAGGACGATATCACCGAGGGACAGCGATCGTAGTTTCGGCCAGCGCGCGTAACAGAGAGGATGTACGACAGAAACCGGGAGGAAGGGTGCGCCGGAGATATGGAGTTCTTCCAGATTTGAGCATCGGCGAATAAGCATGTCCCAGAGTCGGGACTCTGAAGGTAACTCTGCGTTTGATAAGTCCAGAACCCAGAGATGATGATGCAATGTACCTTGGAGACCATCTGAATGATTGTCGTAAAAGGCCGGCTTCAGCGCCAACCTGAAACCACGCAAGTTCTTAAATTGAAAGAGCTGCAAATTGTTCGGAATTCTGTATGCTGCAAGAAAACATCTCTCAAGACGTACGGTGCTATGGCTGTCTGGTAGCTTGGCTCCGTATGATGTGCCGACAGTGTGCAGCCGTGGACATCTGGGACACAACTTACTCAGTCATTCAGTACCCGTCAAATTAGCTTCCTTACGAAATCCGCAGCGCGAACCACATGTCATCGCACTGGGGTATCTCCCCTGCATCCCAGATGAACGTATGCAGTGCATCCAGTTTAGGTGCCAATGTCCTCAGCAAGACCGATATCGGGAAGCCACCGGAATGCGAAGCGCTCGAAGGGAAACGGACGGTTAACTTCTGAATGTGGCGCGCTATACTTGGGTCCCGATTCAGCATTGCAAGGGTTGCCTTGCATTGCTCTAGAGTATCGAGACGGACGTCATCGTATACTGCTGGAAGCAAGCCGAAGAATAAGCTTTTGCCCTGTAAGCAAACTTATGAGCCACGCTTCCGGTGAACGAGGAGGGTACTGGCCGCCAACGCGAAGTTGAGAACGTCTGCTTTGAGGTCGATATACCTGGAGACTTCGAAAAGGACGTCTGTCGGGAGGGTCGCGAGACTGCATGGCGTGTCGGTTCCGGGGCCATTGGTACGCAAGAGATGCAGCCGCAGCGAGGTGTTCGGGCGCTTACCATGGCTCATAGCCTCGCAATAGTTAGCTGGGAGCGTCTTCATTGTCAAGGGTGGAGGGGTGAGGGGGGAAAGATAAGACGTATTTCCGGCAACGCTCCATGCGATATTTGTAGGCTATGTACTTACGATGAGACACTGCACAGGCATCAGGCCCGAAACTTCTCGGGTCGGTTACAGAACTGCTTCCGACGGGACGTTGGATTCAACATCACAAGAGTGTATTCATATGCTGGTACTTGCTTCGGCCAATTAACAATAGTACTAAATGAGACTGAGAGGGCCCGGAGGGGCATATTAAATAACATGTGCAGTCGTACTTGAGCTGGCTCAGGTACACCGATTTCTCGACGCAATCTTTCCAAGTTCACTGCAGACCCTGTCCAAACCGGCGCCATTCCAATGCAGAAGCTCGTCTGCGGACATATTAGACAGCACATATTCCGCAGAATCTACAGCACGGTCCCGTCCGATCCCAACCCGGAAGCGGTAGAAGTCAGTATTCGCACCGAGGGCATCAATCACACTCCGAACGCCGTTGTGTCCGTTGGCGGAACCCCCGGGTTTGACGGACAAAACTTTTACTTTGTGATCGAGCGAGTCATGAAGGACGACCATGGAGGTGGTGAGTTTGACGGTGTTACGGAGAGCACACGCAACGGATGGACCGCTAACGTTCATCAATGACTCTGAGACAGACCGATCAGAAAGTAAACGTAAGTGAGGGTGCAACACACGCACTGGGTTTGAAAAGCGTCAACGACACCGTATCGTCCGAGAGCAATACGTCGGAGTGACCTATGAAACCTCCTATGGATCTATTCATGTTCATGTGGATACTGAACCGTACAGCCAGAGCATCAACGACGACATGGCCGATGCTTGGAGGGTGTTAATGAATGTCTGGAGTATGATGCGTCTAGAGAACATACCTGTGACGTGTGTTGGGATAAGGGAGATTACCCAAACCCACCACGAGTAGCCGTGGAGGCCAGGTGGTCATTGCAGTGAAGTTGTCGCCGGCCCGGCTCATGTGATTACCGGATGTGGACATGTCTCCGGCGTCAGGTATTAGTGAGTTCGCATCCTCGTGTTTTCGTCAGTTGCTTGTTCCCCTGCGATGGCGACGACGGTCACAGCTGCCGACGGTCCACTTCTCCGTCGCAGGCGTCGGTTTTCCACTGCAGACACCTCGCGCTATGCTCGCCTGCCTCTCTGCAGAAGATTGCCAGACTCGCTGGAGGCTCTCGACCTCTCCACAGCCTCAGCACGGGAGGCATTGGGCACCCTGAAAGTTCTTTTGTTGTCTTACCTGGAAGATGCAGAGCACAGGCTGTCCAAGCTCGAGTCACCCATCTCTGATCTCCGCATTGCGGAAACGTTCAAGATCAAAGGTGACCACTCAATCGAGGACGCCCGCCTCTGGGCCAAGGATGCCCTTGAGATGGTACGGGGCATTCGCTCGGACGTGTCCTCCCACTTCGCTGAACTACCCGACATTCCATCCTTGACTGACGTCCGAGCGCACCTTGCCTCCTTTTCCCTGACTGATATCAATGTACATATTGACGACGTTCGTTCTCGCCTCTCGGATTTAGACTTTTACAACCGACTGTCGGCCATTTCTACGCGTCTCCAGTCATTTCAGGCTCACCTACGGTCCATGGACATACTTGCCGTAGATATTCCTTCGCTGCCCAACAGAACCCGCTTTTCCGGTATCCTCGATTCAATTATGTCGTCGGAACTGGTGTCCGAGCTGACGGACGATGTGAACAAAGCAGAGGAAATGCTCGAGCACGTTGCACTGGATGTTGCCCGAGCTGTGAAACAGTCTCTTCAGGGTTCACGGCTCATTCAATACGTAGACTTGCCTCCCCAGTGGAGGAACAACCCTTTCGTCACGAGGGGATATCGGTCAGTCAATGCTTGCAAATGGCTTTCTGAAGCCTGTTTGACTGCTTGTTCTAGGTTCATTCCCCTCGAGAAATGGCCACTCATCATCATGTCTCTCTTTGCCGTCCATAACGAAACGCGTTTGTCGTCCCTCACTCCGCGTGATTCCAATGCTCATCTGTCCGTAGTAAATATTCACACACACCTTATTCCGTTCTTGCTGTGGTTTATCAATTGCATTCCAATATTCAATACCCCGAGATTTGTAGATATACCCGAGGCAGCGTTCCTGACGTTCGCCCTCATTTGCCTCTTCAGTAGCGTTGTCTGGCATACCATGTCTGGCTGCGCGCATCCGGAAGGAATGGACCTCTGTGCTAGAATCGATTATGTAGGAATCGGATGGTAAGGTGAACTCGAATACCTCCTCGCTGATTTAAACTGGCGGCCATTTTGGTAGGCTCATCAGTGCTTCTGTTGGCACCGTCGTGTACTATGGATTTCAATGTCACCCAAACATTGGCAACATGTTTCTCGTATGCTGTCTCTTGACCGGCGTGGCGGGAAATGCGTTCCCGTTTTTCAAGTGGTTCAACGATCCTGCATACAGGGTGAGACTTTCTCGTGTGAGTGTGGAGCGGGTTGATGAAACTTGTCAACAGCATTTGCGCATCCTCTTTTTCGTGTCCCTAGCTTTCACGTCTGCGGCGCCGATTGCCGCCCTCTCGTACCTACATTCTCCCTCGCAAGTCAAGGTCTTCCTCGGTATGTCCTTTCTCTCCGTTTGTCGATTCCACTTCACATGCCACACATATAGACCCAATCTGGCCATCCATCATTTCTTACCTTATCGGACTTGCGTTTTATGCGACACACTTTCCCGAGTGCCTACTTTCCGAGCGATTTTCGCACTATCTTGACTGGTGTGGCGGTGGCTCGCATGCGATATGGCATGCATTCATCGTACTTGCTATCAAACAGCATCGGGAGGCTATTGCTTTACTTCGTGACGGGTTCCAATGCCAAGGATCGGGATGAGCCCCTAGAGTGAGGGGGTTGGAGACTACGCCAGGGTCTATAGAAGCTATCAACTGGGTATTTATGTCAGAATTCCTAACCTTAATGCTCGATTTTTGTCCACACGACTGGATGTCCAGAGGTCGACTTGGTTCAACCATGACTCCATCCTGTTTAGCCATATTTTGCTTGTCTAGAGAACTGCGTGTTCTATATACCATCTGTCTGGCCCCTCGAGGTGCTATCGCTGACCGCTATTGCCTACCTGCCCCTGATTTGGGGAGTGCATCTGAGTCTGTCTGGCCCCTCAAGGCCGCGAGATTCAATACCCCTGATCCCTGTTGCTTCCTACCCCTGGCTTGGCGAGTGCAGTGAGCGCTCTGGTTGCGATCATGCATGCTATACATCTGTCAGAATCCTGGTCCTCGTGACGAAATATCATTCGGTGACAACTTTAGCGGAGACCATCTTTGCCGCTTTCAAGCGGGGACGCTTGGCACCCTTGATCATACGGCAAGACCCTGATACCGATCTCAGACGGACAACCCTACATGTTCAGATATCTAGTGCGTATCACAGCCAAATGGCCAAATCTTGTAAGTGGTCTCGGAAGATGAGAAACCCGCAACGACCCTTGACAAATACAAAGCTATATCTACTGGGATGCATTTAGCAGAGGCTAGGAAACACGAGCAACTGTTCAAACTCGTGATCAAGTCTAGAACGCAAGGCGCACGCTGTCAACTGCCTGAGCTGCTGGTCGAGCTGTCTGTCAGGTAGCCCCATCGGCCCAGGACCTTGAATACTGCCATTGTCCCGTCGATGGTATGGAAACACAGGACTGCTGACTGCTAACGAATGGCCGCGCATATCAAACTCGTGCTATCCTTGAACGTTGAACACTGGCTAGCACAAATTGTAGATGTTGTGATAGTACCCACAGGACATACCCTTTGGGACTGGCGTTAGTTCATTTCAAGAGAATGTTACTTGTGGCCTTAAACCATGATTTACCGGTATACTACCGAGCTTATCGATACAACATGCGCGAACGGAGGACGAAGAATACGGTGAATGGAGAATTCATAGCAGCTTTCCCTCTCGTTTGGCTTGCTGCACTTGTGCGAGTCGCTGGCTTCTGAGTGTTGCTGAATTTCCTTGTGCAGACTTCTTGGCCGTTGTGGTGGGTGCAGGAGCTGCGACAGTAGATTGGGAAAGCGATATACGTGTGTCGTCTGAAGCGAAACCTGGTATACGGATGTTATGATTGCGTTCTGAGCAAGAATCATGATCTGTGAGCTCCCCGATGAAAGTGGAACGGAATAACACCATGGATACTTACCCAGATGCAACTGGAGGTCCTTGACTTCGAGGGAATCGCTCCCTCGGTGCTTGGCTAGCCGGCATCCGAAATTCGTGACCGAATCTATAAACTCATCTGCAATTTGCAAGAGCAGCTAATGTGGTTACGTGAGTCCCATGGAACAAACGAAAGAAAAGCGAAACATACGTCTTCAACCTCGGGTTCGATACGCACGTTGGGATCGACGCTCAATACCACGTCCTGGATTGAGCGGCGCATGCTCTGGTCCCCGGGTGTGTTCTTCCTTCTCGTGCGGTTGTCATCAATCGACAACGTCGTTTCCTCGCCCGACCGAGCTACCTGCGCCGGGGTGCCTATCACCATAAAAGCACGTAGAAAATAAATAATCAGACAGAGTGACACACAGTATAAGCCATGGAAATTTCTGACCAGATATTCTTCCAGCAGTCATGCCGCCAGTCAAAGTCGGTCTTCCCTGTTGTGCCGCAGGCCATGACACGGGCCCAGGATTGGTTGTAGCGAGCGTTTGGCTGATGGGATATCCGTCCCCCGTTGTTGAGGTAAGGACAGGAGCAGATGAGCCGGTTTTGAACGCACTAGTGGCGGTCGATACTGCTGTAGGTGTTATCCCCGCTGGCTAGAAAAGTGATACATCGTCAGTCGATGTGATGTCGAGCACCGCACACGTACATACCTTGGCTGAAGTAGTTGCTATAGACGCTGTGGATGTTCCCGCTGTCGTAGTAATCGCACCGGTAGCAGGAGTCTTATACCTCTCTGCATATTCCTTCAGCTAGATGGATGTTCAGTCGAACCACTCCTAAGGCACAAAAAGGAGTCGATGCCACAAGATCCGCACTTGCCTGTTGAATCTGTTGCGCGTTCAGCTTTCCCTGGCGCGCGAGCTCCCCAAGCTGGCCCATATTCTGCGCAAGAAGTTGCGCAATACGCTCTCCTGTGATCGGCTCACCATTCTGATTCTTGAACGCGTTCCCAAGTGCGGTGATGATGTTGGCCGGGCTGGAGGACGGTGCTGGTGCTGGAGTGCTTGCCGCCGCTGCAGTGGAAGGAGGTGTCGGTGTCGGTGTCGGTGCGCTGGATGTTTGTTGGTCGTTTGCGGCCATGTCTACACAGTACTTGCTCGTTGGCCGGTCGGTGACGGGGAGCGGAGGAGTGATTGTGCCGTTCAAAGGTCCGGAAAGTTACCATACGTGGAAGGCCTTCCGATCCTCGCCGGGACTTTTGCAGGTGATCAGCTTGGATTCATACGGACATTTCGTACGTCCTAAATTTCACAAGATATTTTTTTGCCGAACGTCGCACAACACGAAGCGGCCTGAACATCAAGCAAAGGGAAATGTAATAAGAATTTAGAGCCTCGGCTCACGGCTGTAAGGCCTTCGGGCTTGATCTATCCTTTTCCTTGGTTGGCTGCAACTAAATACTTCCAGTTTGCTCGGTTCTGGTTAGTGTCATCACATGATATCTGCGATGCTACGGTCAAAGCACTGGGCACACGCATAATAGCATATTGCGAAACCATGAAGGCTGGATGGTTCGTTCTCCCGTTGAACATCTTGTACGACCACCCGGACCCAGTACATCTTTGGGAGCAACTCCAACCACCAGATCGGTCTGGGTATCCACGCCTTACCAAGGTGTGGGCCAACATGATGATCGGGCCGAAGTCACGACACAACGCTGCAGCTGCTTTTATTCTTCTCAGTCGTGCTGACGACCGGGAAGTCTGGAGAGGTCTTCGCTGCTTCGTTCGACGAATGCCGTGATCCTGCACCGCTTGTTTTCGGCGATGAAGGACCATCGAAAACGTTCATGGCTTGGTCGAAGTGATCACCGTTTCCATGTGGTGTTTTCTCGTTACGGGAAGAACATAACGAGATGCGGGTCCCGCGAAGATTATGAAGACCGTGGCGCGTGGCCGTATTCTCACCATAGTTGAGAGTTCCATAGTCTTTGGTTTTCCTGGGGGACTGCTAGGGGAGACCAGATTCTCACGTGCGTCAAGAAAGGTCCTATTGCATTCCCCCAGAAACTGATATTCTCTTCCTCTAAGAACTCCGCAGAGTAGGGGGAAACGAAGTAAATATATATTTCGGCAATATTGGACCTCCGTTTCCGCAAATGACGCATGTTATGACAACGGCTCAATGACTTCAGCTCCGAGGACGTTAATCTCTCAGAAAGATTCTCATACGTGGATTTTGCGATCCACCCTCATTTCTGTCTTCTATTCAATCTCTTAGCAGGACTCCACGTGGATATTGCGACCAAATTGCGACGATCCACCCTTGTTCTCCAGAATTCCCGCCCTCTGCGTTTGCTCTGCGAAGCCATCAATCATATGCATCTCGATTTTCGACTGGCTGCCGCAGGGGGGAAGGCAGACAAGCCGTCTCGCTGCAGTCTTATCACGGCCACACCTTCGCTCCATCCACCAACAGAGGAAGGGCAAGATGTGGAGGCGTCCAGAAGGTGGGATACGGTTGGTTGCTCCAGTACCCGGCAAGTACTTCTGGTGTCCAAACACATCCGTGAGAGGAAAGTTCATTGAGGCTGCCTCATAGACATATAGTAGTCACCGGACTAGGATCCTCAGGGATGTGGCACTTGAAGCAAAGCACCGTAATCGCGTTCTCGACACTGTCGCGGTTGCGCTGACGACTGGTAAATCTAGAGAGGTCGCCGCTGCGTTCCAATTAAAACGCCAGGGTTTCATGCCGCTTCTCTTTGCAACTTCGCCACCATCGAAGACAATCGGGTTGTTCGTGGCTTGGTCGAAGAAGCAAATCGAGCATGGCCCGGAATGCCAAGACTCTTCGCAGATCTTGATACGATCCGCCCCCAATCCCCTGTCTTCTACGTTCGCTCTGCGAAGCTACCGATCATATGGACCCCGATTCTCGACGGGAAGCTGCAGGCTGGAAGGCTGAAATTCCGTACCGCTAAAGTTTGCGAGTATCTGCGTTTCCGCCATAAAAGCCTGAGCAAGCATGCAAAAGGTTTTTCTTCTTCTTCCTACACGGCATCCCGTTTCCTCGAGACCCGGCTTCACGCCAACATTCGCATCGTCGCCTTTATGTCAGCATCCCGTCCAATACTTTGGGCCATCGCCATCGGCAGCTTGCAATTAGAGTACGGTTTTCCGTGGCTTCCGCTGGTCCCACGGCAAGCCGTATCCTACTTGTGCTCTCCTGGGTCACCTGTACTCACGTGCTCGTACCTGAGCGTGTGGTTGAAGCACACCTATCCAGTCTAGAACGCCAATCAGTGCGGGACTAACACTCTGTGTTGGTTGTTTCCAGACCACAGGAAACCCTCTGATGAATGATGAATATCAGTCGAGGGAGTCGGAACCCGGGCGATCTTGAGCAGTCGGTTTTTATGCCCGTGCGGGTAGGAAGTTGGGATGGGGTTCAACGTTCAAGCTTCCAGTTGGTCTATGAGGTCGTGTTTTAAACGACCGCTAAATGGCTTTCTAGAGGTTGATACGACATCTTAAACACGTTCGGTAACTACTAATTACACTGTTACATAAGTGGAACCGAAAGAAAGTGGAAGGCCGACTGGAGTGGCATTTAAATAGTGTATAGGTTAGCTTAATTTAAGCCGTCGGATTCGGGTATGGATGGAAAGGATGTGCATGCACGAAAGCAGAGGAAGACTGGTCAGGAAGCGAGACGGAGCGTAACTGCTGCGGACTGAGGCGAACGGGTATGTGGGATTTGACGAAACTGAAAACTGAAAAGCGAGGCCAAATCTGCAAGACGTGTCGAGATTACGGAGCTGCTGGTATGGTTGATAAGTTCGAAGGGTTGTACAATATACGGCATATGCGATACAGGAAGCGCACCGACGATGACGTGGATGGAAGAAACATGGATTAGAACCGGGGAAGAGAGGTCAGTGTCGACAAAATGCTTTGTGGCGCCGCGAGCCCTTTCGTTTGGTTAAGTGATGATACACGTTTACATATTAGCCTTTCAACAGAAGGGATTTAAGACGTCGAGGTAGCCCTTGTGGTGATTGATCAAGGTCCACCCTCGCTTTCGCATGCACCAACAGAAGAAGGGCAAGACGCGGAGGTGTCCATCGACATCATGTGGATGTTTCCGCCCCGCTTTAACTGCCTTTCGCTAGCCGCGACCGATATACCGGACCTGTGACTCGTCGACTTCAACGTTGAACTGGAACTCCAATGTGACCTCAGGGGGGTATGCTCAAGTTGTGGGGTCTCGACCCCTGCGCCGCCGCTTATGGAGAAGTCGCGTAATTCGCCAATAGGTATGCCTTGATTCATATTTTGCAAAAACAGCTGTGACAGAATTACACCATCTCCCAAACTCTTGTCCCTCTCTTCCTCGATATTGAGGGGGAGAGGATAGCGGGGGATGAAGGGCTCTGTCGAATTCTGGTGATTGAGGGCCGCCTTGCGCGATGTACTGCGAGATTTCTTGGGCACGGTTCTTCGTCGTCCTTTTTTGGAACGAGGAGCGGCGAAGCGATACTGGACACCAATTCCCTTGGTTCCAATCTCGTCAAAATCCAATCCGAGGGCTGCTGCAGGAGGTGGAAGCAGTGGGGGAGGCATGCTCGCGAAGGGATCAGGGACAAATAGATAGTCCGAAGCGGAATCGCAATGTGGAAATCTGGCAAACGGGGATTTAGAAGTAGGAATGCCACGGTTGGGTATGGGATGTTTTGTCGCCTGCTCTGGAGGCCCCAAAGCCGGAGTGGGGGGCATGACTAGATGAAACACCTCGTCTTGAGCAGCACTGAAGAGCAGCATCCAACTCACCATGTATAGCGATCAACAGGGCGACGCTCCATGCGCAAGTAACAGCTGCGCGTGCAATAAAGAAATCCAGCAACCTACACGGCACAACCGAGCCAGCCTTGGCGAGATTGAAATCGGTTGCCATACGGCTGACGATTACTTCCAGAACGATGTCTAAGGCGGCACACAGCAACGCGAACACTTGAGAGAGAGCAAAAGCAAGAGGAATACGCAATGGATCGTTCGTGGTTGTTGCAACAGCCGGAGGAGCTGTGGCCGGGTTGATGGATGAGGTTTTTCTGTCCATCTTGGGTTGGTGACGGGCAAGAGAAGCGGGGAACGGCCATGTTTCCATGGTTGGAGAGGACACGCGTGGGGGATACCTATCCAGTTTATGGAGGGTGCTACGGGTGTGTGGGAGACGTGCAAGAATGATATATGAAAGCAAGGCGAAGGAGAGAACACGCGAGGTAGCAGCAAGAAATGGTGACAAGAGGATAGGGGACTGAGGGACAACTGAGAACGCGAGTGCTTCTCGGAGGAGAACGATAAGAGTGTATGCAAAACAGAAAAGGGCGGACGACATACCGCATATGGTCAACACTGCAACGAGGCAGAGGAGGGGGGACAAGGATACATGCTTGTAGTGAGCTATCCGGTAGAGGATGGCAAGGGTAATCGTGGATACTGTGCATAATATCCGTAAATGGGTGGATGGACGGATGGTTTTACACTCACATAGGCATTCGAACGCAGATTCAAAGGCTGCGGTGAGGTCGGAGAGCAAGGCTGGCAGTCTGTGCTGGGAGAGGGTGAGTTCCATCGCACCAGATGCAGCGGAAAAGAGAGCAATTAGGACAAAAAAGAGGGCCGAGGAAACGGAGAGATGTCCTGAAAGCCATTTGGTAGTGAGAAGGATCAGCGAAATAGGGGGGAGGATAAGCAGAAGAGCGGAGGAGATGGCCAGCGACGACGGCGACGACGACAGCAGCAGCCTGTATGCGTTTGCCATGGCATGAGACGGGATGCGCGTAGCGAAGGGAGTCGTCCACTCACCACTACAGATTCGGTAAACGTCGATCCTCGGCCTCGCTCGTCCTCAGGGGGGTCTATCGCGGAGTCACAGTCACATGACGTGACAGGACGTGTGCGTGACAAACGCGCTTGTCACGTCCTCGACTACACGGTCATCATGGCCAGCAAGACGCTCACAAACTCGGCGCACGAACCTGGCTACACTTGCATTACATTCTCTAGGGATGGAAAGTAAGTTGGACACTGCACCACACACCCGTCCTCCTCTCAACTTCGTAGACTGTCGTACACTGGGGGCTCGGACAGCCTCGTCCGGATATGGAACATGGAGAAGGACCAGTACCAGGAGCCAGAGGTAGCTTACGAGGCCGACGAAGGAATAACCTCTATCGCAAGTTCCGTGAGCAGCTCTCCCGCTCACGTGTCGTTCAAACATGAAAACACCCTTGTTTGTAGAACGACTACTGGTTGTCGGGAAGTCAGGACTCTGAGGTCCGAAGCTACATTCACGGAAAACCAGACCTTCATGGGCTCGTCTTAAAGGCTGCCGGTGTATCCATTCGGGATCTTGCATTCGATCCTGCCGGGAAACGCGTCGCTATTGCCACAGAGTATGTCTCATGTTCTCATTATTTTGACGTGACCAACATATTCACTGCGTGGCAGTGAGACAACAGTGAAGGTTGTGGATATAAATGACATAACCAACGTTATCCTACTCGATGGCCATAAAAAATGCATACGCAAGGTGACCTGGCACCCTTCAGGAAATTTACTCGTATGCTTTCCTCTTTTGTCCCGCCATCACCTTCCCTATTGACCCGTGAATGTTCAGACAACTAGTAGCGCGGATGGAATCGTAACGGTCTGGGACATATCCGGCTCGGAGCCAAGAATCGAGAAAACAATCGATGGTGTCATTCCTGCTGTTTCGGACCCCGAGTCTGTCGACCTTAGTCCTTTCACAGTTTATGTCGCTTACACTCCTATGGCAGGTCCCCAGAATTCATGCACGACTGTTCCGCAGTTTGGCATCCCTCCGGCCTCCACTTGTACATTTCATCGAGGGCTCATGGTATGTGTAACCTCACTTCACAATGCAATGGAACCGCACTAAATTTTACGCTGTTCAGACGTCGTCGTCATCTCCCGTCCAAACTGGGAGAAGCTAGCTTCATTCTCAGACTCTAGCATTACCGGTGCGATAACGGCACTTGCCCTCTCCGTGAATGGCTTGTACCTCGCGAGTGCCTGCAAGGAGGAAATCGTCGTATGGAGTACGCAAACTAGGCGTGTATTATGGAGGTAAGGCTCTCGTGCCAGCTGAGCCGGGTCATCCGACATTTTTTTGTTTTCTTCTATCCAACTTAGACAGTCAGGCACACCGAAGGCCATCATCACTCAACTCGCCTTTTCCCCCTCCCAGAACCTCCTCGCGTGGACCGATAATGAGGGCATCCTTACCTGGTGGAGGGAACCGGTTCCCGCAGGCTCCCCTGATCCCGTAAAGCAGAGCACAGCAGCAAATATACAGGGCGGATCCACCAAACACAAAGTTCCCCCAACCTTATGGGGAGCGGACGACGATATTGACAACAGTGGTGTTGACAATAAAGGTATTGGTGCTGGCGGAAATGATGACGGGAATCAGTACGGGGATGACTGGATTATCGATGATCTTGGCGATGGGATGGAGGACGAAGCTGAAGAGACTGGGCAAGTGGAGGCAGGAAATAAGTTTGTAAAGGAAATGGGTAAGTTGGTGGGAAGTGAGGCAAGAGCGACAATCCACTGAACCTCCTTGCGCAGTCAGTATCACGAAGGCGCAACCACCTTTTCAACCTAGTTCGACTCCAATGGAGAACAAGCGGCGCTATCTCGGTAAACTTTTTATTTGCAGAGTCTAACAGGTGGATTGGACTGACACTCTTAACATAGCGTACAATACAGTCGGTGTGATCGAGGTAGCGGACCAAGACACGCACCACATCGTCACCGTCGATTTCCATGACCGCTCCGCGCGGAAGGGATACCATTTCACAGACCACTTCAAGTACGACATCGCATATCTCGGCATGTTGTTCTTCCTATGCTGACAATTCTCGCGCTTGACGCTTCCTCCGTGCAGGAGAACGTGGTGCTCTGTTCGCATGCCCCCCAGAACAGGAGCACCCGGCCCAAGTTCGCTACAAACCTTATGGAACCTGGTCAGCTCAAGGTGACTGGGAATATACCCTTCCCCCTGGCCAGCGCGTCCTCGGCCTCGCGGCTGGAGGGGAGAAACCAACGAAGTCTCTGCGCGATCCTTCTACGTCGGGCGGGGATATTCAGGGGCAGGGTAATGTCGTGGTTGCCACGAGCGCAGGAGACCTTACCTTTTTGAGTGGATCCGGTATGGAAAGAATTGTGCTGGGGCTAGAAGGGGAATTCGTGAGCATCGCCGCTGCAGAGGAGTATGTTATTGTTGTTCATCGGCCCGGGGCGACCACGATTGACGGTAAGTGGACAACGAAGTCACGCGTGCCAGTCGTTAGTTGAGTGTTGGTTGATGGTGGTCGTACCCGCACACAGGATCTCAGGGTTTGACTGCGACATTGATTTCCTTCGGGGAATTTGAAGTCCTCCAGCAAAAGCCTCTCCCGATCCCGAAAGGGCACGTTTTAAAATGGATTGGAATAACGGATGAAGGGGTGCGTTGACCATGATCATTGCAAGCTACATGTTGAATGTATCCGTGATGGCAGGTCCCAGCGATATATGACTCTTCCGGACATATGCATATCATGATTAATTTCCGCCGCCCTAATCGTGCGAGCTGGGCACGGATACTCGATGCGAACGCGCTCGAGCGGAAGCAGAACCGGGACGAGTCGTACTGGCCAGTTGGTTTATCCAAGGATACCCTCATGTGCATCATTCTCAAAGTCAGTGGTTGAAGAATGTGATGTTGATCTGGTGGTGGGGCTGACAACCTCGCAGGGCAGACAAGAACACCCAGGGTTCCCTCGACCACTCATACAGGAAGTTCCGTTACGTATGCCCTTCCGGAACAAAGACTCAGTCGACGCACCCATCGAAGAAAGGTAACGTTCTTTCTCAGGTTCATATTCTCACTGCTATCCCAACCGCGTAGCACTGCACGCGAACGCATATTTATCAACCTCGCCCGAGATGGCCTCGAAGACGAACTTACGAACCCGGAACTTGACAAGCGCGAAATCGAGCTCGATAAATCGCTCATCAAGCTCATCCAATCGGCTTGTAAAAGCGACAAGGCCCCGCGTGCGATCGAGCTCACTAAGCGGCTGCATTTTGCACATTCGATCGGTGCGGCATCTCAGCTTGCCGGGTTCTATAGGCTCCTTGGTCTTCAGGAGAAGATTGATGCAATCAAGCAGTGGCGTGAGGAGCAGGGTGGCACGCCTCTGGAGAGAGCACGGGAGAAGAGGAGAGAGCTTGAGGAAGAAGATCGATATATGAAAGCCCCTAAGAAGCCATTCCAGGATTTCGAACCTCCGAAGAAGATTGAGAGACCAGCACTTGCAAGGCCAGCCGCTGTAGTAGAGCATACGGAATTTACTGCGTCAAACGCAACGGCCAGGGCGGTCAGGACGCGCGTTGAGGCACAGGAGCATGGGTGGACGCCACCTCCAGAAGGGAAGAGGAAGAGAGACACGGAGGATGAGGTTGGGTTCAAGGATCTGGAACGCGAGCACAATAAGAGGTGTGCAGTTGGTGAGACCTCGACCCCGATTCCTTCGCCAAGGAGTGAGTGTTTTTTCCCTCGGCCTCTGTACAGAATGAACTGACGGCGCATCCAGAAGAGAATCCATTCGCGCGCAAGAATGGTTTCGATACCAAACGTAATCCCTTTGCACGAAAACCAGAGTTTGACAAGCCAATTCAGAAGAGCGAAAGCTTCTTCAACAAAGTCGAGGCTGTCGAATTCAACGATAAAGGCAAACGTAAGTTCCTCCTGTGTAGCCTCTGATATCTGGTCGAATGCTGACGGGCCATAACCCAGGACCGGCGAACGGCAAGGGCAAAGAAAAGGAGAAGAAAGACTTGTCTCGGCAAACCACACTATTTGGCCTCCCCCCTAAACAAATAGCGGAGAGCAAGTCGAAGAATACAACAGGCAAAATACCTGGGACCGAGTCGCAAGGGAGCAGTAGTATTGGGGAATCTCAAACACAAACTACAGATGTGGATATGACAGAGGCATCATCGGTATCAAAATCATTAACGTTCGAAGACGGTACTTTGGTCCAGCCTCATGAGGACGGCAATGTGGTTGAGACCCAACCCATAGAGGAGGATGAGGAGGGAGAGCCAATAGACTGGCCGGACTCACCTCAGACGTCGGGCGTTGAGCTTGCTATGGAGTAATCCTGCATACGTACTAATACATGTTTTCTTGTTTCGTTTCCGCCTGCCTGCATCAGCTGTAGCAATATATAGTATCGCGTCGGCGATAGACAACACTTGCGAGGGGGGTTCCTCCAGAACTTGGCGCGTATGACCCTCACGAGAACATGAGATGGATTCCTGGCAGGCCTTTGGTTAAACGAGTCACGAAATGTCACGGTAAAGAGTCCTGGAAGAAGTCTGGTCTACCTCCAGGGCGGTCAAGTTGTGCTTAGTGACAGGGGGCACAGTCATTGCCTGCGCCATAGAGGCCTGTGCACTGTATGTTCATTAGTGACTACTGTCTGTCGTAATATGCATGGAATGAATAAATGAGGGAATGGGGATATTTATAAACCGCATCTCTATCTGAGGTCAACGAGAAAGAATACGTCAGAGGACGCTATGCTTGTGAACTTGATCCTGTATCTGGTGAACTTGGCTTGCTGTTCGCGGTGCCAGACGCTTGATTATTTTCACCAGCTGACCTAGCGGCTCCCTCCTGCGTGAGTTTTACTTCTGCTTCTATTCGTTCTCGCGCGCGGACTACTTTCGACTGCAGATAATGGGGGTATACAGGTGCCGTAGGTTGTTTGCCCGTCCGTGGGCTGCCTGCTGCTGGTTCTGGAGCAGGCCGTGGGGAATTCGCTTTGAAGAGATGCTCATAGTTCTACGACCGCAGGTCAGTCAGCACCAACGTACCGGTCAAGTATTCATTGGTCACTAAACACGGAACGGATGATTGTTGTATACTCACCTTGAGTATTTGCTCCATAGCCTCTCCCCGCTTGACATTTAATATGAGATGGGCTTCGTCCAGTGTCATACGATGTTCTCGGGTCAACTTGTCCGTTACAGACGTGGACGTTGCATTGCGGACGCCGGTAATGTCAGAAGCTATACCGCCCTGCGGCGAATGTTTAGCATCTGATGCATGGACGGAAGGTGTCATTACAAGGGGGGATATATGTGAGTAGTAGATAGAGTGTTGTCAGCTTTGCGTATTAGACGTTCTGGGCTAATGAAGGACGAACTTTTCACGGCTTGTTTTCCTGCCTCGTAAAATGCCTTTCCGAATATTTGTGCACCCGTAATGAGTATTTGCACGATGACCCTGGGTGAGGACTATGGAACAAATTCAATCTGCCCCGTCATTCCCTATGTCATAGAATGGACGACGCACCATGATAATATTAACTACGGCACCGACGACGATGTGATAACTCTAAAATACGAAGAGGACCTACGCTCCTCCCGGTCACGTGACCACTCTCAAAATTTCTCCCTGTCCAGTGTACTCCGGTCCAAATCCCTCGTTGCCATGTTATCATCGCCGGCCTCGCGCAAATCCAAAAAGCGGAAACAGTCCGATGTCGCGGACAGCTCTCCCATTACGCCTAAAGGTCAAGAAGAAAAAGCGCGCCTCATCTTCATCCTAGTGCTGTTAGCGAATTCTGTACCGTCAACGCAACCACCGTATTGTCCGTGCCGCCCATATTTGCAAATAATCTCCGCGCAGGCGTGGAGGAGTTGTTGGACAGTATGGTTATGCGGTACGTTTTTTCTCAGGAATTAGTACGCTCAGATCCTTTCGATGACCAATGCGCCCGCCCCGTTTACTCCCCGATGGATGGTGCACGTATCATTCATTAGCCATATCCCATCTTTGCAAGGCGTCTTCCTTGCACATTCTAATACGCGGTTTCTGAGCCGTACCGCTACGGTCCGTGGTGATTGCCCGTTCGCAATATGTAATGTAGGTTTTGACGCGACGGTATGGAGCCCTCGTGTAGGCATGAAACTGGGTGAGCAAGCGCGGCGCTTCGGTGAACCACGTCTCTCATCTCACGTTGTACTTTTGGTATTTGCATTGAATGTGCAGTCGGGAAGATAAACTTATATTCACCGGACCACGTCTCGGTCCTCGTTCACCGAACGTTCAATGTCTCTATCCCTCGGCACCATATTCCCTCGCGATCAGTGGACATTTGAATATGGTCCAGCAGAAAACGACCCGGAGTTTGGATTTGGGCGGGATTCGGAAGGACATGCATCATCTGCCGAAGGAGAAGAACTTACCTCTGTGACGCGGGAAATCGAAATGCAAGATGTCTTACCTGACGCCATGGCAAAACAATCGAAAGACAAAGTCTCAGAAAGTAGTGGGCGATGGGTACACCATCTAACGGGAAAAAGGCTCGGTGACCCAGACGGATACCTCGAATTTACTGTCATTGGGTATGCACTATCTTTGGGGATTGTTCCATATGATCACACATACGTTGAGCCAGGTTGACAGTCGCTAATGAAATGCTTTCTTTACAAGGATCCATCCAAGCTGACCCTTTCTCACCTGAACATGTTCTCCACCGACAGAGCTCTCCAAGGGCGTCGGCTCCCTCTTCACCTACTTCGCGCCGTCGTCATCATGTCACAGATGCCACCACTTCATCGCCTGTGCTAGGTGATGCTGGACCACCTGCGGACGAAGGGGAGGAAGAAGAATTTGGGGAAGATACCTTCACTGACCTCGTCCGCCTCGAGCGTGAGGCAGCTGAGGGGCAGCGAAAAGGACCGGAGCGCGTCGAGAAAAGGACCAAAAAGCGGAAACTCAAAGAGGACCAAGCAGGTGCCAATGAGAAGGATGCAATTGGAGGGAACCGTGGTAGGGGGAAGGAAAAGCGCGAAAAGAAACGCATGAAACAAAAGAGGGAACCAGACGACGTATCATGATTGGACCTGGGACATACTCATACGTGTCGTGGATCTCTTGAATGTCATGAAACAGAAGCATTGCTACTTCACTGATATTTTTGCGCCTCTCCTCTGGGCAGCAGTACAGGACTTCTTTACAAGCACAAAACTAACTCGATATCGAGTGTTACTGGGCAAGCTACACGCGTCAGTCTGTACCTATTACAGATCCACGGGGGTTAGACACTGAACCGCGTATCTGGAGAATTAAAAGTATAACAAACAAGGAGCGCAATAAGAAAGCTGGAGGAAATGAACATCTTAGTTTGACCAAGAGAAAAACTACATCCTACAAGTTAACAAACAGAGAGAAGTCAGGAAAGTAGTCAAAGGTGACTGAGACTAGGATCACCAAGGTTGCAACGTTGTAAAGCTAACGCAATGCACAAAAGAACCACGGTAACGATGATATTGTTTGCACTTGTTGCTCTGGGTCCAAGGAAATGTGAGTAATTTGGTCTATCGACTGCTGCTACGCTTCGCAGGTTTCCTGAAGCGGACGACGACAACTGTGACGTTATCATTGGTCAGACGCGACAATGCGTGCTGCACGAGTGTATAGCTGGCTTCTTGTGCGTCCTCGATATGACGCACAAGGTCAATTGCGCTTTGATCACCAGTAATGTCCCACAACTGTGTCAAGGATGGTGAGTCCTGTGTAATATATGGCAGGGAAGGACCACAAGACTTACGCCGTCGCAGGCCAGGATCAAGAACTCATCTTCGTCGCATAACCTGTGTCTCCGTTGTATAAGGGGACCCAACGACGAACTCTTTCATCGAAGAATCACCCAAGCTTCTCGTCACCGCCAATACACCATTAACGCGTCCGCTCATCACAAAACCGCCTGCGTCCGTGATGCGTTTCGCTTCCTGTTTGTCGGACCCCTTGTGATCGTATGTGAGACGTACAGCTTTGCCTGCGCGACAAAGCACAGCGCGCGCATCGCCCGCATTTGCAGTATAAAGCACGCGTCTACACGAACGTGGAGGGGTGATAACCGGAGGAGACGACGGTGGAGAGGTCGCGGGCTGGGATGGGTGAGGTGGGAGGTCCGCTTCCACTTAGATTCTTGAATGCCCTGGCAATCCGGTTGCCCGATGACGAACTCTTCGTCTTTTTGTGATTCTTGGCACCCGACGGACCTGTTTCCTCGCCCGACTCTCCACTATGTGAATCAGATCCGCTGGAGTGGTTCCGATTGTGTTCAGGGGTGGTTGGCGGAGATTTGAGGAAGGGTTGGCGACCATACTCATCCTCGATGCGGAGGAAAGCAGTTGCTACGGTACAACCGGAATGGATCTTTCCATCGGATTCTTCGCAAAGGTGAGAGAGACGCCTATCCACAGTATGGAACGTCTCATTGAGAATGTCTGGAATGGTGGTGGATCGGGAGGTGCGGAGTGCGTTGAGAAGATACTACGGGTTCGATAGGGGCAAGGGTCAAGGGTGTTCGCAAGTGACGGGATGAAGAGGGACCCTGCGGAACAGAACGTACCTCGTGGAAATGCTGGCCGCACCACTCAGCTGCATGCTTGCCTGCATGCCCATCAAAGACGGCAAAAAAGCCTTGGCCTCTGACGCCGGCATAGTCGACGACAAAAGAGTGCGCATCCTCCATGTATCTGCGCGTACCCTTATCTTCAGATACACCTACTTGGAATGCGGTGTTACCAACTGAATGCTGGTTTAAAATCTGATATATAGGGGGTGAGGGGTCGATGATAGCGGCAAGTGCAAGCGGACGTACTCCGTACGTGTCGCGGCCTTCTGCAGTTGTGATTGACTTGGAGCGTGCGTTTGGGGAGTCTGTAAATCGCGGTGGGGCAGTACGCATAGTTGTATCCGAGTCTTGGGGAGGGCTGGGGAGGGGTGGCAGACGAGGAGGGTGATGGGGTTAGACAGATGTGGGGGAACAAGGACTGATGAGAAGGCACCCACTCAGCTGGCGCAGTGGCTATTAATTTCATCGACACGGATTGAGCGACGAGCTCCGGCAGCAGAAAAGCTGTGCTCACCGTCTGGAACGATGGACTCCGACATTCCGGGGGGGCAGCAATACACCAACTTGGCGTGTCCACAACAAAGTCCAGAGGACCGAAGACGCGATTGGAAGGAGATCCACTGCGTCACGTGAGCCAATTAGGTAATTACATAATTACAGTAAATTATTTATTTTGCATGTCCCGCCAGCCCGTGTTTGTCGACAGCCTCGAAGACGGTGGATGTCTCAGCAATCCAACACTGCAAAGCCTTCGCTCCAGGGGGTCAAAATCAAAGCTAGAAAGGGTGCAGTCAAAGCTCAGGCAAAGCACGAACCAGCGGGCACGTCTCTTTCTACTCAAATCTCTTGTCTATCTTACCCCCGTTATCAGTCTTCAGAGATCAACTATATAAACACCTCGAAACCGTCGACAACCACGACTTCGAGGCCATCACTAATAAACTTCTCCAGGCAGGCCCCTCCCTCGATTACTTGAAGTATGCAGAAGCCCTCTTCGAAATCATCCTCGCTGGCGGTCTCATCCAGCCAGGCGGCTCTTATGTCGATGACGGTGCACCCATGTCTCCTTTCTCCATCTTACAGGCAAAGCACCCTGCATCAGTCGACGACCTAAAGAATTATGTTCAGGTCCTCAATAAACTCATTAGAAGGCATGTCCATCTTGCCAGGCGACGCTCATTCTTGCTCAACGACTTCAGATACAAGTATCTTCAGAAACCTCTCGAAGAGCAGTCACTCCCCACCCTGCTCCAGTACATAAACAGATGGGCTCCTGACCAGCGCGACAAGTTTTCCGTGACAGTCGGCCTCCTCATATCTCAGGGCATTGTTAGTGCGACTTGTCTGCAAACACTGAGTAAAGACCACCTGGTCAAGAATGGTACTTTTAACCCCTCGTGTTTATCACGTTCGCCCCATTAACATACTCAGACACATCTATAACTGTACTCGCAATCATATTCCGCGCCTATCTGGCAGACCAATCTATGGAACACCTTGCCACGTCTTTGAGACGTGGCAACATCAAGGACCTTCTCATCTTCTTCCCGCCCAATCGTAGAGACGGCAAGATTCTTGACAACTTCTTCCGCAAGGAGAATATTCCTCAAGTAGCCGATTGGTACACCAAGAGACAACAAGCCCTCGCCAAAGAGATCATCGTGTCGGAGCTTAAAGACCTCTGTGCACAGGACGATTCTGCTGAAACCGTGTGTATGGGTCAACTACGGTACCCGTCGTACTGCTCACACGGATTACACGTACCAGATAATCTCTTCCGTGCAGAGCAAATTAGAAGAGAATCCGCTGCCAGATACTGAGCTTATACAATGCCTGTGGCAGGGTCTCATGGCTACCGTCGACTGGAGTGCCCGCTCAGACCAGATCGAAGGTCTTGCGCTCCGCGAAATTGGGGTGCGCCCAATGATGTGATGTCACCCAATGAACATTTTGCTCACGATGCGCAGAAATTTGCACCTGTCCTTGAGGCTTTCAGCAAGAGTCCAAAAGTTGAGGTCGCGTTGATCAACGCGGTGCAAGTACACTGTTACGATGACACGCGGATAATGAAAGCGTTCGTCCCGATACTCAAGGTAAACAACTCATTCTTCGCATCTTCTCAGAATTGAAACAGTTGAGTGCGTATTAGGTTCTGTACAACAAGGACTGTGTTTCAGACCAGGCTATCATTTACTGGCATCAGAAGGGCTCCAAGCCTCAAGGAAGACAACACTTCTTGAAGGCTGCCGAAGCCCTTGTCAAGGTATATACCGTTTACGCACTCTGCTTTCAGCGTCACTCAACATGTGCTTCGTGGCCCAGTTCCTCCAAGAACAGGAAGACAGTGGAGATGAGGAATGATAGGCTCCAGATAATCATGTGGTTTTAGGCAATGTAGTGGACTCTTTTCCCTTCCTCTTCAGCCCGCTTTAGCACATTTAATTGTACTTCTGAGGATGACCGATGAAGTCTGAACGAATTCATGATATCTTGCGTTTTCTACCCTCGGAAGTATATTTCACATGACGCTACATCGTACCCATAATATCGATACCCAAGAATAGATGCGGACACCCTGCAGGAGGGCTTCTGCGAGGCAACTAAACGACGTGAAAATAAGAGATCGTACATAACAGTCAGTTAAGGAGTAAACAAAGATACATGATTTTCGCAACCAATCATGTGGGCATCTGGACGATCAAAACAGACCAGCAAAGATGGAAGTGAAAACAATTTCATCACCAGGCTTCAGGCACAGGAACAAGTTCCCCAAACCACCCGTCCGTGTCACTTATAGTCAGAAAGATACCGTCCGATCCGTTTACCGGAAGGCCAAGGTCATCAAGGCTCTTGAAGCGCCACAGGGCGGAGTAAGAAAAAGGAAAGCGGGAAAATCGGAAGAGCGACGGACCTGTTCTTGCAACCATAACGGAATCGCGGTAGGTTTTGATGAGCCGAAATCATTCCCTTGATGCGTGAGACGCAGTTCCTCTGCTGTCAACGACGGCATAACGCTTTGCGAAATCTGCGGATCAACGCATGGTGCAGCAGGCATGCCATCTGGGACGGGTGGAGGCATGTTGTGAGTAGCTGGAATCATTCCCAGTTTGCGGCGGAGGTTCGTGAGCATGATGCGTAAAGGGAGTGCGTAACTGGCCAGGAAGATGTTGAGTATTGTATGCTGTAATATTTAAAGCAAACTCAAACCGCTCTGCTGCAACACCAGATAATAGCTGAGCTAACTGTTCGACTTGTCCTATGATTGCGGCTAAATCCACCTCGGAATGGAAGAGACTGGCCACCTTCAACAGGAAAAGACCAGAAAATGCGAGCATGATGAGAATGTCGTGTACTGCATATCGAAGAGCAGCTCTAGTAGGCCAGTGAATTTACGCATGGCGTAAGGTAGTTCAAAATCACGCACCTATACTCGGCTGAATCTAAAAAGACCGATAAGCAATTGAAAGCCGCATCTTTGGCCTGAAAAGCCAACTCTCGCTGCTCAAAAGACATCTTGTCCCATGACACACCGCGCAACGCAACGCAGACGAGCCACAACTTGGCATAATGAAGCTCACTCACAAGAATCTTGCGAATCAGAGATTCCTCATCCATCGCCTGGCCTGTGAGACGCATGAGCCGCGGCAGTATCAACGATGCAAATACGTACGGTGGAGCTCGTCACAGTCGGCAAACCATTTGTCAAGGGCAGCATTGGCCCTTCGGATGAAGGCAAGTGTGTTGTGATTGATATGTCCATTGAGAGTTGCAAGCGTCTCGTATATCTGAGCTAGAAAGAAACATCAGCCATTCACCCCAAGTCACCACGCTGTTCACGTACTCTTTTGACCGATAAGCTCAACCATTGATATAAGTCGGATGTCCGTCGGGGACGCCATGCGATGTGTCAGGAGAATACGACAGTGTTTAATAGAACTCTCGTCTCGCAAGAGAATAGGCCTGCCAGTCCCCAAGCTCATTCTATTTGAATTCGTGAGCACACGAGCATCACTCCTGACAAAAAAAGACGCACTGATGATCGAACCAATAAAGGCATAACCAAATTCGTGCCGCAACAACTGCGTAGCATTGAGTATCAATTATCAAACAGGAAAAGTGCAGTATACCAAGGTCTCTCTCTTCCTCGTCCGATCTTTTCTTGCCACTATCGTCGTTAAGCTTGTCAAGGGCACGGTGTAAGCCAAGGTCTAGGGCTATGCGCATCGCATGGCCGCTCGGAAGCCAGCCATTGGTGCTCCAAGCAGCAAGTAACAACATCCCTAGGATGAAAATACGACGTAAAGCGCATGGGCAGTTGTGCCTAAGGTGGAAGCTCACCTATTACGGCTTCCTTTCTAACGACAGGACAGAAAAGGGACGACCTTGCGATACCCTGTGCTTCCTCCAAACACTTGTAAAAAGTAGGAGGCAGCGGTCCATTTCCGCTCTTGACTTTCGACGAGATTGCGAGGATAGAATCAAAGGTCCAAGGAGTACGTTCCATGAGACTTTCGAAGGTATCGTAACTCGGATCGAATAATGGGATGAACAAATGACAACCTGTAAAAAAGCTGGAAGCGATGAGTGCGAACGCGAAAACAGATGCGTCTTCAAGACCTACATGCTGAAGAGTTGTCTTGCCTCGTCTTCCGAGACCAATCCCTAATCAAGGGACATGAATGAGGCTAACATCTACCAGAACAAATGAGAACCTTACTTTTTCGACGACATGAGGGAAAGCATTTCGGGGAATAGGCTCAGGCCGCGGTCGCTTTTTCACTCTGAAGTTGTATTCAGTACCACCCTGATTTCGATGTGGAACAACTAACGTTGGTGAAGCAGCACACGGGGCTGCCGCTGCTTCTGCAGCAGCATTGGCAAGGCCCTGGAGAGCCTCGATAGGTGTACCAATGGTAGCGCGTGGCAGTGTACCCTCGGATTCATCATCGGATGACGAAATGGTGCTGGGTACGATGCCATAGGTGGCATATTTATGTGGCTAAATCCATTAATTCCCTTCTCAAACAATCCGGGAATAAATTCAACACACTGGGGGAGCAAAACCTGGGAGTGGAGGAAACCTACACGTGCATGAAATGTTGTGTCGAGACAGAAAAGCATGTGCACATACTGGCTACGCTGCTGGTAGCTGAGGTTGCCCTCGCGACTAGGTCCTGCGTCGACAGACTGCTGATAGGCCTGGTGTTGTTGCTGGTTGTTGGGTTGTTGAATGGCGGATAAAATGCGGTCCAATGAGGACTGCATTCCAATCATCTGGCTTTGCATAACCTGCAGTTGGAACACGTTAGACACATACGGACAGACAGCCCGAAATACCGCACCAAATACTGCCCTTCGAGACGGGTCAAACGCCTGTTGCACACGCTATAGCACTGTACGAAATATGGATGGAATGGCTGGACATACTCGACGCTCGCAGTGGGCAATGGCTGGATAGCTTTCTTCTCCGGCTTCTCGAATATACAGGGTGTATTGTTCTGTCTACATCGACGGCAGGGGGGCTACATGTCATATACAAAGTGGTCCCCGGGCCGGGCGGGTCATCGGGCCATGATTGAAATATTGAGCACCACCGGGTGACATGTTGAAAATATGTCTGCCTCACCTCGCCTTCGCATCTGTTTTTACCCTTTCTGCATGCGGTGCAAGCTCGTGCACCTCGTTTTGGAATGTGCGTAGATGACGGCTGCGGGGAGACTGGGGAGAGCCCTTGTTGTGGAGATCCCTCCACAGGAATCGGGTTCTGGGAGACAAGCTGTGGTTGGGTCATCCCATTTGCATTGGGAATGCTGCTTGTTCGACGCCGTTTTGAGGGAACATCTGGGTGGTTGGAGGTCATGGTGGTTAAGGACGAAGACATAGCAAGCAAGTGCTGGGGAATGATATCCCTACGTGTATATCATCAAGCTTTCTGGCCGCGACGACTCTCTGCACTGTCACTTATACATACTTCTACGCCGTGCTACCAAGTCTTGTCCGCGACGTGTGAAGAACGATGTTTCCACGAAAACTGTTCATAGTCTAGTACTTGGTGCTACTCTCACTAGGATATTTAAGATAATAGAGCGATAGCTCTTGGCTAATAAACGGATGAACTCGGAGAGGGGCGGTGCAAGTTAGGTAATGAAGGGGGCCGGCGCAAAGTACGTGCAACGCTGCTGGTAAGTGCTAGCATTAGACAAGGAATTGCAGATGCACAGCGAAGCCGAACAAGTTTATTATGACCAGCCCGACGATTTCCCACTAACATGTAGTGTTCTCAAGGTCACGGAGGGGAGCTAAGATAATAATACTGCACAGACAAAGTACGCACACCTTCTACGCCAGAACTACTCGACCAACATACTTAATCTTCCCATCCGTCTGAAATGGTCGACTCCAGCCTTTGCTGGACGTTGTTACGATAACAGAAACATGCCTATATATGTTGTAGTTCATACATCATGACTCATGAAACCCACCGTTTGATGTCCGGGTGTTTGTCATAGGGTCGTGCTCCGATCCTCTCGATGTCAGAGCTCGTGCTTGCACCCGATGCCATGTGGAAATCGTTGATGTGCATAACCTATTCCCCCCCAATTCCATCATTCATTTGACACAGACAGTAACGAGGATACGTATCAACGAGGCGCAATTAGTCCACTAACTTTATAAACTTCTAGCTACAACAATTAGTTCTAGCTTGGAGGCGTCGTGGGGTAGAGTTCTGGGTGCATGCGAGAGCGCGGGGGAAAGGATGCCTATCGACGATGCATGATGCGCCACTACCTGTCCGAACTTCTACCTACGAAGCCGTACGTTATAAGGTGTCGTGGGGGTGAGTATTGAGCGCGGTAAACAAGGTGCCTGCCATGCAAAGCGGCCTTATTCTGGTAAGTGTAGTGTAGCGAATATCTAGAGGGCAGGCATAGGAACGCCAGTAGAAAACAGGTCTGCGAGTGAACCTGTAGTTGAAATGGCCATGTTAATTACTGCCTCGATGCGACTCTTCAGCATTTCATCGACAGAGACAACAGCCTAAAACTACATATTAGTACACTTCCACCTCATCCCGCGGCGATACATACCACCCGGTTGGCGTCAACATAAACGGTAGCCTCATCACAACGAATAGTGAAGTTGGGGCTTGCGTTCTGCTCTGCGTCGGTACCTACATCTAATGTCACTTGCCCAAAATGAGCTTCGAGGAACCAGAAAACGTGTCTCATCCAATTATTAGGCGTCTTTGCGTGAGGATGGGTGCAGCGTGTTGACAGGGCAGTCACTGGAGGAAAAATATCTCAGTTTACTAGCGCACCGATCATGAAAGTTGCACTTACGCTGGAGAGATGCGGGGCTTCGATCGACACCAGCAACTAGTGCCATCGCCGAATCCGCTACCATGTCATTGCTTGCACTTGATTCCCATTCAATGGTCATCTCGTTCTCGGAAGCATGCTTAACGTCGACCACGTCCATAATCTAGAAAAAAAAGGGATGTTCTGGAATTGCGCTTCAATTGGTGAAGAAAACGTACCCGCAGGGTAAGCCGACCGTCTTGATCTATTCTTTCTGAAACAGTCCCGAACATGCCCCCAAGATGCCACCCTACCAAGTCCCAGCTGGCAGATACCGCGAGTGTCTGCCGCTGTTTCACAGTGCACGTCGAAAGTCCGGTGAACGGACGGAGGTCCTGCGCATCAAGGAGCATGTGCGTGTTGTTCCTAGAAACGAGCAATCCGGAGATGATGTCACCCTCCAGTGGGTGCTGAGCTGCCAAGGTTCCGACCGCCTGATGCGCATGTGAGGGAAGGGAAGAATCAATGACTACGGAAGCTACCCGACCTTTGCCACATGTTTTTGGGAAAACGACAACTGAAGCTCCACGAGGTTCTGAGGTGTATGGATGTTAATGTCCTTCCCTTTATTCTTGTATCGAGCTTTCATAGCAGCGCATAGACGATCCATGACATTCTTTTCTCCGTGCACTAATACCTGGCGACAGGACCACCATTAACAGAGCAGATTTGACTGTGTTAGCAAGACTAACGCTTACAATGTGATCGGGATCGACAAGTTCAATGAACTCTGCATTTTGAGTATAGTCAACATGGGCGCTGAAGGGTACGTAGTCGACAGAGAGCTTGCACGGTATAGGTGTCCCCTTGAGCGAGACGATTTGCTCAGGCTCGGTTTGAATGTCCTATGAGAGTCAAAGCGATCATGAGGCACACCGTTGCGGTATCAAGGAATGAGGGAAAGAATGGATGTATTTCGTTACAATTACCACAACAGACAGGCAAACAGAACATTTCCCGCAGTACCGACCACTCACCCTAGCCATCGTACCCTCTACAGAAAAACCCGTGATGATAATACCGTTGCGAGGATCAGGTGCCCACAGTTCAAGTAACTCTCGGCTTGCACCAACGTGCACGAAACCTGGAGTTGCAAGGACAACGCACGGGGGACCCTCAACTAATTTGCGCTCCCATCCCCGTTCTCTTGAAATGCTCGTGACGTGCCTGTAAGTGAAATCAGTTTCCCACCACACGTAAAAGCATGCCAAGAAAGCACTTGAACACGAAAGGATTGTCCCGTCTTGCAAACCTCGAGCGGATGTTCTCGTTCATGGCGTGGATATGCGTTTGGTAAACTGCCATACATTTCCTAGCCAAACTTGAGGCGTAATAAACAGGCACGTCGTGCAACTCCGGGTGGTCGGACCAGTACTCATCAAGAACGAGCAACAGTTCCTGGGCCGTGCCGAGCGCGAAAACAGGTAATAGTGCGTGACCGCCGCGACTAACGATCGTGCGAACGAGGTCCGTCAACCGGTGTTCTTTGTCCTGCCCATGTTCAAGAGTTTGGACACCGAAGGTACTTTCTACGATCAGGACGTCAGGTCGGATGGGTGGAACTTCTGCCCTGACGAGATGGCGGTCCTCCGCACGGGAATAATCTCCCGTATACAGAATCTTGAGTCCGACGATGTCGATCAAGAACATGCAGGCACCTAATACATGGCCCGCGTGATAGGGTATGAAAGAGACTCCCTCGCAGGGCGAGACGCGCTCATGTACGGAGACAGGAATGATGGATTCAAGGGATACGGAGACATCCCGGGGCGTGAATAAAGCGTCTGTCGAAGTACTAGTAAGGGTAACGAGACCATAAAAGTCAGATGAAGTAGTCCAAGTGGCTCAAAGTCCGACCTGGTGCGAAGATAATCTTGCATCATGAACTTGTGCAAAGTCTTTGTGGGGTGAGTCATATAGACCTTTCCCTTTCCCTCCCTGAAGTTGGTCTCGTGGCACAGTAGAAGGGTGTTGTTCATTCATGAAATCGGATTCAGACGTACCTTCTCAGTGATATATGTCAGGGCGCCTGCATGATCGAGGTGGAAACTGCAGTGGGTGTGCCCCATGATCAGCATGCAGGGATTCAAGGAAGAACGTACTGTGTTACAAGAATTGCATCAACTGTACTCCAGTCGAGTTCATCGATGAATGGGAGCGATGCGATGCCCTGGTGGGCTGGATGAATACCTACGTCGCACACGACTGTCTTGCCTCTGTGTCTGAGCACACAGCAGGATCTCCCGACCTCTTGGCCAGCGCCAAGGAGAGTAATCCGCAGTGCATCTCTCTGCATTTATGAATATGTAGTATTCAAAGTGAATCCAAATGTGACAAGTCTACAGAGTCAAGGTCAACTCAAGCCGTTTGCAACTTTGTATAAGGCGGCAATTGCCGCGACGCGTATGCCTCGAAGACGCGTCAGTCACTGACAATTAGTACATCCATCTTAACCGTCCTCCGTCTGAAGCAATCATGGTCAGTCTTGAGATCGACGTCGTTGGCAGATATAAACTGATTGAATTCGCAGGCAAGGAGATACGACAGTGCGTATTCAAGTCTTATGATGGCGTCTGACGATGAGACATTGTAATCGAATAGGTCGTACAACTATATTTTCTCCTGAAGGTGCATTCAATATCACTTCTCAGTCATATCATTCATTCAGGTGGTATCTACAGGTCGATTATACCAGAGTATGTACGTCTATCATGGACCGAATTACCTCGTACCCATATCACCACAGTCGAATATGCTATGGAGGCTATCTCCCATGCAGGCACCGTACTCGGCGTACTCGCCAAGGATGGTGTCGTGCTCGCAGCGGAGAAACGTGTAACGGGTAAGTTACTCGACCTGTCCGGTGCGAAAGTGGGAGGTGGATATGGTGGTAGTGGTGAGAAGATGTTCTTGCTCAATTCGTGCGTTGATCACTCTCGCTCTCGACTGTGTGAACATCTTTTTTTATGACGTGACAATGGATCGTGGACGGCAGAAACGTGATCGGCGGCGTGGCAGGTATCACCTCCGACGCTAACTCTCTGGTGAATTATGCACGGACGGTTGCCCAGCAGCACCTACTCCAGTATAACGATGACATCCCCGTCGAAGTCCTTGCACAGAGGCTCTGCGATCTCAAACAAGGGTATACTCAATACGGTGGTATGTCTGACTCAATCATTCATCAAGTTCGGGTGGAACCCATTCCTTGCTCATAACTTTAGGTCTTCGACCATTTGGTGTCTCCATTCTGTATGCGGGTTACGATCCACACTATCAGTTCCAGCTCTATCACTCCGACCCTTCGGGCAACTATTCCGGATGGAAAGCAACTTGCATCGGCGCGAACAATGGAACGGCACAGAGCCTCCTCAAGCAAGAGTACAAAGACGACATTAGCGTCGAACAGGCGATCAGCCTCGTATTGAGGGTTATGAGCAAGACGATGGACAGCCCCACACTTGGGAGCGAAAAATGTAAGTCGTGGACGTGGCGCCAGCGCGGTTTGCTGTGAGTAAGAGCGGTTACTGACCGCTTCTTGTGTCAGTGGAATTTGCGGTGTTGACGTACGACGAGACTGCGAAGCAGCCCAAGGCCAAGATATACAGACCCTCGGAGATTGATGCTTTACTTGTTGCAGAGGGTCTGGCGAAGAAGGATGACGATGCGGAAATGAAATCGTAGATGTGACATTCATGTATCTCTTGCGTTTTTTTCTGATCTGCATATCTCTCAATGCGTGTATTTTCTCAAGTGTGCATAAGTTGGTATTGCATCACACCCCAGACTACAGGGGATGGCCTTATGAAGTTGATACTAATGCAAGAAGAAAATGGTGCATGAAAGTTCTCTGTCCGTACACCATGTACACTGCGCTAGATTGCAAGCCTAATGACACGCCATGCTCTTTCCGCCGGCATTGTCAAGTTCGACGTATTGATCGAAAACGTAGTGCCCGATCGCAGCACCGGCGACGACCGCAATGATAAGGTAGGCCTGCAAGGGGTGTGCGAGTGTGAACGAACAGCGGAATACGCGACCAGCCAATTCGCACATACGTTATACGTCATGAAGACCAACATGAGGAAGAACGAGAGGAACACGGAGGCGCCGTACAGAGCGGCTCTCAGCACCCGCAAATGTGCTGGTATACTGACCCTGTTGAAAAGAGACGGCTATGTCAGAGCAGCGTTGTTGGTCCATGAGAGACTTGCCTACCGGTCGGCATTCCTAATCCTCCTCCCATTCAGCAACCCCACCACCTCATCCGAACTGGCGCCCCTCTCAGGCGTGCTCCTGCCACTGGCACTAATGGGGCTCGCTGCCCTCTTCCCCTTCCCGAGTGTCGAGACGATACGTCTGTTGACAGACCGCTGGAAGACGCGGAGGTACTCGTACAAGACGCCAAGGAGGAGGATAGCAACGACAGAGCCGACAAACTGGGTGTGGGTGTGGATGTGCCAGGACCGGAAGACGACGCAGGTGTTGATGATCTGGGTGTTCCAGAGCATGTGCATTGCACACTTGGCAGGCATTTGGTGATCGCCGTGGTTCATGGTGTTGTGTATATCGAGACGAGTGAAGATGACCCAGACAGCTCTACTGGTACAGTACAACCAGGTGGCAGTGCCACTGTATCTACAGATGGATAGCTCTGAGAACATGCTTGCATCTGCTCCTCCGTCGAGGATTCGATAGACACAGTTATCACACCAGGCTCGTCCTCTGGGCTTTCCAGCGTATTCAGCTGACTCTCGAGCATCTGTGCTTTCATGAAATGACCCTCCCGTTTTTGCATGCGGTCCATGAGCACTTCCTTGCTCCCTTTCAGGAACACAAACAACGTCGTGGGGACTGCGGTGACTGCGTCCAACTCCGGCGATGGATCCTCGCAAGGAGATGTATTTGATGTAGATGAACGAGTTAGCCCACGCAGGACATCGCGATACGTCTTCTTGAGCGCCGAGCAAGCAACGATGACACCTGGTCGGCGCCACTCTTCCGGCATACCCTCTTCCTCAAACTTGGCCGACATCGCCCCTTTTGTCTCAGGTTGATCACCCGGCTCAAAGTCTGTGCTCACCGGTGCGCCGAGCTGATCGAGGATATGTTTGACAGCGGTTTGGCGAATTCGGTACAGCCACGGTCTGCGGTCCCCGTCTGTGAGGGCCTCGCCACGGGACATCTTGGCGATGTTTGAAGGGGGGTGGAGATCATCGCCGTCTACGAATGGCAGCCTGAGCCTGTTGGAGAGGGCAACTCCGAGCGTGGATTTTCCTGTCCCTGATACCCCCTGTCATAGACACGGAATCACGAGCATGGGTTGAGTGGGAGATAGCAAGACAGATGGAACTAACTTACCATCACCACAAGGAATATTGCACGATTGATGGCATCTCGATCTCGCTCCGTGTGACTGACGCACTGCATGTCGGTTGACAAGAAAGGATGGGAATGCATTGGTGCTACAACACGCCCCAATGCTATTACAACGTATCTCTATATATCCGGGCATGAACCTGACAAACAACAAAATGACGGTATATGGGAAACACTCGATACAAGAGAAATGGATGTCAATATTACTGTAGTGGATCAGAAGGGTGATTTATATCTGTAAATCGATGTTGGCGAAAAGGAACCCGTCCTACCCATTTAGTCGAAAATGGACAATCCATGCCAGAGAAGAAGAAAGAAATCAGTAGTCAACCAATGGTCCGGTCAGGCGACCGAGCCTGTGGAGGGGTCGAAAAATCTATCGCATTGTATGCTGGAGGTGGAGCTTCATATGCCGCATCATCTATGCCCGGCTGGCCGTCTTGGTTTCCAAGCACCCGTCGGTGATGCGCCCGACTTACATTTCGCATCCAATCAATGAGCTCGCGGGGATCCTTTTCGTCCCGCGGAGGCTGCTCAACCTGCCTTCCCTCACCCTCACCACCATGGCCCGCTGTAGCGGGTCGCCGCGTCTGCCTTATTCGTGGTGGTGGTTGAGGTGGCGTCACATGAGACTGGGACTGTACATGTCGGTGAACCACCGTGGCTGCCGACCGTGCAACAGCATCCGGCGTAGGCGGCAGCATTCGCTGCGACGATAACCGCCTCTCTGTAGTCGGAGGCGTCTGATGTTGACGTGAGGATGGCGTGGCGGGAACAGTCGGTAACTGTCGTCTCCTCGCGCTTGTCGAGGGTGACACGGAAGAGTAGCGTGTGTCAGGGTCGTCCAAAAGTGCTGTTGTCCTTACTCGCATGCCGTCCTCGCTCGGCTTCTGCCGTCGTTCAGTCATCGGCGTTCCAGGTGAAAGCCGTGGAGACGACCTTGACCGGTGAAGCCACGGCTGCATCGACGGAGGTGGATGAAATGCCGAAGGTGGATTCGGCAACTCTCGCCTTGCGCTCGTCCGTGGAGATAATGATGACCGGGGTGAGAATGGGACGTGTTCTGATGAAGGTATGGGTGATACTGGTGTGGGCGAGAAAGATTGCGGGGAAGCGGCACATCGTCGGTCGGCGATGATGCGGGTACCAAGCCGATCAGACTCATCAAATGACGAGGCATCATAGAATCCCGTGGATGGGGTCGACGAGGGCGTCGCAGGAGAGTACGCGGAGTCAGACGAGATGCTGGCACTGTCGCAGGCCGTCCGCGGTCGTGGCGGAAGGCCGAGGCTGTCGGCGCTACGAGGGCGCAGGGAGGGATAGAGTGGTTCGCCGTAGACGATCTTGCGCCACTGTTGGAGAGACGTCGAAAGGTTGACAGGCTCGCCGTGATCTGCATCGGGCTTGTCTGCTGCGGGTGGCTTGAGAGAAGGATAGAGGGGCTCGCCGTACATGATTTTCCGCCACTGACGTTCAGAGGCGGGTGCTCTGAGAGAAGTGGACCTAGAAGATAGACATGCAGTTGAGGAGGTGGCATCTGAAATAGGGCGACGAGCCAGTATCATCCAATCCTCAGGTTCAGTGACGAGTAGCAAAGCAGTAACGAAGAGATGGTCGAGGAAGGAGAGGGATATACCCGCATGATCAAGCTGCGGAACCGAGTCGTCGGTATTCCCTAGGTTCTCAAATACTCTGAGTCTCGGTTCTGTGACATCGTCAAAGGACTCGAGCGTTGCAACAGGGCTTTTACAAGTTGCCGTCACACACTTTAGAGGGACAATAAGACTATTGACGCGCAGTTGGTTCCTGGTATCGAACATACCTGGTACGAGTTTCCAGAACGCTTCCATTTGAGGGCATGGGGATGGTACGGGACGTAAAACTTGCGCGAGCTATGAGTAACAGTCAGAATCCTCTGTGTTGCAAGGACGGGGGTAGCTGGGACCTGGCGGGTACAGATACATACCTTACTAGGGAACAATATTTGAGGAAACTGGCAGTATCCTTCCAAGTGGAATTTCCGCTCATCTGGATGCGAGCGCCATGGGTATTGTCCTTGCATTTTCCCTTGAGAGGGAGTTCTCTTGGCCAGCGGATGTCAGCAATCTTTGCTGAGCCGTCCCAGGGATCTGAACGCCAGATGGTTGTGGAGGAAGCGACTGTTTCCACGGAGTAGAGGGGTTTGTCGGAGTTGGCGTCCGTAGCGACTGCGTTGAGGAACGAGGGGGAGGAGAGACTGAGGAGAAGGAGAGGACGTCGTTTGCTGTGACGAGAGTTCATGGTGAGGTCGGTAATCTGGAGCCGATGGAGATACGGGAAGATACTGGATGAGTTTGATGTTGACGCGGATGCTGTGGAGGGCCCAGGAACGGGGGGGAGAGACTCGGGTTGGAGTGGGGGAAAAGAGAGTCTCTGGACTGGGGGGGGCATGAAGGGCTCAAGAGGCGAAACAGACGCCGGCGGTTGCATGATGTCAGGTTGTAGTCGGGTGGAGAGAAGAGAACAAGACTCGATGCGACAGAGATGGGCGCGTCTCGCTTACGACCACGCTCAACTCAGCTTAGCACATGTCACTGCTACGATCATCATGTATCCCTTATCCCTTATACTCTCTCTGCGCAGTGCTCGCCCACACCCGTCCTCACAAGCTGACGGCGACGACCAGCTGTATATCGTCATCACTCCCCCCCGGATTATGAATCACGCCGAGAACATCCTCCGTTTTCAAATCTCCGCTTCAAATCCGGCCATCCCGCATCAAATATACCCAAACACCGCCTACGCGTCTCTTCTGCTCGTTCGCGAAATAACATAAAAATAAAAATACACATGTCATCTCAAGCTGGGTAAGCAGCTCGTTTCATTGTTCTCCAAAGTGGTCCTTAATGATGCTCGTTCGATAGTTCAACGAGCAATAAGCCTGCCAGCAAGGGTGCCTCCCCGCGCAAAGGCAAGGGGAAGCAAGAACCCGTCGCTTCAGAGGACGCGCCCATGGATGTAGAACAAAAGGATGTCGATGATGATGACGAGGACGAAGAGGTATGCAACACGAATACCCGCTCGCGGTCGCTTCTAAGCCCCCTTTGTCATTAGGACAGCGACGAAGAAATGGAAGGAGAGGAAGAGCTGGATGAAGACGAAGAAGAGGACATGGACGCGATTGATCCGAGTGAGATCAGGGCCCGACGCACACGTGGCATCAAGGTCGACTATACATCTCCTGAGGCCCTCGCCAAGGCTGGACTCCGACCAACTGATCTCGAACAGGACACGGACGACGAGTAGATGAAAGAACAATTATTGTTGAACTTTTGAAGCTTCAGAATGGGACTCTGCTTTGTACTTGAACCCTCCCTCTAGACTCGTCACCAACACAGCTTTCTGCACGGGTGACAATACCCACTTCCCCCGTGTCCTTGGAAGCTGTATTTCAGGCACTGCAACGGGAACTGTGTTATTTGTATGTACAGGACGGGACCCCAAATTCGAGTAACTATGTAGATGGTGCCAAGGTCTTTCTGATCCGAGGGTGCTTGGGATACTAAGGATAAGGCAAAACGGGCTGCGGCCGAGTATGACGCCGCCAGAGATGAGGTGCTCTGACGAATCCAAGGCAAAAATAGCACGACTTAGTATACGCTCGTCTCCCTTCTCATAATAAATTGTTACGATGGGTCAACCTGTTTACATTCACACCCCTATAACAGCTGATTGTGCAGCCGTATCTGGAGTCGGAGTGTAAACCACAATGGGGAGGACCAGCGGAGTCACTATGACTGGTATCGGAACGCCATAGACGGATTATCTATACAATATCGAATATTCTAAGTCTGCTTTGCAGAATACTGGCAGAGTCTATGGGGTGGGCGGTAATGAGGTTAGAAGACGCAATCCTGAGGTACTCGTTTTGGGGTAGTTTGGTCAACAAAAGAACGTTAAATGGCCTTCCCAGTGTAAAAAGTAGCTGCTCTTCAATCGTGGCGTGAACGTTAGTGAATGGACCAAGAAGATGCCGCGAGTGCCAGGGACGAGCAAGCAGCAAAGCACCTTGTGATATTGTCACATCTTCTAGCTTGCTTGGCAGTGCGACCTCGAGTGGTCCTCAGCCCAGATGCTAGGATTTTGTACGTGTAATTCCGGGTCGACGGATTTACCCTCCGCTGAATTGCTGTAACACGGTAAGCGATGCATGGCAGGATAAGGCGGTGACTGAGAAATCGGGGAGGTAGGGAGTTGGCAAGTGAACGAAATAGCATCCGTAGTGTTGTGGATGACGACCCGGCCTGCTCGGGTTGTTCCGTATGTATCATCGCTGCGTGTTCTTCTGCGATAGGTTGGGGTGGAGGCAAAGGTAGCATTCGATACGAGGTGATGTAGGCAGGGAAACAGCTATGAAACGATGACGCCTCTCCGACCCAATCCAGAACCGAGATATCCCCAGACTGCGAAATGATTTCGGAGAGGAGGCGGCCAAGCGCGTTCTCAGCAGATTCGCCATACAGAACGGGCAGGTGGAGATTAAAGATCCCGAACAGTGAGTAGGCAATATCTTCAGGCCGGGTGGTAGCACGCAATGAGGCCCATTGGAGTCTCGAACGTGCATCATCCATACCTGGAGAAAAATTGGTGAGGAACCGGGACTCTATTCCGGTTGCTCTTTCCAGCTCTTCCAACACGGCGATATCAGCTTTATGGTTCGAAGACGTGACGTTCTTATAAAGTGACCAGGCTTGAGTATAGAATAATATGTTTCGGGAAGCCAGTAGTTCTTGCAAGGTCCACCCACGTCGAAACCACTCGCTGTTCGCGAATGAACCGGTATCCGGAATATCAGAGAGGTACACGATAGTCAGGGAAGACTGTCGGTACCACGCGAACATCGACCCTATAGCCTCTTGCAACTCGGCGCTACTATCTCTGTCTATGCAGCAAGTGTCGCTCCATGCCCACAGGTAACCCCGCTCGCAGGCAACAAGACAAAAGGCTTGGAGCTTTCCAAGGCCCCCGACTGTTGACATGCCATATATCGGGTGGCCCTCGACATCGCGCAGTGATGGCTCGCCTGTACTCCAGCGGTGAGAAAACATGACGTACTGAAAGTATCTCGAGATATTAATACGGATGAGTTTCATTTGCTGAGCCGGGTCGCACGCCGCACACGAAGACAGCAGTTGACTGTACTGTTGACTGCTCATGAAATGGGATACTTGGGCATCCCTGTTGCACAGGATACCAGTATGTGTGTGCAGCAGCCTGGTCGGCATAGTTTTGAGGGTTTCAAATGCAACATCGCGGACGGCTTGCCTAATGTCAAAGAGGGTAACACCTGAGTCATCGGAAGGTGTCGTGGCAACTTGTGAGCTGATCTTCAATTGGATGCAAGCCGTAAGACAGCGCAGAGCTACGTCGTAATCAGGATCCCCAGGTACGAGTAGCTGTAGGGCTTCTTGCTCAAGTGCAATAGCCTCGTCCAGATCAGCTGCTACAGGTTGTTGACGAAACCGGTCTGCTAGACTCTGTGCAAGGTCATGGAGGGACAAGGCGCGACTGGGATGGTCGGTCGGGCGGAATTGCAGTACATATCGGTATAATGTGACGGCCTCTTCCAAATCAACAATGGCGTGCTGATTGCGAGATCTGTCCCGAAAGTAATTCGCTAGAGCACCGAGGTTGTCTACCACGCAACTACGGAGGACAGGTTCGCCTGACTTTGACCGTTGTGCCAGCCGCTGAACTCGCTCTCCTATAAAAAGAGCGAGATGTTTGAGGGAGACAGCGTAATCAGGGTGTCCTGGTAGCCTAAGCTCCAAAGCATATGTTGTGAGACAGATAGCCTCGTCCAAGTCAGTCAACGCAGCCTGCTTCTGAAACCTATCCCAGAGGTGTAGTGAAAGCTCGAAGAGTGAGGAGGGAACATCAGCAAGGCTTTGTGACCGCCCCCGACGAAGAGAATTTGCTCTGTGTAACCTGGGCATGTCAGCTCGTTTCTGGAACTTCCTCCAGAGGACACAAGCGAGATTGTAAAGAACTACGCCACGGTGGGGATGCCCTGGTGGAAGGATCTCAAGTGCTGCACGTCTGAGAGAGAGAGCTTCTTCCAAGTCCGCAACTACTCCCTGGTTGTCATATCTATTTGAAAGACAAAGAGCAAGTTGATGAAGCGAGTAAGACCAACAAGAATGTCCGGAGGGACATAGCTTCAATGTTTCGCGGAGCAGTTCAATTGCCTCCTCCAAGTCGTCCTTCGTAGCTTGTCTCTGGAACCTCCTCCTAAGGTTGCAAGCGAGATTGTTGAGAGATACGCCACGATCGGGGTGCCCTGGTGGGCGGAGCTCTAGTACTACACGTCCAAGCATGACAGCTTCATCTAAGTCGGCAGCGACCCCCTGGTTGTCATATCTGGCTGAGAGACAGAGAGCAAGTTCGTGGAATGAAAATGCCCGATGAAGATTTCCAGAAGGACGTTCCAAAGCTGCACGAAGCAGTTCAACCGCCTCATCCAAATCGTGCATTGAAGCTTGTTTCTGAAACCTCCTCCTCAGGAGATGGGCGAGATTGTTGAGAGATATCAAGCGATCGGGATGGCCTAACGGACGGAGCTCCAATGCTGCACGTCCGAGAGTGATGGCTTCCTCCAAGTCGGCAGCCACCCCCTGATTGTCATATCTACTCGAAAGACAGATGGCAAGTTGGTGGAGTGATGAAGATCGACGAGGATGTCCAGATGGACGTAGCTCCAAAGTTGCACGATGCAGCTTAATTGCTACCTCTAAGTCACAGATCCCAGCCTGTTTCACAAATCTCCTCCTGAGGTTGCAAGCGAGGTTGTGGAAAGATACACCATGATCAGGATGCTCTGGTAGATGGAGCTCTAGTGCTGCAAGTCCAAGTGTAATCGCTTCTTCCAAATCCCCGACTACCCCCTGAGTGTCATATCTATTCGAAAGACAGAGTGCCATTTCGTGGAATGAAAACGCCCGGTGAAGATTTCCAGAGGGATGCAGTTCCAAAGCTGCACGAAGCAGCTCAATTGCCTCATCCAAATCATTTATCGAAGATTGTTTCTGGAACCTCCTCCTCAGGAGATGAGCGAGATTGTTGAGGGAAACGATGCGGTCAGGGTGCCCTAATGGACGGAGCTCTAATGCTGCACGTCCGAGGATGACAGCTTCTTCCAAATCAGCAACTCCCCCCTGTTTGTCATAGTTGTTCGAGAAACAGAGAGCAAGCTGGTGGAGCGATGAAGACCGATAGGGATGTCCGGAAGGACGCAGTTCCAAAGCTGCACGGAGCAGTTCAATTGCTTCTTCCAAGTCGTGGATTGCAGTCTGTTTTACGAACCTCGTCCTGAGGTCGCAAGCAAGATTGTGGAGGGATACACAGCGATCGGGATGCCCTGGTGGACAGAGCTCTAATGCTGCACGTCCAAGCGTGATGGCTTCTTCTAAGTCGTCGATTGCCCCCTGATTCTCATATCTATTCGAAAGACAGACTGCGAGATTGTTGAGAGACAAGGACCGATTATCCACGTCATTCCCGATTGGTGGGAGCTCCAAAGCCTCACGGAGTAAAGTGATTGCTTCGTCCAAGTCCTCAATTCCTCCCTCTTGTTTGAATCTGTTGTAAAGGGCGTCCGCTAGGTCGGTAAGGGCATCAAACCGACCATCTTGTCCAGGAGGAAAGCGTTTCAAGTCTACTCGCTTTAGGGAAACCTCATTTCTCAAATCCATGGAATGCCGTTGCAATAGTTCGTGCCTTCAGGCCGGGTTCGGTGATGCGTTGCAATAAGCCAGGAATGGTATAACCATGTGTTACCCCTGGAGACGAGAAACAAAGGGGGCAAACAATCTGGAATGTTAGCATGGTCAGGGAAACAGCGTGAAAGAACCCCACCGTGTAAAGAGCAGACGATCTTGAAGTTCCGCGACGGGGAGAGAAACGGGTGGATGAAACTACATTGATCGGGTCAATGTACGTAACGCAACGATGGACTAAATAGGGACCCCACCGATTGAGATGGTAGAGGTGCAAAGCAGTTGGAGGGACTGGAGAGATTTAGTTGTTTAAGCTACACGGTACTTGAAGAACTGTGGAGGGGCTCACCGATAACCCAACGGTTGGTGGACGTTGGTAGGAGAGATAGAGCCCAGTGGGATGCTGTAGGAGCATGAGATTACCGCCCACGCACTACAGCAAGTTTTTTTTTTTTTTCGCATGTCAGATAGACTTCTTAATCAGCTCCCCTTGACTCGAGGACTCCAAGTATTGTTATCGACTGACAACCAGTTTGATGACGTCGGCCGTGAGACTGCTTGGCTGGAGTTCCTGGTCTTCACGTAACGCTCCCCAGGGTTGATCCCCCATCAGCGAACACGCAGAGTCCATGCCGCTCAATGACTTCTCTTGATTTCGTTGCTGGCAAGTAATGTTGCCATCGGTGCGAGCTCACTTCGATTCGAAAATTTGAGGCGCAACGAAGTTTTCAGCCCACTTAAAGGCTGACCAAAGCGACACGGAGTGAAGATACTTCAACCTAACAGCAATGCAATCGGATGAGATATTTGCTGACCTCGGTCCTCAGTTTGTTACACTTCGACTTCGTCTAGTTCGCGGCAGCTCGCTGACCTTGTGTTCCTGGTTGAGTGCACACATAAGCGCTGAAATGATTTGCTCCAACTTAGCTCAGCACTGTCGACGTGCAGGACCAGGATGTATTCACTATCCAAGCCTATACACACCTATACAGAAAAACCCAGCACTAGAGACGAAGAGGAAGGACCCAACGAAACCGACCACACCAAATGCAAGAACGGGTTCCAAGCGCTCACCACACAAGCCAACCCGTTCATTTCGTCAGACCCATACGGGGAGAAACAAACGTGTGAAGCGTGGTGGGAGACAGCATTGGAGCCTGGCGTGCTAGTGGGTGGAAGGGTTCAGTGGGCGAGGAAAGTGGTGGATAATGGTGGGTGAGGGTAACCTGAAGGGTGGTACAAGATGTTGGATGTGAAGGGGGATCCTGGTATCTGATCAAAAAGGAGAAACCAGACCATAGGCATCATAGAAAAGAGCTCCGCAACAATAGACGTGATAGAGTATGGGAATAGATAGACAGATGATGCGAGAAAAATAGAGTCCAATGGAGAGGCATGGGGGGGCCTATCGCTAAATGAGTCTAAGACGAAAGGTTGATGTCGACGTCCTGCGTTGCTGGTAACATCCCTAGCAGCTTCTCCATCTCCACGTCTGCTTGGGCCTGTTGCGCCCAATCGAAGTCGTCTATCCCAATGCTACCAAGTCCAAGTCCCGGGCTGCTTCTCAAGGGGACGCACTCGCTGGAGTTTAACATCTGCGAGCCATGCGTCTCTTCTGACGCAGTGCCAACACTCGGTAGAGGGTTAGCAGCAAAAGGCGGCGACGCGATGATCTCCGCGAGCAGACGCGCGATGACGGCATCTGAGGTGGCCTCGTCTTCTGGCTGTTTCGAGTTAAACGATGGTCCATCGCGGAGGTGAGAAAGGGTACGTACCTCGGTCGTACTACTGATGCACGTTTGGATGTCCTCGCCCATCCTGTCGTTAACCGAGGGCTGCCCACCCGCTGCAGGGCTACCGCTGGAACATTAGCAGTGGTCGCCACCCGTGCCAGGTGGCGAGTGGGCGCCTCGATCGACAAGGAAAGGTTGAGAGGACTCTTGGGAGAGCCAAGGAATGACGGGCTAGACGGATTGGGAGAGAATGCTAGACTAAAGGGTAGGTCCAGAGAATCGCTTTCGAAGGTGATTGGGCTGTCTGCTATGGTGGAATGTGTGGGTGCAGGAGAAAGCGGAAGGGAAGCATGTAGTGACAAGAGGGACGACGTTTCGGGAGGGGAGGTAGAGTGGACGGGGGAGCTGTCCGTGACTGGGTTGGCGGAAGAAGCCGAACTGTCGAGGACGTCGGTGGAGGGCAGAGGTTTGCCCTGGGCTGCGAGGGCACGGACGACGGCTTCGTAGCCCCTTTCGAGGGAGCGTATACGTTCTCGAAGTTCCTGATTTTCCCGTTCGCGCTGTTCCTCTGCGCGCCTACGTGAGAGTTCCCGTTCGTACTCGACGTCGGGATCGGAGGGGGCTGGGCTGGTAGCTGGGAGGCCTGCGCGCAGACGACGGTTTTCCTCCTCGAGTTCAGCGACTCTGCGTTCGAGGTAGGTGTAGTGGGCTTTGCGACGGTCGCGGGAGTTCTGTGCGGCGATGCGGTTGCGGTGGGCACGGGCCTCCTTGCGCTCCTCTGGGGTCAGGGTGGAGCGGGGGCGTTTTCTGGGAGGCTCGCTAGGACGACATGGCAGAGACGGGGAGGGACAGGGACGAGGGGTCGACAAAGTGGGACGACATTAGAGAGTGCTACCAGCGCATTGTTGTTTGTCGAGGGGACACGTCGACACTTTATACGCCAAAAAAGGACCAAAACAATTGGACCACAAAGGGCGTGTTTGTGTGTGTTTGTGTTCCGTTGCAATTGTCATATCCTCCTCCGAATTTCGTGTTTTTCTCCGTCTCCAACAATGTCGGTCGCCGAAGCTGCCTCGGAGTCTCTCAGGCCGATCCTGCTCCGCTCCAGCACTCCAGGCAAGTCAGAGTTGATGTCGTCTGTCCTAGCCTCGTCCTTACCTTCTTTTCAGCCCCCAACGAGAAAGGTTCGCCGTCGCTCATGCACCCGTTCGAATATCGTTGACAACCTCGCATCCCAGTCCTGCTCTACCTCGAGGGTCTGCGCGAATCTCAGACTTTGGCTTCCCCTATCTCAAGTGGCTTGCCGCCCCTCACTTCCCCATTTGCAAAGCACAGTGCCATCGACGACGATCTGCAGTCCAACATCCAGGACGGTCGCAAAACTGAACTCTCCACGGATCATCGTTCAGAACTCGTGAGTTTCATCTCCGACAGCGGTTCTTCCCCGCCTTGAATCCTGCCATCCAGCATGAGCCTGGACCCCACGATCCCCCTGGTCCCCGTTACGAGTCCTTCGACTCGGGTCCCTCCTTTGGCAACTTTGGCCCCTTGCCAGACAACGCCAGCCATAACGGGGAACCTCCCTGGCAGAAATCGTGGGAGGTGCGCCACCCGGTGATCTCCTCTCCGTGATCCTACCTCTGACGCTCTCCCTCTACGCCTTAGCAACGCACCCACGGCACTCCTATGACCGGCGCTAGAGTCCCCCTCCCCACGTCAGTGGCTTCCCCGCTCACTGCTCCCCTTGCCATCAATGTAGAACCCCCTTCCAGCACAAGCGGATCCAAATCTCAACATAAAATTCCTCGTTCCCAAGTCAGCAGTTCAAAGCCACAAAAGTCTGTCATCTCCGCTGTCGAGAGCGAGTCGCGTGAGACCGTCACCGTCCGAACCGTACGTCCGTCCTTCATCCCCTGTTTCTGATCATTTCTGAAATCAGAAACAGAGAGCCCACAGCAAGACGCGCAGCACCGCACCAGAAGATACCCCAATGTCTCCTTCCCGTCGTTCCCGCGCTGGCTCCAAATCGCGCACCGGAACCGAATACCCTCCCCTTCCTCCCAGCACCTTCCTCAGTCCATCAGGGCGTACCGCTCACCTTCCCACTTCTCCCCGTTCACATCGCCGCGCTCCCAGTATATCTCCCTCGGATTCACCCAGTCAGGCACCTTTCAAGGCGCAAGCTCGCCTGGAAAAGGAACGGGAACACGCCCAGTCCACCGCCAGCGCCGCTCCCGATGCGGAGGCTGCGGCTTCGCGGCGTGGCCCGACCAGTGCAGCGGCAGGCTCACCCGTATCGCCATCGCATCAGAGCCGTCCATTCTCTCCCTATCGCTGCGCGCCAACAAATGACGACCTATTTGCTGGTGCTGCCCAACTTCAGGCAATCTCACAGGTAGCTTCGCAGGTGAACGGTGGAGGAAGCAAACTATCACATGTATCGCACAAATCACACAAGTCACATCGGTCCCAACACCCCACCAACTCACGTTCACCACGCTCTCACGTCGAGGAGGAGGGCGCAACTACCCCCACACCTTCCCGACCTCATTCGCCCAACTCTCTTGATGCAGAAGAGGAACGCCTTGTCGCTCAAACTCTAGCAGCTCGCGGCGCAGGAAATCGAACCTCCTATGCCCCGAGTACACTAGAGCCCGAGATCGTCAACTCCCATTTCCACGACATGGATCTTTGTATTCTTCTTCACCAAATGGACGATCAACATACCCATGAAATAGTGAAGAAAGCTCTTCGGAAAGCAGTTCGACAGAGGGTCAAGAAACTTGGTATGAAATACGACAACGAGGTATGCTAATCCACAACGCAGCCTGCAAAGCGATTTTGACAATTAGTCCTGCAGTCTATCAGAAAGTACCGCAAATCATTCCACGATCATGACCCTGACGTCCATCTCGACGCGGACTATGAACCTCCCCATTCAGTATGCGTGTTGAAATGCTCTCCGGTCGTTCGTTAACTGACCACCCTTTGTAGCGAGAACCCCCCGAGTGGGCCAAAGAGCTCATTAATGGCATGATCCGAGTGCAGGAACGGCTCGACGTTTTGAGCCCTCAGTCACTCAGTGCCTCAATGCCTCCCCGTAGTACGCATTCATACGCGGAGTCTTCGGATTCCCGCCGGCAAGTAGGAGGCGAGGGTACGGAATACACAGAGGGCGTCGATCAGTACGGACAGACCCCGCGAACTCAAACTGTGAATATCAACACACAGGTCACCGGAACTATGGCGGAGTCGATGTATCGGAATGGCACGGAACTCATAGGTACGACCTCTCTTTGGTATGGCGCCAGTTTGGTTTTCGACACCAATGTTACAGACGACGAGTATGGCGACACCGAGGAGGTCACCCAGCGATTCGCGGCTACCACCCTCACTGAGGCACGGGGCGTCAGTGAGTTCATGAACGCTGATCGTGATGATTCCCCTGGCCAGCAATTCCTGGAAGAAGAATTGTATAAGCTGCGGGTCAAGCCGGGCGGTAGCCAATCTGGGGTCACGCACAAAACGTGGGAAGTGGCCAGAGACGATGTGGACGAATACGAGGAAGGTCACGGCGCGTTCACCGAGTCAGGTCTTCCTGAAATTCCAGACGGGGGTAATTACACTGACCGACGCCCAATCTCACCACCCTTGCCTCCTCTTCCTCAAGAAGGCAGTCGAGGGGCCAACTCACAAGTCTGGAATCCGGCAGGGGATGGTTTCCAAGATCTTTCACCTCCCCCCTGGCAACGTATTCACCAACGCCTCCTCACCTGGGCGATCATTTGGCCCATGAGCGAACTCGATGCAGCGCTTGGCAGTACTACTCGTGGACACCAAGTTGACGAGGTTGCTTTGAGCATTTGGTCGACGCAAACATACAAGCGCTACGTGAGAAGTCGCATGACTGATGTTCCTGGTGGCAAAGTGGACAGGTTGTTCGTACCTCCCAATATAGCTGATGCCATCAGTACTGCTGTTTTCAACGGACGGCATGGAGACGCGTCTGCGATGCTGAAAGACCTCTGGATTCCATTCGGCTTCGACGCCTGCACCCCGCTTAATCGTTGTCCTGGCCAAGCACCGTTCAGACGCGAATCATTGGGTGGTGCACAGGTATGGTTGTATGTAGAGTGAAATGATGACGCTTAGATTGACAACGTTTCCCAGATTCTCGCTTCCTGATGGTGCATTGACAACATATGACTCTTACCCTGAACGGACTCTTCCCGACGGACGGGTAAGCATTGAGATGTTGCGACGTTTCTCGTGCTGACCACAGTGGTATATGACAGCCGCTGGGTTGGTGGTTCGCTATTAGACTCGCGTGGGCGGAAGCTATCTATGCAAACCCCGATCACCTGATGCAAAAGATGGTTCGGTTACATCGCCCTATGCAACTGAACATCGATAACTCGGTAGCCGCTGCTGGGATCTGGCGGAACGTGCTGATGGGATCTCGCGCAGAGCGAAGTCTGGACCTGGAACGACTACGCGACCTCATCAATACCGAAGTGAGAAACTTGAGACAGCGAAAGTTGCAAGGCAAGTTATCGATAAGTTCGCCGAAGGCACATTACGACGACATGTGACAACAACATTTGCGGTTTAAGATATAAGATATAGTGGAGAGATGGGATTTTCTGACCACGGGTTGGTCGGAAGTTTTAGTGCTAATCTTTTTTTCCCCCATGTTTGTATGACCGGAACACTTTACTTACTTACAGTAACATTGTGCTTAGGAATCTTTGTCCTCTCTTTTCTTACTGTACTGACATACGATGACCCGGCTCAAAGAGTTGACTTGTATGCACATGACATCATTACCATGTCAAGCCTGTGAGTTCGGATTGAATAGATACCTTAAACATGTCGAGCGTGTTATCAGGATGCTGCTCCCAACTGTCGTATCTTTTCCGTTACGAAACTGATACAATGGTTTTCTGTTGTCCTAGGTGGCAGAGGTGGTTTGGGCTGTTCCCCCATGGCCTGTATGTATACATATAAGCGGTTAGTATCATGGAAGATAACGAAAAGCGCTCGAGTGCCATTACGAACAGATTCGTATAGGATGCCAACAAGTTCGTCGCGATCGAGGTGCTCACGAGTGCTTTGTAGGCGTCGCCTCTTCTGCTTCTTCTTCGCCGAATGCTCCATTGCGACCAATTTTTGTTCCCTGTGCCTCCGGTTTCCACCGGGATTCTTTTTACGAGACGCCCGACCAGCGCCCATCGCCGTTGTCTCAGATCTCAGCCAGCCAGTACTAATAGTCCGTGATTCCGAGAACATGCTGCTTAGTAATACGTTGTCCTTTACGAGATACATCCTAGCCAGCCAGTCAGTATCATCCTTCGACAGAAACGACCTCGTAGCAAAGCGCGCCTTCTTTACGATGGCCGACTCCCCGACACTCAGCATTACGCTCCTTGGTGCCGGGCAAGAGGTTGGGAGATCGTGTTGTGTGTTACGATACAGAGGAAAGACCATAGTCTGTGATGCCGGCGTGCATCCTGCTTATACTGGGATGGCATCGCTGCCGTTCATCGACGAATTGGACTGGAGTACAGTCGACGCAATTCTCATTACTCAGTGCGTTCTTTCGAATTTATTTATGACTGCGTTGTTGTTGACTTCCCCCCGTGAACGCTACCTCAGTTTTCACTTGGACCATGCTGCGGCTTTGACCTACATTATGGAGAAGGTGGGTCCGGTGCTGTGTTCACCGCGTCTTACTTGGCCTGTGGAGGCTTAACTCGGACGCGTTTCTTTTCTTCTAGACAAATTTCAGAGACGGGAAAGGCAAGGTATATATGACGCATCCTACGAAAGCCGTCCACAAATTCATGATGCAAGATTTCGTCCGTATGAGGTGAGATATATATACACATTCTATCGTTACATACGCCGACGTGTCCGTGCAGCTCTTCGTCGTCCGATGCACTCTTCACTCCACTCGAGATGTCCATGTCACTGTCTTCCATAATTCCCGTTTCGGCACATCAACTCATCCTGCCATGTCCGGGCGTGTCGTTCACTCCATATCATGCGGGTCATGTTCTTGGAGCTTGTATGTATCTCATAGACATCGCCGGACTTAAGATTCTGTATACTGGCGACTATTCCCGTGAAGAGGACCGCCACCTTGTCAAGGCTGAGGTTCCACCCATCCGACCCGACGTCCTCATCGTCGAGAGTACTTATGGCGTGCAGACTTTAGAAGGAAGGGAAGAGAAGGAGCTGCGCTTTACGAGTCTCGTCCACTCGATTATACGACGTGGGGGCCATGTTCTCTTGCCGGCATTTGCTCTCGGTAGGGCTCAGGAGTTGCTTCTCATCCTGGACGAGTATTGGAAGAAGCATCTGGATCTACACAATGTTCCGATTTATTACGCGTCGAACCTTGCAAGGAAGTGCATGGCAGTGTATCAGACCTACATTCATACGATGAATGCGAATATTCGCTCGAGGTTTGCAAAGCGCGATAATCCCTTTGTGTTCAAGTAAGTTCCTGCTTTCCCCGTCGTTTCCAAAAGGGGCCAGCTTAGCTTACTCCCCTGCCACAGGCACATATCAAATCTCCCCCAACCCCGAGGTTGGGAGCGAAAAATCGCAGAAGGACCGCCCTGCGTGGTATTGGCAAGTCCAGGTTTTCTGCAGACTGGACCCAGCCGTGAGCTTCTTGAGCTGTGGGCACCAGATCCCCGGAACGGTCTCATCGTCACAGGTTACTCTGTTGAGGGTACTTTAGCTCGGGTGAGTGAGTCGCATTTGGGTTGGAGATTTTCTTCTTTTTTTTTTTTCTTTGCCATTCCGTGCAGTCGTTATACGTTATGTACGCTACTCGGAATGCACATCGGAGTTCTTTGGTCAGCATATTACTTGAGCGATGCGCTCATGACAGTCCGGTCTCGTATAGGATATCATGAACGAACCTGAAGAAATCGTATCGCTGAAAGGGCACACTATACCGCGGAAACTTTCAGTTGACTACATATCTTTCAGCGCTCACGTTGATTATTCACAAAATTCGGAATTCATCGAACAAGTCAAGGCCCAACATGTCGTATGTAGCGCGTTCATCATTTCCCCTCGAGGAATAGGATTCTGAGGGCAGAAAATGACAGGTTCTCGTCCACGGCGAAGCAACGGCTATGGGTCGTTTACGTGCGGCCATGGCAGCGCGGTTCAAAGATCGAGATGAGGACGTCAAGATCCACACACCTCGTAATCTTGAGGAACTAGAGTTATCTTTCCGCGGAGAGCGGGTCGCCAAAGTATGGTCTTCTTTCTTCCCTGTTATTTTGACCGCGGCTCAGGGAACTTCTCCAGGCGATCGGCACTTTGGCAAGTAAGCCACCTCAAGAAAGTGACATAATTTCTGGATTGCTCGTTTCAAAAGACTACTCTTATACGTTGCTCGATCCTAGGGATCTACGCGACTTCGCTGGGCTTTCGACATGCACGGTCACCCAGCGACAGAAGATCGCTCTGGGTGTAGGCTGGGATTTAGTGAGGTGGCACCTGGAAGGCATGTTCGGAAAGGTAGAAGAGGGGTTCGATAAGGATGGTGTGCAAACACTGCGGGTGAGGGCCATTCAACAACCGCCGAGGACTTACACTACGACATGGCTAATTTTGCGTATTTTTCTACAGGTGATGGGAGTCGTGGATCTAAAGCATACCGCGGAACACGAGTTGACTCTTGAGTGGGATTCAAGTGCCAGCAACGACATGATTGCTGATTCGACATTAACCCTCATCACCGGTATCGATACGAGCCCGGCTTCTGTTAAACGTGAGTTAATATCCCTCTGACAGTAATCAACATTTTTATTGTGTATGGTACGGTGCTCATGTCGTCGTCAACTTCATGCAGTAACCTCGCAACCATGTGCACATGCACATCCTCATGCAGACTCCAAGAACGAGTCGTCATATACACGAATACAGATTCTTGCCGAATTCCTCGAAAACCATTTCGGGGAAGTGGAACTGCACATGCCAGATGCAACTGGTGAAGGCGACCAACATGACCACGGACACGAACAAGACGACAATGCGGTGAATCGCGATCCCGCGCTGATTCTTCGTGTGGATGAGGCTGACGCACACATCAACTTGGTCACTTTGGTCAGTTAGGTTTTCGCGTTGTCGCCGCAATGTTCTGACGCTAGTCATTAATGGCAGGTTGTAACATGCACTAGCGAGCCGCTCAGAAAGCGCATCGAAGCCGTGCTTGATATGGCTGTTTCGACCATCAGCTCCCTTACTGAGCTATTCAAAACTAGCGTGCCTATGGTGAATGAAGAGGGGGCCGTTGATAAGGCGATGCAGAAGTATCCTTCTCGGCAGCTTCCTGAGGATGAGCCGATGGCAAACGTAGAGTCGGAGACTCAGTCATCACCGCAGAATGTAGCAGCTCCGAGCGAGAGCGAGAACACAACAGAAGTCACTATAGCATAACTTCCTATATTCTAGTCCAAGATATATGTATGTAAAACAAACCAAAAAATATCACAGATAAATATCCTAACTTCTAATGTACATTTCCTCCAACCAGTATAAACAGCATTAGATAGAGGTAAGGTATCTACTGCCCACTTTCAGCAGTCTCTCTTCGATGATGGAAGCGGGGGGAGGAACCGGGTATAGGGTTGAGTAGTTGTCCATCAGCCTCGGACGCCGTATCTTCATCGGGATCAGTGGAGTCCTTCCGTTTGCCAGCGGAAGCACCCATTGCATCATTATCAGGGGAAGCGTGCACAAGTGCCCGCTCCAACGCCTTTTCGCCTCTTTTGCTCAGCCGCAGCGTCATCGCGGCCTTGAGCGAGTCAATGTATGACTCATATTTGACAATCTCGGTCAACAGATATTGGGACTTCTTTTCCCAGTTGCTTTGCGCCTTTATGCTATTCGCCGACCGTGGTGGGTACTGAAACGAGAATTATGCAATTGCTCCCACAAGGAATAGAATAGAACCACGTACCAGGGCGGCCATAGGTTCACGTAACTCATTATGATGTTTCAGATCTTTCTTCAGCGTTCCAACATATTTTTGGAGAGCCTCCAACTGAGTCTCTTCATCGTTAATGCTGGATATAGATGGGGGTATCGGGGGCTTCCAGTCGTTGACGTATGTCCTGTCCGACCACGGGGAATGCGGAGCACGAACCGTCTGAATCCCATTCCAACCGAACTTGCTCCGGTTGCTGCGACTGCTACGTACACTGAGTGTGTCGGTACGATCGAGGTCGCGCGTTGTATCGTTTTCTGAAACGGAACGCGGGTGTAATGCGTCGGACACGCGACTCCAACCGTACTCCATATTGGAGACACCACCGGCCAGTGGTTCCTTGCTAGTTCTCGCTGCCCAATAGTTGCACGTGGAAACCCACTCGTTCACTAGTTCCTCCGTGCCCGCTTGAAAGAAGTAGACACCACCATTCGCAAGGGTCAACACCATGCAGTGCGGGCGTTGCTTGCTATAGCCTGGAGGTGGTAGCACATGTGCCAGGGAATGTGCGAGCTGCACGGTTCCCACGGACTGGGCATTTTCCTTGGAGCCGACGTCCGTGAGATTCAAGTTAATGCAGATAAAATGTGAGCACGTACAAGCCAGTTTCCACCACCGACGACAGTAGTAGAAGTACTTCCATGGGCTCCAAAAACGAACATGTTCAGTTCGCCCCGTTGTATGACCGCAAAAACATCCATCCAGCCTTTGGACTTCGCTCGTTTTCCAGCTGACTCCCAGTACTGTTTACGACAAAGCATGCCCTCTTTCGCCCAGGGAGCACCTAACAAAGCGAGTTCTTCGTCGGATATACTGATATTTGTCGAATCAGACACGATGCTGGTAAAGCTACGATCCTCATCCTCTTGCGCTTCACGAATAATAGTATGCGACAGATTTGAAGCGAAGCCGAGAGCCGGGGTGAGGAAGGCAGCCACTGAGCCCACACCCTGTTATCCCAGTTAATACCTTATTCTCGGCCATCGACAGATATGCTTACTTCATGCGTTGAAGTTGCGAAGCTCGGCGACGGGCTGACCCTGCCATCGACGCTACTGTTGCTGCTGTATGGACTGTAGGGTGCACCAAGGATCGTTTGTAGGCCTCTGATGCTTCCACGTTTCAGAGTTGTGATCCGGTCCGAAGAGCCACGGAAACTTCGATTTCGCCTTATCAGTGTATGAGCTGTACTTGGACTCAATGAAGACATAGAAGAACGAGGTGCAAAAGTACTACCAAGTGGTAGCAATATCTGATGGCTCTTGATAGCACTATACATATCCTTTTCAGGGTTAAACGAGTGCACATTCGAAGTGGGACCTGAGAGCTGACTCACCTTCAGCAAGCTTTCCATCTCCAACTCCCAACTGCGGTCAAAAATGGCATGTACGTTCGGTGACTTTGGTTCATTCACGGAGGGATGTTGGAAAGACGTCGTGCTGCTATTTTGCGAAGGGTGAGTTGCGGAAAGTGTGGAAGATGTTCCTCCTGTCGAAATAAAAGTATCCTTGGATACGCTGTTCCAACTTGCATTACTTCCGCTCCTCTTCGAGCGCGCTAGTGACTGCGTCTCAGTTCCCTCCGAGCCAACTGGGCTACTACTATCGTCGTCGTGGTCAAGCTCGGTACTTGAACCTTGTCGATTTGAGTGAAGCTGCATTTGGATCGTTGCCATAGTGTTGCGTACGAACTGGTTTCGGGACATCCGGTTGGCAATGTCCGCCACATGAAGATCAGTGTTCAGTAATAACAATGAATACGTGACCGCATGGAGGACACCTGAGAATGGTTGTCAAATGCGATGGTTGACCACGGATTCTCAACGACATACTGGCACTCCCATAAACACGACTGGGATTGCAATCCCAGAAGCGTCTGCTAAATTCCTCCAAAATACGATCCACCTGCTGGGTTTCAGCTTTCAGATATAGCTTCGCACACAATCGCCTTAAGCGTCATGTTCAGCAATGCTTCCACCCATGGGGCTGGCACGCACCTGAAGGCAGAATCCAGCCTGAGACCTGTAAAGTCATAGTAGCCCATGTAATAGTGTAAAGCGATCTTGTTAATTCGACCACTCCATTACAAGATCAGGTACAACTCGCAAGGGCTAGATGCCAAAATACTCACTTGCCACCCAACCATTCAGCAATTTTGTCCTTGGCCAAAAATTCCTCATCTTCTTGATAGCATTTTACTGCAAGCTCCTTTCCTCGTTCTTCTGGGTCTGTGGTTTCATCCTCTTTTTTGGAGAAAGCGGGATTCGAAGCGTATCGGTTGATGATAAGGTCACTCGTGGTGAGTTCTTGATGTGAAGATGCTACGAAGACAGAAAAAACAAAACGATTAATTTACGTTTGTCCGAAATGATCTCTGGAACGACTCACGAGAACGAATATCATCGACCGTCGGAATCAGGGAGGGTTCGGAGCTTGAGGCGGCTGAACGATGATGTACGCGTAGCCGGGACATGTCACGGTACGACGATTGCATCTGGTTACCGTAACCTGTGACTTTTAGGGGACTAGGACCGTGCCGTAGGAATGCAACCCGGGGTGATCCTGCGGGGGCGGTGCCAGCGTCTGACCCAGACTGTCCGCGAACTGGGGTATAGAGCGAAGAAGAACGGGGAGGTGCCATGACACGTTCTTTGTCTGTCCGACCTTTCGAGGGAACTTCTGTAGATGAATCCGTTGGCAGGGGAACGAAAGGGGCTGACGATGCGACAGAGGGTAACACCGGTAATTTCGTATCTCTCTGGGTTACGGTCTGGGCGCGGGTGCCTGAGGAGCTGGGGCGGGCAGAAGTTGTACTCCGTGCCGGCGTACAGGGGTCCCGGAGGTCAAGCGAAGAGACTGGGCCTGGATCCAGTTTCGAAAGGACACCTCTAAAATCGCTAAGGATGCCGCTGAGGGAGGTGTTGGAATCCCAAGCGCGATCGTCAGTATTGGTATCATAACCTTTCGGTGGTAACGCTGGTGGAGGTGATGATTGGCAGTCCATTTTCTGTATGTCAACATCGTTGACACTCATGCTCCGCCGCTTTCCATGGCCCATAAATTTATCGGCTCCCGGACGGTTGACAGAACGTTCCTCAGGAGAGGGCGTACGGACTTTCATACGGGAAATAGGGTCAATCACGACCAGGGAACTTGCCTCGGATTCGTTGCTCGCGCGGTCGATTGGTGCCACGCGGATAGGCGGCAAAGGCTTTTGATTGCGGGGGTTGGTTGGAGGACTCGTAAAGATGTCCACAGAAGCTGCGGTGGGCGGACGTTGGGCAGGGACATCACTTGGTAAAGGGGGAACAGGAGAACCAAAGACATCAGCAAAAGTGGATCGTCCGTGAGCAGACCCGGGTAACGAGGCATCGGTGCGCTGAACATATTTGAATGTGATCAGAGCGAATGCAAGCTATACACGGGATCGTTGACGTACAGAACGCTCGCGAGTCGTGGACTGCCCCAGCATCCTACCCAAAAACGCACTCGTCTTGGCCCTGACGGAGTTTTTCGACACCTAGCACATGCAGAATGTTCGGGTGAGGAAGTGACAGAGAAGGAAAGGTAGCACCGCACCTTGTCGGAGTCTGCTTTTGAGGAGGTCCTTGAGCGTGGACTTGCTATTACCCAGTCCGAGCCGCTGGGGCTTATAGGATCCTTGGCAGACTTCGCGCTAGCTCTGTAGGGCGCTGGGGTGATGGATAATTTTGGGGGTGCAGGGCTATTGGCAGCCGAAGAGGTCGACGACCTTGAACGCGCTGGTGCACGAAGCGTACCAGAAGAGACGGCGGTAGGGGCGGTGGACGAGAACGAACATGACGCGCTGGGCAATGGGGGAGGCGGTTCCGACCGCTTTTCCTTCTGGCTCTGAACGAGATTAGCTGGGACGACACCGCCCCGTCCTTTTGCTTTTCGCAAGAGAGTAGCGAGATCTGGGCTGCTGGATGTACCAGGAGAGCGGTAGATAGATCGTCGTTTAGATTGCTGCATGTCAATATCCTCAGCATCGTAGAAGATTTCGTTAGATGAGGAGGACGAAGTGGCTCTTTGTACGTTGGTGGAGGCGATGGCGTGAGCGGTGGGAGCAGGGCCCGGAGAAGGGGTCGGGGGCACGACGACGGGTGTCGCAGGTGCCGGTAAAGGGCGAGAAGTGTACATCTCCTTCTGGGGGGCTGGCGAGGTAGACCCGTGCCGGGGTTGACAACGTTGATCAACGGGGTTCGAAGAGGGTGCTGGGCTGTCCTCCACACCGAGGGAGTTTACATCCAGACCCTCCTTAAGCGTCGCGGTTCCGCCCGTGCGCAACGCCTGCTCGAAATCAAGGTCCGTTCGAGATACGCGACGGCTAACTTGGATGTCTTTGGAAGCTACAGGTTGAAGACCGGGGAATGAGGGTGGAGGACGCGGCGTATTAGGACCTGCGACGCTCCTAAAGAACGAAGCCAGTTTGACGGTGGTCCAGCACGGATATTAATATTATACAGTGCGGGGATTGCACAGGCCAGTACTTGGGTATCCTGGGCGTCCCACCGTCTTCGTGCCTCGTCGGGCGCGAGCAAACTCAGGGTCTTTCGTGTCAGCCCTGGGCACCCCCAAAAAAAAACAAAAACAAAACAAAGACATATTGGCTGTTCTTACAACCTCTTCTCACAGGAGGGAATAACATTAGACTACTAGGAGCAACGGTGCCTGCTATAGCGCAGCAATCATACACATATGTGAGCCAACAGACCGACTCGAAATGAGACCAAAAATGAAATAATCTATGTAGTCGCGTCATCGTACGATCCGAGCATGGACAAGAAAATATACATGAACCCCACAACGTCAGTAGATGAATAAGCGCAACAACAGACGTTGCCACTGACGGTGAGGTGCTGGATACATCATGTTTGTACATTCGGTTCAGTTCCCTTGCGAGCAAACGGGGTGGACGATAGTCCCGGTAGACCTGTCGACGTCCGCCGCTGTCTCTTTAGTGCCAAGGTTCCAGTCGGGGTCGAGGCCACTCCTGGCCGATTACTACTACTGGGCGCCCCACGTGGAGCCGTCAAGCCGCTCGGAAGCGTACTTGTGGTAGACGCGCGGGGGCGTGTCGAAGCAGCAAGTTTGGGTAAACCTGCATTTCCTTTGCGGGCATTGCCATTCGGTGCTCCAGAGGCACGGTTCCTGCGATAAGGAGACGGTCAGATGCTAACGGCAGCGACACCGACGTTTAAAAGTGTAAACCTTTTCTTTATTACGTCTGTCTTCAACGATAACGGCCGTACGACTCCGTGCAATTTCTAAACATATCTTTAGTACCATCACCCAAGTCCCCCCGCGATACGACGACTTACATAGAACAATCCGCACGCGTTACCTTCGCAACACAGAGTTTAGCGCCAGAAAACATACAAGGGAACTGTATTGACTTACATAGCGGTTGTCCCTCTGGATCTCGTCTCCAGAGGGGCGTGTTAGTTGTTTGACAATTTGTACATGATGTGGGCGGTTGCTCCCCATCCTCGCTGCTCCCTTTCACTGCGCTACTACTGCCTTCGGTCGTCGGATCAGGGGTGCTTGTTGACGATCGAGAATCCGCAACAGCATTAACAGTCGCGCCCGACGTTGATTTCTTCCGCTGTATATCCTGCACCATTCGCTTCATTGACGCAATCTTGCGATTCTGTGAGCGGGAGTTGGCGCCATCGACTGACGGTGGTGACGGGGCGGTGTAAGGTTCAGGGGATGCAGTGGAAGAAGTGGGTATACCGTTCCCCCAATCGCTCGATGGACTTGGGTGATAACTCTGCAGGATGGTTTCACCAGTGTGGTCCACAGGCAGAATCTGCGTGGGATCAACGTGCGTGTAAGGTCCTTGAGCAAGACCCACACTAGCATCCAGAGACGCAAAGGGAAGTCCGAGGATGTGGTACTCCAGACCGCCTTCATCACAAGAGAAATTGGCCGAATTTGGCTGGGCATAGCGCTCCGTCATGGCGGCGTTGGCAGCTGCAGCCGCAGAGAGTCCCTCGTTTATACCATGAGGAGAACCTACTGAAGACGTATAAGTAGGTCCGGCAAGCGAATGTGATGCAGAATCAGGGAAGGGTAGGTCAGACGATCGCCCGCTATCTGAAGCATGCAGCATATGCGAGAACTCGTTATGCGCCACAGAACTTCCTTGAGCTGACAGGTCAAACATCCCATCGAATGGAGGATAGCTGAAATTGAAAGTCGTGGAGGGAAAAGAACCACTGTTGACGTACTGATCCGCGTCCCGGGGTTGTGGTAGCCGCGGATTAGTACCATCGATATCTGAGGGATCAGCACGCAGCAAACTCTCAGCGAGAACGGCTTCAGCCGGCCGCTTCTGCCCCAAGAGGCTGTCTGGGGACAAGGGTTTCCCATTCACTTGATGCCTACCGCTTGGCCCAATGAAAAATCCCTCCTTCTCCACGGTGTGATCAAAGCTCGTCTTGCGCACGTGTTTTGGGAACACACGAGGTTTTGCTGATTGGTCCTCTGTCGGGAGCTTGGAAAGACCGTGGAGACCGAAAGGAGGAAGAGAAGAAGGCTGGAAAGCGGGGGTATTGAGAACGGAGAGCGAATGACTCATTTGATGATTACACGCGTTCTGACGGGAGGAACTGCCGTATGGCACAGATACATGCTCAACAGTACCTTCATGCACGGCGGATAATGCGGAATGCAACGACGATGAGGGGTGCCGATGCGCAGGTAGTGCGGAAGTACTTGGAATGGGTATGCTTGGAGAACCCGCAAGGCCCTTCATGTCACCAGAAACGCGTCGGGCATATCCTTGTTGAGTTTCATGTGAATTAGTAGAGGTTCCTGGACCCATAGGGGGGAATGGGAACTGCCCATCGAATTGGACAGACATGACCCCTTGGTCATATCCATATCCTGGCCGAGAACGAGAGCGACTTTGCGGTCTCCAATCCATGGAGATCCGTGACCGAGATCTACTCACAGCCCGCCAGTCCATGGGAACAGCACTGAGAATGGACCGCTTTACCAGGGCAAAGACAAAATGGAAATAAGAACACTTACTCGTCGTCCTCCGTACCATCCTGGTTAGTGCCATCGAATCCAACAACCCGCACCTTCCCTTTACCTTTGGCAATGGATCGACCTCTCTCCTCCCCACCGATGTTAGAGGAAGACGGCTCAGCCATGGAGGTGGGAGTGGGTGGAGTGGTGACTTCGTCCTTTATCCTAACCTTCCTCTCTGCCACCACATCATTCTGATTTGCCTCTTCTTCCTCGTCTTTCTTTTTCTTCAGTGCCAGAGCCATCATCCGCCAAGTGATATTTTCCATTCGTTGAGCATGAGGAAGATGTGCCTTCGTCCTAGTGTACATTTTCCAGACCTGGGCTGCCAAGGGATCTTGTTTGGCAAGTTCCTCTGGTTTTTCTCCTGAATGTTCCAGAGACGCCGACTGAAGATCGGGGGAGCCTGACAATCTGGGGGATGTATAGGAACTGGGGCCAGCATCTTTGGTCGTTGGAATGAACAGATCATCGGAAAAAATATCACTAAAGATGGGTTGTTTGGTGTCCAGAGCAAGGGAGGACTTCGCGGAAGGTGGCAAGGGCTTCTGAGCAGAGTGCGGTGACGAATCCTGGTGAGTGATTCCGTTCTGAGGTATAGTCAGTTGAGTGAGAGGCGAGTAGGACCAAGGTGACGAAGGTGTAGTGGATTGGGGTGACATCCACAACGATGGTAGTACGCCAACGTTTGAACGTTCTATAGGCATATTACACCCTGTATAGTTGGAGATCGATAGGAGGTCGGGGTGCATGTCGGGTGCAAGCCCATTCGTGCTTCGGTTCTGATTGACATTCGTCAAATGCGAATCCGATGTCTAATAGAGATGCGATTATAGGAGGCTGGAGTCTGTTTGGAACATGAACTCACCATGACGCGCCTGCCGTCAGCGATCTTGGGCAGTCTAGAAAGACGACCGTGTTGAGGCTGGGCGGGCGAGACCAAGACGTCATGAGGGGATGAGGTTGATTTGTCGATCAAGGGTCCCGCGGTGGAGGCCTGAGTCCTCAAGATCGAGGGTCTGGGCAGATGATGGGATGGTGATGGAAATGTTGTTGTGCTGTTTGACCAAGCCGGATGGGTCTGGCCGTTGTGTTGGCTCCTCTGTTGCGTCTTGATGGGCTGGGGCCTTGATTGGGAGGCCAAATGATGCTGGGCGTCGTGATTGTTGTTCGGGCCCTCGGGAATGGCACCCTGCGAAGCAAGACTAGCGAAGAAAGCAGAATTCAAGGGAGCTGAAAAGAGATTGGGCCAGTCAGTGTTGGGGACGGATTGCATGGGGGGGTGGTGATCTGAAGTATCGGAGGCAAGATGGTGGGGAAGGGCCTGATGGAGCATATGGGTTGCGAAGGAAGGGTTGACCACAGTGTGATGTGGGTCGGAGAGGTTCTGCCAATTTGGCGAGGACTGGATAGAGGAAGAGTTGGGGCTTGGTTCAGATGAATAGGAAGGGTGGAACGAGGTGTCGATGGACGGGCGTTCTCCCGGTGGCCGGGCACGGGTAGTGAGGGGGTCCTGATGATACGAGGACGCTGTAGCCGACAAGAGGCCCATGTAATGCTGCGATGTATGGTCGAGTGAGGGGAGGAAGGGAAGATGGGCGAGACAGACATACCAAAGCTTAGGAGGACGTAATGTGGGTGACACAGACCCGGGCAGGCGTTAATCTGGTGCTGCAAAGTGTTCGAGACACGAGATACCACACTCTGGTAAGGAGAGATTATGTAAGATGCTACGATCTCCAGTTCCGCCGATGGCGAGGACGACGAACAAATCCAAGCACTCACAATGTAAATACGACCGGGATGAGCGTAGGAACAGCGAGGGGGGTGGGATGGTCCACTAGGAGGAGATGAAAAAGAGACGCACGCCCAGGACTTTGGAATTACGGACCGAGCCAGACCCCAGACACTCCAATAACCACCCCTCGCCTTCTCCCTCCTGTGTCCAGTCATTCACATGTCTTATGGCACTGCCCGGGGTCCTTCCGCGACCCTGGGTCCCTCAGTCAACCACACTACTAGTAGTGCAGTCGTTGTTCTTCCTCCGCTCGCACTGTACTGCATTGCTACTGCAACACGTGTGCTTTCGGGAACTAAACTTTGTAACCAGCCCCTTACTGCCGACTCCTCTTTCGGCTGTCTTCTACCTGGCATACTCTCCAGCATCTCTTCGGCGTCGGCATTTCCCACTCCGCCTTCCCCATCCTCAGATCAAACCCTTTGCCATCATGTGTGTGTCTCTGTTCGTGGTTACAATGTCTGTAAGTAATACACGAGGTCGATCTATAAAGAGAGGGCGAATCTGGCTGCCATCACTCCCCAGATACCCACGGTTCTTCCACCCTCCATCAGATTTCTCCTCATTTGATCTCCCGCAGACCTCTCCTGTTTCCCTATGTACATATCCGCTAAAATGATTAGTCACACCACAATCAGTGCGCTCTGTCACTTGTCTTCCCCTCCACACGAAATCAGCCAGGCTCCAAGTTCTCACTCTGTCACCCTTACTCCGTATTTCTCGACCCGGACTCGCCTCCTGAACCCACCCCTGCCTGTAGATCAATCGTGACAAAATCAATCCAGGGTTACACGATGTTACACGGTATGAATCCCGCATATGTAGCTGTCATAATCAGCTCTATGAACCCGTATTGATCAATTCCAAGAAGCTGGCTCGGAGTCTTCCATCCCCCGTCATCTCCCGCTGTTATAGTACCCAGCCGCTTATTGCTTACCGCCTACTTTAGGGCCTACGCCAGGCTTTCCCGTCCTAGTGGGGAGCTTGAGTTTAATCAAGGCAGATCCACAACATTATAATCCCACCTTCGGGCACCTTCATGGACACGCTGCATCCGTTAGGTAGGTACATGTATGTGCGCGAGAGCTAGCCATTAGTGGCGTGTTTGGCAAAGTCGACAAATTCAATACCCCCCTATTTCAAATCTGTCCCCTTGCTCTCCACCCTTCTTCGGGCTGTCCTGGCCATCAGAAGATCGAGAACACGACGTGAATCGGGTTACTGATTAGAAGAGGTGCAGTCTAGCTACGCTGTGAGCTGGCTGCACAGACCGGTGGCTCGAGTCGTGTCCCCCTCCTGTCTTGCGCAGTCTCGCCAACTGACATACATACTAGTCTTAAACTGCTTTGTGGCATCCTGTGGCCCATCGTGTCACTTCAGAGCGCCCAGCGTGTCCTCACGTAGTCCATGACAATTGACACCTGTCAGTAGCCCCTGCAAGCCCCCCTTCCCACTAACACAGTAATAGAACGTGAGTACTGTTCTTTACTGGCGTGTGCCCTCGCGTGCCCAACTTCCAATCAAGTGAAGAAAGACATCGGGTGCTGAAATGGCGAGCGTGTAATGAAAGAGCCTGAAAGAGCCGAGTGTGCGCCGCACGTCAAATGCCACCTGTCGTCCGATCGATCATACAGTATAACAGACATGCGCATGTCATTCTTTATCCGCTATACTCCTACCCGAACGGGAGCGAGGTCTCAGCGCCTCAACCCTTGCACGTTACTTCCACTGCCCAGTTCTGCCGACCCACCATCGATGGGTTCATCGTCCCTCGACTGCCGGAACATGGTGGAATTGGTTCCAGATGGGAGACGACGTACCGTATACTCAGGAAGCTCGTAATTACCGCCCAACGCCATTTCCTTGGTTCGACGTACCCATATGTATGTGCTCCATACATACTTATTTGTTGACGACTAGTATTCCCTGCTGATTATTACGACTTGTGTCAGGTACGGGACAGTCCATTGGCTCATATGCCTCGTGTCAACAAACACCTTTAGAAGCACCGCAGCAGGGTCGTTCCTCTTCGGATACGAGCCAACGTGGGCCACACTTTTCATTCACACAGTATAGCAACTTTGGTCACTTCTTTAAGAGTTCATCCTCTCATCATCATTCACACGTTGTACCGTGCCGGCAGGGTAGATCCATTGGAGTCCGTAGTCTTAAGCAGTCCGATGTGCACGGGGTAAATCTATCGTGCATCTTTTCCACCCTTGTTACTCTTTTTCAATCTTGATCCCCCGGATTCACGAGCCGTTTTCAACGAGTCTTTCCCGTCCCGCCCACATTCGACCTGCCGCGCCGCGTCTACATTTTCCGTTTGTGTAGGACCATCTAAGTTCTTCGTTTGGATAATCGAAGGCGCCGCATCTTGTGGCCCGTCCGCATTTGCCACGGGAGGACACTCCTGTTGCATTTGTTCAGGGTTATCCGACCAAACCCATGCGTCTCGAAGTTCACCACGGAAGAAAGCGGTGGCTAGGAAAGCGAAGATGCACGTCGGACTGGCGTTCGTGGCAAGTTGTTGTGGGGTTTGACAAGGATGACCCAGAAGTTCGGCGGTGCACAGACAAGCATATCCAACAAACGACCAAATCAGCACGATTGCACCGCGATTATAGAAATGGGAATAAGGCAACCTTTCCCCCTCCGCAGTGACTTACCTCAGATATAGCAAAGCAGGCTGGGCCCTACCAAGCGTGTGCATGACCGTCATAGTGGTCACCAGGCCCAGTATGTAGGACATTAATGTGACGAAGAAGTATGGCTTGCTGAACGAGTCCGTCTTCTTCGATCGAGAGTAGTCATAACGAAGGGCCAAGGCGACAAACATGCCAGGTATGACGATATCGCCGAGTCCGAGCATCGTGACCCCCTTTTCCGTTGTGAATGAGAGGGATTTAGGCCATAGAATTTTGATGGGCACGTCGAGTGACGTAGCGACCTCAACCATCTTGAGTAATGCAGTCAGTCACTCTCCACTGCCACTCGACCACTCTACTCGGTGAACTAAACCAAATTCTCACCACATTGGTACCAAACACCCAGTAGACGTCATACAGAAACAGACCTGAAAGCAAGACACAACCTGTCTGGAAAGAGTCCAGTCTCAGGATGGACAGTGCATTATGGGCAAGCGCGAGGGCGAGGATATTTGTTAGGATGATAGACTTCCGATTCGTCTCGGACGAAACGTAAAGGGCGGAAGGTATCAAAGACACAGGCAATAGTATCAATGAGGGGGTTCTCAAAGACATCGAGAACAATTCTGCATATAACGTTAGCCAACAACACGGCAGTGACACAATTGCCCGAACCTAGAGGTCCCTTCAGTACGAAGACACGAGTTTGGTCGAACCGCTGCCAACAATCCTTCCCAGCCCCTAATCTCGCAAGGCGAACGAGACACTGCAAACATAGCAGAACATGGCAGAAAAGACGAAAGAAGTTTAGCGGCAACGACACGCAGCGCGGTACGCGCAGAGCAACTTACCCTCCAGACGCACCCCGCTCCCACAAATGAGAGATACCAACCCAACAGTCTATTCAACCATTCTTTGCCAAAATACTGAACCAACAAATACGTGGCGAATAAAGCCACGGACCCGATCTGTTGGGCAGTCGCTAATCGTCAGGATGGGATGATGGTCATGTTGAACCCTTGGCCATCTGAAGTGCACTTACGATAGGGAATGTCCACGCGTCAGCCGAAGACAATTGCTCTGAAATAGATTCTTCCTCCCCGTCGTCAGGTTCGAGGACATTTCCGTTTCTTGGTTTCGAAGTTGACTTGCGAGCGCTCTGAAAACGGTTGGAACCATACAGCCACCATGACAATTTGGTACAAGAAGCGTTAAGTACACACCGGAAGAGAACCGAAAGCTCCCGCAAAAACGCATACGCTTGCTAAACTGAGAAGGCCACCGTACGAAGATATGACACCCCAATCTACATGGTCCATGGAAGAATACAACCATCGTCCGGGACTCCGTGATACCCATCACTCAACGTGTGTTTACTATTATTTGTTCCTGGCTCAGCACTACGCAATGACTGCCGTTCTTTACCCCAGCTTCAGGCATCGTGCAAAGGTAGACTAAATTAACGGATGCATACGGTAGAACCAGATAGAAGGGGTGGTAAGTACAGATATAGCAGCACAGTGCCAGAAATTCGATACATGTTATTTAGTCATTCGTCGCCACTAAAAGCACAACAAAAATTCCGAGTGCTTCTAGTTTGCATTACTTCATCCCTATTCGTCAGCCCCCCTGGTCAGGAGTAGGGCTTGTGGACTAACGCCTGAGGAAAAATTATTTAGTACCCGGCGGCGATACCATTCTTCCTTGAGTCGCTCGCCGCTGATGGTATTGGAAAATCAATACGGACCAGAGGGGTAGAGTTTAATGGGTGTATCACGCACCAAAAATCGTGCCTTCTTTTTGCAGGACAGCCTGAACTATGCCAGCAACGCGGCCGATTGGTTTCACTTCCGAAGTTGTTCTCATGTTTAATAACCAATGCCTCCCTAGATTTCACGAGATGCCTTACCAGTGACGTTGTGTCCTCGATCCCTCAGAAAATCGACGAGGTCGTTCGGCAAAGTGTCGTCCACATCAACCTCCATTGGAAGTAGTTGATCATGCATCCGACCATACTCTATGGCTTCACTGACATCTAAACCCCAGTCGAGGTTCAGGATAACCTGGAACAATGACGGGAAGATGCGGGATCCCCCCGATCCTCCTATGGCAAGATAAAACGACCCATCTCCGTGTTCCATGATGGTGGGTGCAATGGAAGAAAGAGGCCTCTTGCCCGGTTCTGGGTAGTTGTCTTGTGGTAGGTGGCCCTATCAGTGCTACGCATGCGTTGGTTTGAGCAGGTCACCTACACGGCGATGGCCACAGGCCAAAATCATTAGGAAATCCAGGAGTAGAAAAATCGTCCATCTACTTTTGTTAACCCTTCCCTGCCTCCTGTAGTACTCAACTCTCACCTCGTCATTCAAAAGAATGCCCGTCTCCGGATCAAGCACCTGAGAGCCAAACACAAGGTTGACTGTAGTTGTCAAAGCGACAGCCATACCCTGGCTATCTACGGCTGATGTGTGGCTCTGAAATTATCCAAGTACTCACGGGACCCCGCTGGTGAAGGAAATTACAACTTACGGTGCCATGATCAGTCACAATGTCGAATTCTGGGTTGTAATACCCCACTGGATGAGTACGGTCCTGTAAAGTGTGTAAAGAACATAGATCGTCCTATGCGCCGAAACTCACATCAGTCAAATTGGCAGCTATAAGATCTGCGAAATCCTTGGTAGAGATTTCAGCGATGAGGGCTGAATTGTTGAGCGCAAAGGATGGATCCCCTATTCTGGTCCTGCTAACCCGTAAGTAATGTATACCATACTCGGTTCAAAAATCCAACACCTTGCTGCAAAACCAACTGCAACCACCATGTGGAGTGAGTAGACAAGGGATTGATAAGAGGCTGCTCACATTTCTGGGCCTCTACTATGCGATGTGCATTCAATCCGCTTCGGCCTTCGTTGGTGAGATCAAACCGTTCAATTAGATTAAGCATGTGGAGCAAGGCTGGTCCTGATGTGGGGGCTCTGGACGTATAGACTTTCTTATCTCGGTACGTGCCTCGCAGCGCCCGTTCGACTTTGACAGCATAGCCTTCAAGGTCTGCATGTGTCATGATGCCTCCAGTTTCTTTAATTTTCCGGACTAGTGCATCAGCTATAGGACCCTACAAGATACGTTATCCTCACGGCCATTTCATGTCAATACTTTGGTGCGTACCTTGTAGAACGCATCTGGGCCATCCGATGCGAGGACTGACAAAGTACGAGCGTAATTCGGTCTTCGAATAGTCTGCCCCTCGATTAGGGGCTTTCCATTGGGCGCAAACACTGTCCTCCATTCATCCTGTCCTAACATTAGTCTAGAGTACGTCTGAAAGATCGTTAGTCAACAGCAGTATGCCATCCTCTGAGTACTGACTTGAATGCGTCTGGCTAGTTCTGTATCCACGGTCCATTGGTTTGCAAGGTCCACGCTTGGTTGTATAAGTCTATTCCATGGCAGAGAACCCCATCGTCTGTGAGCTTCTTCAAAACCACGGGTTTCGCCTGGTACGGCGACAGACAAACCACCGTACTTGGCAGACAGTGGGTTCCCGGAGAACATAGTGGTATTGGAAAGAGCCGGGGCAGTCTCGCGGAAGTCTATCACGTAAACTTCTGAGGATGCGTTAGGCGCACTTGGGGGTATACGAACGGTCATAAAACCGCCACCACCAATCCCAGACCTACAGACCGAATCAGAGGGGAAGCATCGCATGGATGTCTGCGGAACGTACGAGAACATGTTGACCACACCAGTGCAAAATGCAGCACTGATAGCAGCATCGACAGCATTGCCTCCGTCTTTCATCACCTCGACACCAATATCCGAACAGCGTTTATTCTCTGATGCAACAGCACCATGTTCAGCAACTATGAGAAACGCTGGATTCCGGGCCGATGGTGTAGTGGAGCCTCGGAATTGATCCCCGCAACGTAGAAAGGCGAAAGCGACGATGCACATCACAAATAAGAGGCACTTCTTCCATCTGACAGAGCGCCTTTGCGGAATATGCGACGTGTAGAGTGGAAGTTCTTCGGACCGTGAAAATTCTGTGTTCTCGAGCGCGGCATACGCTTCCTTGGGAAGGAACGACTTGGGATCCATGAGCAGCACGAGTGCCGGAAAAGCAGGTCAGGCAACGATTTTGACGGGTGTCCGACTCGAGCCTGAAAGACGGTCAGCGTTCAGAGTAACTTGCACGGCAGCTCTAAACCAAGATGCGCGCTGCTGCCATGTACCAATGGTAGTGTGAGTCGATGAGACGAAGGCTGAAAGCCCTGGGGAAGACATATTTGTATGACTGTACTAGGCTGGTACTAAGCCGATCCGAGACATGTCGACACGGTATGTTCACGTGACACTCACTGATAAGTACTTGACCACGTGGCACGGATCTTTGCACAAAAAGTCCTTTTCTTCCTTATCGACCATGGAAAACCTCCCCTTCAAACGTCGCAAGCATGGCTTAAACTCACTCTTCGATCGCATGGTTGCCACGATGAATACCATTCACCCCTATCGACGAGCAGCGGGTGCACGGTGGCACCGAGCATGTTCTTGTGTGGCGCCCTCTTCCAGCGACTGTTATGCCCAAAATTCTATACCCCAACAGTTGGGAAAACTCAGCCAAGATTTCTTAGCAAGAAAGACGGACGGAACTTGGAGTGTTGATCCGAAAGGATCTCACCGGTATTTCTACGAACAGACTGGTTACCGGGTTGTTAAAGCGGTGGTGCGGCTATATGCGCACTTCTGCCATCGGTAAACCTAAGTCACCATTACGACTGCTTCTAGGTGCGCCCGGAAAGTTGTACCACACCACTTCCGGACTGGATGGCGTCCACTCTGTGTGTTTTAGAACCAAACGACCCGTTACGAGCTCTACTTCCGTCTTTGGAGGTTGCACAGACTCCTGTGAGGAATGTTGGTAAGGTACCCTGCTCACCGCAGGAAGAGCAAATTTTTGCTTTTTGTTACCCGGATACGGCAGATAAATCATCGAATCCCGGTCCCCTTCCCCCAACGTTATCGCGGGATCGCAAACACCACACCATCCGGAATAACCGATTGACAGACTCCCTTCCATCCGTGAAAACGTCTGATTTTTACTTGCCTACCAGGCCTCCGTATGCAGTATCGGACCGCTTTGTATCCAACCGCAGAGTTCCGTTGTCGTCACACGCTGCTTCTAGCTCCCCCACCTTCTGCAAATCAGAAGGATCGACTGCCATTGGAAGGTACCATCCTTGCGTTTTCAAGGTTGCCATTGACGTACCTGGTGAGCCCGAAGGGAGAGTATGCTGCAAGACGTAACCCTAGGCGCCCAGTCAACTCCAGGGCCCACCTACTATCGCTTCAAGTTGGACTCCGATTCTGCAACTGAGGACGTCCTGTCATGTAAGACTGCAGACAGCAGCTTCGTGTTCGACATCGACGCTATCGATTTCAGCTGGAAACCATTCCTCAGATCGAAGGTCAGCGACGGACACCCAGTGTATCAGCGAGAGAACGATACTTCGCAACAGATGTCGCCGTATTCTCCTGTCAGCGAAGCGTTAGTTTCGGACGGCCTTGGTCCTCATAGTCCAATTTATACTGACATAAATCCCACGACCACAACCAGTCCACTAGTGTACGGGCAAAATGAGCGACCTGTATGTCTTCCCCCGATATCCGATGACCCCACAGATCTGCTGCGTGAGGGACCCCCTTACCTTTTGGACAAGGAGGAGCATAGGATGTCTAGCTCGGAGAGAGCTTTGCCTGACGAACGCCCGGTGGTGCTGGCGGAACCTTGTGAATTCATGACTGCCCGCCCGTCAAGACATTTTACCAAGCAACGACGAACGATGCCAGATCCAGGTGTTCACCCCCCCGGGGAGAAGGCGAGCACCTCAAACCACCACGCCTCGTGGGTATGACCCGTCTTCGAGGCCCCATTTCCCCATTCCTGGGGCAACTTGGAACAAAGGTCATAAAGTGGTGAATGTAGAATGTGGGAAATCCGGATTGTTCTCTATTTGCCTATTGCGATGGTGATACTTCTGTTATCAGTCCTGCCCCTAATGCGCAGCGAGAGAAAGTAGAATGGAAGACTACAAATGGCAGCGCTACTACCATCCGACCTCGGCACCGATACTAAACTCCTCCACTCGTATACCTTGTTTCCCTTTGACTTTTGACAAACGGTATCGCTCAAGACCGTATATTTCGTACGAGACACTGGTGAGCTTCATCGCTCGGATGTGGTGCGGTCGTGAATTTGCAGCAAGAGCATGCCTTCGCGATTGCCAAATACATGTAGCAAGGTTTAATCCAGTTTCTGAATCTGGCATGCCATACCAGTACATGATGAGCTTCGGAAAAGCATGTCTCAGTTTGTGTCGGTGTACTGCTGATCAATACATACACCACCATTCGAGATAGCTTCTTCGTGGGCCTTCCTATCAGCTTCGTATAGAGCTGGAGGCAAGAAAATTCAGTGACAGGCAAGAGAAAGTTGAACGGATGCCAACCATCGCTGTCACTCCCTGCCTTTCGCTTGCTTCGGAACACTACAGCATACCACTCGCGTTCTTCGTCTAGTGGAAGGTCCAGATCTAGCCAGTTGAACGATTCTGCATATGGCAGGCGGGCGTACTCGCTGGATAGCGGACGAAAATGATGAAGCGCTTTATGCAAAGACAGAGATGCTGGATCAATGTCAGGTAAGTGGGTCTTCGTAACTAATGGTGGTCTGTCTGGTCGACTGTTAGGTACCTCTATACCCGGGGGTAACGAGGAGAGCAGAGGTGGAAGGTAGAGGATGGTAGAGGATGGATTTTTCAAAGACTCTGAATCAAATGTAGGCGGTTGGTGGGGATCTCTCTCTTGGCCATCATTGATGGGTAGAGTGCTTCCGGCGGATAGGTCCTTCTGGGAATCATGCACGAATGGCAGGAACTGGATGGCCATGACGCAGATACTGCCAAGAGGAAGTGCAGGGATTTAACACAGTGGGTATGGATGAAGGTGAGGTATGCCCAGAAAAATAGGTTGTTGCCCTTGAGTTTGGTTTGAACAGTACTCTGTTCAGTAAGCAGTGAAATGATCTGACGCACTTCACAATGTATGCCTCCGCTGAGATCTATGGCGTAATGGCATGAATTGCGTGATCTCGCGTCGTAGCATTGAAATCGACAACCATTCCTCTAGGTTAATTAGTCACTTTCCATAATTACAAGCCTGAAACGAGCCGCCACGGAGGCAGGTGGGACTGAGTGATTGAGCAGCACCCGGTGATAGTCCGTAGATGACATCGATGAGCGTTCGACGGCTCCGGGGAGCTTTAGAAACAGCTTTAAAGGTGTCAGCAATGGGAAATGGTTTTCGCAAAGACCGGGGTCCTAGGCAACCTCTATCAGTAATCGATTAATCCTCGGTGATTCAGTCTCAGACAAGACAAGCGACGTATTCACGTGACTAGCAACATTGACCGGAAGCAACCACTTGACTTCGCCGAGTCTCGCTGAGTATGACAACCAGGAAAGCAGCTGAGTCGACACTCTACCACGTTCATCCCAAAGGCTTTTGGAAGAAGTTTCGTACGTATGACTGTGCCCAGCCTTTTTCACGGAGCTAAATACATACTTCGACTGTAGGTGATGCGGTGGTTGTGAACCCGGAAATCTCAACCGGCATCCCAATTGCAGGAATAAACAGATACCCTCCGCCTGGCTCCAGGCCGGAAAAGTACTCAACTCCAGCAAGTAAAGGTCAGAATGCCATCGCTTTCCGTGAGTGATTGTGACTCAGTTTCTCTAGCTTCCGATCCTGCTCAAAATCCGTACTGGAAGCGCGATGTGCGCCGTGCTTATCCTCAACTCTCTGTGGTCACACAAACGGATCTGGCCACTTTGTTGATTCAACACTCAGCAGCTAAGTCGTATGTATTTCTGGTGTTGTTTTGAGCTGTGGCCTTGAAACATGTCATGTTTAGCATTCCTGCTCCTTCCGAGTCCGGCGACACCGAGAAAGTAGAATTGCCCGCAGAAAAGCAGGAAACCACGGACTTAGCGCAGGCGATCGCTACCATCACCTCGGAAGCCAAGGTTTATAATGAAACTAGGTTGCCACCGAGTATCCCGACGGCGTTCAAGAAGTGGAGACCCGAGCTTGCCCCGGATGCACCTCACGATCCCGATTCGTACTTCCCAATGGTGTTATACAAGTAGTTTTAACTGGTTGTCTCACTTCCAGCTCACATAGAATTGATTCTCTTGCGGCGATACTTGGCTGATTTTAGACCCGAACTGGAGTGGTTCTAGATCGAAAAAACCTTGTGCACAAACCAACCTCATTGATGATGGAGCGAAAGAACTGACTTCACCCATTTTCTTTCTCCTCCAAGGTGATCATGGTAGGATTATCAGGGCATCGCGTATCACTCATCGAAGAGGTAGGCTGTTGCGTTGGAGACCGGAGAACGTAAGTATCCGCTCTTGCGTCGTCTCGATGCCAGCGGTGTTGGAATGAATTATTAGCTATGGTATGTGATTGCCGCCTCGTAGTTGATGTCCATGAACTACAACAAAAAAACACGTCGCCCGTTATGTGTGGGTGTTCTATTTCTTTCCTTCTCATCTTTTTCTTTTTCTTTTTAACTTGCTCATCTCGTCGAGCCCGATGACCCACAAATTCAAACGGCAAGTGAGTGGAATGATACGAACGAGCGTTCCACTCCGAATGCGATATGCATGCCGACTCCTGCTGGAACAGTTGGACTCGTTGAGGTGACAAAATAGAGGAGCGCTCTCTGCTGCATGACGGTCGTGAATATCCGAGCTCATGATCGCTGGTTGTGTCTGTATAGTAGATGTGTATCACTCCTAGGCGTCTGTGGCATCCGAGGGTATGGGCGCCCGATGTAAGCACTCCTTGAAAAGGAAACTGTGTTCGACAACTGTTCCACTTCAAATCAGAGGCAAACGTCACTAGTGCATCTCAGAGAAGCATGCCAGACATCTTGCCCTCTACGACAGCACCAGGCGCATCTGCGGAGGCCCAAGCAGCGGCCTTTGCTGCAGACGACCGCATCCATTTTTCAAAAGAAAGTGGTACATGGAGGCTCGAACAGGAGGATGGCACAGAGCTCGAGTATGACGCAGCCAAAGGGACATGGGTGCCTGTAGTAGGTGCTCTTTTTTCAGTATCTCGCCTGGGCATGACCGCCACAGGTTGATGAAGATTTGGTCAAGAAACAACAAGCTGCTTATTCGGTACCCGGTGTAGATGAAGAGGTGCGTGTTGTCTGGGCCTCATAGTCCTCAGATTTACTGACCACCTCTGGATAGACCCCTGCCGCCCCCGTACTAAAGCGTGCCAATAAAAAAAGGAAGGGACTAGAAGATATCCCCACCGCTGGTCCATCCAGCAAGCGCGGAAGGAACGACCAGGCGAAGCCCCCGAGGTCTAAGAACACTGCTGTGTTTGTAACCGGACTCCCACCCGACACTGAAATTGAGGAAGTCGTGGAACTGTTCAGTAAATTCGGTGTCATCGAGGAGGATGATGAGGGAGAACCCAAAATCAAACTATACGCTCGCGATGATGGGTCATTCAGCGGAGAGGCACTGGTGGTTTACTTCAAGGAGGAATCCGTCCCACTTGCCATGAACCTCCTGGATGATGCCGAATTGCGCATAGGCGATCCGTCCACGATAATGAGAGTCCAGAGAGCGGAATTTAAACATAAGCATACCAGCGATGCCGGTGACGGCGGTGTCCCTCGAAGAACCATCGACAAGAAGAAAGCAACTAAGCGAATAGGAAAAATGCAAAAGTACGTAGAGACTGTTACCAAGACCTTGCGTGACGACCTAACACTGAGTAGGAAGCTACAGGAATGGGACGATGATGACGGTTTTGGTCCTGCCAAAACCGAGGAAGATCGCATTCATAGTCATAATAGAAGCAGCCGAGTTGTTGTCCTGAAGCATATGTTTTCCTTGAAAGAGCTGGACGAAGATCCTACATTACTGATTGATCTGAAAGAAGACGTACGGGAAGAGTGTTCTTCCTTAGGAGAGGTAACAAACGTTGTCTTGTATGATGTAAGTCTTTTGCTAGTCGCGCATTTTGTAGTCTCATGGCGTAAATTATACTAGAAAGAACCGGAAGGTGTTATGACCATAAAGTACAAGGAGCCGCTAAGTGCCCAAGCTTGCGTAGTGGTGAGTCTGCAAAAGTATGATAGAGGATTTCTATCTAATTCTCGGTCAACAGAAGATGAACGGTCGATATTTTGCTGGGCGACGTATCGAGGCTTCGCTCTTCGCCGGTAAACAGCGATTCAGACGTAGTGGTGTCGACGACGACTGGCAAAGTGATGGTGAAGAAGCTGAGAAGAAGCGCTTGGATGACTTTGCCAATTGGCTCATGACCGAGGAAGAGTAGGAAAATTTCTAAGTCGACAGTGAACTGTGATCTTCCCCTACCAAGTCCTACCATATCGCACTCCGCTTGCGTCGAATTGCAATATATTTTCTTTTGGCTCAGTGTCATCTCAATTTTCAATTGAAGTTTGTTTTCGGCTGGCGCTTCTTGGGTGACATTAACCGAACGCAGTGGCCAGATTATGATTTGAAAGTGAGGGCAAAGGTGCAAAAGAGTGTAATGTAGGAAATGAGTGAAACCATGGGTAGGCTATGTAAAATGTTCCCCGACAAGAGTGAAATCAGCCCTACGATATGTGTAGAACCGCCAGGGACGAAAAATCAAGGACAAAATGGCGATCGGAATACTGAAGGCGATCACAACGGGTCGTGACGAGGAGCGGGCGACCACAAGCTTCGAGGCTGGCATGGGGAGCAAGCACAGCATCATAAAACGATAGCCTCGCTTCCATGGGACTGTCCTTCATCAGACACCACGTATGGACTGCCATCAACCGGTTCCGGTACACCCTCGGTTGAAGCGGGGGAACTGACTACGAGCTCTGGCAGGACTGGTGGTTCACTTGAGATGACTGGCCTAGCTTCATCCTCATCATATGTCACCTCCGAGAAGGCAGAAGAGACACGTGCGAGTCCCGGGACTGCATCCGTTGAAGCTTTTGGAGTGGCAGCTGTGGTGGAGAGACGTGCCATGATCGGAGTGCTTGTGTTAGCAGCAGTAACAGTCGGTGAATGAGTGTCATTCGATTGTACTTGTTCACATGGTTGAGGTGGGTCCGCAAAGTCCCATGCACGAGGAACAAGTGCGACAGGCATGATCCTGGGCATAATAAGAACAGCGCTCTACGAACTTGAAAACCCGAGTTCATACCATGTCGCACAACATACCACGCCGTTCCCCTCGTCTGCTGCACGTATTGAGTGCCACTCCATTTGCACGAACTGTGCGAAATAACGGATGAAAGGAAGTATCTCTCGCACGCCCTCATTAAGGACCGATATCGCAGTGAGAAGGTCTAGTACCGCAGAGCTTGGTGCGGCGGCGGACTGTATATGTGCCAAAGTCGGGGGAGGGAGGCAAACTTCAAAGCCCCACCAATCTGTGTGTGATGACCATTGCGTAAGTACTTCTATATGAGCAAGTGCTGCCTTCTACTTACAAGTGAGGACGGATATCCGGTCTGTAGGGACAGTCACACCTTTGTGGTTTGGCATGACCGCTTTGCCGGTTGCGTATCCCAGGGCGAGAAGCTGCGGTGTAATCTCCTGGATGCCCTCTAAAACGGTACCCGCAGTCGGGATAGCTCCGGCAAAGGACACCCGGCGCAGTGGCCGAGGCACCAAAACCCATATTAGGGGCCGCGAGGAGGTCAAGAACGTGAACATCTCGGAGGGCATCAGAAACAGCAACTACAGAAGCAGAAGCAACGGAACCAAGCTTCGAAAAGTACCGTTCGTGTGCCTCATCGTCAGTGACGTCGAGACAAACCGCGTGGAGAGGAATATGCAGGTCCATGGAGTCATCGGTTGGTTGAGGTGGAAGACACCTCAGATGCGCGATCACCTTGCTTGCAGACTTTGGCTTCGAAAGGTGGGAATGAACGCGTCTCACTGCAGTCTTAGTGGACGAGCTTGTCTTCAGTGGTTTTGCACCAGGAGACAAATTGCAATCGCCGACAATAAGTGAACGAACAAGCACGGCACTCTCTTTGACACGTTTCTCAGTGCTTGCTTTGCGAAGGGAACGAATTGCGAATGTTCCTGCTTTCCCGGGATTTCTTCCCTGCGTTTCTGGCTACTGATGGCGCACGAACCGCACGTGCGAAGGTGACCTGGGAGTGAGTTGTAGATTTATGCTCGGACTGCGCAGATAGCTTGGATTCGGAACGAAGGAAAGCCAGCGAGAGGAACGAAAAGCGTCCCAGTTCTTTGACTGAAGTGGGTTGCCCGCAGTGGCTAGCGGTCTCTTCAATACAAGACCCCGACTGTTCGTTGGGGGTCAAAAGCGTCCCATCTTGCCCATGAACAGGTGAAGGGAGTGCCAGAGAAGTGGCGGGATTCGGAGAGTCGGGAAAATGAGTTGAACCACGTTCGACCATAAAGTCAGGTGCATTAGTCTCGCTGGGAGAAGCGTGTGCGGTCGGTGAGTGAAAAGACTTAGAGAGCGTCCCGAGAGTGGACGCTTCGCTCTCGACCTTGACCAGTCTTGACTCCTGCTTGACTTGAACTACTGTGGGCTCGTTGACCCCGGCAGTCTGGTCAGAAGCAGCGAGAGGTGACCTCAGGGCTTTCGTTGTGGCAGACTTGATGAAGCCCAGCATGGCCGACAATGTTACCGAGTGAAGAAAGAAAAAAGAGTGAAGGGAATGGAGTAAAAGTTCGAGTGGTGCTGGTACTTATGTAGTACCGACGGCAAACGTTTCGCGTGAGAAAGCCATCTTGGGTTCTCGGGTGCCTTCGCTTGGGCGGGTGGACAGCAGGAGGCGAAAGTAGGCTGCTTGGGGTCCAATGTTGGTGAGCATACCACGAAGATTTCATGAGGGACATCCTCGGGGATCAGACAGGAAGCACTCGCAGCAGAGCTGCCAAAACCGTGTATAGGAGCTAATTCACTTATGAGGATGGTTCTGGGATGTCAATGCAACAATCAACCAATTGGAGTTCAAGTCTCGGGTACATCGACCAACAATTCTCATATTTCCATTGTCTGTGAGCAGCGAACTCCCAGAGTGTCCAGCCTTAGACCGAACACCACCTGCAGTCGGTCGAGCAAGAATATCTTGACCAAGGATATGTTGCTTAGTCAGCCGTGTGCGTGGGAATCTTTTCTCCGGACTCGTCCACAACGCCTATCGTACTCAACTATCGGACTATTAGCATTGTTCTCGGCCAGTGACCATGGCGCTTGGGGTCTTGAAAACGTCAAGTGAGTCCAGACTATTAAATGGAATACAGGAGGGCACTGAAAATTACCACAGTCAAGCACGCCTGTCGACGTGCAGCTCTAACACCTGCCAATGGAATCTGTGGTGAGTATCAGTTTGAACACGTTGTATTGTCTCTATTGAGATGTCATGATAGCCTCCCGTTTTCTGCATCTCTCCAAACCCGTCCGGTCGCCGGAGACGACCCCTGCCATTCCAACCTCTCAAGAACCTGTCACTTCCCTTGCCATGCGTGGTTCCAACCAATTCAGTCTGGAACACCCTCGGAACAAGGCTGGTATGTCTCTGCTCGTTTATTTGTATCCGCTCCTTTACCGTTGAATAGAGTATGTCCTTTCAACCCTTGACAAAATTGCCAGTTGGGCACGCCAAGGTTCTATGTGGCCCATGACTTTTGGTCTTGCATGTTGTGCTGTAGAAATGATGCACATGGCTGCTGCACGTTACGATCAAGATCGGCTTGGCATTGTCTTCCGTGCTAGTCCCCGACAAAGCGACATCATGATTGTCGCCGGCACACTGACCAATAAGATGGCCCCAGCTCTTAGAAAAGTTTATGATCAGATGCCCGAACCGCGGTGGGTCGTATCTATGGGATCGTGTGCGAATGGGGGCGGGTATTATCACTATTCTTATTCGGTGGTGAGGGGTTGTGATCGTAAGGCTCTAACCTGGTGAGAGTGGTTCCCGGTGCTCACAGCTCGACAGGGATTGTCCCCGTGGATATTTACGTTCCGGGGTGCCCACCAACTGCCGAAGCGTTGCTTTATGGAATGCTCCAACTCCAGCGTAAAATGAGAAGGAGCAGGAAAGGCGTACTCTGGTGGGTACATGGCTATAGTCCAAGAAGGCAGTGGCTGGATTGATTTGTGACAGGTACCGCAAGTAGCATGACTTCCTCATTGAAGAGACTTGGAGAGCATAATCAAAGTTAGGCTGTGTGAAACGATAGAGACTACTCTTGTCTTCTAGCCACTGCAATAGACATCGACCAGTATCTGAGACATTTATTTGTGTGAACGGGCATTAGTCCCCGTCCGGCCGTGCGAAACGGATGCCAAGTAAGGTACCGGCTCGGCACTGCCATGAGCATCGCCCAATTTCCAGTTGGACCAGTCCCCCACCGTCCCGTCAGTTGGATCTGAGTCCTTCTGTGCAAAGCCAGTGCTCGCGGTGGTCGTCCAGAGCTCGGCTGGCGGCTTCGACCCAAGTCTTTCTCACTGCCTCGTTCCTTCTCTTGTCTGTCTATTCTCACATTCGCGCTACGCACATCGGGCGTTCTAAGGCGCCTTCTAGGAGTACTTTTCTATAGCATCTCGTGTCTTGACTCTGGGCATCCCCAAAGTTCCTCTTAGTGGCGCAATCCAGATCTTAGCCATGGCCACAGTCTCAGCACTTCAACCTGTGCATGCCGACGCTCTTCCTGGCAACCTTCAACTAAACTTCTTTCAGAGCGACCTTGCAGTCCCGGACATGGACATCAAAGGCCATGGATACGCGCCTCCCTCCGACAAGGTTCTCAGTGCCTACCCTAACGTCCTTCAAGCACAAGCTCAGAAGGACTCGGCTTCTTTAAATGAACCTCCTACGTCCGTGCCAGACGATGAACGGGGCCGGAATGATGGAGATCATGACCCACTAAATCCAGTCTTGGAGAATGGTCAGCACTTTTCCCATCCCAAGCCAACCTCTCAAGGTGTCTCCGCTCGTCACACCACCGGACGTTTCAGTCTAGATGATGACACAAGTAGCGGAAATGTCCCTCCCTTATTGAATGGTGGCTTGATGGACTCGGGATTCCTTAACGACTCTTTTAAGTCTCTTGGGGAATCTCTCACAGTCTCTCAGCCTCCTCCTTCATCACCACTACAGGTCCAGTCTTCCCGAGACATTCCAGTATCGCTCCACCCTGCGAACAGTCGACAAACCCCCTATCACTTATCCGAGGGTGCAAGTCATCCCAGGTTCCCTCCCAATTCTCTGTCGAGGCCCTATAGCCCCACACTAGGCATTCCCATCCCGATATCGACGAACCCCCGGGCATATCCCCAACACCCCACATTTATCACACCTGCAGCGGCTCCAGATCCAATAAATCCCATCCTTTCCCCCACTCCGCTCCAGCCGCCGGAAGAGGTTTGTGTTGAGTGTGCCATGCGCGACCAGGACATGGCAGATGTGATCGTCACTGGCCCCGGAGTTTGGGACCGTGAGAGCGACGTGCTCTACCAAGAGTTATTGAGGAGGGAAGAAGAAGAAGAAACCGCAGGTATATTGCGGTCAGAGTGTTCTTCCCGACCCCGGGCTAGGGGTGGGCGCCTCACCGAACAGAACCTCAAACTATGGAATATGATGGCGAGTTTGTACCTTACCTTTTTGACGATATACTCATTGGAGGTTGGCAGAACCCCCGAGAACCAATGGCAAGGCAGCAGACTTTAAGCCAGTATGTAAAGGCTCAGCGATCTCTACTCGAGGCCGAAGCTTTGGCACACGCACGGGCAATGCAAGAGTCTAAGCAGCTCGAGAACTCAGTCAAGGACACTTATGCACAGCTTCGACGATCGGTGCTTGAGCTGGATGGTGTGGATGACAGCGCTTTCAAGCTCAAACCCTCGCGTCCTACTAGTGTTGTAAATGGAAACGGGACACACCATATTCGAGGGGCATCTCGTGACATCACGTTGCTTCGAAACGGTCTCATTGTGGAACATGTCGATGTCCGTCGTGAGGAAAAGGACGAACGAGAACGTCGTCGTAGGCGAGAAAAACAGGAGCGCAGTCGCCCTCGAAAATCTTCGCGTGCTTCTGCCATAGATGTCACCTCGCTCTATTCCTCAAACAGTATCGTTCCTCACACTGACAATGGTTTTGGTGTGATGTCAAGCCCTCGGCTTTCTGGAGTTGGTACTCGACCTGCAAGCTCGCTTACTGTCCCAGTTGACAGACAGGCAAGCCTCAGTCAAGCGTACTCGCAGGCTTCGTTTTCGGATGCGCATAGCCCTGGTTCTGTATCACCGAGACGCTCACGATTCTTCGGTTTCAAAAATCTAAGCGGCGCTTGGAGAAGCCAGGACAGTTTGGCCGCTTCAGGGATGTCAGGGAGTATGATTGACATGCAGTATGTTGTTTTATCTTCTCACTTGGGCGGTCCTGATACATTTCATTTCCCCCAGCGTAGCGCTGCAGCGCGAAAATTACGCGTCAACTGTTCGTCCGCCAGCGGACAGAAGCAGGTTACCTTCGCAGATGCAGAGTCAATTATGGCCCCCAGCAGAGGACCAGGATGGATCTACTCTTGCCGCAGCTGATCAGAAACCCAAGAAAAAGAAAAAGCGCGGTTTCGCGAAGATCTGGAGTCTAGTCAAAGGATCGTCGGGCAAGAGCGACACTCGCATCGAAAACTTAGGACGTTCTCAAGATCGTCATGACGACGACTCACCCCTCACACCACCCCCACCACTGTCGTATTTGGTGGAACGCGGACCCGGAGAGCATCTCAATGGGAACGGACGTCATGCATCGACTCCGTCTCTTCTTTCGACGACATCACCTTGGAACGGGTTATCATCACCCGGTATGTCACCTCCCACGGCTCCCTCTAGTCTTCTCCCATCACCCACTTCTTCGCGTCCGTCAGGGGGAAACGGAGACGTGATCGAGAAAAAAGTTGCCCTGCTAACCGATGACAAAGAGGCACACGAAACTGTAGCGCCGGATGCTAGGCTCAGGCCAGTTCATCCTGTCACATCTGAACCGGATATCCGACAGAAAGTCCAGTCGCCCAACAACATGACGCTCCCAAAATCAACATCTACAATGTTGTCGCGGGAAAAGTCGTTACCGCCACTTCCAGGAGAATGGAAGCCAAGGTCACAAAACATTGGGAGTGAATCTCGCCCGCAGAGCTTCTACACCTATGACCCTCGCCATGGTAATCACGATCCATATGATTTAGCACCTCCCCATGCACCTTTCCGCACGGAAGCCAGGCGCCAGTCTTTCAGTGGCGTAACTTCACGTCCCACACTTGGCATTCAAACTATGCCATCCGGCGGTCACGATTATACGCGGAGCCCAAATGGATTTTATAACGAATTCGGCATCTCACAGAGGTCTCTTGGTCGCCTCGACAACATTGAAGAGAACCCTCCCGTTCCCCCCACCCCCAAGCGCAAGAGCAAGCTTATCTTTGCTTCCCTTCTCGGTAGGAAATCCAACAACCCTTGTGAAATGAGTGGTTCGATTTCACACGAGTTTCCGCGTCTGTCGACACCGATGTGCGACGGAAATGAAGACAGTTTGTATTCTGCATATACCAGTTCTCGACAAAGCGCGGGACCCCGGATGTCTATTATGTCCCGCAAAGCCATCGAGGAACTCGTTGACCAAGATCGCGAGTTTGTAGCCTATCGCTATCCGTCACAGACCCACTCGCTCGGTGACCTTCTCCGATGACGCATTGCTGAAGACTGCACCCAGTCAGTTCCTTGTAGTTTTTTTTTTGGTTTATATGGATTTGGTTCTTTCCATGTACCTCAGCCCCCGCTCGCCAGACGCCCCCATTTCTCTCATGAATCACTTCGTACCTACTTGGTGTTTCCTCAGGACATTGCCCGACTTCTTTTATAATCGGTGTTGTACATTGTCCAAAGCGCACTCGTCTCCACGTTCGACATGTATATGCATGAGCTCTAAGACACTTTCTTTGATATGAAATGGCGGTAGTTGCATTTGCGAAGAGAAGACAAAGTGGGAACCAACTAACAACGTGATTGGCAGATAAGAGAACGGGTACCACGTGATCGAATAGATTGGCCGCTAGGAGGCCAGTGGACTGCGCCAACTCTTCCTGCAAAGTTGACTTCAATGGTAGGGAAATTCTAATCACGCACCATACTTGCCCGCCCAGAACTTATTTCCAGGCACCCCGTGGCTTATCTGCTGAAGAGAAACGCATCAAGCTGTTGGAAATATTCCATGAGTCGGTAAGTTATCAGGGGTCACTCAGCTCCAGACGCTAAAGACGACACCCGACAGAAGGACTTTTTCCAAGTAAACGTTCCGTACAGTGCGAAAGCAACCCAAACTTGATCATCTCGTCCTTCCAGCTAAAAGAACTGGAGAAACTTGGGCCAAAGCTCAAGGGGATCGGTATGATGCACCTCCTCAGTAATATGTGTCACTTGTCCTGAGCACCTTCACATAGTCTCGCAAACAGTGAAAGACGTTCTGCAGTCACTCGTCGACGACCGATTGGTATATACCGATAAGATTGGGTCCTCCAATTGTACGCGCACATATCATTGCATACATGCGCATATGCTCGGAGTTAACGGAAATTAGTCTTCTGGAGTTTCCCCTCGGAACGCGGAAACATAGTACGTCGACTAACCTCCCTAAGCTGAATGATAACGATATCGGTTCAGATTCGCAACCGATTGAATGCTGCGAATAACGCGAAGTCGCACCTTAGAAGTCAACTCCAGGAACTTGATACGTCGCTTAAACGCGAAAAGACCGCCCGACCTGAAAGCGTTTGTTCTATGTGCCTGCTGAGTATTAGCTGCTTTGCGACCTGATTTGTTTGTTGCCGCAGGAGAAGAGGACGGCCGCGTTGGAGAGGTTGCAGGCATCAAAAGATAATATCAAAGCGCTTGAAGAGGAATTGAATGCATATGGCGTGTGCCATCCCACCAAAGTGGAAGCGAAGAAACGAGCTATTGTCGCCGCTCACGAAGCTGCCGTGCGATGGACTGGTCTGTGCTGTGTACCTGTTTCCTAATTTGCGGAACACCTGAACCAGATTGCGTCAGATAACTATACCATCCTTCTTGTCTACTTCACCCGCCAAAATGCAGTGGGTGAACAGGAGATTCGCAAGTTCCTAGATATCGAGGAAAATTACGAAGATATCTACTGAGCTAAGATGCCAGTGACTGCTATCTGCAGGGCAGCTACGTGGCTTCAAGATAATCACTAGTCCGTCATTAGCGAAGTCACAGTTGTACAGACCCCGTTCACGAAAACGCTGTGCGTACCTGAAATTCCGCAACCACCCTACTCTTCGCCTGGGGCCCGCGGGAACAGTCATGCAAGGAATAATAGGTCACCGGTGTAGCAAGCACGTCGGCGTACGGCCGCCGCTTGAGTACATAGCCAAAGTTGAGGATGACCGAGACCGAGGTTAGACCCTGTTAGGCCCATCTGAGAAGCACCCAAGATACAGTTATTAGCACTTCTTTTACGCCTGTGCAAACCTTCTCATTGGCCAACAAATCCCTTAGTGAGTGCGAAAGATGGTATTCCTCAGTGCCGTTGACGCGTTCTCGGGGTGAGTTTCAACTTCTAGTTTTGCAGATGGGTCTATGTATACAGCCTAACTTTAAGCTTTTAAGGCTAGGTTGCTTTGCACATTATTTGTGTCTATGTGTTTCCCGTCGAAGGTCGGTGGTTCGTCCGAACCTAGTCTGACTCAGCTGATGTCCGTCCTACGGCATACCTCTATCCACCTCACACTTTGGAGGTCAGTGAGGTCACCATTTCTATCGCGTTTGATTGTTTCTCTTCTTGCAAACTCACTGTGTGGCTTCCCTTGGTTCGTCTTCTTGTCTTGGCGCTACCTTCCCGCACAGAACAAACCATTTCGACATCCGACACGTGAAACAGAGGTCATGAGACTCGCTAAAAAAATTCAGCCTCCTTTTGGAATCCGAGTTGTTGTAAGACCTCTGTGACGACGGGTTCATCCGAGGGCGGAGGAGTCATATCCGACCTCCAAATAAAGGTCGTAAATTGCGTGCTTTTCCGGGTGTCCACAGACCACTACGTCACTTTTTTCTTCACGTCTCCACTCGCGTCCTGGCCATGGCAGATAGCCATCTCAACTTCAATGCTTCCTCCAAAAAATCGTCGAAGCATGTGGTTAGGTATGTTTCATGAGCATCGCAAAGGGAAGGCGCTCATGGCACTGCGAATAGGCATTTCACGCCTGCTTGGTTTACTGTCATAATGGGTGCGTAGCAATCCACCACCCTCGTTCGCGAGTAGAGCCCCGTTGAACCGAATGAATCAAAGAGGCGCTCCGTGCGGATCTGTTTGAGATTGACCACATGTATTCACATTGCTTCACTTTCAGGCACAGGTTCTATCGCCATTCTATGCCTTAACTTCCCATACGGTACTCAGTCTCCTGTGGCGACCTATCTAACACTTGCATTCCTCTTTATGGGCCTCGCACTTTTCTTGCTCTTCACAGCAATCAGCGTGGCTAGGTACACGCTATACCCTGATATCTGGCATCGAATGGTCCACCATCCAGTTCAAAGCTTATATCTCGGGACGTTTCCCATGGCAGCAGCGACACTTCTAACTGTTTCTACAACGGCTGTCCGGGAGACCTTTGGTCTCGGTCGCTCTTTCGTGTACACGCTATGGGTGCTCTGGTGGGTCGATGTTGTAATATCAATTGCGTGTTTTTGTGGCACATTGCATATGATGTGAGTTTGCAATGTAATAAGCAAGATTACAGTCGAGCTAACTAAACTAACGCAGGAAAGGCCGTCAAGAGCACCCGCTGGAGTCAATGACACTCAGGTGGCTGCTTCCCGTCGTTACACTGATCGTTGTATCCTCTACGGGAGGTGTCATTGCACCTGTCATTACTGCGTACTCTCCTAGTGGCGCTCTCATTACGGTAACCTTTTGTGTGTGCATGGTCTCTGTTGCACTACCCGTGGTGATGATGATGCTCACAATCTACCTTCTACGCTGTATGGTATATGGATATCCTCAAGGATCTCTCATCTTGTCATCCATTTTCCCTCTGGGACCCTTTGGACAGTCTGCATATGCTATCCTCCTGATCGGGTCGGCTTTACGTTCTATCATCCCGGAAAGCTTTGGAGACGCACAAGGGTTGTTCCAGTCCGCAACTACACCGATCATAGTTCAAACTTTTTGCGTCATGATCGCCCTCGCACTGTGGGCATTTGAAACTATGTGGCTCGTGTTCGCATTGCTGGCGATGAGACACGCTGTAAACAATGAAGGTCGATTCTCATTTCAACTATCCTTCTGGGGCTTGATTTTTCCGAATGTGCGTATATTTCAAAATACTAGCCAATAAAATCCCTATTTATTCATTGCATTTTTCAGGGCGTATACGCTAATATCACGATCATTCTTGGTTCGACGTTCTCCTCCAATTTCTTTCGCGTGTTCGGTGCCGCCTATGCCGTTGCAACGTTCTTGTTGTGGCTCTATGTGTTCGTGCAAACTGTACGAGTACTTCCGAGCGGACGGATTTTTGAAAGTTCTCCTGACGAAAAGGAGATTGCAGAGGAAAGTGTGAGCAACACAGTATCGATAGATGCGGATAAGACCCAACCTTAGAAGCTACAAATTATTCGAGGTATTTACTTAGATTTGTACCTCAGCTACCCCGCAGCGTAGTCAGCCAATAGAATCAAACCACATTCTATGATACTCGGTACTGAGTGAAACGCTTAAGCACTGCCAGATACATGCACCCTGCATGGGTAAACCCATCTCGGCGACACTTGTGTTGCTTGAAACATGCTGAAGCTAAGACCGCCCTCAGAGAGACAGGGCATGCGATTGGCATATATAGAAAAGCTAGTGACGTCGGTTGTCAGCTCTTTTCTTCTCTTTTTTCTTTCAGCTTGGAAACCTAAACAGAAATCCAACGCCTTGGAAAACAGTCAAATCACATCCTTTGAACCGGTACTATGTACAAGCTGGGTTCTTTCGTTATGTAATTTGGATTAGTAAGGCAGAAGCGAAGCTGGAGTCTGCACCCTGCCTGCCCGCATATTCGACGTTGCGACAACCGTACTGCGAGACTATTCGGCGTTCGTCGTTCGGTCCGAGCACATTTAATCCCACTTTTCTATAACATGCCTGCCGGCTACGAGGCATTACCTCAGTTGCCGGAGGAGGAACTGGATGACAGCGGGCAGAACGGCGCTGTCAAGTCCAAGCGGGGAAAGGCAACACGGCGCTCGCAGAGATCCAGGCATATAGACCTGAGCAAACTAGACAATGCTTTCAAGAGGTGATGTCGTCATACTTCAATCTCGAGGATGCTACCAACTGGTTCCCTAGGTGGACAGAGTTTATCTCCCAGAAAATAAAGCGACAGAGAAAATCAGAGGACTATGCGCGCAAGGATATCTGGCAGAGTGTGTTTGACCCATACCTTCCTGCATTTTCCGATTTTACCCCCCTCATGGTAAGCTTGGGATGTCGTCACTCAACCTCCGTGTCAACAGATAATTATACCCACAGGTAAAGACACTAGATGACAAACCTCCCATGAACCAGATTGCTTTCGACACGTAAGTAAGCCCCAGTGCGTTTCCAAGTGACCATAACTGTTGGTGTTCATAACCACAGTCTCACACAGTCCGTCCGTAATGCCATCTCTGTAGGCATTCATCCAAAGATGATTGCAAAGGGTTCTTCTGGTTCTTATTTTGTTCGAGCCAAAGTGGACGGAAAAGTTCAGACAGTCGCGTATGTAGAAGGTCAAATCTCGCGAAGCTTGGCTGACCACTGGATAGCGTCTTTAAACCAAAAGACGAAGAGCCGTATGGCCGGTTGAATCCTAAAGTGAGCGATCTTGCATTATTTTGAACGATATTTGAGGGTTGCCATGCATCTAGACAACCAAATGGTTGCACCGTCAATTCAGGTGGCTCATCCCCTTTGGTCGCTCTTGCCTCATACCAAACCTGAGGTATTCCATCTGTATCACCGGGAGCCTCCAAGAGCCTCATGTCATTCAGTTATGTTTCCGAAGCGGCTGCGTCGCTCCTCGACGAACGCCTAGCATTAAACATCGTGCCTCGTACTCAACTCGTTTCACTTTCTAGTCCAGTGAGTTTGCGCAAAGCATTCTTTATCATCAATAGAGAGTGATCACACGACTGTAGGCTTTTTTTTACGATTGGCTGGACAGGAGTGCAGCGAAGAAGGGTAAACCGCTACCTGAAAAGATTGGCAGCATGCAGCTTTTCCTACACGGCTACACTGGTGGGAAGGCACACTGGGTGACAGCTTCACTTTTCTTACATCGCATTCCTTAGACGCGTCAGACTTTCTGAGAAAACATCCATGGCCTGGTCGCCCAATAGCAGATACATTCGATGACTCGTCGCACCGAAAGGGGATATCAACAAAGAAATGCTTGTCGGCTCTCAAAATCATTTGTGGTAAGACTGGTGACGATGAGAATGATGATGTAGATCCAGAAGAGGAACATACATTATTCGATGCCACCGAGGATGATGACACTTACCGTACTTTCCATTGGTCACGGGCTCTCCAACAGAATTTTAGAGAAGAACTTGAAAAGTGAGTTACCTGTCTACGGTCGCAAGTATCATGTGCTCATCTCTGTCTGCAAGGCTCGTAATTTTAGGTATGCCGTGTGCTCTAAACTCCGCATATTTCACTTAACCACAAGACCTAGACTACCTCATGCTCAATACCGACCGCGGAGCTGACAATTGGATGGTCAAATATTGTGAAGGCGACCACATTAAATCTCCTGTTGCAGTTGCCCCACAAGCATCTACGAATCCCCGGATGCCGCTAATGAGTGAGCTTCGTCCTTTCGGGTCGCATTCATCGACCCAGGCATCGGTTTCCTTCGCCGGAGTGGCTTCATCGCCCCATGGACCGCCCGTCTCCAGTGACTACACTCGCTATCCACATATTCATGTCGCTGCTATTGACAATTCTCTGTCATTCCCTCACGAACATCCGCAGGGATGGAGATCGTATACGTATGGTTGGCTTTACCTTCCCGTGAGTCTTATAGGGCAGCCGTTCAGCGAGAAGACTCGGTCGCACTTTTTGCCTCTTCTTACGAGCAAAGCTTGGTGGGAGGAGACAACCTTTCAATTACGAAGGTTGTTCGCAGTGGATCCAGACTTTCATCCGAAGATGTTTAGGGTATATGTCCATCGGAAGTCTGGAATGTCATGCTCAATACGTTTGATAGAGGCAACTGGCGGTTATCAAAGGACAGGCTTATAACATCGTTGAGTCCTTGAAGCATCCGGTAAGAATCAGGTTCAGTCCTCCGTTGGTAGATGATTGACTACGAGGGGCTACCCACCTTTTTCAGGATGAAGGTGCACCCTACTTTCTCTATCCACATTAAATCTCTGATCGACTTCAAGGGCCCCTCGAGTTGACACGCAGGACTAGAGCACTTGTTTGGGACGACGAGGTGGAAATGCCAGAAGAAACCCCTTGTCTTCCTAGTGCGGATCCGCTGAGTTCACCTCGCCCCTCTATAAATACGGTACCTCTGCCACAGCGCGTGCGTAGCCGTAGTCCACTCGAGTGAATTTCCGCCGCGGGCACGGGGGCGTTCGTCGGAGGCCAACAGGCCTGTACCATTCTCGGCGAAGTTCCAAAAAGTGCACCCAGGTACTACTGGCGTCACGGTTCTCGAGCATCTTGAACGCCTGGATGCCGTTGAGGCTGGCCTACAGAGACTCGGTGTTGGGGAACCCCTTATGGAAGAGGAAGATGAAGTAGACGTTGGTGAATTCTCCGTTTCCAGTCGACCAGCTCTGTCAATACAAACGGAGGTTTCGAGTCGAGTACCGCTAGAGACGTCGGTGTCGCAGCAGTTCACGCCACCTGGAAGTCCGGACAGACTGACCTCGGTGCCGGAGGACCCCCCTTTGTCTACCTCCGTCACCGAGGAAGACTTAGCCATTATGTCGAAGTCAACATCACATGTGGAGCCACCATTCTCCGTTCACACGCGGTGGAAGAGTCACGCAGGTTCTTCGAGACATCAACAAGATCGTAGCCTGGATTGGATGAACTTCGATGAGCAGCCGAAACGGACTGTCATTGTTGAGGTCGGTGCTACTGTTATGTTGGCTCACTGGGTTGTCTGACTGGCCATCTAGCGCCTCGAATACGTTCAGGCGAAACCGCTGCTGAGCTGCTGGTAACCAAGGTAGCTACCTGGGAACGTGGTGTACATACGTATGATGGCATGGAGCGGATCCATCGGAATATTTGGACTGTTTGGTTCGTTGTGGCACTGACCAGATATAGTAGTCAACCGTAGGATGACGGAATGGAGCACTACATAATAACATTTAGAGTCTAGTATGTGTTCCCTGGAGATAGAACTTGATATTGCCAACAGCACGAGGGTCACGCTGCTTAATGTTACCACAGAACTCATCTCCGCCGATCGATGTGCACACACCTAGGTCGTCCTTCTCTGTCATTCATTCCTGTGAGCTAGCCGACGCATCAACTTTGACAGCAGGATGTATTGATACCAATCTCAGTGAATGGCGAGTCTCTACAACAGCTCTGCGACAAGCTTACTCGGAAGGGCCGCGCCGAGTTTCGCAACAAACGCGTAGGCCCAGGGTGGATCAAATACTTTTGGAACAACACAGTGTGGAACCTGGACGACGGTAATAGCGTTAATACGGTCTGCTATACGTTTCCTACGTATTCACTCGCTCCGCAGCCGACGATTACACCATTTTTGTTCGGCGCCATAACCCCACACCGGCCTCCAATGAAGGCAATGTAGTCACCCAGACCACCCTACACGTCAACGATCCGTCTAGCCAATTGCCAGGGCCACCAGAGTATCAAAACCCATCGTTCTACGTTTTTCAATCTTCCAGGACTACGTCACCTCTTCCACGCTCAGACCACAGTGTCAAGGGGAACAGCGAACAGCACACTAATCACAAGACGGTAAACACTGGTGTTGCAAAGCATCGAAAGGATTTTGAAAAGTTTCACAATGAAAACGGAGTGCGGACCGTTGTGGGAAGTATCGGTCCAGTCACCAACGGTAAGTAGCTGCTGCTATTGCGAAAGATTGTCTATTCATGACTTGCAAAGTCAGGATGTTACTGAGGAAGGGGTATCGACACGTGTATATGTCACGAAAGTTCGCTCTGAAGCACGGATTCATACCTGCGGATGCTGCTCCGGGGCATTATGGGTACGGCGGCCTCGTCAATCTAGGGAAGTGGCCGATCACTCTGACAGTCGCTGACCGCCCCCCCTTGCATGGTGTGGGCTCTGCCGAACCCTCCGCTCCAACAACCGAGAGTCCGTTACGACTGCAGTCTAAGACGGTTTCTGTCCCTGTTTACCTCTCTGAAGAGCCACATTTTGACGTTGTCCTTGGACGTTCGTTCTTCGAATGTAGGCAAATTAAACTGTCTACAGTTGATCCAACTGAGGTGATTTGTTTGGACACGGGTGAGAAAGTTGAGTGTCAGCTGGTGGTATTGAAAGATGGTAGAGGCGAAGTTGTTATTGTGACTTGACAGTATCCCTTCCTTACAGACGTGATGAAGTATATTGCCATGATGAGACTAACTCGTAAACATGTTTATAATTGCAAAATATTGTTGTATAGAAGGACTCATCCGCTGACCCTAACCTGAAGACACAGAGACACCCGTGCGATGATCTCGAAGTGACCGGGGCACGGGCATTTGCCACTCCCGATTGCGGAAAACTCGTCACTGAGGACCAATTTGGACGACGGCATTCACGAGGTTTCCCGTGGACAGGTTATAAACGAGTTTAGACCGGCCTCACCCGCTCCCGATAACATACTTCAGTCTCGTACAACAGTGTTCTCGCGCTTGCAGCGTTCTGTCAACTATGCCGAGTACGTACCCATAGTTAGGGGCCGTATATCTTGTGGCTGATCTTTCTGGAAGCCATAACAATGATGTTGAAAGACATTGCAGCGTACAACAAGTACAAGAATGAAGTGCTCGGGCAAGGTGGGCGGATCATTCACGATTACGAGGATTTGGTACTTGCCTTGTCCCTACCGTGGAAATGTGGTTGTCTTGTTTACCATTCCACTTCCAGGGCTTCACTGCCGAGCTACCGCAACAGTTGTTTCAGGAGTTGCAGTCCACTTCTTCGATCGCCGGCGGTGACATTGCGTCTTTCGGTAAAGTCATCCCACCGCAGTCTTGTTGCCAATGATCTCATGAAACGGAAAACAGAACTGGACAGCCGGGTGACCATCCAGCTTCAGTAGATTCAAGAGATAACCTAGGATATTCCTGTGTCTTGATTAGCCTATCTCCAAGTGTCAATGATTATGTAAATATTGTAGGATATTAGACAGGCGGGGTCAAGGTGGGATACTAATAGGTCTGTGTTTTCGTCAGGTCTCCTCAGTTGAGCAATGCCCCAGACTCGGTCAGCCACTCGTTTGAGCAGCTTGTCGAGAGCGACGGGCGAGAAACCATCTCAGACGCTGTCGTCCAAACGAAAGATCGGCCCACGACACGGTGACGATGATACTACCCCTAGCAAGAAGAGATCGAAAAAACAAAGCCGCACCGAACGTAGTGTCGCTTCGGGTCCACTGCTACCATTGGATGGATACGGTGATCAGTCAACTATTGACGCAGTCCTTACCTTCTCGTTCGAGGATGCCAAAGCACACCTTATCGACGTTGACCCCCGTTTTGCAGAATTATTCGGGCAGCTGAAATGCAAACCGTTCGAACATCTCGAACAAGTTCATCCATTCCGGTGCGTACCCAGTGACAGGCAGCGTCCTCGGTTGTCTCAGTGGTTGGTGTGTTCGAACTTGCAGCTCGCTCGTGCAATCAATCTTGTGAGGTTACGTTGTAAAGGTGTACAAGAGAACCTTCGGCTGATTGGCGACGTGTCAGAGCTCAGCAGATATCCTGGCTTGCTGCTAGGTCAATCACTCATAAATTCCTTCGCCTTTATGATCCGTCATTGCCAGAGAAGCCAACGGATTTCTCGTGCGTGTATTCGTCTATGCAACCTACCCGGAATTTGTGCGCCGTGTGTGTCTGACTTTCTGTACTTCAATAGACACGTCAAGTCACCACAGTCGTTCTTCCCAGTCCCTCACCAGGTGGCCAACACTGATATCGAAACGCTCAAATCAGCAGGCCTGAGCACACGAAAGGCAGAATATGGTATGAAGGTTTTTTTTTTCTGTTTAGATGTCCTTTTTTTGATGTTATTCTTCTCGTTGGGATGGCCGTTATTACCGATTCCAAATGAAGTTAGAGACCTCGCTACGCGTTTTGCTGATGGGCGGCTTTCAACGGCCAAACTTCTCACAGCAAGCGACGAAGAACTGGTGGAGATGTTGACGGAAGTCAGGGGAATAGGAAAGGTGAGTTCGGGGTGCTTAATGAGTTCTCCTGTTCGCCTGGGCTCTTTCCCGACGTTGTCGTTTTCTGACGTGGTCGGCACTTCGACGGGTGTAGTGGACAGTTGACATGTTCGCCATCTTTACCCTTCGACGACCGAATATTTTACCAGTGGGGGACCTAGGGATACAGAGAGGTATGCTACGGTGGTTCGGAGGGGCCGGATTCAAAATTAGGCCGGACAAAGCAGCGCAGGAAGATACCAACATTGCTGAGAAGCCAGGGTATGCCAGGGGTGAACAAACGAAAACGACGTACACAGAAGTCGGAATGGTAGTAAGCCATGCTATCGAATCGAACAGACGACGGAAAAACTGCGTGCGGATCTATGTCTCGGTCGAATCCCGAAATAAATCCAGACCCGGACTTCGACATGAATGGTGTCGTTGCGAAAGAGGATAATCATACAATCTCCATGAGTACTTCCACTGCCCTTACATCAGAGCGATCTCAGGGCCCCGCGGTCCCTCCCGCCACTCTCATTTCTTCGCTGATCCCTCCCCCATCGCAAGCTTTCACGCCATCAAAGAGTAGTGTTCGCGATACAGCTGTTGGACAGGAAAATTCTACAGACAGGTTCATGAAACCATGGACGATGCCTCTTCCTCATGGTCTCACCCCTACCAGCATGAAGAGTAGGTTGGATGGAAAGAAAGTCAAGTACGGAGTGGCATGCTCTTCGCTGTTTCCTTTTTATGACTAACGTGTGTTATTTCTGGTAGAGGAGCACTTCTTACCCCTCAGGAAATGGAAGCCCTAGCCACACAGTGGGCACCCTACCGAAGCTTGGGTGTGTTCGGGTCCAATCTTTGCGTTTCGGGGCTAATGTTTGCGTCTCCGCAGCGGTTTACTACATGTGGGCACTTACCGACCAAGACTGAGACGTTACGGTAATCGTAGAGGCTTTCTTCGCATGTTCCTCACGCGTAGATTTACAGGCCCAGTGTGTATACTGTACTGCTGGTGCATACTCAGCTTTTTTCTGGCTTATGTCTATGCACACGGAGTATTTCAGAATACCATCGAGCGGTAGTACCTATATAAGCATTTATCCTCCTTCCCGAGAAAACGATTCCGTAATGAGAAGATCCTGAATCGTGAAGCGTTATGTCAGTTATTACCTGCTGAAAGCCAATGCAACAAAGGCAAAACTACTGGGCGGCGAGAAGGGTGGTTGGGTGTTTGAAATACCGAACCACTCACCTCCGGTGCAAATGGCCACGCATCGAATGCACGCACAAGAGCTGCCCAATCTGTGGTTTCCATCTTACGTATCAACTTCAAAACATCTGCACGGGCAGGGTGGTCGGTAGGGAGAGTGGGGTCTGTAAGGTAGGAAAGCAAGGCGGTGGAACCGGGCGCCAAGTGCCTGGTGGGCAACACGTGAAGGTGTGAGGGATGTTCCGCAGACAAATTCGAGATCATGACACACCCAATTGCACGTTCTAATTTCTTGGACTTCAGGACGAATAGTTTGCGTAAACAGTAGTCCCATTTGTCAAGCATTCCTTTCTCAATAATCTGACATCCCCCAAATCCTGCGTAAGCATGTAGGGTCATGGGAGAAATAAACTCTTGCCTGTCTTTTCAAGGGGTCCATAGTTACCGCCGTCATAGGAGTGACTCTGTGCCCTGGAACTACGCTTGACGGCCAGAAATGTTGGTCATACGGGAACAAAGCTTCTGGAGAGAGAGGCTGAGCAAAGGATGATACGGCTTGAGCAATGACAGAAAGCTTGCAACGATTCAATGATTCGGTGCTTGCTGAAACACGCTGGGATGGGCTGTGAAGAGTGCCAGCTTACGAAGTTTGAGCGCTCACTTCCCATAGCCAGTCATGCATCACATAACTCATTGGAACACGACCGTACTGAAAGAGCCAGCCACCATCCGGGATAAGTCTAAGGAACTGGGCGATGAGTTGTTCCCCGTATACGGACGTCGGAAGATGTGCAATGAAGTGCAAGTGTGGATGAGCTAGCGGTATTAGAATGAGACTGTACATCAACCGCATCATCAGAAAATGGCATACACTGATCCCATGGAAATGTATTGATGTCGTTGAGGTAACCATCCGCCTCTAGCTTCTGGTAGCTATTCCAGGAATAGCCGTCTAATGGGAGTACGTGCACTCGGGAGTCCGCTGCTTCAAGTGGCTGAAATGGCCCTGTAGTATCTGCACGGGACGGAGGAGAAGTAGCCTACTTTGAGAAATTCGAGGTACGGCTCCAAATGCTCCAGGACGATGATTTTCCGTATACGTTCCTTGGGCAGAGCCATTAATGCGCGCGTCAATACACCGGGGCCTGAGGGAATCTCAGACTTCAGTGGATTGCAAGGGAGTGAAGTCGTACCCGGGAATGCCTCGATTATGACCTTGTCCTTGGATCCCGCTGGGACAAAAGCATCAGCGACAAGCGCTGCTGACTGAAGGTTGCGCAGAAACACCCGATTACTGAAGGTTAGTCCCGGCTGTTGGGAAAGCCGCTACCCAGTCGTCTTGAGCTGGTAGATGGAACTTGTTGTCAGAAGTGTAAGTCACTTTGCGCTTCCTTTGCGTTGAACGCGTTTTGGATCGAATGACAATAGATTGACTGTCATCTCGGGATCGAGGCGTGTCAGCTGTGCTCTCCTTGACTGAGTAAGGTCGAATTGTGAAGGCTGTTGGGGTTCTCCTGGGAGACGGAAAGAATTCTTCAGGTGTGTTTCGCGCCTTTCCGTAGCAACACTTCACTGAAGAAGCTGGTCCACGCCTGAGCATGAACAAGAGAGACATGGCGTTCTACCAGGACGGCATAAAACATCGGCAGCAATGGCACTGACGCGTGGCAAAATACGCGTAGCCGGGTGGTTTTTTGTCTTTTGACAGCTACTGTGAACAGTACGCTGCCATCCTTCTCTCCTACCTGCTGATGTTGCGATGTTCGTACATGTGTGTCTGCTTACCATAGGCAAGTTTGTGCTCGAACAGTATATATCAACGACCAAGCGTTCCTTGCTGACTTACCCTAGTTATCTTCTGTTGTTCATCCTAGATATATCAATCTAATAACCTCGTCTCATCATGCGTCTTCATGTGGTTTCCACCTATCAGTTAATGTCGAAATACCACTTCGGCCACACCGACTCATCTAAACCCAAGAGCGTCCTTTACCATGTCGATCACATCCGGTTCGTCCTCTTCAACTAGGATCTTGTCATCCATCGTGCAAGAGCATTCCGGTCGCGGAGCATGCGCTCTAAGTCTTCCAGCGTCACCCAGCCATATCGCACATTGCGCACCAAGGATATGCCGGGGAAGGAAACGCACTCCAATGTGGGGCACAACTTGTGCCATCCCGTTGCCAAATTGGCGAGTGCGGCATGATCTGAGAGTGGTCCCTTCGATGCTTCGAGACATGAACGTAATGGAACGCAGATACTCGAATCCGGACATAAAAGTATCCAAGTTTTGCAAGAACTCCTGATGCGGTTGAATTCTGCAAATTGAGAAAATGGGAGAGTTACACACATCGGTGAAAGGACCATGTCCGACATGGAGTGCAAACGAATCCAGCTTGGGTATATTTTCAGGGATTGTATTGAGTGCCTTGAGAGTCTCCGTCGTGCTTTCGATATGAGCGATTATCTGAATTGAAGATATTGGTTTGGTCGAAAATAACAGAATTTGCGTTATGATCCGCATGATATCGTCATTCATATATTCCGGCTGCAAAAGGCAGATTTCTACGCCTCGAACAGGACGACCGGGAACAAGGGAAGACAATATAAGCGGCGTCGCAGATATTTGTGAAATACCGGGAAGTGCACGGGATGGAAGGATGGCATTTTTGATCAGGGCTCCCCCGAACATGACGCTACTAAGTTCGGATTGTTCCTCCATCCATCGAGCGAAGTCATCATCCCAAGCGAGCGTCGTGCTCAAAGATCTCAATCTGAATGGGCAACCGAGAAAGTATTTCGCATGGGGTCCAGTGGAGGAGGAGGGTCAGGTCCCTCAGTGCAGGCATACTGTGGAGAGCACGACCCAGGAGGGATAGGTAACCGCTAAGCATGTCATACCTGGAAGTCAGGTCACTATATAGTTAGTCGCCGTGTGACTAAAGCAACGCTGGGATATGCTACGATCGTCTTCAGACACGGTATGAGGCGTGTTGTGTTAGGCTCTAGATCCCTGTAGAGGACTCGTTCCACAATCGCTTTTAAGCGTCTGCTTAGCGCCAGGATTCTCGCAAGTTCGGATGGACTGAGAAAGCTTATGATTTCATATATGATTTCCGGTGGGAGACGCAGAACTATGTCAGGGGGAGTAAGTGCTTGGTTTCCACGCGCCGAACCCACTGGACACATACGCGGGAACGTGGACCGAGACGCAGATTTAAGCACGCAGGCAGCTGTGCTTGGGTCTACTCTGACTTCGTTGGCGAGGTACATGAGTGCATAAGAGTAGCTTTCCGCGACAGCCGGTGCTTCACTTGCCAGCGGTGCCATGGTAGTGTAGTACTGGCCAGAGGTGAACACTACGCGAGTGTCTCGCACGGTAACCACTCCACCATCGGTCCACCACCATGCCCACATCACCCAGACGACCTCATCGCCGTTTCTCGTCGGTGTCGGTCGATTCTTCTTGGAATGCCCCACAAGTAACCCGTGGCCGACGAAGGAGGTCGTCCTCTGGACCAGGACAGCGCACGGCCGCAGCGGGTCCATCGGACGTCCCCATGCACGACATCCGCTCTCATGACCATAGTACCATTGAGTCCAGTGATCACGATATCCATGGGAAGCGTGTAGTACTACAGGAAGTAGGGGTGCGACCTCTCATATACACATCTCTACCACCTACGCCGATTCTGCCTTCTCCGCCTTCGTCTCCTCCGCCATGGGACAGAAACACATTTCAGGGGTCACCAAGGCCGCAAGTGAACGAACCTCTGTTCTCGCTGTGGGATTATCTTCGAGAGGAACTTCTTGCAACTGATTTTGACTCGCATCAAGAACTCAAATGGGAGAGGGTCAGTAATTTCCTGAGCATACCATTCGCGATTGAAAAAGTGCGCTGCTTTTTGGCTTCGTTGACATGCTCTGCTGATGAGTTTGCCCAGATCGTTGGATTCGGATTTATCCTATGCTTGGACTCCTTCCTGTACACATTTACCATTCTCCCTATTCGCTTCCTCTTAGCGGTATTCCGCCTGCTTTCCAACACCCTCTCTCTCTCGAGATCACATCTTCCTCCTTCCCAGAAGGCCGACATTTTGCGCACCCTGTTGCTCGCGGTCTCGGTCACCATACTGCTGCCCCTCACCGATGCCAGCAAGATCTATCACTCCATTCGCGGCCAAGATACTATAAAGTTATATGTTATATTCAACTCTCTCGAAGTTCGCATCTCACCTCGTTTCCTCAATTTCATCACTGATTTTTGAGGCGAAAACCCCTTAGATTGCAGACAGGCTTTGTGCATCAATTGGCCAGGACATCCTTGACTGCATGTTTTCTCGTTCTACCCTGGAAGTAATTTCTCGGAAAGCAATGGTGACCCCTCATATCCTTCGCCCATTCATTTACTTTACTCTGGCTACTTTATATGTAGGTGAGTGTGGCGGTATTGAATCGGCTCACATGCGTTGACCGACTGTCAGCTTGCCATACACTCGTCATGCTGTATCAGCTCCTTTCGCTGAACGTCGCCGTGAATTCTTACGATCACGCCCTTCTCACTCTTCTCATGTCAAACCAATTCGTCGAGATCAAGGGCTGCGTCTTCAAGAAGTTCGAAAAGGACAATCTTTTCCAGATCACTTGTGCGGACTATAGTGGAACGTTTCACGTTATCTCTGATGCTACTCGTCGTCGCGTTTCGGAATTTGATTGAACTCAGTGGGTCAGAATTCGACTTCACGGGAGGATTTGTTATGCCCCAAAGCTTTGGTTGGTTTCGGGGCAATAATGTGATATGGACGATATCCTACTGTATGTGTTTTTCTTATTCACCAAGACTTTTAATAACGAATGATATCCAGCCCGTATTGACAGTTATAGCGTCGGAGATGCTCGTTGATTGGTTGAAGCATGCATTCATTACGAAATTTAACCACATCCGCCCTTCAGTGTACGAACGATACACGGACGTTCTGTGTCGTGATCTGGCAAGCGGAAGCAGACTAGCAGCACGCAAGGTTTGCTCTCAGCTTTTGTCAGCTCTTCACGTCATTCAACGGAATGCTTTAGCATTGCTACGTAGACCAGTCGCCCTTAGTTGCGCGTCGTCTTGGTTTCGCCTCAATTCCTCTGGCGGTTCTTGCAATTCTCATAGGTTTTCAATCATTGGGTTTTGTACCTTCTCATCGAGCCCCTTCTGAACGAACCCTGGGCCTGGACCAAATGCTAGCTGTGGAAGTAACTTATTTGGTTAAGTACCTGGTGATGGCTCTGGCGTTTTGGTTGTGGTATGCGTGCTCGGGATAGGATAGTTTTGAAATACTAACAAGGCTTTTTATTTGTGCAGCTTCCTTGCCCTCAAAGTACTCTTAGGAGTCAACCTTATATCCTACGCAAGCCGAAGAAGGGCGGGGATGGAAGCTCGTGTCGCTGCGGATGTAGTGAATGACTTTGGACGTGACCCCATCGGAGAAGGCAAGGAAGAACGCGAGTATAATAAACAGCTCAGGAAGATGGTAGACGATTGGAGGGACGACGCGGCACGGGTCGGTGAAATGGGCGAGGGGTCAGGTACAAATAAGAAACGCGTGGCATTAGAAGACCTCACACGATTTACAATGGTGAAACGTATTTGGTAAATATACATACTCGTGGTACTTGCTGTTGTCCCATAGGACAACAGCAGCATAAGTTAAATTGCCATGACACTCCCAACTTGAAGCTTGATCTATGTGCTAAGTCATATGCAGACACTCAGATCCGACCAGTCGCGCAAGAACAAACGGCCCTGGGGAGGACGTCGTTCGACCAATTAGACCCAACTTCCGGAACAAGACCCCTTGGCAGGCTCGGGCCTAATAACCGATGATATTGTCCGTCGTACCGCGCATCCAGGGGGCGCCCGGTCCCGGTGGCCAGCTGAGCATGACAGTCAAGCCCCACCTTGGCGCATTTAGAATTCTGCATGTCGAAGCGCACTGGACGCAGATTGTAGGGGCTGTCTTCGTAAGCAGGGGGGGCCAAAGGAGATTCAGCGATCCATTTACGGGCGCGTTCACGCTCTCCAGTGTCCATGCGTTCTGCAATAGTGGCGTCTCGCGAATGCAGTCCGCTACCTCTGCCGGAACCGGTATGGGAGGCCAGATGATGAGCTTGGTAGGGATCGCTCCCATAAGAGTGTGCTTCCGTTTGTGCACGGTCCCTTGCCGCGCGACGTGGTATAACGCTACCAAGGACCACATTTTCTGGGACCACTATGTTTGTATCATGATTCGAGTCGGGAATTGGGATGACTTGATGAATCGCAAATTTGCGGTGTTGGCGGCCACGGGATTGGTCTAGTAATGATGGATATCTAACTGCAGTCGGACAGGAAGGAGTGGCTATGAACGATGAACGATGAGCACCAGAAGCTCTCGACCGGCAGATGAACGACTAGACAGACCATTGGTCACATGGGATGCGTTGTTAAGAGATGTTGCCCTCAGGGGGTTGCGAATCGGCCGTGGAGGTGGACCCGGCGGATCGGGAAACCTGTCAAGGAGGTCGCCAAACGATCCATGTAAGCCAGCGCCGTAGGAATGTTGATGCTGAGTGACCGGCACACCAGGCATCTGTTCAACATCATTCGGACGACTGGTCTTGAACGGCTCTTTGGTGCGACGGACGGACTTCGAGCCTTCTCCGTCCCGCTCCTTAGGAGACTTAGCCTTCCGAAGCGGCATCGATTTGGAGTGCTTGAGTAATTTTTCATGGCTGTCCTGTCCAGACCTACGATGTGTTACGACGCTACGTTACAAGGCGCGGGTTCGGGAGCTGGACTTACAACTTAAATATTTTACGGAATTGATCCATAGCGAGTGGGGGGTAAGGAGCGTAAGGAGCGAAGAGTCGATGGATGTGCTACGAGCAGGGTCTCTGGAGAGTATATATACGTATCTGCGCGACAGAGACCACTTCAGCCTCCGTACGCGTGTACTCTGTGAGGTGACAATCGAGGCATTGTTCCCAAATGTCTGGAATCGTCAGTAGCATTCACGGATGCTTTTGACTATGTAGCACTGTATCTCAATGAGTGGTGAAATCTGTCAACGGATAATTTAGCAAGTGGAAAATAGTCCGTAGTCAGCTGGGTTCAGCCGTTCCACCACAATTGTCCCCAAGGACAAAGCGACGGAGATACACTTGCTGTGGACGGTAATTATGGGTCTAAATTGGTGTCATTGGTAAAGGCGAAGCCAGGAAAGGTGTCACTCACCTATCTCAGCACTGTGTTAGCTATTGCCCACAGACCTGTGTCCAAACAATTATATTCATTGAGTCAGGTTTGGAAACATGACTTCAGTTTGGTGAAACGAAAGCAGTCGATACTCATAGGTATATGTGCCTCCTGTTCCTTGGGAAGCAAAAACTGCTGACTATGAAGATGACGAGACGGGTGCCTTCAGTTCTGCGGATTGCTCTAATTACCATCAGCCCAGGACTTGAAGAGACGACATAGTTTGGAGATCGACATCCTAGGTCGAAGATCTGACGCTATACAAGTCTTCCACGATATGGTCATTACGCTCCAGATAGGTGGTGTCGATGACACGGATGAAACATACAAATACAGTCGACACAAACTCACTAGATCCCAGGTAATGAATAGGCTTGTGTTGGGCTTGTGCACACAGCATGCGCATAGGTTGACGAACTGCGGGGTCGGACCTTTCGAGAGTGTAGGCTGCTTGAACAGGCAATCCCCTGACGTCATAGCTTTCGTTCCATATATCAAGCAGAGGGAAGGGCGGGGTGGGCCTGACTGCGCAGACTCCATCGAAGTTGTATACACCCACCCTTCCATAGGCATCTGTTCGCTTTCAAGTCTCCTACAATGGCTGCTTCTGGTGCCCTACCTGGTCTTTTCTTCTGCTTTGCTGCAATGGTTTTGCTTATTTTCGTACGTTCAACCATTTTATCAGGCCGATCATTGTGTGTGTTAATTTCATCCCTACAGGTGTCCGTCTCAGCGCCAACGTGGAATACTATCTCGTTCCTGAATGCGAATGATATATCCTTCGGGGTGTTCGGTTATACCGGTTCCAAAGCACATGTTGGCTATTCCTTCCCGACATCACTACCAAACACAGACAGCGACACCCTTCATGGTCTCACATACGCTCTTATCTTATACCCCATTGCGGCAGGTCTTTCTGGGATATCTGTCCTCTTCGGCCTATGTGGAGCCGGCTATCACCGTGTTGGTACCGTTTTCATGAGTTTGACCGCAGCTCTCGCCTTGCTATGCACCCTTATCGTGTGGGTCATCAGCACTTCCCTCTTCGGTGTCTTGCGGGAAAGGCTTCAGGACGGTGGCGTCAATGCGACTTGGGGTAACGCCACTTGGTTGGGTCTTGGGGCACTCGTCTCCTTACTTCTTGGATTCTGCACCGCTGCATGCGGTGTGTTTGGGAGCTACAGACGCACAAGGCGTCTCTGAGGCAACATGTCATACAGACGGTTCCAAGTACCTCGCCCTTTCTTGATGTTCGTTACTAAATCTGATGCCGTTAGTTTGTAATTGGTATTGCGACCGTCATGTATACCAATTCGTTTCCTGTGTACAGTATTTGTAGGCTACTACCAGCGAGACCGATGCCAGGTTTTGGACTTTAGCGAATTCAATGTTGTATGTGTAGTAGTGTACGACAGGTGTTCTAATAAGCCCTTGACTCTAGTTTGGCAGGAAGCGAATGCTATCACAATTGCCACGCGCTGCAGATGTATTTGGGGCTGAGTGGATTCAGTGGACGTCACAATATGTTACGGAAAGCTGGACAATCGCGCTCCCGATTGAACGGGCAAGTGCTCTCGGCGGAACGCCAAGGTACATCAAGAATTTCGGACGGTCAGTACTTGAAATGAAAGAGAGACACTAGACAGTGGGAGTGCAAAAGCTCGTCACCCAGCGAGTCCGTAGTGCACAAGTTCTTCATGCAATATGTCCGAAGTTTGTCACCAATTCACCGAAGAACAGAGGTACAGAAGTTCATCACACTATCTGGCCCTTGGGAGTAGTACACCGTAGCCAGTCCAAAATTTTTCGCGACCAAGATCAAATGTTATTCAGCTGTTGGTCTGAAGACAGGAGGCCTGGACACAGCGACATGATGCTTAGCCAGACAGACAAAGACTTGGACATGTACACGTACAATTAGGTAGAAAATCTACCTCTCTATATTGCCTTTGATCCTACTTAGCCCGTATGTCTACGCTGACATTTCTGTACCTATCACCTGAAATATAAAAGGCCAATGTATCAGAGTAAGGGGACTCGTTTTTTCCTACCTCGAATCAACAAACCACTGTCTCTGTAACATTGAGAAAGATCCTTTTATGTCGTCTTCAAAAACGACCTGAACTTCTCATAGACGCCACATATTTTTTTCCTGCCCTTACTGGTCTAAATCTTCAAACACACAATCCTTCGATAATTTGCGACTTGATCCCTCGTAAAGAAGAGTAAGTATCATGACCAAAATCACCGAGACATTTAACACACGTTACAACTTACGCCGAGCGACTTGTGCTCGAGCGCTCTCATTACCATACAGCCCGAGATCCCAGCCGGGTGCTGAGGCTCTCAATAATACCCTACTATCAAAACTGACTTCCATTTGGGAGCCATTATACTACCGCCGTCGAAAAACCCGCCATTGACGTTGTCCGGAAGTATAACAATGTTGTCAGAGCAAATGCCACAAGCGTTAGTCCGGCGCCCGAAGCGCAGCCGTCGACGAACTTCCCGGTTCGAGGACTAGCTCACCGGTGTAGTATCCCGGACCCTTTGACGCTCCAGAGGTTGCTATAACTCCTACTGTTGGAGTGGAGATGCTTCACTCAGTGTAAATATTGACTTGCTGAATGAAGTCCCAAATGACTGGTCGTGTCTACCTGCGAGTGGGGATGTAAAGAGCTGTGGACCGTTGTGAGTAAAAAGTCGCACGAACGGCGCACAACTGGTAAGCAACTACGTCCAGATGGAGAACGCATAGTGTGTGCCAAAAGGCGATTGACCCCAGATGAAAGAGAAAAGATCTGGAGACCCAGGAATGTCTATGACCATGACGATGAGACTCGATAGTACCGTGTCTGATCACGAAAGGCATCTGGAGGCCTCAAAAGGAAAGGTCCTGACCCTGGGAACTGAGGTAAGTACTGACTGTCCGGAATTCTTGATGCGCTTGAGCCGCAGCGCACTCTGCCCCTTCGAGAGTGCGATTGTCCGGCTTTCTACACAATGCAACTGGAGTGTGTAGACACTGCATGAACATGAGCAAGGACCTGCAAGCGTTGCAGTACAGTGGCGACGGGTCATTAAGCATGTACAGGTGAGGGTACTCTACAGCGTGTCTTTCGCTTGGTTCGAGCATGGCAGGGTGCAACGTGTGCTTACTGTGGAGTACCTGGCAAGTAAGTGGTATCTCTCCTCACATCCTACTTTCTGACAGTTATTGACAACCGCAGCTTTTCTCGGTCACTCCTCACTGCTAGAATTTGCCCTCACTCAGACTGCCATTGCGAGCTGCGCCCATGTCGAGTACTTTCTCCTTCCCTTCTCCGGTAGGTGGGGTAGGCCTTGCTGGGGACCTTGTCCCTTCCATTCTGCTTGCCATCCTCTATGCTTTGTTGCTCCCCATTTTCTTTGTTCGCCTGGCCAACAATCAGACAAGAGCTGTTCTGGGTATCAGTGCGGTGCTCACTTGCATAGAGAGGTATGCGCGGCTGCGGTGTGGCGTCGAACTTCAGTTTAAATAGTTCAAATACATCGTAGGGTCGTAATTTTCTGCCTACGAGCAAAGCAAAGCCGAACACCCGGACTGCAAACTTCGGGCACACTCGCGACCTATATGCAAGCTACGATTGCTTTGGCCTACATCGCTGTCGCGCAGGACACCGTCTCTCTCCTGCGCTGCTTGTATGTCAACTCCACGAAGGGACCAATACCTAATGATGTGGACAACCTTGACTCTCCTGTTGGGACTACGTCTTCTTCTCAAATTCCACTGTCCCCCTCTCGGGGTAACAGGTCTTTCTCGGAAAATGATGGAGAGCTACTGTCCGATCAACCCCGTAGAAGGGCATTTTATCGTCGTTTGACGGATGTCCTGAGGCTCTTGTTTCTGGTGGCCACCGTTCTCGGAATAGTGGGAAATACTCACTACAAGGGTGGGATGAGTAGTGCTGGCACGGCAAACGAAGTTATGGTAACCAGGTGAGCACTTCCGATATACAAGTCCGGTAGCTTCATGTAAATCAAGATTGGTTCTAGATACATGAGCTCCGGCATCTCACTTATTCTCATCATCCTACTGGCTGTTTTGGTCGTTCGGGCTCGCCGACTTCCCAGAGTTCGCCCGATACATGTCATCCTCCTGCTCGCGATATTAACTTGCAATGTATGTCGGCCTCGCACTATTCCTACTTCTTGTCGTTGATGCTAACTTGCATTGCCGTAGGTGTCATCCGCCATCTTCCGTCTTTCGTTCATGTACAACCGGACCACCTCTTTGACTTCGACCGCTCCTGGATCAGGAAATACCGTCTCAGAAAAGGTCACGTTTTATATATTCCACATGCTCAGCGATTGGCTGGCCTGTTTCATTTTCCTCGTGCCAAACATCAGGGAAATTTTCAATACTGGCATGTGGGGTGACTGGCGTTCGACAGACCCTCCCCCTGAGAGCAGCGAGCTATCAAAGAAGAAGAAAGGATCATACTTTAGGAGAGCCGATCCAATCGTAGTGTGAGGTAGCGGGATTTTATCCCCAACATCGGATACCACTGGGGGTATTATACCACTCGTCTCTCAGTTGACTCGGACACCTGCACTTTACCCTGTCGAACTCAATAGCTTGCCTTGACGTAATTATGTATGCCCTAAGTATATTGGACATGCCTGGACACGGACTGGGGAGTACACACTTCTACTCATCCGCCATCACGGTCGCACTACAACTTGACAGATTGTGAACCGGACTTGCATCCCTGACGTCCAACCGTTCGCTCCGACGGTATGCCAATCGATTATTCTCTGTATCTCGTCACTGGGCGGGACTTGCTTCCCGAAGGAACGGTCAGTTTGCGTGAACTGCCCGAACTCACATATCTAATATGACTCCAAGACGTATCTCGAATCCTTAGAAGAAGTAGGTTCGATTCATATCCAACTCAGCTCTAGGAAAAGTTGATACCTGCATGATAGTCTTTGCGCGGAGGAGTGACCGTCGTCCAGATCAGAGAGAAACATGCGGACACGCTGGAAGTGCGTACCCTTGAATCACCCCGTGCGCTTATTTTAAAAGCTCATTGTCGATGCCAGTTTCTGGAGATAGCTCGCCAATCCAAGACACTTTGTGACAAGTACCAAGTTCCTCTTATCATAAACGATAGAGTCGATATCGCCCTCGCCGTTAGTGCTGACGGAGTACACCTCGGACAGACAGACATGCCAGTACGCACCGCGCGTTCACTCCTTCCTCCAAATACTATCGTCGGGGTTTCGTGCAACAACTTGGAACATGTGCAACAGGCCATTAAGGACTGCGTTGACTATGTCGGCATTGGTGCTGTCTGGCCCACCGGCACTAAGCAACTCTCAAACCCTGTGATCGGAGTGCGAGGGGTAGGATCACTCCTTGCAGCTTTGGATGGAACAGCGATAAAGGCTGTTGCGATCGGTACGACACATCCCTGCATTGAACTGATTATCACTTTTCTTGCTAAAATTGTGATCATTTGGCTGGTTGGGTAACCAGGAGGAATCAAATCCGACAATCTACTAAGAACACTTCATGGAAGTATATCTCCATCTGGCCATAAATTAGACGGGATCGCCGTCGTCTCTGAGATTGTCGCGTCCCGCGAGCCCTACAAAATATCTGGAACGCTCCGAGACACCTTTGCAGCTTGGAACGCTTACACAATGGAACAAGAAGCCAAGCCGCCCGTCGCATACACCACTGAGAATGTTAAAAGTGGCGTGGCTGACCTGATGCATGTCATCCGGACGACAAACCCTCTTGTTCATCAGGTAAGCCTCATTCACCGTTTGTCTGTCTTGCAACCTTAGTTTCACAGATTACGAACGTTGTCGTGACCAATCAATCTGCCAATGCCACCCTAGCCTTGGGCGCAAGTCCCATCATGGCTACTGCCCCAGAAGAAATGGAAGATCTCAGTCGCGTATCGGGTGCATTGCTCATCAACTTTGGTACGATTAAGGACAAGGAAGGTATGGTACTCGCTGGGAAGTATGCCAATCGCGAGAAGAAGCCTGTTGTATTCGATCCGGTCGGTGTCGGCGCGACACAGTTCCGACGCAAGACTGCAGCCCAATTACTCAACACTTGGCAGGCGAGTGTCATCAAAGGCAATGCGGGAGAACTCGGTGCACTGGCTGAATCACAAGAGGTCAATATTAATGCGACTCAGAGTTGACTGACGAAAAAAAAAAGTGCTAACAAGACCAATAGGTCCAGGCTAAAGGCGTGGACAGTGTGGGTATCGGGTTTGCAGATCCCGCAAAGGCTGTGAAAGATCTTGCACAGAGGGAACGTGCGATACTCTATCCATTGGCATGCCCAGTCCCCGCACCTTACGTGTTTTCCAGGTTGTGTCGTTGCGTTAACTGGCAAGACAGATTGGGTGTCAGACGGCACGACCGTCGTCAGGCTTGACAACGGGCACGAGCTCCTCGGTGACATCACCGGGTCTGGATGCATGGTCGGAACATGTATCGCAACGTTCTGTGCCACAGCATGGACACGAGCGAGCACCGAAAATGGTCCCGGCATGCTCGTGAGAGGCGACATGCTTTTAGGAGCCGTTGGAGGGTGAGTAGTATTCTAGTACGGTAATCCCCCTGTATTCTCACCTAGCGTCATGTTGCAGTATTTTAGCACTCACGATAGCGGCGGAAGCCGCCGCATACCGATCGGACGTAAGAGGCTCTGGCACATTTCTACCGGCGCTCATCGACGAACTTTACAACTTGAAGCCCGAGACTGTGCTTGAGAAAGCCAGAATACAGGTGACCTCGTAGACGTAACATAATATGAGAAATTCAAAACAAACTGGAGATTTACTACGAAGATGGACGACATTCAGTTCAAGATGCAGTTGCGGAAATCGTGTCTTTGAGCGGGGCGTCAAGTACCTTTGGGAAGGGCATTGACTGTGTTGGTTGGAGCCAATTCTTCTCATCATATTTAGCGTAAGGAGGCGAATCGATCATATGGAAAGTGTATGCGTATCGAGTTCGAAAGCTCGTGTTTCTCTCGGACTTGTGCAAGACACTGCCGTGGATGAGGACTAGGTCTCCTATTATGCGTAGACTGCGTCGTGAGAAACGACCGTGACACCCAATAACACACTCGCCTGGTTCGCAGAGTTCTAAAATGTAATTCCTCTCAGAAACAGTCTGCCCGATGGACAGAGACTGCTTCGCCGCTTCTTGGACATCCGGTTTGGGTGAATCTGGAGTCAGGACTGATTCAAATCCAGTTCCGCCACGAGCAAGCCGAACAAAACGCTTTGTTATCGGCGCAGTGAGGTGAGAGCCGGGCAGAAACGAGAGTGCCCCGTTCGATGGAGTGCAGCGTTCTAAGGGTATCCAAAATCCCAGGGCGGTGGGGGGAGATGTATACTGTAAGTGATGCTTGTCAAGCGAAACCAAGAGAAGATCGGGTTCGATCGTACCAAAAACGTTCTTCCGGTTATGATAGGAAAGTTGCAGATAAACATGGATGAAGGTTTATTCTCGCATGTACTATAACTTACGAATCGTTATGCTCAGGGACTAAGGGTCCACGAGTCCTTCATTTCACAGGTCGTGACTGATATACAGCGGTGACATACCTGCACCACCGATTTCAGGCTGCTTAAAGATAACCATGGATTGGAGTGCTTGTATATTCCATGGGGGATCAGAACACCGGTAAACCACTCGCATTCATTGTCGAGGAGAGAGAGCTGCGCACCAACAGGATCATGATGAAAACGAAGGTCTTTCACAACCGATCTCAATTTCTCGTTTTCTAGAGTAACTTTGCGAAAAACGGAGTCTAGAAGGTGCAACCCTGGAGTCGCAATGCAGCCAACTCCCCCAATAGTCGTACACACCCGCGCGAACGAGTGCCAGCGTCACGTACCGTGCCCAATCTTGTTAATTGCCTTGGTCTTATCTCTCGTGAGTCGTCCGTCCGCACCAACGGCATCTTCCTCCAAGAAGTAGCGAATCTTGTCGCCAGACTCGAGGAAATACTCGTCTCCAACGTGGTCGTGGTCTGACGTCGTGAACTTGGTCTATATGAACGGGTAAGCCTTTGAGCCGTTAGGGGGTTAAGGCGGCAGTGCCAAGGACTAGAGCAAAATGGGTCCTCACGAGTGGGTGGTTCTCTGGGTCAAACTGGTCCAACAATTGCTTTGACCGTGCTAGCAACGAGTCAGCTTCGTCTTTCGACAAGAAACCCGGTATCTTGATGTAACTAAGGTAGTAACTGATTTAGCGGCGTATTGGCATGATGAAGTAGCGAAACCTAGCATACCCATCTCGATAGAACTGTGTGGCCATCGATATGGATTACGTCGGTGGTTGATAGCACAAAACTCCCCGACTGACCAAATCCACCTGGTCTTGCGATAGATATTCCAGTGTCTGCTGCGCCATGATTCGAGAAGTCAGGATCAAGATTGACGGTCTTGACTAACCACATGTATCTGCGTACCTGTTTTGGGCAAGATGTCACAGCGGCATCAATGACATTCTCTCTCACAACCACTCAGCCTGATCGAGGTGCAACGCAACCAGAATGTGTGATGGATCTGAACTTCTCTAGTAGGGTAGTGTTGTACACTTGTGCAGTATCGAAATGTATTGCCCGTCGACAATCGCGACCAACTGCAATGCAGAGAGTATTCAGCTATATTCTGAAGCGAATTATGCAAGTCGTGGTACATGATACGACATTAGCTCCCAGTAACATCCCAGATACAAAGTAAAGAAGCCGCAGGTGAGAGGCATACACCTCAGGACTCCGCGGAGCTCGTATTCTCGTCAACATCAATATTCTCTCCACTAGCGAGTTTTTGGATAAGATGATCGATCTTTGCTTTGTGGATTCGGTGATGCTCTTGCCACCCTTTCCAAGGGTGATGAGGGTGCTGAAGGAAACGCGGTTAATTTCGCATCGAAAAAGCTGAGTTGTACACACCAAGCGACCAAATGACTGAAAAACTTTGTCAGACGTCCCTTCGGGCTTAGTGAAAAAGTATTTAGCAAGAAGGACATCGTCGGAGCGGGAGTATCGCATCTTCTTCTCAGGTGGTTGGGGTAGTGGATCATCTTCTTCAGTCCTATTTAACTCGTGTTTGTGACGACGCCAGAACTTCATCCACGATGCACGCGAGTGATGAGGAGCCTTTAGAAGATGTCAGTGGGGCCTGGGATAGTTGTCATTACAACGGCCTTGCCTTGGAGGCGACATCCTTCCAAAACGTCACCATATCAAAACGATCCTGCGACCTGTTGATGGAAAATTAAACGAAAAGTCAGACGATTACCTGAACATGGTTCTCACTTTCGGAACTCCATGAAGCGGACCAGGAATACCACGTCATCATCCGTGAATGCCACACCCTTGCCAGTAGTACTTCTGTAGAGCGCACGGGGAGGAGTAGGAGATCGATCGCGAATTCGAGTTCCCTCCTGCTGTAATCTCTGCTGGGCTGCAGCAATGACCCCTGGACCGGTCATTCCACCTTTAACTTCGTTTGTTCCACCGGAGTCCTGGTCGTCGTCCGCTGGCGGTGTCCCTAGGTCGCCGGTGTCCATGGAATATCCGCCGAGCCGGATCTGATGCTTATTGCAGTACCTTCTCCACGAATAAAACCTGGAAACATTCGGAGGAAATGTAGGACAGATCTACCGACTAACTCACGTATGATGGGGAGCCTGGTTAAGGTGGCAAAGGGTATCAGCATCCAAAACGATCATGAGTCGAGTCTAATAACCTTGACAGCAATCCTTTCACATATTTCTCGTAGGCTGATGACTTCCGTTAACACCAGTCGCACATGCATTACCATTGAAACCGCAAACCTGAGCACTAAACCTTGCTCTTGACAATAATCAATGTACTTCTTGAGGTACAGCACATCATCTGAGGTGAAGAGGTTGCCGCCATATGTGCTCTTAATAACCCGAGTCGGAGGCGAGGGGGAGCGAGCAGGTGGATTTCTCCTATTGAGAACGAGCGTTGACGGCGGAGCTGCTGGTGTTGCCTACTATGGCGTGAGCGCGAGGATAAAGTAACCACCAAGAAACCACCTCACCTGAGATCTGACCCTCTTCCGACCACGAGGCTTTTCTACAGTAGAGTTTTCCGCGTGAGATGAGCTAGCAGTGGATGGGCCAGCTTCTGGCATGTAGGCTGGTTGTTCGTAGGATTGTTGATACTTCGAGTAAACCGAATGCGTTAGTCGTCGTTCTCGGATCATATACCGACTGGGGACTCACTGGAGCGGGGTCGTATGGGAACTCACCTGGCGGGGGTACCCATCCAGGTTGATCATCCCGATATCTGTAGTCAAACGCAGAAGCACCAGGACCACTCACTATCGGAGGCGGCTGGTCAAAACCAGGCACCCACGGGCCATCTCGATATGGATGTGCTGGGCGAGAAAGCATCCCGGGAGGTTGTGGTGGGATGTGGGTGTGCTGTGGCGCGATAGCATTTGGGGCCTGCCAGGACTGAGGGGGAGCAGCCGTTGGTGGCTGAATGCCTCTTGAGAGTGGAGATATCGCATGACTGTAGACAGGGTAAGTGTACGAGCTTTGTTGTGGGGGGTGAACCAGGGGATCGGGGGAAGATATCGGAGGGACTGTTTGGGGATGAGGGGGGATCGACTGCATGGGTGGTACTTGGGTGGACTGGGGGGAGCAGGCGGGGTCATCCTGCGAGGGCGGCGGCGGCGTTGGAAGGCTGAGTCTGCACAGGAGAATGAGTGAACTGATGCGGTGTGCGATGTGCAGCATACTTCTCGGTGCCTGTGACTTTGCAACCTGCCCAGTTATTCTGGAATGTCTGGAGTGCTCCCGAGCGGACGCACTCGTGGATCCAGCGGTAGTGAAGTACGATTTTCCCCTTCTTTCCTGCATACTGGCGGTAAAGATTCTGGCCAGATTCCTTGTGGGGGTCAACTGGGTATTGCGAGGTGGGCAAGCCAGGCTGCGACGGGGGACCAAGAGAACATACCGAGTATATAGGGCGTGCCACTGTAGCCGGGTGCGACGGCGCCGCCATGTTTCTGTGGAGGGATCAGAAAGTGATGGATAGACGGGTGAGTGTGCGCACGGTGATGAGTTCGACCAGAGACTCCTTTTCGTCGACGTCTTTCTCGACGTAGACGGTGAGGGGGGTGCCCATCATGGGTTCCAGGAAGAGGTCTGTCTTGTTGGAAGCATTTGAGTCGGCAGGGTCATTTCTGGGCTGGTCTTGGTGAGTGCGCCTGGTAGATCGCGCTGGTGCCATGGGTCTCAGCCCCCCCGGAGGGATTGCAGCGATGCTGGTTCGGTTGGAGTCGGTCTGCCTGTCTGGGTTTGAATGAAGGCCTCGGCATTGGCTCGGCAGACGCAGGTTTGCGTGTGTTTGTGCACATCAACAGAGCCGTCTCGGTCGGGGTCTCAAATTTGCATTATCTGGCACGAGCACAGGCTGACAACACTGGCAGTGACCCCGACCTCAACGCTGCTCCTCCCCCGGGCCAGTCGCTGTTTCTCTCTCTCCCGCCGCCATGGCGAACGTCGCTGGTCGCAAAAAATCAATCGCCTCCAACCCCAGCCTTGTCATCGAGACTCCCAACAACATCCTCAACAAGGCAGCCTCCCAGTCAACATCTCTTTATCAGCAATGCTCCTCCCTTCGCACCCGTCTCATGCGCATCCCCGGCTTTTCCGACTTCTTCGTCCTGTCCTCCCCCACCGGCTCTCTTCGCCAGTCCACCGACCCCGTCACACAACTCTGGGACTGCTTCTCCCTAGGCATCCCGCTCTGTTTTCTCTTCAACCTACTGCCCGCTGCAAACCCTCCAATTGCCATAAATACCGGTGCCGCTACCTTCGATGTCACCAACGAGCGCGCAAAGAAGCATGCCATCGCGTTGTTTGCCATGAGGGTCAAACAAGTGCAGAATTGCGAACAATTTACTGTTACCGATCTGTGGGAACGTCACTCGACGGATGGCCTCGTCAAGGTACGCACATCTGTGTCCAATGATGGCCATGTATCCATGTGAGCGATTTTTGTAGGTCGTTAGTACGGTCACTACTGTCGTCGACTTGCTGCCTCCCGAAGCATTCGAACCCATACCACTTTCTCCGCCTTTGCTCACTTCACATGAATCAATCGATTCCCTTATCAACGACGTTCCAAACACTGCAATCCCTGCTAATGCACAGGAAGCTGGCCGCAATAATATTGTGAGAGAGATTGTGGAAACGGAACGTAAATATGTGCAAGACTTGGAAATCATGCAGGTGAGGAAATACGTTGGCTTGTCTGTCACCCTCTCACTCCAGGTAGAAATACGCAACTTCCCTGTCCCACAGCAACACCATCGATCAAGACACCATTCATCTTCTTTTCCCCGGCTTGAACAAACTCCTGAACTTCCAGAGAAAGTTCCTCATCCGCCTTGAGGGCACTGCAGAGATGCCATGGAATGACCAGCGCTGGGGTCTCCATTTCATCGAAAACGTACGCACAGCTTTCTCCCTTCTTTGCATCCTGTTTTATTATTTACACCTTTTGTATCTCTCGACACGGCAGGAGGACGATTTTGCGGTGTACGAACCTTATTGTGCCAACTACACCAACGCAGTGGAGCTTATGTTAGCGGAGGAACAAAACCTGCAGGTGCGTCTCACGCGGTATTTCGGCTTCGACCAGTTATCACTCGTCGGCCTGACAACGCCAGCTTTCATCCCGTTTTGGTAAAGTCCTTGAGTACTGATGTCTCGTAGGTGCATAACAACCTCATTAACGCCAAGTCGGAATTGCCTGCTTTCCTCATTAAGCCTGTCCAGAGAATCTGCAAATATCCGCTCTTGCTTGATGTACGCGCATCGTAATATTTGCAGTGAATACTTCAAACATTAACTGTTTGCCAGTCTTTGGTCAAGGCTTCTTCTCCCAACGAGTATCCGCACTACGAGGAGCTCCGAGCCGGCTCTGCTGCTGCTAAGCGCATCGCCGACAAGATAAACGAAGCTCAACGGCGCGAAGAGAATCTTCAGACGGTCAAGAACCTCGAAGGACGTGTGAAAGACTGGAAGGGACACCATTTGTCCAACTTCGGCAATCTTCTCCTTGACGATGTATTCACAGTCACCAAATCAGACGTCGACCGGGAGTACCACGTTTTCCTTTTCGAAAAGATAATCCTTTGCTGCAAGGAGGCTCTCCCACCTCCTCCAAACGGTAAGAAAGCTAGCAAGAACAACTCGATTTTGAAAAAGCAGTCTGTCCATTCGCCTACACCTGGCGCCGTACCGAACAAGAAAAAGGACACTCCCCTTCTTCTTAAAGGTCGTATTTTTTTGAACAACGTGACGAAGGCTGTCTCGTCGTCTCCGAGATATTCCACAGGTATGTGCATACGTCTAGATTTATTATCCGTACCTTAAATTTCTGCTAGCGTCGGCTCTGACGGCATCGTACTCCCTCGCTGTTTGGTGGAGAGGGGATGACGACTTGGAGTATTTCACCCTTCGATGTCGCTCGGAGGAGCAACTTAAGCAGTGGGAAACCCAAATCAATCGCCTCATTAGGGAAGTGGCAAGCCGGAGGGCTTCAGAGCGCAACCTTGCCCTGATGGTTTCGCACAACAGCCACATATCTGTTCCTGTATCACTTCCCCAACGTTCGCCGCTTCCTCATGCCCATGATAGGGCTTCTTCCTCCATGTCGCACTCGACTCTTGCCAGAAATCTCCCCCTTCACCCGGCTAGTGCTCGTCATCGTATCGCACCCCATTCGAGTGAAGAGCAGGCCTCCGTTGCCTCATCTTCTGGCTCATATTCTAGCGGGGTTATCCACAGTTACGTATCTCCGGATGGATTTGAGTTTGATCTGGAGGACGATCTGGAGGAATACCCGCTATTGTCGTCTTCGGGCAGAGGTACACCGTTAGGACCTCGTCGGATTAATGCCCGTAGCTGCCATGCTGAGTGGGAGTCTGGTTCCAGCCAAGACCGTCCACGAACGCATACAGATGATTTCGGTGGACATACTATCAATCAATGGAAACTACGCAACATACCTCTCCCACTACCGCCGGGTGCTGCTGCTGCTACCTCACCGGCATACCCAATAACACTCCCAGGCATGGACTCAGGCACGAGCGTAAGCGCAGACAATAACTTGGTTTTTGTCGCACGACCCCCTCGAGCGCCACTACACCCACAACCTAGTTCTTCACAACTCCGGCCCGCACACGACCAGGGCGACATAAGGAGCGCGACTCCTTCCCCTTCCGTAACTAGTGGCTCATTTCCGATGACTCGATCTCGTAGCGCTAGTCAGCCCAGTGCCTACGTACCGAAACCTAGTCTCCCACCTGTGCCTTCTAACACGTGGGCGCACCGTCCACAAGGCTCCACCACGGCAGAAAGTAAACGAGGTAGTGGGTCGAGCCAGTCAACTCGCGGGTCGTCTGACGACTCGCCTAACACATCTCCAATAACCCCATTTGGCTCGAGTGATTCTTCGCTGGGAGGACCTGTCCTTAGGCCATCTCGCTCGCAGACGTTCGAAAGCGTGATGACCAACGGCATGCACGTTGGTTCGCCACCCCCTGTCAAAGTGAAGGTTCACTACAACGAAGACATCTTCGTCATCCATGTCCCAAGAAGTACCGAATTCCTTGACCTTGTCGACAGAGTCGAGAAGAAGATACGCCTTTGTGGCCCCCGCCGGGACGATTGCCCTCTTCGAGTGAAATACAAAGACGAGGATGGTGACATGATTTCCCTTGGCTCTACCGAGGACGTGCAGATGGCTTTCGAGTCGTTCCGTCCCGGAGGCCAAGTCATCCTATACGTTACATAGTGTCTCATTCCCACCTTTTTGCATGCATCACTACCCTTGCCGCCTTCCCCTATATTGGTTCGACATGAATACTTCTGCTCTCGCTTTTGGGACTTATTATTACATGGCATGCCTTCTTATTTCCCTTCATATGTATCACCGCCACCTTCGCCTTTGTTTCTCTCTCCTGCATACCTACCTTTGCGCTGAAGCTTGCCAGCTTTAGTTCCTGGGGGTTATCCTGCCCGTTCATTTTGACCTTCCATTGGTGGCACAAGTTTTTCGTATTTAAAAGGTGGAACATTCATTGGTCATTGTAACTCATAGAATACTACAATCATTGCTATGAGATCCATTACACAAAATACGGTATATTTTGTTGTGCCATTGATGGGCATATGAAGTGAGGTACAAACTGCAATAACAAGCAGGATCCACATGACTTCTCTACAGGGTGGTCTCTTGGTTACGAAGTGTGGGTTCTAGGCTTTGTATGGCAAAATGCTAAAGTGGCGGTCCTCCGAAATGACCACAGGAAATCTGACTTAATATGATACACTAACACGGGATATTATAGCCAAGTAATAATTCAAAAGCCTCTTTCTACAGGGCGTCCGGTGAGATATCCCCAAGAGAACTCAGTTCTATTGCACTCATAGCGCTACGAAGCGAACGCGTATCATCATCATCATACTCCGAGTGCGAGTCGATTGTTTCCTAAAAACAACCGTTAGGCATGTCACATGAGGCAACCACAACTCCAAACCCACGTCAAAGTAGTGATGAACTAGGCTACGCGGAGCTAGATTGTCAATAAATATCAGCATTGCGTGATATATGTTATGCATTTTACATACTCCGAGGTGTCTTCGGCAGACGGCATGTAATCCCACTTTGCAAAATGTGGTAGGCGACTAGTCCGGACCTTGAAAAAGATTTAGAACTGTGATGGTTTGATAGAAGACACCTCACCATCCAGTTTGGTGAGAGGCACCAAGCCCCTTTCCAGTATCTGCGTGGAAGTACTAAGGGAGGGTCAGAGTCAGGTAAGGAGCCCGCATTAGCAAGTCACCTCGTAGAACCACAAGTAGTCTCGGAAGTGGGGGTCTCCATCGAGTTTCGGATTTCCGCCATTCGTAGCACGTTTTCCTTCGATGTCACGACCAAAGATGTGAATGATCCGGTGCTGAATCTCTTCAGCGACTTCCACAAGGTTCATGAACACGCCACTGCCGGTAGGACATTCCACCTGAGTTGGTGGTTAGACTCTACACTCCTCGACACTGACATCAATCACCTGCAGCTCATCACCATAATATTGATAAAATCGTTGAAGGCTTTCAATAAGGAGGAAATTGACGGCAAGCCCTGAACAATGATTGGTGAGGTGTCCTGCATGCTCAGACGGCTACTCACAAATCGGACCTCGCCAATTAGAATTCCCGCCAAACATCCCTGAATGCGAATCTCCAGGCCAGTAACCAACCTCATACCGCTGACCATGGACATCCATCCCCCACGGCTTCTCTTTATGTAACTTCGATAATCTTTTCAGGTATGAATGAATTAACATGGAGTGATCAGAGCTCTAGACGCACGATCGAATGCCATATTCACTAAGAAACTCGTTCTCATCAAGCATCTTTTCTAGGATCCGAATGAGGCGTTCCCTACTTGCTAAAGCAAGCAGTCGTCTCTCCCCCCTGCCGGGTACTATATTGGAGGTTAAATATTAAGATTGCCGCTAATCGTTAATATACCTTTCATATTTGCCATGTTTCGAGCCGAAATTTCAGGTCTGTTGTCTATGAACCACTCGACGCGTTTCTTAAATCCCGGAAGACGATTAATTACGGTTGGTTCCAGGACAAGTGTTGCATAGAGAGGGATAAGGCCAACGAGACTGCGGACAGGCAGTTGCATGGAATTACCGGGGCCGAACTGAATCGCATCATAGTACATGCCGTCTTCTTCGTTCCATAGACTGAATGTATCCTCTCCGGACTTGTATGTCATTGCATCGGCGATGAAAATGAAATGCTATCGAGGAAAGTCAGGGTAAAGACCGGGGGAATAATCACCCGCTTAACTGACTTCGAAAAATTTAGAAGCGATGTCTTCATATACTGGATTGTGCTTCGCGAGCTCGAGGGCCATGTTAAGCCTTTGGATACAGTGGTAAGCATTCCCAAGGCAATGAAAATTTTGGTTAGCTCACATGTTCAAACAATAGAAGGCCATCCATGCAGTCCCATCAGCTTGGCGTAGACGACCTCCAGTGGGCAAGGGCTCAGAGCGATTAAAGATGCCAATGTTATCAAGTCCAAGAAAACCTCCCTCAAAGACGTTGTTTCCACCTGAGTCCTTCCTATTCACCCACCTATAGCAAATTATGACGAGGTACTAGGAATGGGATTGTTCGAACAAACCAGGTAAAATTGAGCAACAACTTTTGGAAAACTCTCTCCAGAAAAGCCAGATCTTCCTTGCCGGTAAGTTTGCGCTCGATTTTGAACACTCTAAACGTGGCCCTATGCGGGCTGTAGCCATTAAACTCCACATGATACACAAGACTCACCAGGCGTGCACAGGAGGATTGACGTCAGAAAAGTTCCACTCATACGCAGGTATTTGTCCATCTGGTTTCATATACCATTCTCGAGTGAGTAAATCCAGCTGTTTCTTAGCGAACGCAGGATCAACGACCGCGAGAGGTATGCAATGGAAAGCCGTGTCCCAAGCAGCAAAAAAGGGGTATTCCCACCTAGCAAACACCAGTATTAACCACATAATGAGGGCTGGAAGACTGCCTCACTTGTCTGGCATGGACAGAATATCGTCTATATACATGTGTTTCCAATCCTAGAAAATTGTCAGTGTTTCAGTCGCTACTATCGAATGGCCTTACCATGTTACGAATGTGTCTCCGGCCGGCAGGTGGGGGAGGTTGAGCTGGGTCGCCCTCGATCCAATCCTTTTGTATAAAGTGATAGTACTGCTTCGTCCATAACATTCCGCCCAAAGCTTGTCTCGTGATTTGTCTAAAATCGTCGTTGATCTGTCCAAGTAGAAAGGAATCATAAAACTCATCAGTTCTCTTCTCGCCGCTGGTCTACGGTCTCGTCAAACAACCCTTCGTCTTCAAGATTTGGGAGGTTAGATGGAGATAACGGTGTCAACCTAATGCGCACGACAGCGCATCCTCCGCCGCCAGGGACGTCGCGGAAGACATAATGGGCCGCCGATTTCGTGCCACGATGATCTGGATCAACAAACTCTACTGAGGCGGAAGTTTCCTTTTCCCGTAAATTCGAGCGTTTCTCGGCAATGGACTCCCGGTGCGATGGGATGATGTGATCATGGAAAGCATCTTTCACGTAAGGCGTAGGATTCTGCCCACCATAAAGGCGTTCGAAGTTGGTGTCGTTTCCCGTGAAAAGTAAATCTGGCTGGATCCCGATATCTTCGTTCCCGGCGAAGTTTCCGGATTCATCCACAGGAGGAGGGGAAGGCAAACAATACATGTAGTACTTTTCCATAGATGGATGCTTTGCTTTGATGTACTGCAGGCCGCCTAATGTTGAGGACTTCGAAAGCAATGGCATCGGTGGTTTGTCTTTAGGCCACGACCATGTATTTCGGAACCACAGATGCGGAATGATGTGAAGCGTTGATGGCTCCGGACCCCGATTATATGCTGTAATGCGAACAGAAATGCTATTTGGGTCGTCTGCCTCCTTCGCATACTGGATGTATGGGTTAACAAATCAAGCAAATGGTGTCCCACTCAGCTCCTTACCTCCATGTAAACATCCCAGTATCGGTCGTCATCGAAGGCATCCGAGTCCAAAATTTCATACTCTGCCACGTCTCGATCTCGGTGAACGTTTTCTTTGACAAGCTCCTCATACGGATACCTGCGTTGCGTATACTTGTAAAGGAACTTCATGTATGAATGAGTCGGTGCAGAGTCCAAGTAGTAATACAACTCCTTAACATCTTCACCGTGATTCCCTTGATGTCCGGTAACCCCGAAGAGACGCTCCTTGAGTATGGGATCTTTCTCGTTCCACAAGGCAAGCGAAAAACACAACCGTTGATGGTTGTCTGAAATACCACCTATCCCGTCTTCACCCCAACGGTAAGCCCGGGATCGGGCGTGATCATGAGGAAAATGGCTCCACGCGTTCCCATCATGAGAATAATCCTCTCGTACTGTTGCCTGCAGTAGATTTAGACCGGTATGTTCACATAGCATACAGTAAAAGGGTAAAAACTGTGAGTGGACGTACCCATTGCCTATCGCTGAGGTATGGACCCCATCTCTTCCAATGACGTTCACGCTTTGCGTCTTGCTCCAGGCGGTACTTTTCTGTCCCACGATAGGCGTTTCCCAGAAGCTGGCTCAGTTGCTGACGGTAACTCCCTGCAGGTGTAGAGACATCCGACGGAACGACTGATCTCGAGCTCTTGCGTGGGTGACCACTCTTCTTAGCAAAAGGTGGTTTTCCGGGAATATCTATCGTTAACCCTGGGTCGCGTCCCTGAGTTTCGCTGCGTGGCGTGTCGTCCCCACTCCCGAAAATCTTCCCTTGAAGGGCTTTGACGACTCCGGGACCCATTTGCGAGGGAGATCAAGAAACGGGAAGGTGGATTATCTATGCGAATTTAACATCATTCCGAGTCACTTGCCCTGAACATAAGTACTGACGTCATCATCCATTCCCCAACATAAATTATGTAATATGCCAAACTGTACCTATTGAATTATGCACGAAAAAACCAATAAAGGGGTATTTGCAACCAATCATGCAAGGGGTGCTGGTGAGTGGTCAGAAATGGCTGCCTAAAGTAGCTAACGTGGAATAGTATGATCATAAAAGAGGTAGAAGAAATCTACCGCCAGCAGCTAGACGTAGTCCGTTATGTGTTGCGGATAGTCCGTGTATACACTCCATCATATTCACCATCTCGATTCACCAGCTGCTAGCAAAACACTTTGCGTCCATGTATCGCCATAGTCATCCCCGTCCGACAGAGGAAGGTCAAGCTGAGGAAAATGTTTCTTGGTGACCAACAGTTTGGCTTCCGTGTCGGTTGCTTGAGGAGTCGACGACGTCTTCGGAGATGTTAAGCCAGCATGAACCTCCTCGTCCTGGATGCCCAGTGCAAGTGATATGGACGATTCATCTATAGCAGTGTTTAATACGGGCGGATAGCTGAATCGGGAAGATTGTGGGGCCGTAACCATCGATATTGCAGGGGAAGACTCCGAAGGTGATGACAATGATACCTCGGGTGGTGTGCCGGTGCTGTTTCCGTGAATAGATTTGGTTGACGCAGGAGAACTTGACCGCCCAGAAAACAAAAGATGCAACGAAGGCTTCTTCAGTCGCTTGGCTCTTGAACCCATGGAACCTGCACGAATATCTCCAGATATAGAGGAGGAAAACGATTTCTTGTGGATTAGTGGACTTTTTCGAAAGTTTTCTCCTGCGCTAGGAAACTGAAACTGAGATTGCGATGCCGTTTCAGATGGCGTCAGGGGAAGGGGAATAGGTTCGGCGATGATGGGTGAGTGTGCCAAAGTAGATGACTGCGGTGTAGTCAGATCATCGGTTAGCTGAAGGTTCTTAGCTGACTGCGACGGCGAGGCCGAGGAAAGCGAGGGAACAGACAAAGACTCCGCAGATGACGATAAAGAAGGGGGAGAGTAAGGATTGATCAGCTTGAAGTTCACCGAGTTCGGGGTGGTTGGGCGTTCACTTCCTGATCTTAGCGACATGCCATCATCAATCACAGGTGACGGTGATGTCTCAGGTAGTTCCGCATATATGAGAGAACCTGGAATAGACACCATTGGGTAGTTTGAGTGATGAGATGTAGCAGGATCAGCAGGCGCGAGTGGCAACTCAGTGTCATCGACGGGGACCCTAGGTAATGGTCTGGAGAAACGCTGCTTTTCGATGGCAAGGTTGGTAGCGTCGCTGGGAGTGGCGGAGGGGCCATCGTCAACAATTTTGCCTTTCGCCAGTAGCTGATCTGTAGAGCTGATTGCGAGAGCTCCCACGGATGCTTCCCACCCATCCCAAATGCCCTCACATTCGCAGAGTGCTTGTAGTAGTGTCGGGTTCATGTTGAGACTGGGGCACAAAACAAGGAGCAGATTGCTCATAGGCATTTTAGTCTCGTGACTTCTCTGTGCTGTGAGTTTGATGACTTCCGTGACTGTCAATAGAAGATCGCGGTTCTCCTGGGGAAGACGAGCAATGAGAGAAGATAACGCCTTTCGAAGAGACTCCGAGGGGGTGACACCGGTAAAATTTGGCGTAGCAAGCGTTGAGAGGGAGGGAGGCTTGCGCATACCAACACTGGCACTTGACAGCACGTCTGGAACATGCTTTGCGGATGATCGTTCAGATACCATGGCAGCATCAAAAAAAGGCATGAGATCATTTGTTAATATGGGCTCAGGCACTATGATGAGAAGTTAGTCGCACAGACACGACATTATAATAGTAACACTAACGCTCTCGTAGATAAGCTTTAAAGATCGATGCAACTGCATGGGGATCCAAGTCTCCTGGACTTGATTGCATAATGTTGAAGTCAGCCCCTACGAAGATACAGGGACGATATCAACCTAGGTCGTTGTGTCGTTGTTTGCAAGAACGGATGGACTCACCAGTATCGAACTCAGCGCGTAGCTTGGCGATGTGGGAAGAACGACCGCTAACACTATGGATTCCATTAATCAGGAAAACTGCACACTAGTTCATGAAAACTTGCTTACCGAAAGAGTCCTTGCTCCTGGACGCCCCACCTCAAGATATGTTGTGTGCACCTTACAATTAAGGCCGGTAGATGACGCTCCTCTAACGAAACCCAAGATCCGTTGCGTGGCGTGAGGCTATTGTTGGAGGAAGTAGCTAATCCGCGTCCATGAGGCGAGTTGCGAATCGTGTCCAAAGCAGTGTCGTTCACGCAAGCCTTGAGGTCACGTCCAAAAACCAAACCACCCATGCCAGCTCCAGTAGACAACGTGTTTATGGGTCCCCGCAAGCACCTGCCGAGCTGGGGCCCTTCATGGTCGGACATCGACGACCCTGTAGAGCTGATAGACGGGGTCTGGGGTGTGTGCCTATTCTTCCTGCGGCTTGCGGGCTCAGAATGACCGGAACTAGTGCGATATACAATGCCAATTGGGAATGAGGGCGACAATGAGATAGGTGGTGCCAAAGGCGAGTTGGGAGGTGGGCTCCTAGAACCCCAAACTCGACCCATTTTTTCCACAGCACGTCGGGCAAGACCAGCGGCTGGTGCAAGCCCTGATGTCATGCTAATAGCTGTTTGACGGAAGGCCGGGAAGCCGGTGTTGGCAGACGGTACAAATGGCGGTCTTTGCTGCGTCTGTGGGATTTCTGGCAATGTTCGTTCGGCTGCTGGCGAAGAACTTTGGGAGGTATGTGATGCCTCAGCATACAGGGGAATGACCGGCTTCAGTATAAATGGTGAAGATCCTGTGGTCTTAATTGATTCTTCCGGGACAGATCTTGAAACGCTGGGCGGTATCACATCCAAGCTGACTGAAGCCTGAGCAGCTGTAGGTAGCGAGCTCATCAAGGAGAAGGGCGAGCCGAGGTTCAGAGAGTGTGAACGTCGGTCTCTGGCCTTGAGTGACGCTGCAGGAGAGCCTTGGCTATCAGGTGAGGTTGACCTGCCAAGCGAGTCCTGGAACCCCTCGATTCGTTCGGGTTCTTCTTCAGGTGTAGCGTATTCCGCATCGGTAAGGAGTGCACTGAGACGTTTATTTACTGGTACGATGGTGTGGTTAGATTGGAAAGATTCTGCCAATGAAACGGGACGAGGAGTCTTGCCACCCAAGACAGGGCGAATTGTGTGATGGCTCAGCGTAGAATCACTCTTCCTCCTAATGTCCTTGAGTTCAACCTTTTCGGTATCTTTCTTAGCATCCTCGGGTCCCGTAGATGTATCCGTGCGCCTAATATAATCCAAAGCAGGTGCAATGCTCGAATTTGATGTCGTAAGGACCGACATTCTGTTATCAACGTTGTCGCTCGACGGGGAGTGCTGTGGGGTGGGGTGGGGAGCACCGTGCTTCGGTGGAAGTGGGGGCGGCAGCATGGCAGGCGAGGCTGGCGCGGAGCCGGACTGCTTCCTACTAAAGACATGCGATGCCAGTTGAAGAGTGAGCTGCTTTGCGCCGAGCTGGCGAGCGGGTGCGCTATTCACGGTTCCATACAGCGAGTCATTGGATGCAGACGATGCTTTAACATTGGCACCGGTTGGAGAAGTTATGGATGAAGGAAGGATAACATCGGACTTCTTCCGTCGCCCAAATGCGCGCTTGAATCGACTTCCGGCGACGGATGACGAGCTTCCCAAACAAGGCTGGGTAGATGAAGAGGGAAACGCAGTATTTACCGGAGGTCGGCTAACGACCTGGCCCATTGAAGAGGCAGACAGAGAGGAACGAAGGTTATGGGAGGAAGAAAAGGTGCTGGAAACACTCTCGTTGGATGTGTGGGAAGGAGAGGGAAGTTGGTGATCGGAAGTGGTGGTATCTGAGTGAGAGTGGGAGTGAGTGGATGGGGTGGAGGCAGGCAGCGGCATGGATGAGGCAGCAGACGGAGAAAACGAGGACGAAAGCGAGACCGAAGACATAAAGAGCAATTGCTTGTTCTGGCCACCTGGAGATCTTGGATGTGATGGAGGCAGGGGGACTTCGAAACCGGGACGGACGCTACGAACGGGCAAATATTACCGCACTAAAGCGGTCAACGACAGAAATTCAGGGGAGAACTTGCACACTAGCATGTCAAGGAACGTAAGATTAGAGATGGGCTGCAACGCGGTGAAAGCAAGGCAGAGCTAGAACGAACCTGAACCAGGAAAACCAACCCCGCAGCATCTATCAACGAAAGATATGCTGGAAGGTCAAATAACGATCATCGGGTTGCACACAAAGGAGTCAGAATCTAGGGACAGGGCTATTGGCGCAAAGCCACTGAGGAGCGGCAGTTGCAGCAACCTGGACTCGTCACCGTGCCAGCGCAGTGGCGTGCATCATTTGTGGGACGTCACATGACCATTCTCACTCAGTCTGATGACATTCTCAGGCTACTCTGATTCATGCCTTCCTCAGCAAGCAATGAGGTACTCTTTCACAAACTCATAAGTAAAAAACGACGTAGCTACGCTAGGCGCAACTTTCACTGTCCATGTAGCGCTCGTCAGCGTACTGTCATGAGTCTCCGACTCTGACGACTTACGAAGGTTAGGCCAGAGACCCCGGTACAGCCCACGCAGGCCTTCGGTGCGAGCGATGGTCATCAACGCATCCAAAGCTCCCTTGTACTTATACCCTAGACCTCCAGATGACATTCCAACAACTTGCATCCTCCTCCTCAACACGTCGAATGGGTATGTGAGGGTCTGCGATATCGATCCTACGTGTGATACAAAGACTGAATGACTTAATATGTGTACCTCGTCATGGGACTCACCAGCTAAAGCTCCGCATAACAACTTCCTTCCAATAGTGTCTTTCCCTGGCGGTGTGATTATCCCGCGAAATGCTTCATACGCAGCAAAATTAATCCCAACGTACGGGGCAACACCCAGTGCCGTGGGTACTAAGCCACGGTACAAGGCATGCACGCCTCCCTCCTCACGTATGATTTTAATGGTCATGCCAACCATCGACAAATCTGCTTCCTTGTAAATGGCCCGTGACGTAGAGACTGCGTGTGACCGTCTCTCCATGCCGTAGGTGCTGGTGTCAAGCTTGGAAAGTGACATGCTCTGCACGGGTATGCTAGCTGTTGCTATAGACAATCGTGCACGAACAAGGTCCAGAGGGTACGTGGAGCCTAAAACAACGTTGAGCGGCAAACCGTAGGGGACAATGATTATAGCAGACAAACTGATGTTACACCTGCCAGAGCGCCGCTTGCCAGTCGCTTGGGGGTATCCAGCTCCTTTGCACCGTAACAAGTGAAGAACTTCCAGGGGTTGTCAAACTCAGACACAGGGGAGGACCTCCGGCGAATGCCTCACTTTTTTTAACTGTTCATAGGTTGTGAATTGGACAGCGCTGTACGGCACTATGCGCAAGCAATTGATTCCATTCCCTCTCATGTAGCCCTTGAAACCTTCTTCTTTCCACATACGTACAAGACTACGCCACACTCCCCTGTACTGCCCGTCCCGTGTTATGGGCTGTACTTGCCTAACAAGCATCACAACTTGCTTAAGACATATAATCAAAGGTTGACCACGCTCACTGGATAATTTTCAACCTCTCGAGTGGACTCACGACAGTCCGAGACGCAGCACCCGCAATACCTCCTGCAACAAAATATGATAATATATCAGGGTTCCACCATCTCGCTCGTTTCTCCGTGGCGCCCATCGCACGTCAATGGGCCACCAAATTCTTCGGGATTGCTGAAGCCTGGAAGTCAGAAAAACATCGAAAATACGACGAGGTTCGTCGAAGACGATGTTTTCGATGTATTGGAGGATGGACCGAGCCGCGTGAAGAGAGAGTTGCGGTAGTCACGAAGCAAGCGTCTGATCACATGTAAAATATTTATAGTTACAAATAAAAGTATAAAAATAAAAAGGAGGATATGTACAAACTTAAAGTGATTCAAATAATCATCACAAACGTGCATCATCATGTAGCATGCATCCGTCACAGCCCTCGAGGACGCAAGGTAACGAAGACAGGGAAAAATGGGGCGTCGTGCGATGCAATACCATTCAGAGCTTCAGCGCTTCAGCAGCGACACCAGTGAATACTCGTCTAGCAAGGCTGTCTCAGACGTCCCAGCGTGTATGATGATCGACAAGGATTTTTTCAGGCAGAAAGGGGAACAAGTTAGTTACCTGCACACCGCAGGTGTACACCCAGCATCCGTGGTCGCATTGCGCAATATAGCCATGCGAGAAAAACCTCATCGTCAGCCACCTCGATCATCTACACGTCCCAGATGTACGTACACAAGTCGCTGGCTATTTGCAGAATCAAGCAGAGATGTCCGTAGGGTCAACCTACCCTGGCTTTCTTTCTCGATGTGCCTCCTTGATTCCCCACATAACTTTGGACAGGACCTGCACTTACACTGGCGAAGCTAGCTGTGCTCGCGGATTTCGATTGTTGAGAAAGGTTTGTCTGTGATTGCTGAGTTAAATGTTGTCCCTGACCATGGACGTGTGCAGCCTGAGCTTGAGTTTGAGTCTGTGCATGTGTTGGCGCAGGGACCCCCATCATAGAAGGTGCCTCATCCTGGATCCGACGCTGAGGTGGAAGCTGATGGCCAGGAACGTACTGAAATACACTTTGTTGTGTTTAAGTTTAGATTCAATATTGACAGAGATATAAGCTTATGAAAGTACCCACTTCCACGTCGCCCGTGGGTCCTCTTGAAACCACTTGTGCATCAAAGCTTCCTTCGCTGTCAAGCGCTTGGCGGGATCATAGGCAAACAGTTGACGAAGTAAGTCATGTCCCTGCAACGATCTAATCCGGGATTGACACCATTCCTCAAGACGGTTCTGATATCTAAAGGACTTTCAGCTCTGGACGGCAAGATCAGATGCAGTCACTCACGGATCCAGCTTCTTCATATTCTGGTACTCTGGCATGTCTCTGACGCTGGGCCAATCTCGCTCTTGAATAAAAAGACGTTCGGCGTAAGTACCAAGTATATAACATAGTGTACGTTACCCTGCGGTGTACCTAACACCTCGAAAATCTTGAGCAGTTGATCCCTCTGGAAAGGCACGTTCTTCTTAGAATCCAACTTTGCTTCTTCCCCCTTGAATATTGGCCGAAGACTCGCTAGCTCAGCAAACACACAGCCAACCGCCCAGCAATCGATAGCTTTGTGATAGTGTTTCGCGCCCATTAGTAACTCCGGAGCGCGGTACCATATTGTAACCACCACCTTGTCTCCGGCGAAAAGAGGCTGTAAAGGTTGGTATATGATACGTGCTAATCCGAGGTCTCCGATTTTGACGACTCCTGAGGCAGTAATCAGTATATTGGCAGGTTTAAGATCACGATGCAGAATGTGTGCAGAGTGAAGGTAGAAAAGGCCGTTCAATAATTGATACACCATCGATTTGAGGACCTGGGACTGGATCTGGATACGAAGCGTCTGGGAATAATGATGAATTACTTGCTGGAATTGCATTAACATTCAGCAGCTTCCTTTGCAGGCGTTGAAGAACGCACGAGAAAATCGTGTTCAGCGTATTCGAAGACCATATAAATAGATTTCTCTTCTAGGATGATTTCTTTCAATGCAACGATATTCTCATGGGATATCTCTCTGTTGAGCTGGGTCCGTGTCAAACCGGAACCTGCAATTTAGGACCCGGCACTCACCGCCATCTCTCGAATGGCACTTTGGCTGATGCCGGTGTAAGTCACTACATCGCCTTCTTTGTCGGGTTTGAATTTCTTGATTGCATATATGGTACCATCGGAGTCCACGCTCTGAGCCTTGTAGACTCTCCCATACGTTCCTGATGATATGAACCCGAGGATGGTGTACTTCGAGGTGACAGCACGGTGCGCTGCATCTCGTTTCGTACGGTATATCCTCATCGGATCGGATTGAAGCATGGTGTGGGACCATTCATCGGGCATGGAAGTGGTTATAACAACTTAAGACTGATGTCGGGACTTTTGGTGGTCTCCGACTCCCGGGGAATCTCGTCAAGTGGGAACGGTAGCCTTCTCTCGAGTCTTTGGTGGGGACGATGTTACAAGGGTATGATTACATAAGGTGAATTTATCACTGCACTCTCCAATCGCGCAGACAATCTCGACAGTCTCTGCAGCGAACATTTCCCGAGTCGACACCAACCTTTGAGGTTTTATCATGGGTTTAGACTCTGAAGAAATGACACTTTTCACATGCCTCTCGTGCACAGTTGCCTTTGTATCGGCCGCAGACCAACGTATGTCTTGCGTCCGCACGCTCGTCATACAATGTTACATACGCTACTGCAGGGATACACTACCGTTCCGACTACCATCGGTACAACATGAAGCGCCGAGTTGCAGGCCTTCCACCCGTAACTGCGGTTGTATTCGATCAAAAAGTCTTAGAACAACGGGTTGATCCCGCAACCACGACCACTACCAGAGATATAAACTGCGTGATGTGCAGGTCGGTGCTTCTTGTGGTGTAGTGTTCCTTCCTAAACCCTTCATTTCTTTTTGCCTCAGTAGAAAGTCATACACGACAGAAAACGCTTATAGGTCCCACCTTGCTTCGAAAAAACACAAAGAGAGTGAGCTTAAAGGAGATTCTCATCTTCGCAGAACGCACGATACGCCTGCAACGCCGGTATCTCCAAGACCACCCCACCTGGGCGAAGGCACTCCTTCAGAAGAAATCGAACACAGTATAGACAATAACATCGTTGCAGCTGACAGCGGGATCGCCCCTGACGCCTGTCTCTTTTGCCCAATGGCTTCCGCTGGGATCGCTGACAACCTTACACACATGGCCTCAATACACTCCTTCTTTATTCCTGACGCCGAATACCTAGTAGACCTGCCTGGATTGCTTACCTACCTCGGGGAGAAAGTTGCGATTGGAAATGTGTGCATATACTGCAACGGGAGAGGTCGCGAGCTCCACACCCTAGAGGCGGTCAGAAAGCACATGCTGGATAAGAGCCACTGCAAGATTGCCTATGACACCGAGGAGGACCGATTCGAAATCTCTGATTTTTATGATTTCACGAGCTCCTATCCGGATGATGGAGAACAAAACGTGAGTGGCGAAGGTGAATGGGAAGAGTTAGAAGACGACGAGGATGTGGACGAAGTCGCTGGCGAGGTTGCTGCCAGAGGCGACCGCGGCATTTCTAGTCGTGTCGCTTATGGGGACACCGAGTACGAGCTTGTGCTCCCCTCCGGCGCTCGCGTAGGACACAGAACCATGAAGCGTTATTATGATCAATCGTTCTATGGGATCCGCTCCAAAGAACAAGATCCCACATGTGGAGCTGCCCTAGTCCGGCGCCTTCTCAAAGACAAGAATTCCGCGCTCGTACCCCGAAAGGGTGGATTTGGCGCATTTGGCGCTGGAGCGGATGTAGTGAAGGCAAGAAATAAAGGTGAAGCGAGAGAAGCCGGCCGCCATGTAAGGGAGTTCAGAGATCAGAGACGAAAAGAGGAGTTCAAGACGAAAGTGGGATTCATACAAAACCATCAGAAACACTACCGCGACCCCCTATTGCAGGTAAGGGATCAACCAATCATCCTCAGTGGTCGTGCCCTCGCTCATTATCACCGTACAAGTGACTTGTCTTTGATGCTTCAAGCGCGTAATCATTGGAAAGTTCATTACTTCAGAGGGATGAGGTTAAACAGGAAGAAGTGTAATGTGGAAAGAGATAGGGTATAACAGTGTGCAACGATAGCAATAACGTCATGAGAAACCAAAATCAATATAAATATGCTGCGGGAACGACACCCTCTTGACCTGTCTGAGGATTCCTAACGTACCACCATCTATTCCCTGATTAGCATGTTGTAACGTTGCGATCATGAAACATGCAACTTACGCAGCGTCTCTATCGTCAAGAACTTCTACTTCCAACCCAACGGTCAAAGGGAGCTCGCCCTCCTCTGTCCCATCGAATGCGTACCGCGCATGTGCAGGTCGGCTATACTCCTCTGCAGCTGCCATGGTGCCAACGACCGCATCCGATGGTGTCTCAGCACGCAAATAATTGCTTCCGTCTGGCCCGAATGGATCTGGCTCCGCGGACCCACCTTCACGTGCCATCTCCTCCTTCTCGGTACTAACATTGAAGGCACTGGTGCCAAGTATGGTCGTTCGCGTGGCGGCATTGATATGTTCAAGCAGCGACGACGGGCGGTGCTGAATGGAATCTTTGTCCTCGTCGCTGGAGTCGTATTTGGCAGCACCGTCGTCTCTTCTTGATAAGAGAGTCCAGATGATACCAACGAGTGCAAGGAAGAAAACAACACCAGCAGCAATCGCAATGGATATCAAGATGACAATTCCCGTTGCGAGGAAATCTATCATCAACATGGTTAGACAGAATTTCATCATTTTGTCCGCAGACGTACGTTGTTGCACGAAACTGAAATTGGCAATCGAGTAGAATAAGGCAGAAACAAAGCCCATCGTCCCTTGGGTAGACAATGAGGTAATATAAGGGATGAATGTCTCTCCGTCGAAAAGCACAGACGATGCCGAGCCGAATGACTGGTCTGATAGGGACCCTGACACCATAAGCATCCTGTCAGACTCTACAACGCTGTTTGGGCTGTGTGTGTTCTGCAGCGGCACCATAAGCAATTGGGAGATATTTGAGTTGCCCTGTAAGCTCGTGCCTGTTGCCACGCAGCACGTTTTCACTAAGGTCCGATGAATCGAGCACAGGAATGCAAGTACGCACCGACGTGAGACCACGAAATACCATCCCAAAAGACCATAAAAGGTGATGATCCATCACTGGTACTGGTATTGACCTAAATAATATGTTGTGCATCAAAACAGAGAACACACCGGCCAGCAGCGAATATGCTCGATGAATTGCCATCATCTACTGCCAGAGCTGTGACAGGCCCTGGAATATCAGTAGGATTCCCAACAGCAGTCCAGGTGGCGTTTGGAAAACTGTACTGTGCAACGCTCGTGGTTGTGCCGTTGGGAAGTGTGATAACACCACCGGCGATCAAAAACTCTTGGTTGCTCTGCAATTAACTTGTATGAGCAGAATGCGTATCGCCATATGAACAAGCATACCCCAGCATAAGATACGGACGAAATATCACCCTGAATGCCCCCACCAAGAGCACTCCATTGATCGAGCTGCGTATCTAAAAGGCAGATTGCTTGACACGTGACTGTACCGGCTTGGCTGAAAGAGCCAGCAACGATAACGGCGTTGGGTTTGGAGGCCGAGATTGAGATGGAACGAACAATAGGCGTTGCCGAGGCTGCTTGAAGAGTTTGAGTTGACGTCAACCATTCTTCAGCACCGAGGTCATAGATCGCGAATCCATTAGCATTGCTCAAGTTGAACTCTCCCCCAACATATAGGTGCTGTTCTGAATCCACCAGCAAGGCACGGACGATGCCATACACCTGGGAGCCGGGAAGTGCGTTGATGGTAGACGAGGATGGATCGTAGATCGCTACAGCCTGTGACACAGTCCCGGAAGCAGAGACAAAAGTGAAGTTACCGCCGATGATCATCACTTCCTCGGACGAAGATGTGTTAGACCAGAATGCACCAGCAAGGACAGCAGGGGCGGGGGTGGGTGGAGAAGGGGGTAACGTTAGCGATGAGCTTTGTTGGCGAGGATACAGGGTCGCCTTCACGTGATGAGAGAACCATGACACCGGACCCCGAGCATGATGCTCCCTGCGGCGGTTCATCGCTGGTACCACAGATGAATTGACATTGGCATCGAGTTGGACGCTAACAGGGCTTATGGCAGGACCGTCGGCGCCGTTCGATAACATGACGAATCCCGTAGAGCCATACTCCGCCATGCTTTGAACGTTCCCAGCCAAGAACTGAGAGTCTGAGTTCCCACCAACGGAAGTGCTTGGACAGACGAATGTCATGTTTCCTAGTACAAAGCCACCGCTATTAATCCAGGACCCACCCGCGATGTCCCAAACAGCAAGTCCTCCTGCGCTAGAGGCAATGCTTGATGGAGACAGTGCCTCAGTGAAATTACCAACAACTTGAAGTTGACCATTAGAAAGTGCGAGACTGGTGACAGGTCCATTGAGGCCGGCACCGAGCGCGCCCCACGAACCGGAGTCGATGTGATAAACAGCGATGCCACGCAACTTGCCTTGCATTGAAGGAGTTTGAGTATCAGAGAAGGACCCTCCGATGTACAGGTCGTCGCCATCAAGAGCAAAGGAAGAAACTGCTCCATTAAGTCCATTCTCCGTCAACGCAACCAAGTGTCCATCCTTGAAGGTGACGATGTTGGAAAACCCGGCACTAGACTCGAAGTTCCCGCCTAAGAACAACACTCCTGAAGAATGTTGGATAACGGCGGACACTTCCGTCGTTCCAGAAACAGAGGCGCCAAGAGCATTGTACAACTCCACGCCAACTCCGTCAAGGAACGTTTCGCTCGCAGCTGGAACAGTACCCGTCGCATCGAAACTGGTGGGAGGGTTCAGCGGCCATTCAAAAAATCCAAAACCATGCAGAATCCCAGCGCTACCACTGGAATTTGCGCTAGATGATGCAGAACCAGAGCTCGATGTCAAATTGGCAGAAGTCAAGGTGAGTTCTAGATTTCCTGCAACCAACTCATATTCTCCATTCTGACCACTTCCAATCGGACTGTCAGCGAGGGCCATGGTAACCGTCAACTCGAAGGTAGAGGAGCTGGGAACAACTGGCCCGCTGTATATGAGGATGGTAGTGTCTTCCTGAATCTGCTGTGATACAGTTGAGACGTAAGGTTGCGTGCCGCCGCCAGGGAATACCGTCAATTTAACGGAAGTGCGAAGGTCACAATCCTGGAAATCTGCGCAACCAGGAATGACCATATTGATGTCGTATTGTCCGGCTGCCGAAACATAAGGCATCCAAGTAAATGTAGGAGCCTGAGCCGCCGGTGTACCAACGGTAACAGTCGACACAAGGACAGTCTGCAAAGTTGCCGGGATATCAGTACTAGCGTCCTTTGTAGTCCAGGTACCAGTCAAGGTGACATTTGACGGATTAGGTGCAAAACAGGACTGGGTATTCCCGTCGGCAATCGCAGAGACGAAAGCGCCGGAGGACAGTAACTGCATCATGTGCAAGCCAGGAGCAGCGCCAGTCCATTCAGAGAGTGTGATTTGAACGCCAGACAGGGTCACAGGTGAACTGAATAAGAAATCCTGGTAAAGCGCAGAGGGGTCTGTCGATAATGGACACAGATTTGTACACGTTTCATTCTGACTCGTAGATATATCCACGTATGACAGTGCCTGCACAGTGTTATCGGGAATTGAGGTAACACTGGCCAAGGAAAAAAATATCAGTCGTTAATCAAACAAGAACGGAGGTCATCACCTGAAACCCGTTGTTCCGTAGCCACTCATGAATGTATTTCCAAGACGAATACCATACGCACTGATGGACGAAAATGTTAGGACAGTGATGACGGCACTATTTCCGTCTTGTGCAAGCCAGGTATTATCCGGCCCATCTGGACCAGCTGGACAAAGAATAGCCTGGATGTTACTATACTCCGGATTTGTAGACGAGGGTGCCGCTTCGATCTCGGCATTTTGCAGAGGGATAGGAACCAGCGACGACGAGAACGGCGATGCACCAGGAGAGTATGGTACATTGGGATTGTTGGTATTGTTAACTGACGTGGTATTTCCCGCGAAAGACGTGACAAATGAACCGGCGAAGAACAAACTCGACGAAGAGATATTTTGGGAAATTGAAAAGACTTGGGCGTTTGCACCCGATAGCCCTTTGAAGGGCGGTGCTGACCAAGCATTCGACTTGGTATTCCAAACGGCCACAGATGAGCCTGGCGATGAGAAATTACCACCAACCCAGAGGTTGTTGTTGGGAACGTCACAGTATACAGCAGTGACGGGGCCGTTAGGTCCACTTGAACCGACTGAGGAAAAAGTCCCTGGAGACGGCGAGTATGATGCGACGTAGTTAGCGGAGACGTTTCCAATGGAGGAGAACGACCCAGCAATATAAAAAAGATCACCGAGAGCGCAACCGGCAGAGATTGAACCACCGGAGTTGGTGTTGCCGAGGTTCGCTAGGGCACCCTGAGTTGTACGAGAGAGCAAAGACGTCGTAGAAGGGTCAAAGGAAGAGGGGGTAGAGTTGTCAAAAAGACTGAGACCTGCAAAAGCGCCAGTGAGGGCGACCTGGCCCATGCGGTCAAAGTCGACGAGAGGGAGTGAAGCGAGCGTGGAATGAACCAAGGAAGATGCGAACAGCATGGCCACAGGCCACGTCGAAAGCGACGGGGAGGGTAACAACATTGCTGGTGTAACCTATGTGCATAAAGGGATTCCCAATGGTCGGGGTATGGCGACCCTCGTAGGGCCTTGGTGTGGTTGACAGAAAGCAACGAGACGACTTGACGCGTTGAGACCGTAACACGAGGATTATGTAATAACGGCTTGGTCCACCAGGAGGTCCACGGGGACCACGCTATAATCTCACATGCACCGAGTGAATCAGACCCACACGCATAATGATGCCAAACTATTTTCATTTCCGAGGTACAACACGGAACATCTGGCTACCGAAAAAAAAAAGGCTTGACGCCGACAGCATGCCTAGATCACTCAGCCTTCTTTCCGACGGGTGAAACAGCACCAACAGGTTTCAGGTGAGGAGAGCCCTGCTCCAGCATCCTGGTGAATCAAGCGGCACGATGAATCATGGTGGAAATTCATAACACCAAATGAAGACTCACTGGGGGTATCTGTACCGCACCATGCTTGGTCGCTGTGCACTGGTCTGCAATACAGTGTTGACAGTCATATGCTGTGATCGCAATAGCTGCTGCTCATTGATTCTAGTCCAAAACTCCGGTGAAGTCGAATAGTGAGCAAGCCACTTCGTCAGGAATGCCTCTTCACCCGGTCTGGGAGCCCACTTGTAAAATGCAATGGCAACAAATGAGAGAAGTATGGTATTGCGCCAAAACGGTGTGAAAAATCCGACTCCATCTCCAGTCAGAATACCGTAGTTCCTTTGCGGCGAGCAGACTCACCTTCCGGCAAAACTTCTTCACCAGGATGAATGGTTTGCGAAGAAAACCTTCGTTTTAGGACGTTGCTAGTGTGAGGTTGCTTCACTCGCACCAGAGCGAGAGCTCGGCTCACAGCCATGACGGGTATGATCAAGAATTCGGGTGTGTTTGGCTGCTAACTTGCTGTCCACAAACAACGTCTATGGTAGTACACAAATAGTAACCGAAACTACCGTATCTTCACAGGTAAAGTGATAACTCCTAGCGCGGGTCCTCCGTCTCACACGCGATATCGATGTGCGAGTGGGCATTACTAGAGACTATTCGTTCTTTCCGTTCCATCTCACGTTCAAGCTGAGTGTTCACACTGCTTATCTCGTGTCAGAGGCATGTCTTTACCACGCATAAACGTCAGAGATCGCCGTTCGACGTGCGCTCGCAAGGTCCTCCTAGGTAGACCGACCAGACAATGGAATCCTCATTCCCTGAGGACCGAGGTTCGAAGCCTGCAGGGTGTGGACTGGTTCAACTGAAAGGTTGATCTTTCAAATATAATATGCTTCGAAGGATCCTAAGCAAACCTAACCTAGGCTTTCTTCTGGGCTTATAGCACGCAGGGTCCACTGCTTCCAATTTTATCGACAGCTTAGATCTATCTAAGGAATAGACACTCATGGCAGCTCTCTGTGCAATGACGATCCCTCGAACCAGCAAGTCGAAAGGCGTTCTGGTAAGCGGTTCGCTCAATGGCATCGAATCCTACCTAACAACTGGTGGCTGGTGGATCTGCTTCTAATTGAGTATGTATTAGTGGAAAAATGAAGACAAGGGAGAGTGTGGATTGGAAGTGACGCAACGGATGAAGTAGTGGGTAATAATTCTAAAGACGGACCAAGGCAAGAGATGTACCAACGCTCGAAGTTCCTAAGAAGTGACCCAGTTAGTCGTCATTTCTTCTGCCGCGTAATCTCTCTCTCATTTCTTGTGCCGCCCGCCTCGTTCCCTCGCCGCCCGCCCACCCTCTGGCACGAAGCCAACCAACTAGCCGTGGAGTCAAGGCGGCGGTCAGCCCGATTCTAACGGGCAGGAACAAGGTTTTGTGGATGGTGTAGGCCAAAACCAACATGGCGTACAGACCCTCATGGCCCCCTCCCGATACACGTTCCGTTTCTTCTCCGCTCACTTCTGGTGATTGCGTACGCAAGACTCCGAGCACGGTCTCTTTGATATAGGCTGCCGCTTGCGAGACTTGTTCAGCGCCGAGAAGGTTGACACCGATGAACGCAACGGTAAAATCAAGGGTGGACAGAACGAGATATACCCCAGCTGCATACCATCCATAAGACTTCATAAGATACTTCAGTCTTTGCGAAAGTGTGGCATCTGGTGGTAAAGAGGTGCTGCTACCATCACTCGGAGATGATGGAGGTGGGGAAGTGAGACGTGGAGCAGAGATATGGAAAACACGCGGTGCCACGGCAGACCCTCTGGGAGAAAGGTTTAATGTGCCCACCCGAGATGTCAAGGGTAAGACAGGTCTTGATACTCTGAAGAGCACCATGTCGAGGAAATATTCGCCGCAGCATCGTCCACAAGTCTTGACGGCAGAAGAAAGAATTTCTTGCCTCTCATGCAGCTTACTAATACAAAGATCGCGGCACACGCCTCGGCGATCCCCGAACTGAAAAACTCTTTCGATGGTGGCGTTCCACATCTATCAAATCTCTGCCCTCGAAGACTTCGAAGATGTTATCTGCATCTGCTCCTTTTGAGGGTCCGGAGAAGCTGCTGGAGGTGTGGTTTGCACCCTCCCCATCTCACGTTCCCGATGCCAACTCGCCGAAAAATGGCAAGTTCGGGTTGAGAAAAGTCCCTCGAATCGTATGGGAGGACATGCTTGCAGTTGTCAAGTGCAAGGTGCTCAGTGTCATCGAAGGTGATGAAACTGACGCCTATTTATTGAGGTCAGTAGGTATTTGCTTCGCAGACGGTGTCAATTCTCATCGCCGTGGGTTTTTCCTTCTGGTTGGCATGTCCCTCTATAGCGAGTCATCGCTGTTTGTTTTCGCACATCGTATCATTTTGAAAACATGTGGTACGACTCTTAACCTCCTGGGTCTCCCAGGCATACTTGACATTGCGCGGGATTATGCATCCCTGCCGTCTGTGCACCAGTGTTTTTATTCTCGCAAGTCTTTCATGTTCCCAGAACGTCAACTCGGGCCACACCGGGAGTGGAAAGACGAAGTTGCATTTTTGGATGCCATATTCCCATGGGGTGCTGCGTATACAGTAGGCAAGGTGAACGGCGACCACTGGTTGCTTTACATAACAAGCCCGAGCAAGGCCGTCCCCCCTGATATAGCCGAAGTGCCTCCGACCCAGGATTACACGATTGAGATCCTCATGAGTGATCTTTCCCCTGAGGCTCGCGAGCCTTTCTTTTTCTCGGCTTCTCCCTCACCACAGGACGATGTGCCCGCAGACCAGCTGCCGTCCATTCTTGGTCAGACTTTGTCTTCTGCTCTCCGGATAACGGAGATCTTTCCGCCCCACTTGACCACATTGGACGCGTATGCCTTTTCCCCTTGCGGGTACTCCTCCAATGCCCTACTCAATTGGGGCGACGCTGCTCCGGATCGTCGCAGAGGAGAAGGCTATTACACTATCCACGTCACACCTGAGGAAGGCTGGTCCTATGCTAGTTTTGAATGCAACGTGCCCCTTTCCTCGCGGCCATCCTCTAAGAAAGACATCCCCGATCTGCAGACACTTGTCAGGCGTGTGGTCAACATATTTCGACCAGCAAGACTCAGCCTCACACTTTTCATTTCGAGTCAGCACAACAATAGCACCGAGGAGGAGGGTGCTGATACTACTGTCGAGGTTGCGCAGCGAGCTTTCAAAGCCGCCTTGACCTCGTCCCCCGGTGGACTGGAGCCAGGCAGCTGGGACCCAGCAGACTCCCAGAGGGTTTATAGAAGAACAGATAAAATCAATTATGAATTTGGCGGATACGACTTAGCGTTCGCGAGTTTCGAACTTCGATGATCTTTGACTATTTCAATTGATTGTGGCTTGCGCTTGTCAATCGTAATATCGTGTGGGTTTGTGGTCATGCCTAGACTTAGTCATGATATCACGAACCTGAGGATGTCGATGCAGTTGTCATATTACTACCTGCGGGATAACATGAGAAACGCAAATGCCTGCGACTACGGTAAAGCGATCATCGATCACACCTCTCATTTCTCTCCTGTCATTTTTTCCATTCTCGTCCACCACGCCCTTGGTGGCTGGGCTACGGCCGCCTTTTAAACAATTTGTTCCTCGACATTCGTACTAATATATGCGTTTTCAGTCGATGCGATCGCTGAGAATACACCACGTAGGTACGGCAGCAGCCTTTTTCTCGCCGCGGAGGAACTTTGAGTCTATTTACAGGCTTGCTGTTTCCACTTGAAGAGCCCCATTATTTTTGTCAACACACCCGAAGGCTTCGATGCATTTCTCGCGGCGAGGCAATTGCAAAGTAACCGTCCTCACCCTCTCCTGCCGTCTATGTTCACGATGACGGGTCGTGTGGAGACGTTCGCCGTACTATATGAATGTTATTGAGCTAGGCTATCATTTCATCACTGAAAGTCCTCATTGCACCAAACTTCCTCATCTGAAAACCCAGAAATTGATGGAATATAACGTTATACGACTCGATGCAGCGGCGTCATCCGAGCACCTCCAGGCGCTGGAGGAGGTCAAGGATTTTCGCACCACTGATTTAGGTCGCGGAGGAAAAGACCGATGGACATACCGGCTCCTTCCAGAGAGTGCACTTGACGCTGAATTACGGCGAAGGTCAAATGCGCACTCGTCAAGGTTTGTCGATAGCATCACCTTCCAACCTTGCGCCGCCCACTCGTCCCCGAATCAAGACCGCTACAGTATAGAAGAATGGGACATGCACGGTGGAATATGGCGCTTCAGTGCCATATATGACGGTGAATAGAGGTGCAGCCATCCATGATTGGGCCATCTCATGCGTATTCTCTTGCGTATTTCTGGAATTAGGTCATTGCGGACTGGATACTGTCAATTTCGTTCACGGGAAGTTACCAAACATGATCAGGACGTCGCTTGGAGCACTACTCAACAAGTCTCAGAGCTCTGCGCTTGCTCCAGAGCTGGTCTCGGAAACTATTTCTCATGCAATCCAACATCTAGATAACTCCATTCGTGCAGACCTCTTCGATCTTCTCCCTTGTGATCAGCTGGAGAGTATGAGTGACTTCGAATTCCACTGCCTTATCAAGCAACAGAGTTGCCGTTGGACGACGATATCTGCACAGTGCACGCAAGGCTCTACTATTATCCTTGCACTGTCAGATCCTCAAAAAAGGAACCTCTGGGTAGCCAATTTGGGTGATTCACAGGCAGGTAAGCTGTGCACACGGTTTGGGAACGTGATCCATTCTCACGCGTTGCATATTACCCAGTCATAGTTCAGAAAGAAGCAGACTGGACAGGAGCCATCCTCAACTCCCTACACAATTGTGATAATCCCGCCGAATTCCAGCGTATTTTGCGCGAACACCCAGGGGAGAGGGAATGCATTTGGGACAACAGAGTAATTGGTTATCTGGCTCCTACCCGAGGTGTGCTTACTCGTTTACACTGCCTACGGTGTTGGATTACTGACACTTTCACTTTGAAGCCGTCGGGGATACCTGGCTGAAAGTGCCTTCCATCTATACCCATCGGGCGTTTGGGAAACACAACCCAAACTGCATCTCACTTCCCTTGCTTGCTGAATATGCGACTCGTATTCTGAGTCCCCCATATGTTTCCAATGTCCCTGACATGTATCATCTTACGCTGGATGGCAGCCGGGATACTTTTCTCATCCTATGCTCTGATGGGCTCCTAGATTTGTATGGGAGTTCGAGAGAACATTCATCAGCGCAAGTATTAGCCAATAAGTGGGCCAAGATAGTTGGTCTGTCAGCAAGGCACGGTGACGCAGGAAACACGAACTTAGCCTTCCGTCTTTTGCGCGATGCGATCGGGGGTAGTGACGCCGCTTTAGCCTCTCAGAATTTGACATTAGAAATGGATGAGAAGTGGCTAGATGACGTCACGATCTTGGTACAACGTCTCATTGGATAGAATAGCACTTTTCTTCATCCCCTCGATGTCGTATGATATTGTTGTTTCATGGGGCATATGCATAATCATTACTGTAAAGATGGGCTATTTATCGCCGATACGTAAATGTTCAATGCCAAAGAAATTTGTATTTACACAACAAAGCCTGCAGACGTGATCACTTGAAACCTCCCTATATGCCTGCTTATGGATCTGCGCGCTCGTTCATTTAACCACCCTCTCGTCGCCTGGGGCACCATTAGATTCGTTGCGTAAATTGCATAGCGGACAAAGGTTAATGAACATTTCCACCATTGGCCAGGTTATGCCTGCCTTAAGACCCTGGGTAAGTTTTGAGGCTCGAAGTTGGGATCAGCGCTCACCATTCCAATTCTCCGCGCCTCAAATAACACAGAAGATGAGGATCCGTGGGCACGGTGGGCGTAAACCAGAATATCATATATCTGGTTAAGCACGGGTATCCTCTCGAAAGCTTTCGTCCACTCGAACCCTCCGACATCGTGGTCGGCGTTCTCAGATCGTGATCCAGAGGTGGTTCCGTAAGCCTCAGAGTGGTTATCGACATAGGCTACGTAATCTCGCCGAAGAATCTCTTCCTCCGGGGCTAGAAGGTGAAAAAATGCGTCTCGCGGAATCAGCAGCAGATAATGTTTTTCCGATCCCAACCGGACATGGTGGTAAGTGAGCCACATGCGTAGGCGATCAGAGATATTTTGTGCACTATCTCCTGACAGAGAACGACAAACAGCAGCATACATTTCTGGACCAAAGGCAGTAGTCTCTCGTAAGGCGACTGGGAGGTCGGTCAAAAATTGCCCCAATGCTTCTTCAAAGAGTGTGCGATCAGGCATTTCAACGACGTTAACGCTGCTGATTCGGTGAACAACGGCGTCTGGAAGGGGTGCAAACAAGGGGTGCTTCCATGATTGAACCAGAGATGTCGCCACAATAAGTCCCCCCTCTGACGGGAAGGAATGCGTTATAAAGGAAACTTGGTTGGCGCTTTGAGCTTGACGTGGGGCAAGACTTGAAAGCGGGGGATGCAGAGCCCATCGCCGATCTCTGCTTTCTGGTGTCAGACGGCTTGAGTGTGCAGATTCACTGTCTTCCATCCGGTTCTGCGGGGACTGCGAAGATGAGGCATGAGATGTAGAGGATGACGCCACGTTTTGTCCATAAAAGTTATGACCGTCACCAGAATCTCCATGGGGAGATACGTCGTCATTGGAAGGAGCCTCTGAAACGAGGAAAGATGCTGTCTTGGGTCCATAAGGACCTGTATGCTTCTCTCCCATTGTTCCGTGATCCAATGGGACTTTGTGTCGCTTCTTAGGAGTGTAATTACATTCAGAAATTCCTCCCTCGGCACAATGACTGCAAACAGGCAGATTACGATCACACTCGAAAATGAATTAGATGGAGATTCGAATCAAATCGATATACACACCTTTAAGTTCGCAAAGCGACACCTATCACAGCGAGGGATGCCACGATGGGCGGGAGTAGGCAGAGGAGTGTATATGCACTGCCTGCCATTGGCCCAAGAGCAATTATTGCATGTAGGGAGAACCCTATCACACTGTGTGCCAATTTTTGCTATTCTGATGATATTCGTGCGACAATAACTCACCTTCAAGTTGTTGACGCGACAGTGGTCACAACGTGGCTTCCCCCTGCGCCCCTTCCATTGAGATTGACGAGCCATATATACTCTGGGATTTGGGATTCGAATTGTCAGTTGGCCGTCTTCACCGACGCTTTGAATTGCCTCATCGGTGGGTTTGGACAAGTTGGATGACAGATGAGAGACCATTTCTAAATATCAGTCGATCCAAGATTAAATGCACCAGGCTTCTGACAGACGTGCCCTATGTGACAGAAAAGAGTACATGTGAGCAAGAGGAGAGTTTCAGTCCAAAGAAACAGCAAGGGCAATGTCAGATCACACGTACAGGAGATGGCAGCTCCAATAGCGCCGGTGCAATAAAATGACAACCTGTGGTTCTCGCCCGCTAAATGAATGGTCAAAAAAAGAGAGATAGCACGAATCCTTCTAGTAGGAAGGATTCAGCACTGCTTTGTCAGTACCGTAGTACTATTCAAAGTCTTAGTAGGAACTACAGGCTTCTGTCCCGCGATCAGCCCAGTTGAACTTACTTGCGGATGTGACGTTTGGTCACAATTCACCTTCTTAGGCAGGAGCAAGATGATCACACTGCAAGTGACTGCTTCAGACTAAATAAATGGTAATCCTTCCATAAAATGACGCCCGATGATAGTGGCTTGGTTCGGGGAGTGATGGCGCGGCCACTCCTCCGAAGCCACATTGAACATTGACCGTCTATGTTTAACAGAAATAATTTACTTCGGCGCACCGTACGAAATCGGGCCCTTGGACTGAATCTTTCGTGGGAAAGTGAGTGCGATAACCCATTTGGGGGGAAGACCTTGTCGACACAGCGTGGATCCGACGGTAAAACTGTTGAGAAATTGCTAATTACGGTAAGACTTAAGATGCCATCTTTGATTTCAGAGGCTCAACCACTCTCCCCCAGAAGTCCAGTTCAATGCTTTGCGGATACTTAGCCATGCTGTCATGACGTTCGATATAACCCGAGACGTTGCGCGAGGTTTAAGTACGTTTGCTTCGTAACCTTACTATCTGTGGCAGGTCCTCGTTCTGAGGTGAGTATAACAAGCAAGAGAGGTTGCCAAATGCCCGGGACATGGCTATGTTCTTGGGTTATTGGGGAATAAATTACTGCACCCATGCCCGATAATGGTTTGTGAGCTTCGAGGTCTTCGTATTGATTCGTACTGAAATTTACGCTTCTTTGTCACCATAGCATTTTCCGCGTGTATGCATTTACATAATTGGTTCGTGAGCGTTGATGGGTGACAGCACCTTCGAGGCTTGCGATTTGTCGTGGGAGTTGCGAGCCTCAGGCCTTCAAGCCTCAGGGTCAGAAGAACCCTCATGAGGATAAATGAAGTAGTTGAGCGCCCTGCAGACCCGATCTTGGACGGTATTGTCCTGGCACGTTCGACAGTTACGACCCGTGATCCAAAGGCTTTATATACCCTCGCTCCCTTACACTACGCCGTGCGTTCCCCTCCTCCTGACTCGCCATGTTGTCTTTTAACTCCCTTCTTTCCCTTTCCACCTACTTCTTACATCGCCTGGCCAATAATGTCGATACAAGCAGCGTTCCATTTTATAACCCTTCCCTTGAGGGAGGATCCATGTTGGAAAATGCTGGTGACAGTCTTGGCGAACCCTTGAATGTGTGTACCCGTCCGCTTTCCACGTGCCCTTCATGCTTACTCCCGGCAGGTTATTATCTCGGGGTTGAGCACGCCGGCTGTTCTTACTAACGATGGCATTATTAACTACGCGCGTGCCATAGGCTTGTAGGTGGCGTGAGGTTCCTCTCTTCAACCCATTGTGTAATTGGCTACATAGTTCCGAGGAATGCTTTAATATCCACCTAGGGGGGCTCATGTCCGCTAACCTCGGAGACGGAAATGGTTGGGTCAACCAGACATATGAGCTTCGTCAGGACTATGACAACGCCGGAATCGGGACCTGCTTGGAAAGCCTCGTCGGTGGTAATCATTTTCGGTAAAACAAGCACCCTCTGCTGAACGTTGAATTCTGTATTAATTATCATCGACGGTTCCACAAAGAGTGTTCCGTCAGAATGGGCGTTTAGCAAATAGTGGGGCCTTGTTTCTCGCGTACGTCCCACCAATCTCATTGCTTCTGATGCTAACTTCACTTTGGTAGAGTGTCGCAAGAAGAAGTAAGTCCACACAACCACCCCTCGATGCTTACAAACCGTAAGTTTATCTTATCCCCAGCCCGCAACCGAACATCATGACCCTGTACCCGATGGCTACGATGTTGGTCGGTGGGTTCTCCCAGTTTATCACTTGCTTGTCACTGCCATTCAAAAAGTCGATTCCAGCAATAACTTAGTGGCAGCCGCAGTTGGAATAACCAGCTTCAACGGTGTCACTTACATAACGACAGCTAAGAATATCACTGGGTTGCTCCCACCTGGTTCGGAAGGAATCAATCACGGTGGGCAGAAGTTTCTGACATGTTCTTCTTTTGAGCCTAAGGCTGTGCAGGTATTGCGCAAGACGGGATTACCACCTTGTTGACAGTTGCTATTGTTAGCAAGTAGAATTGAAAGGTATGGCTCTTACGTTGGTCTTGAGGGTGGCTTGTGTAGAGGAAACAAGTGATACATGTATGCAATACGAACCTCGAATGGGATACCAAGTGTGTTTGCATATGTTACAATTGACGAGGTAACGCAAGTGAAAAGCCAAACCGCAGTAAGTTACAGTTACCAAGGAATTCGGTTCGTCCTCCATTAGCTCAAGTCCATAGTCTCACCCTCAGCTTCAGTATCATAGTCCAACATGGTAGTATGCTCGAGGGTCTTGGAGCAACCTGTCGAAGAAGAGCTTCCTTCAGCTTGTACGGTGGGACGGAGTTGAAACTCCTTTGTGAAACGCTGCTTTTCTTCGTCGGAATGCTGCCGGGTACGGCGCTTTACCCGGTCGAGGAGAAAATCCAGCTGTAGATAGTTTGAGTCATCTTCAGCAAACTTGCGATGCTTGCGGTCCCTTATGTGCTAGTGACCGTCAGTGACTAGTTGACGTATCCCAATGACGGTGCTCACATATTCAAAATCATCAAATTTGACTCTGCAACTCTCACAGTAACCGGGCTTAGTCCCTTCATCTCGCTTGGGTAACCGCAGCGTATTGGTGCTACGGCTCTTTCTAAGAAGCGCACGGTCAGGTATAACGTCAGGGGGGCCCATTACTGCAGGCTTCCCATTCTGAGTGCTTTTCGCGCTAAAAGAGGAGACTTTGCGCGACGTTACGATCTGTCGTTGGATGCGTCCACGTAGGTGTGCTGGCAGATCCAAAGTCCGAGGTGCGCCGCCAACCGTCGAAGTGGTTCCCGTTGTGGATGCGATCGCTACACTGTTGCCTGAGGCAGCTACATAGGCACCTGTACACGTAGATGCCAAGTAACCTGAGGCATTAGCGGAAGCTTGAGTTTCGGGAATATCGACGTCCAAATCTACGGATTCCTCCACACAACCGGTTGTGACTTGACGGTTTAAGTTGCTCATAGACACTGAGCGGCGAAGGTCGCCAGCTTTCCGAGACACCAGACAGGCTTCTGCACGTTTCTTCCGCTGGAGTTCTCTGGCAACCTTCTGTCGTCTTTCGTATTCTCGAGCTTCTTCCACACGTTTAATTTTCTCCCATCGTCTCCTCTCACGTTCATCGAATTCGATGAACGGCCCCCTAGCGTGGGGATGACAGTGGAGGACAGGCCAGGCACCTCGTTCTTTGCCATCTCTCCCTTTCGTGATGGGATATTCGAGAGCATGAATGGTGGCCAGTTCCTGCTTCACGTCCTCCACTATGACGAAGCAGCTGGATTTTGAAAAATATCGGAAGTCGTGGCGCTTCTGAGTAGGATCGCGCTCTGTAGTTCCGTGAAGGCGCTCTGACGCGAGCAGGCGTGTAAGGGACCGCTGACTCGCAGTGGGGGTGACAGATTGCGCGCTTGAAGCTTGCTTGAGTGTTGCTGGTACACGCAGATCGCAGCGTTCGAGCACACTATCCAACTTCGCGGGATTCCAAATCTTCATTCCGAACGCCTGCGCCTTCTCCACAAGGCTGAAATGTTGCACACAGCTATCATCAGCGTTACTAAAAGTTTAGATGAATGATTGAAATGCGATGCTTATTTGACACCCACCGGCCTTTAAGCTTGACAGGGCTCTTGAGCCACAGCGCTGATCGTCCGGCAAGTCCATTTGTAGAGTGAGTATTTTCTTTGTTACAAGCAGTATCGTCTGTCGCTGGAACGACTTCATCCGTGATCAAATGAGTGATCTCATTAGAGAAGAAGTCATCGACGCGCTATTCAGTGTAAATTGGAATATGGTGTGATAGAGAAAGACATCCGACATACGGCACCAAGAAAAGTTACTCTGGCCATGAGGGAGCTCCTAAACGCCGAGGATTGCGAATCCAGCTGATCCAAGTCAAAGTAAAAGACGAAACTTGGAAATGCGCGCGTGTATTTGACACGGAATTCATTCTTAGTCGCTTCACGTAGCAACCTCCTCTGCTCCTTATCCCTGCGTTCCTTGCTGTCTGGGGTGGCCAACGTTGAAGAGTCAACGTTGACTGCCTTCACCCGCTTGGGGTTTGCTTGTGTGGGAACCACGTCCGTATTGGGTTCGGGAGAACGCGGTCGTTTCACTGAAGCTGGGAGACGACCTGGTAGCTTCTGCGACGAGAATCCAAAAGGGAGTTCCTGCTGGCGGGCACTGAGAGGTCGGCGAGCATGACTGGCCATGTAGTCTCGAGAACGTAGACGTTTGCAAGTATAAAGAGACGACGTTATGAGTCAAATAACAACAAATAACGCGCCAATAGTTCTAGCGAGCCGAGGGAACGATCATCTTCCATCAGGTTTGTGGTTTGCCTAGGGGAGACTAGTTCATACGCACGAACCATAAACGCACCGTCAAATTGGTGCCGCCTCGGCGCTTCCCTGCACCAATAATGACCCTTTGTAGCATTGACCGTGAGTCTAAGCGGAGGAAAGTTGTGTTCCCGCTTAGTGCTCTACCTCCCATACTGCCCCAATTCTCTATTCCCTTGTTGGACGACAGGCCTCAAGACCCCATTGCTCAGACTTCAAGCTTTCAATGGACGACCGGTAATGGTGCTACCGATCGTGATCACTACAATGAAGCCTGTTATCTTTCCCGAGATGAATTTCTATCGCATGCTATTCAGGACGACGGTCAGATTCCTTTGTGGAACCGAGCTCTGGTGCACCCCCGTTCTGCAGTAAGTTGACGTTGTCTCGTCAATTTAGGTATTTCGGGATTCACTCCTGACAGTACCAAATAATGTCGTGGGATGGTATTCTCCCTCCCCAAATTGCTGGCATCCTGAAGATGCCATTTTTGACTGAGCAACCTCTTCCGCAGTTTGGCTTGGTGCAACAACAGTCAGGTCCCATTTCTTGCCAAGTTTTCCGACATTCATGATTCTTAGTGTCCTATCAGATACGACGGTTTGCCAGCCACCAGACGATCTCGTGATGTCCCTCAGATTACTTGTGTTGGGGAGCTCCTCGCGTCTGTACGTGTGGAATAATTCTTTGGAATTATTCGTGCACCAGAGTCCTTCAAAAGTTGGTTCAAAGGCTATTTTGGTTGGGCGCGGGAACAGATTCATTTCTAAAGAGTAAGCAAGTGCCCCATTCTACACTTTCAACTAACATTCCATTAGTTATTTGCAACGATTTCTTGACTTAGGAAGTCTCATACGTCGTATGGAGTTACTCGCTTACGATCTTCGCGACAGGTATACAGACACCTGCTTTTTTCTGGAAACACGTAATAACCTAATTTTTAGAGGGAGCCACACAGACCCGTCCATTCATGCTTTTGCACATGGGCTTTCGACCCTTCTGAGCTTTTGGAGAGATCAACTGTCCAGAGGCCCGCTGTTCGGATCCGACGATGTTCTCTACCCAGCTGACTTTGCGGCCATATGGCTACATTATGCGGAGGAGGAACAGACAATAAGTTCCATTGCCACCATGTGTCATAGGGTATAGCATGTGATTCCTTGTTATCAGAGAGATCGCTGACTGGTGCAGAGCCTCGAAATTTCCCCGGAAAATTATTTCGATCTCTCTACGAATCCAGTGGATCTGTTGAGTCGCATATATCAAGCACTGGAGCAAAATGTAGAAGTGGTATCGCCGCGTCAGGTGATTGCGGCCATCGCTTACATGTTGACTGTTTCCTCGACGCCGTATATTACCAGTCTTTGCAAATCGGTTGCTTACCGTGAAGGTGGTCCGAGGTACTCATGGATAAGCGAGGAACTTAGTCGGCCAGATCCCTTTGAACCATATGACGGAGGGGATTCGGCAGGGACTTGGCAACGCAATTTTTTGGATGCGGAACATGTCTTCCCAAAATTTGTTCCTGCTAGCTTGGCAGACGTCCTTCCAATCGCAAGGAAGTCACTCAGATTGCTAGGGGCTGTCCAGCCGGATCATTGGATTCTCTCACAGGGCGGCGCTCTTCAAACCATTTCGTGGTTGTGGTCGGAAGTGAAGATCCACCAAGCCTGGGGTGATTCTCACTACCTTAAATCAAGCCCTGCTCTCCCAGTGAAAGGTTGTCCGACCGCTAGCGTGACTGACAACCACAATTCCGTTCTTGACGAATTCAAGGTTTTTGATATGGAACCCAGGGCGCTGAGTGCTGAGGAACTTGGACATTGCGACTCACATCCGGCAATAGCTGATTTCATGGCCACTTTCCCCGAATCACTGCCGCTTATCATACCTAATCTCTCTCTGCTTTGTGATTTGGTTTTTTCCCCTCTCGAATCCCATGCTTCCCTGCTTTCCAGAGCCTTTCTTTCTGTATTTCTCAACGAATCCTCCTTCCTTTGCGTCGATGCACACCTGACATTGCTTCGTTCACATCTGCTGTTAACTTCACATACATTCAAGTCAAGACTGGCGGAAGCTTTATTTTCTGACACGTACGGGAGAGAAGACCTTTGTGGCGCGGCGAAAGCATTCGACTCCTTACGACGACAGCCACAGACTGTTCACACATCCGCGTTCCCTCCTACCAACAAACTGGCCATTGGTTTGGCACCCGCCCTCACAGCGAGGGACAGTTGGCCACCTGGTGGTTCCGATCTCAGCTTTCTCCTTCGCACTGTGATCGTTGACGCGCAAGAGTACGGTCGTCGACACAATAGACGGCCGAAATCAAGTCCGGCGGGCATACTGCATGTCTTGGATGAGGCCGAGTTTCGCTTGGGATTTGCAGTGCGGGATCTTCCAGTAGGCACGGGCCGCGAGCGGTGGCTAAACCCTCTATGTGAGCTCTCCGTCTTCCTCATTGTCGAAATTCTAACCCACGCTCATGTTTAGCGATTGAGTCCGTATTCCGTACTCACTCTAACAGGAGCACTGATAATCTTCAGGGCTTTGGACTTTCTCTATCTTGATTACAAAGTACCGCACCCCATGGAAGTACTCATTCCACAGACAGTGTTGTCGAAGTACCAACGAATTTTCTCGTTTCTATTGCGCTTGATGCGAGGTAAGGGTAGAACACAATATATATGGTCACATCTGAAGCCAGACGACAGTCGAGGCTGCCATCCGTTCCGTTTATCGTTTGACGTGTCTACTCCCCAGGCCCTCTCTCAGTAAATTCCCACTTTGCAGCAAACTTGTCTGGCAATTCCGTTTTGCAGCAGACTATTTCGTCAGTGCTCTTTTGACATACGTATACGACGTTGCTATTGGCAGCAATTTCGATGCTTTCCTTTCTCAAATCGCAGCGTGTCGCGAACATATGGCCTCAAACAAGCCCCATGAATTCCCAGATGTTTTTACCCTTTCAGAGTTCCATTCTTCTGTGCTCAACGATATCCTCAGCGCTTGCCTTCTGCGGTCATCTCAAAGGACTGCAGGAGATATCCTGCGAGGGGCAATGGAACTCGTGCTGGAGTTCTGTGTTCTCGTGACAGATTTGGATACTGCCGAATCAGAGGTACATAAGATAGATTCCGCGCTCCGTACGCTCTATGCCGCCTTTCGCGAGAAGGTTGTTACCCTGGTCTGTCTCCCAGCTTAAGCTCTCGTCCACCTTGTTCTAATGGATGTATAGCTGGAAGAGTTAGACGCGCTCCTAGAGAAGGATGCTAGGTTCTTGCAAGAAACTAATCCGCTACCACTTGGCATGGAAGCCGAGTGCCATGTTCCCCCTGGGGGGACTGCATCGCTTCGGTACCTCTTGGCTCGATTGGATCTGAGTAATTGGTGGAGAAGCTTGGACTAGAGAGCCCCAAATCTAATGACAAGAGCTACAATATTTGGATGATATTGGCATACTTATCAATGAACCAATCATTAGTGAGAATATCATTGTGTTTGCCCAGGTGTGGCAAACCATGCCCTGGACCACACATAGTGGATACTGCACAGTCACATAGTTGAGTCACCAATAGTCCTGAAAGTGGGTCATCTGACATGTACAGTTTGGCCTAAATGTGGTACTAACTGATGTCAGTTGATGGTGCCCAAAGGTGGGTAGGCTGGTGTGTGGAGGTGGGATTGGCCAATGTCACTTGGTGGAGGATTGACTAGCCTAAATGTGGCATTGGCTGACCTCACTGGGGGATGGATGGATGCCCTGGAAGTGGGGTCAGCCAACATGAGTGGGGGATGGACCCACTGCCTGGAAGCAGGGTCAGCCTGCCTGGCCAAGGGATGGACTCAGCCCCTGGAAGTAGGGTTGGTCAACCTGGCTGGAAGGTGGACCCATGTAAGGATTCAGTCTGATGCTGTTGACCATATAGCTATGTTGGAGCAGTAATCTGCACTAATCCTACAAGTGCCATTGAGTACCCAAGGCCAGGTAGCTCAGTGGTTAGAGCACCTGGGTATATGCCAAGGGGTCCTGGGTTCAAATCCTGGCTTGGTCATATTTTCCTTTAGTTGTTCACTGCTTGGCAAGCAGTAGGGTAGTTGGCCCTGAGGTCACATGATCTCAAATTTAACAAGCTAGATGTTGGTTTCTTTATGATGGATCTACTGTTCTTCTCATTTGTTCTTTGATCCTACTTAACCTGTATGGATACTCTGACATATATCATGCCTAGTCTCTACCCTATGAAATAGGCCATGTAGCATACTGTATGTGTTACAACTGTGTGTTCATCCTAAGTCTCTACTCACTCTGCACCCTACTCTGCCAGTCATTCACCCATTCCACACCAACTCCACTTGCCCTCTACTGTTGATGAACTTACTCTGCTCTGACTGCTGTCAGACTGCATGGACTGTCCTCCAAGGGGTCATGTGACCCTTAGCTGTCCAGCCTTTGGACTTCTCCTTGACAGTGTGCACACCACATGGTTCAGCACCTGGACTGTTTCCTTTTCAGTCCACTCTATGTTACCCACCATACAGTGAGGGACAAAAGTGTTGCAATGTTTGTGAGGTGTGACTTGCTGCCAATGTAGCTTGGTCTATTCTGCACAGATAATCATGATACCTATACCATTTGAAAGGGGTGACTCTAAGTGTTCCAGAGCACTAAGGTTCAGTCCAAACAAAGCAATACATGCCAAGATACACCCTATTCTTTCCAAAAAGTGCATTGCAATGCCTTTTTCCCTGACTGGCGAAATAGTGAAAAGTGACCTCTTGATGGGATTGAGGGCATGAAGGATGGGAAAATATGATTACATAACAAACCACATGATCTTCCAGATGATTTGTCAGCATTTAAACAATGACAAACATTGGACTTGTACCATTAACCCTCCCTCTTTTACCACAACTCATGAAATCATCTCTCTAGCTTACATGGTCACTTTCTCAAGGAAATCTTATCAAATACTGGTGGCCACCACAGTGCCATCAGTATAACATGCTCTCAGAACCACCAGTCCTTTAAAAAACCTGTTGTCAGTCATTCCCTGGACTGTTCCCCCCCCCCCCCATGCCTGATGTGTTCTGGGACTAATCAGTACTTGGAAGGCTGAAAATGTTATGGAGGTCAATCTGGCACTTCAGAACATGATGGAAAAACTAGTGCCCTCTCAACCAGTGCATTTCTGGCACAGGGACAGTGGTATGGAAGTTAGGGCAAGACAAAATCCTCTTTACCCCTGGGTGTCATCAGAAGGATATGCTACTGAACTGCCATGGAGCAGAATCCTGTGCTTCCATCTGGCCCTGAATATTGCCTTTGGTCACATATGACCAAATAATCCTTCCCCAGTCATCTACAGTTCAGATCAGCGCAAGATCTAGTGAACCCTCTTATGGTGCTCAGAGCACAAGGAGGTTTTGTCTCACCCCAACTTCCATACCAGTGTTCCTGTGCCAGAAATGCATTGATTGAGAGGGGGCTAGTTTTTCCATCATGTTCTGAAGTGCCAGATTGACCTCCATAACATTTTCAGCCTTCCAAGTACTGATTAGTCCCAGAACACATCAGGCATGGGGGGGGGGGGAACAGTCCAGGGAATGACTGACAACAGGTTTTTTAAAGGACTGGTGGTTCTGAGAGCATGTTATACTGATGGCACTGTGGTGGCCACCAGTATTTGATAAGATTTCCTTGAGAAAGTGACCATGTGAGCTAGAGAGATGATTTCATGAGTTGTGGTAAAAGAGGGAGGGTTAATGGTACAAGTCCAATGTTTGTCATTGTTTAAATGCTGACAAATCATCTGGAAGATCATGTGATTTGTTATGTAATCATATTTTCCCATCCTTCGTGCCCTCAATCCCGTCGGGAGGTCACTTTTCACTATTTTGCCAGTCAGGGACAAAGGCATTGCAATGCACTTCTTGGAAAGAATAGGGTGTATGTTGGCATGTATTACTTTGTTTGGACTAAACCTTAGTGCTCTGGAACACTTAGAGTCACCCCTTTCCAATGGTATAGGTATCATGGTTATCTGTGCAGAATAGACCAAGCTACATTGGCAGCAAGTCACACCTCACAAACATTGCGACACTTTTGTCCCTCACTGTATGTTTCTCCATCTACCCTTCATTCATTGTCCAGGAAGTTGTACTTGAAAATTTACAAGTCTCTGTATGTCAGTTCTGATTCTGGTTACTGTACTTCCATGGTGGTATAAAAGCATGTACAGTACTCCATTGTTCCTCAGTATGAATATCACCTAAGTTCCTACTCTGTATCTCCTCCATCTTCTGTCTTTTGGAATTATCTCTGAACTTCTGTCTGGTCTCTACCTCTGAAATATGAGGGCTGAGATTGTACAAGGGGGTAGTGCATGAGCTAAACCCAACACTCTCACTCTGTTCTGCCTCTGTCTCAGCAGACTTCATCCCTGTTGACCCTCTGCTAGTTGGAGTTCTGTTTGTCTGTGTCAGACTTACTTCCACACCTCTCCCCAGACCCTATTAAGCATTGGAGTAGGCCCAGACTTGACATTATGGGGACTTCTTTCCTACCTCAAAATAAGACACTCTTGTCTGGAAAACTTGAGTAGAGTGAAGAATTCCTCTCATTATTCTGCCATTAAAAGTACTTCACTTATCAGCATTACATATTTTTTCCCTGAAAAACAAGGTCTTACCTCAAGTTCAATAACAAACATACCAGATACCTTCTTGACCATTCACAGAACTGATCCACTGTGAAGACAAGAGTAAGTATCATACACTTGATAGAAGAAATGGTTAATACCTGTGCAACTGCCTGCCAAGCTACAGAGGCTCAGGTGTCATCTTTGCCTCCCAGCCTGGTGCTGACATCATTGATAAATCTCTGCTCCCAAGACTGGACTCCACTAGGAAGTCAATACTCCACTACATTCAAAAGGCCCATAGCTGATAACATCCAGAGTTATAGTGATGTGGTAAGAACTGGCTTGAGGGATCCAAGCCCAGCACCCAAAGGAGCTACTGCTACTGTCCCTGGCTCAAGAGTAACCTCACCAAGATATCTTGGCTTGAGAGCTACCTCACTGATGTGTTCCAGCTCAGGAGCTGCCTCAATGATGGATCCCAGTGACATTGAAATCCTAGAAGCTGTAAAGACTCATACTGTTAGAGTCTGGGTACCAACTCACAAAGTAAATGAGAACCTACCTGATGATGTCTGATGTGACTCAATCTTCCCTATGAGTGAGATAGATGTTGAGTATGGTGACTAGATGAAAGTAAAGTGCAAGAGGTTGTGTGAGCAATGCACTCATAGTACACTGAGATCTGATCAGAGAGATGTAATCTGAAAAGCTGAATGGCAACTGACCCCAGGTGAGCAAGAAAGAATCCAAAGGAGGTCACTGTTGATAATAAGGGATAACCCCAAAATTACTACATCAGAAGGTGATGAGCCCTTTAACAAGGAAGATCTCAAAGGGAAAGGACCTAACCCTGTGTTAGGAATGATGTGTGTGCAGAGGCTGATGTGGGTACCTGTCAAAGTTGCACAACACCCCTGACTTCCTCTTAGGGCAGAGTAGGAGCAGGTTGGGCTGTGGAGTACAGTGGTCAAAGTTTGAAGTGAATCCAACCACTGGGTGGTGAGATATGCAGCAAACAAGGAGCAGAGGAGCACAGGGGAAAGCTTTGGGGACAGAGGTTGGAGTTGGAGGTCAGAGGTCAGATGGGAGGGCATTGGGTTCAGCTAGTGCACTGCCCCCTTGCATGAGCTCAGCCCTTGTATTTCAGAGGTAAAGTGGTCTCAGAGGAGTGGAGGTGAAACTCCAGAGGGAACTCAGAGGGAGTCAGAAGTGGGGACTTTGATATTCATACTGATTACATTGGAGTACTACATGGCCCTATATACAATGTAGGTCAAGGGTGGGGCAGTGTAGAATGCAAGCCAATAAATGTATAACAGGTTAGCAGTACCTCTGACACAAGGGATAGAGAATAGGGACAATGGGGACCTTAACTGAGACAAGGGAACTACTACAATGAGGGAGAGAGGGTAAATACTGAAGGAGTGGAAGAATGGAGAAAAACCAACACAAGGGCAGAACCCTATCTAGAATGCAGGGTTGCAAGTCTGACATTCTGCTGAGCTGACCAAGGCCTCAGAGGAGGCACAGGTGAGTGGAGGCAGCTGGAATGTGGACTGGGGACCTCAGAGAGGTGTGGAGATGTGTTGGGAGGGTCAGAGGAGTGTGGGAACACATCAGAAGAGGATGGAGAAGTGTGGGAACATGTTGGAAGAGGGCAGAGTAAGTGTTAGGGGCTTATGCTGGTGTCATGGTCCTGACAGTATCCCCCCCTTAGGGCCTGAACCCCTGAAGGCCATAGTGAAGCTATGATGGAGGTGAGTAAGGTCCAGGTTTGTGAGGATAGCAAGCATGGTAAGCAGCCAATAACTCAGAGGCATGTTCTAACTCTGTTGCCAGCACCCAAGATGTTTCATCATCAGTATTCTCATAGCCTGCCCAGCAGACT